GGCTTCTTGGCAAATCGCCATTAATACTCCTCATATATTCACGGCTATTTCGACACCGATTCAATTATACTCATTTTTTCTCATTATGACGAAAACTCCGAAGAATATGCAAAAGATTGTGAAGCCGTTGATGGAATTGCAAATATGGTATTTCATTTTTAAAGGTGCATAACCTGATCCGTTGCAGGAACACCATCGCCGATTTGTCATTCGGCTTTCTTGTGACGCCCATTGCATTTGTTCCGTGTAACTCAGGCGCCGTATTAGGATTTTTGCGATTGTTTCAAGTTCCTGTATGGCTTCAGATTATTAGTGGGCAGATTCCTATTACAAGTTGGCGTCTTTACCATTTTCCCTTTAGAAGTCATATTACAGACACCGCTGTTGCTATCATACTATTGTTTGAGAATCGATATTCCGCGATGGTTCAGACGAAATACAAAATGACGCGTCCCACCACGATATTACTGTACCAAGCCCTTTGTTACACGTACTCGTGCTTTGTGTTATTACCGCTGATCTTCTTTGATCTTGATCAGGAAAAGGCAAAACTCGAATGCCTCCGAGTCATTCCATGCCCAATTGAATTGTTCTTCGAACCCGATCACTTTGTTATTCCTGGTGGCATTTCATTACTTTTGTTCATGATAATCTTCACGACTTTTTCATTTTGCAATATTTTATTTTACGCGATCCGAATCTCTTACTTTCTCAACTATGAGCTTCAATTCTTGACGATGTCGCTGAAAACACAAAAAATTCAAAAATCGAGCTTTATTGCAATTCTACTTCATGTAAGTCTAATGGATCTATTCAGTGAATGTAAATTAAACAAAAACGACAAATTTTCATTATGCAGCGATGTCGTTTTTGTCGCAATAAGCGCTTAATTTTACTGAGGGGTACTGTAGATCGCGGGTCGATATTTCAAAAAAATTGGCACATGCTCCTTGAATATCGATTTTTTTAAAATATTTTTTATATTAAAATTTTCGTATTTTCACTCGTTTTTCGCGGATTTTTTTAAATAATTTAAACTTTTTTTTGAGTAACACTTGGTGATATTCATAAAAACTACTAATTTGTGCATATATTTCCTTTTTGAAGCATGTCATTCGCTGAGTATGAAGGAAACGACTCTTTGGTCGAAGACGTGGTGGAGGCACATGGGCCAAGAAATTTGCCAATTGCTGAACAGCGTGAAGAAGCTAAGCGCACGAGAAGGAGAAAGCCACTTGTAGATGACGGATATGAAGCGGTGAGTATTTAAAAATGAATTGTTGGATTTTATAAATTAATTAAATTTTTTTAGTTTCCACAACACTTTATTGTGGACTTCATCAAGACCGTTGAGCAGTACCCAAGTATTTGGGACTCATCTATTAAAGAATACCACAGGAGAGAATTGAAGCTTAAGGTCTTTCAGAATATCGAAAGCATGTGCAAGAAATTTCTCCGCGCCGGAAGACCAAATGGTATTTTCAAAACCACTATCGGTAAAATTGAAGTTTTAGGTATGACGGCTTGGAAATTGTGGGATTCGATAACGCGCGATTTCAATAGACATGTGTTGCGAATCCAAAATGCTCGATCTGGAACTGGAACATTGGAATCATCATTTCCGTTTGCGGAATATTTACAGTTTTTGGATGGAGTCAGACACAAAAGACAAGTTAAAAAGTAAGTTTACCTGTTTTTTGTTAATTTTTTTTTTACTACAGTGCCTTCATATGCGGTGATAAAAGTATTGAGTTGCTTGAATCGCGGGGACCCTCGGATAGTCCGAAGACTGCTAAACGAAGAAAATCAGGTTTCTAGCAATAAAAAATGGAGTTTTATGGGTATGTTTTAGACAGCGATGAGCTGATGAGTATGTTGCGCGAGACGAACAGCGAAATCAAGCAGCTGCTTAGATCGAATGATGAGGAAGCCAAGGAAACCCCCAAATGTAAATTTGACCGATTGTGCAGGGTCATGGCCAGCCACGTTGCGGATTGGCCTGAATTGGATCAAATTCAAGCCGAAGCGAAAGCGATCGCTTTCATCATGGATCTCCAACCGACGGGCAAAAGAAATGAGCAGACGACTTCTCTCAGTTTGTTGGACGAAAATTATTTTTAAGTATTTTTTTTATTATATTAACAATTAAATTTAAAAAGATAAACATTAAACATGATAAAGAAGATAATTTTTTAATGCCGTTCTTTGATCTTCGGCATCGCTGTATGGGTCTTGAAGTAAGGGAAAGTTGTGGTCAGGTGGAAGATCGGGAGGAGCACCTAGTGATATGTTATGTACAACTGAAAGTGCTACAATGAGGGCGCGCGAAGAAGACGGGTCCATATTAAGGGCTTTTTTGAAAATCTGGAATTTCGACTGCATCACACCAAAAAAATTTTCAATTTTCACCCTAGTTGCCGACATAATCTCGTTAAAACGCATGTTTTCTGGAGTCAAGGAAAGCTGCCTATAGGGTTGCATAAGAAACTTAGATAGTCCAAATCCGTTATCAGCAATTATAAATGGAGGCATTATAATGGATGAATTCGGAAGCGGGCGATATCCACCTATTGTGGCTACATTTTCGAGGAGTGCTCCCAAAGGCCCATCTCTGAACATTTGGGAGTCCGAATTTACTCCAAGCTCAGAGATTTGCAAATATATAACACGCAAGTTTGCATCACAACAAAAAAGAGAATTAAATGAATAAAACGACTTATAATTATAATTTAACGATCCTGTATGCGCAGGATGCTCGATCTTCCAATGCTTTCCATCCAATATGGCAAAACATGGAATTCTTCGACGAGGAGTTCGATCAGAAGAGTTCATAAATCCTTCTTCCAGACGAATTAATTCTCTTCGATTTTGTGGCAATCGGATTTGTTCTCCGGCAACTTGGACGATATCCTCGATTGTATCTCTAACTAGTCGAGAAATCGTTGATTGCGAAACTCCAATTTCCTTCGCAAGAAGATTTTGGCTAATACCTATAAATTTTATAATTTTAATGCTTGTAAAAAACTAACAAACAACTAAAAAATAACCTTCTCTTGTGTATTTTAAGAAAACTGCCAATCGAATTGTCGCATTGATTCGACCTTCGTGATTTCGGCATATCTTCAGAAGTTCCATGAACGTGCTGTTAGAAACGCCGGTCACGAACTTAATTTATTCTACATTACTTGCAGAAATTCACTTGTTTTACTTGTTTCCTTACCTCAATACCACCACAATCTACTAATCGGTTGACTTTTTCACAAAAAAGATCGAAGCTCTGTTTCTTGATCACTTCAATTGTTTCAGATGCATTCAATGCATTTTGTTTCAATATCCAAACCAAAATAATTCGTTTTTTCATAAGCAGTGCAATCTATAAATTCATTTATTTGTTTTTTGTTTAAATTGTATTTCTTACTATAGCCTTTTTCTTATTTCGTAACCTATCCAAATTAGCCATGGAACGATCTGAAATATTCAATTTCTTTAAATTAAAACAATATTCGAATAAAATCGATTCAGTTTTGGAATAGAAAAAAACGAAAACGATATGAAATTATTATTTAAAAGTGTTACTCAAAAAAAAGTTTAAATTATTTAAAAAAATCCGCGAAAAACGAGTGAAAATACGAAAATTTTAATATAAAAAATATTTAAAAAAAATCGATATTCAAGGAGCATGTGCCAATTTTTTTGAAATATCGACCCGCGATCTACAGTACCCCTCAGTAAAATTAAGCGCTTATTGCGACAAAAACGACATCGCTGCATAATGAAAATTTGTCGTTTTTGTTTAATTTACATTCACTGAATAGATCCATTATTGTAACTTGTTCGTTTCTTTTTTTCTTATGCGTTTATGCATTCATTATTTATTTATTTCAGGTGAAGAACCGCGTTATTGACCGAATAGAAATCATCGAAAGAGCAGCAAGTCGGTTATTTCACAATTAAATTAGTTTTTATTATGTTTTCACATTTTGTATAGAAAAAAATTTAAGCTAAATATTATAACCATCTAGAATTATTATTTTTTATGTATAATAAGTGTACTTAAATTGAAAAAGATGCGTGCTTTGTGGTTAAATTGCAGGTGCGGCAGTCATTATCGTCGGCAATTCACTTTCGAAGAGGAACACTAAAGCATGGTTTGTGGTTTAAAAATAAAAAAAAATTTAATAATGTTCAGATTATCAATATTGCTCATCATCGGAAAAGCGAAAGTCGCTCGTTACGAATTCGCTTTCGTCATCTGATCGATTGTCTTCAAAAACTGCGTCGTATTGCTGAAAATTCTTGAGCTCTTCTTCAAGTTTTCGGATATGCTCGGAAAGACGCGTTGCTGCTTCACTTGGAAAGGAACGAAGCCATTGATGTACGCGATTTGATTCCTTCAATTTTTTATTTACATGTTTTAAATATAAACCATACATCAGTTAGCTTATCGTTAACTGTTCCTTCCTTGCGCAAATGGTCCTTCAACTGCGCCCACACAAGTTCGATTGGATTCAGAAAGCAATGATCGGCAGCCGAAGAATCCGTACTCTATGCTCATTGTAGGCCCATTCATCCAGAGCATATCTTACTAAGCGTTTTCTTCCACCGCTGCGAACAAATACCTCTTGACAGAGCTTGTAGAGATCTTTTTTGGTTTTCTTTCCAGCAAAGTCCTGGTTCCAGCTTTTCAGAAAACATTTCATTTCTTCCGCTAACTGGACAATTTGGGAAGCTTCAAAATTGAAATTGTATTTTTTGCATGTAAAAAATAAAAATATTTCTAACTTTTTCCACTGGACGACAGTGGTAGGGAGCATTGTCAACAATCAGAACAGCCTCCCGTGCTTCGTTCCTAACCATCGCCGCAAGGGTCGGAATGTGTTTTTTCATGTACTTTTCAAACTCTGAAGAGTTCATATTTTTGTGGTAGTCCAAAAATTCGTCTTCGGGTTTCTGGCAAGTGACCGACACGAAGTCCGACCCTTTGACAGTTCCCTGTTCCGTCACCATGGCCATACAATTGCCCTCTTTCCCTTGTCCTTTCCGACGGGTGGTCCGGGAAGTGGACTTGATAGGTCTTTCATTCGGGCCACCTTGTACGCCTTGGTATCCAATGCTCAAGTTATTCACTTCTCATAAAAAAATACTTGTCTTTCCGCTACAATCGGAAGATAATTCTTCTGTTTGTAGTAGAAACCCATCGAGTGGAGGATATTCCTTAGTGTCCCAGCTCCGTGCTCATACTCAATTTCTCTCTGGCACCAACTGAGAAGATCCGGAATCTGTACATCCTTATTCGCCATCCACAAATCTTGGATGTGTTGCCTCATTTTTTCTTGTCATATACTGAGAGAAGCTCGCCGGCCTTTTCCCAAATATCACGACGACTTACTCGTCCTCGCTGCCGTATTCTTGTGTTCCGAGTTCGACCAACCGTGTTGTAGGCAACACCACAAGCGCTTGCTGCAACTTGCTGGGAACTCCGAAACATCGTGTGCGAACCAAAATATCCCAACTTTTCGTTTAGTTGAATGAAAAAATTATGAACATTTTCTATGATCGCCTTTCCCCGATTCAAAATCTTCGTTGTTGACACTTTCGAAAAAAAATCATCGAGCTTAATCTGATTAATTTCTTTTCCAAGCTTCAACCATCTTAATTCCTCCGCCGTTAGGTTTGCGTATTTTTTCTCGTTAGAAATAGCAGTGTGGGCATCTTTGCTTTCTACTGCTGGTTCATCTTTGAACATTACCCATTTAATGCTATTTTCTAACGTCACTAAATAATAAACCATAATTAAGGACTCAAAATTCTTTTTTAAACTTTTTTCAGCTTTTGTTAAATTCGTCACAGATTTGACGATTGTTCTCGAACCGCTTTTCCGACGATGAGCAATATTGATAATCTGAACATTATTAAATTATTTTTTTAAATTTTTAAACTACAAACCATGCTTTAGTGTTCCTCTTCGAAAGTGAATTGCCGACGATAATGACTGCCGCACCTGCAATTTAACCACAAAGCACGCATCTTTTTCAATTTAAGTACACTTATTTTCTTTTCCAGTCATAAAAAATAATAATTCTAGATGGTTATAATATTTAGCATAAATTTTTTTTCTATACAAAAGGTGAAAACATATTGTCGGCGTCAAACGACTTGACGAAATTTTAAAAAATATTGGCTAATTGCCAGATTTCACGAGGCGAAGAGAAGTGTATGTGGCATACGCTTTGCAGTGTGTTTTGCGCAGCGTGTTTTTGGGCGCGTTATTTTTTGAGAATTTTTCTGTATCTCTTTTTTTATTAGCCAATTTCTTTTATTTTTACGGTTTATCATACATTTTTATAATCGCTGATTGATAGTTTAAAATTTTCATATATTTTAAGGCATTTTTTAATTAATTTGACATTGTAAAAACTTATTCTTCATCATTTTCCGTTTCTTAATTTTTAGTACATTTTAGGAAACACAATCACATTGAACAGGAGCCGAAGGACTTTGAAAACTACTGAAGTTAACAAGACGGGTATTATTTTATTTTTATTTAAAATTGTCATTATTTTATCATTATAGTTGCAGCGACTACAATGGCATCAAATATTGAACCCTTCGCGCAACCTCGAAGACAACCTCCAACGGACACAAAATTCTGAATTATATGCTCGCCTCGGTACTTCACAGCTTCATCAATACTAGGGAAAGGAAAAAAATATACTCAATGACTTCAAGCTTCTTCCAAAAAGTACGTTATCATTTTTTTTATCTTTGTAGACTCAGTTTTCTTTTTAATTTTGTATTCAATGTGAAGTTATTACTAGTTTTATGCGATCGGAATCAACGCTCGTTTGGCTTTCGGTCTTAAGTTTCAATTGTGCGGCGTCTTGGTGCATTTCGAGAATTCTCAATTAATCGGATGACTTTCCCCTTTGAACAATAATTTTCATACTATTTTTACGGTAAATAAAACATTGTTGTGGTGCTCTTAAGATATTCGATAAATGTACGATTCTTTCGCTTGTTTAAGTAAATTCCGTTAGTCTCGTGAACTTTTACGTATATATGGAGGTCGACTCATTATAAGAATGCAAATGACAATGGTATCAGGATTAACACACGCATAACATTTTTTTAATATTATGAAATCAAAAAAAAAACATATAATATTTGGTCATCGCGTAAATCTACCCGCTCGTAAATCTACACTGGTTACGATATACTGAAGGCCACGCCCCCATCAAGTCGTTAGACGCCGACAATAATAAAAACTAATCTAATTGTGAAATAATCGACTTGCTGCTCTTTCGATGATTTCTATTCGGTCAATAACGCGGTTCTTCACCTGAAATATAAATAAATAATGAATGCATAAACGCATAAGAAAAAAAAGAAACGAACAAGTTACAATAACGTTAATAAGTTGATAAGCTCGAGGCAAAAATTGTCGAAAATGATATTTAAAATGATTTTTTTCGAAAAATAGATAGTTTCTTTTCATATAAAACAATTTTCTTTGAATAATATACAAAAAATATTACTATTACACCTTTTCAACAAAAAAAAAATACATAAAACCATAAATTCGCCAAGAAAACACAAAAAAAAACGAAAAAAATTAAATAAATAAATTTTAGTTTAGATTACTGTAGCTCTTATTGAACTGTGCGACTCGGTGTACGCACACAATACATAGGATATCGCTGCTGTTTTTCACATTCCTCATTTTTCAACAATATTTATTTTATTTAAGTTCAAGCTTTTGGAAAGGTGAAATTTTATTCAACAATCAAAAGCCGTTGCTATTTCAGTATTTCACGCAAACATGAGGAGTTTTGATTCCATTTTTTGCCATTTTTGATAACTAATTATTATTGTCCCGGATGGATTCTTCTAGAGATAATTAATTCGATCCAATGATCGATTTCATCCTCTCGATTCGTAATTTCTTCCACCAATTCTAAAATTGAATTTAAGGTATTTTTGAACAGTCTTACTGTAATTATACATGCTCCCATTTATTGTTAAATTTTTCGTATTTTTTAATGACCAATTCGCATAATTTCCAAAAATCAAGGCATCAATTAGAGTAGACAACCAGAAAATGACAGATTTCGGTACAATCGTTGTCCTCATTTATTGGTGGTTTAGTTTCAACTAGTCCGTTTCTAAAAAAGAAAATGTGTCGGCAGGTGGAATTTTTTTTTGATTTTCACCGTGGGAAACTTCTGTCGATTTATTTGGTATTTTGACCATCAAATGAATGGTCTCAAATCAGTTAAATCGAAAAATAATAAGAAATTCCATAAAGTTTTGATCGAATATGTCGAAATTGCACGGTGAAGCTTAAAATTGAGTTGTGCTGATATAAATGATTTGGAAAAAAAAAAAGATTGAAATCGGAAGTTTTTAGATAAAAATACTAAATAAAATACTAAATAAATTCCTAGAGTTTATTTCCAAAAAAAAGTTTCTATTCTGTTATTTTGCCATTTTTGATAATTAATTATTATATGTCCCGAATGGCTTCTTCTAGGGACAATTAATCCGATCCACTAATCGATTTCATCATCTCGAACTGTTTTGTTTTCAATTTTGGTGTTCAGCTTTTAAGTGTGAAATTATGTATTATTAAGCATTGATAATGTAATTAAATATTTTCTGGTTTTTTTTTCTCATTTTGCGATTTAGTGACCGATTCAAGAATTTAACCATTCACCCTATCACGAATGACAGATTATAGTAGACAGTCAGAAAATGACAGATTACGGTAGAATCGTTGTCGTCATGGATTTTTGGTTTCAACTAGTCCGTTTCTAGAAAAGAAAATGTGTTTGAATAAACTTCTTGCTGGCGTCACTATCGCTCAAGGAGGTGTCTTGCCAAACATTCAAGCCGTCCTTTTGCCAAAAAAGACTGCCGATGAGAAATAAATTGAATGCGGTTTTAATCTTTGAAATGTACACATCTTCCCACTAACTTATTCTGTTCCTAACCGATCCCCCAATATATGACCGTAATAATTATGCACATTTCCGGTAAAATAAGAAAATTGTTAAAATACATAAAATCTATTCTTCGTAGAAAATTTGTGTTTTTTTTTTGCAATTCTCAAGTAAATGAAAATCAATCGGATTCGAAAATAATCTCTTTTTCAATATAAATCGAATGTAAATTAATCTGTTTCGAGGTATACCAAAATCTCAATCGAATACAATTTCAAAATTGAGAATGAGAAAAGAAAAAAATTAAGCGTTTTCTTAATCGCTTTGAATTATTTTTCATTCGAAACAGGTTAATTTATCATTAATTTTTCTTCGAATCCGATTAATTTTCATTTACCATTGTTTTTTTTTTGAATAAAAAATCTGCGAAAAATTCGAAACATTTAAAAATTCTGCGAAAAATTCAAAACTTATTGCAGTCGCAAGAAACGAGTAAAGAATTGTGGACCATCGCACTTTGGTGAGGCGGTAATTTAAATCTAAATTCAAACAATAATAATTTGGGTACCAAAAAACGTTTTTACATCGAAAGCTATTTATTTGAATTTTTACAGTCTATTAGTATTATTCTTATTTAAGAGCGTTCTTTTTTCTCACACATTTATTAAGATTATATAACAATTTGAAATACATGAGTGGTGTGCTTCGAATAATCTTGATTCAAATCGGATTTTGGGCCCAAGGTCATTTTTCCTGTGTTCCAAATTCGCATCGTATATTCCCTATATGGCCGATTGGCAAAAATCATGAACACCGTGGAAAATGGACCATGCAATGAGACGAATAGAACAGCGAGGTTGTTGAGGGCTGCAAAAATCGAGGTTCTAACTCGGAATTGAATGCTCGATACGGCTCTCGTGTGGCTTAGTGGTTGAGATTTTCGAAAATCACAAACTGCAGGTGATATATAATATGTATAGTAACGATTACCTTGATTATAATATGATTGCATGATTAATACAACCACAACATACGTGGCAGGTACTCCTAGCAGAATAGAAATGAAAATCGTCTTCAATTTTCAGTAGTAAGAAAGAGGGACGAAATTTAGACTTACATGAAGTAGAATTGCAATAAAGCTCGATTTTTGCATTTTTTGCGTTTTCAGCGACATCGTCAAGAATTGAAGCTCATAGTTGAGAAAGTAAGAGATTCTGATCGCGTAAAATAAAATATTGCAAAATAAAAAAATCGTGAAGATTATGATGAACAGAAGTAATGAGATGCCACCAGGAATAACAAAGTGATCGGGTTCGAAGAACAATTCAATTGGGCATGGAATGACTCGGAGGCATTCGAGTTTTGCCTTTTCCTGATCAAGATCAAAGAAGATCAGCGGTAATAACACAAAGCACGAGTACATGTAACAAAGGGCTTGGTACAGTAATCTCGTGGTGGGACGCGTCATTTTGTATTTCGTCTGAACGATCGCGGAATATCGATTCTCAAACAATAGTATGATAGCAACAGCGGTGTCTGTAATGTGACTTCTAAGGGGAAAATGATGAAGACGCCAACTTGTAAGAGGAATCTGCCCACTAAAAATCTGAAGCCATAAAGGAACTTGAAACAATCGCAACAATCCTAATACGGCGCCTGAGTTACACGGAACAAAAGCAATGGGCGTCACGAGAAAGCCGAATGCCAAATCGGTGACGGTGTTCCTGCAACGGATCAGGTTATGCAAGTTATGTAAAAATGAAATACCATATTTGCAATTCCATCAACGGCTTCACAATCTTTTGCATATTCTTCGGAGTTTTCGTCAAGATGAGAAAAAATGAGTATAATTGAATCGGTGTCGATATAGCCGTGAATATATGAGGAGTATTAATGGCGAATTGCCAAGAAGCCATGAAACTATCATCTCTGGGACATTTTGAGTAATTCGTTCTATAATAACTCTCCATTGTTAAGCAGCAATAATTTAGATCTTACAACATAATACATCGACGTCATATCAAGGATTTCTCGGTACAGGTGAATTCATAAGTTGTCGATTCTCAAAAAATGTTAGACATCTCAGGTAAATGAAAATCAATCGGAATCGAATGTAAATTAATCTGTTTCGAGTTATTCCAAAATTTCAATCGAATTCGATTTCATAATTGAAATTGAGAAAAGAAAAAAATTAAGCGTTTTTTTCAATTTGCAATATCTTATTTTACGCGATCCGAATCTCTTACTTTCTCAACTATGAGCTTCAATTCTTGACGATGTCGCTGAAAACACAAAAAATTCAAAAATCTAGCTTTATTGCAATTCTACTTCATGTAAGTCTAAATTTCGTCCCTCTTTCTTACTACTGAAAATTGAAGACGATTTTCATTTCTATTCTGCTAGTAGTACCTGTCACGTATGTTGTGGTTGTATTAATCATGCAATCATATTATAATCAAGGTAATCGTTGCTATACATATTACGTATTGTTCAGAGTTGGACGGAATTCTTAATTGACCTAATTTCATTCCGCATTCGAGAAAACAATTTTTTCGGCCGATAGCAGGTTCCGAAAATTTGCGTAAATTCCTCTGTCTGGCATACATGCTATTTGACACACATTTGCAGACTTTACATGCTTTCTTTATTTCGTCCAACTATAGTATTGTTAAAGAAATTGCGAATACCGTGGTACTTAGAGTACTGTAAAAAAAAGCAAATCATCCCACATGATGTTTTCGAGACACGATTCGCCGCAACGCCGGTGTGACCTAGAAAAATGTCTTAGAAATAGTTTCGGCCACGGCCACAATTGATGGAATAATTATTCTAGTACTTTCATGATTTTTGCCAATCGGCCATATAGGGAATATACGATGCGAATTTGTAACACAGGAAATATGACCTCGCGCCCAAAATCCGATTTGAATCAAGATTATTCGAAGCACACCACTCATGTATTTCAAATTGTCATAAAATCTTAATAAATGTGTGAGAAAAAAGAGAACGCTCGAAATGCCTTAAATAAAAATATATAAAAAAAATTTTATTTTAACACTTTTCTTATTTTACCGGAAATGTGCATAATTATTACGGTCATATATTGGGGGATCGGTTAGGAACAGAATAAGTTAGTGGGAAGATGTGTACATTTCAAAGATTAAAACCGCATTCGATTTATTTCTCATCGGCAGTCTTTTTTGGCAAAAGGACGGCTTGAATGTTTGGCAAGACACCTCCTTGAGCGATAGTGACGCCAGCAAGAAGTTTATTCAATTCCTCATCGTTTCTGACGGCCAATTGAAGATGACGTGGATTGATTCTGGTCTTTTTGTTGTCACGAGCGGCATTTCCAGCCAACTCGAGGACTTCAGCGGCGAGGTACTCGAGAACAGCGGCGAGATAAACCTGAATGCAAGCAATTCTTGATTTTCATTAAAAATTCGATTTCACGTCAAATATTTCAAAATGGAAACGTAAAGACTTACCGGAGCTCCAGCTCCTACTCGTTGAGCGTAGTTTCCCTTACGGAGAAGGCGATGGAGACGTCCGACCGGGAATTGAAGTCCCGCGCGGGACGATCGAGATTTGGCTTTTCCTCCGGTCTTTGCTTTTCCACCTTTTCCACGGCCAGACATACTTGAGCTGCAAATCAATAGGATTAATGGAGAAACTCGGTGCGCATTAAAAACGCTGCGAACACGCGAGACACGAGGAACACACGAATCGATTGGGGCTGCAAAACGCATATTTATACCAAAGCCCCGGCGGCGCCGCCTGCCCTCTCCGCGGAGGGGGCGGGAAGAAAAAGGCGGCGCCCTCCGCGCTTACATATATATAGCGATGTTATTGACAGGCGCCCGCATTTTACATTAAACGCATATTCGAAGATCATGCCACCAAAGCCGTCAGCCAAGGGAGCCAAGAAAGCCGCCAAGTCGCAAAAGCCAAGATCCGAGAAGAAACGTCAACATAAGAGAAAGGAGTCGTATTCAACCTACATTTATCGCGTTTTGAAACAGGTAAAATCGATTTTTGAAAAAAATAATAAAACGCGAAATATTCTTTAGGTCCACCCGGATACCGGAGTTTCTTCAAAAGCCATGTCGATTATGAACTCGTTCGTCAATGACGTGTTCGAGAGAATCGCCGCGGAAGCTTCCAGATTGGCGCATTACAACAAGCGTTCAACGATCTCGTCGCGCGAAATCCAAACCGCCGTTCGGTTGATCTTGCCTGGAGAATTGGCGAAGCATGCTGTTTCGGAAGGCACCAAAGCCGTCACCAAATATACTTCAAGCAAGTGAATTATCATTCATATTGAATTCATTATCAATGCTTTATTGAATGTATTATAATGCCTACTAATTAAACATAAATTATTAAATATTTTACGCGTGTTTTGTTATGTTGGAGGAATGTTCCCCTCCGCACCTGGCGCGTCTTCGCACATTTTCGCGCCAAAACGCCCATCTGTGGAGTATAAAAGGGGAGGTGGTGGTCATTCACACCAGAACACCCGCTATTCGTCGCAATGGCTCCGAAACACTCCAAGAGGTCGCAGAAACTTGCTCTCGACCCCAACCAATTCGCCAATCTTCTTCAAGAGGTATGCAATTTTTCTGTCGCTGTGTCGTCGTTTATCGATTACGTTGCTAGGTTGCCGGACAACTTCCCGCTGGTGTTCAATTAGACGACTCTGTCCTCAAAGCCCTCAAAGAGGCGACTAACTCGCATTTGAACGAAATAATGAAGGAAAAGAAAAGTGAAGATAAGAAAGAGAATGCGGAGAATCAAAAGACACAGTCATAATTCTGCTGTATTCAATTTTTGTAAATAAAAACTTCCTTTTCGTCTCTTTTTGGTTGAATTTCACAAAAAACAAAGACACAGCGTTTTCAAAAATTAGGAAACACGCCAACAACGGTTCACTGGCGCGTTTGTTGTGGGCGCACTGCGTTGAGGTGTCGCGGAGCGGGGGTTCAATTTGACTCCGCCCATTTTCGAAAGCGCCGCGTTTCAACGCATTTTTCTCTTTCATTTACTCGTCATCCGAATATGTCAGGACGCGGAAAAGGTGGAAAAGGGCTCGGAAAAGGTGGAGCGAAACGCCACAGAAAAGTTCTTCGCGACAATATCCAAGGAATTACCAAGGTTGGTTGAATTCAGATTTTTTTTTAAATATTATATCTGTATATTTCTCAAAATCGATATTTTCAGCCGGCTATTCGCCGCCTTGCGCGTCGCGGTGGCGTCAAACGCATTTCGGGATTGATTTACGAAGAAACTCGCGGTGTTCTCAAAGTGTTCCTCGAGAATGTAATTCGAGATGCTGTCACCTATTGCGAGCATGCTAAGAGAAAGACAGTTACTGCCATGGACGTCGTCTATGCTTTGAAACGTCAGGGAAGAACGCTCTACGGTTTCGGTGGATAATAATAATAATAAAATAATGAATCTCCATGTAAATTTAACAAAATTGTATATTAACTTCATTTATTTTTCTTCTATTGACGAGAAATAAACAATTTCTTACTACAATCTTTCCCTTTTGTAAATTCCATTAAAAGTAATTTTTATATACACTAGCATAATGGTGACCAGAAATATAAGAGACCCCGAGGAAGCAAAATACAATTTTTCATTTGAAATAATTATTAGACAGATTCGGCGGTGTCAGAGCTCTTCGAGCTCGGTAGAATTTTCGCACGATCGTCTTTTGAATCGTTTTCGTCGGTTCGCTTGTCCATAACCCTTTTCTGGACGTAGGTGTACATTCCGGAGCCGACAAGGACCACGATATTACTGGCCCACCATAATAGGGTCTTCACCTCGCTGTACCAAACAACAGCCATCACGGTTTGAGCGGCAGCTTTTGCGGTTCCCGAGATATTGTGGGTTAGAGGAGACGTTGCCTACATTGGCATTTTCAGAAAAAAGTATTTTACATTTTCAAATTTTACCTGAATCTGCCATCCTGTTACGTATCCCATCATGAAGCCAAAAATTCCGGAAATTGTCATCAGGATCCAGAAGGTCGTGTCAAAAAGACGCTCAAAATAGAAAATCGCTCCAAATTCGCCATTGAATAACATTAGTGGAAGGAAAAGGATCAACGCGTTGAGATTATTGTACATTGTCAACCTCCATAGGCAATCTCCGACCGAAGAAAGCACTTTTCTCGTATAAATCGCGTTGAGAGCAACTGCCAAACTCGCAAGAACTCCAAAAATAACGCCCACTGTAGAAAGAGAGCCTATAAGCTGATGAAAGATAAGAATAATACATAAAAGGAAAAGCTTACCGGAAGCATCCTCTTGATCAACTCCCAAGAAGAAACCAAAAATAATCAACAAGCAGCAACCGATTGCGGGAATTGACGTCTTGTTACCGAGAATGAGGTAGGAGCAAACCTGAAAATTTAAAAATCGGGAAAAGCTTACAAAATATAATATTCATACCACATTGAAAACGGTTGTCAGACTTCGGCCGACGTAGTAAAATGAAACGCCAACGTATTTTAAGCATAAATTGTTGAAGGAAATCATTGCGACGAAGACAACGGAGAGCGGCAGGACCTTAAAATATCTTAATAGCATTTGAAGAGAAAAATGTACAATAACGAACCTCTCTGCTGATTTTTGCGTCCAATGGCATTGAAGGAAACTTGAATGTACCATAGGTTTTTGAAATTTTGCTTAGTGTTATGCACATAATCACAGTTACGAGACATTGATACCAAGTGATGAATAATGGAGCTTCGAGCTGAAAATTTAAATTATATTTCTTGAACTAAGTTGTGAATAATGCCTACTTTTACGTTAGATAATAAATATTTATTGAGGAACACGAGACCAATAGAGAAAATCCTAAAATAATTATATTTTCCAATAAAAATTGAAATAATAAAATATTTACCAATAGCAGGAAACCGCAGTGATGACTTTCCTGTAGCTCTCCCAGCGTGTTAAACATTCTTTACTTGCCATTTTTGGTTTAAACCTGCAAAAACAAATGTATAGGGGTGTGCCAGCTAAATTAGCAAATTTGACGTGGAAATAATGACTCGGCCGCCAAATTGGGTAGTTATGTGAACGGCCACGGCCATCAAAATTCTAGGCCATCACTAATTTTTGAACGTTATATTTAGCAAAATCGCGCAAAAATTTGCCAACAATTAAAAATTTTTGTATAATCTTCAAAATGAACCTAAAATGAATTATTTATAATACATAAAAATGATATTCACCAAAATTTTTGAAAAGTTCCTGTGCCAATTGATACTAGTCATGTTTCAATCTTTTTCATCCTTCCTTTTATCGAAAAAAGTCTTTTATTCAAGTCTACCATTTAAAGCACATATTATATTCATAATTATATGCTGTTTTCAAGTTCTCATTGGCCTTGAGCGCCATTTTTGTTTGTTCTGTTTGATATTCTCTCACATTTATTATTCAAATTACATTTCAAAGAATCGGTTTTTATTAATCATTTAATCAATCCAAATGTTCATTTTAAACGAAACATTCATCTCACGCGGACCTCTTAGAAATGTTTATCCTTCGAACACTTGAACACCACGGTCGATGATCGATGCACGGTGTAAAACCAATGAAGCGCAGCTGAGAAGCACTTAAGTTGCTAGTTCAATTCTTACTTTCCACTGTTTTTCATTAAAATTAAATATTCTTCTTTGAAATTAATTGTTTTAAAACTTGATATTAATATAAAAATTGGATGAAATTGTACAAATTAAGCGCATAAATTTTCGATCCATTAGGAAGAAATATTTTATTTCTTTAAAAATTGAAAAAATTAAATAATAATGTAAGAAATGAAAAAAATCAAATTTTTTTGCATTTTAATAAAAATCATAAGTCCGCAATTTTGCGACTAGTTCCATTGCAGACGCGCTACTGTCCCATGTTGCTGAAAAATTAATATTATCGATTCTCCAGTTTTTTTTTAATTAAATGCTCATAGCTTCTCCTTCGCAATTGCAAAATAACAAAAATATATAAATAAAACGGAGAGAGAGACTCTCGCTTTCAATATTGCTCGACGCTTCTCTCTGCTCTCTCCGCGTTGATTCCACACATTGCTGCACACCCTACTACGTTTCTATTATACTGCGTATCGCCGCCCGCCGCATTGCCTTCATGTTCACTTGTCGGTCGGTCTCCGTCGTTTTCTGAGGCAATATAGCGGATGGGTAGCGGCATTTTATCAAATTTGTCTTCGCGTTGTTTTTTTTTAAACTCTACCTACCAATTTACATTCCTCCATTGTTTTCTTTACTGGTTTCGGCCACATACGGTATTACATTGCGTAATTGCAGAATGGCGGGTATAATACGACGTTTGAGACGTGCCAACAAAAAAGCCGCGAAATTTCGCTTCACCGTCACTTTACAGGCGAGACTCACCAAATTTTTGATTGACACCGATTATAATACGATTTCAGGAATTGAATGTTTGTACCGACGATTCATGGACACCCGAAATGCTGGTCGTTTCATTCATGCATAGGTAAAATTTGATAAAGTTTTCAACAAAAAAAACGAAGCGAAATCGGCATTTCCTTATTTTTTCGATTAAAGGCGTCGTCGAATTGCATCGAAAGAGAGAAAATGGGAGCCATCATTCTCAAACAACTCAAAATGTGTACTAATGTGGCCGGATCAGATGGCGGAGAATGTCGAGATTGTCACGACACTCTATCGTTCACCTGGTGATGATCAGTACGAAGATAAAGTGAGAATTGTTTCCTTAAATTGGTTAAGAGTAAAATTTCTACGAAATTTCAATCAACGGAACCCCTATTTATAGAATCTTCAAAGGATTTTTAATCAAATCCTTAAGAAAGCAAACATTCAGCAAAAAATTTGAATTTTCAGGAATGGACCATTGTTGTCGAAGAGATTACCGCAAAGGGTAAACGAAAAGCCATTGCCGCTGTGCCTTTAAATGTACGGTTATTCATACTGGATCTGCCTGAGCATAAAAGCGAGCTCAAGCTTAAACTCAGGCCTCTAACCCCTCATCTCCAACAAGCTTCAATAGTTATTTTGTTAGGAAGCACAATGATTAAGGAATTGGCGTAAGTTGAAGTTTTGATTGTTATGAATTTCATGGGAATGATTAAAGTGACGATGAAGTCAGCATGTCATCATCAATAGCAACATCGGCAATCGAGAAGCATCCGGTTGATGAGATTGACGCTGTCATAGTAAACAACCAAAAAGTACAAGGTATTCCCATTTTTGGAAAATATGAAGCATTTCATTTTGAAACCCTTTTCAGAAGCTCGAAAAGAAATCGAAGCGGTGTCAAGTCAGATAAATGATTGGACTCATCATGAATCGACTAACAAGCACACCGAGAATACTCAAGAACCGAAAGCCGCTAAAGGTAGATCCTACCGACATCGTTTTTTTAAAGTTTTAAAATTTTCTGTTTAGTTCGACCCCTTTGGCGAATATCAGCCGAGGAGGAAAAGGAAAATGTGAAACGGCAAAGTCGAGTGGGCCGTGAGAGCTCGGAAACCACCACGAGATTCGAGGTCGATCGCAATTCTCGACCGATTCCCGTTCCAAGCAATGATACGCCTGTTGTGAAGAAAACTAGTCTAAACGCTGGAACTCTACCGAGAGGGTAACTTTTTTGTTATTGCTTAATGAAATTTTCGATCAATGACAAGTATTTAGACGCTCGCATTCTCCGAGAGCTCCATCACGCGATGCTGCTCCCGCTCCAATTGTTGGCGAGACATTATTGGCATGGTGCCAAAGGATAACCGATGGCTATTCGAATGTTAAAATCGCCGATTTCACGTGAGCCCACATTTTGTATTAATTTGGTCATTTGTGGAAAAATGTAAATTGCAGAAAATCGTGGCGAAACGGGCTTGCATTTTGTGCCGTCATGCACACTTATCGTCCGGATCTCATCGGCGGATTCGAGCTTCTCGATTTCTCCGATCGCGTCGACGGACGTAAATCGAACATCAAAAAGGCGCTGTCGGCCGCCCAAATGATGGGATTGAATGATGTGCCGGACGAGAACGATATTTTGACTCCCGACAAGGCGGCTATCGAATTATTCCTTCAAAAGTGGGCGCTCTAAAATTTGTCTTATTTTTCCTGACAATCATTGAAATTCAGACTCCGGCGTATCTTCGAAGGTAATTTCGAGGATGCCACCCCAACAAGCGCTTCAGATCATCGAATCTCGAAGATGTTCGGAATATCGGAAACCGAGCAGAAGGTTGTCGATATGATCAATGAAATCAGAGAGAAGAAAGATATGGAAGACGCTGTGGACTACTCGAATGTTGAGGTATCGGCAATTTTATTGAATTCCGCGAACATTTTTGTTCAGGAAACCGACCAAAACGGTGATAATTTCACGACACCGTCAAAACCGATAGCATTGAATGATTCGGATGATGATTATGCCGCGGAGAAATCGAACGTGTTCTTCCGCGATGGAAATATGATAACCATGGTGACGCCGGGATTCACCAATCTTCGAGCATCGGTAGACGTCTCTACGATCTGCGCGATCATTCGTTGGTTCGCACAATTTTCAGGGTCGACAAGCATCACCATCAAAACGCGATGAATTGCGTCGTCGCGCTCGCGAGATGCTCGACAAATCGTCGACGCTGCCGTCGAGCGGCTTCACAACGCCGGCGGAGCGCAAAAATAGCGACGAGGAGAAGCGGCGCGAAACCGCGCGCAAACTACTTGAAAGCGCCAATCGCAATGGTAATTTTCGAGCACTTTATTTTTGAACGAATAATTTTAACGCAAAAATTAATTTCTCTCTTTCTCCCAAAATTGTGAAGTGTTTGTGAATTTCCTTTTTACAATTTAATCCAGCAACTCCATATTCGTCATTGCGCGGTCCAAAATCTGGATTGAATGGATCGGCGACGGATCTCAGGCGTGTTGGTTCGTGCCCTTCTCATATTGTTTGTTGTGATTCTTGTGGTGTGTCGTTTCAGAACTCGTTCGGCCCTCAATCGACGTTCACCGCTTCAAAAAACGCGACCCATCGCCGATTCTCGTCCGAAAAGCATGTATGAACTATATTTTTTCTAGTTAACTTCACATTATTAATGCAATACTTGTGATTGTAAATAGAGAAAATTCAAAAAAAAAAAACGAAACAAGTTGATTTGATTTTTTTGTGGTGTGTTTGTCTTTGAAATTTTTACTCCAGTAAAAAAAAGGGAAAATATGATGAAATCTTAATGGATAAAAAAGAGCTAAAACTTTTTTTTTTGGGCATTTCGCAATTTGATCTCATTGGCGGGATATTTAGAAATTTTGGCTCGACTCTCGCAAAATACAATGAATCAAAATGAGCAAAATCGACTATCACTTTGAATCTAAAGTTAACTTTTTAAAATTTCAGATGATCCAAACGATTCGCCGCAGATTCCTGCTATCAGCCGTTCGGCGAACAATGGAAGTCGGGTGAGTTGTCTTGAAATTCGCTTCTCGTTGTTGTGACTTTATGTTAAACATGTCACCCAATTGCTGAAAAAAAAACGAAACAAGAATTAATCAACATCGTCGGTCCACTTCTGTTTCGATAATCGCTTTCAAAAACCAGAACAACAACAACAACAACAAAAAACCTAATCTCTGTCTGTGCTCGTTGCTCATTTTTTCGTTGTGACACCATTTCAGAATCGTCTTGATGAGCTGGCTTCATCGCTGTCGTTCGATCGCGTCAAACGGTATGGTAGTATGCGAAGTGCCGAACTCCGCGAGACCCTTCAACAACTCGCCAAACAATACGGATATGGGGTTTGTATCACTGTAGTATTACTGTAACTATCGGTGACAGCTTGATCTAATTATTACCGCTATTATTTGTGTTATCGATTTTAATCAATTTCTTTTAATCAAATTATTGAATTCAAAAAGGTAATTGCGATTTTAAGGCGTCTCAAGAATATTTGGCAACGCCGACGAAAAAGTTTTCGTCGCAATGGGAGGTAGGAATTTTTGAAGATCATTTTTTATTTAAATTTTGGCATTGTTTTTTTCCAGAAAGACGTTGATGATGTTGAGGGGACTGCCATCGAGCAGGAAAAAATTGAGCAGCGGATAGCGGATGTTGAAGAGCAATCGAAGGTAGATCAAATCAAATCAAAACGAAAATTGAGACTCGGCGGCTTTCATTTCTCAATTTTAGGCGATTTCCAACAAAATTCGAGATACCGAAAAAGGAAGCTCGGAAGAGGAGACATTACTCGAGACATTCATGCGATTGACGAATGAGAAAAACACATTAGTTGGACGCCAAGAGTATTATAATATAATAGAGCAGATACGGTAACTTAATTGGTCCCAATTGCCGATCATTATCGTTTCTGTACGGAATTCAGGCAGACGACAATGCAAATCGATGAATACGCGCACAAATTGGATGAATTGACGAAAAACTCGGATGATTATAATAAGAGCGCGGATGAGAAATCGGCGACTGATATGCTCATGGACACTTATAAGAAAGCGTTGGATCAGAAAAGCACGTTGGTGCAGAAATTGTTTGCCACTGAGGAGGAAATGTAAGATATTGATTAATTGAAATTTTCCGCTGTTGCTGGTCCGTTAATCTCAAGGGTTCTCGTTTTTTTTTGCTCTTCGGTGATAATGTTCTGTTGCGGAAAGCAAAAACCACTACTAGAATGGGTCGCTGTGAAACTCGGCGCGAAAACTATGTGCGCTTGAACTACCCTATCAAAAATAATTATTTTTTCTAACTTTAAAACCTTCTCAGATTTGTCCTAAAAATCATTGACTTCGGCTCAGGTGTCCAATTTTGCATTTTTGATTTTTTTCTTACTTGACGAAATTTAAAAAAAATTATTCGCTATGTGCTAATGCGTCTCGAGGCAACGAGAATTACGCGAGACTGCGTACATTGCGTTATAGTATACGCGCATTTAATATTCAGTCAACGATAAATTTAATACGACACGGAATTCGCGAATTTGAAGGCCCCGCCTCCCTTCAGTCGTTTGACGCCGACAATAAATATGTATAAGGGTGTTCTAATGAAAATTCCCATTATCACGAAATTCAAATAAATGACAGAATATGGAAACCCATTTTTTCAGAAGCAGACAAAAAAAGCGGTCTTTGCATTTCTGAATTCTATGGAATTTTTTGCCAACTCATCCCCTGCCTTTAAAGGCTCATTCGATTTTTATTATTTTTCTTTGCAGACATGAGGATGAAGAACGGCTAAACAATTTAACATTGGAGCGGGCTTCACGATTTGTTCGAGGAATCGATCAACCGGTGTCAGCATCGAAACGATTAATGCAATGGTGGAAGAAGTAGGACATTCAAAAAAAAAAAATACAACAATGCTATTATATACGGGTAAAACTTGCGTCTTCTTTAACATTTCGCTTTTTGTTCAATTTCTTTTTTCTTCTTCTCAACCCTACCTCTATCTTGCCCTTTACGTTCGATGCTATTTTTATCGGTGTTAATAATGCGCAAAATAGAGTTAATTTGTATATTTAGAGTGTATGTGATTCATGATTCTTCGATGTTTCTTTTTCCGTCGGCCAATGAAGCTTTAATAGAAATCCCAATGCATTTATGCACACACGTCGAATCATGAGATCAAATCGAATCGGAGAGAAGCGGTGGCTTTCGAGACGACAGAGAAGCATCGCGCCTCATCTGCGTCTCGTTTACATGATATGTATATGCTTACAATGGTTTCAAACAGAATGTCCAAAAATAAATAGAAACGTACAAAATAAAACCCGTCGGAAAGAAACATGGAACGAGCGAATTCTAGGCTAGACATTCGGTTTTTTCTACTTTTTATCTACCCAAAATTATCAAGTGTCAGTCGGAAGCTCGCCAATGTCTTCATCGAACACCTCCTCGCACGCCAAACTGACAAGTCCGATCTCCTCATCGGGAGTCAACTCAGGCGATGATTTGCTGAAGTGAAACAGTGCCGTTGTGGATTGAAGAAGTCGACTCACTAGCAATCAGCCGATTCGGATTGTGTTCGAGCGTCGCGAATTTGCGGTAGATGAAGGCGCGCCGAGCACGTCGCCGGCTCCGAGTTCTCCATTGCGTCGTTCGTCGAAATCGACGAGACGGTTCGACCGCGAGAAGCTCGCCGATTCGAGCCGCCGCTGCTGCAAATTCACAATTCTCATTCTCTCTCTCTCTCCTTCTGAATTCGATCTAGGCATTAATTATTACTTGCATGCGCTGAACAATTTATTCTTGACACTTCCACGAGGGCTTGAGAGCCATTCAGCCGCTCGTGTCAAATTATTTCCATTCTTCCTGAAAAAAAAAAACAGGAAGATCAAATGTCAGAAATCGGCGTTTTTTTTACCGTCGACATTCCGCCACAGCATTCAGCTTGCAATAGCTGTGAACTGCAAGGCCGCAATCTTTGCATTTGAAACCTTGCCGAATGAAGCCCCACAACTACAAAAGAAGAAATTCATTTTCTGTTCTTTTTCGTGTTTATAAGCTTGCGTACCACTTTATTACAATGACTACATGTTGTCGGCGCGAGAAATGTGGTCTCATGGAAATTGTGCTTGAATCCGCGCCGCAAATCTTTCGATTCCTTGTTAGCGGCGATGAAGTACGTTTCAAGCTCGGATTTCGATATTTGCCCGTCTCGATCCGAATCTACAATACGCATGTTGTCAAAGTGGAGCGATTTCATGAAAACAAACAGCGGACTTCGGAATTTTTGTGTCGAGGTTGGATACGATTCGCGCCATAACCCGACGCGCAAATGCAGAGTAGGCGCCTTTTAGCTACAGTATCCAATTTTTTCGATTATTTAAATCTCACGAACATGATGTCGAATGCATTGAAAATTACAGCAGATCAAAAGCCTAAGCGAAAAATTTCTTGATTTCACGCTAAGATCAAAAATGGCTAACGCGTTTGATCATTCAAACTTGTCCAATTTGTCCGTCTTCGACAATACCATATTTCAGGACGAATAACCTGCATTTTTGCGTCGGGTGTTGGCGGGAACTGTTTCAAAACACTTTGTTATTTTTTTGCAATGAAAACGCTACGAAATCGCGTTGGCTGAATATTAAAGATATGCATAATTACAGTATACATTAAGAGTGCATTCAAAAATTTTTGCTAATTTCGCGTTCTGCGTCTTTAAAAAATATTTGATAAATAAAATTTGGATAAAAAACTGTACCAATATTCACGAAAGACTCAATGAACGGAAAATTGCCGGCGATTTGTCGAAACTCGTCCTGCGAGATGAACCCGTCGCGATCATGATCGTAGTGTTTGAACACCGCGTCGACCATTGCCGCGATGTGCTTGGAAACCGTCGCCGAGTCCGGCGCCACCGTCACCCCGGAAGCCCATTCGGCGAACACGACGCCGCGTGACGGCTCGAACTAAAATGAACTCATCCATTATAACAATGAATCGGTAAGTAAAACATACCGTCATGAATGTCTTGGGCTCACGGCGAAGTGACAACTCGTAAATATCATCATCATTATAGCACATATCCAAAGATACCTGAAAATTGGTTGGTTAAATATACCAACCGGACAATAATATTTCTGTTTTTTTCTGCTAGCTTAATTACCTACCTTCAAAGTATTAATCAAATCCACATTCATGTCCGGCAAATTGTGTGGCTTTTGATTGAATACCAAAAAATTGGCGAGCAATTCCGACAGCTTGATCAACCTTAAATAGACATCTTTATCAAAAAATTATTCATGAAAATGTGCCACTTTTCTTTGCTGATACTCTTGGTCTTCTCGAAATTCGCACCACTGCAATTAATCGCGACGAGATCCTTCAAGTGAACTCCTCTGAAAACTTCGTTGCACGCGAAATATCAATTTTGCGAATCTTACATTATTGGGATACGGAATTTCTTATGGCATTGCGCCAATGCTTTTCGATATTCGGCAAAGTTGTGAGCCGTCGACAACAGACATGTCAACTGGGTCAAGTCTTTTCGGATGTCGTTCGGAAGAACCGCGTGCGTCTTGGCGAGACGAGCCACCGATGAATGAGTGATTCCGCCGACCACCGACATCAGCGTATTGAAGTTGTTAATTTTTCGCAGATGCTAACACCGAAATGATTAATTTCTTCAATTATTTCAACAATTTACCTTGGCGACATGGACAAACTTCACGAGAATCTCGGCCCTTTCTTTTGGTGTTGTTTTATTCAGAATCATACACTGAACCCAATTGGACAAATTCTGCAAGAATCTTAAAAATTAGCCAAAAACAATTTTTTGAAAATGACTTACATTAAACACTGATATGCTTCTTTCAAGCATTGGGCAATTCTTCAAATTTCCATCTTTCACATATTGCTTGAGTTCGGTGATCTTAACAATCAAACATTAAAAAACTTAAAGATTATGAGCGAATCTCACTGATATCCGGCTCAAAACACGATAATCGATGTGTGATAACGCCGTCGAGATGTCAGAAGCCGAAGCTTGAACGAATGACAACGAAAACGCCGTCTAAATATTAAGATTTGTCAAATGAGAAAAAAAACGTCGAGTTTTGTTTGAAACCTGTTTGTTGAGCGGGTTTCTCACGGAAATTGCACGGAGCCAAGCAAACGAGGGCCTGAAAATAAAATGAATTTAAAAAACATGTGTTTTTAATTTTTGACGGCTCACAATGAGCTCACGTCGAGTCCATTGCGAATCGTTTCATTCACATTTTCGGCGATTGTTCGAAGACGCACAACCTCAAAAATTATTGGGAAAACATTGCTATTTTTGAAAATTGACGTTATTACCTGTGCACACACTTGCGGCTGAGCATCAAAATGCATTGGAAACTTTTGAATCCAATAGGCAACTGCACGACATACTGCCTCCCTAACACGAATCTCACGGTTTTCCTTCAAAAATTAAAAATAAAATAGTTTCGCAATGGCATGAGAGGGTACCTGATAAAATGTGACAAATTGAGTGATTAGTGTTAAACTATCACTGAGCCATTGATGGCTGAGAAACAACGAATTCGCAAAGTCGATATCCCCAACCTCGCCATTCTCATCAACGTCTGAAATTCGATTATTGAAAAAAAATGTGTTAATTTGCGTGACGATGATTGCAGACAATGTTGATAACCGAAGCGCAGCGCAATTATTTCAATTTGATTTATTGGAGACGTGCGCGAACGCGAGAAATAAAAAAAAACGATCCGTTGGAATTGGATTCCATCATCAATCACATTGGGTGTGAATTGTCCAACCAATTTACATAATCGACTGCGCGGCGGGTGAAAAAACTCACAATTTCACGAATCAAAGCGAATTAAAAAAACCTACAAAACGATTGAACGCATTCCGCGATGAGTTGCTCAGCGTCGAGTTGATCTACATTGCTTGTCGTCGCGGCGCCGCTCATTGTCGTGTGGTGGCGCGGGCGCGTCGTCGTCGTCGTCGGCTCCGGCGAACCGGCGACCACAGATTCAAAACAATTCTTGAAAAAAATAATTCGAAAATCAAATCGAGCGTTTCAGTTGCACACAAAAAAGATTCAAGAATGCAATTCAACTGCCATATTTGGGATTGATTGTGGAAAGCTATTAAATTCAGCAAACAAGAGGCTCAATTAATCCATGGTTACTGTAGAAGCGGGGTTGATTGAATCTCACGAATGAATTTGAGACATTCCGAAATGCGAACTAATGAGTGGCGTGACGAAGAAGATGGCCCGCCCGACGTGGTAGGATGATGAGAAGAGTCCTCTTTTTCGTTTGTTGTTGTTTTGTTGTGTACAGGGATTCCAAAGCATACGAGAAAGAGAGTGCGAGAAGACGAAGAAAGAAGAAGAGGAAGAAGAAGAAGAAGCTGGTCTCGTCCAATTTATAACAAGAAGGCGAAGAAGCGCGACTCGGAAATGAATAGTCGCTGTTGGGAGAAGGGGCACCCCGGCGGCGGCGGCGGCAGCAGCAGCAGCAGCAGCAGCAGCAGCGGCCCTGAGAAGGAGGAGCAAAAACGCGCGCGCGGAGAGGCGTTGCTCCAAAAACGGAGCCGCTAAAAAAATGTGCGAGAGCCAGAAATCGATACTAGGCAGCAGCAGCAGCAGAAGCAGCTAGTAGTAGCAGTAACAGCCGGGAGCCGGAGCACCACCCTTCCCCACATCGAAAAAAAATGTAGAGAAGCCTCGAAATGGCGCGATAGAGAGCGAGAGAGTGAGAAACGGAGTTGTCGATTTCAGAAGCGCGTTGCAGCGACGCCAAACCGACGAAAATAGTGTGCGAGGCGAAGAGACGCAGAATCGGCTCGAAAAAGTACAGTACTCTGACTAAACGATTGAAAAAATTAAGTGACTGACGATTTTCTAGAAATGATGAGCGCTTCCTTGTTTCAGCGAAAAAGAAGGAGGAGAAGAAGAAGACCGCCTCGAGAACATCCCCATCCAAAACCAACGGATAAAATATTCTCGAATATTAATGAGAATGGATATATGAATTTTTTCTTCCTCATCTATTTCTTTTTCCTATTTTGGCGCTGATGGGAGGGGGATTGGCAACTTCAAACTATCAATAGAAAGAAGTGTAAAGCGAAATGAGCTCGAAATCAAAGTTTCGGCTCGAATGCTTCTTGAATGCATACTGAAAACTTTTATTTCTCGAACCGGCTAGAATCGCAATTACTTCGCAAACGCACATTATAACTAATGTTACAGTAGGACATCGCTGAGCATTTGATATGTGACATTCTATATTTGGACGGCCCCTTCTTCTAAACCACGTCATGCCCAAGTACAAACCCGCGAGCGAAATTGAATTTATTACGATTTTTGGGCTTGTGCCTGTTTTACGGGAATGAATGAATATTCGAGATTATATGATTAGCATAGTTAATCTCTTATAGTGAATATCCACTACTGAATAAAAAATAATAATAGTGATGATGATAATGATGATGAGGATAAGTGAGCACCTGTTGTGTTGGGGCTCAGGGGTCACATAATTTGGATCGTTAGGTACGTGACAAAGTAAAGATTTTCTAGGATTTGTTTTTTTTAGCGATGAAATTGTTAAAGAAAACAATTCACGGAAACCGGGATTAATACAAATTCCACGTTGAAACAGGACACCCAATTTCAAAAAGAAAAAATCATTTTTGGATTTCCGCTACTTTTTAAATTCTTTTATATTTTTTGAAATGAACGGTTCCTTACTTTTAGCACCACTTTAATTGGTAGTAATATGCGCATTAGTGATTTGGTGAAACGCTGAAAAGTCGAGCGAATAGGCGGAGTCTGAATTTGCAACGTGTGGCTGTAAAATGAGCTAAATATTTCTATAGAAATTTACGTGGAATTGACGCCGATTCTACTTTTTTTTCAAATAATTATTTTTATTTTTTGAAATTTCTTTTGCGAATTCATCGTCAAACGTAAAATTGTGCAACTGTGCGTGGCGTGAACCTCAGACTTGATATCTATGTTTTCCGAAATTCAAGCTTTTCCCTGAATTATGGCATATTTTCAAGTTATAGCATTGGAATCTATCGAAATCGAAAAGTTGGCGAATCGTTAAAAATTTAACGCGTTTCACTCGCCTGCCAGCATCGGCGAAAAAGAAAAACGAAAACAAAAAATCAATAATGAATCAAATACAAACTAAACGAATAATTGTCCGGAAAAAAAAACCTTGTATGATGACAAGTTTGAAGAGTGAAGGACTGAATAAACAAAAAATATATCCCCCGTCTCTCACGCTATATTGGGCCGATTGAACGATTTTTTCCCTCCGTTACGCGACCTCTCATCAATATGCAATTTTCTGCACGACGCAAAAAAAATGAGAAAGCAATTTTTTTCTTGAATCTTGTCGGGATTCCAAGCAATGTCCGAAGCCCACGCGGTGCACTTGTGAGAAATATAATATTTTTATTTCTGCAGGAAATTGCGCTCGGTTTACATTAGGACCTATTTTTAGGAGAATTTTACGTAATAATTGTGTCGACCATAAAACTATATTGGTCGCGAGAATTACAAACAATCCAGCAAAACGTGCAGAATTGTTCAGAAATGAAAAACAGCCGAATTCGGCGACAATTTCTTTTATTCGAAAACTGCCAACCTTATTTAAGCCTTTTCGATTTTTTGATGACCTTCTTCTTCGGGCGGAGAATCTGAAATTAGAGATTTTATTTGTAAAATATTTCACTCGAAATTTTTTCGTACCACAAAAGAACAAAGAAGTTCCTCGTTGACGCACATTGTGGCAGCGGCGTTATCAAATTGCCCACAATAATGAGGGGCCGAGAAAAGGGTGACCAGTCGACGATTGCCAAAAAACTCGTAGCCATCTTGTACAACCTGAAATCTCCAAAAAATCTCAATTTTTTGCAATGGGATACGAACCTGATGAGCTCTGACGACTAAATCGATCTTCAAATCATCGGTCACCTTTTTTAAAGCATCAGCGCCAAACACATAAGAAACTCCTCGTTGATTTGCCGACCATCCTTTTGTGAAGCTGCCCGGATCACTCCAAAGTATATCGATTTCTAGTGTTGAAGCTTCCGGCTGATAATTTGGTCGCTTCATGACCCTTAATTGATCCAAACTCTTCAATTTCGGCGACACTCCGCCATGCATGCACAGAATTTTATCTCCAATTAGGGCGGTGAGAGGCATTGTTGAGAATGTGTCCTAAAAATCGATTTGAAATTTGATTCAATTATTTATGAAAAATTACTTGAAACGCTTCCCAAATTTTAACGCTTTTGAATCGCCTCTGACACTCATCGTAGAATCCGTAAACTTTATTAATTGTGGGGCACTCGTGGTTTCCGCGAAGAAGAAAAAAATGACAAGGGTATACCAAGCGATAAGAGAATAATAGAAGGATCGTTTCTATGCTATGCCTGCCACGATCCACATAATCTCCAAGAAATAAATAATTGACGCGTTGGGGGAATCCAACTTTGTCAAATAACCGGAGTAGATCTGGAAGAAATTCAAAATATTTTGAATGTTCAATGTGTAAATTTGCGTCGCGTGCTCAACGTCACTTGCGCATTATTTGACGTCATTTCATTTTTCTTTTTGAATTTTATTTATTTTTTTAATTTTACCTGAAAATTGTCCATGAATATCGCCACAAATATTAATTGGCGAGTCAACTTCAACAAGCGATGGTTGTTCTAGAAATAACTTTCTGGAAAAGAAATGTTAAATGATTTGACAGGATTTCATAAAAAAATACAACTCACTTCACCGAATCCAGCAATAGTAAAATAATATCAATGCTAACGGATACCGTCAATCCTTTGGTGCCCAATTTACCGCACGCGAGCACTTTGGCCAACATTTCATAGCCTTGTTTGGCGAGAGCAACTGTTCCGGAATCCTCAACCGGAACGAACAGCGAGGTAGCGCTTTTCGACTTTTCCATTTTTTCCGCTTCTCCAGATGCCGGAATTGCTGTCGTCGGCGATGCTTTCATTTCGTCGGGCTCTACAGTTATTCTAGAAGATTGATTCTGTTGCGTTTTTCGACAAACGTTTTACTCTGATTTTGGTGCCATATATTCGCTTTTGGCCAACGGCTCTGGCGGCCCCGGAATCGCTACAAGCAACTAGATCGTTCGATGGAAAACCATGCGAAACGGCGGCGCAACTTACATCTGGATTTCTCAATATCCCTCATTAGCGTAAAAGTGTACGTTTGAATGTAATACAAAATGAGAGCTATGAGCATTTTATTCGGTTTATATACGAAAAACGTGACAAAAAAATTAAACGGTGATTGATAGACAAAAATAAGCAGAGGAAAGTTAACAATTGTTGGAATAATAGGTTCGACCATTTTCAGTGTCGCTTGGAGATTTTGAAGAAGACGACGTCGTTGGTGAACTGCTATTGATCGTCGTGTTTGGGCAATAGTTGGAGTTTCTGGCCTTGCGGAGCTTATAGCGCCGATTTTGGAACCATATTTTGATCTATAATTGCAATAAATAAATAATAAGAATTGAATAAAATCATTCAAACCTGCTCGGGTGTCAAATTAATAATGGCCGACATTTCGCGTCGCTCCTGTAGCGAAATCCGGTCGCTCTTCTCAAATCTCTGGGTGAGCATTTGAATTTGATAATCGTCGTATGGAGCACGTCGAGCTGCAATGAAAAACAGCAAGTTTTAAATCTGTGCCTATTAAAACCCAACCTCTCATTATGGGCTCCGGCTGAGCAACAGTTTGATTGGTGTACACGCCTAATGTCTGTGGACCATATGCGACATATCCCGGATAGCCGTTATAAAAACCCGGCGCGAATTGGTTAAATATTCTGCAAAAATAGTTAATAAACCAGAAGCAATGAATGTGAAAAAATGCTCACTGATGTTGGTGATGCATATAGAAATGCTCGTAGTGATAGCTCTGTGGAGGATTCTGGACAAATTTGCATTCATCATTCGGCGTCGATGACGATGGCGATGGATTCAATTCAGTATAGTCGTTGGCATCATAGGAATATTGAATTGGACTTGGAAATTCTTGGGCTGGATAGGACGACTCATCGAGATTCATGGTGATGGCGACGGTTGACTAGAGCGGAGCAAACGGGATTGACTGATTTGGGTGAATGCCTGATGGGAGGTGTTGTGATAACGCGTCGGCCACGCCCATTTGGTGCAATGGGTGGGGATAAAGCTTGATTGACAATGATGACACGAGCCGATTTCGCACATTTTGAGGTGCGAAATTGAGCGAGCTTCAATATGACTTGGCAAAATTGGACGTTTTTTTATTTAAAAATTGCAGTTTTTTGAATAACATTTTATAGTTTCGATATAAACCACATAAATTTAAGCGTATTTTATCACTCCCATAAAAAATTTGACCCAATTCTCTAGAAACCATTTGATATCGATGAATATATTCTAGCGAAAAACCCACAACTTCTGCGCAGTGCACATTGTGCAATCACGCTGCATGAACCCTGCGGAATTGCATTTTAATATACGAACATATATTTTCAATATTGTGCGTTTTTTAACGATTTTTGTCATAAAATCCAAATTCGATGAAACAATTTTATAGAAATCTTCAGAATATAAACTAATTAAATATTGATAAAGTCAAGAAAGCACACTTTTTTTCAACATACTTCTCTGCTTATAATAATACACATTAGATAGTGTATCTTAACAAAATGGTTTTAAATATTAAAAATAAATAAATAAGATGCCCAAACTGAGTTCTTATCTTTTTATGATTCGCCGCCATTTCGCACATCGCCATGCTTTTCCTTTACAGCCGCCGACCATAAAAGTGTTCCGGAGAATGTTCACACCTCTCATAAAAGGGTTGCCCGCCGTGCCGAGACCTGAGAAGCAAGTGTCAAGCTCAAAACATGAAGTGTTAAGCATCAGCACCACGTCAAATTGCGACACTGTTGAACTGTCTATCATCGTGATAACAATGAGCACATCATTTCCAAAGGCAACCCGAGCATGTCTAGGACATTACTAGCCGAACAACATCTCTTCATTGGCTCCACAATTTCCTTTAATTTTGTATTATTTTGTGACTTCAAATTATACATATAAAAACACAAAATAAAGAATAGCTAGAAAAATGAGAAATGTTGAATTAACTTCCGATCCCGCGTGTTCCGTCGAGGTTATGATTTCTTCATAAAATGAGTCTTTGCCTATGATTGTAAGCTCTGCCGAACTATACTCTATAGGTTCCATTTCTTCTAAATTTTCAAAATCAAATAAAATTAGGAAAAAATTCCAATTGTACCAATTGAAAAGTATTGAATATAATATTTTCCGTGTTCATCGATTCCTGGACTCACTTGCATAGTTTCCGTAGCATATTCCGTCGATATTTCGCCACCAATTGATGCATTTGAATACCTAGAATTCAATTATTTTCCTTTAAAATAATTATTAATGAATCTCACATATTTTTGATTTTTTTAATTCCTGATGAAAGCGTAAGATTCAAGGTAGATGTTAATTGGGGATGAAGCTGAAAACTCGAGGTATGCTAACTGAGGATTCTGATAATAGCCAGATTGCTATTAGTATTCCAGGAACAAAACTTGCCTGATATCCCACGGTTCTTTTATTTTCCAAATTTGATTTGAAATGAATCGTTTCACTGTGACACTGGCCTTCGCACATGATCAACCCCGTTGTTGTCGACTCAGTAGTTGTATAAGAGTTGTGATCACCTGCAAAAGAACATGCAATATTTCAGTTGAATCGGAGAATTCGCACGTTTTGAATTTCGAACTTGAAAAAAGACACTTCCAGAAGCATAGAGATACCAAATTCGACTAGAAATTTGAATTGGCTGGATTGTTTTAAAGAATTTCCGATAACGTCTGGTCGACCGGATATTCAGCGCATTTGAGAAGATGCGATTCCTGAATCCAGAAAAAACATCATTCAATGGATACGTGGAGTAGAGATAAATATTCGAATGATGTGGCATATTTAGGTGTGCCTTTAAAGCCATATGAACATTCGTCTGATTCACATTTTCCAATATAGTTGTCGACTGGGCATTTGGATTCATGAATACCACAATAGATTTCTCGTTGTCTGATCTATTAACGGTAAAAGGTTGATCGACGATATAGACCAAAAAATTTGGATTTTTGGCTTGAGAAGCGGTTGTGAAATATAGGAAGCCAGTGAGTTGGCTAGCATCACCTGTAGTTGATATTGTCACGATATTCAGCGTTAATTGGAATGGAATCGCCGGTTTCCCATATTCCTGATTCATTTTCAATTCATAAGCACTGAAGCAACCTTCAGAATCAATGGAAATTTTTCATGTCAATACCTCTTCTTTTCAAGCCCATCATCAATCGTAACATTTTTCAATAATTCGTCATCGTCATTCGAAGCCAAATAAAGGTTCGCGTCATTCTATAAAAAATGAATAGAAATTGGCAATTTGAAAAATTAAAAATAACCTCGACAATTTGGAAAATATAAGGTGCTACTTTGAGTTGATTCAAATAGAAAATCCCGCTGTCTTGCAAAGAATGTTTCTATGGCGACTTGCGAATGTTTCTATGGCGACTTCTGAAAAATCGTTTGGATAAATTAAACAATTCAGAAATCGAACGTGACAATGAAAACGTAGTTTGGAATTATTCAAAGGTCCCGGATTTGTTGGAAAGCTCCGAACCGATCAATTGAAGTAGATAAGTTTGCTGCTTCAAGAGAATCCCAAAAAGATGGTGGTGTTGAATGTCTTGCTATGCATTTGTTTTAAGACAATGCCGGAATTTCAAGCGATTGAAGAGCGATTCAAAGAAGACGAACCGCGGTAGTTTGGACATTGTGGTTCCATGGAAGCTTGTCGTCGTTTCGACTAACCGAGGCCCGATGACTCGAACATTTCTCGGCCCGGATGAAATCGATCATTGGATCGGATTAATTACCTCTAGAAAAAGGCATCCTGGACAAAAATAACTAATAATCAAAAATGACAATCGATATGTGAGAAAGCTTCAAGAAAGTCCGATTCTTGAAAAAAGAGCTGAATCGGAATTAAAATTTCTTATAGGATTTAAAGAATTTTTTATAATTTATTCAAATCTTTCACCTGGGTAGTCCCTGACCGCAACGCATACGCAACGCGACCGTGAATCTACCGCGCGAATTTGAATAATCGGCTTTGGACCGGCTGTGGTCGGGTTCGGCTTCGAAGCAAGCCTGGTTTCAGGGGAGTTTCGAAAAACTTCCGCGGTTCGTCCTTAAATTTTAAACCAGTACAACACTCCAATTAAACATCACCCTCAATTTAGTGTGGAATTGAATTTTTTTTCCCATGTTTGTTCCAAAGTGTTCGGCGGATCGTCCGAAACTCAAAAGAGTTTCCTCTATTCGTCCCATGAATATGAAGACAAGCTGCTAGCGAAAACCAAAAGAAATCCGCCAGCGATTTTTCGGAACCCAATTTTTGAAAAGGTGATTTTCCCAAGTTATTGATTGGTTCAGCTTTTCCTATCTATCTTCCTCTCATGATGTGAAGGCGAGAATTGATGATTGATAGATTTATTCAATAATTGAGAAATACATAGTGTTGAGCTGTGGGGGGACGAAGAACCACGTAAAAGGGAGCCCGTGTAAAAATGACAATGAAAATACAATGAAGCATCAGTAGAAATCGTCGTAGTGGTTTATATTCCTCAGCATTTGTTGATAGAAGCCTTTCGAATCGCGACGTCTTCCGATTGTTTTGATCATTCCGTGCATCGTTCGACATTTCACCTGAAAACCACTCGATAAGTATGGCTCGCAAAACCGAGCTGAAAACCTCGATCGCCAGATGACAAAGTGGCTCGATTCCTTGCACGTTGTTGTTGTTTGTCTGATCGAAGGTGTACACCAACTGTTGGTGCACATCTGGTGCAACGCATTGACCTTCGCTCGCCCACTTCTGAACAGAGTGTCGTCTGTTTTGAGGAATCTTCTTAAACGACCTACCGGATTCAGTTGGCCGAAGTGCCAGTATCTTTGCGCAGCCTTCCGATCAATTCCGTTTGAGACAATTGTCCTCCCAATTGTCTTGTTACAGTAGTCGAGCATCCGATTCATCGCCTCTATCGTCTTCGGCCTTCGGATCGACGAATGAGCCAGTTCATCGATCACCGCTATTCTTTTCTCAACCGTCTCTGCCGCCCACACCGTTTCCTCATCGCCAAACACCCCGTCAAAGATCTCCATTAAATCATTGTTGATCCTAGCCTATAAAACAAATGTAATTAAGATAAATTATCTCAAATTTTATTACCGTCTCCTCATCGTCCTGGTACATATTCCACCGACGGACCTCCTCGACCCTTCGGCACATGTGCGCCATTCTGATCGCTTCGCTTTCGCTGATCCCGAACACCGCCAGATGTCCATTTTCAAGTTTTTCGAGAACTTTCTCGAATTTGTCTTTTCTTGACAACTTCTGCGACGAGTGCAATCGCAGGACGTACCGCTCTGCTGATGAGCAGATCTCTCTAAATTTGTTGATCGCTGGGACCTTCAAATTGAACAATCACATGCGATCCTTTGATCACCAAGCACTTACATAATACCAGGGTAATACGACCCGGAAGTCATTCGACAGGAATTGGTAGGATCTCGCCGTGAACCAGGCGAGATCAAACAGTTTTTCATTTTCCAGCAGCCACGTGGCTCCAAATCTCAGCGGCTTCGTCATCCATCGGAACGCTTTTCCGATTTCCGCTCTCCATTTTTCTCCGGTTTTCTGCTCGTTTTGCTTCTTCCATTTCAACTCCAATTTCTCATTGGCTTCACACAAATATTTCACCTAAATTCATTGGAATTTAACTAGAAAAATTTAAGTGATTGAATTACCGTTGACGCCATTCCATGAAGTGATTCATTTCGGACGACTTCCCGAATCGTGCTCTTCCCAAACAATTGTTCGCATTTGGTTCTGAAGTGCCGATTTCGGCATTCCTAAATACCAATTCTCCCAAATTGTTTTCAAAAATGAATCTCCTCACCATTGGCTGTACTTCGATCACCATTTGGAAGAACGCCTCCCTCTTGAATAGATCCCAATCATGATCCACTTTGTATTGAGCCAGAGGGTAGTCGGTGACATTCAGCTTATGAAGAATTGCCATCAATGGTTTTTCATCTGCGATCGGCAGGTCGAACATCTTAATTGTCCCCCAATTAACTAATTAATTCAATCGATGACTTACTGGAATGTTCCACAATTCGAAGCACGCGTCCTTGGTCTCGAAGACCATTTCATTGATTTCAGATCGCCCGTGCTCAAATTGTCGATAGGCCATCTTGATGGCCTCCTTTCCCTCGTCGTCCTTCTCATAGGCTTCTCTCAGCTTCTGGTATCGGTCTTCGTCGTTGAGTGCCTCCTTGAGCAGCTCCCAACACTGCTCCTGGAATCCGATGCGATCATTGCGTGACAACAAACTTGTTGAGCGACTTACCATTAATCCATTTTTGAGAATCTCCTTCTGCTCGCCATTGAGAGATTTCTCAGCGGCTCGGAACACGTCTGCCATGCTGCATCCATCGTCCGAAGGTGCTGAAGAAGCCGAGGCGATGACGACGACGAGGGAGATAATTGGAAGAGTGGCAAACATTGCTTGCTGATTCTGATTTTCCTCTCGAAAATTGCTCCTTTTATAGGTCAAAAATGGGCGGGATCTGGGATTGAAGCTCGGTAGGCGTGGCATTGGTCACGTGAATTGGGCGGGTGCTCACTGGAAAGTACAAACTACGAACTCGACGATGATTACTGTAGCGACTATCTGTTAATAATAGAAGCACTTAAGAAAAATGAAGACTTAAAGTGATCAAATGCGCCAGGATTATCGTGGATATTCTAAGAAGTGATGCCATACGGATTATAGTAATACGTGACTTTATCCAAAAAAGAAATGAGCCTATGAATACTTAAAAATTAATTTTGTGGCATATAAGGACCATTAGGCAGGCTAATTTTGCGATTTTCGAAATGAGCATTGAAGCGGGTTTCGAATGATATGTCGAAGTAGGTATTGGAAACCTCATTTGAACATTTGGCTTAGGGACCTCCCAGGTAGGAGATTTCAATAAATTGTGAAAATTTATTGAAATCCTATAAGAAATTTTAATTTTTTTTCTTTTTTTCAAGAATTTACTTTTTAAAAAATTTCTTTCAAAATTCTCTCAAAATTTTTTCAAAAATTTTTTTCAGAATAATTTTCAAAATATTATTGTTAGACACTTTTATTCAATTTAAAAACTCTTCACTATATTTTTTAAGTTTATTAATTTGTTTCAAAAATTTCCAAATATTGTGTCCGTTTTTGAAGCTTCCTCACTATTGCATCCAACATATTTATTTAATTTAAGTTCAAGCTTCTGGAAAAAAATGTTTTCAATACGTTTTGGGAGATTTTTTTTCCAAAATCCTTGAAGCTATTTTATTTTTTCGGGAAAAATTGAGGAGTTTCGATTTCACTTTTTGCCATTTTTTATGATAATTAATTATTTTTGTCCAGGATATCTTCTTCTAGAAATAATTAATCCGATCCAATAAGTGATTTCGTCCTCTCGATTCGTAACTTGTGCCAACGCTTTTTAAAACAATCAAAGTATTTTTGAACAGTCTTACTGTAATTATACATGCTCCCATTTATTGTTAAATTTTTCGTTATTTTAATCGACCAATTCGCATAATTTTCAAAAATCAAGGCATCAATTACAATAGACAACCAGAAAACACATTACGAAACAATCGTTGTCGTCATGGATTTTGGTTTCAACTAGTGTGTTTCTAGAAAAGAAAATGTGTCGGCAGGTGGAATTTTTGATTTTCACCGTGGGAAACTTCTGCCAATTTATTTGGTATTTTGACCATCAAATGAATGGTCTCAAATCAGTTGAATCGAAAAATAATTTTGATCGAATATGTCGGAATTGCACGGTGAAGCTTAAATTTGAGTTGTGCTGATATAAATGCTTGTGAAAAAAAAAGATGGAAATCGGAAGGTTTTAGATAAAAATACAAATAGTCTAAATAAATTCCTAGAGTTTATTTCCAAAAATCTTTAATACTGCTATTATTATTTGAGTTTTAAACTTGAGAAGTCTCTATTCTGTTAGTTTGCCAATTTTGATATAATTAATAATTATATGTCCCGGATGGCTTCTTCTAGGGATAATTAATCCGATCCAATGACCGATTCATCTATCTAACTGGTTTGTTTTCAAATTTGGTGTTCAGCTTTTAGTTGTGAAATTATGTATAATTAAGCATCGGGTTTTTTTTCTCAGTTTGTGATTTAGTGACCGATTCATGCATTTCAATTTCACCCTATCACAAATGACAGATTACAGTAGACAGTCAAAAAATGACAGATTACAGAACAATCGTTGTCATTATGGATTTGTGATTTGATTTCAACTAGTCCGTTTCTAGAAAAGAAAATGTGTCGGCAGGTGGAATTTTTGATTTTCACCGTGGGAAACTTCTGCCGATTTATTTCGTATTTTGGTCATCAAATCACGATTGACACAAATCACAAACATCGCGGAAAATGGACAATGCCACAATATAAAAATTAATGTATATTTCAGTATAAAAATTAATGTATACAAGGCGTGCGATTGAAGTGATATTTGAATTCCCAGCTTGGGGTCACCAGTGAAAACAACTTCATGCGAATTTTGTGAAAGAGCATACTTTTGAAAGAGTTGTTTTGTGGCTATTTTTAAGTGTCAAAATGAGGGTCAATACTCTGATAATGTGTCATATTAATCTAGAGATTTATTCTCAAACGACAAACTAAAGGAAATCATTAATTTTTGAGAGGGGGGGGGCGACCAATTAATTGTACACAATTCATTTTTGTCAAATTCGTCCGTGTACGACCAAAATTCTAAATGTGATCAAAATATCGCAAAATTTTCCCTCTGGCGTTTTTATTGTAGGGTCGCTTTTTGACTGAAATTTCGTGAAGTGGGTTTAGATTGAAATTGACTGAATGCGTGTGTCTCACGAACTTCTCCATGCCTCAAGACGCATTGGCACGATTCCAAATCAAGCGTTCCCTGCCATACCGAAACTTATTTTATTCGAAAATTGATATTTTGTCTTCTTCCCGGAAGGCATAAAACCTTCATAAAACCGCGTTGCATTTTATGATACGCCATTACAAATTTACGGTTGAATGTTGTTAAAAGCTCAACGTCTGGAATTCGTCGCCAATTCGACGGGCCAATGGGGCGAATTTTGTTGGCGTTTTGCTTGATCATTGTGTGGAGCAGCATCGATGCATCGGTACGTATTCGTCAACTTCAGGATTCATTCGGGTCTTGCAGCTTCTGGGATACAAACGAAAAGATCCGATGTTCGATTGGTCGAAAATGCAAGGCAAAAGCGGAAAGGAAGTGCTGGATGCATTCAAATTATTCAAGACAAAGTTTCACATCAATGTTAGTCATTTGAGAAAAATTGCGTGTTTTTTCTTGCAGATTCAAAAAATCGTATAAATCCGCCGAAGAAGAGACGTTCCGAATGAACATCTTCATTGAGAATCACAATAAAATTGTGAAGTGGGTTCCAATTTTCTGGGTAAAAATAATTCTCGACATTCTTTATTATAGGCTTAATGAAGAGGCTAGAAGGAATAATGAGAGTGTGGTGTATGGTGTGAACAAGTTCAACGATTGGACTGATGATGAGTTCCGCTCATTATTCCGAAAAGGGCCGTCAACGTTCGATCACGAATTCCCGAGATATGATCCGATTAGTCATAAACTCGTCAACAGCACAAGAAGCAAACGACAAGTCAGACTCCCACCAAGAGTCGATTTGCGAGAAGTCAAAATTAATGGCAATTATATTCTTCCTGAAGTCAAAGATCAAGGTGTGATTCAGCTCAAAGAGCATTTTTTTTTAGAAATTTTTTAGGGCATTGTGGATGTTGTTGGGCTTTTGCCGCTGTTGCCGTCGCTGAAACGGCTAACGCTCTTGTGAACGGTGGAAAAATGACGGTAGAAGATTTTGAAAAGCCAATACGATGATGACAAAATGTTTAGTACCTATCCGATCAGGAAGTTTGCGATTGCGCCAATGGTTACTCGCCAGGATGTTTCGGAGGTCACGCTTTTGAAGGGCTCAAGTTGGTTGAGACAAAAAAGAGATATTCGATTTTAGGTGTGATGTTCCAGATTCGCATACACTCGAGGATTAACCAGCGAATACAGATATCCGTATGATGATGGACGTGCGAACTACACGGGAATGTGCCGACGGATAAAACCGGTGGTACATTGAGAAATGGAGTTGCTTGCCCTGTTCACATCGTGGCATTTTTTAGATGAAGCTGAGAAGATATTTCTCGTTTACCCCTCGTCATCCAACTAAGACACTTTTCGAAATCAAGGACAGCCTCAATTATGTTCAAACTCCGATCGCCGTTTGTGAGTTTCGATTCTAAATTATCAAATGATCATATGGAATGATTTGAAGCTTTCGAAATTGGAGACAAATTCCGTTATTACAAGGAGGGCTATTTGGTTCACGAGGATTGTAAAGATATGGATGTTGGTGGAAGTTTTGCGACACTGCAATCGTCGTGTTGATATTGCAGGAGCCACTCTATCATTCGGCCAACATTGTCGGATATTTCAGCGATTGGGAGCGTGGCCGTTTATATGATTTCTATATTCTCCGCAATTCTTGGGGTTACCGTTGGGGAGACGGCGGATACGTTTATGTAGCCGCTGGTCGTAATTGGTGCGGAATTGAGGATGAACCACTCAGCGGTGAAATGCGTCCAGCGAGCTATTATCGAAATAATTATTAATTTTAATCAATTCAATTTTTGATAAACTCGATTTTAAGGCATTTGAGAATGCTATTTATATTATTTCTTTAATTATTTTTTTCTGCGAACTTCGCAGTGGAAAGATGTTTCAAAAAACTGACGAACTACTCAAACTGTGTCAGTGGCCTATATGGTTGGCGTCTTTGGCGTGGGCGTGAATTTCCAAAAAAAAATTTCTGGTTTTTTCTCATTTTTCATTGATCTTGCCTTTTTCTCTAAATTAAACAAAAATTTTTATCGATCACATAATTCGCAAGACCTTTTTTATATTGAAAAATCTGTAAAATTGTTTAATTCGATGGGAATTCTGATGTCCGTGGATTTTCAAGTTTAATTTCAAAAATCTTCAAAATTCTCAAATTAGTTAAATTCAACGATAAGCGCGAGACAAATGAAGAAATTTTTTAAATTACGATTTTGTATTTAAATGATCCAATTTTCTTTTCGGTTTTTTTTTTCATATATTGTCATGAATGAAGTACAAACACGTTTAATAATAAATAAATGTTACACAATTCTCACAAAATTCCTTGAAAAAAAATGTAACTTGACTGGATAATTCGCCCACAACCATACTTCTTACTGTACTAGTTTTAATTGATTGTTTTTCTGTCTTTTATTACTTTATTTTGTATTGTCTCATTCAATTATTCATCTTTGAGGAATACATAAATACATCAAATTTTCAAAACTCAAATGCCGGCATGTTGCACAAACTGCAGAACAAAATATTCGTTGCTGATTCGTGAAGTTTTCAACCTTTAGGGTGGCCTTAATGCCATTCGTTGTTCCAGGCAGGTTGCTCGTGCTGTGCTTTATCATTATGCAAAAAATGCCTCTCTCATCGTGCTATTATTCCAAGTTTATCCGACCAACCTTTGACAGTCTGCTACAATTGCTATAAAACATTGGAAGCGAAGAAAATTAAAACTGAAGCTACGGTAAGGCGTTTTTCATTATTTGTTCGCTGATTTTTGGGATGATCTTTTATAATTGTAATTTTTGAGAAATGCATCTCAATTTGAAATTCTTCTTCCAAACAGATGATAATTATTCAGATAACTTCAACTCCTCTTCCTGGAAAGTCTACTAAGAATTGGTGGGGTGATGGTCTTCCTCCGCCTTCATTTCGGCAAGATTTCAACAAAGGTTCGAATTTTAAGTTTCAAAAATGTATTATTAATGCAATCACGAAAAAGCTGACAATAAAAATTTTTATTGCAGGCCGTGCATCGACTAGTCAAACTCCAAAATCAATTTATCCACAAATTAATGCAAAACCGACACCGGTTGACGATGAGGTTTGGCAAGAACAGGTATAATATTAAACATGCAGCTTTTTTTTATTTTAGATGAGACAACTGGAAGAGCGGCGCGCGAATCTGATGAACGACATTCCGCGGCAGCCCGAGCCTTTGACAATTGAGCAAATCGAAGAAAGGTTGGCGAGTCTTCGCGGATGCGATGTTGATGTTATACGGAATCCCAGAACGGTTAGAATAATTTTGTTTTTTGCTTATTTCTTGTTTGATTTTAGTGGTTTCAAGAAGATAAACGAGATCTTGGAAACGCCCAGACTGTTAGCCAACTGATGAAGATTGCCGAGGATCGCGCGCGTCTTGAGGAAATCGATGAGGAGATTGAGCAGAAAGAATTGAAAGAGTTTGAGGAACGGAGGAAAAGGTTGATGGAACGACAGGAAGCAGAAAAGAAAGGTATATCTTATTAATTGAAAATAAAAATCGCCTGAAAGGATTAGTCGCTACAAGACCCAATTTATTTTCCTGTTATGAGCGATTTATCAATTTTTTTGAAATTCCGAAATTGCGATTATTGCAATTTCATTAATAATTTCTAAATATTCGCAAATCTTCACACCAAAATCTCGAAATCTGCGGACTGTAAGAAAATTTGAAGAGTTCTCTAATTTTTAAAATAATTTTTGGATTTGATAATTAAAGGAGCCCACAATTTTTGTTCCAGATCGATTTTGGTAGTCGTTTTTTTTCAGAAACATCCTATATTGATTTTACCGATTGTTCTAAAGCCGGATTAAAAATTTTCAGATAATTTGGAGCCTGGAAGTGAGTTGACAGCGGATAATCGAGAATCGGTCGTCTCGGATGCTTCCTGCTTCAGCACTGCCACACGTGAACAACTCGATGATATTAACAAGTATCCAAGTTTCTAAGAAATTCGACATTTAAAAATATGATTTCAGAGCACTCGAAGATGCTGAAAAACGGGTTGCCGCTACTAAACAGCAGGAAGAGGTCGATGAGAATGAGCTGAAGAAATTGATGACGTTGAGTTAGTCGAGTTTGATATTCTAGAATATCGATTAGTTTTATTTCAGCGCGGCAAAAATCTCTTGACGCGATGCAATGGAATGATAAAATTTCGAAGGAAATTGGTGGATTCTGGGATAGGCAGAATAAAAAGGTTTTATTTTTAAATCATAATTTTGCCAAAATCTGTAGAAAAATGCCCAATATCTAGATGAGCGTTGAAGAAAACGATTCTGACGAAGATGAGAAGTCGCTGGATGAAGAAGCTATCAAGAAAATAATACATGAAGCTGAAACTGCGCCGTACTATGAGATAAAGAGTGAAGAAGCGAAGCCTGCTCCATCGTCAGCTTCGCCGAAAAAGAAAGGGTTTTTTGGAAAATTTTTTCGCAAGGACTCAAAAAGTTAAAAAATGTAAATAAGTAAATCGATTACCTCAAAAAATTTACTAATTATTAGGATACCGGTGCTAACTAAAAATTTGAAATTGTGATAAGTATAATAAAATTGCTTTATGTAAAATAGAAATGAATTTGTTTTTTTTCTCTTCTAGATTGTTGCGCATCCTCCATCGACCGGAAGAACAGTTCCGGTTGTCATTGACGAGGCGTCGGAAAGAAGGTACAATGTGGCGTTGACGACCTCGTCGATTTCTAGAAATGGAATCGTTTGAGCGGAATGATTGAAAAATCGAACGAACCGGCGAATCGATTGAGCGGTGTTTTATCGAGTAGTGCTCGTCGTTTCGCGGGGTCCTTCCAATTCTGAATGATTAAAAAATGCGCATCTGCGGGCGTTGTCGAGCACACTTACAGCGATGCCCATGTCTGTCATGACAACGGTTGGATTGACGCTGTTCACGCGAATGTTCTGCGATCCGAGCTCCATTGCCATTGTTCTTGTAACCATATCGAGAGCAGCTTTCGAAGCGCCTAAAAAATACAATTTGCACTTTTAGGTTTTTCTTGAAGGTTTCCTCCTTTGAAAATGTTTTTTTTTCGTAGAAGCACATAGTCATATGAATATTTGATAAATATCAAGAAAGTCATTTTTGTTTGAAGCAGATGATGTCTTTTTCATCTGCTGCTGCTTACAGTATACGGTGTGATTTTCGAGTGGTCTAATTCCGGCGACAGACGAAATGTTGACGATTGTTCCGGCGATTTGGCGATCAACAAAGTTTTTGGCAACGAGCTGCCCGATCATTATTGGAGCACGGACATTGACAGCGAAGGTTCTGAAAAAATCGAATTGATAATTTGCAAGGAAAAGAAATGTTTTGAAATTGAAAAAAATGGGACCAAATGATTTTAAATTAAATATGCAAGTTTGCGTCGCGTGTTTGCAGACCGACGACGGTTCGCCTCGCACCTATCAAACATCGATTGAGCAATTTGTCCGACGGGAGCGTTCTCGGCGACTCCGGCATTGTTGACCAACGCGTGAAGCGGAAAACACGGAAATATGAGGCGTCTCAGATTCTCCTCGGAAGCGGTGACGTCGCCGACGACAATTGTGATTTTGTGTCGCTGGAAAAAAAAGTGTTTATCAATTAAAACGAAAATGGAATTGTCATTGACCAAAATGCAATGAAGGAAACTAGTTTTTTTCCTATTTTCGAGAACCACTCAATTCTTTTTTCTTTGAAATTTCAAACAAATGCAAATTTGGGTGATATATACGAAGGTTTCTTACCATATTCTCGGAGGCCTTTTCAAGACTCTTCAACGCCGCTTCATTTCTCGCCATCGCGAAAACGTGCGCCCCGCATTTCGCCAATTTCAAACACAACTCTCGCCCAATTCCTGTCAAATAGACGTGAGAAATTTTTGTTCGAAATGAAAATATTGTGAATTGATTTAATTACCGTGACTCGCTCCGGTGACAAGAATTCGGCGGCCAGCGAAGTTATAGGACGTCGACATTTTGTTTTCTCGAACGTTGGCGACCCGCAACACACCGACACACACGCAAATGTTTTATTGTGTTATCAGAAGACGACGAATGAATGATATCGTTGAGAAGACGATGACAATGATGGCGATAATCGAACGAAACCATTATTGATTTCATCGTTTTAAAATGGAAATTCGCTTGAAGAACCGAAAAGCGGTTTCGAGGTACGGTAATGTGCAAGCAGGTGACAATCATGGTAGCCATGGGCAACAGAATGCGCAACAAAAAATTAATGATTAGTTTCAGCTGTCGAGCGTAGTTATTCGCCGCTGCTTTTTAGCTTTATGCCGCACAAAATTTCCAATAAATATTCTTTGCCTAATTTTTTTTTTCCATTTAAAAAATAGAAAAGTGTAAGCATGCGATATAAGCTATCTCGCGCTAAATATGGTTTATTAAAATTTAGTTCCGCGTTAAAATTGGAAACTCCATGAAAATAGAAATTACAAAACGCGGCTAGTGGGGGTCCCAGAGGTGCTATACACACGCACGCAAAATTACACCCATTTGAATTTTTTAAATAAAATTCTCTTTACTCCAAAACTTGCTTCACCAAAAAATTGATAATATAGTGAAAAAAATTTGGAAAATTCAAATTTTCGATTTAACGCTTTCCTAGGCATTGGACGTTTTTGGTAGGCAAAGTTTCTGGCGAGCCGCAACGCGACCGCGCGCACCATTGACTTGTAGATCGAACATCGAATTTTTTTCATTGCAGAAAAATTAAACCATGAAATTGGAATCGGACTTCGATCCGATTCCCGGTTTGCCCTTGCTAACCGACCTGTTCTGCAATGTGACGAAGGTCAAAAGAAAGAAGGTGATCGATTGCAAATTTCCGGACATTCTCTACACCAAGAAAATGATCTATGGTGGACTGCCGGCGATCGGAATCGGCCTATCCGAAATCATGATAATTCTTGCTCTCATTTTCATCTCCATCAAAATGAAGAACGACATTTCGAAACAATTTCTGACGGCGTTGGTGATTCCACTAGGCTTCTCGGCATTGTTCAAAGTGCTCATGGGAATCTATGGAACATTGCTCGGACCATATGGATACTTGTGGGTCCATCGAATGCAATTCGTGTAAATGCGGGTTTGTTTTTTTTTTAGGTTCGTCACTATTCAACATTTGTATGGGTTCACCTACACGTCAGGTGTTCTCACGGCGGCAATGGGATCGGTGTTCTTCCTGGCTGGACTGATTTGCGTTGCTCGATCGAGATCGACGTTCGACAATGGACAAGCATGGTTTGGACGGGAATGTGGATCAGATAATAAGATGGATTTAGGATCTCATTCAACTCGATTTTGTTCGCTTCTTGCCTAATCTCTGGCTCCTACCACTTCATCTCCCAAAAATGGAATCAACTCCCGGCGGCGGCAATCTTCTTCTATCTGGTGATCGCAACGATTGCTATTGTAGTGCTCTTGATTACGGTAGGGCTCAATTTGCATTCCCAACGAGACCCATATGGTTCAGACGTTGATCATTCTATTGGCTTGCAAGAAACCTTATACCCAGTCGGCCAACGACGCGCCGAATGTGGCCAATGCTCGCGATCATCTTGGATGGGGAGCACTGTTCGTATTGATTTTGAATATTCCCGCATGGTTCGAGATTTGTAAGCAAATTATTCTTGAAAACCTGAAAAAACAGCGAATCGAAATTTCAGTCTACAAGTCTGTTGAGATGTTCACCCCATTCCTCTGGGGAGGTCCGGCTCACAAGAAGAAATTCTATAGAGCTCAACGCATTGAGCTTCTCACCTACGATATTGTCCAAATCGCTTTCACTCAGGTCATGTTGATCGCCTTCTTCCTCAACGCGTCGTCTCGTGTGGCTCTGATCGCATGGAAGAACCATCAGTTCATGAAGAAGGACAACAAGAAGGTGTTCATCGCTTCGCAAAAAGCGCCGCTTCTAATGAATAATGGCGAGAAAAATGAGAAGGAACCGCTCGACGACATTCCGTCGTCGAACGCGATTGCACCATCTCCATCAGCACCGGCGACGTCGATTCAAATGCCGCCGAATCTTGGAATGCAAATCAATCAGCCGCCGCCGCCGCCGCAATATGCCGGTATCAATTTTGCGCCGGGAATGGTGCAATTCCCGCAGAACATGCAGACGACCATTGTGTACACCCCGCCGAATATGGCCACCAACGGGGTGATTGTCGAGGAACTGAAATAAGTTCGACGGTAACGTTGATTGATTGTGAAATAAAGCACATTGTTAACAAAAAAAACAAACAAGATGACTAAGAATTTTAATAATATCTATGTATTTTAAACTAAAAACAGATAATAAATGAACAAAAATGCATTTATATAACATTCTAAAAAAATAGTTAACAATTGTCGACTTTAAATGACTTAACGATGGCGGGAAATTAAATTTCGCAAAATCAATTTTGAAATTGGAAATTTATACGCGTATGCTAAAATGCAGAGTACGCAGACACGCGCGCGTCTCTCTGCAGACATCTGGTAATTAGCTGATGTTTTCTGTTTTTATTTCGTTATATTTTTAGAGGTTATTCCGTTAAAACATAACACGCTTTTTGCTGTCTAAAAACATTATTTCATAAAAATTCAAATTTTTTCATATTTTTTCACGATTTTTGCAAAATAATCAAATTTGGCAAATTTTAATTATTTTGAATTACCCTTAATTGGTTAAGTAAGTATTACCATCTCAAAAGTGAAGTGTCTGGGGCTTTTCGAGTCATATTATTTTACAAGCTATTTCTATATAGGGTGCGGGGAATCTATAGAAAATCGAGTTATATTTTCCGGCAGAAATTCAGAATTGTAATTTTAAAAAATGCATCCAATAATATCAATTTAGTTTAATTGCTTCTTTAGAATCTTGAAGTAGACTTCGTTGTCAGTTTTGAGATGTGCATCAAGATTTTTGCGAGTGTTACTTCGAACCTGAAATAATTCAAAATAAATCGCATTAGGGGGTTTGAGCTTCTACCCGATTGACTGTTTTTGACATTATGAGAACAGTGAGAATTGAGAAGAGCGGGTAAGTGGCGTTCACTGAAATTTTTTTCAATTATAAGGGACCATTAAAAGGAGATGATTAAGGCAAACTTTCTGAAAGAGCGTAATAATTTTGAGGAGGGATTTTCGCGGCGAAACACAACAACCAAAAAAATCCGGCGTTTTGGATTATTAGATAGATCGTATTGATATTGGCAAGAACTTTCAGGCAACGCATTGAGCTGAAATATTTCGAGGGTCTTCTTTTAGGTGTGAAGAAACGTATACCTGACATTTTGCTCAATTTGATAACGATTTGATAGTGAAAGTGAGAGATTCCGACGAAGATTCTGGAAAAATTTCGATTATGAGCTGGTTGGGTCTCGAATGGATTTTTTCGGACCATCCTTTCATTTACCTTGTTTTTCATTAGCAAATATGAAAATGCGATTCGGGAAATCGCTTGAGCAACGATTCCTAATATGGCACTCACTTGAGCAAGACGAGGGGATCCTGATTGGACAACCTCAACAAGAAAAAAAAATATATGTAGGTAATATATATTAAACTCACTACACAGTAATACATTTTAACCCCTTCAAATCGAGTTCCGTAATAGAGGAAGCTTAATGGAATGGAAGCTATGGACATCTGAAAATCGAAATATTGAATTTTTGGGTCACCTGAAGCAATACTAAAAGAATGCCAAAATGTTTCGAGGAGTGCTCATAGGATTTGCTCCATGTGGTAGCCAGCCATCTTTCGACTATATATGGAATTATGGATGCCGTTGTTAGCCAAATTCCACAATTATACATGAATCGAAGAACAAAACACCTGAAAATGTATGATGCTGACAATTTTGTTTTTTTTGAACGAATCAAACACTAAGAAGGAAAAGTTGTCTACATGTACTCGTTGCTGAAATGTTAGGGTTTTGTTTGGAATGTCTAGTCAACAAAAATGGTAATGCCAAATATCTTGGCCGACATTTCCCATAGTCTATCATTTGCTCCAGCTAGAATTTTATTTTGAAACGTTTTACCTATAAATATTTGGGACCATATCGCATGGCTCTAATGTCATGTAATTGATCAAATCGATGGTGTGGAGAATTGAGCGACCGGTGCAGTGAATAATGAAGCCGAATAGGTTGACTTGAGCGACTAGGCGGAAATTCAAATGGAATAGTTTTGAGAATGACATGGACCATAATTTGTAGTTGGCCCATATCAAAATTGGCAACGCCGCCAAACAAATTGTTAAATTGAACGTGAGCGAGCATAGGAGAATCGGAGACGTTGATAGAACTGACATCTCGGGACATTGCGACATTGTCTAAAAAATTATGAGCTTGTTGAATAATCAAAGATTCGCTGATGACGAGCGCATTGTCAGCGGACCATGAAAATCGGTGTATTAAAATAGAAGCTGGTGGGTGGGGATGAATGCAAAAACGATTAAAACTCGGATGGACGATTCGCACATTTTAAAAAAGATTTTCTAGATTCAAGGAATTTTAGTTGATTATAAATAATTAAAAAGATTCCATGATTTAAAACAATACAGAATATCGGAAATATTGGCTAGGAATGAATCATTGGAAAATGAATGCATCATGTGTTTTTAACATGAATCGTGAATGTAGGCAAAACAATTTTCAACTGTTCAATGCTTCATGGAAAATGGAATTAATAGGAAATGGGTGAAACGTCTTCTCGAAGGGTTGCTAAAATTCAAGCAAACATATTGTTGAATTTATGTGAGAAATACTTATATTTGAGATGGTCTCGAAAGGATGAGAAGCGTCTGTGTACTTCACACGGACAATTCAACTTCAAAAAGAATGCGAGTTATGAGAGTTCATGCTATAGTCAAGCACGCCACCCGCACATTTAATTAATTTTCTTTGAGTACTGTAGGCAAGTGTGCAATAGCGCGTGGAGTTGACATGCGGACTTGACAAGATTTAAAAATTTGAAATAGCCCATTTTGTTTTCAAGTTTTTAATTAGGAAATGAGAAAAAACATGTTTTTGTCTTCATGCGTTTGGTTTCGTCATAGGAGCACTTTGCATTAATTATTATAAAATGATGGATTGGAAAAATCAATGTTCGAGTTGAAATTCGAAATGTTTCAAATTTAGCCTAACGGTTTTACGAGTTTTTTATTATTATTTTTTATATTATTCCATCAAAAACGCATTGTTTTAAATATGAAATCTCATATACCAGTCGAAAGTTAATTGAATGCTCGTTCTAAAAGCTTCTTCTAAATATTAAAGAAAATTCGATTGGAAGGAGTCAAAATTGAGTTTGAAAATGATTGTGCATTTTTCAAATATGATTCGGGTTGACAGTCGATTTGAGGCGTGAAAATTTTCAAGAAACGAATGATGAGTGCAATTATTTGCTGTTCAAAACGCGCTTAAAAGAAGGGTGGAAAAATTGAGAAAAAAATTCAACATATGATTTTAAGAAGCAAGAAGACTGAAAAATAACCTGCCTGTCTAATATTCAAATCAAGTACACCCATGAAAAATGGGTGGTATTGGTCTCGTAGTGAAAAAAAAATATAATTAACCACAAATAATATAATTAATCACGATTTAATGCATTTGGAAAAATATTTAAAATTTACGTGACCAAGAAAAAGGTACTCACAGATTTGCACAAAACTCCGTCAAGCAAACTAATTTTTCTGTTTTTTTTTTTCGCTGAAACGAAATTCCGCGAAATCATAGTGTAATTGGAGCTGGGAACTTCCTTGATGTCGCCCTGTTTATACCAAAACCAACCGCGGTTTGACTTTAGCCAATTGCTGAGCGCAATTTATTACTCAAGTTCACTCCAATGACACTATTTTTAGAAATAGCTTATGAGAAAAAAGAAAGGTCCCAACGCGAACATTGATTTATGAACGCCGCGTTTAATCAGATTTCGACAAGTCCATAATCAAAGAAATTGGCTTTATTAGACTTTGATGAAAACAAGAACTTCATGAAGCAAAAGGTATGTCTACTGATGGCTGAAAGGTTGCCTAAATTCTAGGTTATACCAATGGCCATGTATGTACTTTTAACTTCAAAATGAATTGGTCACGTCTCGGAGTTTTCATTTTTTTTCCCTTCTGGTCAAAATCTACAACTTCAATGTTCGTTAATTAATTTTATTCGATAATGCGTTGCATAAACAAATCTAATTAGCATTGAATTGGTTAGAGGAGTTGCTTCTTGAAAATTTCGAAGTACAATGATTTGTCAGTTGTCATGTTCGTCGCGAGACCAGTGCGCACTTTTCCGCGAATCTGCAGTGTTTCGTTTATGTTCATGTTGGGGGTCTTGGCGGGAAATTCAAATTTCTTCGCTAAACTAAAGTGTTGAAGGGCAATTTGCCAATTGAATTTTGTCACCTTGACATTCTACCGTAAAATTTCAAATTTTTGAGGAGATTAAAAATAACCGCCGCTAGTCTATTTCTAAAAATAGCAGCTACGTGAATCGATCGCTACAGGACCCACCTCATTTATTTAATTTTTTGAATTTCGCGCTTTCCTTGGACACTAAAATTAAAATTTCTCGATACTTGAAAGTTTGTGAAATTTAATAAATATTGGAGAGTAGGATTTTTGGATACTGTAATTAAAGGCGCGTGTGGTTTTTGAAACACAACTTCTTAATTTGTCGACATACATGAGTAATAGTTTTCGACATGACCAGAATTGTAATTATAGCGAACAATGGGTATCCAGAATTATCTGAAAATTAAAAAAATTCTATTGCAAGCGTTCTCGCCACTCACACTCCATGAGGGTGAGGTATGTGTGAGATGGAAGAGTCGCAGCAACATGGATGAGCAGCAGAAATGAGCCGGATTGGAGGAATGTGAACACGGAGCACAGATTCGCGTTCACTTTCAGACAGTACATCGATCTGTGAAATAGAGCATAGAGAAGTGAGAGATGGTATTTTCTTACTGCATATTCTGCTCTAATTGGAATCTTTTCGACAACGATGACTCAAGGTTTGTCGTTCTTTCGCGCTGAAACAAAAAAAAGTGCTTGATGAAGGCAATTTTGGATTTTACAAAATTCCAATTGTAGAGGCGTCCGAAGGCGATGCGCGAGAATAATTGGGCTACGATGACGGCGATCGCGTTGAATTTGGCGACTCTTGGAAATGACGGCTTGTAAACCTGCAATTTTTGATGCAAAATATTTTAATGCAATTTTTTGGACATATTCATTCAATAAAAAATTGTAAAAATTACACATTTTTCGAATAAAAAAAATGCAGTGGGTACTGTAATTAAAAAATCTGCGAGACCCATGAGGAAATTTGCCATGCGTCTTTTTTCGAAGTTACGGTATTATTTTTTTTATTTGATTGATTCAAGTTTTTTTTTCTTTTAATTTATGTAATTTGTGTAATATTTTTTTAATGATTTTTTTGTGATTTTTCATTATTTAATAATGCGTAATTTTTTACAATTTTCTTTTTGAATGAATAGGTCCATTATTTGTTGTTTTATTTTTTTTTTGATTACTGAACAATATGGCATATAAACTCCATCGAATTTTGTGTTCGAATAGGCGAAACTTAGTGGAATTGCGGCGAGAATGCACTGAAAATATTTTGAAAAATTAATAAAATTTGCTGAAAACCTGGAGTAGTGACAATAGGACCCCAATTAATGGTGAGCAATTCTCGTAATTCAACGACTTCCACGTTGCGATCCATCGTTCGATTGTTAGAAAAATCGCCGAGCAGCCGGTCACCCAAATGCCGATGTTGTACATTAAACGGAATATGAAACATCTGGAAATAGAGAAGATTTAAAAAATTTTTTTGACACGTTGTCTGCGTCTCACTGCACCACACACTCTCTCGATCATGTACACTTCATATTTTGTAGATCAGAACATTCTAGATTCTCCCTCGACTGAGTAGCCTAGAAGTTCACCCAATTCTATTATTAACTTGATTTAATAAAATACACCTTCCGGACCATGTAATTATCACCTCCCACTCCGAATTCGTCTAAATCCCCACAAGATCCAACTCTAATAATCGTGTGACTCTTCAATTACCGTATTCCAAAAAAAAATATCATTTCGAACCACCTATTCCGGATTTTTGAGAGTAGTATTTGAATTTTTGAACCTCAAATTTTTGGGGAAATTTAAAGCGTCAAAAATGGCCAATTTGTTGATTCCCGCCATATTCTCTAAATTTCCCTATTATTTCGTTTTTGACAATTAAAAAATTTTTCTTGATGTATTTTCATACCTGTAAATATTCGGAATCATATAGCAAGGGTTGTCCAGAAGCAAATAATTATGCAAATCCAATGAATGCAAGGTTATTCTAAAAAAGAATAATCAAAAAATAATTTTAGTAATTCATGGTGTAGATTTACGCGAATTTTTTTCTGGCTCTTTTCAAATGACAACAAAACGATTTTTTGGCATCAAAGATGTTGCTTGGCCAAATTTTTTTAGTGATATAATCGATTCAATAAGAACTCAAAATTTAAAAATTCATTAAAGCTATTAAGAGGTAATTTCAAAAAAAAAATCGATTTTTATTTTTAATGACTTTTTAAAGCAGTAAATTGCAATTTCAGACCTTCCACAACAATGGATAATGAAGCCGAGAAGATGAAGCTGAATGAGAATCTTGATATTGACATGAAACAATTTCGCGAAAGGCATCATCCATAATTGATAATTAGCCCATAAAAGGAGCGGAAATGCTGTCATAGAGACGACCAAATTGAATGACAACGAGATTTTCAAGCTAGTTGAACTCGACAAATTGATCATATCAGTGCAGTTCGCATCAGCCATGTCTGAAAATTCTGGAATTTGTATTAAAATTGAGAGATGGGCGGCAATGGAAAAACCTGCGAATTCCATAGCTTGCGCGAAATTTTCTGAATCATTTCGAAAACTGAGGCAATTTTTCAAAAAAAAAAGGGAGTGCTAATGAAATTAATCAATTTTTTTAAACTTTCCATAATTTAAAGATTCGAAAATTGTCCGCGAATACAAAAAACTAAAAGCATCGCGTTACGGAAATTAAAAAAGATTTTTCCGCTGCGCATCTTGTCTGCTTAATCAGATGCAAATTATTTCCATTTTTGGCTCGTCTTGGTCGTTAATGATCAAAGAACATCAGAATTCAATTTTTTAAGATATTTTATTTCAGAAATCTTGTCTCTTTAGATATTGAATAGACAAAAATTAAATGAAAAAATATATTGTCGACGTCAAACGACTGAAGGGAGGCGGGGCCTCAAATTCGCGAAATCAGTGTAGATTTAAATTTATCGTTGACTGAGTATTAAATGCGCGTACACTATAATGCAATGTACGCAGTCTCGCGTACTTCTCGCTGCCTCGAGACGCATTGGCACATTACCAATAATTTTTTTAATTTCGTAAAGTCGTTTGACTTCAACAATAATTAAAAAAATAAAAACAAAACGCGTAAGCCTTCAAGAATGGTGTTTTTGTTATATGATCTTAGAAAACGAAAAGCAGAACGTATTTAGTATTATCATAGACAGACTAGAATCTATTTCGATTTCTTTCGAGACTTCTTTCAAAGCTAATTATCAATTTTTCGCTTCAATTCAATTCAAAAAACTTTGAAAATGAATATTGAGCCCAATCAGGCATATATGCGATTGAAGCATTCAGGAAATTGAGAAGTCTTGCATAATTTGAGTATTGAGGAAATTGAGAAGTTTGCACAACTGGCAGCTCTGCTAAATGGTTTGTATAGTCGGCGTCCGGCGACTGATGTAGATTTACGTGCCTTCGTTATGGTCTCGCACGGGCTAACTGGTTATTTTGCATTGTAGAGGCCATTTCGATGATATTAAGTATTTATGAAAATGAAATATTTATCTAAAAAACTTAAGCAGTTCACGTGTGGCGAGACCATCTTGAAAGGCGCACCCCGTAAATCTACCCCCCCCCGCAGTCATCGGACGACCTCTATAATTGTGTTCGACAAGACTCATACGAACTCGTCAAAAATGGACGAATGCGCCTTTAACCTATTTTTATTATTTTGTCCAAAAAATTTGCGTCTACAGTAATCCAGGAATAAATCTCGAGCTTTTTTCTTTTCACCACCATCTTGAGACTTCATTCGGGAGGAGTACTTTAAGCCTCGCCGGCAAAACCTTCTGAATTACTGTAGACACAATTCTGAACATTTAATCTCAAATAGTGGGAAATGAAACGTGAGGCGGACAATTTTATTATAAAATTCGAATAGTCCAATAATTGGAATGGGTTTTGGTAGAATGAAACAAAGGGTTTGGGGACGAGCAAATTTGAATGGAATGCATTTGAATAAATTGAAGGCGATGTTTGGAAAAGGGCAATGAATCACTGATGATGTTTTTTTTAATTATGAATTTAGTATCACTTGATATGGTGCGGAGTACATGCTCGGGTTTCGATGAAAGAATTCCTTGAGGGAATTGACGAGATTTTGTTTTTGCTGTAATTTGGAATGATTAAATTTTTCGGATGATACATTTCTAGGCTAATTTTGGGAGACGAACCCAATTAAACGAGTATCTCACAATAATTTTAAAGGATTTTGAGAATACCTTGTTCAGTGTGTAACGCGAATAGATGTTGAGAACAATTGAAAGTGCCGGTGTTGCGGAGATCACTGGAACCCTCAGCTCAATTCGAAAAGAAAGAAATTTGACAAACTCTCATTGACGTATTCCAAATATGGCGACGATTCGATGTGCTCGAAAATGAGCAACTCATTGATAATGATGAAATGGAGGAGATGGTAAAAGAAGGCGAAATTGCAGATTGAAGACAAGACTGTGGTGGTGCTGAAGAATCGAAAATCCATTTAAGCGATTCGGCGGAATTGATCTTACAAATAGTTTTGAGCCACATAGAATTTGACGCAATATTCTGTTGGGGGCCTTTGAACACTCTGAATCAATTTTTCGACTTTAATGTCGTGGCGAGACCTTTACAGATTTTATATACATACCTTTGTGTATGTTTTCAATAGGAAGAAAAAAATTATGCCAAGAAGCTGTAGAAATATCAAAGTGGTCGGGCCGATGTTCAAACTATGTGGTGCCGAGAACTTGATATACTGTAAGAGTGCCTAAACATATTTAATGTGCATTGAAAGGTCCTACCACGAACACGTCAGGCGGCATTTCGTGATCGACAGCCAACGCGAATAGATAGAGTGGGATGGTGGCAAGAAAAAAATGGAGAGCGATGAGCCAAACGGTGAAAATTCCGGTGTAATTTGCGTATCGTTTGCCATGAATGGTGGCGAAAATGCGCTCAATGAGCAATGGAACGATGGTGAACATGGTGAGCCACATGCCGAGATTTGAAAGAACATCAAAGCTTAATATATTGACTTCGTTATTCAAAAAAAAATCCGGCTTTTTTACTAGGCAATATTCTTGAGAAGCAAACTGTGATAGCCGAAGAATGAGGTGTTCAGATTGCATATGCTGGTCGTCGACAATCTGCAAAATTTGTGTGCTCAATTATGGGCGGGAATTTTCTTCGAGATAATTACTGGGGAGATTTTTGTTTGAGCGGCCGTCGCTGTTTGATCGCTTACCTAGAAATGCAGTGGAGTAGATCGCCGAACAAATGGAATTGGATGATGATTCTGGTGTTGAGCGGCATCAAAACGGCTGGACATGAGCACCAGATGTCCTTGATGGCGAGCACGGTAAACGGGATGGCGATGGCGGCGAGGATTGTTTGGAGCATGAGGCCTGGCAGCATGAAAGGTGAAGCGTTGAAGGCCTCGAATCGTTTGCAGGAGAAGTTGAGGCTCATGTTCTAGAATTTTTTGATTTCTAGATTTTTGTATAATCGATTTTGTTGTTGATTATTGATTTTTTTTTTGAATATCAATTGCTCTCAAATAGAAATGTGCGCAAATTAGTGATTGTTATTTTTGATTCAAATTGGAAAATATTAAAAAAATTAAAAATTACATTGATATTCTTAATACCGTAATCACTATATTAAAAAAATGAAAGAAATAATTACAAACGCAACAATCAATATGATTTACTTCAAGTTTCTCGATACTATAAAAGCGTTGCTATGAGTGACGAGCACTCGACTCATAAGATTTAATTAAAACAATGATTCGAGACACACGGAGAAGGATGAAGATTGAAAAAATGGAGAAAAAAATGAAATAAAATTGGCGGTCGAAAAGTGATATTATTTGCGAGGGGGTAACCCTATAATTTTGAATGGCTGAAAAGGGCTCAACACGGAAAAAATAAACCGGAAGCACATTTTTCTGTGGGGGGAAATTGGAGTTTTAAGCAGGTTCATTGATATCAAAAAATGTCAAAAAATATATCTAATTTTAATCGATATTTTTAGTTTATCTTAAGAAAATTATAGCAAACGTTCTAGGCTGCCGACAATTTTTGTTCAATTCAGGTCTCGTGAAAAATGTAGATTTCTTTTCGCCTACAATTTATAAGAAAAATAGTAAAATATTCCATTTTTTAATCAGGTTTTCACTTTTTCCTCCTTAGTGTTTAATTTTTCTATTTGAAGTTGTGAGTCTCCTAAATTTCAAAACGTCCTTTTATGAGTGTCATGACCGTGGCCTAGAAATCCGCCGGATTGTAGGCCGATCCTCAGCATTTTTGTGCGTTTCAACTCTGGAATTTTTGCGGTTTGAAAATCCGTATATGCTTATAATTTTTTTCTTAGATAATTAGCTTAGTTTCATTTTAGCCCCCTAATGCCCTTGTGTCCCAAAGATGCATCAAGTAAATATTGCCCGCAGATAAAATTAAATATGAAAATATCGAGACCCGGAAGAGTTCAAGAAATCTGCTCCTTGAAAATTTTTGAAGGATATTCTAAATTTTTAAATTTTAAATGACGATATATGTACACTTTGAATGTACGTATATGTACTTTAATAATACGATTTATGATTTATTTATTTCGATTTTGTAAATAAATAATATCATGACGTTCTATCATGAAAAAGTTCAAAAAATGATATTCTAAAACTATAACTTTCTGAAAAACGTATATTCTATTATGATTTTTTGGCTGAAATGAAATCAAATTGAACTGAAGAGAAAATTCAGCTAATTTCGGTTTGTGAAAAGAGCAGAAAAACCGCATCAATAGAAATAATGAAGGGAAGGTCACTAAACGTACATGAAAAGAAAAGATATGATGTTAGTTAGGAAAAACCAGGATGTGAATTTATTCAAAAAATTCATCAAAATATTTCGAATCGTTCATTTACCTTGGTATACGCAATAGCGGACAGGAACTTGTTCATTATTTCGAGAAAAAATATCCTGAAATGGCCGAAACTGAAAACGAACAATTATTTTCGTTAGAAAATATATGAATAGAAGGAAATATCATTGAAAAGTCAGCAATTTTCGAAAAATTCAGCTAATGCTGTCTTGCAAGATACATAAATGCGCGAGTGTTAGACACGAGCTTTATTGGCAACGGGCTCGGCGAGCAAAATGCACTTGCTTTTGTAGCAGTGTTAGACATAGGTCTAATAATGAACGATAAGTGCGTAAGTAGAATTAGGCCCAACACAGCTTTGTAGGAGACTTGTAGTCTACAAATTCAAATCTTAATAACAATAGAACGCAATTATTCAAAAATAACTTTATTTAAAAACATTATATATATATATATTTTTTTTTGAATAATGAGAAGCTGACCATGGAATATTTAAAATATCGATTTAAACAGTAGAAAAAAACATTTATAAATTATAGTAACCAGCCTCGATTCTATTTGTGATGGCATTATAAATATGAAGTGTTGCGAAAATTTTTCTATACAATCCGTGTACGGTGAGCACTCGTGATATGTGCACACTGACGAGCATTTACGGACTGCAGTTAAATTTTTAAATTGTTGTTTTGTTGAAGCATTCTGACCGTTTTTCTTCGAAAAATTTAATTGTTTCGTGTAGTTTTCTTCGTTACATGTCTAAAATTCTAATTTGGCAGCAGGTATACAGAAAAAAAGTCGATCTCAATAATTTCTCTCTTGGGAACCGAAGGATCCGCCGTACTCCGCTTCTTCGTAAAGTTGCATTCTAATTCGAAGTCTTATTTAAAAAAAAATAAAATACCGATGTTTCTATTTCAGTCATCATGCGGTTGTCGCTGTGTGAATCTTGTCTTTTTTCTTAACAACGTGCAAAATTGAGAAGATCTTAAGAAGGTTATCAAGAAATCTCTGGTTCCAATTTGACAAGAAAACTGAAATTGTAGGTTTTTTCTGGCTTTATCGAAAAAATTTCTTCCGTTTATAGAATGCGAAGATGCCGTAGCGACGTTCGAGAAGATGTACTTTTGACGGTCTACTAGAAACCACCCCCACTCCTGCTATTCCACCCTGACTTTTTAACCCCTCCTTTTATTTATGATACCACCCCCACTTTTTCACTGCACTTCAAAATTTGCAGTTTTGAACAGTAATGTTTAGCAGTAAAAATTTTTTAAATTTGCAATAATTCAAGTTATCAAGAAGATATTCGCACGACTGATGTCTAAATTCGATTTTTCAGAAACTATGTAGTGTTCTTATGAAAGGCTGAAAATTTTAACAAGTAATTAACTATTCTCGGAAAAAGGGGATGGTAACAATTAAATGGGACAAATTTACCAAAAATTACAGAAAAACCAGCGAATCGATTAACCTATATTGATGGAATGACATGGAATTACTGTCGAATGCAGCACCTGAAAGACACATAAATCATGAAATATTGTTGAAAATGATATAAAATTTGAAATATACGAAAAATGAAGCTATGTAATTGTTTTTGAGCAACAAATTTCAAATTGGCGCGCTACTTTTTAATTTTTGAGAATCTATGAAAAGTTTTGACGCATTATTCGAAAATCTTGCACTTTCTCATCGCAGTGAGATTTATCAGATCTACAGTGCGGCAGTAGTTTGAAATGAATAATCAAATACGAAAAAATAGTGGCGATTATGTGTATCATTGAATAAATATATGGTTTCTATAAATCTCAAATTAAAAAAAAAACAAGTTTAAATGAATAGGAATAGTAACGAAAAATGAACCAGAATGTGGCTTGTATGGTTTTTCGCATATTTAAAAAAATGTTGTCGTCTCTGATATCTAGTGGTTTGATGAGGCCGAATATGCCGTTAAACTGTTTTCTCCAATTGAAATATTTATTGTCATCTCGTAGATCATCAGATTTCTGAATATTTACAGAAAAAATTCCTTTATAATTTGTGGGGAAATTCATACAAACTGAGTCCGATGGACTGAATACTTGCAAAATTGGAATATTGGAAATTGTGGGAATAGATTCACGCGATATCTATTATTCTATTTAATTACTTGATTTAAATAAATCGAAATGCATCCAATTTGTAGTGAATGCACAAAAAGAATACATTTGACTGGAGCCGGTTGGGTGTAATCTGGCGCCAGTTCGAACGAAAATCTGGCGTGAATCGGTCCCAATTTACAACCAATTTGTCGTGGTTTGATAGCAGTCTCAAATTCGTTCGGGCGTGAGACTGCTCCCCTTCGGGATACGCCGCAGTCTATGTTTCGCACTTGACGAGCAACTGCCTATTTAGGAAAGACGAAAAAAATGCGGTGGTTGACAATTACGCAAGGTTTTCATTCATTTTCGAGATAAAAAAGAGCTCCAATTTCAAATAATCCAGCATTACTGTACCCGCATGAACTTTGATTCAGAAGATTATCGACAGAAAATTTTCAAATTAATATTTGAATTGGAAAAAAAAAATTAACTTAAAGAACAATGCAAAATAAAACCAAAGTCATGAAAACCATATTTGGGCTGGTCGAAGTGGTAATTTTACCGATCCGACACGTCGAATTCAACAAATACGATACAAGCTAAACTCTTAAAAACTATTGCATTCAGTCAGTCCCAAAATTAAAAAAAAAATTTCGCAAAAAAGGTGTGTGACACAAAATTATATTTATATTATACGAAACACAAACCTCTGAAAATACATGCTGTGTTAGAGATTCTATCAAGTGTACGCGGGCCCTCATACACCCGTAGAACCTCACACAACACATTTCTAGCATTTCCATTACCTTTTTTGATTTTTGATTAAAAAAGAAGCGGAGAATCAAAAACTAACTTACCTGGGGCCAATTCGTGTGAAAACCCTTCAAACTACTCAACAATCACATTTTCGCTAGAGCACTTTTGAAAGGGTTTAACACGATGTTCCCATTTTCAAAAAATGACTTACCTGACTCTTCTAAATAGTAAAGGATTAATAGAAAAATTAAAAACAATAGACAAAATCAAGGATAAAAATTAGAAGGAAATCAAAGATATCGTCCAATTTGATTTGAATTTCGCGGCTAGGCAGATCGTCGAAAGTTTCTTCCTGCAAATATGTGAAATTGGATCTGGTTGGATCCGACAAATTAATTCGTTGAATTGCCAATCGGATTAGGTTGATTCTGGGGCCGAATTTTGTTGAATCCGATTTGAAATACCAGAGAATTGCATTAAACATTGTGTGAACACTTCTACTTCTTAGGGTCGGTTTGAAAATATCCGTGTTCAATTTCTGCGCAAACGCATGCCCTGTCCGGAATTGACATTATAAACTACTCACAATTTGCTCCAAATGGTGGCAGACTCGGGTAGAAGAAGCGTGCCGCAGTATTGCAAAACAGTGCGTCGTTTTGCACAATTCTGCCACGCCCACTTACGAAATTCGTTTTCAACATTTTTCTATTTTGCTTTTCCCAATGGGTTTTTTGAGATAATTGGCAACATTTTGCAGCGGTACACAACTATAGTAAAAAAATTATTGGAACATCGTTAGTCGGAAATTATTAGTCAAAAAATTAGCAAAAAATCACTAGTCAAGAATAATGAGTAAAAATATTTCCAACTTTTGAAAATTACCTCTGTCAAAAATATGCACTCCATTCCTTTTTTTTTACACTATTTCCTCTCTTCTTCGTTTATTCCTGAAAATATAGGTGATTAGTTTGTAAAAAGTATTTGAACCGTACGAGTCATCTGAAGCTGACATACGCAAACTTATTGTTCGCATTCTACCAATTGATTATGCCTTTGATTTTCTCAATGTGATCATCTTCTGATCTGAAATTGAACATGAAATTTGAATTAATGGGAAAATAAAGTCACTGTTTGCGCAATTGCACTTTAATCCCCTCACATGTTCCATTCAGTTGCGAAGTTTTTCGATCTGAAGCAAAATTTTTTTTGAAATGTTAAAAAAAATATTTTAAAAAGCGTCACTGTTTCAAGTCCTGCCATAAATCGCCATCCTCCTTCGGTTGGTCATCTGTTGGCACAGTGTTCATGAAAAAAATTGAAGTTTTAATTATAATATTTTTTATTAAAATATTTTTTGATTACTATCAATAGTTTAAGCTTATAATTTGTCATATTGTGCTTTCAGGAAAAATGTGGAGACCTTCGAAAATTTGTTGCCAATTTGGCGGTCCCTACATCGAATGGTCCCGACGCCACTCCACCGTGTGCGCCTAGACTTCCCCAGGCATTTCCCTCCTGGGTCGGACCCTATGGGCCACCGAAGCGGGACGTTGGTCCGCGTCTCGTGGCACGAGAACGCGGCGTCCGTGCGGGCTCTCTCAAATCCGACTCAACGAATGTTCTCGAGACACGCTCACAGCGGTTCGGAACCTTCGATGTCGGGACAAAGGAAATCGCAACTTTCAAAATATTTCTTAATTTTAACAAAATTTTAATAAAAACTGCTTAAAAATCATAAAAAAAGAAGAAGAAAACACTTACACGACCGATTATTAGCCACATATCGGCGATTGAAAAGCACAATCGAAAAAGTCGGAGCAAAATTGATCTGAAAAGAAATCCATTTTTACAACGGTCAAAATGAAAATGAAATCAAGCTCTTTTAATATTGTGTCTTTTTCATTAATAAGCTTAAATCTCATATTTACCTTCTTAATAATGTTGTTGTTTTCAGAGTTCTTCATCGAAATAATGAACCGCGAAAAATGCTGGCGAAGATGGAAGAATTAAAAATGAATGGAAATGAAGTCACGTTGGTTTTGATATTTCAAATATTCACGGGATTATTAGTTTTTGGAAAATAATTTGCCTAAAAATATAGAAAATTTTTACATAACGACTTTAGTGAAGCGATAAATGTCTACAAATCAGAGGAGACAATTGAAAAATATTGTCAGCAAAGAAATTCGTGATCGATGTTAACAATTTCCACCACTAAATTGTTTTTGTATGATTTTCTAATTCTGAATAAAACTGGCAAAGATTGATTTTTAAATAATTCATAAAAGAAATGGTATATAATCGAGACAACAAATTTGATTTGTAAAGCCCTTGAGAGGGCCGTTGGTGGTCTAAAACATTAGATTTGCCTGTGAATACTTCTCAAAAGGTTCTAGGTTGTAGAGAAGCCACCTGATTGATCTGGTTATTCCCAAGGAGATGGTCCCAAAGGGTGGGACGAGGAGCAAGTACAAACGTAAGTGGTACTAATGTACGGAGAGAAAAAGCTTTCTTTCCACATTGAGTTCAAACAAGAGCAATAGCATCACCTATACCAAACACTGCTGAACCCCCACGACATCCCTAACTCGTCTAAAATTATTCCATTTGAAAACTTTTGTCTGATAAATTGTCGCTCGCTGACACTAGTATCTTCAAGACATCTGTTTCATATGATCAGATTCTGGTTAATCAACCATCCAAAAATGGGATTAGCATGTCGACTTGACATATTTTTTCATCTTCGTATGAAAATTTGTTTACATTAAACTAATGACACACCTAATACGTAAGAAAAAGCGAAAAATATTCAAATAATCTAAAAAAAAAGGCAGTCAATGATTGTTGGAGACCATTTTCATTCTTTTGATCTAATTTGATTCGGTTGTGTTCGTCGAAGGTTAAGTATGTGCGGTATCTGAAACAAGTTTCATGATTCTGATTCTGGAGTAGACTTGGGTGATTGAGTTTGTATTCAAATAGACCCCCCCCCTCCAAAAACCCTATAGGTGTGCATAGCTGAGGAGATTTTCTCCTCCCATAGAATGTGCACTATTAGTTTGAGAAAATTGAGATTGAAATTCTCCCACCCCCAGGTGTCTAGAGTGTAAAAAAGTATTTCAATTCAACCTGCAAATTCCATTTTGACGGTTTATTGAGCAAAATCGGTTTGCATATATACGATAGTTGAGTCATTGAAAAACAAGAAGAAAAGGTCAAGCGGAAAAATTGACAGGTTTAAGTTTGAAAAAATTTTTAAAGAGGAAGTAAAAGTCTGAATATGCACAAGCTAGTACTTTTTAGAGTTTTGAAACATTTAGAAAACACCTAGCTTTATATTTTTCAATTTTGCTGTACGCGAGTAGATTTATGTGCATGCGTCTTCGCTATGGTCTCGCGCGGACTGGTCGGTTCGATAATTTTTAATTTGAATGACGTTAGAAATTCAAGAATATGCCTACATCATCAAGACGAAACGTTAAAATACCAAATAAAAAGCGGCGAGACCATTCCGAAAGGCGCACCCCGTAAATCTACCCGCGAACAGCAATCGCCGGACGCCTTCAATATTTTACTAATTTTCCCACTCAATTTGATCCCGATTAATTTTATTGGCAATTTTTTGAAAAAAAAATGTCATTTTTGCAGTCGATGGGCGGAGCATTCTGCATGAATTTGAAATACCGTTTCCATATGACATAATTAGCGTCATCATCATTATGTATTATGCATGATCAAAAATCTCTACGTAATATTCGTTTGCGTGTTGTTTTGAAATCAAAACAACGAATCTCGAGACGAAAAAGAGAATGTGGCGATTCAATCTCATAACCCCATTTATAGTATTCTCAGCGATTCATGCGCTCGCCGTCACCTTCAATATATTCCTAATCGTCGTGGTTTTCAAATATGGTGATAAAAGTGGGGGAGTTTCAGAAATAATTGCGGCCAAACTAATTTGGGCAACATTTTCAGAAACAATTCCAACCGTCTATATTTATAACATGGCCGTGAGCAATTCGATAAATACCATCATGTCGTTCACAACATTCAATATGCCAATGTTATGGACAGACGATTATTACATAGGTTTTGAAAAAAAAACGAAATTCTCGAAAATTTTTGAATTGAGCAGAATTTCGCGACACTTATATGCCATCCCTTACCGTAATCACATCTCTTACTTATCGCTATGAATTATTCCTTCCATTCCTCATGATTGTGCAGCGAGTTTATTGCGTCTATAATCCGTTCAACAATTTGTTCACCGACTTCTATTTATGGATTTATTGCGCAATTCTTGTGGTAAATTTTGATGGAAATGAATTATAGCCGATTTCGTGGGTCGCGTGCGGTCAAGTGAATCTAAAAAAATTTATAATTCGCTTCTAAAGAAACATTCCGGAACCAGCTAAATGTCAAGGCGACCGCACGCGAACCGCAACGCGCCAGACGACATAACAAACCGTTCAGGGAATCCTTGCGTTCTTCATTGTCATTCCCCAATTCACCAATTGCTATTTTTATATTGACCAACGGAAATTCGCGTTCATATCGGCGTGCGCTCCAGACAAGCACATCGTAAGCTCCGAAAACAAATTTAGGGTCTTGAGACGCGAATTTCCAGCTGCATCGAATTGTCTTCGATTTTACTGCGTCGGCGCCGTACATTTCCATGATCATCAGCATTGTGATCATCATTCACTTGTCGCTGAAACGCGGGAAAATGTTTCACACGGCACCAAGAGGAAGCGGTAAACAATCAACAAATCATTGACAAGTAGTAGAATTATTTCCATGTCAGTGAGCAGTTTGGTTGAGCAAAAAAGTGTGGCGGCGAAGCGACGACGAAGCTATGATAAGAGCATGGTATTGCAATTGGTCGCCACCACAATATTCCTGACGATATACGATGTTTCGGCGAGAATTGTTGGCAAAATTCCGGTAGATCAAAACCATGAGGAGGGTTTTTGAAAAACCATTTTTTGTAGCCGACGGTTGTCGAAATCACACCGACTGCCAATTCTACATTTTCTACATTCGGGCAGCGTTTGCGGCTCTGATAAACTTCACCGTTTATGGAATTGCGACGAAGAGGACGAGAAATTTGATAATTGATTCGTTGAGATTTTTGGCGAACGGCGAGAATGTCGAGATTGCGAGTGTTCAATCGACCACTCAAGTACGCACGACGACCAATATTTGAAATTTATTGTCTCGAAAATTTTGATAAATGCAAATCAATTAACAGACGACGATGGGTGTTTCTTTTTTACTCAACTAGAATTTCAGACTAGTTTTGAATTTTTAATTTCAAATGGAATTGCGAAGGAAGAATAAAGCAATTTAAATGCAAGCAATTCAAGCTTGGGCTTACCTCTTTTGAAGGTAGGGGGGTATTACGAGCAATGTGGACACAGCAAACCTTTTTTAAATATTTCATAATACTATATAAAATTGTATATATAAATATTTTCCATCATAAATTATTTTAAAAGTTCGGTAGAGCATATTTGCTCTTGTGACCTAGCAGTTTAAGTATGCCAGCAAGTTTGATCTCCATTTCATAGATAAGACGTTCATCAGTGATCCGGTACTTCTAGAATACGAAAAAATTCCAAAAAATAATCTACCTTACGCTTTTTGATTTTCACACATGCTCATTAATGCCTGCTAGTGAGTGTGCCTTTTATTTTCAGCCTAATAAGGGGCTTTCCAATAACAATACGAAGAAAGAAGACGAAAAAAGGCATACATTGTCGTTTGAAAATGTGGCAATTTTCTCTGATAGCTCCATTTCTAATATTCACATCGATTCACCTGTGTTCGTTGATTTTCAATATTATTTTTCTGGTGATTATAGTCAAATTCGGTGACAAGCGTAAGACGAGATTTTTCTGCTAAAATTTGATTCATACCTAAAATGCTCTCAGGAGCCCTTCCAACCGTCTACATTTATAACATGATCGCTAGCAATATGATCAACATTTGCCTGACATTCTTCGGCTTCCTGATGCCTCTTTTATGGACCGATGAGTTCTATAATGGTGCTTTCACATCTCCTATATATTTGATTCAAGAATTTGCAGAGTTTCGCGATGCCGCCAGCCCGATTCTGACACTTTTCACCGCATTCTCCTATCGCCATCCACTATTCCTCACATTTCTCATGATCATCCAACGAGTTGGTTGTGTCGTTTCGCCGACGACCACCAAATTCTCCGATAGACATTTGTGGGCGTATTGCGCGATTCTGGCGGTCGCTGAAATTCTAGAAATTTCTTGAAATTCATTAAGCGTTTTCAGTTGATCATTTGCATTCTTCTAGTGGTCCCTTTCTTTTCTGATTGCTATTTGTACATGGATCAACGGCGATTAGCATTCGTCACTGGATGTGAGCCAAATAAGCATTTGGTACCAATCAAGTAGTACTATTGAGGTATAAATGGATATTTTCAGTTTACTGCAGTCTTATTCTTTTCCACCTCAATCGCCCCATATATTTCAATGGTCCTCAGCCTTCTTATCCTCTGCTATCTTTCCATGAAACGCTCTAAAATGTCCCAGCTTGATCGTAACAGAAATCGCAGAAATTTGAAAATTTCATTTCAGTACTCATTTCAGGTCGATCTAGCAGTTTGACGAATACGAAAATTATTAAGAGTCGACGAAGGCAGAGCTATGAAAAGAGCATGATGCTCCAACTCATCTCGACCACAATTTTTCTGACGCTCTACGACATTTCAGCGAGAGTTCTCAAAATCATTCCAGTAGAGCCTTCTGAAAATTTTACACCTCATACGGCCAATTATTTTTGAGCCTTCGATTCTCAATCGTACTCCAACCTCACTTTTCTACATATTCTACGTTCGACAAGCATTTGGTGTTCTTATCAATGTCACCGTATATGGGATTGGTACCAAGCGGACACGGACATTGATAATTGAGACGATGGCGGCGGTGGCGAATGGAAGGAAGATTGAGAAGATGAGCGGAATGACGACGCAGACAAGAATTTTTGTTAAGAATTGATTTATTCTAATGATTTTTAAGATGATTTTATGAAAATATGAAATTTTTTAAAGTAAATTTCAATGCCAAAAATAGAAAAAAAATTATCGTTCTCATATTTTTTTTCTGAATTTAAATTTTATCCTTTTTTCTTTTTTTATTTTCTTTACATAATGCTTAAACAATGAATGAACTTCTTCGGAATAATGATGAAATGAAATAAATGAATTTACAAATAAATTTTCTTATATGCTTTTTTTAACTGTAATTTTTTTATCAATATCTTATTATGTCCAGAAAACTGCACATTTTCAAATTTCACATAATTTATTTAAATAATTAGTCAATATGTTAAAACCGTTTAAATATAGTATAAAATCTAGTTGGTTAATTCAATTGTTCAATTAAATCTCATTTCTTCAATTTTGGTGTGTCAAGGCAAAAAGGCGCCTACTGTATGTACACCGTAATTGCTCGATTGCCGACCATCCACTCTTCTCCTAATTAATTAATAATGCATTTGTGTCGACGCCAACCATTGGATTAAATATAGTAAAATCACAATAATAAAAGTGTTTTATTCAAACAAAGTTGTTCTGTTCAGATGTCGCCAATTCGTCTATTTCTGCTCATATTGGTATTTGTCACGATTGGCAGTCTGTCCTTCATCCATCAAGTATCATATAATAATTTTCAATCATCTAATACAATTCCAGCTGTACTGTGCATCTTCTCTCGCCATTTTCAATGGTACCATTGGAAGTAATGATTATCAGCACACCTCCGATTTTTCATTTTTATTGATTTCAGCGTCCGACGATGGTTCTCTGTGTGATCTGCCTATCTTGATCCTCTTCGGAGTCTTCTTCTCAATTCTTTACCTCACCATCTTTTATATTGTTCTTGTGTGGAACGTTGCCGAACTCCAATAATTTCTCAGATGTAAATTAAGATAAATTGCTACACAATCAATAATCATTTTTACATTCTGCCTAGTGAAGCATTAAAATCGAAATTTTTCGCGTCATGTCCCTTTTCGATGAGATATTGTTCAGATTTTTGAGTTCCTTGTCGCAAAATTAAAAACCGAGGTCAAGAAAACTGCTGCTTGGGCATTCTCACTTTTTTTTCTTTTCGAATTAAAATTCTCAATTTTATATTCAAAACGCTGCTTTGTTTTTCTGGGTCCTGCAAGGAAAATCTCAATTGGTCATTGACAAGATTTAAAAGCTCGCGGCGCGAAAAATTGCGATTTGAAAAAAAAATTGTTGACCTGTCTGCACTCTCTCCGTTTCTGTTGTCTCTCGCTATACCAATTTCCAATTGGCGCCGCCCATCCACAGTCTCCAGGAGTTTTTCATTTATTTTATATAATTTTTTTGTGTTAAGTAATTGTCAATTATCGACCATTAATAAATATTGTCGAAGTCAAACGACTTGACGAAATTTAAAAAATTATTAGCTATTCATTATAGCGAACGCGCATTGAACATTCAGCCAACAATTAATTTAAATTTACACTAATTTCGAGAATTTGAAGCCCCCGCCTCCATTCAGTCGTTTGACGCCGACAATATCAACTTGCAGCGTTCGTGCAGAGAACTCGATGATCTCGTTGAAACTTTAAAAGAAAAAAAAAAACAACAACAAACAGGTGTTAAAACAGACATTCTATGGTCTGAAATAATTGAAAAGCCTTGTTTGTTTTTCAACATGGCTTGCTTTTCAAATATCAAAAAATCGCCTTAATTATTTATGCGTATTGCATTTCGCGAGATGAATTCAACTGGTTCGTTTTTTTTTCAAAGCGTTTTTCGTTAAAATATCGCATTTTTAAGGCGAACATAATGTCTGGAAGTTCGATCAACTCGCTCCATTCGTCATATTCAGCTCTATTCATTCATTTTCGCTGGTTTTCAATGCGTTCTTTTTCCTTGTTATCAAGCAATTTGGTGATAGAAGTAAGGGGGATTGGAAAGACGCAGAGAAAGAAAAAAAAATTACAGAAACCACTCCGATTGTCTTCATTTATAATATGATATTGAGCAATGTTATGAACATTATCGGAACTTATATTGGTTTCCTGCTTCCTTTGGTGTGGACTGACGAGTTCTACTTCGGCAAGCGTCGGTTTCCAGTTCAAATGCAAATTTGCAAATTTTCAGAGTTCCGCCAAAATTACAGCGCATTTCTGACGCTTTTCATCGCCTTCTCTTATCGCCACCAGCTTTTCCTATCATTTCTAATGATAATTCAACGATTTTATTGTGTGCTCAATCCGACGACTCAAACATTCACCGACTACTATCTATGGCTATACAGCGGGCTTTTGATGGTTTCAGAATTTGCGCGAAATTCCAAAAAACTGAAAATTGCAGGCATTCGGTGCTCTACTCCTTCTCATTCCGTTCCTTTCAGATTGCTATATGTATACCGATCAAAGGAGACTGAAAATCCTGTCGGCTTGTGAGCCAAACGTGCACCCGGTTTGGCCAGTTTTTTGAATAATTCCGTTTTATTTTTTCGATTTTCAGATAGCCAAATATCATATCAAATTTACCGCCTACGCGCCGTATATCTCATTGATCTTCACTATTGCTCTCATATTCTACGTGTCCGCAAAGCATGGAAAAACATTCAAAAACAGTCAAACATGTGGGGAACAATTTAGACTAATTGATATACATATATACATATGAAATTTAGCGAATTCGAGAATTTTGAAGAAAATACGGAATTATGAGAAGAACATGTTGATTCAAGCAGTGTCGACGACAATCTTCCTGACAGTCTATGATTTTGGCGGAAGAATTTCGAGATTCATCTCGGTGAAAAAAAAAGCGTCTTAGCCAAAATTAATGGTTTTGCTCAATTTCAGCCAGCATTTGTTGTGCTCACTTCCACCGATATTTTCTACATATTCTACATTCGGGCAGCTTTTGCAACTCTCATCACGTTCACCGTATATGGGATTGCAACGAGAAGGACGCGCAATTTGATAATCACCTCATTGTTTTGGCTGATTCGCGGGGACAATGGAAAACAGATCAGTGTGGTGTCCACGCAAATTCGACGCACTTCACATCTCTAATTCATTTTTGTTTTTGAAATACCCCAATAAGAAATATTTGCATTTTCATTTGACTTATTTCCCATCGATTTCCCACTTCCGGTGGCAATTTGCAACTCGGTCAAACTTCACATTTTTTGCTTGGTCAAACTTCACAATTATAATAAGCAATAATACTTTGTGGTTTCCCATCTATGGTGACATTTTCGCCCCTTGCTTAAAGGATTTTTTTTTAACATCAACCTACTTCCCACGACATTTTGAGTATAAAGGCACGCGTAGGCGTAATAAGGAAGCAGATTGATTCATGAATTTGAGCGCCGCAGGTATTTTGCAAAAAAAGGAAGCAATCATTACAAAAAATTTCAGATTCAATATGGAACTTCACGCTTATCGTTCCTTTTCTTGCCTATAGCGCTGTTCCGATATTCTCACTAATTTTTAACACATTTTTCTTCATTCTGATTATAAAATATGGAAATCACAGTTAGATCAAACCACCTTAACCAATTGAGATGTTTTTTCCCTTCAGAAAAACATCCAACTGTATATATTTATAACATGATAGTCAACAATGTTACAAATATTTGCACGGCATATGTTGGATTTTATTTGCCAATGCTTTGGACCAACGAGTTTTATGCCAGTAAGTAGGGTTAGCCGTTTCCTGAAACCATTGATATTTTTCAGAATCCTTGAATTCTTATAATAACATACTTACATTATTCACCGCGTTCTCCTATCGTCATCCATTGTCATTGACATTTCTGATGGTCATCCAGCGACTATACACGGCCAATGTTCAATGACTCATACTTTTTGACTTGACTCATGATTTTTGACTCATAAAAATTGTATCATGATTTTTTATTCTTTGACTCATGGTTTTTGACTAGTGATTTTTGACTATTTTTTTTTTGACTAACAATTTTTGACTAATGATTTTCTGAGAATTTTTTAAATAATTTAAATAAATTAAAATTATTCTGGTCTGATGAGAATTGCAATATTATTTAAATTTTTGTACATTAACTCAAACCAAAAAGGATTTTTTTATTAACAAAAAACAAAATTATATAATGAAATGGTGGACATCAGAAAATGGGCGAATATTTCCGTAGTTTTTTTATTTTTCTTTTTTCTCCAGACATCGTTAAGCTCGATTCGAAGTTTGAGAGACTTCTAAAAGAATACTAATATTGGTCCAACTTTTGGTTACTACGGTCAATTACCTTTTATTTTCATTTGGAGTTGTCCAAATCTGTGTTGATGTTTCCAAAATATTGGAAACTGATCCAGAATCGGATTCAAAATCTCGATATCTAAAAATTCAAATATTGGTCCAACTTTTGGTTACTACGGTCAATTACCTTTTATTTTCATTTGGAGTTGTCCAAATCTGTGTTGATGTTTCCAAAATATTGGAAACTGATCCAGAATCGGATTCAAAATCTCGATATCTAAAAATTCAAATATTGGTCCAACTTTTGGTTACTACGGTCAATTACCTTTTATTTTCATTTGGAGTTGTCCAAATCTGTGTTGATGTTTCCAAAATATTGGAAACTGATCCAGAATCAGATTCAAAATCTCGATATCTAAAAATTCAAATATTGGTCCAACTTTTGGTTACTACGGTCAATTACCTTTTGTGTGCCAATGTTGGGGTGAAAGAAGACAAATTTACACTGGATTCATTGTTTTGAAGTACACTGTCTTCACTATCATTGTACATTGTCATGCTGAAAGAAAGTGTTCGTACTTCGAATATTTGAAAACAACTTACAGCGATAAATCTTGCAAAAGTCTTCGCCCATTATTTTTACTCTTGTTTGTTCTCTTCCGCATTGGAGCTTTTCTTCCACATAATACTGGCCTACTCAATGTTACCCTTTTTCTCAAACTAACTTTGCGTGCTTCATCGGCAATCTTTTCGATTTCTACCTCTTTTTCTTTTTCCGTTAAAGAACAAACCGCAGCCCATCTAAAATTTTTTGGAAGGTTAGAAAGATAATTTTTTTTTTACAAATGCTGGCATATTTTTGGGAATCGTCTCTTGCAGTTCATATCGGAGCATCCTATGCGATTGTCCGAAGATTTCACATCGACAATACTGCTGAAATAAAGTTTCGGAAGTTCTCCAGCAAAATTTCCAGTAAAAACATACTCATTTGACTTCACTATAAAACCTTCCTCATACATTATTATTTTGAATTTCTGAACCTGCTGGTGTAACCATACAACATGCGAATCAGGATTGTCTGTGAAATTGAAAATAAGAATTTCCTCAGAGATTGGTGAGCACATACCTTGGGCTAAAATAAGAGGTAGTTTTAAGATTGGTCTTTCACGAAACCCTAATTTAATTAGAAATTGAGTTTTTTCGAATTCCCGGAGATTTGAAAACAATTCTTGATGCTCAAATCGTACGACTTCGTCGTAATCTATCACAGATCGATGATAGCGATCGCTTTCGTCTGAAAATATAATGAAATACTCACGACTACTGCAATTTACCCTTCACGAAACCCTAATTTAATTAGAAATTGGGTTTTTTCGAATTCCCGGAGATTTGAAAACAATTCTTGATGCTCAAATCGTACGACTTCGTCGTAATCTATCACAGATCGATGATAGCGATCGCTTTCGTCTGAAAATATAATGAAATACTCACGACTACTGCAATTTACCCTTCAAGAACTCCATAATTTTCAAACAAGCATCATCAGCACGTAACGGCGATTTTATCAGCTCAGCCAAAATTGAGTTGAAACATTCAATTGAATTCGACGATAAAAAGGGTTGAATAACACCAGCAATCAATCGGCTCCGCAAGGAATTGCAATCGAAAAGGTTATCGAAATTTCGACGTACCCTGAAAAAAGGAGAAAAAAAAGAAAATTTAAAAAATTCGTTTTTCTTTCATTTATTACGATTTATTTTTTTTTTTAGTTAATATGCTATTTTAATGTTTTTCCTCGAAACGCCAGCATTTCTTTAATCGTATTTCATCGTTGCCTAATATTTAAATTTAAAATATTGAAAATACCAAGCTTTTGCGCCATCATCATCACAAGTCTTCTCAAACAATTCGAGACGACGGTGATAGTCTTGTATGTTCAATGCTCCAAGAAGTCCAGTCTTCAAGTAGTTCGGTCCCATCTGTAGGCTCGTAATTTTAATTGAAAAAGTGAATGTAAATGTTTAAACTTGTCCAAAAACCATTCGGACTATTCTGCGACTATAACTCGAATCCTTAGATTTCACACTATCTGCCAAATTTTTTGATCTGTGTAGTTCACAACGAAGAGTTTGTGCGTGGTCGAATGCGGAAATAGTCTATAGTTCTCTCTTGAAATAGATATATGAGTTAATTGAAGAACCTGGCGATATACGGAGAATGAAGATTCACCGTCACAAATAATTGCAGGAGTTTTTCTTAACTTTTTTGGCTCAAGCTGAGACAAAATCGATTCTAAATGCTGCGCATGGAACGAATGACTTGCGGAATGTTTTCTAGAATGGAAAAGAACTCCCAAAACAAGAAATCGGGGTTTATCGGAACTTCGAGTTCTAAAGATAACTATTTTTTCAAATTCATTTTTGATTATACCGGAATTGTTTTGAGGCAGTCCCAATGATAGTTATAAAAAGATCCGATAGTGTGAATGTTGTATCAATGAATATAACTCCTTCAAACATGTATGCATCTTTTTCCTTCCTGTTCCAATCGTCTATCAAAATTCAAAATAATATCTAATTCTATACAACAATGGCTATCATACCCAAGTATTTTTGAATCGAACTAAGCGGTCCATCGTCACATAATTGTCCAATCTTTTCGCGATGTTGAACTAGTTCGTCTTCAGTTGGCAAGGAATTCAAATAAATGTTACAGTTTTCACGGATTATTATTGACAAACATTCCGATATATCTCCATCACCTTAAAATATTTTCAGAATTTAATGAAACCCAAAAGTAAGTAAGTGTAAGTGAATGAAACATACAATTTTCAATCGAAAACTTGCAATCTGGAATTTTATGAGAAATACTTGACAGTTGATATGGGGTTGCCACTCGTTTTGGGCCTCGTTTCCCGATTACTGCATCGCGCACATACCGAACTTGATTCCGAATCTAAAGTAAAATAGTTCTATTTTAAATATGTGCCATATTTACCTGTTTCTTATTAAATTTAAAACCTTGATCCAAAAGTTGTTTTTTTTGTGCAGTCAACCGTACGCCCCTTCAGCGTTTCTCGAATTATCCGAGCTTCTTGATCTGAAAAAAAATTTATTTAATGTTGTAGGCAAAATTTTACTTGAAAGCCTCGAAGGCTCCTCAATAAGAATTATGTTCGGAGATTTTTTAATGTATTGGATTAAAAAAATTTCGCCGCCAATCTTATGAATTATCTAAAACTAATAATTTAAAAAATACACAAAATAACAAATACCATTTTTTTCAGATCGGGGTTTTCCACGTATTCGCATTTAATTACTTGGTATTTTTCGTATTCTTGGTTCCAATAAATATAAATGGGAGCAATTTTCTTTTTTCCTAGAAGAATAAAATAAATAATTTAAATTGCAAAAATATTATGAACCTTTTTCCCTTCTTGACCATTTGAGGCCATCGTTCATCGCACTTAGGCCACACAAGGCGTCCTTCTTTATAATGAAATATTTTGAACCAATCCATGTTCCATCAATTTTCGATTTGATTTCGTTCATCGATATCGAATATCTATAAAATACAAATATTGTCGAAGAAGGACGAATTGTACAAATTTGAATGACCAAACGCGTTAGCTATTTTTGAATTTTTGCATGCGCCAATATCTATAAAATTCAATTTTTTCAACTTAATTACTCACCGAATCACGTTTTCGTCGTCGGACAAGAGCAAGCCTAAAGCTTCGTGCTTTTTCAAATAATCCGTTTTAGATTGAAGAGACATAACAAAACCAAATGTGAAGTTTTCCGAGAAGGCGACTGAAAGTGATTTATTAGTGTCATAAAGTTAAACGGAACAAATTTCATCTGACATGTAGTTTCAGCATGTAACTAAGAATTACGGCACGAAAAATAGTGAATGAACGGAGAATTTAGGATTGATAGCAATAAAAACATGAAAACGAAAACGATCTGTAAACACAACGGTATAAAATGCACACCGAGCTTACCGTACCAACCACGTGTATTTTTTCCACAACTACTTACATAATGAACTGCAACGTGTTTTATTTATAAAAACTTATAAATTCATTTTCAAAGACTGTAGTTAAAATATTCTACATAGATTAAAAAAAAGGAAAAACATAGAAAAGCGAAAAGATTAACTAATTTTTATCTAATTAAATTTTTAGATTGTGCACATTTGAGAAAATGTTACCGTAACGCTGCGTCTTTAACTGTCATTTTTTATTTCTTCTTTTTTTTTTTTTAAATTTTTTTGCCACTTTTTTCAGTTAGTTGCTTCGAAATTAATTGAAATGTTTCTAGTTCAATTTTAAGTCTATTTATTATAAATTCACGGCAATTAAGGCTTGAAATTGCGTAAATTTCAATTATTTCTCATTAATTTTTAGGATTTTAATTTTTCCGCAAATTTCGATGTTTACTCCACTTCTCACAGTTTTTTAATAAATAATTTTTTAGGTTCCGTGCGTTGGCAGCACTATTTGATAGATTCAACATTCGATTCTCTACTTCTGTATCTTTTGGTATATTTTTTCCAGTTTTATTGTCTTTTCTCCACGCTAATTAATTAATTTCGGTTTTTTTTGAATAAATTTATTTTTTTTAAACGTATTTGATTACTTCAAATCATTTAAGTTCATTTGGTCGGTTTTAAGAATTTGAAAACAAGCAACATTGCCAAGCAACACTGCACTCGCACAAAAATTATGTTCTTTCAAATACGTTTAGTTTACTATTCATTGATTGCTCGATTGGGTGAATCAAGGAAAAGAAATCAATACTGCCTGCTGCAAATTTCCAAATTTTCTCTATCAGCCGAACAACTAGTTTTATTGCAGTATATATATATATATATATATATATATATTGAAATCTGCAATAATTTACATATATTGTCGGCGACAAACGACTGAAGAAGGCGGGGCCTTCAACTTCACGAATTCAGTGTAGATTTAAATTTTTTGTTAACTGAATATTAAATGCGCGTACGCTATAATGCAATGTACGCAATCTCGCTGCCTCGAGACGCATTGGCACATAGCCGATATTTGCTTACATTTCGTCAAGCCGTTTGACTTCGATAATATGTATATTCTCAGAAAATCATTAGTCAAAAATTGTTAGTCAAAAAAAAATAGTCAAAAATCACTAGTCAAAAACCATGAGTCAAAGAATAAAAAATCATGATACAATTTTTATGAGTCAAAAATCATGAGTCAAGTCAAAAAGTATGAGTCATTGAACATTGGCCACTATACACAGCCTATAACCCAACGACCAACAAATTCACCAACAAATATTTGTGGATTTACTGCGGGATTCTAGCGGTTAGGCGATTTCGTCAATTTCAGGACTTGAAAATTGCAGCTAATTGGAGCAATATTATTAATAATTCCCTACTTTTCGGATTGTTATTTGTACATGAATCAACGAATTCTGGAATTCACTACAGGATGCGCACCGAATATGCATCCAGTAAGGAAATAGTCAAGCTGCAAGAAAAATTTGCAATTTCAGATAAACAAATATTATTTTAATTTCACCTCGTTTGCTCCGTATGTTTCAATGCTACTTAGTATCGGAATCGTTGTGCATATCTTGATAAGACACGGCCGAATGTTGAAAAATATTGACGATAATAGCGCAACTGGTAGGAATCCTGCAAAAGTAATTTTCCAATAGTATGAAGAGTATTTTTAAATAGTGAAAATTAGGATGAAATGAAAAAAAAAAGAAATTTTGGCCCAATCAGGCAAGTCTCTAAAAAAAATAAAGAGGGCCGAAGAATTACTTATTCCACAGCCATATTTTTCGCGGTCACCTGATATAGAATGTTTAGGAAGCTCCCAAATGCTTGTCGGCCTAAAATCTCGAAAAATACAAAGTTACGAGCGAAGCCTACTTCTTCAATTAATCTCTACTACATTATTTCTGACAGCATACGACGTATCGGGAAAAATTATCAATATTATTCCGTCGTCGATTCTTCAGATGTCACCAACTGCGAAATTTCACATTTTCTACACACGCGTCTCAATCAATTCATTACTCGATTTTACCGTTTATGGAATTGGAACAAATTGTACAAGAAAATTGATAATTGAAAAACTTACTTTGATATTCAAAAGAGAAAATTCTCAAGAAACCGGGGTGATTTCAGTGCGGCCAACAAAAACCAATTTTTGATAAAATTGATGTGCTTTGCAATATTTAATAAATATGTGAAACTGTTAAAGATTTTAAGACAATTAGCAAAAATGAGAAAACTATTTATTTCAAACAAACGTAGCTGTCGTCACAAGACGATTTAGGATAATAATAGACCGAGCAAAATTAGTCATTTAATTGCCATCTGACATCACCTAATATTTTAAACGTCATGACTGCCACCTACGCACACGCGATACAAACAATGAACACAAATCAGAAAAGGCGTGATGGTGCAATGCAGATTTTCTTAAAATAGAATAAAAAGTTCTAGTAAAATAGTATACCTTGTACAATATTCCTTAAGGGATTTTAGGGTTTCCAAGGTTTCTTTTAATGTTTTTTTTTCCCGAAATTGCCTGGTACCATAGAAGTCTACAAAAAAGTCTCTTTTTTATTTCTTAAAAAATTCAAATTTCGGATCAACTGAATTTTGAATTGGCCAATGCTAACCTGACCAAAATATTTGTTTTTTTTTTGGATGAACCAATCAGTTCACAAGGTTCAAATATTACATCAAAATTTGATAAGAAATGGTATTATCACACCGTATAAAAGCAATGAATATTGTCAATGAATCAGTAAATGATGAGGTTCGTATTTGCGCTCTCGACGTTAATTTTTGGAGTCGCCTCGACCCGACAAGATGTAAGTGAAAGTTTTGTTTGAAGAAAAAAATCTATATTTTTTTTCAGAATCCATTTGGTCGTGATATTAATCTGAATCCATTTCGAAATGTGTCGAAACAATGCGTTTCAGACACCGAAATCTGGATGAAATCGCTTGAAGAGATTTTCGCGGTCGTCGGCGATTGTGTCGAGTTTCAGAATTGCACTGACAAACAGGCAAAAGTGCTCGAAAATAATCAATACGCAATCAAACGTAATTAAATGCAAATTTTCTGGATTTGAAAATGTCTTTTTTTCTAGAACTTGACGCGTTTGGAAGAATTCCGAGCCCCGGACTTCTCGAGATCAGCCTAATTGCCGATGGTTCCTATCAAGAGTGTCAAGGAGTTAGTGGTGTTAAATATGAAACCAATTATTGCTATTTGGTCCTGGTTCCTGGAAAAGTAGGTCCAAAGAGCATTGGTAAAATAGATTTGATATTTTTAGAATGCGAAATGCCCATCGGCTCCCGTTGCCGCGCTGAAACTCGCTGTTTGCATGCCGAACAGCTGTGGAAAAAAGGTATAGTCAACCTCAAACAATTATATAGTCGGCGTCCGGCGAGTGCTGTACGCGGGTAGATTTACGCGCATGCGCCTTGAAAAGAATGAATTATATGAATTAATATTTCATATAATTTCTGTATTTTTTTTGGTATTGTTCGAACTATATGAATCATCAATATTTTTTATTGTCGTGGGCCGCCAATTTTAGGGTGTAATTGATTTCAAATTTGAATTACCGCCTTGGGGTCTTATATGGAAAAACTTATAGGTGCGAGTTTCCCATATTCTAACTCTTCTTTTGTTTTGTGAAAGACCAATTTAAAAAATTTATTTCATTCGATAAACGTGCCAAATTTTGGCGTAGAAGCCAATTATTATGTTTTATGCGACCAATTAATTGACAACCCGCGAAATTCAAATTTCTCAAATTCGTCCGTCCACTGCAATAGTAGTAAATAATTTTGCCTTCGATTTGATCTACGCGTTGTCTCTCATGTTGAAAGGAGATTGCTATGCGTCCGGCAACTGCTGTACGTGGGTAGAATTACGCGCATGCGCCTTGAAAAGGTCTCGTCACGTGTGAATGATTATTTTACTGTTTTCACGTGAACTGCTTCATTTTTCTTGATGATTTTCATTTCCTTGAATTTCCAACGTCATTCGATTAAAAAATTGTCGAACCGGTCCACAAAATTTAAAATAACCTGTTTGTCCGTGCGAGACCATTTCGAAAGACGCATTCCCGTAAATCTACACCCGCGTACAGCAGTTGCCGGACGCCACCAATACTATCTATAAATACATCATTTTGCTGATAAGATATTTTAATGCAAAATAATGATAAGCCTGAGCAAATGAAAATTTTCTAGGACCTGGTGCAATTGTTCAATGATCAGGAGTTTCCGTTCACTGCGTGCGATGCTTATTGCTCTCATTTTCCAGTCAAAAAGGATTCGGCCTTCTGGGGATTCTCGTAAAAACACACTGAATGACTCATCGGAGAAAATCTCAAATTTTCAGCGTGTTTTTGATGGTTATGGTAATTATTGCAATTATCGCGAGTGTCGTTGATTACATTAGAGATGAAGGATTCGGAATACCATCGTCAAAGGAGCGAATTCTTCCGCTCAAAATTCTTCTTGCATTCTCATTTTGGACGAACGCTTCAACGATACTTTCTGTGAAAGAGCAGAAGCCGGGATTCATCAAATCACTGGATTGCATTCGGCTATTTTCGATGAGCTGGGTTGTCGCTGGACATTCGATGATGTGGTTCTTATTTGGAAGTAAGCAATCATTCCATTTTTTTATCTACCAAGTTCACCTTTAGATCAACTACTTCCTGTGATGAAGGTACCGAAAAGCTTCTGGAATCACATAATGACCAGTGCAGTTCTATCCGTCGACACATTCTTCATTTTGTCTGGAATTGTCGTCACTTATCTGTTTTTCAAGACAAGACCTAAAATGCGAATGATTAAGAATCCGATCACTTGGATATTATTCTACGTCCATCGATATTTGAGGTGGGCGTCTTTCCGTCGGATATAAAGAAAATAATATTTATAGACTTACCCCAACCATCATGCTGTTCATCGGCTTCTACACCGTCTATGCCCCATACATTCAAGGAGCATTTTCAGCTTCCCAATTCAGTAAATAGTTTGAGGTGTATGATAAGCTATATCGATTCATTTCAGATAAGCAAATTCAAGAAGTCAACGTTTGCAAATCATCATGGTGGAAAAATTTACTTTATATTAACAATTTCGGATCGCAAGACGTACCAAACCACTGGAAAAATCGCTTTCTAACAGTTTAATGTTTTTTTTTTCAGTGTTACGCAATCACGTGGTATCTCGCCGTCGACACTCAGTTGTACCTCGTCGCCCCGATTCTCCTCATCGCTTTCTACTTCTCATTCGCCGCTGGAACAATTCTCACCGCGGCTGGATGTGTCGCAAGCATCATCGCTGTCTATGTGTTGTATTCGGTGAACGATCTGCCTGGAGATTTCCTGGGAAATGGGTATTCACTTTTCATCGAAATTGAGTTTCTAATGATAATTTTTTAGAAAATTGAACAACTACAATGCTATAATGTATTCAAAACCATGGACACGATGCCCGCCCTATTTGATCGGAATCCTGACCGGCTACATTATAGCGACCTATAATAACAAAAAGATTCGCGGGAATTGGGCGATTGCCGTCGTCGGCTGGGTGACGGCATTTGGAATTGCGTGCGCCTGCATATTCGCAAATTATGATTATGACGCCGGCTCGCACTGGAGCATTTTCACACGAGCTTCCTACTACAACTTCTCACGAATCGGATGGTCCTTTGCTGTTTGTTGGGTCATCTTAGCCAACCATTTCGGCTATGGGGGTAATTCTAAGCGGTGGTCCTACTTATGATTAATGAGTCTCAGGACCCATCAACAATTTCATGTCCCACCCAATCTGGCAGCCATTCGGACGACTCTCCTACTGCGCTTACATCGTCCATTGGATGGTGATTCTCTATTTCATGAATGTTGGCGAGAGACCTCTTCACCTGGTATCCTTGTGGCAAGTGGTACGTCTCAATTTCACTTTTTTCGCCTCATTCGATTAATTACAGTATATTTATTACGCAATCCCTAGCACATTTCTGTCATTCATAGCCGCATTTTTTTGGAGTTGCATGTTGGAAGTGCCAGTGTTGAAGTGATTTCTACAAAAAACCCGCTTGATGATTTAATTATTATAGACTCGAAAAGATGCTAATTGTTGTAAGTCGGAAAACTCGAATTACAATTTAAACTTTATCTAAAGTAAGCGTTAGACAACAATAACGAACGAAGCGCAATTTAATTAGTTAACGGATAATAATAACAATAATGGCTAGCCGGGGGAATGGATAGTATGTGAATAAAAATAATAATGAAGCCGCACGGTAGGAAAATATAAATAACAACGGAAACCAATCAAGCAACTCGGGTCCGGGCCTAAAACAATCCAACAACTCAACATCGTGTATTTGCGCGCCAACTCAGGTGTGTGTGTAAACACCGTGATATTCACCGTAACCGCAGGATTTAAATTGCTAATATCTTTCTTCATATTTTCTTGCTCCTCGCAACACTAATCGAGGGACTTGTCGGCGGAATGGCGAAACCATCGAACAAAATTGAAGCTGAAACGGAAGAAGGCAAAATCGCCAAAATGCACTTCTAATGAATTAATTCATAATAATTTTAATAATACTTGTATGTACATAAATGTGTTCTTTGTTGGATTCAAATAGTACCTCTCATAATCCTGTCTCTGTCAATGACATCATTAGCCTTTTCGCTGGCTGCACTGTACTCTGTGCACAATATGTTATCAAATAGGGGTGGGTGGCATAAACCATAAATAAAAATCGTCAATTTGTGGTTTCTGCATCCGAAGTCGTCTAGAAGGTCCGAAGTGCGTAGAACATCAAATTTGCTCAAAAACAATTGCTAACAAAATATTTATCTAGAGGTGGATATATCAGTTTTTGATTAAGTGAGCAATAATAATTTTTTGGAACAATCTGGAAAAATTACAGAAGCGGGGAAATTCTTAGAAATTGACGAAGACTGTGGAAATTTGGCTAAAAAATTCGAGAGAGGTCCCGATGAGCGGTGTGCGCCTTTAACTTGTTCTTATGTCCGTAAATCTACATCGTCAAGATCACGGGCCATAGTTTTTGCCTGGCAGTTTGCCAATATTCTTTATTCTATTCATAAATTTAAGACGATCTCCTTCATTTTGCTCTGAAATTGCTCTTCGAATCATTTTCGCATCGCCGACAAAATATGATAATTTTGAAAAATCAAACAAAATTCAACTATTGAATTGATAAGAATGAAATAATCTTACGGTATAAAAGCAAAAAATGAATATGATTTATGACTAGCATATCATGAAACTCCTCGTTTTATTTTGCACATTCAGTCTCACCCACTCAATTTATAATATTGATGTGAGTTTCTCTAATTTAGAAAATAAAAAGACATTGGATGTCACGTTTTCAGAATCGCCATCCCAAAATTCCCGTCGTGAACTCGTTTAAAAATGTGTCGGCTCAATGTGCCGCCGACACGAAGACTTGGTTGAACTCGCTCGCGCAAGTTGCTCTAGTCGTCGATGAATGTGTGGCGTTTCAAAATTGCACAAAACGTCAGATGAAGATTTTGGAGGAAAACGCATACGCTTTGAAACGTAACGAATCTCAAATATCCATAGGAAATCGGCTGATTTCAGAGCTTGACGCGTTCGGCAGATTTCCGAGCCCAGGACTGCTCGAGATCGGCCTCATTGATGATGGATCATATCAGGAATGTCAAGAAGCCAGTGGAGTGAAGTACGACACAAATTATTGCTATTTGTTACTTATGCCTGGAAAGGTTAGCTTTTACTTTTTAAAAAATGTATTAATTAATTTTTAAAGAATGCTAAATGCCCAGCGATTCCACTTATTTCATTGAAAGTTGCCGTTTGCATGTCTGATAGTTGTGGCAAAAAAGTAAGTCGTCTTCGAAATTCAAAATTTCATTAATTTTTCTTTTCGCAATTTATGAATTTGGGGTGCGATTACTGTGTTTTAAATCGCCGCCTTGGGTCTCGCATGGAAAAACCTTTAGGAGCGATTTTTACGTTTTCTAAAAATAAATATATGAGACTATTTCGTATTGCGGGGCCAATTAAATGACAGCCCGCGTAATTCAAATTTCACCAATTGGTCCGTCCAAGACAGTATGAATTTTGTGACTATCCAATTATTTAATCGAGCTCAGATTTGTGTCCATGATCATAAACGCTATTTTTCAAAGGAGAAGCCTCCTCAATAAAATTTCACATAATTCATTCCGCGTTATGTTAATTGATAAAAGTCAAACATGAGAATTGCATAGTAAAAATTCACATGGCAACACCGGAATACGCGTCCCTTAAAAATGGGCGGTAGAATTTCGCGCGGGTATTTTTTTGACGGCAGGCTAGTCAAAATAAGGCGTGGGGCGGGGCAAATTCTGAAGTCATGTAAGAGAAATTTCATTTCGAAACTTCTGCGGACAATTCCCGGGATACACCTCAGTAGCGCGTTCAGCAAATTCAATCGCGATTCGGCGGTGACGGGGAGCTTGCTTCAGGTGGGCGGTTGCATTGTCCGTGCGGAGTACACAGACACAACGTTCCCTCATATCATCCGATGATCTACATATTTCGTTGACGAGATCCCTTCAATTTAGTTTTTTTTTTCTGAGAAGCCCTTGTTATTTTCACTCGCGATCACCGTGAGCCTCTCAATCGTAGTGATTGAAAATCGAGCTTACAGCTGAGCTCACTGGTCCCATCCACATAATTATAATTAATTAAAAAAGCTATAAATCTACAATTTTAAAATCGCGCCAAGACTACGGTCATTTTTTTGGCATTTCTGTTTTTTTGAAACAAATGAATGCAAAAAGTAGACAACGATAAGAGTGATTGTGACATCGATTGTTTCCCACCACCCACACCTCATAGTTCGCATAATCCCCATCGAAATGCTTCACGTGAACCTCATATAATTTACTGATAAGAATTTTCAATATTTATAATATAATTGAAAAACAGAGAATTGTTATCTCTGAACAGGATTACACTGTAGCTTGACACAATTTTAGGACCTGGTGCAATTGTTCAATGATCAGGAGTTTCCGTTCACTGCGTGCGACGCTTATTGCGCTCATTTTCCTGTCAAAAAGGATTCGGCCTTCTGGGGATTCTCGTAAAAACACACTAAATATATTCGAAAAGAAAAATATTGCATTTAGAATCTTTCTAATTATTATGGTCTCAATCGCAATTATCGCAACAATTTTGGATTATTTAATAGAGGAAATTTTCGGAAATTCATCTGCCACAAAATCCAACTTTTTCCTTAAAATTCTCCTTGCGTTCTCATTTTGGACGAACGCTTCAACGATACTTTCTGTGAAGGAACAGAAGCCGGGATTCATCAAATCACTGGATTGCATTCGGATGTTCTCAATGAGCTGGGTTGTCTCGGGGCATTCGATGATAATGTTTCTGATGGGCGGTACAACAATGTGAAGAATGATCATCAATACTTGTATAATCAATTTTTAGACATGTTATTACCAGTTGAAAAAATTCCGAAAAGCTTCTGGAATCACATAATGACCAATGCAGTTCTATCCGTCGACACATTCTTCATTTTGTCTGGAATTGTCGTCACTTATCTGTTTTTCAAGACAAGACCTAAAATGCGAGTGGTTAAGAATCCGATCACTTGGATATTATTCTACGTCCATCGATATTTGAGGTGGGCGTCTTTCCGTCGGATATAAAGAAAATAATATTTATAGACTTACCCCAACCATCATGCTGTTCATCGGCTTCTACACCGTCTACGCCCCATACATTCAAGGCCCATTTGCAGCTTCCCAACTTAGTAAGAAGTTAAATTTTCGCTTACTAAATGTTACACCGGAATTTTGATAGATAAGGATGTCGCTCAAGCAAATATGTGCAAATCGTCATGGTGGAGAAATTTGCTTTATATTAACAATTTTGATAATACCGATGAGGTAAAACCATTTTCAAAATAATTTTAATTAAATATTAAATTTTAGTGCTACCCAATCACGTGGTATCTCGCCGTCGACACTCAGTTGTACCTTGTCGCCCCGATTCTCCTCATCGCTTTCTACTTCTCATTCGCCGCTGGAACAATTCTCACCGCGGCTGGATGTGTCGCAAGCATCATTGCTGTTTATATATTGTATTCGGTATACGATCTACCAGCCGATTTGATTGGAAAAGGGTGAGTTCGGACTAGTGATAAAAAATACATGCGATAATTTGAAAATATTCCAGTGACACAACGAATTTCCAACCGAAAATGTACGCAAAAGCGTGGACACGATGCCCGCCCTATTTGATCGGAATCCTGACCGGCTACATTATAGCGACCTATAATAACAAAAAGATTCGCGGGAATTGGGCGATTGCCATCGTCGGCTGGGTGACGGCATTTGGAATTGCATGCGCCTGCATATTCGCAAATTATGATTATGACGCAGGCTCTCACTGGAGCACTTTCACGCGAGCTTCCTACTACAACTTCTCACGAATCGGATGGTCCTTTGCTGTTTGTTGGGTCATCTTAGCCAATCATTTCGGCTATGGAGGTAATTCTAAGCGATGGTCCTACTTATGAATAATGAGTCTCAGGACCCATCAACAATTTCATGTCCCACCCAATCTGGCAGCCATTCGGACGACTCTCCTACTGCGCTTACATCGTCCATTGGACGGTGATATCATACTTCATGAATGTTGGCGAGAGGCCTCTTCACTTGGTATCCTTGTGGCAAGTGGTACGTTGAACATCTCACTAACTCCCTTAATGGATTCACTTCAGTACATCTCCTATTCAATTCCTTGCACATTTCTAGCATTCTTTTGCGCATTCTTTTGGAGTTGCATGTTCGAACTTCCAATATTAAAGTATACCGTTAAAATCGAGAATTTTAGCTTGAAATTTTGATTAAGACTTGAAAAGATGCTCATCGAAGGGCTTTTCGCTGGAATGGCAAAACCGTCGAACAAAATTGAAGCCGAAGACGCCAAAATTGATAAAACGCATATTTAAATAGAAAATTATAATTTGACATTGTGAAATAAATCAGAAAACACAATTATATTAAACAACAATATTGCCCTTTTAATCAAATAATTTTTGTGAAAGGAAAACCACCAAAAATGTTTAAAAATATTCGTATTTGCTATTTCACAACGGAAAAAACCAGCTAAAAAACTAAATTTCGATTTGAAAAAAAACTAACAGCATGGCCGCGGACTTGTTTTTTTTCCCCGGCCGTCCACTCAATCATTGTTATATTGAAGTACATAAAGCGAATAGCTAGATAGTTGTTATCATTCACAACATTATGCAGTATTTAAAAAAGGGAATGCCGACCTGAAAAACACCAAAATGTTCATTCTATTATCACTAATAATATATGTTGTTTCAAGCAATGTGAGCAAATCATTATCAATACACATAATAAGCCTTTTTTTGGTTATTTAGAAAATATATTCACCCTACGAAATATCGGATATATCGGAGGAATGCTCCAAGGATTTATCAACTTGGATGAAATCATTGGAAAAATTGACATCAGATGTGTTGGAGTGCTATTATGCCAATAATTGTAGTGTCGAGCAATGGGAGGTTATTAAGGATAATTTATTTGCAATCGAACGTTTAGAATTTGTTTGAAATTGATTTTTAATCGACATTTTCCAGAAATTGACGCATTCGCTAAATTTCCAAGCGCCGATATCCTAAGATTAAAAACCATATACGATGGGTCTTATGAGGAATGCAAGGCATCTAGTGGAGCTCATTATAAGACTAACTATTGCTATTTGATATTGTCTATGGGAAAGGTGGAAAAATGATATAGAAATCTGATTTTTAAGAATTTAGAACGCTCAATGTGAATTTGATATCAAGGATAGAAACGGTCTTATAAAGAATATAAAACTGGCGATTTGTGTACCAAAATCATGTGGAAGAGAGGTATAAAATAAAGCTAGGCATATAGGGTCCGATAAATCGGGAAATAAGCAATTTCAGCAAATTTTTGAATCTATAAATATCACAAAAATAACCCGTGGAATTTCCCACGTATTCGCCACTAATGTATACCAGTTTAGGATATTACAAGAATGTTCAACAAAATTTCTCAAATTCCTCTAATCGCTTGCGATGCGTATTGCACCGATTATGCCATCGAAAAAGACTCAACATTTTGGGCATTGAATGCCTTTTTGGGAATCACCATTGCAATCGTGTTGATATCAACCGTCATCGATTATTTCAAGGAGGACTTGTTTGATGATCCTTCCAGATATGGAACGAGCTAGATAACATGCATTCGTCATTTTTTAATTATTCCAGAATATCTAAATGCATTCTCATTGTGGACAAACTCAAATAAACTTCTCATTGTGCGAGATCACAAGAATGGAGTGATCCAATCACTCGATTGCATACGATTTTTCTCGCTGAGCTGGGTCATTGCGGGACACTGTACAACAATTTTTGGATTCTCTGGTAACTAGAAAATCGATTTATTGAATAGAACACTATTCAAGATACTATTCTTCCAATTGCTGACGTTCCCAAAAATCTACTAAACCATTTAATAATTGGTGGAACATTCGCAGTGGATACGTTCTTTCTGCTCTCCGGGATTGTTGTTTCATTCACATTTTTCAAAAGCAATTTGACAAATCGTCAAATGAGAAATCCAGTGTTATGGGCAAAATATTACATTCATCGATTTATAAGGAATGAAAAAAGAAACAAAAAATTCGGACGCTAATATTCCGAAGTTTTTCAGAATCACTCCACCTATGATAATGACAATATGGTTTTTTATAGTTTACGCTCCTTACATCAGAGGTCCAGCAGCGGCAGTAGCAATGAGTAATAGCTAATTTAATATAATTGAAATATCAAACATTGGTGTAATTAATTTTAACAATTTTGCAAAAAAATTTCGATTTAAAAAATTAGATAAATGGATGGCCGTGGACTAATTTTTCCCGGCCGCCAGTTTAAAATTTTTAAGACCAGCATTTGATGGAAGCTGAAACTTGTCGTCGAAAATGGTGGAAGAATTTATTGTATATAAATAATTTTGGCAATTTAATGGATCTGGTTCGACAAAATAATTCTATTGAAAAATTGAAATAACCACAATTTTAGTGTTATGCGCCTTCTTGGTACATGTCAGTCGACACTCAATTGTATTTCGTCGCTCCAATCTTCATTATAGCATTGTCCATTTCCCGAAAATTTGGATGTATTCTACTAGGGACCATCGGTGTCATAAGCATCGCAATTGTTCACATATTATTTGCCACTTATGACCTACCCGTCGATGTGATTGGCAAAGGGTATGTGAATTGAAAATGCTTTAAATGATGGCTTAAAATCTCAGAGATTTCTTGAAATTCTTTGTCAAAATCTACATAAAACCATGGATTCGATGTCCACCTTATTTAATCGGGGTTTTTGTTGGATACGTGCTTGCTCGAATTCAACCGCAACGAATTACCAAACGCATTCCATTAATCGTTTTGGGATGGAGCGTTGCTGTTAGTATTGCCCTTACATGTATTTTTATCACATATCAATATGATAAGGGCGAGCAGAATTGGAGGTAAATGGCTGAAAATGAATGGTTACACGAAACTACGCGAAATTCTTCACAGCGCATTCACTAGGGCAACTTATTACAATTTGTCGCGGATCTTCTGGTCGATGTCTGTTGCTTGGGTCATCGTCGCAAATTCGATTGGCTGGGGAGGTATGCTTTGAGAATGATCTCCGAAATACTCAAGTCTCAGGACCCATCAAAAATTTCATGTCTCACCCAATCTGGCAGCCATTCGGACGACTCTCCTACTGCGCTTACATCGTCCATTGGATGGTGATTCTCTATTTCGTGAATATTGGCGATCGGCCTCTTCATTTAGTATCGTTATGGCAAGTGGTTCGTTCAATTTGCTCGAATTCGCCATGAAATATTTTTTCAACTTGCAGTACGTTTACTATGCGATTCCGGTCACAGTGTTAACATTCTTATTGGCCTTCATTCTAAGTTGTCTGTATGAAATGCCAACGTCCCGACTGGAATCAATATTCTGGAAAAACATTGAAAGCGCTGAAACAAAGGCGAGATTCGAGTGGGCTGTCGAAAATCAACGAAAAAATCTATATTATAATCGCGATGTGTTTTATATAAACAAACTGTGAACATCATCAATAATCGTCGTTATTTTCTTGCTGAACCCTCTGGTCGCTGAACCAGGCTTCTTGTGGTGGATAATAGGGTTTTGCATGCAATTTCGCCTCCATAAATGTCAAAGAGTGCTCATCATTCTGAAAAAGAATGAAATTCAGAGGTTTGAGGAGTCATGCAGGCTTGTAAAAATTGCGGTCGCATTTTTTTCACGGCCGTGCGGCGCGCGGGAATTCGAATGCCATTTCAATTATTTTCAAAATTGAGCTAAACATTTCATTTCAAACACATTCAAGTGTATATCGAAATTGAACGAATCACAAAATCAATTCAATTTTTGCCAAATGACAAATTTTGAATTACTAGTATAATTTTAATTTTATAAATCAACAAAAATCCAAATTTTAATTACACTATCTTTTTACAAGCCTACAGCGATGCTCTCTATCAATACCCTATCAACAACGGAATAATCCTGCTCACTAATAAGTATATAGTAAATCGCATAAATTGCAATTGTAAGAATAACAATATAAAAATAAATAATACTAGCTGGCACTCGGAACATGAGAAAAGAGAATAAATGCCTATCGGGGGGTTCCATCTTGAATGATTTCGAAACTAGATATATGCCTATTAAGTATGTTCAAATAGTAATTAGAATTAGGGTCGATTCAATCGAAAATTCTACCCTACATTATTTTACAGTCGTCATATTTTCGTAGTGTAATTTCAGAAAAAAAAATGCACGAAATGAGCACCTGCAAAAAAAAGTCCACAAAAATGATAACAAAAGGAATTTTTCCAAATTTTTCAAGAAAAAAATAGGAAGAATAATATGTATAATAAGTTGATAGTAAAACTACGCGTTTTCTTGAAAATTAGATTTAAATATAAAATGGGACAAAAGGGTGCATTTCTTTTGCAGAGAGCTAATAATTAAAAAATGAAAATCTGAAAATACATCAAATTATACCCCGAAATTTGTAAATTGTTGTTTCGTTTCCATGACAACCGTCGCCGAGCTTTGTTGCGTACATGATTGGGCCCCTCCATTGTTCCTCATCCATATTCGGCAATGCGGCCAACATCAATCGAATGGGCGCCACACTGCAATTGGCTTTGTGTTACCACATTCGATCCAGTGAGTTCTGAAGGAAATGTTGCCTTTTGCGATCATACGGTAAGAAAAAAAAAGACGTCCAAAAGAAAAAAAAAGGCATTTTAGAGCCAACATAATGATAGCGGAGCAAGCCGAAATTGTGCACCAACGTGCATAAAATGGCATCCGCTCAAACAATTCGTCGCTGTTGGATGGGACGATGGTTGCGTTTGTTTTGTGCCCAAAGGTGGACCAGTATGTAAGATTTATATCCAAAATAATTCGTTTTCATTCATTTCGTTTAAGCGCACACAGTTTTGGACGTCTTCACAAATTCCGCGAAATTTGTCGATTGGAGTCATAATGGAAAATTGCTGATGACGTTGCATAGTGTGCGTTTTTGATACAAAAAAATGATTTTTACATTTTTAAAGGGTATAGCTTTAAACAAAAATACAATGCATTATGGAATCTTTTCGAAGAAATATTTAGAAAGAGCATTAGAAGAGCTTTAGAATGTAAAATAAATAGAGGGTGGTGTATCATTATGACGCGCTTTTGGACTGTGTGAATTCGAATAAACGGACCCCCGTAAAATACTCCCATGTAGAGTTTTGCGACTAGTGGCTTGGAGATCACGAAGTTGAGTAATTAGAGAGTTGAACTCTGAGAAGGGAAAGAATAATCAACACCAAATATACGCCCTTATCTATTGGATTGACGTGTTTCTAGAAAACTCCTTCAATTTCTAGTAAGTCAGACAGTGGAGAGAGAGCGTGTGTTGGACGGAGACGCAGGCATTGGGTATAATAATTATGAAAATATGGTTTTCAAAAGCCCTGAATTTGAAAATGCAATTGTCTTGTTATAATTTCATATGGTTTTCTCAAAACAGCGAAGTTTGTGGGGGGTAGCGTATCATTATGATAAATGAAATGTTTTATTGAAAAAATAAAATCTACAAAAATATAGAAACCTGTAATTCTTTTGCACCGCCCTAACATACTAATTGAATTCAGACATCTTACATTCGCATCTATGAGTACTCGGAGAATAGAAAAGGCGCGATTGAGACAATATTATTGAATCAATTGGAGTTCAAGGAGGACATCACTGCAACCTGTAAACGACTCGTATACGAACCGTAATTATCTTTAATTAATTAATTGAAGGAAATAATTTGAGAGTTATAGTCAGCCAAAAGAGGAGCAGCAGCAACTCAGTGTGCCCGATGATGAGCTAGCGTTCGATACGCCGATTCAAAAACGAGCCGAAATCAAAAAGCCGCTGGGAAGGCCGATTGGATCGGAGTTCTTGTTTGGCACGGATGTTGGAACCGTGTTTAGCATCGATGGGCAACAGGATCGAATCATTCATAAAGTTGGCGAAATTAATATAAACTTTTTCAGTTTTTTTTTCTGTTTTCAGCTGGATTCTCATGTTCTCTTCTTGGATTATTGCGAAATTATCTCGATGATTCTAGTTTTCACAAAAGATCTTTTCATTTATCATTTGGCGCAAGGCAATATTGAAGGGCGTTGCTCGGAAAAAATAAAGGTAGCTTATTGAGTTGGTTCAAAAGAAATGCGAACTTCTGTAATATTTTTTAAAAACTTTAATATCAAATGTTTATATTATTCCAATGTTGATCTAATACTTTTTTCGAAATGCTTTTCCAAAATACCGCTTAATTTCTTTTATTGTCATTTTTTTCCATTTATAGTTAAACCAAGGTTGTGCTGGATGGCACTTGCCATCAAGTTATAACCGTCTCATAAGAAATATCAAAATGGCACAATTTTTGAACTCATAATCGAGAGATCGCGGGGTTCAGTCTCGCTCTGGCGCGAAGTCGTTCGCTGTCTGCGTCTCCTTCTAACACACACTCTCTTATTGTATTGCACCCTCTCGATTGTGCACAGTCTCTCAAACAAACAAAAACGCCAGACAGCTTTTATATATACAAATTATGAGGATGATGACGTCTAAAAAAGACATTTCTTTTGCACCGACCTAAATTGAGCAATTTCAGGTCAAGCTCGGCGGTCGTCCAGAGAGTTATAAAATGGAGCTGAGTGAAGGCCTATTAGTAATGTGCTATGAAGAACGAGAAATGCGTGTGTGGGATCTGATAAAAGAGGAGAACACGACAATCTCATTGGATTCGTCGAAGACATTCAGCAAAGATGAGAAAATCATTTGTGTGACGATAAACAGCAAAAAGGGCGCGATATCCGGCGGAACGACGGAAGGCAATGTGGCGCACTGGAGACGTCGAAAACCGCATGCGTCGTTGGAGAACGCGTGGAAGCTGCAGGCGAGCAGCGCAATTGGAAACAAGGTATTTATGCACATCATCAATACCTCCTTCATCGTCGCACATGCCGTTTAGATATATTATATATGCTGGAGTCCGGTGACCAGCAGCGTTGCACTCGTCACGGATAAAGAGCTCGTCATATTAGAAGACGACAATTTTATAGTTGAAATGAAGGGAAAAGTTCGTCGTGCTAAGTTTTTTTTTCAATAAAATTTTTAAATTTATCATTAAGGTGGCTGCAGTTCAGACAAGCGCAAACTCGTTCATACTTCTCAACGCTCTCACCGGAGTTTCGCAAGATTTGAAACTATCGATTAGCAATGTTAAAGGAATCAGTCTTGGAGAGAAACAATTGGTGGTTTGGAATGAGGAAACGGTGAGGTTTTGTTGCCAAAAAAGGCACATATTAGTGAGTTTACTTTTCAAAAAAAATCGTCATTAATATGAGAATAAGAAAAACTATGGTATATTTTGAAAAAAAAAACATTCGAAAGATCATTTCATAAGCTTTCAAATGATATATATATATAATTTGATATGAATATAAGGTTTTGTTGGAATAAATTAAGTATCATAAAACAGGCTTCGAATAACTAGAATGATGATAATCTAGTAATAACTGACTTTTCCTATTTCTTGAAATTTGGGGTCAATTTTTTAAAAGACATCTCTTGTTTTTCGAGTCGGAAACCAAAAAATTTAAGACCATCCAAAAACCCGCCGTCTAGACAGACTTTTTTCGACAGTGTGCGAGGAGTTGGTAGATCGCCAAAAAATTGGTTCTTTTTTGGTTTCCGAAATAATACCATAACAGGGGCCGTCATTAATTTTTATTTGCGTCTTAAAGTGTTTAAATTTCAGGCTAATTTTAGAAAAAAGTTTATGGCTAAAATGCGGTACAAAAAATACCGAATCTTGCATTTTTCTTTTATACCAACGAAATTCGACCATAATTTCAGATTGTTACTTATGATGTGCAATCCTCGCTGGCGACAATTCAATCAACATCGTTTTCATGCAACACATCCTCTGTTGTAATCGCCAATCAAACCTTATATTGCATTGAAAAAGATAAAATTAATGCAAGAACCCTGCAGGTTTGCCTAATTTTGATTGTTCGACAAAACAAATCTGATCTAGGGAACCGTTCGTCAAATCATATCACTACCGGAAATCGAAGGAGATCCAACGGTTCTCGACTTGAACAAACACTGGATGGCGGTTGGCACTTCTCATGGATTCGTCAGAATTTATAATCTTTCGAGCAAGTGAGAGAATTCAGAAAATATCAAGGCGACACCTCTCAATTTTTTTTCAGAAACGCCATTCAAGAGCATAACTCGAAATATGCAATAGAGAATGTTCCAAACTTCTACAAGTTTATTTCGGTGAAAATAAATCCGACTGGAAATCGTGTGGCGTGCACATTTTTGGAGGTCTTGAAGCTTCCTCCTCCATTTAAAAGCATTCAATATTTCAGGACCCAACGACTGTCGCCGAACTCTTGTTGATATTTGACGCCGAAAGCGATTCAATCACTTATTTCTCTTTTGATCGCGGAATGACGGATCTCCAGGAGTATGAAGCTCAAGCGGAATTGGCTCACACTTCAGGAGGTCGCCCGGTGACAGCGGCGGCGAGGAAGATGGCTCGCGCCAAAAGCCGATTTCAAATGATGCTGCATCGGCCCGGTGAGATTTGCTGGGATGAGTTCGATCCGAGATATCTTGTTGTCGAGTGCAACAACGTCCATGCCGATTCGGTAACCTTTCGCAGAATGATAATATGCAAGATCGAAATTTTAGGATGATAATCGACTTTTGTCGATGTTCGTAACTGCTGAACACGGAATCCAATTGCAGGACGTTCAAAGGAAGTCGCAGCAATGTGGGCGACTCGTCGCCGTTTCGGTGCCGCATTTCTATTTCGTCAAAAAATCTGATTGGGACGACGAGGAGATACGCGGCGAGAAAACGATCGGCAAGTCGCTGGTGGCGAAGATTCTTCGCGAATTCAACGGCGTCGAGAATTGCGACGACGCCACAAAAAAAGCGATGATGGACTTCTCGTTTTATCTGACGCTTGGCAGTATGGACGCGGCGTTCAAAGCGATTCAATACATCAAAAGCGAGAGCGTCTGGGAGCAGATGGCGTCGATGAGCGTTAAGACGCGTCGACTCGACGTCGCCATGGTTTGTCTCGGCCATATGAAGAATGTTCGAGGCGCGCGGGCCGTGCGAAAATCGCAACTCGCCGGTGAGGACGAGTCGATGCAATGCGCCGCATTGGCCGTCGAATTGGGAATGATGGTATAAGAGAGAGAGAGAGAGAGAGAGAGGGTCTTGATACGAATTGCAAACGGTTCCAGGAAGAAGCGCAAAGCATCTACGCGAGTCATGAACGCTGGGATTTGGTGAATAAGTTGTATCAAGCTCAGAATTTGTGGCCACAAGCATTTAATATTGCCGAGACGAAAGATCGAATTCATTTGAGGAACACGCATTACAATTACGCGAAGTATCTGGAAAGTAAGGCCGACAAAAATTCGATTGAGGCGGCGATTGAAAAGTTTGAAAAATTTCCATAGCCCATTTCACGAAGTTCAAGTTCAGCTATGAAAAAGCGGGCGTTCATCATTTCGAGGTGTTCCGCATGCTGGGCGACAATCCGAAGAGCATGGAAACCTATGTGAGACAAAAACGCGAACCGTAAGCTTCATCATTCGAACATTGAAATTATTGGGCAAATTTGAAGCCAATTGTACAAATGGTGGGGCTTCTATTTGGAGAGTCGCGGCGATTTCGACGGCGCCGTCAATTTCTACACGTTCGCCAGCGATTTCTATTCGATGGTTCGTGTGAAATGTGCGCAGGGCAAAGTTGACGAGGTGATATCGCGAAATTACTTCATATGATCATTAATATTGATGTCTAGGCCGCCAAAATCGCCGAGGAATCGAAGGACAAAGCAGCGTGCTATCTTATTGGGAGGCTCTATGAGAGTAATGGTGATATTCCGAATGCGGTGCAGTTTTATACGAAAGCGCGAGCGGTCTCATCAGCGATTCGGCTAGCTAGGGTCAGTGAAGTTTTGCAAAAGAAATGCATGTTGCTATTTGATCTTAATTGATGATTTGTTCTATTCCTATTAAGTTTTATATGTATATCATTTGAAAGTTTGTCTAGTGCTCTTTGGAATGGATTTTTCAAAATATGCCATAATTAAATTTATTATCATTTTTTAGGAGCATGACATGAAAGACAAACTTGCGAATCTGAGCTTGATGGCCGGCGGCAATGAATTGGTCACGACTGCTCGCTATTATGAAGATATTCCTGGCTATGCGCACATGGCGGTGATGTTGTACCATAAAGCTGGAATGATTGGACGAGCATTGGATTTGGCATTTCGTACCGAGCAGTTTAGTGCTCTCGATTTGATCACAAAAGATCTCGACGCGACGACGGATCCGAAAATATTGAAGCGCGCCGCCGAATTTTTTGAGAGCAATCAGAATTATGAGAAGGCGCTCACGTTCTTGTGCTTCGCTAAGGAATACTCGGCGGCCGTTCGATTGTGCAGATCGAGAAATGTGCGAGTAACTGAGAAATTTGCCGAAATGATGACACCTTCAAAAGGTATATATTTGAATTTCAAAAAAAGAAGAAACGAGCACATCCAATTTGCAATTCTCAGAATTCATTCCGAACGATACTGAACGCAAAAAGGTTTTGTTTGATGTCGCGGAATTATGTTTGCAACAAGGCGCATATTTCGCAGCGGCTAAGAAATACACACAAGCAGGTGATAAGCTTACGGTAATACACATTGGTTGTTTAAATCGGAGTGAAGACTTGCCGGATTTCAGGCGATGAGAGCTCTTTTGAAATCAGGAGACATTCAAAAAATTCGATTTTTCGCCAATACCGCACGAAGCAAGGATATTTACATATTGGCGGCGAACTTTTTGCAAACCACCAATTGGCAGGATGATCCGGCAATTATTAAGGATATTGAGACGTTCTACACAAAATCGCAATCGTTTGAGCATCTCGCGAATTTCTATAAGTCTTGTGCAATAGTGAGTATAAATAATAGAACAAACCATTTTTTTCAATATTTATAGATGGAAGCCGAAAATTGGAAATCGTTTGATAAAGCTTCATCGGCTCTTGAAATGGCGATCATGTGTATTGAACGAGCCGAATCCAAAGGCATTTCCAGTGCCTCTCTTGAACATATAAAAACTGAAATAGCGAGATATCGAAAACAGCTTGAAAAGCTCATCAAAATATTGAGGTATTTCTTACTTTCAACTGTTTGTCTAATTTTTATAATAAGTGTAATGCAAACCGACACTGCTGATGGAATTCGACAACTTTCGACGCTTGCTGAAGAATCGGAAGAGGACGATATCGTGCCGTGCACAAGAATATTTGCAATGTTGATTGAAGAGCATGCTTATAAGAAAAATTGGAAGCCTGCGTACAGAGCGCTTGGCGCGTTGCAGAAGAAAGTTCCGAATATCGATTTGGAGAATTACATATCAACTGCAACTCTTGATCAGGTTGGTAGTTGCAAAAGAAATGCACCATTTTTGACTTCTTTTTTATTTTCTAAAAAGCAGCCAATAATTTTTCGCAACCAATTTGTATTACAAAAGTGCAACAAAGAATATGTAGTAACGATATCACTAGCGTAAATACAACAAAGTGCAAGAATAACAAGCAAAGTCTCAAAACTAAACCTCCAATACTCCGTATTAGCGCGTCAACTAGTGTGCATGTGTGCATACACCGCAGTGTGTACCGTATACCCTCGAAATTGAGCGTGTTTTCTCATTAAAATATTTTTTCGATAATTTTTCCTCGTAGAATGTTGAAATAAAAACTTTTAAATCTAGTTTCACGCTAATATTAGACCAATAATTGTGGTATCTTCAAATTCGAAATTACAAATATTGAATAAACAAGACATTGCTCTGTTGGGGCACATGAAATCAATATTGCTTAAGTTTTTATTCGATTTTAAGCTAAACCAAAATTTTTTGAATGAAAAGAGGCTAATTAAATATTATTTTATTTTAAAATAAATATTTCAAATTCTCTTGTCCTCTGAAACAAAAAATAACATATTTAAAAACGGTGCATTTCTTTCGCACCTATTCTATTCATTTTTTTTTTCAATAAGACGAGTCAATTAAAATTGAATTCTTAACAAGTGTGCGGTGAACCATGATGAAAAGAAACATTCAATTTGTTTCGTGCTTGATTTCCTCTTTGCAGATTTGCGACGAGATGCGCGTCGAGCGTGTCACAAAAAAACGAAACACCGAAGCGGAATCGGACGGCGACGACGAGGTCGATTTCTCGCATTCATTGCGACGTCAGCTTTAATAAAACTCATCTTCCCATCTCTCAGCGAACCAAAATGAAACCATCGAAAAAAATGAAATCGCATCGTATTTATTAATAAATGGATCCATTCGACACTATATCCGCCTGTCTCCAGCCGATAGCATCTCGCCATATTGTGTCAACAAGAAATACACAAATAGTTTGTCCACGGTTCATTCAACGATCATCATAATTCACGCGCGCATTTCAAAAATTGCTTCGTGCGCTTATTCAGCTTACGCTATGGGATTAAAGGAGAGCATCTGGTGGAAACACTTTGGCTAATTGCATTCCTATCCTTTTGATATTTTTATTATTCAAATTATGTTCCGCTTGCATGTGAGGAATGAATGCATAATTTAATGTGGTCCTCAATAAATATTGGACCACCGGAAATTGGCAGCTTCCTCTTTTTTTTCGCCCTTCAAATTGCTCGTCCATGATTTTCGCTCCAACTACTGTCATTCGTCTTTTTCTTGTTAGTCAAAGCTTTGCGAAATTTTAAAGCTTCCAAAATAAGCGCCTTGGAGAAAAAAAAAACGAAGAATCTTCAAAAAATGATTTCTACTTTTTAAAATCTCATTATAAATATTTCCTAAAGCAAATCTCAAAGTTTCTCAATAAATTTTCAAATATTGATAGAATTTTTTGATAGTTTTGCGCATAATTTTTTGAGTTTTTTTTTCCAAGCGAAAAATCCAAACTTCCCTATATAGAATCTCAATAGTTTCTCAGAAAACCAATAAAAATATTTGATTTGATTTATCTGGAGATATCAAATCGAAAAGTGAAATTTTGATAATCATACATTGCAATTTGATAGATTCAAATGATTCCAATTTCAATTCGGTGTTTAATGTCACCAATCCGTACATATTTGTGTTTATCATTATCTCGACTGTGGCCGCGCGCCTCGGAAGCGGTTTCGATTGATGCCTCGAGCATTCAAATCCTTTCGCCATACAAATTAGCGACCGGGTGGGTGGAGTTTCCGCACTCGCGAGGCTCGCCAATGAGCTGACAAGTAGATTGTTATCTTTTCCCTGTTTGTAAGTGGATAACAAGATGAGCGAACATCGAGTGACCACTTGACAACCGCCACCAGTGGTCAACGACTTTATTAGATTTTGCGCGTTTCGACGCGAGTTGACCGCTACCGTCGTGAAAGCCTCCATTGCCCGCATTTTGTCGATTTTTTTGCGAATTGAAATTGCCAAAATCGCATAATTTCTCTATTTAAAGGGTCCCAAAAAAACAGATTTTAGAAGCTTCAAAGTTTAGATTTGTTTGATATTGCGTGAAAAGGTGTGTTAAATCCCATTATAATAATGAACATTGGGTTTTTCAAAAAAATTTTGGAAATTTTGAAATTTTGACATGGAATAAAGCGAATTTCAGATTTCCCAGTTTTTTTTACAATAGAAATTTTATTCATGAGCCAATCTTTATTCAATAATGGTACTATGCAGATTTTGACAAAAAAATAAGGTTGAGAGTAATTTTCAGGCTTCCAAAACTATATCATTTCCCCACATTTGAATAATCGTTTATTATAACAAAAATGAATAATAAAAATAATTCGTTGAGTTGATTATGAGAATTCCCAGGCTGTAAATGAGACAGTAGTCAATGTTTACTCAGTCACCAACTTGGTCACACTTTCTCCCAGTTGTCTATTCTTCCGTGATCGTCTCTCTTTCGCTTTCCAATCAAATGCTATCATTATCCCCGCGATTCCAACTTTCTTGTCTTCCGCTCAAACATGTTTCTTGTCGATTATTCTAATTAATTCGTGGCGGCACTCTCGACGAGACGTTTTTTGTTTTGATTTGAATGAAAACACGGAAAACCTTCTGCCGGACCTATAAGACAAATAGTTTGAACAATGACGACCATTCAATTCAACCATCGGGTTTTTGTCTTCTTTTATATTTCTCTCTTTTTTTGGATCGAACATTTCGGCTACCATTTTTCCGTTTTGTTATCTTCTCCCCGTTTGGTGTTTTTTTTTCTAAATGTAATCTTAGGCTTAAAATTGTTTTTCTCAACATTTGAATTTCGCGCTCATTTTCAAATTCTATTTTTGAAAAAATTGAAAATTAATTTAATAATAATCTCTTTTTCCTTTCATTTCCATTTGGAAATTTCAAAGAAAATAATTTTAAAAGGACATTGATGTGTGCAAAATTGCGTCAGTGTGTTGACAGACAAAAAAAACGAAACTCTAAAAGATTTTCTTAAAAAATAACTCGAAATGTCGCCGGCGGTTTTTTGCTAAATTGAAGGCGATGTGTAACTGGAGTGTCGTACTGATAGGGTAAAAAACTTTTGAGACGATCAGCAAAAATTTTTGTGAATTCCCAAAGAATCTCCGTTTGTCTTTTTCGAATCGCTGAGTTCAATTTTTTGTTATTAGTGATTTTTTAAAAGTTGCAAGGGAAATTCAGGCTTCTGTCATTTTATTATAAATATTATTCCAACAAAAAGTGGCATATATAAATCAATCGAAAGTTGATCTAATCCTTTTTCAAAATGCCTTTTTTCTCAGATTTGTCCCGATTTTTTTTATTCTCATTTTAGTTGACGATTATTTGCAGATTTTCATTTATAGTTAAATTTTAGAAGTACATTTCCTTATAATTTGCTCTGTTTTGCCTTTCATAGCCATGGCATAATCGTAGTCCTTTTCCTGAAATCGATCCTCTAGAATCCCATCATTTTTGTCAAACCACTTTTTTGAAATCGACAGACTTCTGAAAGCATATGAAACTCCATTTGAATATTCAAACGCTTATTTTGAAGAATTCCATCGAAATGTCCTATTAGCCGCCACAAACAACATTGACCCATGCCGCGCTCTCACATAAATCCAATTCGCATCTGTGCAAACTCCACCGGCACGCCGGAACGTCCTTTGAAAAATTTCGGGCGGGCCACTCGCCGGCCACAGTTCAAAACACCATCATTTACTTGATGCTTCCTTTTTTCGTCGGCCTTGTGCGACTTTTAATCCAGACATGATACGAGCATTGTTAATTCCTTTTTTAGCTACTCCTGGTCAACATACCTGAGTAAACACATTAGCTACCACCCCCCGGGGCTCTTTTTTTCTGTTTCCATCGTCCGGTGTTGCTCTTGAATGAAAGTGTAGCGAGCAAGTGTCTACGCGCGCGCCAAATAGTGTCGAATTACCGCATTCGCTCGTTTGCCCCCCCCCCCGCGCGGGAACGCATATTCATGAATGCATGCTTCAGAATCATGTCACGACGGTGAAGCGATCAGAGATTCAACGATGGACCTCAACGAATGCAATAGTCTGTATGGATGCTCCGAAGAGAATTCCTATTACGCGTCGCCGATATTTTTGAATAGTACTCTGAAAAGTATCGACGAGGTTTGGACTGCTTTTTTTTGAAAAAAATTTTCATTTTTCAAAAGCATCTTTTGAAATCATCATTTGAAAATGGTCGAACCAAATGACTAAATTGTGGCAATCGCTTAATTGGCCAACATTTTCAGCCGCCACGAAAACCGGCGCCGAATCTAAGCCGACAATCGACGTGCCGGCCCACAAGCCAACTCTATTTGCCATCGAAGAAGCGAAAAAACCGGTAAGACACAACAAAAATAGAATTCGAGTAATTTATGCAAAAGAAAAGAACGAAAAGAAAATTTGTTGATAATTGGCATCAAATTTTTCATTCCGTGTGCCCAATTTCGTTTTTTTTTCTTTTTCATTCGCTGACTGACTAGCGAGCGAGCCGCAAAATGAAAAGGAATTTTTTATTCGCCTATCTCTCAAAACGCCTTGTTCATTCGGACGCGCCTCTTCTGGAGAAAAAAAAATGCTCAAGACAAAATATTCGACACCAACCGATAATTAGTGGCTCATTCTTCGACGTCCATGAGTTTGCTCTCTTGTATTCTATCGCCTTCTGTTCACGATTTCCGACGTCCACCCACGCCTCCCCAACATTGCCAATTCGCTGAATCTTCACTCTATCTCTCAATTCCATTTCTTTTCTAATTTTCAAAATCCGATATTTAAGAAGCGGATAGTCAGTTTTTCAGATATTTTTTAAACACTGAAGAAATTTCTGTATTATAGTTAGCTAAATATAGTAAAATTTAGATATCAACCCATTGAAAAAATGGAAAATAGGTTTGAAAATTTTTCGAAAAAAAAAATCATTCAAATTAGCTATTTTTTTCGCCCCGGTTTTTCCGCAAAAAATTTAAAAACTCGAAATTATGTGAAAGTGTCCAGAATTGCCAATTTTTCCAAAAAAAAACACTCTAAAAACATTTTACATGAAGATTGATTGGTGTGAAACAAAATGTGTGCAAAATCGCGTCTCTGTGTATGCAGACAAAAATGAGCTCACAATAATTTTTTCAACTTTTTTTCGTGAAAGGTATGCATTCCAAGTTTCCCAAACACTTGTAATTATCGCGGGGCTCTTTAAACTTTTTAATTTCTTCCAAAAAATTTTGAAACCTTTAAAATGTGATAGAACAATTCCGGGAAAAATAGTCATCAGAAATAGAAAAATGATTATTTTTCTTTCTTTATTGAAATTTTCTCAATTTTATTCTGCATTGGAATACTGTAGCAAATTTCCATTTTACTCTGCATTGGATTACTGTAACGAATTCTCGAATTCAAACAAAACAGCGATGGATTCGTCAAAACCTTGAACCATTCGCTTCCAGGCCATAAAATACAACTGACCGGATAATTTGAAATAAGACAAAAAAACCCTCAACGCCGGTATTGTATTGCCGCGTCGCAAATTGGCATATATACGATTTGCGAAGATCGGCAGTTTTTCGATTTTCCAATTTCGTCTCTCTCAAATATGTATGAATTCTTTGGCGAAACACCGGAAAAAATATTGAAGCGAGCCGTTTTTTTTTCTGCCTTTCACTCGCTTTTATTGGCTGTTTTAATGAGCTCGAGACCTAATTATTGAGGGGGGGGGGGAGAGCAAAAATGAAAATGAGGAAGGAATGGAATTGGATGAAAATGAGCCGGATGAAATGATGAAAAAAAAAGAAACGACATCGCTATTATTTTTTTTGCAATTCATCTTCTCATCTTGTTGTTCCAGCTACTTCTGTAATCACCATTATTAGCCATTGCGTCAATCCTATAATTTCCATATACGGAGGAGTTTCAAACAAGTTTCCCCATTTATTCAGAACGAATTGATGATTTTCTTTCCTTTCCAGCTTTTTCCGACTACAATTTAATGTATCTGTATAAAACAGTTTAATGTTATTGCAGGGTTTGTCATCAAAATTGTGCTACGCTGTGTTTGTCACCTCAAATTTACCATATTTTCCTTACGCATATGTAGTTTTTAATTTCAAAGACTATAGTTAATAAATGAATGATTGGTCTCGAAGAGAACTAACATTCAAAGGCGGCGGTTTTTGCATAAAAAAAACTAGATGTGTAGATTTACGGACTAGGTTAAAGGCACACATCATAATCTACGTATACATTACTTGATAAGAAATTATTCCATATATTCATGTAAAAGCATTGATTTTGAATTTTTTTCGAATTTTCTGCACATTTCAACGGATATTTCCTATAATGTCGAGACGCGCGTTGTGTACTCCACACGGACAATGCATTACTTAATAACGTCGTGTGAATATCGCAGCGCGTAAATCGACACTCAGACCCCGAATATACGGTAAACGAGCTATCAACAATTGCCCAACTTTGACAAATTGAAAGTCAATATTAAAATTGGCTTTTGGAAAATGGCAAAATTCAGATAGCTCCGAGCTGGAGCCGAACCAGCATCGTCAGATTTAGCATTTTCTGAACTGCCGAGAATTCGAATTGTGAAAAACATAAATGTAAATCACTCTGGAAATAATATAAATATTAGGTCGTTGCAAAAGAAATGCACGTTTCTGTTTAATTTTTGTTGAATATATGTACCGGCGTATATATGAATTTATCTCAAAATGGTATTATCAACCAAGAACGAACAACAGTTAGATTAGTTCACAATCGGCAATATATAACTTAGAACAAAATAAATACTAAGTACAAAATTGCAACAAAGAATATGTAGTAACGATATCACTAGCTTAAATACAACAAAGTGCAAGAATAACAAGCAAAATCTCAAAACTAAACCTCCAACACTCCGTGTTTGCGCGTCAACTAGTGTGCATGTGTGCATACACCGCGGTGTGTACCGTATACCATCGAAATTAAAAGCGTGTTTTCGACTCGGCAACACTTTGAATTCGTTGAGCGACGTGGAAAAAAAAACCTCAAAACTCGTCGCGGAAATTTGTAATAACTCAATTTACAACGCGAACTTTTCTTTTTTGCTGGGGGTTTCTGGCCGGCGTCAACGCGCTGCGACACGAAAAATGGCGATAAAATAAAATTTAATAGGTTCTTTTTGGATCCGCCTAGGCGTGCCGAAACTACTTATCATGTGCTTCTCCTCCATTTTTTTCTTCTTCTTCTTCTTCTTCTGCATGTGTCGCGATAAGCTCACTTGGATTCGAGCCCAAGTCGTTGACAAATCGCCGATTGTCACGCGAACACACTAATAACAAAAATCCCATTCATTTTATTCCGATCATCTCTTTTTTGAACTCGAGTTCATTCCGACACATTGTTTACTGTACAATTCGTCATATGTTTTGCTCCGCTGTGGTCTGACCACATATTTATTAAATATTTTCAAATTTCTTTGAGCTTCTAGCTTAAAACTGCAGATGCTCTTAATATGCTTTTTTTTAATCAATAGCCTTCCTAAAATAATCCTTTGGGATTGATTTTTTTTTATTTTATAATCTACTTATTATTTAAGATTTAAAAAAAAAAATTTTAAACCTCAAATTCCAGGGTTTTTTTTTGCAAAAAATGGAGTCTTCGGTTTCAAAGACACATTTTATTCCAGCAAAGATTTTTTAAAATCATATTTTATATATCATTAAAAAGCGGATTTAATGCTCTTTTAAAATTTTTATTCAAAATATACCATAATTCATATTCAAATCGCCGATTTTCAAATAAAATAAAATTTAAAAAAGTGAATTTGTTTTGCAATAATAAAAATAGGACAATCTTGTAGATAATCTGGTGCAAAACTCTCAACGCCATTCCCATCTCACACTGATTGATAGAGTGAGAACATCTCCAATGATCTTCTCATAAAACAAATCCCAAGATGGATATAAGCTTAAGGAGCACATTTCATCAGAATTCGAAATCTAATCTCGTCCAAACCCAAAAATCCATTAATTAAAAAAAAGAGGAAGAACCGATCAACCGTCATATTCATTCAGTGTTTAATTAAATCCTGAGAATCCAATATTTACCTCCGCCACATATTCAAACCTGCGGCGTCTGTGGGATACCACACGATGCTAATTAAACGTGCTTGGCGGCCGATTGGGGGGAGGTCAAACCCAAAAACGTCAAAATATCGCGCATTTATTTATTTTTGCCGTCAAGGGGGGGGGGTGCTCAACTTCCGTGTGTTTTTCCTCCACAATTCGATTCTTTTTTTTTGCGGCGTTTCTGCAATGTTCGCACATCTTCCGACTTTAACGAAGGGAGGAGCTTCCTCAGTTTTGTGTGTGTAGGCATTTTCGCATATTTTCTTTTTTTTTTCGTTCGCCCGGCTCATTCATCACTTTTCTGACTTGTGGTTTGGCCGGAAATTCCAACATTTTCGCGCTTCCACCAACCACCACGCCCAGTTTTCCTCCGAGTCCATCGAAATCGTTGCGCGTCTTGCTTCCAGTCGGTCATCGCATCGCCGTCGTTTGGTCACCGTTTGAAGCGTCGTCGTGTCGAATGCGGAACATGTTCGGCTGAACGAGCTGAATGAAGCCCGAATCATGTAATGGAGCCGCGCCTTGGCATCCCGCCAAAAGGTTCGACCACAAGTAACCAATGATGTCCCAAAAAAAACTGTTAGGTCGTTGCAAAAGAAAATGGATCAACTTCTTCAGAATATCCCATAATTTTTCAAAATTTGCATTTTCATTCCTCAAAAGTGCATCATCTCTTTTGCGCCGATCTAGTATTATACCACACTCGGGTATTTTAACTCTCTAGTCAATAAAAATTCAAACATTCCAAAGAGGTTTGAGATCAATGTCTCAAAACGGCGAGTTGGATAAAAAAATAATTTTGTTTTTCAGAAGCTGCGTCGGCCGGCTGACAACCCTCGAGATATTCCTCTGCGTGCTATTATTCTTAATCTGTACTTCTCTTTTTTCTGTGTTATTTCTCTGGTTATGGGTACTTGACGGATACAAAACATTCAGTGAAGGTTTGCAGCTGTTATTTCTTGCTTGTGTTGTTTAGTTTTGAAATTGATAATGTGTGAGAATCCCATATATTTTTTTTCCCACACTTCAGGACGGCCTTTATATCCGGCCGCGTTCGAAAACTCATCGGTGGCCGTTGATCGTTCGGCGAAAAATCATAACGACGTTGTATGCACATCTCAGGAGTGTGTACGACTAGCCGGATTTCTTGCGGAGAATCTTAATCCAAAGGTCTGAAAATCTAATTTTCTGAATTCTTGAAATTCATTTCAAAGTTACGCACTTTTACATTATGAGACTTAAAGGCGGCAATTCAAATTAAACTTCAAAAATGTCGAAAAATTAAAAATTCTAGATAAACCCTTGTGAAGACTTCTACGAGTTTGCGTGCGGCAATTATGGCCTCAATCGGAATTTGCCGGCCAACAAACCCCTTCGGCATACGATTAGCGATGTTCAGTCACGATTGAATAAACAGGTCAAATCAATGTTACAGGTGATCGAAAATTTTTTTTCATTTTTATTTAAATCAATTTTAGGCGCCTATAACTCCTGATGAAAAACCATGGGATAAATTAGCAAAAGGCTACTATCAAAAATGTTTGGACGAGGGTAGCACTTCGTTTTTTAGATTTTGAAGCGCTTATCTTTGATTTTAAGATGAGCTTGAATCTACTGGAATCACCGCGATGATTGATATTTCAAAACGAATTGGTGGCTGGCCGACGTTAGAAGGTTTTTTTTTCATTATTATATGACGAGCCGGTTGCTGGAAATGGAACTACCAGAATCGGTCGATCTAGGCGCGTTTATTGTCGAAATCGCGCGACTGCGACAAAAATTGGCGAAACGCCAAATATGGTCTTTCACGTTGTGTACTCCACACGGACAACATCGACACTCATATGTGTGCGAGACCCAAGATTCTCGACAGTATGGCTGTCGCGCGACTTCGACAATATGATAGCGCAAGCCATTGGAAATCATTTATACCGATTTGCTTATTAGGTGACAAATGGATCGAATGGGAGCATTCTTGGGAAGAGCAGCTCGCTCTCGTCCTGAATCGGACAGGCGTGAACGCGGTGATTCTCGAAATGGCTGTCACGCATGATCCATCGAATAGTAGTCGAAGTATCATCGAGGTTCTCGAAGGCCTATTCACACCTGCTCATCTCACATTTTCAGCTCGACCAACCGAAATGGGGTGCCGGCTCGCGATATCCGTATCTCAGCGGTGTCGACGATCCGATGATCAAGAACTACACGACACTTATGAAAATGACGGCGATCGCGCTTGGCGCCGATCCGACGCGCGCCGAAAAAGAGATGAACGAGGCGATGGAGTTTGAGTTGAAGCTTGTGAACTTCTCAGCGGATGATATGATCCGACGCGATCCCGAACGAGGCAATAATCGATATCAGCTGTGGCAACTCAAATCGCTATTCCCATTTGTAATATTTCGATTCGATTATTTTTTTTTTCAATTTTTGTGGACGGCGGCGGAAACTCAACAGAAATCGAATTTATTCAAAAATAAGATATCAAGAATCAAAAAAAAAAAGGAATTTTTTCAAGTGGTTTCCACCCCGTCATTCTTCAAATGCAGCAGTACACATGACTAAATATGGAAGTATCGAGTTTTCAGATTGATTTCGAGAAGTATATTCACACCGTTTTCAAGGATCTTGTCGAAATCACCGGAAATCATACGGTCATTGTTCGCGAAATCGACTATTTCAACGGGATTCAAGTAATTTTAGCAATTTGGTGGCTGCAAAAGAAATGCACTTTTCAAAAAAATTTTAATAAAATGCCAGTAAAAATTATATTTAAAAGGTTTCATGGCATATTCTGAAGAAAAATTTAGAAGGAGCATTAAATCAGCTTTTGGGTGATATATAAATTTTGGTATAAATTGGCGTCATTGAAAAAGCGAAATCTGCATTTCTTTTGGACCAGTCCGAATTTGATTTCTGTACTACCACTTGTGTTTAGCATGTTCTCCAAACGACACCCAAACGAGTGCTCGCCAATTACATCGCATGGCGATTGGTTCAAGGTGGGCCGACGGGCGAACTCTTCAGTATGTTCGATGCCTAAATAAGGCAAAACACGCTTGCTTTAGTTTCGAGTTGATTTTACGTGTTCGTCTTAATTCATCATGTAGTACTAAAACCAGACATAATTTTTCATTTTAATTATGTGACCTCTTCTCCTTCCACCCATTCCGATGTGTTCCATCGACGAATCGGCTGACTTGTGCCGCGTGTTCCTTATTTTGTCAGCGAACGTACTGCAGTGTGCGACGACGTGTTTTGTTGCGAATTTTATGTGTAGATCAAAACATTTTTTTTTGGTTTTCTTCTGCGTCAGAAGAAAAGACAAACATTGTGGAAGAAATTGAACGCTTCCAGGCTTCTCACCATTTCTGCCGCCAACGATTCGCGAGCCGTTTTATCAATTCAAAGCCAATCAGACGGGAATGTTCAATAGTCCGCCACCAGATAGGTATAATTTTCGAATAATAATTCGCAAAAAAAAATCAGATTTGATGATTTTTTTGTAGATGGGAAGATTGTGTAACACTTTCCGTTATTATGATGGATATGCCGGTTGGGCGACTTTTTGTCGAGAATTTTTTCGAAAAAGAGCGAGCAATGAAGAAGGTTTGGTCAAATTTCGATTTGTGATCTCCCCCGTCGTCGTGCCCATTTTAATGGCGCCCAGAGTTTGATCGCACGAAAAAAAAACCATTGGCTCATAGTGAGCCCAATGGAATCTGTCGTAAAATTCGAATTGCTTTCAGATGACGGAGCTCACATCGTATCTGAAAAATGAGTTTATAAAGCAGCTTCACGTGCTTGATTGGATGGACGAGGTGACGCGAAAACGGGCGATTTCAAAGGTGAGGAAGGTCCCTGGGATTGGCAACAAAAAAAATGGTTTGAGTAAATAAGGGGTGAAAAAAAAGTGAAAGACAAATATGAAGGCCAACAAAAATGTCGGAAAGCAAATAGACAATTTGGCTGGAGAAGGTTCGGAGAATCTCAAGTATTTGGGAAAAAATTAGAGAGTTGCAAAAAAAATGCAAATTTATTTTCAAATCTCGAACATTTTCAGCCAAAAATTTATTTACTATTCAGATTTTAATTGGTCGTTTAATTATGAATGATAATTTGAAATTAACAAGATTCTGAAAATGAGCTGTGCTCCTCGTTTCAGGCGAACATGATCGAGTACAAAAGCGGATTCCCGTTGGTATTATTCAACGACACATGGATGGAGAAGAATTGGGGAATGGAGATCTACCCGCACGAATATCTCCTCCAGCTCACAATTCGCGTGAAGCTCGTCCGATTCACTGAGGAGCTCCTACGATTGGATCAGCCATTGGATCGTTCGATGTGGTTTCAGAGTCCGGCGCAAGTCGACGCCTATTATGCGCCGAACAACAACGAAATGAGTCAGTCAGATTTTCAATGAGCACCATTTTGCGGAATTGCAATTTTCAGTATTCCCGGCTGGCATAATGCAATTCCCATTTCTAACGCTAGGCGTTCCGAACTATATAACGTATGGTATGGTGGGAGCGGTTATCGGACACGAAGTGTCCCATGCGTTCGATGATCAAGGTATTTGAGATCAGCGAGATTGATAATAATTGATGGGCATCTGGTTCAGGCGGACAATACGATGAGCTCGGAAATCTCAATGATTGGTGGGATGCGGAAACTGAGGAGAAGTTTATTGAGAAAACCAGGTGCGAATTCGAAATCCACCCTATATTATTATGTGCGCGCGCGAACCGCAACGCGTCTGGCGACATAGAAAAATTATGGTAGCCGCATTTTTTTGGGAAACAGCTTTTACTATTGCGAAATGAAAAAAAAAACGCCAACTATTGTCACTTTTCAATTTGAGCTGTTTGAAATCGAATACCGTACTACGAATAACCTACGAATCATACCACCAAGTGTTAAAAGGATTCTATTATTATCAGTGACTGCGAAAAATTGACGAAAAGCCAATAATGACCTCAAAGCGAAAGTATTGCGATTGTGTACTCCACACGGACAACGCTTTAGATAGGCTATTGTTTTTAAAAAGCCTCAAGGCGATGAGAAGACTGTGTTGACTTTCAGTTTACGTTTAAGAGAGAGGGAGAAGGGACCTTGATATTAAAGGCGCATACAAAAATTTTAACATTTTTTTGGGTTCAAGTGTGTTGAACTTTTGGACTTTTTTTCGACACCATTTAAAAAAAAACGCTGAAAACGACATTTCAGCTCGACGAAAAAGACATATTTGCTTGATGATCGCAATCATTTTTATTTTTTAGAAAATAGAAAATGGCGTCTTCTAGATTTTCAGCAACTTCGATGTGTTCCAATCGACATCCCTCCCCTCTCAAATTCGGTTTTCTCGTATTTCAAAAATCGCTGCCCAACCATTCGGTTTTTGTTGATATTTGCAAACGTCATCGCAACCGCAGAACAATTTCGCAATACCTCCATGATCTCTCTTTCTAGTGGTCTCACTGTTAAAATGCGACCCTCCCCCCCCATCGACCATGAGAAAAATTGATAAGAATCGCGTAAACCGAGTCACATGTCGACATTGCAGTCCAGACGTTGAACTATGAACTTGCAGATGTTTCGTGCGACAATACGAGAATGTTCATGTCGCCGAAGCTGACATTCATCTCAACGGCCAATTGAGTTTGGGAGAAAATATTGCTGATAATGGTGGTGTCAAGACAGCGTTTAATGTAATTTTTGAGAGAGAAAAAACCTCGATGGTCCTCATTTTTAGGCTTACAAGGCATGGAAATCCAATACCACCGCTAATGAGCCGGCACTTCCAGGATTCCAAAACTTTACTAGTCATCAAATGTTCTTCCTGGCATATGCTAATGTGGGAAAAACGGCATAATTACCATAATCGATATATATTTCAGAACTGGTGCTCCGTTGTCCGACCAAAACACTATATTCAGATAATCCTTACCGACGTGCACGCCCCTTCAAAGTACCGCGCAATGATCCCATTGCAAAATCGTCCCGAATTTGCGAAAGCTTTTCAATGCCCACTTGGCTCGCCGATGAATCCGGAAAAGAAGTGCCAAGTTTGGTGATGCAATTAAATAATCGCTATATGTCCCATCCACCTTGCCAGTATAGATATATAATATATAATATATTTAAAGAGATCTAGTCACTAGGCCATTTTCGTCTAACCAAATACAAATTGTATTTACTGATCTCGGACCAATTATTCGCCTAATAAAGTTTACTTTGGAAATTTATGAGATCGCAATGCAAAAAAAGAGAACAACAATAACAGAAGAAAGAAATGTGAGGAAGGAAATACGGGGAATAAAAGCAATAACAAATGCGCGCTACTGATCTCGTTTCAACTATTCAGCGCCTGGTTAGTTTGAGCAAAAATAATTGAAAGAGATGTTGGTTTGATGACGCGTATTGTTAAATGGAAGGAACCCGTGAAAATAGTCATTCTAAACACTACTAATGAAGAAATTGATTAACTGAATACTAATGAAACTTTGTAGACATTGTTTTCGGTGGAGCATACGGTTCATAGTGCCCAATTTTTTGAAGTTTCGCTCTCATCTTCTCTACTTCGCCGCGAAGGTGGCGTTCCTGTTGTTTCAATATCTTGTTTCGGTCAACAACTTTTTGAAGCTCTCTGACAAAAAAAAACAATATATTACAACTGGATGATACAAAAATCTCACTTTTTTCTTTCCTCCTTCTCAACTCGCTTCTTCTCTCGATAACGAATTGCTGCCATCCGATTCAAAGCTCTACGCCTGTCTGTCTCCTCATCAACATGCGGCTTGAGAACAACTCCACGCTTTTTGTACTTGGGCTTTTCCTCTGGGATGAACTCGTCCGATGACGGTGACCAAGATCTTGAATGATCGGAAAATCTACTCGGAGGACGACGACTTCTAAAAAAAGTAAATGAACACTGGAAAAAAAACTCAAAAAATGATAAACAAACCTCATAACTCTAGTTGGTTGGACTGATGAAGGTGTACTACTAGCGGTGTTCGGAGCCCAATTCAGCGGTCCTGAGATGAACAAGTCTTCGTCCTCAAGTTTATCCCTTGGATAGGGCTCCCACGGAATTTCAGCTTTATATACTTTACCGTCGTAAGCGGTTGTTTCTTTGGATTGCACAACGTACTGAAATATAAAATGTCGAAATGTTACGCAAGATTCCTTACCGAAGATGCGGTCTCGTACTCCTTTTTTACATCTTTCAACAGAATATCTGAATGAAAGGGCTTGACGATCTCCAGCTTCGGAATGCTGGATAAATAATTGACGTACGGTGTGTTTAAGTGCATTGGTGATTGGCTTTGTGCGAGTTGTAAGGCAGGACTCGGAGCTCGGCTGAAAACTTTTGCAATATCTCCTGAATCCGTTTCCTCGGAATCGAGATACTTGTTCCACGCCTATAAAACGCAGAATATTGATGTTCAAAGACCAAAAACATACATCCCAATCGACCATTTTTGAAACGTGGTCCACATCGATATCAAATTTTTCAACGCTTTGCTGAGTTTCTAGCTTGTGTGGAGGTTGCAATGGCACATTTCCACCTTCTGGATGCTGAAATTCAATTGAATAATATAAATAATTCAAAAATGCTCAGATTTTTATTTTATACAACATGGGGATTGAAGCTGACGAGCTTCTTCATGATTAGCATGTTTCTCATCATAGCATTTTTGCAAGGATAGAACCAGTGGTACATTTCGCGTTGGTACTAATAGTTTCGCGATGTGCTATTGGCGACATGGGTCTCTCCCGCATAAGGTCACACATGTTTTTGACGCAAACACTTACAAAGTTGTCCATCCAATTAGGTAAGGTGTCAAATTCTTCTTCATCCTGCAAGGACTGTATGGCAGCTGATGTAGTTTTGAGAGTAGGCCGTCCTAAAAACCAAAATTTTAATTTAATTTTTTTCTTCTAATTTATTACCACAAACGGAAATGACATTTTTCGAATTATTTGTTGCGTTCCAATTATCAAGATCCAAGAGTTCTAACTCCTTTATAACTTCTTTCTCCTCTTCGCTAGTCACTCCCAAAAATGGATCAGCTCCATATGTCGATGGCGATCGAAATGAGTCGGAAAATATGTGTGCTACTCCAGCAAATTGTTGAACGGTGGGCGCAGTAGACAAAAGCTAAAATCATTTCAATAAGGCTATTTTAAAATGTCATATGTTTTACCCATTGAGATTGGCAGTTTTTGTCACGTCGAAACGGACAGTTAGTAATAGCGTGAGCACCGAATGTTGTAAGTCTTCCAACACGTGAGAACATTTTGAAGACAATATGGCAGATAACGAATGAGTTAGTTCAGATCTTCTTTTCTTCTATTTGGCTGTTTGAGCATTACTGAAAAAAAAAACTTTGGAAACTCGTTGAAGACGCTTTTTAAAGCATTAAAAACCTAATTTTCCCACGTCTTTTGATATATTTTCTGAATTTTTTGTAATACTAACGCAGATGTTACGAATAAAACGTTCAATACTAACATGATTGATAAGCAACGAAATCGTGTGATATATTCAAGTTCAGACAACCAACTTTTGTCGTTTATAAAATTTTTGCGCTATTTTATATGCGAAACAGGCACTCTTCTGGTTTCTGCCGATCAAACACTACACCGAAAATTCACTGATAAGAATTTCTACAACATAATTGCCTAGAAAGAAATTTATTCCACATCATAACTGATTTTCGAGAACATTTTAGGAATTACATCATCATAGTAATCATGTCATCGAATATAAAAACTTACTGGTTTGCATGAAAGTCTAGCACATTGCGATTTTTGTTCAGCAAATGCACTATATCAATACCGTTGATGATGGACGAAACAAAACTGTCGTCGGGCAGGTTGCGAAATGACGGCCGCGGGCTGTTCGAAGATACACCATAGAAACGAAGAGAGCGCAGACAATGGGCGGGGAATCGTTGCAAGACTCGTCGCGATTTACGAATGTGCCTTTAACACTTATCTCGATTCTCTTTAGAGTTCTTCGAGTGATTATTGTTTTCTTTGTGTTTTTAAATAAAAAAATAAATGTGTAATAAAATTTATAGTACCAGAATGAATTAACCCGTTTCAAATACAAAAAAGTTAAAATTATACAAACCAAAAACACTAGTTATCATTAATTCGTAATGTAAGCATATTAGCCGGCTTTTTGTCTCGATCCAAAAACGTCGTGATCATATTAATTAGTTCATGCTCTTCATGCTTCGGATCGCCGCTTAGAAGCCTATATCGAACTGCAAGTCGGTTTCGAGCGTTTGCCAAAACGCGACAAAGTAATCTAGTTATGCTGTCGGTGAGAGATGGAAATTCCTAAATTTTCACATAATTTCATTTTTCAATAACTTTTTGCCATACCGTAGCCAAAATAATCAACGCCGGCGCCACATGCTTCCAAAGTTTGCTCGATGCCGGCAATTGCCCAAATTTGTGTAACGAATGGACAATATCGCACACGAGTCTCGCCGTATCCAAACATTCTTTAACTCGATACTAAAAAATAAATATGTAGAAATAAGATAAAATATTATGGAAATTTCGTTTAAAAAAACTAAAAAACCCGAAAAATTTCGCTCTTTTTGAGTTTTTTCTTCTAATTAGTTCAAGTTGACAGTGAGACCCACTTTTCTTGAGAGCTCCGCGACCAAAACAACAGTGAAAATTCGGCGCTGCGGATCGGGCGGCATTATCAGCTCATAAATATGCGAATTGGAAACAAATAACGACGGGATTCCTTCAACCATTGCCCGAATTTGTCGAAGAGGAAATTTCTAAACATCATTGCGAATTTTATAAAAATCAACAACAAAATAAAAATAATAAATACCTGCGTGAGAACCACTTTCAAAAGACCATCGTGATCAATAAAAACTCGATGCAAATAATCATAGGCGATTTTTCGAATTTGCTTCCGCTTCTCAATCATAGCAAAATCAGTAGGATCTCAAAAATAACACATTTTTCATGAAACTTTTTAAAAATACCATCTTTCATTCTCTTTGGATCGCAAACTTCAATTATTGCGTGTATTAAAACACTATGCTGTGAATCAATATACGCCGAAGTGAGCAGTTCTTTCTCCCTTCGATCTTCTCTGAAAAAATAATAAAATAATGGCTTGCTATATACATATTAATAATTAAGAAAAAAATAACAAGCATACTCGGATTGTTTCAATTGTTGCACAATTGAGGCGTTCTTCGCATTCGTCATTATCATTTTCAAACGCAAATCCCAACGGACCGCATCGGCGAAAAATCGAAGAGTTCGAATGAAGCATTCGAAATGCATCACGGAGCTCAAAATTCGACTGAAATTTGGTGAAGTGTCAAACCGTCTAATTTCTGGCATTAAAAAAACCTGTCAACGCGAAATATCAACGCCGGAATTTTGTAAATTTCAGCAATCGTGAGATGCTCCTCATGCGCAATCCAACGAGAAGTTGCCGCCTAATAATTTTATACAATTTTCGTTTAAAGTGGAGTGTTGGGGGGGGGGGTCTCGTATGGAGAATAACTTGTTCGAGACGAATTTTTAATTTTCTCCGCTTTAATTTTTTTCGACGATTTTTGGCTATTAGCAAAAGTGCCATAAGTTTTAAAATCGTCAAATTGACTCTATCTGGCTCACCTCATAAAGAGCCCTTGGACAAATCTGTTCACATGTGTCGAACAAGCCCAAAATAATATCATCAGCTCCTTCGGGCATTTCGGCTTCCAATGATTTCATGAAACACTCGAGCATAACTGGCATCGCCGCTATTTGATTGCCCAGAGACGCTTTGGAGATCTTCTTTAGAATGTTTATTGCCTTGATTCCATCGCAACATCGAACAGTTTGTACCATCTAAGACAAACATTTTTCTATATTTAATAGAATTTGCAGATTTTGGAAAAAAAAAAACAATCTTCGTTGAATATTTTCCAAAAATCAACAGAGTTATTAAATATACCTTTTGCACATCGATTTCACTGAAGCTAACCGATCTCTCAACCTTTGAATTATTATATTTTTGTGCAAGAAGAAGACTTTTCGCTGTCGGCATCATATACGGAAATAGGTTTCCACATCTAGCAATCTGAAAAAATTAATAAATTGATATTGTCAAGGACGAACGAATTTTGGGGGCGATTACTGTAGCATTTGAATTGCTGCCTTGAGTCTCGTATGAAAAACTATTAAGAGCGGGATTTGCTTAATTTAACCGACACAATATGAAAGAGACAAGACATTTTTGACAGTTTGTTTATTTTTACAAATCGTGCAAATTTGTTCGTTCTTGGCAATTCTAAAAAAAGTTGAATCACCAACCACTTTTGCTCTAATATGTTCGAAATCTTCGTGTCTTGATTCCATTACAGTCATAAGATATCGAATAGGCAATTTCGTATAAAATTCCTCTCCGTAAATCTGAAAAATATAGCCACTTTAACATTATTTATAATATAATTACAAAAATACCATAGATCGCAAAGAAGGATCGTGCCGCTGGGTGTGTTCACGATAAGAACAAAGGTAGAGCATTACATAAACTCGTCGCAATAATTTTTTCTGGTCTAACACGTCTCCGCTAAATGTTTCCTGAATAAGAAAACCAAGAAAATTAGCAAATAGTCGTTCAAAAATCCAACTTACATTGATGAATTCTTTACTCAAACCCGTTTTTCTGGAAACAGTGTTAATCGCGAATATTTCAATCACCTCAGAGAGAATTTCACTGGCTGGGTACGATATTTCCATCAATTGTCGTTCTAGCCAACCCTGAAAATCGTTTAAATTGAATTATTGCTTGATTTGATCATACCGAAATATCAATTTTGAATGTTTTAAAAACGCCGGCTGCTTGTAGAGCAGCCAATGAGTGAATTGCCAATCTTCCGCCGCTCGTTTCTCTCAATCCTTTAGTGATTGGTTGATTTGCGCACCTGAAATTTAAATAAAATAAGTCTTTCTTGAAAATAATGCTAGTACCGTTTCGCAATTTCGGTTTCTGAAAGACATCTTGACATGAATGCGTTTTTAAGCACTTGCGCATGAAGATGTCGATGAGTGATCTCGACTTTTCGCTTCAGAATCTCGCTGGCAAACTCGGAGAGCTCATCGGTTTTTCCGGACAATATGCAGGCATGCACAAACAGAAGATTTTTTCCAAACGATAGATCATTCTGAAATTAACAAATATAATCAGACAAAATGCATTAAAGATGGAACCTTGGCAAAATCGAATGTGCGCCTACGAGATGCGCTCAACCACGCGTAGACCGAATGATCCGGCGGTTGTACAGCGGCTGTTTGATTCAGTGGGAATCTTTAAAAACATCTTAACGATTCCAAGTAATGAAATATTGGCCTACTGGGTGAAAAATGGTATCGCTACCAATGAGGCTAAAACAAAAGTCTCATGAGCATCTCCAAATGGCGATTCTTCCATGCTAGTTTCAGTGGTCTGCCGTTTTCGCGAAATCTGCTCACTTTGGGATTCTTGTGAATCAAATACAATACTACTGTCGTAAAACCCATTCGAGGATGATCTTAAATAAAGAAATTCATATTCTATTTTTAAATCTCAAAAAAATGTTATAAATAATGGTACTATGCAGATTTTGGAAAAAAAAAATTGGTAATAGTAAGTAGTTTTTTTGCAATTTGTATAGTAATATGTTAACCTACCCATAACCATCAAAACTTGTGTCTATCTCCATTTTTTCATCATTTCGGTTATCCAATGTTGTTCGAAAAACGAATCTGGTAATCTAAAATCCACTTTTTTCTATTCAAATTTCGAAAGTTTCATTACCGTAACAACATCTTCATCTTTCCATTTTTCCGAAGTATTCAACAATTCAACGCATATTCGACATAATCTTGTACACCATGGCGCATAAGCAACAGGAGGCAAACTTTCAGATGTTCTGAAATATTAAAAAATGGTGATTTAATAAAAATAGAAAAATTTACTTATCAATAACGCTTCGCACAATCTTCAAAACTCTTTCAATAAGAAGAGGGAGCACTTGTCTACCACTACTTCGCAAAACAATTTGTGAAAATGGCGAGTCTCTCGTAGCTTGTACTGGCTCGAGAAATTCGATAAGATCGAGATCCGACAGTCTCTCAACAGCTAAACGGCACACAAAATTGCAGTCACTGAAAAAAAGTGCTAAAGTTCAAAATCAATAAAAAATATGTCCCACAATTTCTTCTTTGATAATAACTCGATGACGTGTCTGGTTTTATTTGGATGGATATCCAAGAGCATTGTAAGAATATTAATTCGCAATTTGTTTTTTGTTCCTTGCGCATAATGCTTCACAATGTAATCAATGAATGACATTGTTAACTCGGGAATTTGAATAATCACCTAAAATAGATCTCCATGGATCTCTTTGAAATCCAACAGACAACTTACGCTTTGTAGGACTTGCGGCCCATTTTCAAACATGCAGGCGTTAATAATTTCTTCAATAGTTAAAATATTCGGCAAATAAGAACACAAAACGACAATGATTTGGGCAATACTTTCAACGTCATCTTTATGTATCCAAGAGCTTCCCAAAACCAAAGAGGGTTGATTGTCTGAAAAGCTGAAAAATAGCAAAAACAAGTTTTCTAAATTACTTACACTTCTTTATTTTTTTTGCTATCATTACTAAATCGTCACTTTTCATCATTTTTGAGCTCGCTCGACCTGTCGTTTGAGAATCGACACTATCATTTGTATTCCAGGATTTCTCGTCATCGGGAATATCGCCAGGAGACTCGATTTGTGCTTGAATTTTTTTCCAGTCAAAATTTGCATAGGGCAAATCGCATAACGTGCACGGGTCTGATAAAGTTACAAGACTTTCGATTAATTGCACCTAAATAATTAATTTTAGTAGGGTCGAAATTGAAAATTGCAATCTCTTACTGGAACGTCGTGATTTCCCCGGCCCACACTACATTGTAACGCTGCTATATTATATAATTCCTTCTTTTGTGCTTCCATTACCTTTAAAACATATCTTTTATGCAAGAATAATAAAAAAAAAAACGGAAAATCGCGAAAATGACCGTTTCGAAAATGAACGGCCGTGGACTAACTTTTTCTTTTACTTCCGTTGACTTTTGTAGTCCACACGGAATTATATTTTTTTTAATTAAAAAATTCATTATTAAACCGCTGACCATTTATAAAATCGTTATTTTAATAACGAGAAAATTATAGAAAAATTATTCTCGCGCGACATTTTCTATATTACTCCATTCGTTTGGTAAACTTTAAAGCAATTTGAATAATTGAACTGAAATCTTTTAGATTGTTCCCAATTGTCGCGCAATGTCTGAAATTGCTGGTGAAAAGAGCGACAATGTTACAATAATTACTGAAGGTTAAAGTTTTTAGGATTGTATATTTATTTAATGATTTTATAGGAAAAGCCAAGGTTGGATTTCATGGTCCGGTATTCTACAACCCAGTTCAGGAATTCAATCGCGATTTAACGTAGGAATATTAAAGAAAAAAATTAAAGATAATTTTTCTATAGAGTCACTGTCCTTCAACAGTTTGTTGATGATCGTCTGAAACGATTGGAAAATGCAAAAAATGATGACAAACCAAATGAAGAAGAACCGCCAAAAAAGAAAAATAAATTAATTGAAAAGGATGATGGGTCGATTCGCATTCTAGATGCTCTTTCCGCGTCAGGACTACGCGCTCTTCGTTTTTCAAAAGAGGTTCCGCATGTTGATTTCATTATGGCTAACGATTTCTCGGACAATGCTGTTGAGTCTATTCGAGAAAATGTCAAATTAAACAACGTTGAAAATTTGGTCGAGCCGCATTTTGGAGACGCTGTGTAAGTAAAAAAGCATTTTAATCGCAGAAATTTTTGTTTCAGTATGACTATGATGAATCATAGAAGTATTGATAAACGATTTCACGCGGTGGATCTCGATCCATATGGATCAGCGTCAGTATTTCTAGATTCCGCCGTTCAATGTGTAGCTGATCGAGGTTTCATTTTTGGTTCGTCCCGTTTATTTAGAAACTTTAAGGTATTCTAATGGTTACATGCACCGATATGGCAGTTCTCTGTGGAAATACTCCAGAAGCATGCTATAACAAATATGACGCAGTGACGACGCGAATGAAATGTTGTCATGAAGTTGTAAGTGCTCATAAAAGCTAAAATAATTTATTTTGGATTAATTTTGAAGGCTCTTCGAATTCTCCTTCGATCAATTGATTCGCATGCCAACCGTTATACGCGCTATATTGAACCGCTTCTTTCAATCAGTATCGATTTCTATGTTCGCGTTTTTGTGAGAATGCACACCGGAGCAAGAGAAGCGAAAGATAGCGGAGCGTATGTGGCTGATCGATGTTAAAATGGACTAATGAATGAAATTTTTTTCAGGAAAGTCGGAACCGTCCTAGTGTGCAGCGGTTGTCAGTCAATGGAACCGGTTCCGTTGTTAAGAAAAGTCGTCGATGGTGTTTCTGTGAAATTTACAAATCCAACCATCAAAAATTCGTTAATGGGTAACTTTTTATCTTCTCTTAAAAAAATGTATTGCCGGGGTCGCGTGACTGCGGAAAAAATGGCTAAATGAGGAAAAGCAATGGCAGTGATCTTGGCACAAAACTAAGTGTAGATTTTCGGGGGTATAAGGATAAGTTAAAGGATCACACCGAGATCTCTTCATCAATTGCTTTGCCATTTAGCCAATTTTCCGTAACGGCGCAACGCCGACAATAATTTTCATCTAAAATGTAGGCGGTGATCATCGATGTGTTCATTGTGGGCATACTGTTCATCAAGTTGGCCCCATGTACCTGGCCCCAATCCACAGTAAGCCATTTGTATCTGGATTGCTCGAAAGGTACGTTATTCGTAATACCAATTTGAAAAACATATTTATCAGATTAAAAGCTACAAAAGAGTCTGAACAACTGGGAACTCATAGTCGCCTTCTTGGTGTATTGACAACAGTAAATGAGGTTTGTCGTTAAACTTATAAAATTTAATTTTTTAAAAATTAATATGTATATTCAGGAAATCGACGACGTTTTGTACTATGAACACGACCAGTTGGCCAATGTTGTTAAAGTTTCTGTGCCGAAATCCGTCAATGTTCGATCAGCGCTATTAAATGCTGGTTATAAGGTAACGAAAAAGAGTATAGCATAACCAACTCAATAGTCATTATTTCCAGGTTTCCGGATCACATTGCAATCCGCGTGCGATAAAAACCAACGCGCCAATGGATTTTGTGTGGGATATTTATCGAAAAGTCGCGAAAGATACGAATGTGAACCGAGAGAAAAGATTCGATGCGCACGCGCCGGGCTACAAGATTCTCGAAAAAGAGCCTACCAACACTATCGACTTCAAATTGCATCCGGACGCGGCGATTCAAGCGAAGAAGGAGAATTTGGTTCGGTTCCAATGCAATAAGGGAAAAAATTGGGGTCCACGACAGAAGGCTAAAGGATCGGTCAACTCGGCGCAAGCTGGATTTCAAGTCACAATGGAGTCTTGAAATTTTGTTGAAATTGTTTGTTGCCTTGTTATTTGTTGATTTATATTGTTGAATTTATAAAATTTTCTACAATAATAGGACTTGAATCTCCTCATTAAAAAGCATGTTCTTCGATTCCAATGATTTTTGTACCGATCTCGCAATTTGCTTCCATTGGCTCTCGTAGACTAGCTGAAATTTTCAAGTTGAAAATTTTGAAATTCAAAATGAAGTTGCCTGGGAAGTGATTGCAGTGACTGTCATGGTCTGCTCGAAGAGTTCGGCTTTGACACCGCCTGGACCATTGGTGGTTCCACTATATTTTTCAAAATGTTTTTTTTCTTCTAATCACTCAATTAGTAGGTACGTTTTTCGCTGGAACGCGCATGCAAAGCGCAACGCGTCTGACGACATACATATATATTTTTTAAGTCATACCACAGTTGAAGTAACGGTAACCGTTTCATTAACAATGAAAGTTTCTTGGCCGGTCGTTAAGCATTTGTATAATACAGTGCCATCAACAGTAAGATATCCAGTCCCTTCAGCATCGCAGGTTGCCATCAATGGAGTATTGGGAGGAATAAAGTCGACATTGATTGTGATCCCAGTGGTTGGTAGCGCATTTTCGGTCAATGTCTCCATTATCTAAAATAAGATTTCATGAAAATTTAAAATGTGCATTTAACAAAAACTCACCGCATTTGTGACGTCATTCTTAGCGATATAACTAGCATAGTTTGCATTGACTTGGCCTCTCGATGGGTTGTTGGAATAGGTGTAGGCAATTGGTGGAGCTATTTGATAGACGAACTTACCTGTCCTTCCAAGCTGTCCTTAGATATATTTAGAAGAATTCACGATGAGCTGTATAATTGCATTTGACAAACCATAGCCGGCGCCACAACCGAGAGCAGCTAATGGTAGGACGAGAAGAAGAGGAAGAAGCATTCCGAGTCAGTGCCATTTCGCACGTCAACGCTTCTTTTTATACGAACCTTTGACCCCTAGACTTATTGGTATTAGCGTAGGAGTTTTTTATGAACCATAAAAATTCAATTTTTAGTGTTACGGTAAATATTTGGCATAGCAGAATTTGGCAACTTTTTATTGATATTGACACAAAAATTTTGCAAAAAAATGATATCACATAAATTATGACCAGACGGTTTGCATAACTATATGACTATTCCAAATAATTTATGTCAGTATTTGTGTTGTAAGTAAATTTATTTTTACCTTAAAATCGAAATGAACGAAAATATAAATGAAACAGTTTTGAATTTGGGAAAAATAAATAAATTGCCGCAAAATGTCGGTGTCAGTGTTTGCGGACGGATTAACAGTAATTTTATTCATAATAAGTTTTTTTTTCAGACGAAAAAAATGAGATATGCAAAAACGGCCTGTCCCAATAAAAGAAACGAGGCTCCCATGGCAATGGCTGGAAGAAAAAGATCCACAATTCGTCTAAAATTCGAGATTTGCAATAAAATCAACATGTTCTCAACTTTTGTTCTACTAGTACAATTTTGATTTTTTTATTTGTTGGTTCTGTTGGCGGAGCTCCAGTCATCGCCACTGTCGTCCCTTCCTGGTCAATCGATGTGTTCTTGATGTTATTCGGACCATCAGTCAAGAAAACTTCTTCTCCACCAATTGGTTTATTTCTGAAAAAAAGAAATTTATAAAAAAAGTAAGGGAATGGTTCTGCTCACTTCACTATATCCTCAATTCTCGTCATTTTTTTCGAAAATGAATTATAACATTTAAAAACGTAAAATCACTATATTCAAAACGTTCCGCTCATTTTTTAATTTAATAACTTTTCATCGATTCGTTTATTTATTGGGTGAAATCCTTCAGAAGTCTTAAAAACTGAAATTAAGTAGCTGAAAACGATTTTCATGGTTGCTGATATGTTCAGACGATGGCATTTCTGAAACAAATGAATAAAAGAATACATTTAAAAATTTCTCGAGAAGAATTGAATTCAAAGAATCTGCGAGGAACCAATAAATTCTAAAAGTTGAATTCTGAAAACGATTTCCATAAATTGAAAAAAAATTACTCTACGTAACATCCATTGTAGCCAGGAATTCAAAATACAAATGCAAAATGCGCTCTACCGAAATACAGCGTCGTTCGGGAACCGCAAAATAGCGTCGATCGGGGGAATGCGCGTCACCGTCTGAGTTCAGAGAGTGTGCAAACATGAGAGAATCAACGGACACTTGGCGTCAATTTGCAGTTCGTTCCGACAAATGTGCTCTATTGCAAGTTTTGCACCGACACCAGTGGCACTATAAAAGGCCGTCGGATGCGCAATTTAGTCAGTTCTCGGAGCTCCTCGAGTTGCGGGAAGCCCGCCTATCTTGCGGGCTCGTCGTGCCCCGCATAACCTGCGGGCTCCTCGTCGTGCCCCGCAAATCCTGCGAGCTCCACGTGCTCCCGCATAACCTGCGGGCTCCGCGTGCCTCGCATATCCTGGCGGGCTTGTCATGGCCAAGGATCCACACGGTATGTCACATTCATCGCAATCCTTCTTCTCAATTCCTCGTATTGCAGATCCGATGAGAGCCACAGTCGTTGCTCATTCGAGCTCTTCCGATGTGCTTTGTCGAAAGTGTCGGGGATTCTCGACTGGTGCGACTCGGTAAGCCAGTACTAACCCTACTGCAGTGTCGCGTCCAGGCCGACGTTAAACCCACATTCATGAGTAGACATAACACGTGAAGAAGAGCAAGAAAGGGGAATGACGAAAGAGGAAGCGGATTCGAAAGGTAAAGAAGGAGTCGCAGTCTATCAGAATAACTCGGATCATTACAGGTGTCTTGAATCGAATGGATCTAGTCGAAGGCGACGGCTCGATGAAGCAACGAGGAAAGAGCAAAAGCGCCGGGTATTTTGGTAATTTTTGGTTAGGTCCAAGTTTTTATTATTTTTTTATTGTTACTATTTTTCACTTTCACCGGTCGTACCACTTACGACTGCCCCCTTCTATATCCCACCACTTCCTCTCTCCTCTCTATACAGTCGTACCACTTACGTCTGTACTTCCTCCTGGTCCTACCGTTTGGGACCATCTCTTCTTCTTTTTCGGGGAATGCCGGCTTCCCCTTCCCCTTTCTGCTACCAGTCGTACCACTTGCGACTGTCCCCTTCTCTCTATCAGTCGACTGATCCCCCTGCCGTACCACTCGCGGCTTCCTCCTCTATATCCCACCACTTGGGATTCTCTCTCTTTCTTTTTCGGTCCTACCGTTTGGGACCACCCATTTCTTCGTTTTTTTCCGGGGGAAAACCCTACCACTTACGGTCATGCCAGTCGTTCCACTAATGACTGGCTTCCCCCGTTTTATATTATTTTTTTCGTATTAATTTCTGTGTATATATTTTTTTTAGGTGTTTAGGTATCGTCGATGCTGCTGATCGAAGGACCCTGCCGGTGAATCGATTCACCATCACCCCACCATTAAGCATAACCCCATACTAAGGTCCTCTATTTATTTTCTATTTAATCCGCTGTAGTCGGCGATATTAGGGCCGTAGTCGGCCATTCCCCCAAACGCCAAGGCTTCCCGTCCCCTCTAGTGCCGAGGTGTTGGCTGGATGGCGGCTTAACCGCTGTATCCTAAATTCGGGTGATTGGCCTGGCAAGCCCTTCAGCCCTGATTCCGTAGCCGGGAATCGAACCCTACCCAAACGTCCGTTTCAAGTACTCTCGAGTGCTTGGTGGGCGTTATGGATGGTTATGCTTTAGAACTTTGCTTCACCGGGTGTCCTCCATACTAGTCAGGATGTCATCTGGCCCAGACCTATATTGACGTGGATTGGCCAGCTATGTCAATATGTCCAGCCTTTCGGGTGCACATGGACCGTGTTTCTTGGCATAGTAACTTGCTACATTGTAGTGGCTTGCTACTACTTTGTAGTAAGTTGCTATGTTGAGAACACAAAAACCACATTACCATATCACCAGTAGACCCGGGGCCCAGCCAGACGTGGCTTGCCCAACCACTTCTACTTCTATTATCCTCGGATGATAGTTGTGGGATGTCCTTGGGTGATCCCCATGGTGGGATCGGCGATGACCCACATCAGGTTTCGGCCTGATGCTGGTGAGCCTCTCCTTCAAGTGTCGAGCCTCTACGTGGCGAAGGAGATCAACTGACTCGACACTCCTTCAGGGGGATGTCGAGTCAGGCTAATCGGCACACGAATTCCAAACGGCCCTCTTCAGGGCCCCTCACGGCGCATTTTGTAGTGTTAGTTTAATAAATAAATATTAGTATATTTTAAACTAGGCTTCTAAATAAAATAGTAGATCGATAGTGCCAATATCCCGCTCTACAAGCTACTATGCCAAACATGCCAAACATTTCCAGAATTTTCTCCTCATATTTATCAACATTTTTTTACTAACTTCATTTTTCGTTTTCAATTTTGTGTAAAAAAATATTCAGTAAGGTGATAATTGATGAAGAGCATGAACTGTTAATTTGTTCCTCACTTTGTCATTTATTAGAGATTTTAACGTTATGAAAATTACAAATATTTAAGAATGTGAAAAACAAAATCAGTTAATCAGTACGAGACATAAATCTAACCGACTTTTCGATTTCTTTTAACCATTTAATTGCGATGAAGCTTATTCTTAATAAAATTTTCTAAACTTTCTGGTGTTTTTGCGAAAACCGAAAAGTATTAAGCTTGACGACATACATAGTTTGCCGATTAAAACAAAATTTTGCCAAAAAAAGATATCGCATGATTTTTAAAAATTATTCCTCAAGAAACTATTCCAAATTATTTGTGCCTTCGAATTCTTTCGTGATCCCAATGCAATTTTAATACGCACTATTCAGACTCTCTCTCTCTCTCTCTCTCTCGAACTTGCTCTCAAAATCTGAACCCTTTGGCTAACTTCAATTGAAGTCTCTTGAAATATATTCCGCGCTATTCAAGAATTTAGTCGCTGAACTAAAAAAGAAGAATGGGGCAAGGTACCAGTGGAATACTGTCATCGATTCTATTGTTAGTCGAGCAACAATAATTTAATAGAAGATTAGACCTCTAATAATTATTTCATCAATTATAGTAATATTGTTTTCCATTTATTATCTTACCATATACGATATTACCAATAATTATACTCCACCATATATGTAGGTATGTAGAGCTTATAACGAATTCTGACACTCTTCAATTAAAAAAAATTATTTATTAGTTCTAAATGCTATTTTTCGAATGTCGCTGTCATCCCAATAATATTGCGGAATCGATTCGCCAGATTTTTCCTTCTAACCAACGCGGGACCTTCGAAGTACTGGCATTTATACACTTTTTCGGCTCCATCTGGTGGATAAGTGTATTCGACAATTATCCGATCGTTTTCCTACAATAACTCGATTTGAGCAAAATTTTGATGTATGTGTAGTTCGAATTGTTGGTTTAAATCTGATGGTTCGAACCGCCAGCTCGAAAGTCTCCGACCATCAATTCAAATTACACTGCTAAAAATACAAATTGTCCATTTTTATAGAAGCCACCTCATTTCCCTCGAAATTCATACTAAGTATAACGGATTCCATTGGATCAAGAACGCCGGTTGGCCGACTCGCCACATTTTTCTTCGAGGTCCGTATATTGAACGCGATTCGGCGACCCGTCGAGTTGACAATTTTCACATGATCGGGACCCGATGATAGCGTTTGAATTTCCTGCGCAGAGATTTGCGATTGTAGATCAGCAGGAAGCGAAGACGTCGACATTATGCCAAAAAATAAATGAAAATATGACATTGATTTATGAGGATTATTGACGTGAATTCTTTTATCAAAAAAAAAAATCGATTTTCAAATTATCCAAGATTTTGTTTGGAGTCTCAAATTCTGATTATCGGCTTGGAGTGCTGCGAGTTCAAATCCACTGGCCATCCTGGGACCGACTGAATCGTCCACATCACACTAGATGCTTGAAAATTGAATATTGGAATACATTGGCAGGGTCTTCTAGATCATGTATTGAACGAGATTCAACAAATATTTTATTTAATAACTAAAAATAATAATTTTATTTTGGTTCAATGAGGCCGCGTTTCCCAACAGCCCGACGATGCTTCAGACATGCCTCAGATGGTCCCGTTCCTCCACCAAATTCTTCTTAACAACCTCGATACTTGCGTGTGGATTAGCTTTGATCCTCGCCTTCATGAAATCAAGCGAGTTGTCAAATCTGATGATTTGATGAAGTCGGGAAAATTGGCTTCCCGTTGAAGCACCAAATATTTTCATTGACGCCTTGTTAGGATCTCATGGAATAATTATGAGTTAAAAAAAAACACAATTTGATTCTTTAAAAGAAATTCAATTTTCAGAAAAGATTTTTAGAGAGCTCATTATAATAGGAATGACCAATTGAAGAACATCCCACGTCCTCGGTGCATACTACGTGCATATGTTCACCAAACATCTTTTTTAAAACATTTCCGTCAACCCAAAAGCATTGTATTTAAAACAATTTTGTTGCAACTCGATTCCAGCAATTTTTCAACAAATTCATCTCAAATTGTCTGAAATTGTTGACAAAAATGTTTGGAGAAACATCCACGACGCAACAATTTATGATTTTTTGTGACTCATCACAGATTATAAATTGTGTATAAAATATTGCATTTTTCGCCATTTTAGCCACAATTCGCGATTTATGATTCTTCTGATATTGCTATTCGTCGGCAACGTCGGCGGGTTTTATTACCCATTTGGTGGGGGCTATGGATATGTAAGAACTTATAAGCTAATCGATGAATTTTGGATGGTTCCTTGCAGCCCCAAGATGAGGCGCCGATGGCACCCGAAGAGCCCGTGTATGCACCAATTGGCTATGAGGAAGACACCAACGATGGAGAAGGTATATTGATAATATCGATTTACGGACCATCAATTTTCGATAGGGTTTTTTTAAGAAAATTTTCTTCTTGAGGAGCTGGCAAATTGCCAATCGTCCTCTGGGTTGATTTACTAACTTTTTGAAGGATTCGCCACGCGATATCGGCCGCTCGCAACCTCATGCGCCTTTAATTCGTGTCGCATTTCCGATTTAATTCTCTAGAATTTTAAAAGGAATTGAAATGAAACAAATGGGAGCGTGAAATAGATAGCTAGTGATTTGACTCTGCTATCTCAAAACCAATCCAATCCGACATAGTACAAATCGGATCCTAGATTGGTTTTGAGGTATCAGAGTATAATAGTTGTCGATTATAATACAATTATATGCTGAAAAGAATGATTTAGAAAATTTTCAAAATTCCAGTTTTTCTCATTATTTAATTTCAGTAGAAGTTGTGTACGTCCCTGGGCCTCCAGGTCCACCCGGCCCTGATGGTGGTCAAGGTGTGTGGACAGCGCCATCAATCAAATAGTATCAATATGAGTTTTAGGTGACCAAGGGCCGAAAGGTGATCGAGGGCCCGAGGGACCAAAAGGTGATCACGGCGTAAAGGGGGAAACCGGCGAGAAGAGCGAGAAGGGGGCGAATGGTGAAAAGGGCGAGAAGGGGGATGAAGGCGCGAAGGGCGATGACGGCGAGAAGGGCGACAAAGGCGAAATGGGACCCAAGGGCGAAAAGGGCGAGATTGGCGAGAAGGGCGACAAGGGCGCGGATGGCGACAAAGGCGACAAGGGTGACAAAGGCGAGAAGGGCGACAAAGGCGAGAAGGGCGCGGATGGCGAGAAGGGCGAGAAAGGAGAAAATGGCGAGAAGGGCGATAAGGGCGACAAAGGCGACAAGGGCGTTAAGGGCGACAAAGGCGAGAAGGGCGAGAAGGGGGCGAATGGTGAAAAGGGCGAGAAGGGGGATGAAGGCGCGAAGGGCGATGACGGCGAGAAGGGCGACAAAGGCGAAATGGGACCCAAGGGCGAAAAGGGCGAGATTGGCGAGAAGGGCGACAAGGGCGCGGATGGCGACAAAGGCGACAAGGGTGACAAAGGCGAGAAGGGCGACAAAGGCGAGAAGGGCGCGGATGGCGAGAAGGGCGAGAAAGGAGAAAATGGCGAGAAGGGCGATAAGGGCGACAAAGGCGACAAGGGCGTTAAGGGCGACAAAGGCGAGAAGGGCGAGAAGGGGGCGAATGGTGAAAAGGGCGAGAAGGGGGATGAAGGCGCGAAGGGCGATGACGGCGAGAAGGGCGACAAAGGCGAAATGGGACCCAAGGGCGAAAAGGGCGAGATTGGCGAGAAGGGCGACAAGGGCGCGGATGGCGACAAAGGCGACAAGGGTGACAAAGGCGAGAAGGGCGACAAAGGCGAGAAGGGCGCGGATGGCGAGAAGGGCGAGAAAGGAGAAAATGGCGAGAAGGGCGATAAGGGCGACAAAGGCGACAAGGGCGTTAAGGGCGACAAAGGCGAGAAGGGCGAGAAGGGGGCGAATGGTGAAAAGGGCGAGAAGGGGGATGAAGGCGCGAAGGGCGATGACGGCGAGAAGGGCGACAAAGGCGAAATGGGACCCAAGGGCGAAAAGGGCGAGATTGGCGAGAAGGGCGACAAGGGCGCGGATGGCGACAAAGGCGACAAGGGTGACAAAGGCGAGAAGGGCGACAAAGGCGAGAAGGGCGCGGATGGCGAGAAGGGCGAGAAAGGAGAAAATGGCGAGAAGGGCGATAAGGGCGACAAAGGCGACAAGGGCGTTAAGGGCGACAAAGGCGAGAAGGGCGAGAAGGGCGTCAAGGGTGAAATTGGCCAAAAGAGTGACCAAGGCGACAAGGGCGAAAAAGGCGTTAAAGGGGATAAAGGCGAAAAGGGCGACAAAGGCGAGAAGGGCGCGAAGGGTGAGAAAGGCGAGAAGGGCGACAAGGGTGTCAAAGGCGATAAGGGTGAAAAGGGTGACAATGGCGAGAAGGGCGTCAAAGGCGGCAAGGGCGACAAAGGAGCAACTGGAGATGATTGCGTTGATGAAGGTACTCAAGGGATTTTGTAAATTACATTTGTAAATGTTGTATAGGTGGAAGCGACGGAGGAGACGGAGGAGAAGTTGGGGATGGGTGTGAATGCGGTTCTTCTGATTGGTTTGCAACTACTCGTGGAAAGACTACCTGGTGTATTAGGGTAGGTGTCTTCGCTTTTTTATTATATTTTGTAGAATTTAAATTGTACTATAATCGACACAGTATTGAGAATATAATGGCGCCATTTCGAAAATATGGGTCGAAATTTTTCATTAAAAATGAGAATTTTGAGAGTTGCGAAATAGATTTAAATTTTTGTTTAATTTTTTAAAGAAAATTCTACTAGGCGATTGCTAATCAAATTCATTATTTTGAAACTTTCACTATAAATGGGGATCTGAAAAAAAATGCCCATAAAAGAGGAATAAGAAGAATTATGCCAGATTTTGAAGGAATAAATATTAAAAAGGCTCACATTGAGACCTCTTTTTAATTTTTTGGCAATTAGCCAATTCGACAATGCAATGAAAAAAAAGCAACTTGGAATTGTGTGATTCGCGAAAATTTTGATTGCAGCTCCTATTAGGTTTACAATTTTTGATCCCATTTGGCAGGTCCCAATAATCACATGGGGTATTGTCGCCATTGTGTATCGAGTTGGGTCTCGCAACAACGCGTTGCATTCTCCGTGTGGAGTACACAATGCGCGTTTCGAGACCATTTCTGGCATTTAGTCAATTTGTGACAAATTTTAACAATTTTATTGATTGAAATACATCACTTTGAAATATCGTTCAGGTTTTCCATGAGATTACAAAGGGCACAACTAAGGCGAATGAGTACTGCCAAAAAAATGGCGCGATATTAACAGCAATCGAAAATGAAGTAGAATATAACACAATTAAAAGTATGCCAATTGAAATTCCGGAGCATAATTGTCGCTTTTAGACCAATCATATAGTGGAGATGTCTTTAGTCAGTGGAACGATTTGAATAAAGTATATATGGTGCTTGGAGCAAAGAGGAAAGATGAATGCACTAAAATTGATTCGAATAGTTGCACCGCAATCAATGGAAATGTTTTCTTGGATAACAAAACAACAAAAACTTATATGTTTGAAAAGGACTTTCCAAAAAATCCACCGTAAGTGAAATTGGGAGATTATAAAATGCCAATTAATAATTTTGAAGGAATTTAAGCGAAAAACGAAAGTGCTTTGGTTATTTATTAAAAAAGGATAAAAGTGATCCTGTTCTTGACGCTATTAAGTAAGTGGATTATTGAAAATGATTGAATAATTCATGTTTCAGATGCGATGATGACAAAACTGATGGAAAAAACCACAAATTGCTTTTGTGTGGTAAAGAAGCGCAATGCAAGCCGCCAATTAAGCGATAATTAAGAAACAACGCTTAAAATGATTAATATAAATAAATGGTTTCAACACGTTGCATATAGCTGCGGACCATATCATGCGATAGCAACAAACTGTCTAAATAAAAACACGCTCATAATTTTGTGGGTATACGGTACACACTGCGGTGTATGCACACACACACTAGTTGACGCGCATATACAGAGTTTTTCAGTTTTGTCATTATTTTCAGGTGAAAGCTGTTTTTGGGCAACTTTTTATATTTTTTGTGTTGTATTGCTACACAAGAAAAAAGTGATAGCGTAACTAAATATTCTTTTTTTCTACTTTTTCAACTCTGAATCTTATTGTTTTAAATTTTTTTATTGAAATTGCTTTTCCTTTTTCATTCCTAAAACACTATTGAGGTTAATTCATTTATGTACGAATTTTACAACAATCGGAAATGGTCTTGAGGGGACAAGCCTCCACATGAACAATATTAACTCTACTCGTCATTCCCTTCGACAATTGGCCAGGTATTCTTGGCGAGACCCGTCGATTTGGTTTTAATCTCTCGATCAATTTTAACAGAATTTATGAGAACAAAAAACGTTTGATGAGACAATTGCTTCAATGCAGATTCCCATTATATTCAATGCATTAACAAATGGACCAAACTTCTGAAAAAAAAATTATGTGGATAATGTCACGCATAGAGGAGATCATACTTGGAAACTGAGCTCTATTATACCGAATGATGCAATTGTGAACGGGATGCAATTGAATAATGTTGACAGAAACAATGACAATAATATCCAGTAATCCGGCTAAAACAATTTTTCATTTTAAATGAGGATTGTGGAGTTTTGAAAAATTCGTTCTAAGTATGTATTAGGAGCCGATTTGGGTGTGGAAAAAATTCCATAAAAATCACGAGCCTAAAAAAATTTTTAACACATGCCCAGAATTTGGGAATTGGGTCTCGGAAAGCCCCAGAAATAAACATTCTTCATTTTTTTCTTTATTTTCCGCCGCCAATTTTTCTCACATGGCTTCGGTTGATAAAAATTGATGTCGGCCACTTTTTATTTCGAGATATTTTTCATCAGAAATTAATTTATCCGGTTCAAAATCAAAATTTTGGATATCTCATTTTAAGGAAAGCAAGATCACGTTGGAACCTTCTTCCATTTTGATCCTCATACTGACCTCTGTAATATTTTTTTCGCGTAATTCGTTCACTTCACAATAGCAAATCACTACAGCATACACGATTGTTGTGGTAAGGGTAAGTGAGAAAAGAATCTGAATATTTCCAAAGTATATATAGTCGGCGTCGGGCGACTGCTGTGGATTTACGCGCATGCGCCTTCGAAAAGGTCTCGACACGCGTGAATGCTTATTTTGCTGTTTTCACGTGAACTGCTTCATTTTTCTTGATGAGTTTCGTATTTCCTTGAATTTCCCACGTCAGTCGATTAAAAAAATTGTCGAACCGGTCCACAAAATTTAAAATAACCTGTTAGTCCTTGCGAGACCAATTCGAAGGGGCATCCCCGTAAATCTACCCGCGTACAGCAGTCGCCGGACGCCGACTATATAATCATATAAGATTGTTGCCAAATAAATGCACAATTTAGGACTTTAAATTTAAGTGAGAATTAAAAAAAATAAAGTGAGAATAAAGTGAATTATGGCATTTTTGAGGAAAAATTTAGAAAATGTATTATGACATATCGAGGAAGTTGATATTAAGGTAACGTTTTTTGGAAAAAATAATTATTTAAAAAAAGCCGAAAACCTGCATTTATTTTGCAACCCACTAATAATAGTTACACTTCTTTCAATCGTCCAATATTCAAGAAAGCATGTATTAAGCATGCATCCAAGAGCAGAACATCCAATTTCGACGTCAATTTTATCGCGGCAAATTCCTAAAAAGAACGCGATTTCGATGAAACCTGAAGAAAATTGAATATTTTAGGTAGTTGTTGTGTTAAAATTACCAAATGTTGATGAAACGATTATAATTGTTAGCAATTTACACCGGACACTTAATTTTCTTTTCAGATTTGGGAAAAGAAGAGCCTGAGAAAAATTGGCAACGCTTCATATAGAAAAAGAAACTTACAACGATTTGATGAAGCCCAATGTTGATTGACAGCGAAAATCGAATGGGCCAAATAAAAACCATTGGAAGGCTCGCTATTTTAATATGTCGAATTTTCGATGTTTGTTCGTCTTCGTTAATTTTTTTCAGAAAAATCACAAATAGATAGACAGCGACTAAAAATTGAATTTGGGATTTTAAAAATTTATTATGGATCTATTCAGCGATTTCAAAATTGGAGAAAATTTGGCACTGAAAATTTTCGATTATTTTTCCATGAAACTGAATGGGTCCTTTCTTGTATTTCTAAATATGGATCCTTCTCCTTCTGGATAGGATTTACTATCTGCATTCGAACCAGCATTATCAGATTATAATATGAGCTTCTATAACCGATCCGACTCTTATACCATTGCCCAAACATTCATACATATATAATTGTATAATTTTTTGAGCATACCATTTAAAAATCGATTCTGAATTTTGTGGAACTTCAAAATTTCCAACATTTCGGGATATCCACACAAGATTTTTTCAAATTTTATTGCATATCAATGCTTGAAATTTTGATCAAATTCACTTTTTAGGCTTTTGCTTTTTTCGAATTTATGCAAAACATTAGCTTGGAGCGTTGAACCCTCTGTTACCCATATCCCGGACCATAATATCCCGAGCTTCACTATATTGTAGAATTACATCCTCGACCCTCCCTCGATTTGGCCTTCTTCAAAAATCTACCCTAGCCACTGGTACACATATTTCAAATTTAAAGAGTACCGGAAATTCCGAGAAAAATATCCAAATAGCATCGCAAATACAACGCGATAAGCTCAAATTTTTTGTTAAACGTTTTCCTTAAAAATTCACAAAAAAAAATAATGCCAATATTTTATTACCTCAAACTCTTGGAAATAGTCGAACAATTAATAGCGATTAAAATAATACAAAATGTCAATCCGGAAAGAACAACAAGAAGCGGAATTGTCATTTTGGCAAATGACCCAAAAATAAAAATTCATTTCATTAATGAGTTTTTAGATATTTACATCTGGAACGCGCCTATTAGGTTACATTCTATTAATGGTAAATCTGGAATTGCTCCTTCTGAATCGGCTGAATGTTTTCTTCATTCATCGGATGCATCAACACCGACACCAACTTCGAAAGCGGCGTCGATTTTTCAGCTTCCTGCATATCGTTAACCAATCTGGAAATATTCAAAAATGCAATCCCCATAATGCGAATCGCTTCATACCGATCAGCCACCAACGAATCTTCCTTGCTCAATACAGTGAATCCCATGGAATCGAGAAGTTGTCGCACCTGCTCGATAGTCTCACTTGAGGTGTTAGCATTTGGTCTCATCTGGAATGTGACAAATATGATGCACTTGTCACCTTGATAGCTTTCAACATTTCATACGTCTATTGAGAATGTTCCCACGAGCAAAACTCCGCCCAATAATCTCAAGTATAAAAGGCGAACGATCTGAGGAAGCGATCAAACATAATCCGGCGATTCTCCTTCTATGATCATGTTTGATTCACAGACGCCACCCAATGCTGATCTGGATTCGCTTCTCAGTCATACAAGCTTCTTGAATAGTCGATATGACTAGAAACGAATTCAGCACAGCGTTGCGGTGGACTTTTTTTTAAAGTAAGAAAGACAAAGGAAAATCTAAAGGTGAGACCCGTCCAATACAGTGCGTTGCAGAATTATAAGGCCACCCCCAAATTTGAGCGCCGCGCAATGATTTCGATATTTTGAGACCAACCAGTGTGAAAATCGTGTTCAGCATGAAAAATAACCTATATGTACCTATTTTTATGTTAGTATCTTCAAAAGTAACCGCGCAATGGTCCAAAACCGTTTTTTCGAGCGGTGCAGAATTATAAAGCCACCCCCATAAAACAAGTTATAAACTCAAAAATAACGACAGTTTAATGTTTAGTGGCACCTCCATTTGAGGTAATAATGTCAGAAACACGGTCTGGCATAGATTTGAGAAGGTTTTAAACATATTGGGTCGATTTAGATTTGAATTTCTGCTCTAACGTCTTCCATTCGACTACGATTTCGGTTTTGAGCTCTCCAACCCCGAATTTCCTTCCTTGGCCATAGAAACGCCGTACTAACTCTCCCCAGACGTTCTACATGGGACTCCAAAAAGGAGAACATGATGGCCAATCGAGAACGTCCACACTGTGAGACTGAAGCCAGTCCAAAGTAGACCGACTCACATGAATGACCGCATTGTCCTGTTGAAAAAGGACAATAATGACGTCGGAATGGAAGAATATGGCTCTCAAGGATATTCTGATAATCCGAAGAGTCCACCCTACTCGTCAGAAAAGCCAATTCCAGAAATCCGGCCTCCGAAAACGCTTCCCCCATAATATCACGCTTCCTTCTCTAAAATTGAGTTTTGAAAGCAGGAGGTGATTCTTTCATAACTCGGGCCAGCAACTGTTATAGCCACCTGGGCCATCCAAATTATTTTTTTTTTCATCGGAAAAAATAACCTGTTGAAGTTTGAATGGTTATTATTCACAATATTCTCGAATATAAACACCTTGTTCCAATCCGTATTCATGTTTTTGAATGCGAACTCAAGGCGTCGAAATTTATGGTCCTCTGTGAGTCGCGGAGCCGGCTTCATTTTTTCTCTGGCGATGTTGGGGTTATTCTTGATGGTTCCCCAAACTGTCCACTTGCTTTTGTCGAAGTTTAGCTTTTTCTTGATGTTATTTGTAGACTTCATACTGCTCGAAGCTGCTCGAATGCTTGCTCGATTAGCGAGATAGTCCAGTTTTCCTCTGCCGCCTGACTTTTGCGACATGTTGACACAAGTTGGATCCTTCACAAAGATGTCTACGAATGTTTTCGGACCATTTTAATTCTTCGCAACCCGACAGTTCGACCATCCTGCCGTTTTGAATGCGGTAATCTGAGATTGCTCAGAAACACTAAGACAGCGACCACGTGGCATTTCAAAATGATTCAAAAAGTGAAAAATAAGGACCACTGTAGGTTCTCAAAGCCACACAACAATTTTTATGCACACTGGTCCCGCCAAAGTTTCAAAAAAATGCGAAAAAGTCCGTTGTATGGGGGTGGCTTTATAATTCTGCACCGCTCGAAAAAACGGTTTTGGACCACTGCGCGGTTACTTTTGAAAATACTAACATAAAAATAGGTACATATAGGTTATTTTTCATGCTGAACACGATTTTCACACTGGTTGGTCTCAAAATATCGAAATCATTGCGCGGCGCTCAAATTTGGGGGTGGCCTTATAATTCTGCAACGCACTGTATTTTTCGTTTGTTCAGCATTTCACATAATTGCATTTAGATGCTCTTAATTCTCACCCACCGTAACCATTTTCGTTTCGATAATCGGACTGTACAACTTGAGCAAAACATGATGATCATTGATGGGGCTCTTCTCATCGATAGATATCAATGTCGCTTGCGGAAGGGCCGCGATGGTGTGATGAAGAAGAGCCGTCTCGTCAGCTGAAGATAAATTTTGCTCATTGCAAAAATCCATAAAGCCACTACCAGAAGTGGCATCAATGATTTGATCATATTCATCAATTTTGGACAAGTTGGTAGTGATCAGAATCTTGTCGAAGTTCCTTTTTGCCATAATTTGTTGCTGCTGCAACAATTGCTTTTCTTTAGGTCTTATAAGGAAAACAAAGAAATTACACGAATGTCATCCACAAATTCGAATGGGATCTTCTTCTCCGAATCGTCTTGAAGAATACTCTTGATCACTTGCGCCTTGAAATTCCCTTCTTGAATTTTCGCGCTTGGCGCCAACATGGCAACGCGTTTTCCGGCGGCGCTCACTTCAAAAATAAAAAATGGGTTGCCATAATTATTTTGAATACTCACACATGCCAACCATGGTTTCAGCGAGAGCTCCACTTCCAACGACGACGGCCGACATTATTCTGAAGGGAAAATTTGATGAAGCGAGACTCGAGCGAAAATTGAATCAACACTAATGGATGTTGTGTGAGGGATATTGTTTTTTGGGCCCTCGTCTCGAATCCATTGATCAAATTTGATCAGCGGAAAATCATGTGAATGAGATGTCACCACAATTCTTCAGTGTGTGAGATTTGGTACAAAGAATGCTGAAGCAATCAGCCCCTTCTAAAAGGTCCAACGATCTATTGGGATTCAAATTCGAAAGAATAAGGAGGGACATTGCTAAAAAAACATAGTCTGTGTCGATATTTCTAGAAAAAAAGTCTAAAAATAGTATTCTCGACGTCAAAATTCTGAAAGCACGCAGGGCATTCAATATAGCGGTTTTTTTCCAATTTTCCAAAAATTGCAAAGGGGAAATGGAATTCAATGGAAAAAAAAATTAAATTAAGACCCTGACATTTCTTTTTTCTAACAGACTGAACTATAGGAAGGTCGGCAGGGAAGAATCATATGGAACAAAAGCGAATCCGAAAATTGATGTTAAAACAAGATATGTGTGCTTAACGCGTCAAAGAACGAAAACAAATTGCTAGTCAACATGTAAATATAAAAGTGCGCAGTCTTGCAAAAACACAAAGTGCACCTTTCAAGGAAGACGAATTTTCGAGCCAATAGGAATACGCAGAATGAGCGCGTCAAATGCTGGTATTCATTCGGTGTATTTATATACCATGCCGAGAGTCTCGCCATCTCGCTTCGATGTTGTATATCGCAATTGACGCGGGGGGTCACCATCACTAGCGTTCGGACGGCCCCCCCCCGAACACGTGAACATCACAAGTCGGCTTGTGTCTGCGTCTCCCGCGTTCGGTGCCGATCGCCCATTGCGGAGATTTTAATTGAATGGGTGCACTCATCTGAAATTGCACGCAAATTTCTCCGAGAATAGAAAACGGCGGGGGAAAATTGAAATTAAAGAAACGTCAGAAAAATAGAGTATCATGTGATCAGGGATCAGATGGCGTGATCCGACAATTGTAGTCTGATAATTTTTTTTTATTTCGTCAAGTCGTTTGTCTCCGACAATACACTGCTCCACAAAAATTTGGCCTCACCCATATTTTCTCAAAAAATGACATTTTCACGAAATTTCAAAAAAAAAAAAAAAAAAACGCTTGTATTGTTAAAATATGGCTAAAAGGGTTCTTTTTAGTATCCTATTTTAGATTTACACTTACTGAGTCATTAAACAAAAATTGCTTTATTTTCCGAAATTTTTTTTTCGATCCACAAAAAAAGTATAGCCTCACCTAGGTTTTTCACCGTTTTTTGCTTTATTTTTCTTGAATTTGCTATTTTTTTAAACTTTTAGCCTAGAATTATGTGTTTTTCAAGTAATTCCAGCATGCAAACCACTTTCGGCGTTTGTCCAATTCCAAGTTATTGCCAAACATGATCATGGTCTTTCGAATCGAAAAATCGCTCGAGATTTGGGGCGCAGCTCAAAAGTGATCAATAATTTTCTGAAGAATCCATCCGAATATGGTAATGCGACACGATCTGGATGTCCAATCGTCATTTCTAGCCGAGAAAGAAGAATGATCCTCCGAAAATTATCGAACACCTTCACTACGTGCACCAAAATCGAATCAAAAATGGGACTTCAGAGAAGATTCGACATCTTCTGAGCAAGTCCCGGCATGAGAAAAGAAGCAAGATGCGTCGAGCTCCGATGTTGACCGAAAAACAAAAAAAAAATTGATTGAAGTTTGTGAATAAGTTCAACAGAACGAACTGAAGAAAAATGGGATGTGGTTAAATTCGATGTTGAGCCACCTGAATTTCAAGTGATCTTCTCAGATGAGAAAAGGCTCAATTGTGATGGTCCTGATGGGTATCGAAGCTACTGGCATGATCTTAGAAAGCCGCCCATTCGATTCTCGCGGAGAAATTTCAAAGAATGTGGTGTCATGGTATGGGCAGCAATCAGTTCGATCGCTTGAGTGAAACTGTGCTTCGTCGCAAAGAACGTGAGCGGCTCGGACTATCGATTTCTGTTGCGCAATGAGCTTCTGCCCTTCTGGTGTCGACAGATTGATAGTGTATATCAGGATGGTGCCCCAATTCATCGGGCCCCGCCGCACTATCGCGTCGATACAAATGAGGAATATTCCTTTTCCCGACTGGCCTTCTTGCTCCCCGGACTTGAATACCATCGAAAACGTATGAGGTCAGCAAGATTTCCGATGGAAATAAGTCGTAATCTAAAACAGCTAAAACTGTTGATTATGAAGACTTGGAAGAAAGACAACCAACAACTGATTGACAATCCCTATTTAACGATCGACACTCGACTCTTCCAAGTAGCACGCAATCAGGAAAGACCATCCGACTTCTAAACCAATTTTCTGTTATGCTACTTATGTATGTCATTTTCTGTTTTCTATGCGTTTTTTTTTTGCTAGTGAGGCTATACGTTTGTGGATCGCCAAAACACAATTTTCAGAAAATAAAGCAAATTTTGTTTAATGACTTAGTGAGTCTAAATCTAATATGAGATACTAAAAACCCTTTTAACCATGTTTTAACAATACAAGCGTTTTTTGAAATTTCGTGAAAATGTCATTTTTTGAAAAAATATGGATGGGACCAAACTTTTGTGGAGCCGTGTAGAAAACCAACAAATTTAAATGAATCGGAATAGTGACCAACCGGGGAAATTCGAAATTCGACGGCGATGATGACGGAGAGCATCTTGCAGTTGAACCAATCAGTCAATATCAAGGAGATGACGTCGAGACGATTTCTGAATACTTCTTCGTTCGTTGAATACAACCGAGTAGTTTTACTTCTTCAACACTTTTCGGTTCACTTAACATTCCAATTAAGTCATTGCAATGTCTACAGATACTTTGTCTTATATAAAATCTGCATTCTATGCTTGCGGAAAAACAATCATAAAGAAGTTCAGAAATGTAAAATTGTTTGATTTCATTTGTGTTCAAGCAAACCTGGCAATTTCGTAAATACAGTAAGCCAAAATCCATAATAGAAAATTGCATTAATAAAAACGAATTGCAAATTATCCGAGATAAAACTTGATTGATTTCAACGATAAAATTCAACGACTATATTTGAAAAATTAGGTTAGAAGTTGAGTTTCTTTTTTATTTCTAAAATAAACGTTTATTGGGTCTTATCATGAAATTGTCTTTCTTTTGTTTTATCATTTTTGATTTGAAATGCATTGAAAATTACAATCGATATCAAAAATTTGCAGTTTTCACGCTATGATCAAAAATGGCTGACGCGTTTGATCATAATAGCAAAAATCAGAACTTTTTTGTTTAGAAATCGATTATGAGGTTTTCAATGATTTTTATTGACAATACGACAAGCCTGGAAAATTTCCAACAAAAAACGGAAATAACTTTTTACTTTTTTTTCCTACATTGCCCTATAAATCAATTCAAGTTGAATCGGAAATTCGAGATACTCTGTGCCCTCCATGAGATAGATAACAGCACGCAACGCCTTCAACAAAATCACATTTATACCCAAAATATTGTAGTTGTTCTTTTTTTCGCCGCCGGTAAATATTTATCGGAAAATTTTCTTCCCATCCCGTCTTTTTTTTGAAATTGTTTAGTTTTTTTTTTCTAGCGAAGATCTTAAGGGATATCATTGATTTTTTCAAGTCAAACCAAAAACAAAATTGCCAAAATTTCAGGTGTAAAGAGTATGAGCTTTTCGAATAATTACGGGTTTGCCGATTTCGGCGGTTTTCATTCGTCTCTCTTTGACCGAATGAGCCGCTTCAGCTTTTTCCTATCGATGTCGCTGATAGCCGTCGGCGTCGACGCAAGATTCCACGATGACGAGATCGCCCTATTGCAATGGATTCAGAATCCCGAATTACGGTATTATTAGAATAGTAGGAAAAATATTTTAATAGTGTACACTGATTCCCACTATATAAATTAATATTCTCACAAAAATTTTCGCATCTCTGATATATATATTTAATGGGTCCTTATTGTTTCAATGGTCCGCCGCCCCCTCGGGAGGTTTTGATAAAAATTGGAAATTTAGGAAGAGATCTAAAACCTATACAAAAATTGTTAAGGAAATCATGCAAAAATCCCATTTTGTACACATTTTCCTAATATTATTATTATTATTCTTTCAAAATTCTTCGATACAAAATCATGTTTCAGCAAATATCAAAACCCAAAAATGATGTGGGTTACAACTGAAAAAGGTTTCCATAATTGCTATTTTCAAAAAAAACACCAAGTTTTTTGAAATTTCAAAATATTGCCAAATAATTGCAGAGATCCGATTCAGTATCATTCCAGCAAACCAATTGGGCTCAACAGTTCGAATAGGTCGATTATGCTGAAATTCGCATTTGATAATTTTTCAATTTCAGATTGAATATCCAAATATCGACAAACTCCAATTTAAGCTATACTCTTGATTTCGCGCAATCGGCCATTTTCGATTATAGTCCCCATCAATTAGAAGTTGTCAATGGAGCAGCGGTGATACGCAATCTGTCCCTACCATTTTTGTAATTTTCATTTTCGGGACACCAAAAATCGAAATTGATTTAAGGTACAATGGCATTGAGTACTATTTTGGTACAAATCGCGATCTATCCAACTACAGCTCGATACCGCATTCGCTCGTCTGCGAATACCCACTGCCTCGTCATGCTCCATCATTGTATGGAAAATTTGTTGCGTCGATCTCCCGCGAGAAAATCAGCCGCATCATTTTTGGATGCGACAACTCGAAATACATGTATTGTTGTGGTTTGAGGTGCTGCGAGGACATCAGCGTCACAGAAGTATTGAAGTAAGATGGCTCAATTAGAGGGGGGAGGGGGGTAATTAAAGTAACGGTAATTATCTAGTTAAACTATAATGAATACCCTCAAAAAATACCATGAAAATAAACTTTTTTTTTCTAAAATTTATACACAAATTTTGAGATTAAAGCACTGAAAATTTGGACATTCTGGCCCCACGAGAATCTAATTTGACTTTCGAGTGTCCTCACTGATTATAATTGGAAGCCTCGCTGGTCCAAACAAAACTAGTTCGACTCATATTTTAATGTTGAAGAATTTTAAGAAAATCTAGGTCTAAAAATTTTTTAAATATTGAAATCATAATCATCATTTTAAAGTAAGTACCGGGTCCTAATAATTTAAGTTGACGCCTTGGGTCTCGACTGGAAAAAATAATTCGTAGCGAGTCTACTGTGCAAGACCATATTTTTTGAAGAACCACATTTTCCACCCCCCATCATTTTTTGGAACCCATTTATTTTGAGGGTCCAATTAAAAGGGAATCCCGCGAAATTGAAATTCTTCAAATTGTCGATAATCCTTTAACGAAAAAAAATGAGGGATTTTAAAATTTCCGTTTCAATTTTGATCAACTAACTCAAAACTCGAGACTCGTCTTCAGAATCGCCGTCTATTTCTTCGGCGTGTTCGGCTTTCTGCTCATCGTCATCCACCAAATCTCGACGTGCGACGACAACGCGAGGCGTCGCAAAAAATTCGAAGAGTTCCTCGACGACGTCCTCTGATAATTTCATGCTCTTCATCGTATAATAAGTGTGTGTTGTTGGAAACGTGAAAGAGATAAAAATCGTTTATATCGACGCTTGGCGAGCATGTGGGGGGGGGCAGAAAGAGCACACATGTCGACAAGAGAGTCGTCGTCTGAAACGGGTCCGCGTGTTGTAATATATTTCGGATGGGGGGGGGGGGTCCCGCGCTCATTTTTTTTCTTTCTCTTCTGTTCACCGCCGAGTCCCTCCTGCTACAACTATCATCACACCTACATCACATTTATTTCTCGTTTCTCGAATTTCTGTAGGTAGTCGATGGACGTATAACTAAACACTCGTACTCCTAGTTTTTTTCTTCCCCGAATTTCTTGAGCAGATGTTCCACAGAGATTTCTCAACGCAAAAAAAAATCATATGCAGGTTGACGTGATTCAATAGTATTCAACTAATCCATGGTGGATGGACATGAATGAACGAAAATCCAATTGTTTTGAGATGAAGTTTTGTACTGGAATCACCCTTGTTGCCCCATATTTGGCGTCCAATTGAAGGCAATTTTTGATCATTGCGAAACTATTGGCCAAACTCTAGACGCCACCATTAATTAGATACAAATCTTGGTGTTTTTTTTACGCCATATAAAAACCTGTCTAGAGATTGTTTTAGATTTGGGCGCGATGGATTTGATCAAAAATCTACAATAATCGTTATTTATTAGAAATTGAAAGCATTTTGATATTCATAGTGCTATTTTTGGTCCCCAAATTAGATTTTTGCAATACAAAAAGGCGCGAGACATATGCAAAAAAATCAAGCTTTAAAAAAATCCATTTATCATTAGATATTGAAACAGTAGAAATTATTAATTTTCTCTGTGAAAAAATGGTCTGGCTTGGAATTTGAAGACGCAGCATCTTAAAACACTGGGCAAATTGTGAAATTAAGCATTTTCGCTTTAAGACCCCCCCCCCCCAAAAGAAGTCTTTGAAAATAATCGGAAGAATTTGATGAAACGCTCATTCGACAGTTTTTAAAATGGTGCTCGGGAGGGGGGGTCCGAAAACGCCAAACAATAACATGATTAGGCATCCATTTTCGATTTCAGTGCCGGATGTACTAGAAAAGCGGATGGCTTAGTGTGCAGCGGCAGCATGCGACTAGCTCCGACAGCATCAATCACGCGTAATGAATTCAGAATGTCGCGGCGCGCGCGCGCGCGCGTTCTAATTGACGACGCCTCGTCCAATCAGCTGTGAATCCTTGCTGGTCACACGATTATCGCTCGGAATTTCAGAAATGGCGTCCATTGAGGAGTCCATGTTCGCTTCTGTGAAGGGTGGGGGGGATGGGTATGGACGATGTGCTGTAATCCATTGTGTCTTCTCGGACGTCTCGCGATTCCGCACACAATTTCGTTCGACATTCGCCTCGCCCTATTTTTTTCGAATACTCTTGACGCCCGACGAGATTAACCGTGGACTCTCGAAGCGTCCCCCCCCCTTCCCAACATTCCGCTACTATGCCCCCCCCCCAAACCGAATGAATTATTCAAATGATGCTCACCCCGGCGCCATGATTATGCATGAATATTTTGGGGAGGTACAACACACATGCAGAAACATACAATATATATTTATTTAATTTTTTGATCCCCTATACTTTCAAAAGCATCCCGAATATTGGGGGAGACTTCCCTCAAATGGATATGCTTTTTTTTGGCACCGTATGCTCATTTCTCATTTCACATAATCCTTCTCTCGCGCATTCAATTCCAGGTAGCGGGTGGGAGGACTCCTTTGATTAATCCTCAAACCAATTTCCATATAATTGAAATTGGCAACATCGCCTCGCTCGTCGTCCATTCGCTCGCAACGTCGCCTAGCGGCGTCCGACCGTCTGCCTACATTAATAATATTCAGATGAATATGCATTTCGATGCCGCAGAAACGGTAAAATCCGAATTTTTCGAAAAAAAAACGCGCCAAGACAAATTTTTAATTGAATGAATCGAGGGGGGGGGGATGGCCACCGCAAATCGTGTTTGTTGCAATCAAATTTTGGCGCCAACCGCGAAATTTTCGAAAAAAGAAAAAAAAAAGAACCTATACGTTTCAAATCAACGATTGCGTTCGCACACTGTTGATGAGTGTAGGAGTAGGTTCGCAAACTCACTTGGCGGGGGGAACTCGCGCGCAAGCTCAACGACCTCCTAGACGTTTATATATTTACCCAGGGGGTACCGCGCGTCTGCGCACCTCCCACCCCCCCTTTTCAACTTTAAATTATTTATTATCACCAATCGATAATCGAGAATCTCAATTCTTGGACTTTGATTGAATCGAATTGCCGCAACATCCATTTATTGCGGTTCGATTGACGCCGATAGAGGTCAAATTCAATGTGTGTTGGTTAACAGTAATGATTTGAATTATTTTCGCCAACCCCCTTCATTGTTTCCGTTTTTCTGATCATTTTCATTAGCTCATCCACCGATTTTCGTGACGAGACCCAATTAGTGACCCACCTAACTTCATTACACAACTTTTTGTTTTTCGAGGGCAATTGGGGTGAGAGGGTTTCATCGGCATTCCACCTTATCAAAACTTGATCACAATTTTATAATGGGACTCATAAATTTCGCGAATCACCTTCTTCTTTCGGGCTACTCGTCTCGGACCGAATTTCTGCTGATTGGTTTCCGGTGGTTGACAATTTTTCTAATTTAAAACTGCTTCGCCGACCGAAACAGCTGAGACCTTCAATTCCGGCGAGTTTCGCAAAAAGCGACCCCCCCCCTTGTTGCCAACTGAATCGCCATCAATTCTATACTATTTGGTATCTGGCAAGCAGCACGTGACTATCATTGGGGCGCGAAGACCTTGACCATGGGAAGCCAATAGCGACACCCACCCGCCATTCTTCCCCATTTTGATCGTCTGCCGACGTTTAACCGGGTTTCGCCACAACCGCCGTTTCCGTCCCATTTCATCGGTACCGGCAGGCCCTAGAAAAATGTATACAAGAGGAAAACGTTGTTTTGCAATATTAAACAAGTACAAAACCTTCTTGCCTATTGTCGCCTAGTCAAGCGGCAAAAAAGTTGAATCATCATCATTTCGTATACATTTTGTGTATATGCGCCTCTATGCCTATGGTTTTCTTTTTTCTTGTTTCTTTTTTGTGTTACTATCGTAAGCACGCTGCCCACCCATCTGACTCTCGAAACTAAACTATGCTAATTTCAGATAGCCGTGGTGCGTGCGCGCGCACGAGCGAGCGAGCGAGCGCCACCCATTCTTTGTTCGAGACCTTCGGGAGACGCCTCGCCTATTTTTTTTTTGCCCCGCCGTGAGCGCGGCTTTTTCGGCCAAATGACGACGGCTACAATTTCCTAACAATTTTCAATCAGATCAAAAGAATGCGCAATGACCCCCCGTCCCGTCTCCGCTGCCATTATACTATAAACTATTTATGTCGGCGGTACCGCCCGTCGCAATCCTCCATTTCCAAGTTCTCATTATTCGATACCAACTTCTAATTATGCTTTTCCAATTTCTAAATTGAAACAATCAAATTGCCTGACTCGTCTCGTCTTTCATTGGCCTCTGAAATTGTCGTTCTTCGTTTTTTTTTCGAATTCTGAAATTGCTCGTCTCCATAAATCCAAACATTCATGAATGCTGGAAGGAAAAAATACCCGATTCGGACCACATAAAAAGTGTTCCCCCCTTCGCCCCAACTCCGCCGCTTTTCGTTCTGCCATTAAATTGCCAACTCCCCGCAGCCCTCTCGTTCTCCGGAATTCTAGTAGATCACAACAATCATTTCAATAAGCATTATTTGAGCAATTTGTGTGTGTGTGTGTGTATGTATGCAACGTGCTCCTCCTTTCGACGCACTTGTCGAGAGCATCTCCCCTTCGCCTCCGCCCCCCCCCCTTTCACCATAAGATGTCTGTGTGTATATGTATTTGTATGTGTATTAGAGACAGATGGGTCGCAAATTGGTTTTGACCAATTTCTCGCCTTCACTAAAGGGGAAGGTCCTCCGGGGCAAAATCTCTATTTCGTTCGGCCTCCTCCCCACCCAATTTTTAAGGTCCCCCCCCCAATATAATATGCTATTTTATGCAACGCGACTCCCTCTCCTGTCGGCATACTGTAAAACGCAATTCATCATTCATTATAACGTCGTCACCCATGCCTGCACTTCAATAGTTGATTTTCGCGATCCATCATCATCATTAGTTTTAAGCTAAATATTTTACTATGTACATATTATGTGCCTTCGCCCAACCCATTTCGACAATTCGCTTGTCATTCAATCATGATGCTTTTGACATTTGGGCTTCAGTAGATCAAAAAAAAATGATCAGTTTCTTTTCGAAATTCTACTGTTTCGCTGATCGAAGAAACCCCATCCGCTGAATTGTGCCTTCATTTGATCTCTAAAATTGTATCATTATTCCTCTACAAAAATTGTTGCCTAATGTCGTATTTCCGATAGTCAAGCCACCCCAAAAAAAATACAAATTGCGAATCAACCAATTTTCGTATGATTCCCAACACAAACCCCCTTCTCCTTGTTGGCTCAAATCGGCTAATATGAATTTCGAGAGCCGGAAGTGCGCTATTAAATCTGAAATCATGTGATCAAAATTGAAATCAACGTTTTAAACCACCTCTTCATGCCATCCATTCAGCCAAAAACCCATCGAATAAGTGTAGATGGGGAAAGGCAAAAAAAAACGGGGACTCTTGGATGCCGCCGCCGCCGCCGACGACGACGACGACGACGTCGCCATCATCATCATCATCGCGACCAACCGAGTGCAGCAGCGGCAGGCAGCAGGCAGCAGTTCACCAAGTTTACACTATAATAAGTTCGGCGCGGCACACCGAGCGCGAAAAGCATTAAAATATAGGGGGCTGTCGGGGTCTTCAAGTATAACAGCATTTGGGTCCTCTATTCGTTCTGTCGTTTTGGCAGTGTGTGTGTGTGTGTATGCGAATGCATGTGTGTGTGCGCGCGCGCGTATGTGCAGCACAACGAAAAAAAAAACTACTAGGACCCCGAGGCGGCTCTTCAGTCGAAGCCAATTTATGCATCAGTGCCTACACGCATACATACATGCTTACACTCGCATACACCCAAAAACGGATCATTCCCCCCCCCCTCTCAAAATCATTTTTTTGTCGGTGCTCATTTTTTTTTAAACCGCGAGATTAGGCTAGTGCTTCCGCTCGTCCGAATTTCCGGCTTTTTTGTCGTCGTCGTCGTTGTTGTTTTATTTCGTTCATCAGATGACGTTGTTCTTCGAGATTTTTGATTATCTCGCAACTAAATTTGTTTACACGATTGTGCAATTGGGCTTGGAAGAGGAAAAAAAAAGAAACAACAACAACGGCCAGTTGGTCAAGCATTTGACAAGTCTTACGATTCCCATCGAGATTAAGCTTCATCCAGGTAAGGCCGCTTTTTGATGATGCCGCTCGATATGTGATTGTCACGCCCAAAAAGCGATCTTGAAATGAAATTCTCAGGCGTTTCCATTAAACATTTTATACTAGGCCATTTCTCAAAACGATTAATATTGCTGTGAGATATTACTACACGCTAGCTGCGGACAATATCCGGGGCGGTTTAATAGCTTCTTGAGAGGCCGGGGGAGAATCATTCAATTCGAAAAATTCTCCTCCAAATCGGCTGGCTCATTCTTTTTTTTTTTGAAATAAAAAAATCCCAACGTCAACGTATGTAATGTTTGTGACGCTTCAATATGTTACAACGCGATTTTGCGCCATCGTCGTTCCATATCACTTCACGGTCATGTTGTATCTGTGTGTGTGTATGTGCAACTGTCGTTTTGCCTGACAACTGGCTCGTCTTGGCTTTCGAAGTATATAATACTGGGTCCGGTCGGTTGGGATCGATCCCCCCCCCACGTCACACACTCTCAGGAATGCCCCCCACCCCAAACGTGCCTATTAGTGTATTTTTTTTTTGGCTTGAGTTTGTCTTCCCCTTTTGATCAAACCAAAATTCAGAGGGGAGGGGTGTATTTTTAAATGTCTCCAAACGAAAAAAAAACTTTATTTGAACCGGTTTGCTGGTGTCCACTCGCCGCCGGCCCGCCCGCGCGCGCGCCCGCGCGCGCGCCCACTACTACCAAAATGATTGGCCGCATCTCGTTGGCTTGTCAGACGACGACGTAGAAGAACACGCCCTTCTATCGATTTTTTTCGGCTTGTCAATCGTTTATTATTTATTTTTTTTTAAATATGATGTCTTTGATGTCTTTGATTTCAGTAGAAATTCAAATTTCCCAAAAAAAAGATAGAAGCCTATAATTCATTGTACATAATTTCAGTGGTCCCCGCGAGTACTGTAGCACTTGCCGTCGAAAAATTCTCATTAAATGTGTGTGTCAGGCTCGAAAAAAATTGTGCGAGGTGGTGATCATATAATTGTGTTCATTAATCGACGCTTTTCCCACAACATTTAAACGGACGCATCGAATCCAATTATGAATTGACTAGACGCGCACTATTATAACAATTCTTCATGTTACGTATTATTATTATTATTTGGTTCGTAATTTTTTTTTCTTTGCCCCCCAACATTTTTGCCTGCTTTACACCTCGCGTGCACACGCAACTTTTGTGTGTGTGTGTGTGTGTGTGATCGAGGTTGGCGAAAAGCACAGCACAAAAAAAAACGCATTTTCTGGGGCGCGTCGAGCGAGAGGAACTCGAAAAATGTCAAATAAGTGAGTTTGCGAAGGAGTGCGCCAAATTTGGTTTGCTTGCCTCGTCTTTTCCGGAGGCGACGCCGCCGCCGCCGTCGTCGTCCGATTTTGATGTACTACGAAGTTGTTCCAATCTGTTCTATTCAATCTATTACGATGATTGTTCTTTGTCCAATTCGCCCCATTCTGTTTTCTCTCATTTGATCATTTCATTTTGACCACCCAGCGTGGGAAAATGGTTCCCCTCCTCCTCCTAGTCCTCATGTTGTTTTTTTTTTGCCCCACCCAATTTAATAGTTGTTCTTTTTTTGCAGGGGTCCACATCGAGCTGCACCAATATTTTGACGAGTTGTATGCTTAAACTGAACAATCCTACAGCTGATGTTAACCTAGCCATCGAGGTCGGTTGGTTCCGTTCAACTCAATTTTAATCAGCTTTCCATAAATCCAACACAGGAAATTCGAGTAATTAATGAGTTCTTGGAATAGATGTTGATAGGTGTGAGAAAAAAAAATTGATACTAGATTTTGAGATGTAATTCCTTATTTGGTGAAATTTGAAACTTTGTCGAGATGTGTCGACCACTTGGACCATTTTCAGACCAAAAAATTGTGCCCAAATTAACTCTTCGAAAATCTTGCCAACATTTTTTTTGAAAAATGATAACCTGTCGATCAGTCACCTTTGCGAAAATGGGGGTCTCCAGCGGCGCGGCGCTCTCGAAACACTGATAAAAGTAATCACACCGCAGGGGGGGGAGCTTCGCGGACTACTAGGCAGTAGTCGTTGACATTTGTATACTGTAGTGCCTACGACGACGACGACGACGTCCGAAGACGACCTTGAACCGATAGCATGCATCGTTACGTGTGTGTGGAAGAAATGTGATACCATCTCGCAACATTACTACTCGTCGGGTCGTCGTCTCCTTCTCGCGCGCGCGCACCCCCCTTTAGACCACCCCCTCCCCTTCATCTTTTTTTCTACTCCTACGATTTGTTTCCAACATTGCCTATTTTTTCAACTCTCATTGCGATCCAGTGGTCACTCGATCAATTATTTCAGTCGCCCTCCCCCACACTGGCGCTCTGGATTTTTTCGGCCCCTGGTTTCCTCAAAACAGATTCATGAAGAAAATCGGGTACTCCAGCGCCCCAAAAAAAAAACAAAACCATCAAAAATTTGGGTGTTTGATAGCAATTTTTCTCTCATCAATATTCATTACTATAAATCGGGCATAGGAATTAAATATTCAAAAACAATTCATTTCCATACATATTGCTGGGTGTGACGCTTTTTTCAAACCCACAATTTTTTCGGGATTCAAATTTGTTTGGCTTCTCTCTCTCTGTGTTTTTTTTTGGCTGTTGATATTCTCTCGCAATCGCGCGACGTTCAAATTGCCCTTGGGTTGTCTCTGTTATTTTATCATGAATCACATCGTTATCTTAAGACCACCCAATCAATCCAATGTTGGTGAGGAGGGGGGGGCTGGCATTGTGTTTTCGAAATTGAGGTCAGTGCACTATCTTGAATCAATCAAAATTAATCGATCGATCAATCAACAATCGGGCACCGTTCGACGACACAATTTGAGAGCATTTATCACGCCCAGTTCACTATCATGGGTTTTTCGCGCTTATCTGCGCCTAGAAATCTTGCGCGCCTACAAAACACCGCGTCTAGACATTACTTTCACCCCAAACACCCATATTTGGGTCATCCCTGGTTGGGGGGGGGGTGGATTGGGTTCGGGCCGTCGAGAATAATAGCGTGTCTTGATGAAAATGACAAAATCCAAACAAATTGACTTGGTTTTTTTTGTAGGGGATGTCGTCAGGCCAACCAATGGATCCGTATAGTAGTAGTGCGTGGCATTCGGCGGCACCACCTTCGACTTCGGTCACCGGCACGTCGGAGTTGTTCAGCTCGACGTTCGCGATGCTCAGCGACAATGCCACCTATCCGGAACAATGGAGCGCCAAACCTGGTCGGTCACAATAATTTATTTAATTTTAACCCCTGTTGTTGCAGTGACTCAATCGTATCTATTCGAGCAGCCGCAGATTCAGCCGATGGCTGGAAGCGCCTACAACGATCCGCCGGTTCGCTTCGATCCGCCGTGCACTTATCGGCCACCGGCGTATGTCGCGACGGTTCCCCAACAATACTATCCGCCACCGGCGGTGCCGCCGCCGGCAAGAGGCTATGAGATCAACGGATATCATCATTCGGCCCCACCATCGCAATTGCTAGCGGTGCCGCAACATCAGTTCTACGCGCAGAACGGACACGAGCAGCAGATGCTTCCGAATCAATCGTCGCAGGGTCACGTGATGCGGCCGGAGCCGCTGAGGCCCAGCGTGAACAACAACAACGCGTCGAATGGCATGAAGCCGATTCAAAGTGGAAGGCAGGCGTCGACGGCATCGCCGCGCGACGACGTCTCGCTGAACAGTCCGGCGTTGACGTCGAGCGGCTCGGCGGCGTCCGGCACACCGCCGTTGTCGAACGAGCTCGCCGGCAGCACCGATTTGGAGTCGCCCGATGAGGAGCGCGTGATGTGTATGGCGTGCCGCGGCGTCTATCCGTCGCGTCGTTCGCTCACCGGCCACATCGGACGCAACGAGAAGTGCCGCGAAATCATAGGTGGGTCCGCCAAAGCGGGTCGCGTTGCCGAAATATCGGTGCAGAAACTTCAGGTCGCAACTATCTCGATGCGGTGGCGTCAGGCGTCAATCCGCCGGTGCCGGGCACCGATGCCGCCATCAAATCGGGAGCGATCACCACTGGACAGGATGGCATGTCGCCGGTGTGTCCCTATTGCGATAGATTCATTAGTCATTATAAGGTAAATGAGGTTTCTAGGTGTACTCGAGTTTCTAGTAACTCTGATTGAGTAGAAATCTAAGAGCATAGTAATATTTGTATAAATTATTTATTTAACTATATGTATATTCCATATTTGTCTACATACACCTAGAAATAAGACTTTACCGATTTTCACGAAGAAACTAGCATTTAAATATGAATAGGCTGTTTCTAGTATGTATGTCGTCAGGCGCGTTGCGGTCCGCGTGCGGTTTCTTCCGAATGCAAACCGCAACGCGACTGCCAACATTGATCAATAATTTCACTATTTTAATTTTGTAGTGGAAATTCTTCGATTCTAGAAGACCGTTAGAATTTACGACACTCGATTTTTGTTCAGGGCAACATTCGACGCCACATCAATCAATGCTGCAAAAACACCGACGCGATCAAGCGGCCGCGGCCCGACAAAGAATCGAGCAAGAATCGGAAGCGTCGAAAAACCGAAGACGGCTATGTCGACATCAACGACTCGTATGATCACTGTAAGACGATTCTATCATATGGTTGTTTCCTTTTTTTTGCTCAACGCGCTCATATTTATAGCGATGCCCGCCGGCGGAATGATCTCGCCGTCGCAGATGTCGCCACCGTCGTCGTCCTACTACCAAAGCGGTTCGGATCTTTGCTCGCCGGTCAATGGCTACTCGAACGGCTATGAGGGAGCGCATGTAAGTAACGTGGTACGTAACATTCGAATGGTTCCGAAGCCTAAGCGTTTGAAACAAAAGCATGAAGCATGAAAGTGAAGTGTGTTCCTTTGGAAAATTGTAACAAATTGATTCAATTTGATGATATAACGGCACATTTGCATGCCTGAGAGCGGAAATTCGATGCGGAGGATTCGCGCCAGCATGCTTTTTGCGGTGGCCCCAAAACGCTTAGGTTTCGATGCGGCGATTCAATCCGATGACCGGCCTTCTTACAGCACCATCAGCAGAACGCAACCCCGACAAAACAGGATCCGAGTTCGACACCGGATGTGAGTGTCACATGTTTCTTTAACGCTGAGGCCCTCAACAAGACCGAGAAGCACGAGCACAAGCACAATGCCCAATTTCAGGACGCCTACATTTGCGAGGATTGCGATTTTGTGACGGTCTACAAGGGCAACATGAAGCGCCATCTGAACACGTGCCATACGCAGCCGGAATGCAAAAATCTTCGAGGTTCAACAATGCGCCTCAAATAAAGCCATATCGTTTTCATTGAAGGCGTTTCCGAATGGGACAAGAAGCTCGAATCGATGAGAGCGTCGAACATGGGAATTGTTGGCGAGAAACTTCAGGAGAAGCTCGCCACACATAAGCAAAACTCGTCAAGAGGACGCAAGCCGCGCAAGAAGAAGGAGAATCAGAATTCCGAAGAGGTGAGAAGGGAAGGGGGGAAGGAAAAAACACACAGATGAGGGGGGGGGTTCGTTTTCGCATTAGTTTTACCGCAACACATGTTCTTTTTTTTTCTCGTGCGCAAACATTAGTTAGTCATTGCTGGGGGACAAAAGAGGAAGGAAAAATATTTTCGCGGGGGCAAAATTGATTTTGGAAATGATTGGGGAATGCCAGAAATTTGGTAAAACGGTATAAATTAATTATGGAAACATGAAAAAAAATATTGCTAAACGCGCGATACCCAAAAAAAGTTTTTTTTTTCATACTGATATTTTATTGCTTCTGATCTAGAGATTCTTAAAAGCTTTTCGTCGTTTTCCATCCTATCCCAATTAATTTTAGACCCTTTTTGTATTTTTTAGACATTTGTTTAAAAATTTCGAACACTCCACAAAAAACGCAGAATCGCACAAATTTGAAAACAAAATTTTGAATTTCTGGTCTCTTGAAGTAATAAAAAATTTTGCTCATTCACATTATTAGAAGGCTCCAATGCAATTTTCCACGCGAGACCCAAAAGGCGGCAATTCAAATTAAAGATCAACCCTCCCAAATTTGTAGGTTTTTTTCACAAAAATTGCCTCACAAGAAATTCCGTGCCCTAGTGAATCTTCATAAATCTTCATAATCACATTCAATTTTATCAGAATTATTCAAACTATAAAGAAATATTGTTGGAGTCAAACGACTTGACGAAATTTGAAAAAAAAAAAAAGAATTGTTGGTAATATGCCAAAGCGCCTCGAGGCAGCGAGAAATACGCGAGACTGCGTACATTGCATTATAGTGTACGCGCATTTAATATTCAGTCAACAATTAATTTAAATCAACACTGATTTCCCGAATTTGAAGGCCCCGCCCCTTTCAGCCATATTAATAATACATTGACCTCCTATATTGTTTAGAGTGAGGTTCTCATCGAGGACTACAAGCCGAACGTGACCAATTCGTGTTCATCCGATGACTACATTTCCTACACCGAGTGAAATGGGAAACTACCGCCAGATTTGTACATAAATTGCAAAATCGTCCACCCGCATCATAACCATCTGAATTGACAACCCCGCCGCCGAACAAAATGCTCAAAATCATCTCTCTCTATTTTTTTTTGTATGTCAAATCTTCTCGAATTCATGTTTTCTTTTGTTTGTTTCTCGAACATATCTTTCTTAAAGTCGCTGCTTAGAAGAATGAACTAGAATTATGTGTGTTTGGATATACTTTTTCTCTCTCTCTCTCTCTCTCGTTTCCAGCTTCATAACCTGTGCCATTTTTGTGATGAATTTAGATTCTACTTAGTTTCAGACGACTAGTAATAATGATAATTAGCGCTTTTTGTTTTTTTTTTGTTCCGAATTCTGTTCAACCGAAACTCCACCCAAATCTGTCCAATTGCCTCTTTCTCAATCGACGGGCAAATTTTGCCAATTTTTCTTTCTCGACATTTTTTTTTCGTTCGTCACCCTCTAGAATTCATATTTTTGTTTTCGAATTTCATTTTTTAAATTTCGTTCTCGTTTAGGAATGCCACATTCTGTATATCTTCACCAACGAACCTACAACGTTTTTTTTTGTGCTCAGGTTTTTGATCCCATCAACTAAACCCCGCCCCCACCCCTTCTATAATAATAATATTAATAATTTTAATAAGTCTTGTTTGGTTTCTCGTTTTTTTCCCCTCCTCATAGGCAACGATGTTTGATTATTGGTAGATTTTGGTATTCTTCTCGAATTTCAAATGAAAACTTTTGAAATTTACACATTTTGATTTTAACAGAGGAATCGAAAAAAACTCTAAAATCGGGGGAAATGCAGAGAAAAAAATCGAGCAAAAAAAAAATGCTAAAAATAAAACCGGCTTCTCTTTTTCTCTGCATTGATCCTAAAAGAAAATGAATCAATCGAGACCATACATTATAAGCCCCATTAGAGCATTGTTGTGGTGTTGTGACTGCTGGCGTGGTCCGTTAGAACACGGGTTATTCGAACCCTGAGAAGGGAAAGAATAATCAACACCAAATATGCGCCTTTATCTCTTGGATTGACGTGCTTCTAGAACACTTCTCTAATTTCTAGTAAGTCAGACAGTGGAGAGAGAGAGCGTGTGTTAGACGGAGACGCAGGCATTGGGTATAATAATTATGAAATATGAAATTTTGAGGAACCTTTCACACCATTTGGGAAAAAAAAAACAATTTTTTGAAACGACATGAATCGAAGTAGACTAGATTAAAGAGATGATCAAAATTAGATCGTGAAGTTTTCTTAGAAACAATACGATGAAAATTGACAAAATTTCAATGCAAAAATATTTTTTTTTCTGGCGACATTGAATAATTACGATTGCCGCGTTTTTTGGGAAATTTGCAATGGATTTCAAAGCCAAAAAAGGAAAATAATCATTTTTTCTTTTTTTCTGCATTGTCCCCTAATAGTTTTATGCAGATTGGAAGAAGAAAACTCAATCTGCAAATGGTTTTTAATAATTTTTTTTGTTGGATTTTTTTTTGTCGAGAAACCGGGTTAAAAAGTATCACCAATGATAATGGTCCCTAATAAGATGGTTGTAGAAGGTTATTTTCATTTTATATCATTCACCACCTCAAAAAAAATCCAAAATATTTGAAAATTGCTTGAAAAGATTTCCAACAACCAGCAATCGTTTTTCACGCTGCTTTTTTTAAATTACGGTCCAAAAAATTACGATGGTCCATAATTACTTAAGGTGCTCGGAAAAATGCTTGGATAAAACCAGAATTCTTTGAATTTTGAACAATTTGAAGTTTTGAGCGGTAAAAATCAATTTTTTTCCCGCTTAGATCAAAAAAGAAAAATGCCAATCAAAAATTATTTTTTCTTGATTTCAATGTGCATTCAATATAAATTCTTTCAGAATTTTCTTGAAGCCAATTTTTGAACATCGATTTTGTGAATAAATGGCAAATGGGTCCAAATGTCTCGGTAATCTTCCGTTTTGCTACGCAGTACCATCAATTTTTCCTATTTCCACATTTTTTTTTAAAGATTTCCGCATTAAATTCTCCAAAAAATATCTGAAATACTTATTTTTATTTCTTGTCTCGATCCTTTATAGCGAACATCTCTTCGACTGCAGTGTTCCGACTACCGAATCCGAGGTTGGACCTCTTCTAGTAGAGTAGCGGCCGTGGAATTGGCCAGCAGGAAGGATTCCCATAAGATGGTCAAACTCGCTTAGGAAGGAGATCACCATAAGAACAGCTGAAGGATTGGCCCACTCAAGCTAAGGACCCAAAAGCTTGGAATGCTGTGGTTTGCGCCTCAACAGCCGAAGGACGAATCGACTAGATCGGTGTACTGCGGACCATGAGCAACTTCTGTTACAGTAATCATGTCGTAGTCCACACAAGTGAAGGATTGAAAAGCAACTAAAAACGTAACTATAAATCGATCGGTGTACTGCGGACCAAAACACAGAATCCCACGACATCGTCATCAATCAAAGTGTCTTCAGAATAGCAACACTTAATGGCTAACCTTTGACAGGATTCACTGTCTTTTTATTTCAATTCTATTTGGTTTTCGCTTATTTTATTTTTAATGTCATGCTACCAACTAAAACAAGAACAATTTTATGAGGTTTTCGAATGTACAGACAAAGTGAATCGAGAATATAACGAGAAGATCCTAATTGGCCTATCGCTTCATTCACTTTCTTCCGGCGTACGATCCACCTCCGATTGGGGCTGGGGCGGCGTATCCACCTCCGATTGGGGCGGCAGCTCCGGCGGTGGCGTATCCACCGGCTGGCGCGGCTGGAGCGGTGGCGTATTCTCCGGCTGGCGCGGCTGGCGCGGCTCCTCCACCGCATCCACATGGCGCTGGCGCCGGAGCAGCGCATCCGCATCCGGCTCCACCTCCAAGCAATGGAAGGGCTGGGAGTTGAAGTGGTGGAAGGGCTGGAAGTGGTGGAAGCGCTGGCGCACCACCACCGCATCCGCATGGTGGTGGTGGTGGCGGTGGTGGAGCGCATCCGCATCCGCCACCACCTCCTCCAAGTCCTGGGTGAAGGAAGGCAGAGGTCGCCGAGACGACGGCGAAGGCAACGATCAACTTCTGCATGTTGGGGTGGAGAAGAAGGCTGAAAATGAGAACTTGACTACTATGCGAATTAAAATCGACGTCGTTTAAAAGACGAAGAAGAATGAGAAGATGAAGCTGATTGAATGATGTACTTCGGGTTAGCATGCTTGTGCTTTTATATGCCATCGTCCAACCTGACCACGCCCCCTTTAAATTCAACCGTTTGAATGCCAAAAAGTTGCACCTACCATCGTTTTGCTTCCTTCCTCTCCCAGTCTGCGTCACAATCATTCACGTACGCGTAAATCCAGCGCGGCGAGACCTTGTGATATTGCGCCTTCAATGATAAGCAATGAAGGGAGGGCGAAGAAGCGGATCGACGGATTTGATTTGATTCGATTTGTATCGCAGAGAGTCGCCTGGAACAATGCTGTATCGCCTTCTTACATTTTTACTCACCGTCACCATCGCTGGCGCGTTTCTGCTGAATTCCGGATGTGGATGCGGGTAAGAAGACCGGTTTCAATTTTTTTCGGCGGGGGGCGACTTCTCTGAAATACAAATTGGAAACCCAATAGATTTTGATAATAATCCAAAAAATTTGCCTCATTAATTGGAACGCTAAACACATTAAGTTTGGTTGGTTTTTTGATAGCTTCTCCCACTCATAAATTTATTGATATCATTTATAAAACGACTTACGACTATCCACTGATTCGAAGTGGAACAGGTTTCAAGTTTTGAGATGTCTAGTGACCCCCATTGCCTTAATTGAACTTGAGGTTCAGAAGATTGTATCTTAATTTTGAATCATCGAAGAAATATAGAATTCCTATTAATTTGTTTGGGATTGTTACCGGTTTCATAGATTCAACCACTAAGATCATTTTACACAAATAAAGTTGTCTCGAAATGAGTACTCTGAGGGGGGGGGGCAGGATTCTTCATGTTCAATAGTTTATAATTTATTACAAAAACAATGCCTGCGTCACAATTACAATGTTCACTTTCAGCGGGCCTTCGCCGTGCGGTTTGGGTCGAGGCTTTGGCGGATGTACGCCACGACCTCGAGTGGCAGCGCCGCCGTTCATGCCGCCACCGCCGCCACCGCCACCGCCACCGCCGCCACGATGCGAATGCCCGCCGTCGGATTGTCATTCGTGTGCGCCGGCGCCAAGCTCGTGCGGATGCGGCGCTGGATACGCCAGCCACGACAATCGCCAAGATTCTGACGATTATTCGGATGAGGAGGACGACAAGATCTATAAGAAGAAGGGAGGCGAAAAAGAGGAGAGTGAAAGCTATGAAGACGAGTAATTTTGGGTGTTGCAATATGTATTTAAATTTTTTCGACAATCTAGATGCAATAAATTATATATTTAAAAAAAAATAATATTATTGAACATATTTTAGAGAAAAAAACGTTTTGGTAGTGTGCATACACGCTCACGCAAAATTGCACACATTTAATTATTTTTTACAAATATTTTTTTCTAAAAATGCAAAAAAACAAGCTTTTCCCATTTGTGAAGATTTTTGTTGAAAATTAAGAATTTAAAAATTGGAGGGAAATTTAAGAAAAAATTTCAAAATTATGAAGGAAGTCAGTATTTTTTGCAGTCAGTATATTTTCCTATTCCGAATCAATCATCGACTCTTGACTATTAATTCAATTATTCCACTAAAAACAAATTGTTTCAAATTCTTCACAATTTGAATTAGGCTTTTTGAAACCATGAACAGGTTCTGAATTAGCGAAAAAGAAAAAATTATCGTTGGGCTTCACTTTCGATTAGCACAATGTAAATTTTACACACAATTTTTTTCGACCTTGACAATTCGTCAGTCAGGAAGTCTAAACGTAGTTTGAACTTCCTGACGATTCCCTTGTTGGTATACATATATTGGATCGGATCTCTGTCTGACAATTGCCTTAATCCAAAAATTCCATCAGGTTCCTCTCCAATCACTTCCGTATGTCAATATCAGCTAATCTTGATTGTCAGACCGCTGTATAAACTTTACACTAATTATATCATATATCTTGGCGATTTCGCTTCGCAAACCCGCTTTTTTCATCGCGTGTCTCGTTTACCTGGCGGGGCGCCGCCGTCGCCGTCGCCGATTCTTGCCCAAATTCGTTTATCATTTGTCGACTGGGTAATTTCGTCAAATTGTTGCGCGATTGTGAAAAACCTGATAAAACCGGACAATTGCGTACGTACGACGACGACCGTCGGCTTTTGCCATCGATATAGCGATGAATTGAGGTTCCGGTGATGGCGGGTGGGTAGAGGGGGGGGGGCTTTCATTCAAACACATTTTTCTTCAATTGGTTTATTTCTATTTGAAAATTATGGTGTTGATTTAGCGTCGGCGGCGAGTTCCGTCCTCGAAGAAGACGCCTCCATCGACGGCGCAATATCTGGAAATAATTGAGCCGATTTGTTGGAGCATTTCGCCGAAACTCACTTTGGACAGATTCCCTTCTCGCCGGAGCCTCCCGGTTGTCCCGGCGCTCCCGGCGCACCCGGATTTCCGTCGTTGCCTGGCTGCCCGTCGTTTCCGCGCTGTCCCGGCTGTCCTGGCGCGCCTGGCTCTCCGGGGCCGCCTGGCTGTCCGGCTGGTCCTGGTGGTCCGCGTGGTCCCGGCTGTCCTGGGGCTCCCGGCTGTCCCGGCTCCGAGCTCGACTCGCCGTTTCGTCCCGGCTGTCCCGGTTGTCCGTCACGTCCCGGCTGTCCCGGTGCTCCTGGTTGTCCTTTTGGTCCGGCGGCTCCCGGCGCTCCAACACCTCCTCCAACTCCCGGTCGTCCTGGCTGTCCTGGCGCTCCAGGAGCTCCGTCGTTTCCTGGCTCTCCCGGCGGTCCTGGTGGGCACGGTTTGCATGGTGGAATGACGACCGGATTGCATGGAAGTCCGACAGGGCGTCCCGGATTCCCGGCGTCACCGCACGCTCCCGGTCTTCCGTGCTTTCCCGGCTTTCCCGGCGGTCCTGGTGGTCCAGCCGGGCCGGGCATGCAGCATCCGTCGCACGTTCCGCCGCTGGATCCACCGAATCCCGACACCCCACCGTCGTATCCGGTCTGTCTGGCGACGCGCGTATGATTATTAGTGGCCTTCTGAACGAGAGGCAATTAGAATAATTAGTCGGCGAAGGCCATCAGCCAACCTTGATGTGTCCCATCTCGCTGAAAATGTCGCTGGTCGTGAATTTGCAGAACGAGATCTCGTGATCCACCTGACGCTTCACACCGTCGACATAGCTGTGAAGCATCGGAAGTGTGATGCATATCTGCAAGACAATCGATTTCGGAATGCCATTGAAGATCGGCTTACTCCAAAGACGGCGGCGACCGAGAGCGTCACAGCCGAATAGGCGATGAAGCGGTAGGCCTTGAGGCGCACTTCGAGTTCGTGATCCATGCTGTCGAGTGATGTTTCCATGCCGTCGTCGGCCTTTTATATTACCACTCTATCCAGTACACTGTAAAATTTCTCGGGAACAAAGTAATCGACTAATATTTTTTTGCGGAAGGTTCAGGGGCGTGTTACACTAAACATGGTCATACTTCCGCGGATTGGAGAGACAATTCTGCACTTCATCATCAGAAAGCTACCAAGGAAGGAAAATTGAAACGAATAAAATTTTTCTAATTGTTGAGTTGTCACAGAAAAACCTGGAAGTTGGATTTCAATCACAAAAATCCAGCTCTTCTTTGTAAAATTACGTGTGCAAAAATGAAATAAATTTTCCAAAAAACCACAAATTGATAGTACACTTTATTGAAAATATAAGAATAACGAATTAATCAACATTGCTCGATTCTTACTTCTCCATTTTTGGTAACCACCTTCCGACGCTTCGGGTAGCCGTCGATGGTGGCATGAGGTCCAATTTCAGAAGGGCCGCTTTTTCAAATTTATAAATAATACAATTTTAACAAATCGATAATATAATTTGAAATTTTATACATCAAATAAAAATTATGAAATGAAATTTTCATTTTTTTTTCAGAATATCCCAAAAATTATTTTTATTGCAGATTTCCTTTTAAAATTCAGATTTGAAAAAAGTGAATCTCTTCGTTTTTTTTTCTATTTGTTGTAATACTGCCAGCATTAATTAAATTCTTCAAAGCTTCCAATTCTGTCAAACATTTGAATAGTAAAATTCTTAAACAATTAATGATTGAAACGGTATTTCGTTTTTATGGATTCTAAATTGCGCGTATTATTAGAAAAGCAATCAACCAGAAATCGGCAACGAAATCTGTCCTGTTTGGAAATCGCAAATTTTTCCCGAGAAAAAGGTTTGTAATTTTGAACCATTGAAAAAAAAATTGCATAAATGTGGACCATCGCAATTTTTCGAGGCGGCAATTCAAATTGGAATTTAAGCTGTGGAGATCGTTTTTTTTTTCTGCTAACAAATTTTGAATTATCATTTTTATTCGATAAATTCAAAATATTTTTTTGAAATCCATTACTTTTAGCATAATTTTATAATCAGAAAATTAAAGAAAAAACCACCGAAATTCGAAAATTTCAACGAAATGAGAATTTCCGGCAAATCAGCAATGTTAGCGGAATTGAGTCACAGTAAAAAATTTTTCACCCTAAAATTGAATTTTTTCAATCTTTATTTATAATTTAGCTTTGATGCTTCCATATAAGCTGTTTCAACAGCCCATCGAGCTTAGGGGTTCCCATAAGGAAAACGTTTGCAGTGAGTGTCATTTCAAATGCAAATTCTGAAATTTTGGGGAAACATAAAAGGACTAAAAAAATGAAATTTGATATTCTTCGAATAAATTTTGATTCAAGCATTTAAAAAATTGTTGAGCAGCAATGTGTAGCTTCACTAACAAGGCATGTCATTTTGCGGACCGTTTTAATATTTAAACAATTTTTAGATACAGACTTTTTAAAACTATTTTTCACTAAAATGGAATCCATCGAAAGGAATGGGTTGTCGTTTTTGACGGTTCACAAACAGAAAGAAATTGAATGCCTTGACCTAATTTTAAAAACAAAAATAATCAAATGATCGTCTTTTCTCAAAAAATGACTATGCAAATTCCTTAAATATTCCGGTTATATTTTTTTTCAAAATTCTTCCAGAACCGCAACGCCTCTGGACTACAAGGTCTTGCAGCAAAAAATTCCGATGCCTTTTTTTTTGGAAATTGGAAATTGGAATCTTATGTCTTTTTTGGAATCTTATTTTACGAAAAAAAAATTGAAAAATTAAAAAAATTTTTAAACTTATTGGGACTTTTAAAAATTGGATATTTCCTTAATTTTTTTCTTTTGCACAGAATTCAAAAAAAAAGGAAAATCCGAGTATCGATGGAAAAATTAAATTTTTCCGACTTTTTAATAATCCTAAAAAAAATTATTCCAAAAATGGATTTTTTTTAACAAAAAATGATATTCAACGCGCATTTCTTGAAAAAAAGGGTTATTTTTAACCCATCAATTTTTTGCTTGATCCCATCATGCTGATAAGAAAAAATTAGCTGAAAACTCAACACCTTTTTAGTTTTTTTTTTTCGCAAAATTTTTTGACCAATTTTTATTCATTTCACAACAATAATAATATTATTGAACATTAATGTACACTACACGTAAGTCGATAAATAATAAACGGGCGGCTCACAGAGCGATCAAACACACACACACACACAAGGCGGACGGTTTACGATGGCACAGCGAATCGTTCGATTCTCACTCCACGATCTTTGATTTCTTGAATCTTCTTCTTGTTCATCAGACAGTCTGAAATTGAATAATATTGATGAGTTGGGGAGGACACGCATGATTGATATGGGTTTGATAAAGATTCGATCAGGCGATTCTAAAATCGAACGATATTTTATTCGGGATAATATTGAAGAAGGTTTCTTTGAAGTATTAATTTTCAATCAATACCTATTTGAAGTGTCTCACCTTTTCCCTTATTGTGCGATTCGCTTGGCGCGAAAACGGTGTCGAACAGATAGAGCACAAAAATGAACACGCTGAGGACACGCTCGAACATGGTCGCCTGCAAACCGAGCAATTTGAATACGGTTGAACAGCGAGCGATGAATCTCAACACGACAATCGAGAGCCTTTTGTATTTGTTGGGGTCTTGGGGAGGCGGGCGATCGGCGTTTCGCTGGGTTTTGCAGAGATCGCGAGCGATGGCCGCTTCGGCGTCGGAGAGACGCAGACGGCTGGCGGCTGTTCGATCATGAGTCGCGCACGTGAATGAGCACAGCCTTCTCTTGCAAACCGATGGACAGATCTTCTAGCGGGCAGGGCATTGCAAAAAAAAAGAATTTATAAATATTTTTTGGGCATTTGGGATCCAGCCTTCTTTTGACAAAATCAAGATCAAAATTTTTGGAGATCAAAAAAACAATGAATTGGAGTAGAATATTCACTGCAACTGGAAAAAAAAGGCAAAAAATAATTGAAAAATCTTTTTAACAATTTTTTTTCAACTTCTATTGTTGAGATTTAGTTTTTGAAATTTGGGCGAAAAAAAAAATTCCAAAAACCTCGGCCACGTTTTTCGAAGCCTACAGTACCACTGCTTTAATTGAATCGCTGCAAGAATCATAGAAATGTTGTACAAATCACAATAGGAAAAATAGCAGCCATTATAAAAAAAAAAGCTTGAACAGTTATGAGATTCCATATATTATTAGTAGTTGTCTAGAAAATTATATTATGCAAAAAATTTCATGAAACATTATAACATTATCTCAGGAAAAAACTTGTTAGGTTCAGGGTCTCAATAAGTTTTCTGGAATATCAATAAAATAAAATTCTGGAATATTTGATTCTCAAAATATGGTTTTTATTTGCCCTAAAAAATTTTTGATTTTTCTTTTGCTGAAATTTGTAAAAAATAAATAAATTCTACCGATTCAATAAAAAGATTTTCGCGGAATTTCCGTTTTGCCTTCATTTTTTTTTCGTTGATTCGTCGCCATCATCGTTATCTGTCAATCATCCAACTTCGACTTCTTATCAAGAATCGCTCGCCTCAAAGATCGTCCAATCAACGTGTGCGTTCTCTCGGTGGGGCTCTCAAATACTTTTACACACATCATTTTTTTGGGAACCCTAATTTTATGGCCAGTTCGATAGTCTCATTCATCACGATTTCGTGTCGAGACCAAGTGCCAAAAATGGAAAATATGAGCGAGTTACTCGAAAAGCGATTAATGCCATCGTGTTCAGCAACAAAATAGTATACCATCAAATTTTGGTGAGATTCTATCAACTCCCTGACCTACACTACCCTAAAATATAAATATTGCCAATGTAGCCACAGTAATCGGGTTACTGTAATGAAAATATATTTGTCAGTGGTCAAATTTTTAGATTAATAGAACGACAAGGTCATCCAATTAATTGGCGACACATGTGACTCAAAATCAGGCCATTTTATTTTTAAATTCGATGCGATGGAATGTAAAACGAAAAAATCGAAAAAAAAATGAAAAACCCAAATGGTAAAAATGGTATTTTAGAAATAATCGAGAAAATGAGAAAATTGGGTATTGAAAATGTTTCGTTTTAAGTGGAACGAGATTTCAGAAAATTCGAAGAAGACTTCCAGACGACGTGAATAAATTGGCACAGACTGAAACTAGAATTTGAGACGAACACGAATCGGATTCTTACCCTATTTATAGTGAGACCACCCATTGTGTAAAGTGTTTCACAAAGAGAACCAATATCAATAATTTACATGTGAGACGCAGAGTCACGCAAAAAATGTTTCACGTGACCCATCGAGCCACGTGGAATTTTCAAAAAGGTCACGCGGTTCGATTAATGGGATCTCGAAATTTGAATAAATTTGCTTTTTCGAATTTTTTGAAATTTTAAAAAGCTCAAAGAAATTATTCAAACAATTTTCATTTAATTGAATTTAAAATTAGTAGGGTCCGTGTTTAATTTGGACCTATTCATGCAATGAAAAAAATCGATTTTTCCTTGAAAATTACAAAACATAAACGCGATGTATCGTAATTCTCTGCTATTTATTTTCAAAGGCGCATGCGAAAAGTTGTGCCGGGTCACGTCGCGAAGTCGGTACTGTAATTTTTGATTTTTATTATATGTGTTATTTTTCCGTATTTTGAAGAAGAAAAAATCGAAAACAACAGAAAATTACAGGAAGTAAAACGAAAAAAATTGATTTTTTTCATTGCACGAATAGGTCCATAACAACAAACCGGCGATTGTAGCGCAACCCGGAAAAAGGTCCGCAGATGTGATGGTCCTTCTATTGTTAAGATTCAAAAAATATGGTCCTGGGTCCCCGTTTTTGCAACCCTGTGCCACCTCAAAAAATGTTTTTTACAATATTCTGAAAATTGATGTTTAAATGAGAGCCTGCCTTTCCGGCAAGTTTGATTCGCAGGTTGTCCGTAGTACGGTAGTCGAAGTTTGAATTGCCGCCATTAAAAAATTTCGATGGTCCACAATTACTCTTCTCTTTGAATCAGTGGAAACCCATAATTAATGTAAATCTACAAAAAAATGAAAAATATTGGTTTTTCGTACATACCTTCGTGGTTGTTTCTTTCAATGCAATATTATTTTTAATAATTTTTGTTTATCAAAATGATTAAGCTCAAAGAAAATCAAAAAAATGGTTTTAAAGGGACAGGGTTGTCCAAGCTAATTGAGAAGTCAGGTCCGAAGAATTTATTCATTTCTTTTTTTCTTACTTTGAATGTAATGTACAGTGCGAAATTCTATGAGCTCATGGGTCCATATGGGCAATACTTGCCTCTTTGTGATTTCGTGTGAATGATATTTTTGTGGTCCGACGGTTGATGTTCCGTTGGTTGCAAATTTTTGTATACGAACTCAATTTGTTGTTTGAATATTTCATTAAAGATGTTGTCTCCTATATTAAAAATCAGTATAATTATTTTGAGGATTTGAAATGGCTTCTGAAATCCTAACTTTTCAGTCATAAACTTTTTCGCAATTTTTTTAGCAAACACCTTGAAATTTCAATTTTTCACATAATTTTCAGGTTTTGGAATTTTCCGAGCTTTTTGGCTTGTACGAAAAAAAAAAATTCATAAGTTTGTATAATTTTTGTGGCACAACAATTTTGACCTACGGACACATTCATACAACAACAAAAAAAGGAATGAACCTATTCTGTGAATTGAAATAAAATGTGGTTTTTCTTATTCAGTGACGATAAAAATTTTTAAAAATTATATGATCAACATCGCGCGACTGCGGAAAATTGGTAAAACGCCAAAAAAAAACAATGCCCGCGGTCTTGGCGCAAAACTAAAAGTGTAGATTGGCGGTCCTATGAGTAAGGATAAGTTAAAGGCGCACACCGAGATCTTATTTCGTAATTTTTGGCATTTAGCCAGATTTCAAAAGTATGTTTTAAATTCGCAGAATAGGTCCATAGCTCCCCACCTAGTTTTGTCTCCTCCCACAAAATTTCTACTAGTCAAATTTTAGTGGGTCTGAATTACATAAGTCGGGATGTGAAATCATAGAGCCAAATCCCATCAGTACTTCTCACAGTGAAAATTGGGGGGGGGGAGTCTTTTGTAGTTGAGCCCCCCCCCCCCTAAATTAGTTGAGCTCTGTGGGGAAGTGGGCTCAACTAAAATTATACCAATTTCAATAAAAATTACAAAAGCACTTTCGATTCAAAAAAAATCTGCATTAAATATAATTTCATATAATAAACGTTTTTACGCATTAAATCAATATACCTCATTTGGAAAAACAATTAAAATAATCTTGAGAGTCTTATCTGGATATTAATGAAAGCGGATTCAGTTTTGTCCATAAAAGGCAATTTTTCAAATGCTAATTGGATGAAACGTATTAAATGACGTGATCTACCATGACAAAACAAATTTATTGGCAATCATTAAGAATAAAAAACTCTTTAAGACACAATTTTAACGAGCCACTCATTTCCCGAACTGGAGTTGTCCAGCCACATTGGTTGAATAGACGTCAATACCGGAAACTTTCCGTTTCACGATGTTCGCACCCATCTACCGTATTTGCATCAAACATGTGCGACCTTGTTTAGCTGGTCAATTTGCTTAATAGGTTCCAATTATTCGATTGCCTTTTTTTATGAATTTCAATCGACAATCTAACGGCCGACAATCTCGTTTAAAGCCGTCAGTATTCTGAAAATTCTGGCAATATTTCTCGACTTCTTTTTGATCAATCTCAGGTTTCTTTATTGAATGTTTCTGCTTTCGAAAAAGAAAAATTCGATCCGAGACACTTGGAAAATTGAAAACTTTGAAATCTGGGTCGAGGGCACTTTTATAAATGGTTTATTAAATCAAAGTACGTCGATGCATATTTTTCTGAGCAAAATTGAGATATCTTCAAATTTCAAAGGCGAAATTCAAAAGCGGGATTTTCAATTTTTCAATTTTTTTAAATTACACTAAACGTTAATTTCATATCAAAATTTTATATATCATTCGAAAAGTTGTCTAGTGCTCATTCTAAATATTATATGGCCACAAATGCGCCCTATAGAACTGTCTCTCACCCCTCCTCCCTCTCTTTATATATTTATTTATGTCTCTCATAGATCAAATTATTTTTCTCTCTTATTTCCCAATTGTTTGTAGTATGATCCCGGTCCAATATATAAGCTCGCGTTTCCCTTATTTGGAAATTCGACTTGGCTGTCTCAACAAAGTCATATGGACCAAATCTCGTGTACCACAAACCCACACCTGCGAGCACAACAGTTTCTATAAAATACAGGGTGTCATTTAAGTTCCCGCACAACTTTGAAGACGTATATTTCTGAAACTAAAAGTCCAAATCAAACGAGACTCAAAATATTATTTATCTATAGTACAACAAATAATTATCTATTAACTCTTTTCGATTCGGCCTCCTTTCGCAGCTATGACTTCACGGAGACGCTTCGGGTAGGATGTGACTGTGGTACGCAGGTATTCGATGGAAAGATTGTCCCACTCCGCCAGTAATGTCCTCTTCAGAGCCTCTACACTTGAGTGGGGTTTTGCGTTGACCTTCTCCTGCAAGACCCCATCACGGAAAAGTCAAGCGGTTTCAGATCTGTGGAGCAATCAGGCCATTCGGATGACTTGATGAAGTCGGGAAAATGGGTCTGGCACCACTCCTGAGTAGTTTTGGCAGTGTGGGCGGGTGCTCCGTCCCGCTGAAAGACCCATATCTGCCCACCGAAATGCGTTTGGGTCCAGGGCATCACATGCTTCTCCAAAATGTCCCGAACGTAGACTTCTTTGTTCATTTTCACTCCCTGATCCACGAAATCCTGGGGGCACATCCCGGTTGAGCAGATGGCACCGAAAACCATCACACTGGCAGGATGTGAGGCTCGATTAATTGTTTTTCCTTTCTCAGAAGCTTGCTGGGATGTCTGGGCAAGTACTCAATGGTTTTGTGAGTAGAATGCCGTCTCCACAGTGAATAGCTTCTCGTCGGAGAAGACAGTGACGAGATCTTGTCCAGACCGCGTGCGAGCAAGAAGTCGTTTTGCTTTTTCGAAGCGTCTCTGCTTGTTGACGGCCGATAGAATTGCCGCTTTTTGGACACGATATGGGGTCAGTACAAGCTTCGTTTTGACGATTTGTTCCAAAGCGAAGATGCTCATTCCCATGTCTGACGCTATCTTTCTCATGCTCCTGTGGGGGTTTCGGCTGATCCTCGATTTGACGGCGTTGATCTTCTGAGGAGTGGTTACTGAGACGAGTCTTCCTTGTCTGGGACGGTCACTGGTCGTATTTAGCTCCTTGAATCGTTTGATGGTGTCATAAACCGTTCTACAAGGCACACCGACCCGTTGAATGATGTCTCTCGGGCTCACATTTTGCTTATGAAGTTCGATAATGAAAGCGCGATGGATGTTAGCCTTCGCCGTTTCTCGGAAGCACATCCGAATGAGGTGAAGCTTGGAAAGTAAGTAAAATATACCTTGTTCAATAAAAATAAATTGTATTGGTGTACGAAAAGTGCGTTAGCGAAGCTCTACATGGCGTCAAACTTTTGTGCGGGAACTTAAATGACACCCTGTAAGCCATAATTCGATTTTGTGCCAATTTTGTATTAAAGTTACAATTTCAACATATTTGCAAGTATCCAGAAAAAATCCAAAATTTTTCATCCTAGCTTTTTCCTAATAAGAATTACTGTTTCAATCGATAGTGAAGAAAGACATATTCGAGATGTTTGGTTTCGACATGCGCGAGAAAGCCCTATTTAATCCATCCGTCAGCCAAGAATTTTATTGTCCGCTTCATCATAATTACTGTGTAAATTTGTCTCCAATTCCTGAAATGGAAGTTAGCCGAAAGAAAGCTTCACACATTTATTATTTTTGGTTTGGAATAATGTCGTTCAAATAGAAAAACTTTGAATCGTCCCCCCCCCCCACTTCTGATATGTTATTTCAGTGTGAAGCACCTTCAGTTCAAAGCGATGTTCTCGTTAGCAGCTGCGGCGGCGAAAAGCGTCCGACACTCCCGACAAATATCCATTATAATTTTGGCAATTTTTGCCAATTTCTCCTCGGCGTGCGTGGCGACACGTGGCGGAGGTACTGTGCGAACCACTACAGTACCGACAGTGACCACAACCACAGTACCTGGGGAAACAACGACCACCGTCATCACAACAACGACAGTCGCAGGTTGGCAATTGGGGTTAGCGTCTTCATTTCCAATCGATCCTATTCAGCAGCGTGCGCGCCTGAGCAAATCATATTCGGCACCAGCATGGGAAACGAAGTTGATGTCACTTTTACAGAGTCAGTTGAAATCTCTATTTTTTTTTGAGAGCAATTTCGCATTTTAAAGTTATGTCGTCGACAATGCTTCTCAAACCGCCTCGATGACGATCACGTGTAGTGCGGCCGCCGGAATGTCGGTGTTCATGGAATTCAACGTCGATCAAGGAGGGCCTTCGCAAAATTTCCTACCGGTACCCAATGCTCAACGAATCACATCGTTGACATCGTTTTTAGACCGTCAACGCCCCGGTGACATGCGAAGACGGACAATGGGTATTCAGAGAAACAGTTGGTGGAGCTGAGTTCACCAGAACTATTCAACAAGTCAACTGCTTCCAAGTTTGATCTGAGCAAGAAATTTTTAATAATGTCCCAGAGTATTTCCATTTTTTTTTTGAATATTTCTCCAAAATCCGCATAGCATCATAATCGAATTGTATATTCAAATAATAATGCCCATTTAAGTCAATGTCCACATAGAATTATTGTTTTTTTTTAAATTTATGCTACAAAAAAGTCAAAAAACTGGTTAAAACTGCAATTTTTTCTGCATTGAGTTTTTTCGATTTTTTTTTGCCAAAATCTGCACAATATTTTAAAATAAAACGGTTATTTTATTCTTGCCTGATTGCAAAAAAAAGCAATCCCATAGAAGGCGAGTGCAAAAAATCATTTTTTAGTATTTCTCGTAGTGTCGTTAATCGGCCGCGAGAGTGAGAGGGAATCAAGTGGAATCGGTCTGTTGCAAAATACCGGAATTCATTCAAGAAACACAAATTTGATTCGTTTTCTTTTCTCGATTGTAAGAAGAAAAAACGCGATTCTCGAAGGGCAACAAAAAAAAGTCAAGCGAAAATGAGTAAATCAAATTTTGCTGTTGGAATCCGTTTAAATTGTCAAGCCATTCGTTTTCAATATTCCAAAATATTGAAATAACAAGTTATGTGGACCATCGCACGTTTTCGAGGCGGCAATTCAAATTTGAATTGAAACAGCTTCAATTCGGATACCGATAACCTGCGTCGCCTTGATTCTCATCCTGTCCGATGCCAAGCTGCATACACTGTTGTCCTTGATACATGGAATCCGTTCCTCAAGGAACGCTCAGAAACTCCTTTACTCTCCAGAGTCAAGACAACGATGGTATCAGGATTCGAGAGAGCTTTAAACACGACACTGCAAAGCAGTTTGAACCTAGTTAAAATAATTGGAAAAGCCAATATTGGTTACCGCATCATTCTCCAGCAGTTTAGAATGAGGGCCGTGGCCGAAGTTTTTCTAAAAATTATAAGGAAAATGAACACGAATGGAAAATGGATATTTCCCGACGGAAAAATGATTATAGCAAAGTGTTTTTTTTAAAGAGTTTTCGAGTGGTCCACATACAAATACATTTTTTCAATAAGTAGAAGCTGTCGCGAAATCGAAATTGGAGAGTGATGGCCGCGACCGAGGAAATAGTAGAATTTAGTTCGGCCAGATTGGAACGTTACATTCAATCAGGCTCATTCAAATAGACAGATTATTTGAAAAAAAAAACAATTTTCTTACTATATCAAGAATTAATTCTATTTTTTAGGCAAAATAATGAATTAAATGAAAACGCTGAAATGGCTCAACAAAATTCGACGCAAGTCACCATGAACAACAAATGATAAATGAAACACCAAGTAAAATTATAACTTAATTCAAATTTTATTCAATTTTTCGAGAAAACAAATTGAATGGAATTTTTAAGATATTTAATTAAAATTTTTAAAACATTTTTTTATAAGCATGTTTGTCAATGTTTGGCTTCGGTTCCGTAAAGAAAAAAAATTTGTTTGTTTTTAATTTGTATTTCATTAATCCTCCAAAGCGGATTTTGGGGAAAAAGAAAATTTTAAAAGGAATAAAAAACCCGCACTAGGATCAATGGAAATAGGTCATAAATTTAGCGAACACTTTTGTTTTTTTTTTCTCGATTCACGGTTCATTGTCAACTTTTTTTCAATGTATCTGATATCAATGTATCTGATAATGTATCTGATAACAGATCAGATTTGCAATCCATTCACTTACAATTGCCTTTCATGTTATTGAAAGCGACCGTTCCTTTAACATTGTTCTCAATGTTTAATATTTCTTCTGCCTGCATGGCTACCTCCAATAACGGTGTTCCATCTACTAATATAGTTAGTACCACCCCGATTATGGAAATGCCAGGATCATCGGCTGGAATTGATTCAACGACCGCCGCGATGACAACGACAACTCCAAGACGTATTTTTAAAAATTGGAAATTTTACAAGACATCTCGAATATTTCAGCCCCTTGTACTCCTGATCAAATCACCCTCGGGAAAAGGAACGATGAAGAATTTAAAATTGATGTTACTTATAAAGAGTAAGTCATGCAAATTATTCCAATGGAATACTGCTTTAAAAAATTGACTAAAAGAAATTGGTCGAAAATTGTTTGAAAAAAATGAATGTTCAAATATTTCAGCTTCGTTGTGAGTGATGACAACATGTCGGCAACAATGACGATCACGTGTACTGCTGATGCTGGAAACATGGCCTATATGGATTTCAATGTAGATGAAGGAGGGCCATCTGAAAAGGAATTACCTGTAATTTTTGTTAAAGGCTTTCTTTTTCAGAAATTCAATCTATTCCAGACTGTTAATGCAGATGTTGTCTGTAAGGATGGAAAGTGGATTTACAGTGAAACAGTCGGCGGAGTCAATATGGATAAAGAGATCAGTAAAGTCAGCTGCTTTCAAGCTTGATTAAATTCTCAAGCCTAATATATTTTAAAACATTCCATTTAATAATATTAAGTGCACATATTGTTTAGCTGTTTGATTGCTTTCAAAGACTGGAATAAAATTTTCCGTGATAATAATCTGCTTGATCTTTTCGTCTTTTTTTTTCTCACATTATCTAGCCGAATTCTAGTTCAACCTATCAAGAATGATATGATCGGTTTCAATGAGGTGCTGGAATCAGGCTATAAAAGCTTTGAGAAGCCCCCCTCTCGCACCTCATTTTGAAACTCGAGTTTCTCGCCAGCAAAGAAATTGTCTGCGTCTCTCCAAATGGCACACTCTCTACATATTTTAATTTGTTTTTAATTTATTCGCATTGAGCATTTAAAATATCATCGACAGTATTTTGAAATTGTACAAAATAAATGGTGCTCGCTGAAAATGTGTGCAAACACCGCGGCGTAAAATCGCGTATTAGCCAAAACCATCTCATTTGATTAGTTTTCCGCTAGATTTTTTTGCAATGTTGAAATCATTTCTGAATTCAATTATTTGATTTTTTTTCAAATCGAGTTTTTCAGGAATTTCGAGAACTACAAAAAACCCGCAATTCTAATGCGACAATTGTGAAATTCTAGCTGGAAAATATATTTTTGCACTTTTTGAAATAATCAGGTAAATTGAATAAAATATTCTGAGATTCATTCAGAAACTAACGTATCTCTATAATATTTTAGAATTCTCTCAATCAACTTTAGAAATTATTATTATTAGATTTTTGAATTTATTGAGATATATTTGAATTTGTTCAATAAATTTTAGAAAATCTTATAAGATAAAAAAAAATATTTTTAAGTTTATCGATTCTCAATAAGTTTTAGAAAGTATCAATAAACTTTAGAATTTCTCATAATATTTAAGAGTTTATTATTGAATATTTGATTCTCAATATATTTTATTTGATTTGCCTGAGAGTTGAGCACTTTTCCGGAAGCAATTCAATTTTTTCGAAGATTTCATCGATCAAAAAAAAATAGATAATAAGAGGCGTGGACATTGAAATAAATTGAATCTTTTTATAGGTATTAAAACGTTAATAATTGGAAAAGTGAAAGCCAACACGTATTTTCGGTTTCGTTATTCGAAAAGCTTAAAAGTTCAACGTCTCCGCAACCGTCATTGACCTTTGTCAAGGAGGGAGAGGAATTCACGGTAAACTCGATCATATTTATTATTGGAATGAACTATGGAACATCAAATATCGCTATTCGTTTGCCTAATTTTATGCGGACCACTTTTCGCGTGCACTGCGACTAGTGGAGCATCGCCAATCGCGACAACGACCGATGTGCCAAGTAAGATTCTTGTTTTTGATGAGCCAACAATTTTCCAAATAATGCGCATTTATTTTTTTTAATGCCAACTAAATTGCAAACGTCCGCTTCGATAGTGATCTTAATCGGAATCTATGTGGGAACGCGGCAATTCGTTCTACTTTCTCGCTTTTGGCTTCATGTAAATTTCAGTAAAACACAGAGAATTCTTGAGAGATGATGTCCGCAGCGCAGTGCAACACCCAACTGAAAGCAAAATTATCTTGACCTCAAAAATTTGAAGAAACCAAATATCATTGATATCTAGGGTTGACAACAACGACTACTGAAGTTTCAACGACGACAATTCCGGATGAACCGATGACAACAACGACGACGACGACGACTGAGCCAACGACAACAACGACAACTACACCAACGACTACCACGACGACAACAACTCCGACTACCACCACCACCACCACCACCACAACAACGCCAACTACCACTACTACTACAACAACTACCACTACTACAACAACTACCACGACGACGACGACTACACCCACAACTACCACAACTGTTTTAAGTAAGTTAATAATATTGTTTTTTTTTTGTATTTCGCGGGCTTCACTTCAATTAGGATGGTGAAATAAAATGGACGAGCTATGGATAGGTCAACGGCGCGCGACCAATCCTTAGTAATTCAAAAAAAAATCGAAATCTCGACTTCGCTGGTTCAACATTGAGAGCAGAGCTGTACGGAATTCCGTCTTCCGTTTTTAGAAAATTTAAGTTCCGTTCAGCTCTGATTGAGACCTCCAGGGGTGTCAAAATTTCATTGTAAACGCAATGTCACCGTGGCGGGAATTCAAATTGTTTTTTTTTTTCTGAGACCTCAACTATTAATACTTTTATTCAGTGACGTGTACAGCGAACCAGATAATTTTCGGTTCAAGGAATGACCACTTCATCGACGTTTATTACAAAGAGTGAGAACCGCTTTGATCTAATCCAACTGATGTGTGTGTGTGTGTGTTTAGCTATGTTGTCGACAGCGACGGAAACGCCTCGATGACGGTTGGATGTATGGCTGACGCCAATCATAACACCTATATGATATTTAATGACGGACTAGGAGGACCAACGGACAACCAAGATTTTCCTCAGGTTCGCTCGCGCACATCGACCTAACTAATTGACTATTACAGACAATTGAGATCACGCTCTCCTGCGTCGACCAAGTTTGGAATTATGTCGTCGTCGTTGATGGCGTCTCGTATTCTCAGCCAATAACGCAAATCGACTGCCAACAATCACCCAATTAAATATAAATACGCATTTATTCCATATTAATACGGTTATTGTTATTACATATAGTATATATTGTTAATACTCGTTCAACACCCGATTGCTATTTAAAGAAAAAGAAGCATTTGGCAAGTTTAGTTGGACCTTTTGCAATTTTGCTCGAATTTTTGTATTAATCTTCGCTTGTTGATGTCGGTGAAGCTGCTATCCACAGGTGTTTTTTGTCTAGAAAAAAAATTGGCTTTAAATGTCTCTCCCCCATGGGTTTACCTATTCAATAAAACATTTCGGAATCTTGACGAGAACACATAATAGATGAAGAAAGTGGTGGCGATGTGGACAACAATAAGCAAATTGAAAACGTCGCCGATGATTTCGAAATATTCGTGCTGAAAATTGGCGGAAATTGGAAATTTGCGTTGGAAAAAAAAACAGAAACACTCTTTCGCATTAAAATCGTTTTTTGAAAGTGCTTCTAAAGGCGGCAATTCAAAATAATATGTGAAAGATGAAAACAAAAATAGTACCTGAGCGGTGAGAAAACCACCAAAAATGCTTTCAGCTATTTTAAGAGCCATTGCGAAGAAATGGCAAAACGCGAAAAGAATGGTGACGACGAGCAGCATCACCGTCGTGTTTTGGTCTTTCTGCTGCTGAAAATCATCCAATTTTCAGACAATTCGCTTTCGCGTTGATTGTTTCAATTCGTCTACCATTATTGGAACAAAATGCGCACTCACTGTTGTCGTTAGCAGCGATCTCTCCTTTCTCGTCTTTCTCAGCTCATCAATTACTTTGTGATTCGCGATGAACATGATCACGAATGGTAGAAGATAGTCGAATAGAACAGAGATTATAATAAAATATACCATAAAGTACCACCTGCAATTTAAATAATTATCTTAATTGGCTAATTACACGGGTAAATGCGGCCAACGCAAACCAGCGGCCGCGGATTCTTCGGCCATGGCAAATTACGCGTCCGCCATTTTTTCAAAAATTTAAATTTATTTTCTATTTATTTTTAGAATATTTTACCGTTTTCCCGAAAAAAACACATTAAACATTTTTAAAAATAATTAAATTTTTAGATGAAGGCGAAGAAATTGCAACGAAAATTGTTGCGGACTGATGAATTTGCAAAATACCAATGATTGTCAGGATAGAGTCGGCCCGGCTGCAAATAATAGCCATTTCTTTCGGAATGTCCAACGTCATATTCGAAGAATTTCGGCAAATTCAGAACAACTGAGAAGATGATGATAGCAATGACGGCTTTGACCGAATTGTGGAATGTGCACAAAATGTGAACCCAAAAAAATATATTTATTGTGTTGCCACTTGTCATTGTTTTTTTTTGCAGTTTCTTCAAAAGTACCTGCAACGGTCGGCATACTGCAATCCATCTCTCAATCGTAATAAGGACCATTATATATAAACTCGCGGTTTTCGCCATCATGCATAATGGATAGAGGTATTTGGTGGAGAATGAGATGAGCATGCGACGCGTTGAAAATGATGCATAAGGATCATCCCTTTAAATGAAAAATGAAAATATTAAAAAATGACTTTTTGAAATCTAAATTCCTACAATTGTGCTGCAAAATATATTCAGGGTTTTGCAAAAGATATTCAAGGTTTTTTTTATTTTATTCCAACAAAATGTTGTTTTATTATAAAATGTCGTTTATCATCCAGAAAATGCTCCTTCTAATCTATATTTCAAAATATGAAACAATAATTTTTATTTTTATTTCAGATTATGTGCATTTCTTTTGCAACAACCTAATAGAACCAATTTAAAGTATTTTTTGTTCATAGGTCAAGCTCAATACTTAAAATATTGTTTCCACTTTATTCTACCTACCAAACTGGAAGATGAAATATACTGTAAAGTGGTAGAGCAAATAATAGCACAAAAATGTCGGATATTGATAAAGAGCACAGCAAAAATGCCACCTAAACACCGATTTCTTTTCTTTCAAATTGTTTGATTTCAATTACTGTCGATTTTCGCATTTTCGGCGAGGTGTAGACATGAAGAGACAAAATGTTGCCTGTTAGTCCAATTAAGATGACCGGAAGATAAGCCATCGCCATGTATTCGGGCCATCCAGTCAAGCGCATCGCTGAAAGTTGGGAGGTAAACAATTGAGGACACCAACACCGTAAAAGGATTTCTGAAAGCAATATGGATGAGACGCGGAAAACGCCATAAAGTTAAGTAAGCCTGATGATGAAACGATTTTCTCTCTCTCTCTTTCCATCACGAATGAGAATTTACGTGGTCCGCCCAAAAATGAGAATAATTTTTTGGTCTCATATTTTTTTTGAATGATGAGAGAGTGAGAGAGAGAACTCTGTTGAAAACGAATGTCGAAAATCGAGAAGGTTCAACTTTTTTAAGCGCTCCCAACACAAAATAGAAGAAGCTGAGTTTGAACGATAATGGCTCTCTATGGGATATCTACAATAAAGACAAATGCTAGATTTTTTGTAAAAAAAAAAGAGGTCAAGGGAATTTTCAACAGAAATAAATTGAAGAATCAAATTCTTTTGAATTGGCGCCTTTGGGTCTTGAATGGAAAAAGTGCGAGCTGCCATATTTTGAACGAGCATATGGGACCAATTCAATGACAGCCCGCGAAAATCAAATCTAGAATTTGGAGTCTATTTATATATAACTCTAACCAACTCGATTAGCCGAATTATTCGCAATTTGAAAAGCCTATGATGTGCTCTGAGACAACACGTGTCATTTTCAGGCAAACACGAAAGAAACAAAATTGGGATTCGCACAAAAGAGTGGCCTGCGTTGTGAGATGCGCTCATGAAACATTCATAATTAATCGAATTAATATTTTTTTGGTCGGAATTTGGGAAAAGCTGAACGAGTGGACGAAAAAACTTGGGAGGAAAAAAAGAAGAAGGTTCAATATCAGTGCGCGAGACCGTTGATTCAATTTTGAGCGTCGGGGGTGTTCGAAAAAGGCAGAATACAAAAAAAGGAAGGAGAAGTGAGAAATTGCTCAACAACTACCACATTTAGAAATTAGGCGCTTGCAAATAAGGCAAAAGATTATAAATTCAAAGTGCGAGAAGAAAAAGAAGAAGAAGAAAATAAATTCCAGCCCTTCTCCCGAAATGTACATATGTATAGATTAATGCGAAAAATGAAAGCTGACAAAAGGAATCGCGAGTAAATATTTCGATACAACACAAATTTTCTTTTTGCTCGCTGAAAAGCAAGATTTTTGAGCATCAATGAGAACTCGCGATCTATATGTGGTGCATATTTTGGGATAAAATTTGACATAATACATTTTATGAGAAAAAAGACAATCAACAATTATTTTTTCAACAATTTGCATAGGTTTTTTAAAAAGAAATACTGAGTTTGGTTTTTGCTGAAATCTGCATAGGACCATTACGAAAAATGGGTTCAATTAAATTTTTGAAACTGAAAAATTTCTATTTTCTATAAAACCAATTATGGAAGATTTCAAACAGAGCTGATGAGATTTAATCATAATTGTCGTTTTTAGATTATATTGTCGATTTTGTAAGAATGGTAGAAGCTTAGTTGTGGGAAATCCGCGGACCGCAATTTTTCAAAGGTTTTCTGAATTTGTTTTGGATCCTTTATGCGTTCATTGTACTGTTTAGTCAGTGACACGAGCTTGTGCTTAAAAAATTCGGCTCATATTGGGCTCACTTAAAAATATTGAAAATTCAGGAGAGAAAAGGGAAAGAAAAAATTGACAAAATTTTAATGCAGAAGAAAATTTCCCTTTTTTTCATTTTCTCCGGTTTGACCCTTTAATGAAATTATGACATATTATTTGGTGGGCGGGGCTTAGCGTAATTCCAATTTTTTAATCCCCCATGTAAATTTTGAAATATGAATTCTCACGTGGCGAGACCCGATGCATGCAATCGACATGCGTGCAGAAGTCGTCGTCAAACTCTGTCACATTTAATCGAACTCCATCCGTAGAACATGTTTAGTTGAACAAATTCGAAGCGTCGTAAGCGCCTAATTTTTGCGTTTGTCGAAAAATTCGAAACGAAAACATGAATGTTCGGACCTCAAGGGGACATTTGAGGCGGTCGCCAGAAAAAAATTTGAGCCCACCCCAAGAATAAAATAATCAAATATTCTATGCTAGTCGGCAAATACATCAAGCCGTCAGTGAACTTTGGGCTCATCGAAAGGGGCGGGGCGAAGCATCGAGCATTCTCACGTACCATCATCATTCGCTGATTGGCGGTTCCGCCTCTCGATTGAATCATTCAACATCGGCGAACCGAAATAGGAAGAGGAAAACGGAACAAAAAACCACGATATTGAATTGAGCGCGAGGCGTTGGCAATTTATAATTGGGTGCGATAATACTCTTCGGACAATCTCGCTTTTTCTTTTTCTTCGTCCAATTTGGTTGTTCCGGGAAGTTGACAACACAAACCTATCAATTTTCTTTTAGAGTAAACAAATTTGAAAGTGTTTTCAGATTTCACTTCCTTCATTGGTAGGCTCGAGTTCAAAAAGATCCCTAAATCTTTCATGACCGTTTTGGGGCAATTTTGAAGGTTTTAGGGTTTTCCAGAGGAAATGCGTTTTCTCTTTAAAAAAATGTTCTGTCCAAAATATGACTTTGAAGGTTTTTCTCCGAAAAATCATGATGTGAAGCAAATTAAAATTGTTCCAGAAATCCTATTTGAAAGAGAATTGGCTGGTGTCTCAAGGGGAAAAAATGCTCAAATTTACCCACTCGTAAATCTACACTGATCTCGTGAGAGAATTTTTTTGCGATGCCACGAGTCTTCTTGAGTTTTTGGACCATCTCAGTTTTTTTCCTCGGCGCGAGAAATTCAAATTTCGATTTAAACAATGTACATTAAACTTGTCACGAATTTTTTTTTCAAAAATAATTGAAGTAATAAAAACCGCACGCGGACCGCAACGCGTCAGACTAGTCGCGTTATTTTTTTTTTTTGGAAATAATCTATGATTGTTTTCTTATTTTTATGAGAAAACCCAAAAAAACATCAACTTCTCTCTACTAAAAATAAAAATTAATTATTTTTTTGCTTTCCTCGGCGAATTGTAATCGTGACGCATTCCTATTATGGAATTTGGTGCAATTTCAAGAAAAAAACCAATCGGATGGCTCTCGTGTGGATAAAGCATCAATGTTTGGCAAAAAGAAATGATGTGATGATTCTAAATAGGAAATTAAACGGGGGAAGTCATTTTCTCAATCTATTCGATTAATGTGGTTCATGAAACTAATGGATCATCATTTTTTATATAGAAAAATGAATATTTACAAGTGAGAAATTCGAAAGGGCAGTTTGAAAGCAGCAAGTGCGCTCCACCGTACTAATTGACCTTCATTTTATCACTGTTTATTATTTTCTTTTTTTTTTTGAAACAAGTGAAAATAGCCTTTTCAGACGATAAAAAAGCTTTCCCTCGATGTATAAAAAAATGAATGAACGTGGATTTCAGAAAAAAAAATGTTCAAAACTTGTTGAATCGAAGAATTTTGCGTTGAAAATCTTCGCCCACTTACAACACAATAATTAAATTGAATTCAGTGAATTGAATGTCGAAAAAAACACGCGGATTTTTTTTTTTGATAAACTTGAATTGTGCATTAGATATAATAATAATAAGACGAAGAAAAACTAAAACGCATAATGAACAGACGAAATCTTATATAAGAGTATTCGGCGAAAAAAAACGAAAGAAAAGAGTAGTCATTAATTTATAAGATGAATTTTAGCTTTAAAAGAAGAGAATTGTTGGATTCGAATCGAAAATAATGCCATCGTAGTACAGAATTGAGAATCACGAAGTCTTGAGAGGACCAATAAATTTCGAATGTAGCAAATTTCCAGAAAAATTTCAGGATATGCCAAATGTGTTGCCAGAAATTTCTTCGTTTCGAACTCGAATTTCCGTTTCGAATTTTACAGTTGCGTTTCAACAAATTATTTTTGCATAATTTTGCGCAAAATCCTCATTCTGAGTATCGGAATGAGGTCAATGATGTTGAGAACCTTTAGCGGGACCATTATTAATATAAATCAGATCTACAAGTCATCAACGCTCTACAAAACGTATCTAGCTTGAACCCATTGTGTACTAGATAATAGGAGCATCATAACTACAGTGCGTTGCAGAATTATAAGGAAACCCCCAAATTTGAGCGCCGCGCAATGATTTCGATATTTTGAGACCAACCAGTGTGAAAATCGTGTTCAGCATGAAAAATAACCTATATGTATCTATTTTTATGTTAGTACCTTCAAAAGTAACCGCGCAGTGGTCCAAAACCGTTTTTTCGAGCGGTGCAGAATTATAAAGCCACCCCCATACAACGGACTTTTTCGCATTTTTTTGAAACTTTGGCGGGACCAGTGTGCATAAAAATTGTTGTGTGGCTTTGAGAACCTACAGTGGTCCTTATTTTTCACTTTTTGAATGATTTTGAAATGCCACGTGGTCGCTGTCTTAGTGTTTCTGAGCAATCTCAGATTACCGCATTCAAAACGGCAGGATGGTCGAACCGTTGGGTTGCGAAGAATTTAAATGGTCCGAAAACATTCGTAGACATCTTTGTGAAGGATCCAACTCATGTCAACATGTCGCAAAAGTCAGGCGGCAGAGGAAAACTGGACTATCTCGCTAATCGAGCAAGCATTCGAGCAGCTTCGAGCAGTATGAAGTCTACAAATGACATCAAGAAGAAGCTAAACTTCGACAAAAGCAAGTGGACAGTTTGGGGAACCATCAAGAATAATCCCAACATCGCTAGAGAAAAAATGAAGCCGGCCCCGCGACTAACAGAGGACCATAAAATTCGACGCCTTGAGTTCGCATTCAAAAACATGAATACGGATTGGAACAAGGTGTTTATATTCGAGAATATTGTGAATAATAGCCATTCAAACTTCAACAGGTTATTTTTTCCGATGAAAAAAAATAATTTGGATGGCCTAGACGGCCATAACAGTTGCTGGCCCGAGTTATGAAAGAATCGCCTCCTGCTTTCAAAACTCAATTTTAGAGAAGGAAGCGTGATATTATGGGTGAAGCGTTTTCGGAGGCCGGATTTCTGGAATTGGCTTTTCTGACGAGTAGGGTGGACTCTTCGGATTATCAGAATGTTCTTGAGAGCCATCTTCTTCCATTCCGACGTCATTATTGTCCTTTTTCAACAGGACAATGCGGTCATTCATGTGAGTCGGTCTACTTTGGACTGGCTTCAGTCTCACAGTGTGGACGTTCTCGATTGGCCATCATGTTCTCCTTTTTGGAGTCCCATGTAGAACGTCTGGGGAGAGTTAGTACGGCGTCTCTATGGCCAAGGAAGGAAATTCGGGGAGTTGGAGAGCTCAAAATCGAAATCGTAGTCGAATGGACGACGTTAGAGCAGAAATTCAAATCTAAATCGACCCAATCTGTTTAAAACCTTTTCAAATCTATGCCAGACCGTGTTTCTAACATAATTACCTCGAATGGAGGTGCCACTAAACATTAAACTGTCGTTATTTTTGAGTTTATAACTTGTTTTATGGGGGTGGCTTTATAATTCTGCACCGCTCGAAAAAACGGTTTTGGACCACTACGCGGTTACTTTTGAAGATACTAACATAAAAATAGGTACATATAGGTTATTTTTCATGCTGAACACGATTTTCACACTGGTTGGTCTCAAAATATCGAAATCATTGCGCGGCGCTCAAATTTGGGGGTGGCCTTATAATTCTGCAACGCACTGTATTCGAAAAGAAAATCATTAAATGAATACTGCTATGTTTAAACGCGAATAAACATATGGCAGACATAAAATTGACTATTTCAGCAATCACATTCGACATATGATGTTGTCATGATTTCTGTAAACGAAATTAGCAAATTATTGGTATATTTTTCATAATTATAGGTTATACTAATTTATAAGTTTGTCTTATAAGTTTTTTATTAATTTATAAGTTTTTTGTTTATAGTTATAAGTGGTCGCAAAAAGAAATTCTAGTTTTGGTAGTTTTTAATTCTTATTTAATTTTTTTTTCAATTTTATATATCATTTTAATGCTCGCAATAATTTGGTCTTCAAAGTATGGCATAATTATTGCTAATGTCGCGCGAGTGCAAAAAATTGGCTAAATGTCAAAAAATTTTTTGAAAGAGGTCTCGGTGCGCCTTTAACCAATCGTTATACTTAGACACTTATGGTTTCGCGTCAAGACCACTGGCATGTTTTTTTTGGCATTTATCCAATTTTCCGCAGTGGCACGACGTCGATCATATTTTATTATAATTTTCAAACGGCGAAATTAAAGTAAAGGCTCGAAAATGTGCATTTTTGCAAGAACCTAACAGGCAAAAATAGAAGCCATTTGATACTTTGGTCATTAAAATTTTATGAACGCCGAGACCATATGAGAATGTCGGAAAAAAAGCGAAATGATATTTTTAATCCAGAAATAAATAAATCGAAATGAGGAATAATTCATATTTGAATACGAATAGCCATGTCTGGTATTAATAGTGCAAAAAATGCATCAACACTCTGAAAAAGCCATTATATTCGATTTAAAAATCTCACGGATTTGGGAAACGAGTGGAATAATAATTAAAGATGGGCGATTCGGATGAAAAGAAAAATGAAAAATAAAAATTTCTATTTACAATTCGATCATGAGTTGACTTTCAATGAGATTTCCAAATTTCGTTGGGTTGTCGTCTTGAAAAAAATGTATTCAGGTAAGCGATAAAATGCTGATAAATGGGACCCACAAAATTATTTTTTTCTAATATAATTTTTTTAATTATCCGTGAAGTAATTCTACGCCATTTAACACAAATGAAATCACATTGACGTAAAATAAATCATTTTATTTAAATGCTATAATAAGAAGTAGACGGATAGGAAGGTTTCGAATTTATTATTTGAAAAAAAATTCAAAAAATGTAAGTATTATATTTTATACTTAGGCCCGTAAATCTACACTTCGTCAAGACCATTGGTTTTTTTGGCAATTAGCCAACTTCGAAAAAAGTGAGTTGTGGAGAGACTTTTCTCTGATAAGACCCCCTATATTGCTCAGAAAAATGAAATATTTAAAATTCGCAAAAGCTAAGAATATTTTAGATTTCGATCAATAAAATTTAAGTAGCTACTTACTACATATTTAAAATTTTGAATTTTTTTCCGGCGACTGCTGTAGATTTACTTGCGTGCGCCTTTGCTATGGTCTCGCAGGGATTTGCAGATTATTTTGGCGTTTTAGAGGTCGTTCCGTTAATTTTTAATTTCAATGATAATTTAAATTCATGGAAATTATATAAGCATCAAAAAGAAAATTTAAAAGTTCACGTGAAATTTTTTTTTCTTCGTGGCGAGACCATTTCGAAAGGCGCAACTCGTAAATCTACACGAGCAAACTATATTTTTTTTTTTCAATTTATTGAATTGAGTATGACTTTTATGAAATATTGATAAGCTTTGCAATTTCTCATAATGTTTTAAATAGTTTTCCTGAGTAATGCGTAGAAGACCCCCCCCCCTCAGCACACAATCACTCATTCTCAGATTGATCGAAAAAAATATTTTGAGAAACTCTATAATAATTTAGATTTTTCTCAATAAACTTTAGAAATTATTAAAAGATTTTAGAATTTTCATATTAAGGTAATTTCGAATTTGCTCAATAAATTTGTTGGAAATGCTATAAGACTTTAAAAAATATTTTTAAGTTTATCGAGCCTCAATAAGTTTTTAGATTTTCTCATAATATTTCAGAGTTTATTATTGATTCTCAAAATATTTTATTTGATTTGCTTGAGTTCTGAAATCATCAAACAGGAATCCCAGTCATTCCAATTCTAATTTATGTCTACGCCTATTCTGAAGGCAGGCTTCTGGCACGAAAATGACAAAATGTTGGCTTTTCAAAGTATACCCATCAATAATTCTGAAATTCGGTGACGTATAAATCTTAGCGCATTCAGCTTCACCTCATTTCTTTTTTTTTAAAGGCGCAATAGCTCTTTTCAATAATCCTAATCTTCCGCCGTCTTTAAATAATAATATGGGAGATTCTTGAACGTTTCTTTTTCGGGTATGGAATTCCATTTCGGTCATGAGAAAGAAAAAATTTATTTCGATAAAATGCGCGATAAATAATTGCGAATAAATGGAGGGTTTGGTTTTTTTTTATGTACAACTTGACTAGAAATCACATCAGCGAATAGAGTTTTGCGTTAAGCCTAAATGAGAATAGAAAATGGAACATGGTGAAAGATAACAGACTAGAGGAATTCAGCAGGCGAGCATGGAATGTTGCGAGTACGAAAATGCAAGGAACAAAAAAAACTGCGGAGGACAAAAAAAGAAACAATTAAAAGGTATGGCAGACTAGAATTCACTCAGCTTGGAATAAAATTATTATAATTGAAAAGGTATGATTACCGGATTAAAAAGATACATATAAGGAGGGGGGTCCTACGTTTTATGGTACCAGCCAACAAGAACACTCTTGTGCTGCTCTTAAACTGTCGGAATGACGCGAGCCAATAGGCTCTGAAGTGGCGATCGCTGACATGAGCTCATGTGATTCTTGAGCATCTTCTTCGTTGGGAACATGCTGAAGCAGGTGGCGCACGCGAGACTCGTATGATTGTTGTTGGCGGCTGTCGGCGAAACGGTGCGCGGTTTATGCCAACGACGATGCGATGCCAAATTGGCCGGACACGAGAACACCTGCAAAAACATTGTTTATTGACCGAGTATCATTGAGGCAGGTGGCTGTCAGCGGGAGATGGGGCGGCCACGCATGCCGCCGAACGCAAGCCCCCAGCCAAGACTGTCCAAATACATCGAGAAACTCGTAATCGTTTTTGGGCCAGATGCTTTTGATTACCTTCTCGCAATCCGGGCACTTGTACTCCTCATGCGCGATTCGAGGGCATTTGTGTTGAGCCAGTTTGAACACATCCTCGTACTTGACCTACAAAAAATAGTGGCGATTAGCGATAACGATTTTTCAATGTTGCTATTTTCAAAATCGAAATTTTCCTATAAAAAATAGATAATAAAAATTGGGAAATTTTTTGATGTTTTTTTTTTGGAGAAATGCTATATTAAAATGATTTTTTTTTTCTATTGCTAGAGAATCGTCCTCAAAAATTTGATGATTACTCACTTTGCATAATCGGCAAACACAATCGCCAATGTAGTTTGGAATCTGCTCGATTTTCATTCGCGACTCTTCGGTGACCTCGACGTAGGCGGCGGTCTCGTCAAGAAAATCGGCTTCCTTCTGTAGCTCCTCGAGTGGCTTCACATCCGATTCCTCCTATAAATCATATCGATGAGCCGAAAAAGGAGTGCGAGCGCGCCGAGAAACCGACACCAGCTGAGACACACCAGCGGGTGGTAATTAACCAATTGTGGGGCTTGAAGCTTTTTCGGCGGCTCTTGAGCAGACAGACGCTGCTCGCCGCCCCCACTGCTTTTTTTATGCTAATCACGTCTAATTAAGTCGGCTTGACAGATTGTGTCCTGCCCATTTCCGACATTCGATACCTTTATGAACATTCCGCTGACCGGCGAATTGGTCACCGTGTCCTCGCCGATTCGTCGCAATTTCAGCTTTCGTGGATGGCTCGCCTCGGCGACGCGTTTACGGCTCACTGATGGCGGTTCTTTGATTGGCTCAGGCTGGAAATGAGCACGATGTGAGATCAAGCTATGAAATTGCATTTTTTCCAAGGGTTCTAGATTTAGGCTTAAGGAAAAATGTTGAAATGCATTTTTTTTGACACGGCACCTTCATTTTTCAATGTTTCAATTTTTCAATAAAAATGATAAGGAAATTAAATATGGGGGTGTTTTGAAGAAGAAATTTGAGAGAGCTAAAAAATTTAATATCGAAATAATGTTTTGCTTTTTTTTAAATACAGTATACCGAAAAAAAATCTGCATATTCTCATTGGAAAGGTCAATTAAAATAAGAGCGAAAAAAATGATTTTCGCTAAAGCAATTCGAGATTATCGATAATTTCGTACCTGCTTATTGATTCCATACTTCAAATCTCCGAGCAATTGCTGCTGCTGCTGCTGCTGTTGTTGTAGTTGATAAATGGCGAGCACGAGCGCCGGATTCCAGAGCATCGGCATGTTGAGAAGGGGCGTCTGCGAGCATCCCATATCCAAATGGTTCTCATCGTTCGACGATGTCGTCGACGGCACCGGACTCGGATTCGACGACAGTATCGCCTGCATCCAGAAGTCGGATATAGGCATCACTGAAAGAACGCACGTCGGGTACAAGAAGTGATGCGCGGGGTACTGTAGGTTGGCAGGAGCCGAGCGACCGCCCGGCTGCCAGGTCGGTTCTATGCGAGCGACTGGCCCGACCACCTCCAGCCCCCTCCTCCCTTCGGGTAGCACCGCCAGCTGCTCGTGCACCACGCCCCGCCCACATTGACTCGAAATAAGGAAATGGCATGTAATGAAATGGAATTCTGATGTCGAGCTAACCATTAGGCTTCACTCCCCTCATTGGTGGTGTGTTTTTTTTTATTTGAAGACATAATGGATCGCGGGCATATTATGGAAAAAGTTGGGCGAATTGAACAACGTCGTGTCAAATGAGTTCAAAATTGCATTCTGCAGTAATTTTTTGAGATTTGTTTTTTTCAAATTTGATTTTTTTTTTCGAGCTTCACTTCTAATGGCATATCGAAACAAATAAAATTCTAGTCCAACATTTTTCTAATGTCAAAAAATTTTTGGGAGAGTTCAATTCATCGCTCATCCCGAATTGTTTGGTAATTATGAAAGCTAGAAATTTGGATTCTATGAACAAATCTCAAGACCAACAAAAATCGGAATTCAATTCTGATAATCAGAAAGGTATAAGAAAGGAGGTTGAGATCATCGGAACAAAAATTTTTGGAGGAGGGGCTCTTTTTAGAATTTTGGCCAAATTTTCGTTGATCTTCATTAATCACTGTACAATTACAGTAACCCATCATTTGTCTCGCCAAATGCTTCCGCAAAACCATCAATTTATGGCGAATTCGCCAAAACGAACACATGGCGAGGCGAGTCTCTCGAAACCGTAAATCCGAGCCACCTGCTCTTCAAGAATCGCGTCTCAAAAATTTTGCGATTCTCGTTGAAATATTCAATGAAACAACAGGTGTGAAACCATAAGCCCCCCAATCGTTCAACAATTTGTTATTCCGATTCGACAGATGCTGCCCAAGACTCCTGGCATATGTAGAAAGAGAGAGAGAGAGAGAGAGAGAGAGAGAGAGAGAGCTACAGTATGCAAATAGGACGAATTGGAATTAGGTGGGGGATACGCCTGTTACGTACAGATGGTCACGTTGATTGATTCGACGATGATTATTCGATAGGCGTATGGCAAATTGCCAGCTTATTTGTCAAACTATGAATAACAAATGAGCCATCAAAAAAAAGTTGGCTTTATAATAGTTAAAATCCTTTAAGCTTGACAATTCAAAATTTTAATTTCGGATTTTTTTTATCTGAAAACCTCTATTTTTTTTGCAGGACTGGAACATCCTTTTATAGCACTTCTAGTTTTTTTCTTTATTTGTTGAGGCCTGATTAATTTTTCTCTGGTTTCTTCCTCCTCATCCTTTATTAGATCGTATTTCCACCATATTGCATATAACAAATGACCCTGCCAAATGTGACAATAATTGCGACAGGCATTGTCAATATAATACTTGAATTGTTCCAATCATTTTTCCCTCAATCCAATTATATTCTATCATTTTATTTGGTCCAAAACTTCAATTCCATTTTGGTTCTTCTCGAACCCCTTGAACATGGCCGTAAATAGTCGATTTCTTGGCAATAAATCACTTGGCAATTATATCATAAAACATACGGACAGGTGCGCATAATACAATTCGTTGTATAACTCGCGTCCAACAATTATGTCGCTCATCCGAATCGTCTTTCTAATTGGCTTAAAGACTCATCCTTCGAGCGCATCCCATGAGGAGCGTCGGCACCTTCTGGTACCATCCATCGTCATGGAGATTCGCCATTTTTGCTGACCAAAAAAATTGGGGGACTGATGATGAATGAATTAATGGAAGGAGTCACCGAGAGGAGAGATGGGTGACGCTCTCACTCCCTCTAAATGGAAGTCAAATGGCACCACGGGGAACACGCATGATGCAGCACACAACCAATTACTCTTTTGTGTATTCCACAAAATCCAACAAAAAAAAACAGCTGTAAGGGATAAGAGCGCTGGGTGACCGGGTCACGACCGACCCGCCGACACCTGCTCGTCCGGTCAGAGTGCGCGAAACAGGATGCCATAATTAGGCAGAATGGGAGTGGGGGGGGGGGGCGAGGGCTTACGAGCAAATTTGTGCATTGCTATTATTAATAGACCATGATGTGGTGGTAATTGGTGTCGAATGCCAACGAACCAATACCGTTATTTATATGGCGTTGAGTTCAATTCGATATGACCTCACACCATCAATTTAATGACTCGGTTTTCTCGATCGTTTAGTGTTAGTGGAGATGCTTTCGAGGGATTCTATGAGGTCGTTAAAATCTTGACTTTAAATGGAAAATTTTCAATGTGTGTCAATAAACAGAATTATAGGAATTCTTTTAATAAACATTATAAAATTTGATATTCCACTCCAAAAAAATCAAAATTTAAATTCTGCCATCTGCGGACATTTTCAGATCCTACTAGCCATCGCTTGAGGCATGAGGGGGTTTTTTTATATTAATGAGCCATTCAACCTTCCGCCACTCAATTTGCATCCAAATGGCGCCGCTTTGGTTGCTCCACAGTGCCTCATCATTTATTCATTATTTATGTGTATGTGAGTGTGTGTGTGTGTGCACCAGTTTTTACCTTGATTGACACCACTTCTCAGAAATGCATTCGCGCCAAACAACGCGGATTTCACAAGCCAATTATTGTTGCCATCTTGAACCCGACCAATACCTCTGGGATACTGTATCGCATCATCTGCTCGACGACGAAAATCGAGTTCGTTGAGAGGGGGGGGGGCAGATGTGCGACCTTGGAACGCTTGTTAGCAGCCTCAAGATGAACCGTTTGCCTTTTATGGTCGGCCACTAATCCGGCGAGCTCCCACTACCACCGACAACTGGATAAGTGTCAACAAGTGAAGTGAGAACAACATTAATAAATGAATTATATCGCGCAAGTTGGATTGTCGACAAAGAGCTTTCAAACAAGGGGGGGGGTCTCCGAACGACCCATTTACACTAAATTCACAATAGGATTATGATGTTGTTTCTCGAGTGCTACAGATGAGCGAGTAATTCGACAATGGTAAAAGATGGGGGGAGGGGGTTCGAGGATTCAAAATTTTGCGATATCCGCATTTTTTATTAATTTCAATAAAAGCGAATATCGGGTAACTTCAGTGTCTAGGAACTCCAATATGATTTTACTAAAGTAATGCTACAACGGCGATTTTGCAAAAAAAAAAATTATCAGTTTTTTAACAAATATTTTTTCATTAAATTTGTTCCCGAATAATGAAGAAATTGGGTTCTATTTCTATAAGAATTTCCCACTGAAATTTTTGGTTTTTCGCGCCGAGACCCGCCGCACAAATATGCATGAAATATGACAGTTTCTTGGTTTTTAGTAGATCAAATATTTTTCATGGATAGATACTGTAGCTGCAAAACAGGTCTCGGATGGAAACAATCATCACCATCAGATTGACCCCCCCCAGGTGTGCTACTGGCCATCGTTCGATTATTTGGAATATAAATATTATCCCATTCCTTCTGCTGGTAGACCACAAGAAGAATCATATGACTACAGCCTTGACCGAATTGAGCTGCGGACAATTCTAGAGGTTACAGTACTATGCAGGATTCACAAATTAACTCGAGTTTTGTGATTTTTCCTTGATTTTTAATTTTTTAAATTATAATTAACGTATAAATTATCTATTTCGGAAATCTATCTGCGGACAATGCGTCAACTGCAAATTACAGGGCTTCTCCCAATCGTCTCATTAATTCCATGGTTTTTTGTCATTCTTCTGATGTACATATGTCTGCTCGTTGCTTCTTTCTTTCTTTTTTTTCTGTGATTTCGTTTTCAACATAATACCAGGCTACCGAAAATGGTTGCGGCCGGCCAGGTGTCTCAAATTAGCTGCCCAGCTCGCTCAACACTCGCGCACTCAAAATGACAGCAGCTCGAAATTGGCGGATTCCGAGTGAAAGTCGCCGTCGACGAAAACCATTAGAACAAGCCGAACAAAAAAAAGAAAGAAGCGGAGAGAAATACCACCGGGTTGCATTCATTCATCTTTTCACGCGCCGGGGCAGATGTTCTTCTTTTCGGGAAATTGACTTGCAGATGGGCATGATGATCGGGGTTCCTTTTGAACGCTGGCGCAAGACAAGAAGAAGAAGAAGAAGAAGCACACAAAAACCAACACGTATTTATTTTTGGGTGGTGCCGAAATGGGAGGGGGGGGGGTCTCTTAGGCTTCCAACTTTTCCTCGGTTTTATTGAATCGAATCGATTTTTCCCGCTCGCTGAATGTCCATTCCGCTGGTTTGTCAGTGAAAACGAACATCGAGATGGCGTTCGCCTGAAATGAATCAGATATTGTCGTTGGGGGCACTATTCATACGATGATCATAATTTCGCCTAAACTGCAAAACACAATTTGCCATTGTCGCGCGTTTTGCTCGTTTCGAACAATTGCGGCGACGAGGGCGGGACCCGAAATTAGAGCAATCGATTTCATCCATTGGATTGTTGAGATGACGACGTGAGCATATTGTCTGAAAATGCGCGATTATTTGATTGCGATGGACACGGACAAGAGGAAGGCCATCCCATCAGATGGTCGGACTCGCTTCGGAAGGAGATCACCACAGGTGACGGGATGTCCAATCACGTCGTGGTTCACTCAAGCTAAGGATCCAAAAGAACCCCAAAGCCTTAACAGGCGAAGGACGAACCCTAAATGGTTACATTCGCAAAAAACAAGCACCCTGCGCAGATGATCTTTTTTTCAGATTTTCAGTATTCAAAGATTTTAGATTTTCAGTATCCAAAGTCACATTGTTGAAATTCGAATTTGAATTACCGCCTCGAAAAATTGTAATGGTCCACAATTCATGCAAGGTGCTCGTTTAGTAATATTAGATTTTTGCAAAAGAAATGCAAGTTTTCATGAACAATTTTGAAACCTAAGGTATTTTATATTTAATTTGAAAGCTTGTTTTATGCTCTTTTATGAATTTCTTCAAAATATCATACATATAATTCGTTTTATTGCCATTTTTGTTGGCAAATAAGCCAAGATTTCAAACAACGCATTTCTTTCGCGGCGATCTTATAGAATCCCTCGAAAGCGTCTCCAGAAATGATCGAGAAGACCGAGTCATTAAATTGATGGTGTGAGGTCATATCGAATTGAACTCAACGCCATATAAATAACGGTATTGGCTATACTACAGGGTGTCATTTAAGTTCCCGCACAAAAGTTTGACGCCATGTAGAGCTTCGCTAACGCACTTTTCGTACACCAATACAATTTATTTTTATTGAACAAGGTATATTTTACTTACTTTCCAAGTTTCACCTCATTCGGATGTGCTTCCGAGAAACGGCGAAGGCTAACATCCATCGCGCTTCCATTATCGAACTTCATAAGCAAAATGTGAGCCCGAGAGACATCATTCAACGGGTCGGTGTGCCTTGTAGAACGGTTTATGACACCATCAAACGATTCAAGGAGCTAAATACGACCAGTGACCGTCCCAGACAAGGAAGACTCGTCTCAGTAACCACTCCTCAGAAGATCAACGCCGTCAAATCGAGGATCAGCCGAAACCCCCACAGGAGCATGAGAAAGATAGCGTCAGGCATGGGAATGAGCATCTTCGCTTTGGAACAAATCGTCAAAACGAAGCTTGTACTGACCCCATATCGTGTCCAAAAAGCGGCAATTCTATCGGCCGTCAACAAGCAGAGACGCTTCGAAAAAGCAAAACGACTTCTTGCTCGCACGCGGTCTGGACAAGATCTCGTCACTGTCTTCTCCGACGAGAAGCTATTCACTGTGGAGACGGCATTCTACTCACAAAACCATTGAGTACTTGCCCAGACATCCCAGCAAGCTTCTGAGAAAGGAAAAACAATTAATCGAGCCTCACATCCTGCCAGTGTGATGGTTTTCGGTGCCATCTGCTCAACCGGGATGTGTCCCCAGGATTTCGTGGATCAGGGAGTGAAAATGAACAAAGAAGTCTACGTTCGGGACATTTTGGAGAAGCATGTGATGCCCTGGACCCAAACGCATTTCGGTGGGCAGATATTGGTCTTTCAGCGGGACGGAGCACCCGCCCACACTGCCAAAACTACTCAGGAGTGGTGCCAGACCCATTTTCCCGACTTCATCAAGTCATCCGAATGGCCTGATTGCTCCACAGATCTGAAACCGCTTGACTTTTCCGTGATAGGGTCTTGCAGGAGAAGGTCAACGCAAAACCCCACTCAAGTGTAGAGGCTCTGAAGAGGACATTACTGGCGGAGTGGGACAATCTTTCCATCGAATACCTGCGTACCACAGTCACATCCTACCCGAAGCGTCTCCGTGAAGTCATAGCTGCGAAAGGAGGCCGAATCGAAAAGAGTTAATAGATAATTATTTGTTGTACTATAGATAAATAATATTTTGAGTCTCGTTTGATTTGGACTTTTAGTTTCAGAAATATACGTCTTCAAAGTTGTGCGGGAACTTAAATGACACCCTGTATATACATATATATATAGTCGCAGTCTGCTGTACGCGGGTAGATTTACGGGGGATGCTCCTTTTTCTTGGTCTCGCACGGACTAACGCAACGACGTTAGAAATTCCATGAAATGCGAAACTCATCAAGAAAAAATTAATTGCTCACACGTGGCGAGACCTTTTCAAAGGCGCATGCGCGTAAATCTTCCCGCCCCTATAATATGTGCATAGAAATTGAGAATCGACACACACCTTGTATGAAGGGCGGCGCATTTGTAAAAAGCAGCGACATTGATTGAAAGACAAGCGAAAACGGCAGTGAAGAGTATCAACGCAAGAAATCGGTGGGTTTCGGGAACAAATCTGAAAATGTCGAATTTTTTTGTTTCGTTTGGTTGGTTGCATTTCTTTAGTATTTAATTGTCAGACTTGTATAGTATTTAATTGTCAGACCATCTGTGAAACTGTCTTCAATAAAAATGCTTTATTTTTTCTTTTGCAACCACCAAATGGTTTTGCCTATTGAAAAAAAAAAAACCTCACCCAATAATGGAGACAAGTACGCCAACAAGTCCAACCGATAAACAATTGAAGAATAGCATTTTCGTACCCTCTGAGAAGCATTTGGCTTTGTCGCTGACAACGCCGGCGACTAGCTTAAGAGGCAGCGGAATGAATACAGCTAAAGCTAGGAAGAGGCCCGTTTGAGACACCTAAAAACCGATTGCCGAATCATTTGAATGAGGCACAAGCCGCATTTGGACATTGAACTTGAGAATTTTGTGAAAGTACAATGGAGCATAGGTGTGTAGGAAGACCACCATTGACATTTCGGTGTAAGCATTGAGCCAGATGCACAGGACGACAGGCGAGGTTAGAATTTTCTGGAAGCTCATAATAAATTGAGATTGTGCGAATTGGATCACTTTATATGGGACATCTTTGTTCTTGGTGTCCAAATGCTGCTCGGATTTGTTTTTTTGGATTTTCCGCAACTCCACCGCTGACACGCGACTCGACATCGTCGGATCATCATTGTACACAATGGCCCATAGGAAGAATGCGGCGGTGCCGAACATCGCGTGCAAATAGAACGTCGCCCTCCATCCGTAGCTCGAGCAAATCTAGATCCAACATTTTTTTTGTTGTCAATTTTGAAGTCTCCTACCAATCCCGAAACGGCGTTGGTAAACACCGACGAGAAATTGGTGAACATTGTCAACGCGCCAAGAAATATGGCGGTCTCGGAGAGCGGCGCCCATCGCACGGTGACGACACCGATGGCGGCGAAATCGGCCGAGAAGGCGATGCCCTACAGTACTGGCCATAAAGAATGTCCCAAATGGTTTATCGAGAGTAGACCATTAGTTCCTATTTTTTTACATGATATTGTACACACAATACGCATATTTGCAGCTCTTCTGTTTGCAGAAATGTGCGAAAAATTATTTTTTATAATTATTTTTTCGATTATTTCGTTTTTAATTTTTAAAATTTTTTTTCTGGAGTTACTTTTGCTATATAGGTATTTTTGCGGTTCAATCGGTTCAGAGAATCGATTTGCGCCAATGATCACACAAACGAACCTGACAGAATCGGGCGAATAGCAGCGCGAAGAAACTGGTCTGCGCAGCGACTGGGATGAACGCGGTGGCAATGATCGAAATGACGCCAGCCGAGAAGAATGTCCATCTGGAAAATGAATTGAATGAACAGAATCGAAATCATAAAATTTGACACCTACCTGCTTCCGTATCGAATGAATAGCCAATTGACTGGCATTGTGCCAAGAATGGTGCCGAAAGCGACGGCCCACATTAGGTATTTCTTCTCATCTGGTGAATAATCGAATAAGCTCGCCTGTCTCGTCTGGAAAATTGTTTTGTCATGGTCGGATTTCTTTTTTTTTGAGAATTTTTTGAGGAATTTGCGATTCCAAAATAAAATCAGATCATTCTCCCTCATTTTAATGTTCAGATTTCGCAAAAACCTAGGCCACTTCCACGAAGCCTACAGTACCACTGTTTCGCTGCAAGAATCATTACAGTTTATCGTAAGCGCCTTTAACCGTAACCATTTTATTTTTAAAATCCAAGTGTTTCGATTACGATTGCTATTATTTCTATTGTGATTAAAGGCACATGCATAAATTTTTATAATTCTTGCAGCGATTTAATTAAATAATTATACTGTAGACTTCGAATAATTTTTTAATGTTTTTTTTTTTAATTTTTTTTTTGCGAAGTCTGATAGCACCGTACTACGGAAAACCTATGGAATCGTTCTTTTTTGCAATTCTCATAATTAAAAAAATGCAAAAATCATTTTCCATACAGGACCCAAAGCGGCAATTCAGATTGAAAAAAGATTCGATTAAGACTTACCGAATTATTGGGATCATCTCGCGTAAAACTAAAATCATTTTTCATGCAAATAAAAGTGAAATTCAAAACGACATAATTGGAGCAAACGGCGACCAAACACAAGAATCCGGCGAACACCACCAGCGCGCGGTATTTGTGCGAAATGCACGACATTCTTCTGGAAACAAATTGAATTTATAGGTTCAATCAAAAAAAAAAAAATATATTTGTCTAATATTCAAGGACGATCACAAAAAATAAACCACTCCAACACAAATCAGAAAATTTGGCGGTGAAAAATGGGTGGGCAAAGCAAACGCGAAAAATGTTCAATCATTAGTCAAATTTGTCGAATCGATTGATAGGGATATCAATTTAAATTCAATTATTCAATTTGCGATGATATCATCCAATTTTCGCGTTTACTGTATTGAACTATTCGCATTAAATTTTACCAACATTTGGCCAAAAATCGGCAGATAATTGGCTCTCGATGTATTTACTTCGAAAGAGAGAGAGAAAGAGAGAGATATGCGCGGAAAACTGTTTAGTAATAGTGGGAATGCCTTTTTACGCATTTTCTCACTTGGAAACTATAAATTTGTAAGAAAATATTGGTTGAACAAAAAGAAAGAAAGCAGGGTGTGATTCTCTACGTGATTATTGCCAATGTGCGTCATTTTTCTTTTCAATTATGATTGCAATTAATTAAAAAAATGCAAATTGATGTTTTATTGATTTTTTAAATATAATTATTGGAGTAATCTTTAAATCAAAAATCTGAAAAATAGGTTTCATTGAAAATAATCAATTAATGTAGAGAAGATAAAAAATAAATATGATTATTTTTTTAATTTTCTCCGCATTTCCCTATAAATAGTCACAAGGCGTTTGTTCGGACCCTTCATTTTTATTCGGCCCATTCTTAAAATTTTCAAAAATTATTTTTTTTTAACCGAAAGATCTATTAAAATTTTGATTTTTCCATTTTTGAAGGTTTCAAAAAACAAAGTCTGCAAACAGTTATTTTTGCAAATTTCACTGGTCCATTGTACAATTTGTTTTTAAATTGTGGTTTCGATTTCCTGAAAAAAATTCGCATCGCTTCGACCGCCCCTTCAAAATTTATGAAGAAAAAATGATTATTTCCTATTTTGCTGGATTTTTTTTAAATAACCAAAGCATATTATGCTTATAATGGTTTTAATAAACAATTCCTGAATTTTTTATCCTTTTCGATTATTTTTTGTAACTATTTTTGTAAAACTTTGTTTACACATTCTGCACTTACAAAAAGAGGTATTGTTCGGTCAAAAAAAAATCGGACACATATTTTTAGTGGTTTGGTTTTTGTTGTTCAAAATGTTCATTTTATAATACGTTTCAAAAAATGCAAAAATTGCTGTCAGATAGCGTTGATGCTGATCATCAAACTTTTGCTTGAAGCCCTTTTTTCGTCGTCTGACTGCCTTCCGTCCATTCGGCTGGCTCGTCGGTGAAAATGAAATATGAAATCAGATTTGCCTGGAAAAAAAACTTGAATCAATGACATTCAAGAATACGTTGACTACCAGAATCATTAAAGATCCTAGAATGAGATAGACCCATTTCCATTGTTGTCGGTTTGTGTCATCAGTGACGAATAGAGATACTAAAGCAGGTGCCGAGAAGAGCGCGAGACATTTGGTCCATTGAATTGCGGCGATCACAACATGCGAAAATTGTCTGAAAAGCCGACAATGTGGAGATTTCGATTTGAAAACAAAATTCTCGAAATCAACTATTAAAATTGGGTTGATCTTATTTTGTCTTTGTCTCAATGTCGTCAGACGCGTTGCGGTCCGCGTGCGGTTAAATTCAATGTTTTTCTTCACAGATCAATCCATATTTCGAAATTTCGTGATCTTTCTTGCATTACAAATCGATTACGGCGATTCCAGAAAATTAGCCAACATTGAAAACGAAACACACGCGACCGCACGCGAACCGCAACGCGCGCCTATCAAAAACCCGACGGACCTTGCATGCAACACTCCGCATTTGTAGAATCCTCCGCAATTCAATCCGATGCAGCACATGCATGCGATAAAAGTCGCCAATGATAAGTATTTGTTCTCTTTCGGAATGAATCTGTAATGATGAATTATGGTCCTATACAGATTTTGGATCAGAAAATAAAAAAAGAAGCTGGTTTAAAAATCGCACAAAAATTTCACGGCCAGATTTTTCGAAACCACAGTGCCATTCAAATACGATATGCCGTACTGCGAAAAAATCGATCGAAAAAAATCTATTGTTTCTTCCTTTTTTAATTTATTTTTTTCGAACTTTTAAACCTTAAATCTTAATAAATTAAGATCGAAGACTGACAAATGAATGATATTTGCGAGAAAATCCAAAAATTATCTCTAATTCGCAAAACACTGTTGGTTTGGCGGCAATTCAAACGCCTTTCTCATTTCAATAAAATTTTGCGCAGACTTTCGACGTACTCTTACAAGCAATATTTTTACCTCCAATTTTGGAAAATCATTGAAACTTTGCAGACTTCAATTAGAAGGTTCCGAGTGTCATTTGGACAAGCGGTTACACCGCTCGGCGCAGAAAGAAAAGCGTAAACTGCATACGACCCGGATCGGGGGCGGGGGTGGGTCAGTAAAAAAATTCGCGAGCCGCAACGACACTCCATGTTTACAGCGAGGCCTTTGTTTAGAGTTTCGAATTGCATTATTTTGAGTAGAATTAATTGTTCTTGGAACAAAAGTTGCTCAGAAGTCCCCAAACAAAATTGATTGAACCGGCTTCCACTGTTTTTGTTTCGTTTTCGATTTTTTTAATAATAAACTTTTCTTCAAAAATCTATTAGCAGGTCGAGCGGGTCCGGGTGAAAATTTCACCGACCCGTAATAAAATTAATAATTTTTTTGTCATTTTCAAAGTGGATTTATCACATGCGCCTTTAACCGTAACATTTTTTCGCGATCTTATTTTTCAAATCCGAAATATTCTATTTCAGTATTCCAAAATCGCTATATTATTATGAAAGTCGAAAAAAAAGTACCCAATAATAGCGAAAAGTGTTCCAGATATTCCAACAGCTACCGTATTGAAGAACATGATTTTCAGCTTCTCATTAATCGACCTGAATTTCTCATGTTGTTCTATTCAATTCTCGAATCGCACTTGATCTTATCCGAAAGAACCGCAAAAATGAATCGCCCGGGAATATACAGGAAAAGCACAAGAGCGACATAGAAACCAGTTTCTGTGACCTGCCGAAAAAGGAACATACAATAACCGCCAATTGAGTGGTTTCAAATCACCCCAAAGCCAAGAACTTGATTGAAATAGATTGGCATATAGCTTGTGAATAAAATAACCGCCGACATCTCGAAGAACGCGTTCATCCAGACGCACCAAATCACCGGACTTGTGACGATTTTCTGGGATCGAATCAATCCGCTTATTATCTTTTTTATTGAATGAACCTTATATGGAACTGGTGCATTTTTGTCCAAATGAGCCTCAGATTTGTTTTTGTGAATTTTGGAAATCTCGCGATCGCTGACCCGTCGGCCATCCTGCGGATCATCAATGTAAATCCATGTCCAAAGAGCGAACAGAATTGCGCCGGCGATGGCGTGAAAATAGAACGAGTATTTCCATCCAAGCGAGCTTTCGCAAATCTGCAATTCGATCAATTCAAATCGAATCATTTTGATTGTCGCGTACCACGCCGGTTATCGAATTTGTGATTGTTGAGGCGATTCCGGTGAACGATGTGAAGACCGCGAGAAATGTTGCCGTTTCGGAGAGCGGCGCCCAACGAACGGTCATCAGGCCGATGGCAGCGAAATCGGCCGAATAGGCAAGACCCTGAATAGAGGCATTTCAAAATTAATTCTTGTTTCTCGATTTTATTTTTGAGGGTGTACGGTACACACTGCGGTGTATGCACACACACACGCGAGTTGACGCGCACATACAAAGTTTTAAGGATTTGTCATGGTTTTTGAGTTATTGCTTGATATCATCGCGTTGTATTTTAGTGATAGCGTAACTAGATATTATTTGTTACATAATTTATTTAGTATATATTTTCTTCTAACTTTGATATTGCCGATTGAGAAATATTCGATATGTTGTGCTTTCTTGGCTGCTAATTCAATATTCTACATAAATTTAAAGTATAAACGCGGGCATCAAATCGTTGCAAAAGGAATTCACATTTTAATACCAATATTCCATATTTTGAAGAGGAATTTGATAAGAGCATTATATCAATTTTCAAATTATACTATGTTTAAAAAATTTTGAAATAAAATAACTATTTGAAAAACGTGCATTTCTTTTGCAATCGCCCAATAAAAAAAGACTGCTACCTGAATAAATCTGAGAAGAAGCAAGAGGTATAAGCTGATAGAAGCTGCCAGTGGAATGAGTCCCGTAGAAAATACTGACGCCAGTCCGGCAATTAAAAATGGCCATCTGAAATAATGAATGGATGGGCAAATTTTGAAACTCGTTCCAACCTTGCTCCATATTTGACATAAAGCAGATTGATTGGAATGGTGCCAATGATTGTTCCCGCAGCAACCGACCACATAATCCATTTCTTCTCTGTCGCATCATAATCGTAGGCGCTTCGAAGTGTCTTAAAAAGCATGTGGTAAAGCAATTTATAGCATTGAAAAAAATAAACAAACCCCATTTTCTATGACAGTTTGCGACATATCATGTTTCATGCAAATAAATGTGAAATTGATGACAATATAATTCGAGCATATCGATGACAAACAAGTGAATCCGATGAATAAAACAATAAGTCTTAAAAAATATATTATTTGAGGGCATATGAATATATTTACCTGTAATAGTGTCCCCAAAAGGCCATTGCTGTAACCTTCTGAAAATAGAAAGTTTTCAACTGAATTGTGCTGGTCTATTATTCAAATTTATATCGGATTTTCGGCAGTTTTGGTATTACAAAACCACGTGGTTGCGAACAGTTTCAGACGATTTGAAATGTTAAAACGAAATGATCCAACTGGACTTTATATATTAGTTGTCTTGGGTTCAATTAGTTCAAGATACTGATCACAACGGAACGAAGATCGCTTGTTGATGCATTGGAAACGGGCATGGAGGACATGTGATTGCAAATCTTCTGTGGTTTTGTTTTGGTGGCTTGAAGCAGAGTTCATATCGTATCTTCAGCAAAAACAAGAATAAATACCATGCAATCATCACGGGGTTCTGAATGCAAGTCGCGGGGAATGAAACATGCTGCTATCATACGCCTTTGGATGAGGTGTACTGTACTTGTAGCTGTGTATCTCGCTTTGTATTTTGTGTTTTTCACCCGAAATAAATTCAAAAGGTGAGTCTATTTTTGGAGAAATTGGCGGATTTGGGCGAAATTGTTTTCCAATATTTTTTATCGATTTCCAACTAAAATTAAATTCGGGCGGCCGCGGCCGCAAATAATTCGGCCATGGCATATGCGCAATTATTTAACAATGTTTTATTTATTAGCTATAGCTGAATATTTATGAGTTTTTAAAGAATATTTTGACAATTGCTTTTAAAAACATATTAAATATATGAAAAATAATTAAATTTTTAGATAATATCGAAAACCATGCGAATAATACGACTGAAATTGAAGATTTTAAATGTACGGGGTTCTATTTCTAATATTGCCTAATCAATACGCTACAAGGCACCTAAAATTCGCTATAAAATTAAAGCTTTATATTAATTATTTTTAATTAGCTTTTTAAAAACTCAAAAAGCACGAATAGAAGCCCTAGATTATTGAATTAATTTACTTCTTAAATAAAATTATAATATATGTGTATGTATTTTTCGGGCCCTACTGGTTGCTAATTCGATTTGTGATTTCAGTTGGTAATTTTCGGATCCGATTGGTTTTGAGCTACCAGTAACCTTCAGCTATTTATCAAAAGGCATTCCATACGATCGCCGTCCATGGCCGCGAATTATTCGGCCATGGCATTTTCCACGTCCACTATTCAATTTCTGCATTTATTTTCTTATTTTGCCAATTCCTTTATTTAATGAAAAAATAGTTAATCAAAATTGAATTCAGAAAAAATGCAAAGAATATTGTTGGATAATTTGGATGCTATATTCAGGTAATATTGTTTTTGAAATAGGCGGGACCCCGTTTAATTGGACCTCTCAAACGCTGAAATAGGAACATTTTGTCAATAAAGAACTGTATTTTATTAGGTATGTGCAAAATAAATGAAGAGTGTGTGTAAAAAATGACTATGAAGTATAGTCGGCATCCAGCGACTGCTGTACGCGGGTAGATTTACGGGAATGCCCCTTCGAATTGGTCTCGCAAGGACTAACAGGTTATTTTAAATTTTGTGGACCGGTTCGACAATTTTTTAATCGACTGACGTGGGAAATTCAAGGAAATGAAAATCATCAAGAAAAATGAAGCAGTTCACGTGAAAACAGCAAAATAAGCATTCACGCGTGGCGAGACCTTTTCAAAGGCGCATGCGCGTAAATCTACCCACGTACAGCAGTCGTCGGACGCCGACTATATGGCTCTTAAATTAAGCGAGGTTTTCAACACAACACATACACACCCACGACCAACCATCGCGGCCGCCGACTTGCTACACATACAGTAGCAATCTCCTTTCAACTTCAACATGAGAGACAATGCGTAAATCAAATTGAAGGCAAAATTATTTACTAGTATTGCCGTGGACGGACGAATTTGAGAAATTTGAATTTCGCGGGTTGTCAATTAATTGGTCGCATGAATCGAAATGGACTTCTTCGCCAAAATTTGGCACGTTTGTCAAATGAAATAAATTTTAAAAATTACGGGATCTCTCAAAACAAAAGAAGAGCTAGAATATAGAAAACTTGCACCTAAAAGTGTTTCCATATGAGACCCAAAGGCGGTAATTCAAATTTGAAATCAATTCCCTAAAATTGACCGCCCACGACAATCAAAATATCAATGATTCATATATGTCGAACAATACCAATAAAAATATAAAATTATATGAAATATTAATTTCGACGATTAAAAGTTGTTCAAAACTCGATTCCCACAATTTTGTCGTCAAGACTAAACAATGTTTGCCGCACGAGGAAGTGATTCGAATGCCTTCAAGGAAGTATATCTAATCGAAAGGAAGTTGTCTCAATGCCTTTATAAAACCTTCTCAATTATTTTTTTAATGTGTTCTCGATGTATTCAAATTTTATTAGCATTCAGTTTCATCGGCAGATACTTTATCATAGACTTTCGGCTCTGTCCATGAAGCCGGCTCATCGGTGAAAACGAATAATGATAGGACGCATGACTGAAACATGTGGGCAATAGAAGAGCATTATGCAATTGTGCGAACATACCAAAACCAAAGCAGCTCCAAGCGACGCAAATACGGGAATCCATTGCTCGCGATGCGAATCGTTTGAGACGAATAGTGCGACGAGGCCGGGTCCCGCGAATAGAGCAAGACATTTGGTGAATTGAATTGCCGCGATTACGACATGTGCAAATTGTCTGAAAATATGTTTTGTTTGGTTGCCTTCAATTTAAGATAATTTTCATTAAATCTCACCCACTATTTTATTTTGTTTTAGTTTCTTTATAGTCGACGTCCGTCAACAGCTACTCTCGGGTAGATTTACGAAGATGCTTCTTTCTCTTGGTCTCGTGCGGACTAATTATTTAATTTGCATTTAAATTTGGTGGGTTTGATAATTTTTTAGTCGAATGACGTTGGAGACAAAAAAATTAACGGTTCACGTGAAAATCGTTCAAACGTGGCGAGACCATTTCGAAAGGAGCACGCGTAAATCTACCCCGCGTACAGGATGCCTACTTTACTAAGGTAGAGAAAAAAAGAAAAAATATTTTTTTGAATTTAAATTTTATCCAATTTTTTATTATGGCTTTTTAATGACATGGATGTGGGAATTTTAAAATTTGTGAATTTCACTTGCTGTCGTCAAAATGGTCCCGTAAAATATGGGGTCCATACTCTTCAAAATTTTTATCAATAATCAAAATATTGAATTTCAATTTTTCAAAATTAGTTTCTCGCTTCCATACCAAGGCGGCAATTCGAAAAAAAAAATCGCGCCATCAAAATGGTCCGATTATAATTATATGTACGTATAAGAAAATTTAAGATTTGATAAAAAAAAAATAAAAATTCAACGCGAAAAAATTACATCCACCTAATTTGGCTTAAAATTTTAAAGGATCTCTTAAATCGAAATCTGAAATTTTTTCTTCAACTAATTTTTGGGTTATCATCTTTCTCCCTTCAAGCATAGTTAAAAGAACCAAACAAACATGGAACAACGAAACACCGGAAATTCCTTATTTGGTCTTCACGTGGTACCTTGCATGCAATGTACCCGATTTATAGAATCCTCCACAATTCACTGCCATACAATGGAAACAAATGAATAGTGTGAATAAGCAAGCCATTCGGTTTTCCTTTGGGAAAAATCTGAAAGCAACCAACAAAAAAATAGTGGTCCCGATTGATTTTCTTACCCGATACTAATAAGAATCAAGCCCGAAACTCCAACCGATATTGTATTGAAAAACAAAATTTTCGCCTTTTCGGTGAACATTCTGAAAATGTTGCCAAAATAAATGTTTTTCTTAAAGGCGCAGGGCATCGCATCGAGACCTCTCTCTCTCTCAATTTTATGTAATTTATTACTTTAATTTATCGCTTAATAGTGCCGCTACAAGCCTTAAAGGAATATTGATTCCCAACAATAAGCCGACGTAAAATCCAGTCTCGGTTACCTAGAAATTGATGAACCTTTAAATACTGGAATTTAAAAAAATTCAAATTTACACCAAATCCAAGCACTTCGTTGAAATAAATCGGCAAGTATGTTGCGAAAAGGATGAGAGCAGTCATTTCGAAAAACGCATTCATCCAAACGCATAGGATAACCGGACTTGTGAAAATTTCCTGAAAATGCCATATCATAGGCAGGGTTGTGTAATCCGACAATTCCATCACAGGCACTACTCACCTTATAGGGTATTCACTACTCACCTTATAGGGTATTTACTACTCACCTTATAGGGTATTCACTACTCACCTTATAGGGTATTCACTACTCACCTTGTAGGGTATATCAGCCTTCGAGTCCAAATGCGCGTCAGACTTATTTTTGTGGATTTTACTCAACTCTTTCTTCGTGACATTTCTCGCATCCTTCGGATCATCGATATAGAAATGAGTCCACAGTGCAAACACAATGATCGAGGCGAGCGAGTGGCCATAAAATGAGTAGCGCCATCCGAGTGAGCTCTCGCAAACCTATAAAACACGCGTGTCAATGAATATCGAGTGGAGGGCATTTTTCAAAATTCACTAACAATTCCCGTCACCGAATTTGTGATCGTCGACGAAATTCCGGTGAAGCACGTGAGAAGTGCGATGAACAGAGCGGTTTCGGAGAGCGGCGCCCAGCGAACTGTCATCAAGCCGATGGCGGCGAAATCGGCCGAGTAAGCGATGCCCTAATATCAGGCCGAATTTTTTTTTGTTTTCAGCAGCTTTTTCCATTCAAATACCTGCATGAAGCGTAAAAATAGAAGAACTATCCAATTAGTTCGGGCGGCATATGGTATGCAAAACGTTGAAGCTGCTGAGATGATCCCTGCCAATAAAAATGGGTACCTAAATCGGCAACTCTTTTTGTCTTCAATCAAAATTGGCCTTTAAGACCAACCTTGCTCCATATTTGATATAAAACATATTAACGGGAACTGTTCCTATAATGGTCCCGGCTGCTACGGCCCACATTATCAGCTTCTTCTCATCGGTGGTATAATCATAAATACTTCGAGTTGTCTATTTTGTTTTTCATCAAAAATTTGAAATTCGATTTAATCAATTCTCACCCCATTATATTGATAAGTGTCCGAGAAATCGTCTTTCATACAAATGAATGTGAAATTGATTAAAATATAGTTGGAGCAAACTGATGATAAGCATAAAAATCCAATAATTAATATAAGATATCTGAAAACGTGAGGGCTTTGATTACAAAATCAAAAAATGATGAAACAAGCGGCAATATAGCCGCAAAAAAATAGTACCTGTATCGATTAGTGAACAACGACATTTCGAAGATTTGCTGGCCAGATGAAATGATCTAAGATGTTTCGACCAAACAGTCATCGTAATTACAACATTGCCACCTTTTAAACGTTTTCTGAACAGGTAAATCAACTAATTGAACTTGATCTTGTCGAAAAAGAACTGATTTTGCAACGGGATTGAAAATTTTTGTTAGCTTATTATATTCAGAAAAGCTTTCTTTCCGGCGGCCGCGGCCGCGAACTATTCGGCCATAACGAATTTCACGTCCGTCATTATTTCGAAATTTTTTATTTATGAGTTTTCTTTTTTTGATGATTTCTTTTAAAAACACATTGAATATATTTAAAAAATAATAATTCAAATTTTAAATGAAAATTTAAAAAATTGCGAAAAAATCAAATTTTTGGTTTGATTTATCATTATTGAGTTGCCGCTTTTTGGTCTCATATGGAAGAACTTTTAAAAACGAGTTTTTTTTAAATAATAATTATTATTATTTTGAGAATTTCGATTCCTAGCAAAAATGGCAAATAGTCAAGTATAAATCGATGAAATTTTAAGGGGAGAGAAAAATTCCACAAAATTAAAAATTTCAAAAAAAAACCAAATTTGACTTACTTTTAAAAATATTCAAAACAAAATCATTATTAACAATTGGTTTCCGTGGCATCTTGAACTTTGCCTCCCGATTCGGTGGTTTCAGTCCATTTCGCCGGCGCGTCGGTGAGGAAGAACAATGAGACAATGCTGACCTGTAATTCGATAGTCGACATCTGCACTGAACACGACGTACAATTATCATGGGTGCGCCGAAAACAATGAATACCGGAATCCATTGGGATCGATTCGAATCATCGACGACAAAAAATGCGACAACGGCCGGTGTGACAAATAAGGAAAAACATTTGGTGAATTGAATCGCCGAAATGACAACATGAGCGAATTGTCTTAAAACAATTTTTGAGAGGTAATATGAGTATTATTGAAAAAGCATGATCTACCTTGCATGAAGGGCAGCGGCTTTATAGAATCCTCCGCAATTCAATGCAATGCAAATCATGCAGATGTTCAAAATAATCACACATGTCGTTCTTTGGTCCTTTGGGAAGAATCTGAATCTGGCGTTTTCAATTTCCCTTTTTTCGCCAATTCTTATCAGACCCAACAGTTATCAGAAGCAGTCCGGCGAACCCCACCGAAATCGTGTTGAAAATTTGGATTTTTAGTTTTTCGGAGCAAATTCTGAAAAAAAGAAGAGGATGCGCCGATTGAAAGACCGCCCGAAATTCTTCACTTAAGCTTATCGCTTAAAAACGCAGCAGCAATCCTGAACGGGATATTGATTCCTAGCAAAATTCCGACCAAAAATCCGGTTTCAGCAATCTGGAAAATCAAACCGCAATTTGATATTTGTTTTTTTTTCTTTTCTTTTTTTTTTCAAATTCACCCCATATTCCAAGACTTGATGGAAATAGATTGGCAGAAACGCGCTGAATAGCATCACGGTGCAAACTTCAAAGAATGCGTTCAACCATACGCACCAAATGACGGGACTCATGAATATTGCCTGAAAATTGGTCCCCAACATATGGGGCGCGTTGCGGCTCGCGTGCGGTCCCACGAATTAATGGATTTTGCCAATTTCTCCCTAAACGGGGACTTGCATTTAAATAGAGCTGACTTCGGCCGCGGCCACCACTTCACTGGCTATCGCCCGATTGCATTGTGGCGTGTCGTCTCTTCGTTCTGCTCGCTCTCTCGTACGCCGCCTCGTCTTCTCGCCCCTCTCTCATTCCCACACTCTCTTTCTTTCAATTTATAGTTTTTTTTTGGCAATGTCATTAAGCTTCCAGTCATGTATAATTGTACGCACACGAACCGCAACGCTCCAGACGACATAGAAACTTCCAATGATATAGTATATTATCGAATTCGCGCGATTGCGAATGGCAAAGTCTACTGTAGAGTTAGGGTCTCGCAACATGAGTGTCGATTTACGCCACATGGTGCACAACTCGCGTCCCGTCGCCTCGAGACCATTTTTGGCCGGGCGATTTCAACAGCAGTGCTATTGAATTTTTGACTAGCCTTGTAAGGGACTTCATCGTTCTTGGCAAAATCCGTTTTGTTCTTGAGAATTTTGTCGAGCTCTCGTGCCGAAACCCCATTTGAATTTTTCGGATCATCTGCGTACAAGTAGGTCCAAAGTGCGAATAGTATGAAGCAGGCTGCCGAATGATAGTAGAACGAGTGTCGCCATCCAAGAGTGCTCTCGCATATCTTAAAAAAAACAATTTCCCAATTCGTTCGCCGAACATTATCTGTGATGTTTCATCTCTTTATGAGATCTCAATGGTTTGCAAGGCCTTACAATTCCCGTCGCCGAATTTGTAATCGTTGACGAGATGCCGGTGAAACAGGTGAGAAGCGCAAGAAACAGCGCGGTTTCGGAGAGCGGCGCCCAGCGAACTGTAATAATGCCGATGGCGGCGAAATCGGCCGAATAGGCGAGACCCTTGAAATTCGCAATAATATGAGGGGGGGCCGCGATTTTGATCTACCTGTATGAATCGAATAATGAGTAGAACTATAATTCCCGCTTTCGCAGCCATTGGGATAAGGGCTGTCGAGATTGCTGATGTTATTCCAGCGGCCAAGAAGGTTGACCTGTTTTTTTTTATCAAAATCCAATAATTCAAAATTAATCAATTAAGTACTTGGCACCAAATTGAATATACAGTAGATTCATTGGAACTGTTCCTATAATGGTCCCGGCTGCTACGGCCCACATAATCAGCTTCTTCTCATCGGTGGTATAATCATAAATACTTCGAGTTGTCTATTTTGTTTTTCATAAAAAATTTGAAATTCGATTTAATCAATTCTCACCCCATTATATTGATAAGTGTCCGAGAAATCGTCTTTCATACAAATGAATGTGAAATTGATTAAAATATAGTTGGAGCAAACTGATGATAAGCATAAGAATCCGAGCACAAGGACCAGGAAGCTTGAAATAGAAAAATGACAATTTTGACAAAAAGAAGCTTGAAAATATTACCGATATCGATTTTTGAGCAAAATCATTTTTTTTTTTGGAATGAAGTGAAGTCGAAATTCGGCAAATATTGTAAAGGAAAACCCATCATGTTCTATCACAAAAACTTAATCTAATACATCAGCTCCACCGGAAGCCGTGGGCGACCGGTAGCTGATGTAATCCTTATCACTCTGTTATTAAATTCTTTATTAAATCCTTTATTAAATTCTTTGATTGTAATGCACCATATATAAACCCCCATAACTATCAATCTAGGCTCTCTTTTTCCTTCTTTCGTGAGTCGCACATGCCGGCTCCGATTTTACCAACTCTCACTAACACGATCCACCTCCAAATTGTTCGAGATTTCCCCACTTTAATGAAGAAATAAAACAGTATTTTCTTCGAGCGTTATGTTATTTCTAACGTCTATTAAAAGTGAGTGAGAAATAAAGGGAAGCACCGCCCTGCCACTATTCGGCAGGACGGCAGCTTTTTAACCCCTTTACTATATGTATTTGATGATCAAACTATTCCAGCTGGAACGTGTCTTGAACTGTTCGCCGACTTTTATACTTTAAATTGAACACGAAATACTGTAAATTTATGTAAATGTCGAAAATTTATGAATTCGAGACATAATCTCGTTGTGAACAAAAAAAATCGAGTCTGAACGATTTTTTTGGCGCGCATTTATAATGTGAACTTCTAATTCAAAAGATCATTTCAATTGGTTCGCTTTTTTTTGTCAGTTCATTGAAATCAAATAATTCCTTTTATGGATCTATGAATGCAGTGAAAAATGAATTTTTCATTTCAACTTCCTAAAAATTGTCTGTTTCAAACGAGTGGTCGAATTTTGACAAACATTTTTTGACTGTGTGCCGTGGTTTATCGAGGCAATGAGATTGCGTACCTTGCATTTTATCTTAATATCCAGGCAATTCTACTGTCGGTGCGATATATCGTAATTCTCAGTCAGTTTTAAAGACGCAGGAAGTTGAGTTGCCCGGGTCTCGCCTCAATTTTACTACTATAGTTTTTCAGCTTTAATTCCCGTGTTAGTTTTTTCATAAAAGTCAAATTTCGAGCCATTGTGCCAAAAAAGCCAAAAAAAAGCCATTGTGTTAATAAATTTTTGAAAATGTAATAGCAAAGATTTCGCCTGCCCCTTTAAAAATGAATGACGGGAAATTACGATATAGTGCATCAACTTTTTTTGGAGTGTAACATCAAAAATCATAAAAATGGAAACTAGTTTAAAAACATCGAAAAAATCAAAAGAAGAGCGAATATTCGATGTCAACATCATATGTATTGTCGTCAAATAAAATGCAAGTCCGCAGTGTCATTTTCAGTTACAATTCGAAATTTCAACGTCCTCTTTATATGTCGTTTGTTATCTAGCAGGCTTAAATAATAATTCGAGACAGAAAATCCATAAATAAGCAATCAATTAAAATATTTGTGAATTTATTTTTTTAAATGTTTATGCTATGCAGATTTTAAAATGAAAATTCAAAAAACCTGTTTTCTTTAATTATTTATAATCAATATCGACATAATCAAAATCGCACAATATAAAAAAATAATTAAATCATATTAATATTATTATTATTACAATTATAATTTAAAATATATATATATATATACATATATACGTTTTACGAGAGTCGTCGGGCGACGCGGAACAACTCTTGATCTGTCATAAAATCGGCCCTAGCGGATTTGAATTCGCATCGAACTGTGAAGCCGACCTCCGATTCGCGGCATCTAAACCATCATATATTATAGATGTCAAACGAATAAACGACATTTAAAAGATTATTGGCTATGTGCCAAGGCAACGAATTGTACGCGAGACTGCGGACATTTCATTATAGTGTACGCGCATTTAATTTTCAGATAAATTTAAATATACACTGAAAATTGAAAGCCCCGCAGACAATATATTTTTCGAAATTCCAACCTTCCCGATCTCCACATATAAAAGCTATCCTCTCTTCTCTCAAGTCGATAGGTGGTGTGAGTGAAGCATGACTTGTGACGTTGCGGATAGACAGTGATCCTGAATTATTCCACTAATCGTTGGATTATCTTTTTTTCTGTCTGGCACCTGTATGCCGTATCGGCGCCTGGACAGAGCACGTCACAGTAGTTTTTTGGCTCTCCGTTAACGGTTTCCTAGAAAATGGAAAAATTGCCGATTTTTGATTAGATTTACCAAATTCATAAAAAATGAATTCATAGCACCATCGCATTTTTTCGAGGCGGTAATTCAAAATCGAATTCAAACAGCGGGAATTCGGATACCGATAGCAAACTCGTCGTAAAGGATGCTCGGTTTTTTTTTTGCGATTGTAATAATTCAAATTTCTAACAATCAATTTTTCTGTTAAATTTGTCTAATAGCTATTCATTGAACTGTAGAAACCCTACTTGATCTCGATTTCAATGGTTCTGGGTTCGACTTTGCTCATCAAATATCAAGCGCTTAAAAAAGTATTTAAACTACTCTTTTCAAAAAAGCTGAAAATCGGCCAGTTTTGCTTTTCAGATTCACCATGAATATTGAGAATTCGATTGGGCGTTCGACATTTTTTTGAATTCCCGCCTCGGTGGTTTTACCGAAAAAACAAGAATGAGCTGCCAATTATAGAAAAAAATTTCGTCTTGAATTCCAGACAATTTTTGTTTTCCAAAAAAATGCCGAGCTACCTCGAAACACGTGTTGAACGGCACCGTCCTTGGATTCGGATCATTCTCATCTTCTTTCAGCTGAAGTTCACATGTTGACGCCTGTCCAGACACGTCATTCGGCGTCGGTTTACAGCGAATCTCACGCCATTCTGCACCCAATGATTAAGAATAACGTTTGCCAAAAAAATTGGTTCCACTTACGCCAATGGACGGTTTCGGCGGCGGCGGAGACGAAAAGAGCTAATAGGATGAGACCACGCATGATGCGGATATTCGAAATCGAATGATCCAAACATATTTATAAGTTTGCATATCTTGATCGAACACCATATAATTAGGTCGCTTAAGCGAAAGTTTTACGAATGCAAAACAATGCGAAATCATGATAATGGCGACGATTCACGTGTATACACAAAAAACTGGTCGTAAGCTGACATATATGGCAAATGATGATGCTCAAACACACATATAAACACACACGCGAGAATGCAAATATTGAGTGTGGGCGAAATGGACAGTGTGTGAATTACATCGAACTTGACAAATAAGGGCAAAAAAATGATTCGAAATGAATTTTTGAATTTTGAATGTTGGAAAAATTGAAATGTTTAGGCGAAATTTTGAATAGCCAATAATTTTTTTAATTGAAGGTTCCTACAGAATAATTATCCAAAAAATTTTTGAATTTTTATTAATTTCACTTTCGGCTGTTTAGAAAATTTATTGAAATTATGAAGAAGCTCAATTTAATTGTGAAATTAAAAATGTAATAATTTATTACAGGCGCATAGTTAAGTTGGGTGTTTTGGCAGAAGTAAACCAAAATGTGTGCAATTTTGCGTGCATGTGTATGACACTTTTGCGACCGCAATTTTCGAATTTTTTTTTCGCCAAACCAAATTTTTTTAAAAACTACCCCCTGGGCATGTCACAACGATTTTTTTATAAACTGATTATCTACAAATAAAAAATGCTGTTTCACAATTAGTAGAAATTCTCTGATTGCTTATTTCGGAACGTCTTCATTGTCCAATTATTCATAGCAATTTCATTCCATATGCAAAAAAGCAAACACTCGTAAATAATCGAATCCCGAATTCCGGTACAACGTGGGAGAATTGCTTCGCTGATATCATCAAGAACCGCACCTTGTTTCCGCATTTGCTCAAATATAAAAGGGCGATGAATGATCGGAGCCGACTCATCGAGCATCGTCGCCATGAAACCATCGACCCTCATTGTCTCCGTACTACTAATCATCGCAGTAGCGTCGAAGACAGTGAAGCGATCCAAACGTCAGCTTCAAGTGTATTACATGTGCAATGGAGCTGTCTCGCAATATCGTAAGTTCTCTTCTTATTTTTCCTTGACTCTAGACTTTCAGCTTGCAACAATAACAACTACAACCCGTACAACAATTGTAATAACAATAATTGCTATGGAGTGTCCATTCCAAACTCCTTCAACTATCCAAACTACAATTGTAATTCGGGATGCAATAACTTGAACTGCAATCAATATAATGGCCAGTGGATGAATGGGTTCGTTGGATGATTCAATATGTAAAATATTTATTTGTTAGGCAATACGTGGCATATTCAACGTCATCAAACGTCTACTCGCCATGCGCAAGCTTGTGCTGCTCCAACAATAATATTAACAGCAATTTTGTTAATAATGGATGGAATAATAATAATAATATCTATTTGCCGTATGGCAATCAAAATGCGGTAGGAATTTTTTGAAAGCGCTTGAAAAGAGTTTTTGGTTTGCAGTTGAACAACATGGGAAATACGATGTTCACCGGAACTTATGAAAATGGAGGTAAAGCTATATTTTGAGGGTGAAATGGTCCCGCACCGATTTTGTAAAATACCTAAAATGTATTTTTAAAAATAATTTTGCTCGTTTGGACTATGATGGTTAATTTAAACAAAACTCGCTTCTAAGGGGTTTTCCATATGAGACCAAACGGCGGCACTTCAAAACCTTCAACATTTTTTTGCAGTGTACCTTTGCGGTGGAACCGAGCCGTCCGGCGGAATTTGCCAGGCCAACGGCGTGTGCCCGTCGGGACATTCATGCGTCTCCGGCAACGTGTGCTGCCGTTGTCCGGTGGGCGCGAGCGCCGGCAACTGCCAATTCAACGCCGATTGCGGAGCAGGCTACTATTGCTCGCCGACGAATTACTGTTGTCCGTCGACGGTCACTCCCGGCAAAGAATTCGGACCGTGTTTGAATGGCAATTGTCCGAGCGGATTCAAATGCGGTGTTGGCAATATTTGCTATCCCGAATCCTTCATTTTCTAAGTTTTTGTTTTCTCGTTTTTTTTTCTTGTTTTCAATTTAGAAATTTTATTATTCAATAAATTATGGTTCTAAGAAATGAATTCTAACAGCTTATCGCAAAATAAATGCAGGTTTCCAAGAAATATTTCTAGAAGCCACAAAAATGAGAATTTTCAAGACTGCTGTCCTAACGACAAGTCTGGCCCGATATCGAAATTCGAAAACCTGAATTTCTTTTGAAACAGTCATAATCATGCATATTCATGTGTTGGGCTTCTTTAGCCCTTCGGGATAATTCACATCGCAGCCCGATTTGCCGAACTCCGGCACGCGAATTCCGAAATAATGCCGATGGTCCCAAATGTACTCCTTGATCTTTCCATAATAGAATTTGAGTTTGTCGGAACAACGAAAATCCTCATTGATCGGCGCACCAACGCATTCCATATAAGGCGCTTCTGGAGATTCGGGCTCATTCGTCATTCCGTTCGGATACCTTGAAAAAAGGCAATTGATCACGCGAGAAATGAGAATTCGAGATGACCATATTTCAGTTCCGTGATGATATCGCCGATTGTTGAATTCGGCGTCGCAAGCCCTCGAATTGTGATCGACGGCTTCTTTGCTTGCATTTTTCAAGCAAGCTGGAAAATGTGGCACAATGTCTTTTCGATATACAACTCGATAGCTGAAAAATCGTATTTGCTATAATCCACAAACGCGCTCTATAGAAATGTCTCGTTGTATAGCACCCTCTCCCTCTCCCTCTATCTATTATATCTTTTCGCCTCTTTTCTTCTCTGTGTCTCTCACATGTCGCAATCTTTCTTCTCTCTCTACGTCTCACAAGTATCACATTCTTTATCTCTGCGTCTCTCTATATCAAGGTAATCTCACATCAGTGTGAAAAATGATTGTCTCGAACCTGTTTGGAACCAGCTGATCATATATCATAGCGTACTCGAAATTTCCAACCCGCGGTTGGCCGAATGTCACAACTTTGATATCATTTCCAGATCGATAGCCTAAAAATGAACCTTGCAGCTGATTTTTTGAGACAAACTCGAAAATCCGGGAAAAAAAAACTAGATTTTCGTCTTCTCATTTTCAATTTCTACAAAAATTTTGTACATAAAATTCAAGAGAGCGACGGGCTAAGTTTAACGGTCCATGTATAGCTAGAAGCTCGCGCAGCTAGAGACCTACATCGCTCGATTGGAAATTTGGAAGAGGAAACGAAAAAGGTGATTCTTAAAAATAGACCTCTCCACAAATTTAGCAGTCACCGGAGGCCGCTTATAATATTTTAAATCAGTGAAAAATAAAAAAAATTATCCATTATCAATATCGTTACCTTCTTTGACTGTTCTGACAGCCGCTAGAGAAGCCAGAGCACCGCCCAATGAATGTCCGGTAAATGTGATTCCGTAGTTTTGATATTTCGTCGAATTCAATATTTCAACGAGTGATGGCCAAAGCACATTGTGAGCATGGAAAAAATAGCTGTGAACCTGCAATTTTAATTGCAGTCAAGTTTACATCAATATTTATTTATACTTTGAATGTACTTACAGGGATGGACGGGGAAAATTTTTTTGGTGGACGTGGTAACATTTTTTTGTTCATTTTTTTCCAGCATTGGGTTCCAATTGCATTGGTTTCAAGGCATGATTATAGTTTCGAGGGTATACGGTACACACTGCGGTGTATGCACACACACACGAGAGTTGACGCGCACATACAGAGTTTTGAGGATTTGTCATTGTTTTTTGAGTAATTGTTTGATATTCTTGCGTTGTATTTTAGTGATAGCGTAACTATATGTTATTTGTTATATATTTTATTTAGTATATACATATTTTGTTCCGAAATATATACAGTGCTCCACATAACTATATACCCACCCCAATTTTGTTGATAAAAACTCGAAAACGCGAATAGCTCCAGAAATGGTTTCAATTAGAAAAAAAAACGCATTTATTATTAGTTTCATGTTACACAATTCAACAAAAAATAACAATTTAAAAAATTTCATCATTTTCACGAAAAAGTGGAAAAATTTTTCCACAAAAACTATATACCCACTCCATTTTTTTTCATTTTTTTTTCGTATTTTCAAACGTTTTTTTGCAATTTTGCTGCTCGTTAAGATGCTTCGTGGAAAGCCGCTCACCGACTTTAAAAAAGGTAGAATTGAAGCAAAGCTGGCTCACGTTCTACGCAATCATAATGTTACTAGCCGATATGCTGAGAATCCAGCCGCTTATGGTCAAAAAACGTTTCTTGGATTTTTGGACTGGGAAAACAATATTTTTACCTACCATTCCCATATCAAGAAATGGTTGATATTTGATTTGGTCCCATCCTTCCAAAAGCACTTGGATTATTGTGCGAGACCCGCGAAAGATCACATAAATATGCTGATGAGGCTCGCTGGCAACTAGAAAAAAGAAACATTGAAATGGGCGAATCAATGGAATTTTCTAACCGACGTAGTTGTTGCAAATTGTTCCAATGACGTCACATGGATTATTAACGATCTTTACCACCTTGTATTTTGTCACGTCTTTGAATGTCCTAGGAAAATTTCGATCAAAAATCATTAATTTGATTATTTTAGGTCACCTGTTTAAGCATGATAGTAGCTCATCGCCGTAAGAAGCAGCAGCTAGGTTAAGTAGTCGCCTTGCCTCATTTTCATCATATTTGGTGATCTTCAAATATCTGGCATTCGCAAAAATCACGAGCCACAAATTGCAAAAGAAGCGCATCGTGGCGAATGTAGTAAGCGATATTTTTTTTATACTCTTCAGAAAGTACAAAACAAAATTGACAGTATTAGCACTATCGAAAACAGTCTAAATAAACACATCTGAATTGTGCTTTTTAACGTACAAAAATTTATATACCAAACAAAATATTCGCACGTGATTGCGTGACTTCTAATGTGATAATGGAATGCATTAATGAATGCCTAAATTTAGAAATTGTCAATAAAGCACTCGGTGGGCACTTTGGAGGAATGGCAAAAATTCGGATTTTTTTTTTGAAAAATTGCTTCAAACCGAGCAGGTGCAATTTTAATTCACCATCATTATTTTATTCGTCATATTATTTTATATATTTTGTTTGAAAAAGTTATTTATATGATTATCCAATTTCGAATCGATTACGACAAATTTCGGCACGAAACTCGTCGCGTTTAATCGCATGAGTTCACTCGTACGAGTTTCGAAGTTCGATTCCGATGTTATCGTTTTGATTGTGAAACGAGAAATTCATCGTTACGAGTGTATTTGAATCGACGTTCGAACCGAAATTTGGCAGCGGCATTCGATAATTATTAAAGCGGAGTTCATCGACGTTTTTTTTCTAATTTGGGCATATAGTAAACATTTGCGGACATTTTGCGGGTTGTCGATATCTCTCGTTATTCCCTTAAATATGTGGCAATCCTTTTTTGGAACCCTGTTTTTTTAACTGCCACGCAATTCATATTTACTTTATTACTATTTTTGGAAAATAAATATTGTAGTGGGCGGGGATTGTTTTATCATTTGAATTTGGGTCTTACATGGAAAAACATTTCCAGCATTCATAATATAAAATTTCAGGAGCCCATTGCCTCGGACCAATATAAGAGTTGAGTAATTGTGGGATTTCAAAGGGCTGTAAAACAACGCAGATATTTGCCAAACAATTCGCTGGTGAAACTGAAACCCTTTGGCAAAAAAAATTTAAAAATGTTCGACGCAATCAAACTATATCGATTACACGTAATAATAAGCTATATTTGTATTCCATTGGGTCTCTACCTCAATTTATGTGTTTTCGCGATGACCAAAAACACATTTAAAGCAGAACGATCGGTAAGTGTCATTGTCAGAATCGATATCACAGCGTTCAGTTGGCATATTATCCACTATTTTTAATTTTCATTGCGCTTAATATGATATCGACAATATCGAGCACAATACCGATCATGTTTTATTTCATAAGTGCTTCGTGGTTGATAATTCCGTTATTTCGCTTCAATTCGTCTTATCCATTCATGGTGACGATTATCGATTTTCTGATATGCGTTCATCGGTTCGCCGTATTCTTTTGCGAAATCAAAATTCTAACTGAGTGGTTCTACTGGCTGGGCCCGTTGGTTTTTGTCATTTTATTTCCATCATTCTTTTATATTACGCAATACTCCAATACAATTATGATGTTCGAGAATTATGAATTTCAATATTTTTTGACGCACTTCAACAAAGTTTCACTATTTTTTTATTTGGAGAATGCCGCGAAATCGATGCTTACAATTATTACATTTGTTGGATATGTTGCGATTTTAATCAAAATTCGGCTTTCTACACGGGTTCGCACATTTGACGAATCCAAAATTGTTAAGCAAGCATTCCCAATCGCCTGCTATCAACTTGTAAGTTTATTGGAAATTTACTTAAATTATCTAAACATTTTTGAGACAAGCGATAATTTAAATTTTTGAATTACGTTCCAATTTTCAAAACATTGATTTTCAACTAAATTCTTACGCGCGGATTGGTAAATTATTGTTTCTTCGAATAATTTTATTTAAAAAATAATTCATTTAAATTTATCAAATGTGTGCAATTTTGCGTGAGGTGTACATATTTACGGATTTTAAATTTCAAAAAAATTATCAAAAATTTGATTTTTTTTTTCGCTACACGATCAGAGTAATATTCTGAGCTTGAAATTGTCTTCATTTTCCCGTGGTGTGCTCTCACATGTATTAAGACCCCCTTGATCATGCCTACAGCGAATTATTTTCAGAGTACCCTAATCATTGAAGGTTATGAAGTGTTTGTCGGAAAAAAATATACATTTCTTCTTTACCCTCAAAAATTCCTTCTCCTTGATGCTGTGTAAGTCATTAATTATTTTTATGTTTCAAAAATATATTTACCATACAAATTGTAGGTTGTGTTGTTCCGATATCAATCCTTTTCGGGAAGCGTGCTCGATTACAGGATTTGCCGGGAATGTGCCTATTGAGAAACGATGATTTCAATGCGAGCGTTGCTCCAGAATATTTCGAAAATAGTTCGGCAACAAATTGAAATATTATTGGAATTCTTTGACATAACACATTTGAATGGTTTGTTGTTGAAAAATTGTCCCCCATACTTTTATTTTTACCACAAATAACAAATATTTTTAAATAGGTGATAAGTAGAAAAGCAAAGGTTTTTTTCCTAGTTGTTATGTTGTACATGTGCAACAAATAATAACCATGAGTTACGTCACATTAAAAAAAACTAGTTGGATCTCTAATAATAAGCGATAACAATTCTAAAATTCCAGAGGCTTATCGTTCCACTGCAACAACGCCAACAATTGAATTTTTCAAATATTTTTGAAGCAATTTTGATTGAGACCATCCGATTTTCGCACATAAATAGCGTTCGGCGACACACGCATCCTTGATTTTCAGACCAAATTTCATTCAATTATGACGGGACGATATCCATTTCGAATCCATTGAATTGATTCATGGCCAATTCACACGAATATCGTGTTGAAATTGTGTTCGAACTATTTGTTGATTGTTTTGCACGATTTTTCAAATGTTTTAATTATGTGTGTTCAGCCGACAGTTTTAAGTATTGTTTTTGTACTCCGAAGTGAAAGGGCATTCAAATAAATGTATTGTCGTGGCGGGTAAATTTGAAACATTGGAATTTCGCGGGCTACCTTTTGACTCGTCCCGTTCAATAATATGGTCCAATATTCAAATTCATTAAAAAAAATAACGCGAATTCACATTAGTCCATACGAGACCCAAGACGGCAATTCAGAATAGCATGCAAAATGTGTCCACATAATTCAGAAAAAAAAACCCTTCTCCTAAATCCTTAGATCTTATATCAGGTTTCAATAGAAACTTTCGATCTGATCAGTGAACAAATTGTAGATCGTGGTTGTTTTACGACAGAAGCAGAAGGTTTTCATGTGATTTTTAATAAATCGGCTGGCTATTCGCGGAAAAGCCGGTTTGATAATAATGATCACCATATTTCAATAGCGATGTTCATCGTTTCCAACCAGCACTAATTGGTTTTATTGATCTCTACACCAATAACTGCGGTGTTTCACTGATGTGAGTAATCGTTGAGAATTCATGTTCGACTTGAAATTATGTGTTTTGGTTATGTTTTCAAATCTAGTAAGATACCCTGAACTTCGTTATGTCCGTACCGTTTTGCCATGGCCAAAGATATCAGCCTCTGAATTTCTGTAAATCGGCTTCTGAATCAGATCTTGGACATCCGTCCCGCTAAACTTCACTGTTTTAAAGTAATTTTGTTGAATTCTGAATTAATTGCACATTTCAAAAAAATTGAAATACTAACCCCCGAGATGAGACCATGATTTAGGTTTTTGAAATAAACCTCCTAATTTGCAACTGGTCAATCCTATGAGCCTCCAAATTAAGTTGCAGACTTAAAAATTAAAATGTAAGGCGCGTTCGACGAACTTGTTGATGTTTGGCATCCTGCTAAGCCACGCCCATTATCGAATTTTGTTTTGACCAACCCACCCGAAAAATTTCCATTCTTTCAGCCAACATCATGAAGGTGGTACCGTTCGATGAGAAGCCGGTCAGCGTAATCATTACTCCAGAATACCTTAGCAATATTTCGAAGCCGCCAACCGCGGACACCAAAAATGGTAAGTGAAGAAAACCGTAGAGTTCTGATTGGTGATTTGTTCAGATGCATCCGCTATCGGAAACATTCGATATATAGTTCTCCTTCTATCAGCATTATGCCTCTCATCAATTATGTCGAACGTCATCTGCTTCAACTTTACTGTTCTGTGTATGCCTGGCACAAATGACACTGAAGGACTATCGGCAAATAAGGTTTCAATGGTCCCTGTAATCTGTATTAAATCAAATTGAAGACCGAATATATGGGCTACAATCGTCATGAGAAAACGCTATTGTTCAGCGCTGTCGCCGTCGGCGCACTTTTCGGGGTCTTCCCGATATCGATGGGAATCTCCCGATATGGAAGTCGAATTGTGAGTGACTCAACAATTATCGATGATCAACTCGAAGCTTGCTAGATTTTCTTTGCATGCGGTACGATCTCGTCGATTGCCACCGCCGTCATTCCGATCATCGCCCCAATTGACGTCAACCTATTTCTGCTGGTCAGGTTCATACAAGTAAGTTGATCGCTGCAATAATGACCCTATTTTTTTTTATTGGAACACATTTGAAATTTCAAACGAGAGCCCATAACGTTCAGAAATATGTATCGAATTTAGGGACTCGTGTTCTCCGTATGCCTACCAATCGTCGGCGCCATCACTTCGGCATGGGCATCACTTACCCAACAGGGATTGTTCATTGCCGCTTTGACAACATTCGGCCAACTCTCTTCAGTATTTTCAATGCCGGTTGCTGGAGAGGTTTGTCTGAAAAATTAATAGTTTGTAATTAGTCTGTTTCTTTCTTTATTTTCAATTTATTGGAAAAAAAAATATGCAAGAGTCGATCGCAACGAGACTCGGTCCAAAAGCGACGTGCGCCTTTAATTACTGTATCCAACAACGTTAATAAATAGCTTAAAAAAGCCCCGCCTATTCCGTTTTTTTTTGTGCATTATTCTAATTTTTTATAAAAAGGCACGTATTAAATTGTGGAAAAAAACGTATTCGAGAAAAGCTTAGTCAAAATGATCTAAAAATGTTAAATAATAGAGTAATCTCGAATATCTAATTTGATGGGTCCCGCAACTATGTAAAAATTTATATTCAAATGTTATAAACAAATGGGACCTACTTGTTAGGTTCACACTTTCCATTATCAGGACCGGGCAAAATGTGACAATAACCTTTTAGCCTATTTTGTCTGAATTTCAGCTTTGCACCTCGGAATTCGGCTGGCAATCAGTCTACTATGTTCACGCTCTCGTTTCATTCCTTCTATTTCTCGTCTGGTACTTGATATTCACCGATCGTCCCGGTATGTTCACGTTTCACTTGAAACTCTAGAAAAATTTGTTTTAAGACAACAATCGATTGATTAAACCCACCGAGATAAAATTCATTACAAACGGCAAACAATTGAATGTCAAAGAATCGTCGGTTCCATATTTGGAGATACTCACAACGCCATCAATTTGGGGAATTTTCGTTGGCGCTTTCGGCGATCTTGTGGCGGTTCAACTCATCCATATTTTCTCGCCGTTGTACCTTCATCAAATCAGCGGCTATTCGGTGGAAAAGACGGGATTCGCCGCTGCCGTGCCGGTCCTTTTTCAGTTCATCATTAAACTTTCCGCGGGCCATTCAAGCGACAAAATTCGGCATTTCTCGGAGACATTTAAACTACGAGTCTATAACACAATGGCGCTTGGTGTTAGCGCCCTATTCCTCGTCGCTTTGGCATTCGCTCCAGAAGGCAATGGACTGTTGGGACTTATTCTTCTAACAATAGCCACCGCAATGTTCGGCTTCAATGGAGGCGGTTTCAATAAGGTAATTCAAACGTCTGAAAATTCGTTTCAATTTGAGTTTCAGTGTGCTGCTCTCGTTTCACGACAATATTCTCATTTCGTCATGGCAAATATTCAAGTGATTTTATGTCTTTCCATGTTGGCATGCCCAATTTTGGTAAGTATATTCTTAATATAAGGTCGTTGCCAAAGGAATGCATAATTACTTTTCAGGTCGGACTAATACTTGAAGCCGGTACCCTACAAGAATGGCGCATAGTTTTTCTGCTCCATGCCGGCATTCTGTTCCTCTCCAACGCCTTCTTCTGCTGGTTTGCCACAGCACAACCAGCACCTTGGACAAATCGCGAGATATCCGAATCTCGCCTAAAAAACACTCCCTTATACCAAATGAGACGAGTGTAAGACATTGCAAATTAAAATTAGACGGGTTTTTTTTAATAAAGAGAAGCTTTAATTAACTTAAAATGTAGAATGGGTGTATAATAATAAATAATTCGATTGCATATAATAATAAACATTGGAAGGAAGAGAAAAACGAGAAATGCGGGGGGCAAGTAATCACAGACTATTGACGATAGATTTAAACTAGCAATAAAACGAACGAATGTTTCCCTAAAAGCTTAAACACCGGAAAGTGCTTGCTTGATTCCTCCCATAAGATTAACCCGACGACCATTATACTTTTTGGAAATCTCGCCCTCGACTTGCTTTTGAAGTTGCCTCGTGCTCTCAACAATTTGTTTGAGCTCTTCGTTGGCCTTGGTGAGGATTCCGCGAGCTTCCTCTTGCTTATCAATCATCAACTTTTGAAGGCGTTTGTATCTTCCTTCCATGTCGCGCTTCTTTTCAAGAGATTCGACGACCTGCTCAACATATCTGAAAATTTTGAAAAAAAGTGTATAGTCGAAATAACGAGAAAAATGACTTACTGTGGAGATCCTCGAATTTTGAACAAGTGCACTTTCTGCGAATTGTTCAATTTCGCTTGAATGTCTTCAACTTGCTTTATCCACACTTTAAGATCCTTGTCGGTAATCTGGAAAGAAATTTCATGCAAAATGAAAAATCCGAACGGCATACTTTCGAAATATCAGCTGGTCGTTTCTCCGCGCCTCTTATAAGAACATCGGCTCCAGTTTCTCGTGTTTCGTCCTCGAGACGCATTTTGAGAAACGCGACAAGCTGAAATTTGAAGGAATAAAAAAAATAATTTTTGAAAAAACCTCGCTTAGTTCATTTTTAACAACTGTTTGCGTTTCGGCATTCTCGAGAAGACTCAACGCATCTTGTCCGGACGCAATTTTCTCACCAACAGCTCCTGAATCGTCAGCAACGACATCGATGTCAATATCAAGGTTAATCTCTGAATCTCCAACTTCATCAACGCCGAAGTCAATGTCATCATCGCCAAAATCGATTTCGTCATCTTTCTCGTTTTTGTCTTTGTCGGCATTTAAGAGCAAGTCGAAATTTGGTTTTTCGACTTTATCAGGCTTCTGCCCATATTTGAATTCGTAAGCAGTAACGTCAGAACCACCGGAGATAAGAAGAGTCAGTGAGGGAAGAATTTTGCTCTTTGGGGTTGATCCTCTATAATAGGAATCAATAAAAGGATGAGAAAAAACAATCTTACTGATGCATATACTCTCTAAATTGCTTATAATGTTCCCTGGCTTGATCCAATTTTTTAATGTCATCCACAACTTCGTTGAAGTAGGTAGGAAGATCAGCGGCGAGTGCTAATAGTTCGGCACGAAGCGACTTTCCAACCAATCCCATTCGCCCCAATTCTTTTTCGTACGCTTTTTTACTATCTTCTGCTTGTTTACCATAATCTTCATATTTTTTCGCGGCTTCCTGAGGCAATTAATACGGTTTACCAATTTGTATTTAATTTTCTTACAGAAACAGCTTGATCATTTTTCACAATTTGACGCTTTAATGCCGGAATTTCATATTGAACAAGTCGTTGGAGCACTTGAGCGGCTTCAGCAAGAAAAACGTTGTCTTTTTCGTACATGCTCTCAATTTCCTGCAATTTGAATTAGAAATTAAAATGATTTCGCTGTTTTCTAACCTGCCAATCTTTCATTCTTTGAGACGAATAAAATCCTAGAAAATTTTTCGTATCCTTTTCAGTTTCACGTAAAATTTCAATGATTTTAACGCAATGAAAATAGTTAATATCTAAATAGAACTTGTTAAACCTAAAAAATATAATTGCAACTTACAGCTTCCTTGGAGTAACTTTACAATTTCTGGTGATTCTGGCATGTCCAAAATTGCATGTTTGATTTTCTCGCGAATTTCCAAAACATTTTTTTGCCAATCCTTATTACAATGACGTCGGCTTACAAGCCAATCTGAATAAAAAAAAAAAACATTTTCAAAATATTTAATTCAAAGATAATTATCAATTAATTAGGAGCACGCCACTTTTTAATTTTTAACTAATTTTTGATAATTCTTACCTAGCAATTTGCTACTGTGAATATCAATTGGCAGATCGTCTGACATTTCAGAAACGTTTCAAAAATATCGAAGGTTCCAAAATGGAACTCAAAATGGCCGAGTTCCAATGGCCGAACTATAGCATTAAAGGCGCACGACGCAATTGTTGCGCAGGTTCTTGACACGAAATTATTTGGGTTTGAATTTTCAAATTCAGTTTTTTCTATTTTTGCGTGATTTTTTTCAGTCTTTATAAATATTGTGAAATCATTTAAATTCCAAAAATTTTTATTATATTTTCAATTTGATGTTGAATAATTGTTGTAGAATTTTCGATTTTCGCTGGTTACGTTTGATACGACTAGGTCTTACAAAATTATATTTAGGGTAACTATGAGCGCAACCGAAAATGGAGCTGGCGATTCACCGGCGAATGACATGACTAGCAAGGATTATTACTTTGATTCTTATGCTCACTTTGGTATTCACGAGGTAATGAATGTTTAGTATAAATTTTAACTAATATAAATTTTAACTTTCTTCGCAGGAGATGCTGAAGGATGAAGTCCGCACACTCACATATCGGAACTCTATTTATCACAACCGTCACCTTTTCAAGGACAAGATTGTAATGGACGTTGGATCCGGAACTGGAATATTATCCATGTTCGCAGCTAAATCAGGGGCTAAGAAAGTTTTCGCCGTAAGTATTCTGAAAATATCTGTCTGATTAGAAAAAATATTCTTTAGATGGAATTTTCAAATATGGCCAAGACATCTCGCCAAATCATCAAGGATAATCATTTGGATCATATTATTGAAGTTGTTCAAGCCAAGGTCGAAGACGTCAACGAGCTTCCGGGTGGAGTCGAAAAGGTGATTATTAAAATAAATTTTCCTCCAACTTAATAACATTCAGGTGGATATCATCATCTCCGAATGGATGGGATATTGTCTTCTTTATGAGTCTATGCTCAACACTGTCCTCTACGCCCGTGATAAATGGCTGAAGCCAGATGGACTTCTGTTCCCGGATAAGGCTCGATTGTACGTCTGCGCTATTGAAGACAGACAATACAAAGATGATAAGATTCACTGGTAGCTAAAGTTCAATTGAATTTTTTTAAATCTCATGGTTTAGGTGGGATTCCGTTTACGGATTCAACATGTCAGCAATTCGCAAAGTTGCAATTACTGAGCCTCTCGTGGACGTGGTTGATAACTCACAAGTTGTTACAAACAACGCTTTGATTAAAGAGGTTAGTGAAGTTTTGAACGTCAAAATAAATACTGAAATTTTTCAGATCGATCTTTATACTGTCAAAATTGAAGATCTTACGTTCCAATCAGATTTTCAATTGAAATGCGGCCGAAATGACTACGTTCAGGCGTTGGTGACTTTCTTCACCGTTGAATTCTCCAAGTGTCACAAACGCACCGGTTTCTCAACTGGCCCAGATGCTCAATACACGCATTGGAAACAAACCGTGTTCTATCTAATGGACGCCTTGACAGTGAAAAAAGGCGAGGAAATCACTGGAACATTTGCTGTCGCCCCAAACAAGAGAAATCCAAGAGATCTTGATTTCAAAATCAAAATCAGCTTCCACGGACAAGTTTGCGATTTGGAAGAGGACAACACTTACACCATGCATTAAAATTTCTTTGAATTCCTTTCATTGATACTCAGTAATCGTTATCTTATTCTCTTGTTGACCCCGTTTATCATGTTGGCCCTTTGTTTCTTTTTTTCTCGTTTTAATTCGTTTTTGTACATACCTTGACGCTAGCTGCTGCTCATGTCATCGTGCGCGCTCTGCTCGGTTCGTGCATTGTTTAGTTGAATCTTGAACAATGAATCTTCTATCCGGTTTTTCATTACAAATTTCAAAAGAATACTTGATAACGAAATAGTTGAAGCTCTCTAATCTAATATCTCGCGGAAATTTCTGGTATGAGTTTTACACCAAATCGTTTGCAGACATCGATGAGTTTTAACTCGGGTACTCCGGGTGCGAGCTTCGTCTCAACTCCGGCGCCGCCGCCCGAACCTCAAGGTGTCGATCTGACACTTGAGCCGTCAAGTGAATGGGTGATTCAGCACATTGGATTCGATGGCGTGGAAAAATATATTCGGCCCGAAACCTACACCGATTATATTGGCAAATTGTCGGCAAAAGTGGATTGGATGAAAATTGTCGGCTCCACGTCGAAATATGAGGCTGACGATGAGTCGGAACATGTAAAACAATAATCAAAACTTACAAATAATGAAAAAACAACGATCAGGGTCAAAAAGGCGATGGAAGGAATGATTTGGCATTGCCCGATGTTGGACCATGGAGTGGTGTTGCAAAATCATTAATGTAAGTTTTGGCTTTGATGCCTATTTCGAAAGAAATACTATATTTCACCAGTTTTGACGCTTTTGATTCCATTAAATCAGAAAAGAATATTTCTGCAGTTTTCAAACAAAATTTTAAAGAAGAAAAAAAGAAAAATAATTGCTTTGTAATGTCAGGGCAATCAAGATTTATGCTAAAATATCAATAAAAATGAATCTTTTAATATTTAAAAACTCTAAAAATCATAGTTTTTTGAGTTTTTTATATCGAAAATTTGCATAGATCAAAACATTTTTGGTTCAATTTTTCAATAAATTTTTAATGCACGATAATATTTTTGTTTCTAGCGAATCTCTTCAACAATTGAATGTGCTTCTTGACGATCTGACGGTAATAAAAGCGACAGACTACATGAAACCGTTGACAATTTTGGATCCGGTGACCGAATTGGATCAGACGATCGAAATCCCAAGGTTGATTCATTTCTCGCGTGGTGCGCAATGGATGTGGAAACGACGGGTAGTTTTGCGGTTCGAAACATGAATTATTGTTGTCTAGGCGCTACAAGAAGCCGCACAGGTTCTTGACACTGCGCACAAAATGCGCCAAAAAGCGCATACGAACATTGGGCTCTCCGATGATTATTTGGCGCATTTGCATCGTACAAAATTCTTCGAGTAAACCACACGTTTTGAATAATATCGTTTTGAACGATTCGAAATTTTCAGAGAGCTTCGAAGAATGCGAGACACGTGGCGTGTTCGAAAAACCAATGATCGGATTGTTGGTGATCTCTCGTATAATATTTGTGAGTACTAAATACTTTCTTTTTTTTTAATTAAAATTCGATTATTTGATTTTTGCAGTTGGAACCAAGTATCAAAATAATGCGATGTTCGAGATATCGAGAAAAACGCCCGCCAAAATTGGACCGTTTGACACATTTTCGGTCATTGAGGTAATTATAGTAATTTTGCTGAAATTAATTTGTTCAACAAACCTTAAATTAGGTATCGGTTCCAAAGGATTTACAAGTGCGGAGTGCTTTATATGTATCGATTATAAGAGGTTCTCTCATTTCTTCAAGTATTCAATAATTCGTTCTTTTTTTTAGATGACATCACCTCGGGTAATCCGTTTAGTAGTTTGGAAGACGAAGATTTCAAATACACACAAAGGGATGAAGAAAAGGTTTGAATTTCATCAAATAAGAAAACAATTTGATAATTGGCGTTTTGCAGATAAAAATGCTGAAATGGGAGGACAGCTTAAAATGGGCACAGAATACGTTGTTGTGTCGAGAAGCATTTGATAGGGTTTTGACAACTTTTGAAATTATCATTCAATGTTTCTTGAATTTAGTTATGCAAAGATGCCATTAAAATGAGGGATCGATTATCAATTATACGCGACAATGTGCTATTGATCTCACTTTATGACGATTATTTATTACGAATTGAATTGAAATACTACCCATTTGAGGTTTAATTGTTTCGAAACCTTTTTGACTCAAAACGTAATATTTGTTAGAACGGCGAACTAAAAGAAGAGGGCGATCGACATTTGAATCGCGCTCTTCGGGAGCTGCTCGTTGGATTTGAGTGCAAAAAATTTCTGAGGCCGCAAATGTTCATCGCATTGCCGGTCACGCCGCTTCCGGAATCATTAGATCATCGTGGAACGAAGGCGATGTCGACAGTTGAGGTATGTTGAACGAAAATGCAGATTTCTTCAATGTTGTTTTTTTTAGATAGAAGAGAATGCGCTGAAACCGGAAAGCTTGTTGAAGATGATGCTCGATATCGCCGCGCATTATAATTTAGTGAGAATGGTGCACGATGTAGCTGTTCAATTATGCGTGGAGCAAAAAGAGCACACGATTCAGTACAATTGGATGCAAGCGGGAAAACGGCGCTCAATTATGGCGGTCAATTTGAGTGTCAAAGATTCCGATACGTCGGTTCCGAGGTTGGTGGCGTTCCTGAATTGACGAAAAAAGATTTCGCGCGTTTTCTTTTAATTGGTCCCGTAACAAATGAAATGGGACAATACTCTTTTATTTTTGCGCAATATGATAATTGGGGAATTCAAGATGTTTCTCATCGCGAGGCGGCAATTCAAAATTTGCCCACAACTACAGTGCGTTGCAGAATTATAAGGCCACCCCCAAATTTAAGCGCCGCGCAATGATTTCGATATTTTGAGACCGACCAGTGTGAAAATCGTGTTCAGCATGAAAAATAACCTATATGTACCTATTTTTATGTTAGTATCTTCAAAAGTAACCGCGTAGTGGTCCAAAACCGTTTTTTCGAGCGGTGCAGAATTATAAAGCCACCCCCATAAAACAAGTTGTAAACTCAAAAATAACGACAGTTTAATGTTTAGTGGCACCTCCATTCGAGGTAATTATGTTAGAAACACGGTCTGGCATAGATTTGAAAAGGTTTTAAACAGATTGGGTCAATTTAGATTTGAATTTCTGCTCTAACATCTTCCACTCGACTACGATTTCGGTTTTGAGCTTTCCAACTCCCCAAATTTTCTTCCTTGGCCATATGAAACGCCGTACTAACTCTCCACAGACGTTCTACATGGGACTCCAAAAAGGAGAACATGCTGGCCAGTCGAGAACGTCCGCACTGTGAGACTGAAGCCAGTCCAAAGTAGACCGACTCACATGAATGACCGCATTGTCCTGTTGAAAAAGGACAATAACGACGTCAAAATGCAAGAAGATGCCTCTCAAGAACATTCTGATAATCCGAAGAGTCAACCCTACTCGTCAGAAAAGCCAATTCCAGAAATCCGGCCTCCGAAAACGCTTCCCCTATAATATCACGCTTCCTTCTCTAAAATTGAGTTTTGAAAGCAGGAGGTGATTCTTTCATAACTCGGGCCAGCAACTGTTATAGCCGCCTGGGCCATCCAAATTATTTTTTTTCATCGGAAAAAATAACCTGTTGAAGTTTGAATGGCTATTATTCACAATATTCTCGAATATAAACACCTTGTTCCAATCCGTATTCATGTTTTTGAATGCGAACTCAAGGCGTCGAATTTTATGGTCCTCTGTGAGTCGCGGAGCCGGCTTCATTTTTTCTCTGGCGATGTTGGGGGTTATTCTTGATGGTTCCCCAAACTGTCCACTTGCTTTTGTCGAAGTTTAGCTTCTTCTTGATGTCATTTGTAGACTTCATACTGCTCGAAGCTGCTCGAATCAATGCTCGATTAGCGCGATAGTCCAGTTTTCCTTTGCCGCCTGACTTTTGCGACATGTTGACACGAGTTGTATCCTTCACAAAGATGTCTACGAATGTTTTCGGATCATTTAAATTTTTCGCAACCTTACGGCTCGACCATCCTGCCGTTTTGAATGCGATAATGTGAGATTGCTCAGAAGCACTAAGACAGCGACCACGTGGCATTTCAAAATCATTCAAAAAGTGAAAAATAAGGACCACTGTAGGTTCTCAAAGCCACACAACAATTTTTATGCACACTGGTCCCGCCAAAGTTTCAAAAAAATGCGAAAAAGTCCGTTGTTGGGGGGTGGCTTTATAATTCTGCACCGCTCGAAAAAATGGTTTTGGACTACTACGCGGTTACTTTTGAAGATACTAACATAAAAATAGGTACATATAGGTTATTTTTCATGCTGAACACGATTTTCACACTGGTTGGTCTCTAAATATCGAAATCATTGCGCGGCGCTTAAATTTGGGGGTGGCCTTATAATTCTGCAACGCACTGTATAACTAGAATTGTTGTAATGAATGTTGAAAAATAACCCAAAGTTGTAGGAAAACGTTTGAAGTGGTGATATCCACCAAGGATGTGTGGGTGCACACAAGCGACGACACTCCGATTCAATGTATGCGCGATCCGGATCTTCTTCTCTACACGTTCAAATTTTGTGTATGTTTTCATTATTCGACGATTGCATATTTAAAAAGAACAACGTGTGTTTTTAGATTAGCACATACGCGCTGACGATTGTCGCAACGATGTCGAAAAGTATTTGGGGATCGCCGATTCAGATGCTTCATGCCAATGTTCACGCGGTTGATAATGAAGGAAGACCGGCGCCGAATATTTCATTGTGCAATCAACAAGCCACCAGGTCTTTTTTTCAGTTGTGTTGATTTTTGGCCTTATAAAATTTGTTAAGCTATTCAAAAAATTGGAAAAATGCTGTTGGACTTTTTTTGAAATCTTCCCAACTCTCATAAATTGTGCCAAGGATTAAAAATTTGGCGTCCTGAAAAAATCGCATAATTTTCGTTATTCAGGCATTTGCTTATCACATTCCACGTCGATCGTGAGCCCGAAATACTAGTGCGCAAATTTGTGACCCATGACGAAACCAAGCCGGAATCGAAAATTCCGTTCAGATGGCGACGACTGAGCTATAAGAAGCTCGCCGGTAGCACGTTCTACAGAAAATTTGAGCTGTTGTTCGCATTCATCAAAGAGCAATAATTCTGTGATAGTGATTGATTAATTTATTTTGACGAATCTTTCCAATCTGTATTATACATATGTAATTTTTTTTTACAAATTTCATACATAAAGATCTCTTTTTTTTGAATTTGCAGAAAAAAAAAGAGAACTGGTCGCATGGAATTGAGTTGCGCGTTGTGCTGCTTGTAAAACAAGCATGTTTGCCAATGTGCTACTGATATTTCTGATAGATTCTGTAAATACGTGCGCAAATAAAATGCATGCTGAACAAAGGTTAATTGGAGTCTGACGAATTGGTGACACTTGAAAACAAAAAAAACTGGAAAATAAAAGCTTTAACGTTTGAAGAATTGTGTCTAGGATTGATGAATGAAAAATAGTTTGAGTGAATATAATAAAGACATTTCGAAAGATTTTCGGAATACGGTTAGCAGAAAAAAATGGATCGAAAAATATTCAAAAAGAAACGAATCGACTACGACAATTTTATAAATTAGCTTCTGTTTGCTTTTGACAGTTGGTCTTGGAACGAAGCTAAAAAAAAAAGATCAGCTAAGAAAAAAATGATCTCTATCAATTTTTTGGCATTTTGCCAATTTTCTAAAGTCGCGCGACGCTTCATGTATAGCACATTATGTGAAGCATTATAAAGTTGAGTCTCGTAGCGATGGCCTTGCTAAATTACACGAAATAGCGAATCTCAGCGGGCAACAATCGGAATTTTTCCGGATTCGAAACGCTCGTTTTAAAGCCGAAATATATTTCGTTTCGCTTGAAATTGCAGTTTCTTTAAAAAAGCACTGTCAAAACGAAATTAAAAAAAATTTACTATGTTCCAATGCGTCTCGAGGCAGCGAGAAGTACGCGAAACTACGTACATTGCATTGAAGTACGCGAAACTGCGTACATTGCAATGCACGCGCATTTAGTATTCCTTCAACGATAAATTTAAAATTTCGCGAATTTGAAGGCTCCGCCTCACTTGAGTCGTCTGACGTCGACAATAAAATTTCAAAACGAAAACTTTTGGTTTTAAATTCCGTCAACAAAATTTCCGCAAAAAATTCGGCAATCCCGTTGCCGATCTGGCGAACGATTTTCTTCGAATCCGATTGGTAATTTTTCGAATCCGTTTTGTTTTAATATTTCAATTCGAATAGGATACGACAATTTTCCAATCTTATCCGTAGAATTTCCAATCGGATAAGGTTAATTCTAGAGCCGAATTTTGTCGAATCCGATTGGTTACCAGCGCATCTCCAAATGTCTCCAATGAATCCCGCATCGGATGCGTTTTCACATCTCTATCAGAATTTGACTTCGACGCGCAACTCGTTGTTCGAGCCTATAGAACAATCACGCGCGCGTCAGCATTCTGTGTACTCGTGTCGAACATGATGAGACCCGTTTGAAGTTGACATTCAGCACGAAGCTCAAATAACACACCAGAAATACCATTTATAACCCAATATTTTTGCCGAAGCCGAATTTTTGCCGATTTTTAGAAATTTTCAGATATTGGGAAGATAAAGCCAGTTGGAAATTTGTTCAAATCCTGATAACATAAAGGAAAATGTGACTCATTAAATTAAAAACCCCCCTTCAAAAAATTCAAAGCTCAATAATTGTTCATAATAGAAGTGAATTTTTTTTTTGCCTGCCTGAGTACAATGAGCAAATACTTGAGCGCCTACTTTTCAATGTTTATTTATTCTATTATGTCAGACGTCAAAAAATTGTTCTCATTCCCTCGTTCACACATTTTCATTAACTATGTTATAATAAACATTATATCAACTATCTATATTTATATGTAAAGCAAATATAATTATTTAAACTAATTTCCATTAATTAACATTATTTTCATAGTCGAGTGTCGTTTAACAAAATCGCAATTTTTGATAAAACAAAACGTTTTAATTTGAGCTGTTGATTCAAGCATTTTTTGTTTGTTTGGGATGTGATAAAGTTGGCGGAGCAGAAAGAAAGGTAAGTGGCGAGTAAGTAGGCAAACAAAACCTCCCAACTACAGTATCCCTCCCAGGCGAGGGCGTGGTATTTCTGAGTGTATAAATGCGTTGCCAATGCTCACATTTCGGTGTACTTTTGCTTGTTTCAACAACTTCTTGGCTCAATAATAGATCAACACCAATTTCTTTTCATTTTACAGTCATGAAGTCCGTTGTGATCATCGCCCTTCTCGTCGTTGCCGCCTTCGCCCAATACCAAACCAGCCAATACGGGTACGGGTAGGTTACTTGTAAAAAAATATATGAAAAATATGAATATATGTTGGTAAAATAATAATAATAATAATAATCTATAAAAGTTTGAATTTCCGCGCAAAAAAATCAAATGGTCCGCTTTTTTTTGCAATTATAATAATAATTAAAATTGCCGCTTTTTTTGTAAATCTCATCAAGTAAAATAAATAGATTGAAAAAATCATTTATGAACCACCAATCCAATGCTCCCATTTTCAGCCAAAACCAGCAGTACCAGACAACCCGCGGTTACACCAATCAGAACCAGCAGTACCCATACAACACGCAATCGCAGCAATACAATCAGCAATACGGACAGACGACACCAAACTACAACAGCCAATACGGCTACTCGTCGACTCAGGGACGATTCTTCGATCCGGCGTTCAATTCGGTCTCCAAAGCTTCGGCCATCGTCTCGCTGTTCGCCGCCGCCGCGGCTCTCTTGTAAATACGACAATTCTAATCGGTGTTCTCGTTTGCTCTTCTCCGTTTTAAACCATTTCACGGTATCCACACGTTCAATGCGCCGATGACGGCATTGAATGTTGGGCACCGGTCAAGGTTTCCGCATGGGTACTTTTACATATACTGCATTATATTTGATTTTGCTTCTTGATTGCATTCACAATACAAATGAATGAAATTCGACATTTCTCTTCTTTTCTTTTTTTTTGCCTGTTTGTTTTTGATGTGATGACAAATAGAAGGAAGCCCGAGTGTTTACTGCCATTTTGAAAAAGAAGGGAGCCGAGTTTGCCTGTTGCATTACTGCCGAGTTAATGGAAGAGCAACCTGTTTGTAGGGTCGGCATTCGATGTTTGATTCATCAAGATCCATAGGGATCAATTCAATTCGTACCATTGGACTTGAACACGTTTTGGAAAATTGGCTAAATGCCAAAAACAACTTTGGAAGATGTCGATTTACGGGGGTCGGGGGTTTAATAAAAAATAGGTTAAAAGCGCGTCAAGACCACTCACAACATATTTTTAACAATTTGTAAAGTCTTGTGACCCCCGAAAATTTGGTGAACGTGTTTTACAGCGAATTTTGGTAGCAAAAAAATTGCAATTTGATTTCATTAATACGCAAAATTTCCTACGGTATCAAACAGATCAATTGTTGGTGTTCAGTTCTTTGCAGACAACTCACCGTATTTATTTTCCACCGCCATCACATGTTGGATATTTACCTGCTACCCTCAATTGTGACCTCAATTCCGTGAGTCATTTCTCATACAAAACATCAGAATCCAAAAACGTCAAGTGCCAAAAATAATTTTCCAGTCTCTCAAAAATTACAAGTGTTTCTATAATTTATGAATTTTAACAAAATCAACAATAACAAACAATAAAAAAAAACAACAACAAATACGATGACGACCCTGATATCAACCCTGATATCCATAGCCTTCGAATGGTTTCGCCTTTTTAAGCTTGCCCGATTCTTTCTTAGCTTTCCTAGATTTGAATTATGTTGAAAATTATTACCAATTTCGTCAAACCTTTGCAAATATTTATCGAGTTTGTTATCCTTTTTGAGCTCGTCATACTTCTTCTCCATATCAATTCTACGCACTTGCGCTGAAACACATTATTTTTCATTGTATACATAGATCATTCAAAAATAAAAACCTTTTGTTTTAAAAATTGGCGCTTCACCGCGCAACATTCTCTGAATATTCTCCTCGTGCAGCTCTCGACGAGTCTCAGCTTGTCGTGCTTTTTCAGCACGTGATCTCTCGCGATTCTCCATTTTTTGAAGCGTCTGAACAAATCAAAATGTTTCAACAACAACAAAAATTGAGACACTCACGTTTTTAAGTCTACTCGCTTTTCGTTCGTCACCTTCTTCCTCGGCCATTTTATGCTCACTTCGAATTTCCTAAAAATGTGCAAAAACAAATTTTGGCGTTTAGTTGACGAAATTACGCACCTCGATTTCTTTCGATCGAATTTCATCCAAAAACTTGTAGTTGTTCTCAAAGCAGAGTTCTTTGAATTCTCCGGCTCTCTGATCAAATCTGGGATCCCATTTCCTAAAAGCAAAAAAATTAGCATTCTCATGAAACTAATTTGCTGACTTCTTTTTCGCCGGCATTTCATGGTCCTTATAAATATTGCGGAACGCGGATACCGGTCGTTTTGACGAGATTTCTCGTGGACGATGAGCTCCACGCTTTTTCTCATCCTGAAATTTCTCATAATTCAAATTTGGTTGAAAAAAAATGAAAATAAAAATTCCAACCATTTTTTGCTCCTCTTTTTTCTTCGCATTTCTTTCTTTTTCTTCTTTCGAAACTCCGAAATAGGTTTTATTGAACAATTTTATTCCCAGCTTTTCCTTCATTTCTTTCAATTTACCAAGAGGCATATTGGCAAGTTCTGGAAGATAATAGGTGAAATTAAAAACGAATAAAATGTATCTTTGAAAACGACGGGAAAGTGACAAAAGGGATTACTTCTATAGTCCTAACCATTTTTTTGTCTTTTTCGCACGTGTAGTGTAAAACGGAAAAAAAATAAAAATTTAATTATAATATGAATGCGGAGTAAAGCAAGAAAATATATAAATAAATGAATTGACGACCTTATTTTTAATTTATCCATTTGCGGTTACCCTTTGGGTTGCCAAAAAAGGTTTCCCAGAACGCACCGCTAATTTTACGAACATGCGATTATCCCGAAAAAATGAAATTCCTATTAAGATTTTCAAAACACCAAGTCCGGGTCATATTTTGACCACCTGATCTCCTGCCTTTCTGTAATATTGCAAAAACCGTAAAACCTTCTCTGAATTTGTCCCTTTCAGCATCATCATCATCATCCTCGCTTTCTGATTTATCATCGTCATCATCATCCAGATTCTGTGTAGATTCGACCTTTTCGTTGGTATCATCATCCTCCTCTTCATCAGTTTCATCCTCTTCTTGCTCAAATTTCTTCTTGTTCACATTTGTTGCATTTTTCTGTGATGCCGGAATTTCGTCAACATTCCCAAATGATTTCTTCGCACTTTCAAATTTTCGTTTCACCGTTTTCTTATCACCGCTGTTCAACAGCGGAACCTTAATCAATCAATGTATTAATATATTAGGCCAATTCTCATACTTCACTATCATCTTCGAGCATATCGCTAACGTCCGGAACCTCATTATCATCAGAATTTGCGAGTTGGTCGTATTCCACACACGTTCCTTTCACTGGTGGGTTTCGCTATAAGTAAACAATCTTTTAATACGCTTATTGAGAAATTTTGAATTAGCACATTCCAAATTTTAAGAAAAATGAAAATGATTTCAATGACACCAATTAATATTGTTATTTTTTTTTTGAAATCTGATAAATCGAATTTCACGAGTTGCGAATACCAAAGAATACAAAAAACGCAGAATCATGTCCCTATAAAAATATTGAATTTTATCATTTATTGCCGCCTTAGTTTTCGTATGGATGATTTTCATTTTTAATACATTTTTTTAGTATTTTTGAAATATGCAAGTGTCAAATTTCAGATAACAAATTCTCAAAGCCGGCAAAATTCAAAAATTTCGCAAAAATTGTCAAACACTTCGTACCGGCTTCTTATTAAATTTTCCTCGTGCGTCATTTCGACTACCAAATTTGGAGCTTCGCGGCTCAACACCAAATCGATTTCCATTCCGTTGACCGCCCAATTCTTCAATTTCTTTCTGCTTTCGATTAAAATTTGCCTGGAAATCATTCAATTCAAGAATGTCTCAAATGCTTGCCGCCCGCCACCTTTCGCTGAAATCGATTATTGGTGGTCGCTTCATTCTCGGCACCGCTCTCATTCGCAACGTTCCTCGACAATCCGCCACGCTTTTGGAATCCTCGACGACTGTTCGACGAAAAATTACCGCGTCCCTTTTTGGGAAACGTTCGATCACCAGACATCTGAACACAATTCAACGATCATCCAATCGCCACTGGCAATTTTCGATAAAATACTGACATGACAGTTGAAACGTAGAGTCGTAGTTAATCAAAATTTGCGAAAATTCATTGTACAAATTGTGAATAGTAATACATACAAGCATAAGGACACAGAGTGAATTCAGAAAAAAAGGTTAGGCGTTCGTGATTGGAGAAAAAGTACCCAGAGGCAAAGAAAAAAAAAACGAGCGGCTCGAGGTTGTAGCAGTCGATAAATATGAAGTTCTACAAGAAAATGATCTCTAAAAAAAAGTACAAAAAATGTTTAAACATGTACAAAAAATGTTGCGAATACAAAATGTACAAAAAATATCAAACAATTATGCGAAAAAAAAATGCAGTCGTTTCTTGCAACAAAAAAAAACCGAAAGTTTGAGAGATTTGTGAGTTTTCTCGACTATTTTTTTTTACAAAAATCACCGAGCATTTGAGATATTCTGGATTTCGAAAAAAAATTAACTTCTAAATGACGATGGCGGCAAATCCTCATCATTATCCTCCGGAACATCGGCGAGACGCTCCTCATCCGATATTTGCTCGCGACGAAGAATCAAACGACTTCTGGCGTCGTTTTGAAGTTCCGGTAGTTCTCCAAGACCATGTCCAAGTTGCGATGATGAGCTTGGCTCGTTCATTTCAATAAGAGATTCATCTAAAAACGATTGTTGTCTCACTTCGATTGTGAAATGTAATAATTACCGGTTGGAGCATTTCGTTGCGGCATCGCGAAAATACTTTGCGAGTTCATCGGTGGCATCATAATCGATGGTCCCATTCGACTCTGTCTAAAACCAGAAAATTGAAAAATGTTTGTATTCGGGATGGAAAAAAATTTTGGGAATTGAATTCCAATTTAAAATGGGTCTTGTATGGAAAAGGAAAACTCAAATTATTGAATTTTCTAAATATATGCAAAATTTTTTGATAAATTTTGAATATTTGCTCAATTTTAACGGGACCAATTAAAATTAAAATTTTTCTAACTTTGTCCTTGAACAATCATTGACTAGTATCTCAAAACTCACATAACATTTTCCTCGTGTAATCCTCGCAAATACAACGAGTTCACTCGCATTTCCGATCCAGCTCCATCAACATCAATTCCTAAAATTCGACTTTCAAAAAAAGAAAATGAATTCAGCACAACGAACCACTCGCTTTCAAGCTGTTCGTCAATGATTCGGCAGCCATCGGTTGCTCGTGATAAATGCTGCCGAGCACACCAGCACTATGGAACTGCTGTGCTCCAGTGAAATCTTTCACAATTGGCCCATCAACAAGATGCAAGCCATTGCCTAAAATTGACAAGAAAATGAATCGCGTTCAAAATAATTATACTACCGATTAACGGACTTCGACCGGGTATCGTATTTCGCGAATCGCCAGGCAGCGCATTATGCACCGATTCGAGAAGCACATTTCGACGCGTCGGATCATTGCGGTCTGGAATTCGACCAAGGCTTCCGAGGTCTCTTGAATTTAGCATAACAAGTGCCGATGTGTCTTGAATCAGCTGAAAATTTAAAAAAAATGATTAATGATAATCAACGAGTAGATAAAAATATGAAAAAAAAATCAAAAACCAACCCGATTCTTGAATTTCTTGACAAACGCTTCTGTGTGCTTCGAGCCCTTCCATTCGGGATTTGTCGTTTTGAAATGAAGAACCGACAATTCAGTCTTGCCATCTCTTGCGCGATTGTGCGACGTGACGATCGGCGCAATATCATCCTCGTCACCATCATCGTCTTGCTCGTCGCCATCTCGATTTCGAATGCTATTCCATTTCGGGTCTCCATGCTTTCCAACATCCATTTCGGCGAACGAGCAAATATCGCCAACCCCATCGATCAATACAGTATGATCGTGGAAGAAATTGACAATTTGCGATGCTCGTGGCTTCAACCTAAACACACATTTTTCAAACATTCAATTTTTTTTTCACAACCCTACCAAAAAAGTACAATGAAGGGTGTGAATATAGGGCTAGTGACTTCTATCAGAAAGTACATCCATTTCATCTGAAAGATCTGATCAAACTCGCTACGAACTTCGGCAGTGTGCGCTTTTCCTTTCCACTCAGGTGGCAAATAATGAAGCTCGCTTGCCACGTGATTCATGAGAATCTGAAATTTAAACACAAATTGGCATTTTTTTTCTTGGTTGAGAAAAAAAACCTCAGGCTGCCAGACAAGATTCTCATCGGGGATCATTCCTTTGCAAATCACAATAATTATTCCACACACCGAAATCACAGTGATCACATGCTCGACTTGAAGCACGTCTTCATCCCACGCAGTTAGTGCGGCCAGCGTTACGGCGATCGAAGCGGCGACAAGCGTGACGTTTTGGGCTATCAATTTCAACGCCGGCGAGAAAAACTGATCCATGTAAGCAGCTGCATAAATGTATGATCGATTCAATCGCGCGTTCAGCTCATGGTCAAGCTCATTGAAATGGCGCATTCGGTACCTGAAAAAAAAGTTAAAGAGTTTAATTTGATGGATCGGAATTTTATCGAACTATCAATTGCAGAAAAATCAAAATAAAATTTTAATTTTTGTTACTAAAATGCTCAAAAAGCTGGTGGAGGGGTATTAAAAAATTTTAAAAATATTTTAAATCAGTTGTTTAAAATAAATTTTTCGGATATACGGAAAAAAAAAAACTTGATAATCACAAAAAATTGTGCATTGATTTTCAATTTCATTCTAACTCAATCGAAAACTTATCGACATGATTAATAAAAATTTACCTTCCGTAATTGCTGTATCTCCTGGATCCTAATGAATTTGGCGAACGTTTTATGAGCTCAGCGAGAAAAAAGAACGACTCAATGACCTTAATTCATTTGTTTTCTCTCTTTTTTTTACCTTCACAACAGGAATCATTTACCTGAAACGGCAGCAGCAAAGGCATCAAAACCAACGACCAAATACCAAAATAATTGCACTAAAATAAAAAAATGTGACAATTTGAAATATTCCCAATGTTCTCCTACGTCATCTCTCATTTTTCGCGCCAAATCTTCCAACGTTTCCATTTCTTTGTACTCATCCTTCAGATTTGGACCATCCCAAGGTGCTGCAGAACTAAAGCAAAAATGAAAGTAATATTTTGAAAAATAATTAGTTTTGAAGAAAAAACCTCAGGAAGAAAATCTTTTCCATATCGTTTTTTAAGCTATTCGGCAAATATGCTATTTTTCCGATCAAGGGCACCTCAAAAACGGGATCGATGATTCTCTGAAATTTTCAAAACGTCTCATTGGTACAGTTCACTTATTGTACTACCTTATTCACCAGAGCCACCATGTAATTCTTGTGGCGTAGAATTCTGTGGTAAATGTCAATAGATGAAACGCTATCAGTATGGATCATGAGTCGTAGGCGTGGTTGCACCTTTAAAATCATTTATTTCGAAAAATCGAATTTTTTGCGGAAAACTACTACTCACTTCACCTATTCGCTTCACAATATCGTGCCATGTCATATTGAGAAGTTGATCGTCTTCAATTTTGAGCTCATTCTTATAAAAATCATGAATCTCCGCGATTTTCAGCAAATATTTGGCGGTTTTGATGACGCGCGTCACCCAATAGACCATTGCGGCTATCAAGGCGATCAGCACCCAAATGCTCATCGTCGCCGGACAATTCTCGATGACAGCATCGGAGAAATGGCGTTTCCCAACATTTTCATTTCCGTGAGTAGTTGTGTTCGAATTGGCGAACAGAAATGGGTAATCGATGCATTGTGTGAAAAACGTGGAAAACGACTGAAAAATGATCGACATTTGAAGAAATTAATGATAATTATCATACCACAATGAAAACAAATTGAAAAAGACTAAAAATTTTGCTCAAAACGATACACTGATAGCCACCATTTTGTTGATATTCGAAGATATGGGTGAAAAATTCATCGAGATTCTCTATATGATGCCATCTCCGCGAGTCAGCTTGTTGTGCTGATGAGGCCATTGCTGGCGGTCCATAGGTAGCAAATTGCGTGTAATTCTCATGAGCGGCTCGATTCTCATGCATTGGCGATGACTGATATGAAGCTGACGACGTTGTCATGAGCGGTTGCTCTTCTGAAGTTCGTCCGAAAAGCATATTTCGGCCAGCGGCTACTGAGTCAAGAATTCTCGAAGTGCAAGTGCTCCGAAGTGATTCGTCGTCAAAATCATCATCAATTTTCTGAAAATAAAATTTAATGCGAAATTGGGAAGTTTATTTTAAATTTACTTGATATGCTCGTTGATTGTGCGAGCCGAACATGCAATTGCTCTGAAAATTTCTTAGTTATGTTTGATGTAGGCAAAATTTCATGGAAAATTGAGAGAAACGCGCTTTCAAATATCAGCTGATGCGCCAATCGCGCCCTATTGCACTCCTATTGTTCACGTGAATAGGCTGCACCAACGCTTCACCACCCAAAAATGGCAGGTGCGAAGGTCAGATTTTAACATTAGATTGGCGTAAATGATTTGAACTAGGTCTTTTTTTTTTATTGAATCGATCAAGAAGCAATATGTGTTTTCAAGAGAACTAGAGATAACAGTTGGCGGGTCATATGATTGTCTTGTGAAAAAAAAGACGAATTTCTAACCTATAAGATGAGATGATGAGAAGTTATTAGACCACCGTACATTAATTTTTAAATAATAAAATATTCCAGTTTGCTATTTATCACATTCGTTGCCATGCCAAAAGAAATAAAATAAATTACCAGAACGGCATTCGTTTTAAAAATATGATAAAATATTAAAGAAAAAGACAGTTGTGAAACATGTGAAGCGATGAATAAATGAAATCAATCAATAAAAGTTCCAAACCATTTTTCTATTCTTGCATATTAGGATAGTTTCGATCGCAAAAGTTAAAACATACAAAGTCTGGAGTGCTTTGTTTGTTCGAGCAAAAATTAAAAGAGGCTTGTGCCGAAATTTCCAAAACTTTCACTAAACTAAATATAAATTTTCCTTAAAAATTTGCAAAAAGAAAAAAGGAAAATCGTAAATCAACATCTGTCTATACAGTAACATAGATTAAAGGCGCGTAGAGGTTTTGCACTTTTGGTCCTTACAAAAATTAGATAATTTCAACATTTTTCAGGTTTCTTCGCTTTATTTTTAATTGAATTCGCAACTTTTTTCTTTTTTATTATCTGAATTTTACTCTATTTTCTTTTATTTAATTTTCCTCAAGTTCAAACCATCAGTCTTCGAAGTGTGAACAGAAAAGAATTGAAGATATCGAGAGATATCCAGACACTCATTGAATCAAGTGCTAAAGTGCCAATGTTTAATTTTTTTTCACAACATGTCGAAACATTGTGAAGTTCATAAACTTCCGCATGATTTCTTATCAATAATAAATTTTCTTTTTTCGGCTGTTAATCACAATTCAAACATCATTTCTCACTTCTCTCGTGCAATTATAAAAATTAAACAATCTCAAAATAAATTTTTCGATTTTTTTTCGATTTTCGCTGTTAAACAAATATTTATATATATATTTAGTTTCCAACGTATTTCTTCGAGTTTGTTCCCATTTTTCTGGTTGAGTCTGATATAAAACAGAATTTTTTGATTTCTGTGGTCATGTTGGAATCGTCACACAAATCATAGTGTGCAGATGAAAGAATAAACACATGATAAGAGTTTTTTCCTCATTTTGTAGTCCATACAGTTTTCGTCATCGGCCGAATGTCGATATTTTATGTTCGCCTACAGACTACATTTCTATTACATTTACCCTCAAATTGTCATCTCCCATTTGACATTACTGGAGGTTTTTCTGTCAAAACTCTTCTTCTTTTTCTTATCATATTACCGTTTTACGCCCATCCTGTTCAATTTTTGCCTATTTCAACTTATTTTAGATGCAGTTGTTCGACATATTCACGGTTTGGCTCGGAGCTTTCTCAATATGCTTCACGTTTCTACCATTGTAAGTAGTTTTAAATAAAATTTTAGTTTATAAAGAGTAAATGCGCAGGATTTTTGTAAAGGGGTTTTTTATTTTTTACAAAGTCCCTATAGTAAAATAAATTTTTTTTTCAGAATGATGGTATTGGATTGGCGAAAACGTGGAACAGCTGATGGGTTCAGTTCGGTCAACTTTGTGCTTCCGATGCTCATGTAACTGAATGCATATAAACATGATAAGGATCAAAGCAATTTTAGACAATCCTGCTGGTTGCGACATGGATTTATGACCAATGATAATACGAACATTATCATCAACTCCTTAAACCTGGTGTTTTTCGTTTTCTACATTTCGGCGTTCGCCTATTATCAACCAAAACGGGTAATTGATGAAATGAACCAATAATTTAACATTTTCTATAATTAAATTACAGAAGTATTTGGTTTTTCAACTCATTGCGGCGGCACTCACCGTAAAACTCATCTATTCCTACGTTGATTCGTTCGGTAATTTTGAAAATATATTTGATTTTATGAAAAAATTTAAGAGGATGATAAAAAAGCCGATGCAATGGGAAGCATGGCTGCTGGAGCTCAAATTTTTGGACTTGCTGGTGGAATCTACGAGATTGTAAGGCTTACACGTTAAAAAGTATATTTAAAAATATTTTTTTTGTAGAAAAGAGCCATTAGTATGGGAACAACTGAGTACATCCCTGCTCAATTCCAATTCGCCCTGTTCACGCTAATTGTTCAATGGCTCATCTTCGGAATTGTGAGCGGAAATCAATTCATTGCGGTATAGATTTCGGTTTTTTTTTTTTTGAAATATAATTTCGTATTGAAAGAAAAAATAAAATATAAGGAAAATTAGTCGGATAATTTTGAATTTTGATAGGATTCGTGCCGTTTTTTTTGGAAACGAACTATAAATTACGGTATACTCCGCATTTGTGCGTAAGGTGTTGGTATGGACTCTATTAAAATTCAAAATTATCAGTGGAATTTTCATATTTTTCGCAATCGCTTTGTCTTTTTAATGAATTAGGATCATGATATAATAGAAAAATGGAAAAAAACTGTTTTTTTTAAATATTTTTAGGCGATTCCAATGCAAAGTAATTTGAATTCTGCAATAAAATTATGAGTATAAAATACCTGGTTATAGATTGCCAATGCTGCTGGACTTCTTGTGAACATTGCCACGATTGCCTTGTACTTCATCTATCCTCCGCTAACATGGACTGTTCCAATTTTCAAAATCAAGCCGAAGAGCAAGAAAGAATAATTAAGTTGATCGCTCTTTTAAAAATTATCCAATTTGCCACAAAATTATAGATACCGCTTTTTAGGCTTTTATTCTTTAATCAGTCTTGCCGATTATTTATTTTGTGATGAATAAAATAATATTGCCGCTAAATTAAATATAACGGTCTGAACATTGATGTTGGAAAATTCAGCGGTCTATGAACCATTTGGAACGGAACCAATTTTTATGAAACTGCGCACAACATATAAAAAACATTAGGAAAATTAAAGAATTTCTAGAAACATCCACAAAAATGTTGGAAAACTTATTATAATACAACTGAATTATCGATTAAGCGGTTGAACTAATTGTATAAATATTGGCACCGGCTAGAACGGGTCGAGCACATTGGATATTTTCAATGAGTCTGCTGTTCACCGAATTGGCCCAAAGTCTCTCAGATCGTCTGCATGTGATGGTGACGGTTCGCAAAGAGGTATCTCCAAGCTGAAATTGCATTGGTTTCAAACGAGGTATCGAAATTAAGGAGGCAATAAAAAAATAAGAGAAAATTTTTTGTTTATTAAAATATTTTTAAAAATTGTTCAACATTTGCATTTACTTGGCCAACATCTCAAATTTCTATAAAAATTGCAAAAAGTTTGCGTAGATGTTCGGGAACTCAAGTTTATTGAAGTTAGTGCAACCACTGAGTGCAAAACTTTGCGGACATACGCGATAGTTGACGCCAATTGTCCATAGAGTTACCGTACTCAGCGAAACATCGGAGAAAAAATCGAACAAATTTGTTATTTTCTTTTTAAAAAAGCGTACTTCGAAAAACCGAATTTTGCCGGTTGAGTTTGCCGAGTCGAAGTATTAAAAAATGGCGACAGTAGCCTTGCAATATAGCAACCAAACCCACACAGAAAATTAATTTGAAAAATTACCAAATATGATGTATTGTAAAACGGCTGATTTTTTACAACGTTGAACAATACAACGGATCCCTCATCTGTAGAATCACCACAATGCAGTTGTCTTGAGAATCCTTCTTGGCATAGACTCGCCGGCGGAATTGATTCGTCTGCTGGCGACCAGTTAATGTATGGCGGAGGGCAACAACCTGAAACCAAATTTTAATTTTAAAAATTTGCATACGTGCTAAATCCACCTAGCTCTGTCGTCGTTGTTGTCATCGTTGTGGTTGTGGCAGTTGTTGTTGTAGTTACAGGCGATGTAGACGTTACTGGGATTGTCGTCGTAGTCGGCGGAGGTGTACCAGTTGACGGAGTTGTCGTTGATGGAGGATTCGTCCAAGGTGTCGTCGTTGATGGGGGATTCGTCCAAGGTGTCGTCGTCGGAATTGGAGTTGTGCGTGGCGGAGTCGACGTTGTTGATATCTGCGCTAGATAATAAAAATTTGCTTGACTGACTAGATTAAATTTGTTGGCTTTCTGAAAATTGACTATGAATATCTAAAAAAAATTTTCGGGAGAGGTCTATGCGCCTTTAACTTACCCCGTTGCACACCACGAAAATTTTTACGCTAAATTTTGTGCCGAGACTTCTCCTTTTGAGCCAACAAACAATAGTTCAAAATCGCTAACCTGTAGTACTTGTGATTGGTTTGGGCGTCGTCGTTGGTTTGGTGACCATGCACGCCAAACATGCTGTGATTAACCATAAGGAATTTATAATAAAATGTTGAAACATTCGAAACGAGCGCAAAACGCCCTTCGATACCATTTATATATGGTAGGTATTAAACGGAAATGCGTTCACTTTTTTAAGGCATATCCGACAATGTGTTAGAAATTAATTGAAAGTTTCGAAATTAATGAAAATCGTGGATCGAGATAGCGAAAGCGAAAGACAATTCCTTCTTACTTTCAATGTAAATTATTGTACATATACGATGTATGAGACGGAATGGGCAATATAGTAATTAATTTCGAAATAATTTCTAAAAATTGCATGTTTAGACAATTTTCAGTTCAAGATCTCTTAGATGTGCATTATGCTGAACAATAGAACGGCGAGATCTCTATCTGCTTGTATGGTCTCCATTCGATCCAGATCATTGAGATACGGAACAAATGCGCAGAATCACACTTCAATTTTCTTTATGCTTTATTCTGTCATTATTAATTTTTATGATCCACTGGCGGAGCAAACCAATAATGATTAAGTAATTTTAATTTTATTTCTTTTTAAACAAAATTTATTATTATTCTAGCGACATGCGAACTAATGTCTTCATTCATAATACATATTACTACGGGAATTCGAAATCGTATGTTTGCTAAATGAAAATTTAAAAATACAAATGAAATGCCTTTAAGACTTGGCAAAAACGCAGTGGCGATTGTAATGACCTTGCATAAACGGACCATCGACAATTTACTAGATTATAAATTTAAGCTAATTGGCTCAAATTCGACATTGAGGAAACATTCACTAGCAACGCTATCAATGTAATCCATTTTTTATTTGAAAAAATTTTGGCATAAGATGTTCATATTTGATTTTGATAGACCTTTTTAGAAAAAAAAAATATCAAACGAAAGTTGAAATTCGACGAAGAAAACAATTTCAAAACGAGATCTATAAAGGTGTAATACACACTCACGCAAAATTGCACACAAATTCAATTTTGACGCGCAATCCAAAAAAAACTTGAAACATTCTAGAGAGGAAATTCCAAATGCGAGATGCGACTATGTGATGACCCTTGCATTATCGAATACGGTCGATAATATGGAAAAACTTGAAATAGCCGCCAACGGAGTTTCTACCATAATCCCATTCAAACCTGCCAGGACCACCGCACCTCGTCCAATTGTTTTCTGTATTTCCCCTCAATTCGTTGCTGAAGAATGGCAAGCGTTTTTGGTGCAAGTTCATGTTTCTAGAAGGTTTTTCTTTATTTTAAGAGCCGATGATTCTTCATCATCGATTGGCTAGAAGAACAAGAAAGTATAATGAAATCGATAGTGAGGAATCGGGCCAATTTTTGTGTGATTTGATTTAAAAAGAAAAATTGAAGATTCGGAGCACATCTTCATATTTATTTGCTCAGTATTATCGATTCATATTATGATTTGATGAAAGAATACGAAAAAATGGTAACACCACCTAATTATAAATTATAGTATAATTATCATGCATGCTAATTTCAGGGAGACGTGACACTTGACCAATGGTTAACTATCAAATTTCAAAAGACTGATGATCCGTATTTGGAACCGAATGGGAATGTTGAGCTCAGGAATCAAGCGGCCGCACAAACTGATTGTTTGTTGCAATATAAGGTGATCGTTCTCTTGTTCATTTCTGATCATTGTTCGAATTCTAGGAAGCCGTTGAATTTATTGGATTCTTGGATATGGATGATATTTTGATTCCTCATAACGCCAAAAACTATCATGAAGAATTTCGTCGAGAATTTGACGCGTATACGTGGATGAATGCGCTGATTTTCCAAAAAACCGATTTTGAAACTGTCAAAGGTGTCAAATTTTTTTGACGAAAAAAGCGTTTATCAGAATCGGTCGCCACCATACTTGCAACGGGGTGGGACGGGTCATGGTGAAAATTTTACCGACCCGCAATTTTGTTTCGGGATTTCTGGGTAATTTTTGTTCCAAGAACAATTAATTCTACTCAAAATAATGCAATATAAAATTCTTATTACGCTAAACAAAGGCCTCGCTGTAAACTTGGAGTGTCGTTGCGGGTCGGTAAAAAAATTCGAGACCCGACCCGGAAATTTGCATGTATGGTCGCCACAAGACTCAATCGATTAAGAGCTTTTTAACAATTATTTCATTATTATTTTCAATTTAAAGATCGAAAATTGAATTTAATTACAATTTCATTAATATTTCCCTTGAAAATTAAAAAAAAACCGAAATTGATGGTTTTTAAGACAATTGGAACTCTGGCAAATGAAAATTAATAGATTTCGAAAATAATTTCGTTTTCAATCGAATATTAATTAATCTGCTTTGAATTATTCCAAAATTTCAATCGAATGGGATTTCAAAATTAAAAATGAGAAATAAATCAATAAATTTCCGAGATTTTTTAAAATCGAATTTAAACTTTCTCAATTGAATCAGATTAATTTATATATCTCCGAATTCGATTTAATTTCGTTAACCTAAAGCGCCCGCCAGATTCTGGAAGAATTTTGCAGAAGCCGCCTATATCGATAATAACACGAAAATATTTAAATATTAAATTTTAGTCAATTCTCTTGTGGACCAAACAATCGGCAGCATTGTGAAAAACGCGAAATTATTGCCATCGAAAGATTTGGGAAAACCAATCGTCAAGCCCGAATATTACAATTCGACATGGATTCATTTTTCGATTGACGATCAAATCAAAGCGCAAAAATTGAGAAGCGAGAATCCGAACGCGCGGCCCAAGCAAAGACGAAATTCGCAGACAAACGCGATATTCCATTTGAAAACTCTCAAATTCATTGACGTCGATCGGCTCGCAACTGGAGCGATTCCATCAGGTTTAAAGGATAATAGCACAAAATTGATTGACGAGACGACTCTTGCTGAAATCGATGCCGAATTGAAGACGTTGGTCGCCTAATTTTCAAAAAATATTTGCCTAGCTTTCTTTCAGGCTTCAATCGACGCCAAATTTTCGCGAAATCTCTCAACGTCTTCCAAAAGACGAGTTTTATCGAAAAATTGTCTATCAATGCTATTTTCGCAACTTTTACCGAATTCGTGAGATGGGAAAGCTGCAAACGAAAGAATTGTGCATCAACGCTTATAACTGCGAGGTGAATCGTCGAGACATTTTCTTATAATTCTAATAGTGTTCAGCTTCCACAAAGAGACGATCTCAAATGTATTCATTCGGACGCAAGTTATCATTCGGGACCCACAATGTCTCCATTCACTTTTCACTGGCAGACCAGCTCATTTTTTTCTCCACATATTGGATGTTATCAGTAGATCAGAAAATAATAATATCGGGTATAATTGCAATAAAATACTATTTTGCCAAAAAAATGTAAAAATTTGAAACGTTTTTTGGTGGAAGGGTTTGGAATCATAAACTAGAAGGTCTTCTAAGAGGGTCCACAAAATTCCAGCCTGCACTCGTGGATTACAGACGAGTTATGGGACGTCTGAAAATTTTAGATGATGAAAACATAGAAACATTTTTCGGCGTCCTGCAAATGCATAAGAAGATGTACACCGAGTCCTCTTTGAAAATTTTTTGGCATTTGGCCAATTTTCAGCAGTCGCAGTAGGTTTCGCGAAATTTCAGATGGAAAATTTTCAGCATTTTTTCAAAATAATGTGCAACTTGGGAGGTAGCTCATTCGATTCGAAGTTTCAAATACTACTAATTAGTCAATTAAAAAAATTCTAACACGACGACTCTCCCTTAAATGACCAAAAATTGTTGAAACTCAACTGATTCACCGAATATTTAAATTTCAACGTCCGACACTTTGTATGGCTGACTCGTGTTAATCATTGCAAATATTCAGCAGGATTAAATTTCCATTTCTTAAATCCTAATTTTTTTGGTATTATAAACGCACTATTGAAGCGTATTTACAGTATTCCTCGGATTAATGCTTTATATCTCAATTATTACTTAGTTCTCCGTAATATGGGCGGGACGAATGTTCAAACAACCAATGCGGGTTGCTTAAAAGAGAGCTTAGCTCTGAATACTGCCACCTCCCAAAACAATATCTATTGTTCAATTTAAGCAATCGAGCCAATGATGGAATATGGCAATTTTGGATATTTTCTGATCCCATCAGCATTGATTGGAGTGGTTTGCAATTGGACAGTGGTGTTCTCAATGCTGAAAATCGCGTCGCTGAAACAATCATTCGGCTATTTGACAGCGAATCAAGCCCTTGGCGATGCTATTCATTGCACCGCGTTCTTATTCTACGTCTGTGTAATGATGATATTGTACGAGTGACTATAATAATTGAATTTCAGTTGCTTTATATTTTTTTACAGCGATATTGAACTTTTCTTGGAATATTCAAAACACTGCGGATTCGTTCTCATCTTCTGCTATGAGCTTTCGGTCCTCTCCCATTTGATTATATCGTTCAACCGATTCGCCGCGATCTACATGCCCATCAGATATCCGTCAATGTTTAGGTGATTAAATAGTAAAGAACTCAACCAATTTCATCAAATTTGCCCATTTTCAGTATTCGCAATACGAGTATCATTATCGCGGTTATGTGGATAACAACGGCGACGTTGACAATCTACTTTTATCAAGGCAATCAAATTGGGGGTTCTAATAGCAATTCAATATTTTTTTAGTGCTATGCCCGATTTTCTACGATCCAAGCTTGATAATGTTCTCGTTGCGATTTTCCGATTTCTGTGAGACGCTCACATGGTACACCGACTTTTGGAAGTTCATCGTCTGCATTTCACTAGTTGTCGTTTTTGACACTGCCACTGTCGCCAAGGTGCACACCATGAATCGAATGGTCCGTGGATTCAATGATTCGAAGACCAACGAGAGTAAACGAAAACGCGAGATGGTGTTTCTGAAACAAGTAATGATTCGACTATATTCAAAAATCAAATGATTGCTGTTCAGACATGCTTCCAAGGAATTGCATTCGTCTCGGAACTAATCTCCTATTTCATTGTTCCAATTTTCTATGCCGACAACAAAATCATATTGTTCTTTCTTACAACGTTCGCATGGGTTTCCGTGCATTGCATCGACGGAGTGATCACTGTCATCTGCAATCCGGAGCTTCGAAATTTCATCACACTCAGTCAGACGAAGCGGAACAGTTGAGTTTTTTTGTGTCGCTGAGATCAACACAAATTCGACGTCAATTTTCAGATGCCACCTCATCGTCGGCGAATGCTCACACGGCTCCACCATTCGTGATTAAAACCGATGCGTGAAATCTTCAACTTGAAAATTCCATAATGCCGTTTAAAATAAAGAATTTGTTAACAATTGATGTTTTACATTGTCATTATATGAAGTGAGATAATCTGGAACTTCCAGAAGCGGAATATACGAATCATATTCAATTGAGGGCAATAATGAAGACGTTAAGTAGATTCATTGATTTAGAAAACTATTTTACTAATAGTATGATTATAAAGGCCTGAATACTCATAGAAAAATGAGCAAAATTGTTGAATGCTTCCAATGAACTGCAAGCGAGAATCACAGAAGACAGAAGAGGCTTCTTCTTTTGCTATGGTCCCTTTTAGCCTTCTCGGGTTTAATTATGATTTTCAGTACCCATTTTTTTCTCATAACTCGAATTCAAACAATTCTTACCGATAATCGCTAAACTAACTGGGTTTTGTGACGAAATTGTCTTAATAAACAAATAGCTTTATCTATCTATTCATAATTTATTCATCCCCAGACACCCTCAACTGCATCCAACAATAAAGAATTGTGATCTTGAGCTAAGGAAATAAGGCCAACAAGTTCTTTTTTTGCAAAATGCCCATTTTTGACTAATCACTTAATTTTGGAGCTTGCAAACTTATTTGTTATGGATAATTCGAGAAATTCCCTAAATCCTTAATTGTTATACGCAATTGTCTGCGTATCCTTACACCGCACACACTCTCGCCGTCTTTGCACTCTCTCGATTGTGCACGCTATTTTGGAGATCGGATCCTTGTTGAACCTTCTAGATGTATTTCTGAGTTGTATTTAGTCGGAACTATTCTCATTCTTATGAATGGCTCCTTTCATAATAGTGCATCGTCATTGGACCATGTAAATCTCAGAGCATCTGCAACCGCCTGGAACGAAGGTTGCTCATCTACTGGATGTTTGAAAATCAATTTTCTTTTCCACCCGTGAGCCTAAGTGATACCAAGACTGATGGAAAACCGCAAAAAAGGACATCCCAAAATGAGATGCTCGAAGTGCTTCGAAAAAAAAAACTCAGTAAAATGAATAAATCAGTTCTCTTAATTTCCAAGAAAAAAACATTTTTTTGAGAAAAAAAGTGCATTTCAGATAATTTTTCAACTTTTTTAAGTCTTGAAAAAATCATTGATGCATGTGGGGGGGGGGATTTTTACGCGCCATGCTGTTAAGTGAGCATTGTCCGTGTGGAGTACACAAGACGCGCCACGTCGTCTCGAGACCATTTCTGGCATTAAGCCAGTTTATCTCTCAATATTTATATATATATATATAATTTCAAACGGCCAGCATTATTTTCAGTTTTTGAGCGGGGGCTGTTTTCAATAATTTTGTTTATATACTCGGGCATGCTGATTTTGCATACCACCAATTAAAAATGAATTCAAGGATCAATTTTTTGAAAATTGTTTGTCATTGTTGAAATATGGTGATACCAATTAACATATAAGGCGTCTATTTTGTTTTATAGTCGTTTACGAACGAAATTGATTTGAATTGCCGCCCGGGGTCTCGTATGGAACAAAATAATTTTTTAGAAATTTTAATGAATTTCAAGTAGCTTGGTTATTCTTTAAAAAAATGCGTCAGATTTAGGCCGTTTAAAATGAAATTCGAAATTTTCAAATTCCTCCAGTCCTCAATAATAGAGTATAATTCAATCTTTGGTTATTCGTTCCTCTTCAGAAGACTTCATAAATTTCCATTATTCTATCCTTGCTTGAAAATCATCAAATTAAACCGAAGAGAATTTTTTGAGAACAAAAATCCCCCAAAAACGTGATTCATCTTGTATTCAAAATTTTTCATCTCAAAGAAATTTTTATTGATGACCAACTCCAAAACGCCATAATATTTTTTTGCGGTGATGCATTATCACCATATGAGGAATTGCTTATGGCATCTCTATTCATTCGCCTAAATCCTATCTAGAATTGAATCGTCAGCAAAATTGAGCAAAGATACAAGCTTGTTATAAAAAAGCGATTTGTATCTATTTGTATGAAGTCAAAGCTTCATGTTAGGGCTTAATTGATTGATTATTAAACTGCTCAATTAATGAACTTTGAATTTATTCAATGTAGTGAATCTGCTATTCTCCGTTCCAGCCAATTTATAATTTCTTTATTTTTTATTTTCAGCTTTTCAGATCATGAATTTCATCAATTTTGGGTTCTTTCTCATTCCATCAGCATTGATTGGAGTGGTTTGCAATTGGACAGTGGTATTCTCAGTGCTGAAAATCTCGTCGCTGAAACAATCATTCGGCTATTTGACAGCGAATCAAGCCCTTGGCGATGCTATTCATTGCACCGCGTTCTTATTCTACGTCTGTCCAATGATGATACTGTAAGCTCTCACAGTAATCCATTTTTGGGCAGTTTCGATTCAGTGATATCGAGCTCTTCCGAATCTATTCCAATCACTGCGGATTCGTTCTCATCTTCTGCTATGAGCTCTCGGTCCTCTCTCATTTGATTATATCGTTCAATCGATTGACTGCAGTATACATGCCGACGAAATATTCCTCAATGTTTAGGTATCTTTATTACCTTTTCAACACCTGAATTATAATGTTAAAGCCTTCGCAACAGTATAATTATAATAGTCATTTTATGGATAACTACGGCAATGTTCACAATTTACTTTTATCAATGTGATAAGGCAATTCATTAAAGCGTCCAGCTATTCGAAAATTTCAGACCTGTGCCCTCTATTCTGGGTTAAAGAGTTGGGGCTTTTCATGTTCCGATCCTCGGATTTTTGTGCGATCTTATCATGGTACACCGATTTTTGTAAATTCATCGTCTGCATTTCGCTGGTTGTCATCTTCGATATTGTCACAGTTGCCAAGGTCCACTCGATCAATAAATTGGTTCGTGGGACCAGCGATGCCAACTCGCGCGAGAAGAAGAGAAGAAGAGAGATGGTGTTTCTCAAGCAGGTTCGGTAGTTTTGAGAAATCCATGGAAATTAAGAACAATCCTTTTCGTGTTTAGGACCATTATTCACAGATTTTCATGAGGGTCCCGAACACGAAAATGCGATTAGCTTATTTTTCCCAAAAATCTGCGATATTCGATTATACGACGCCTCACTATTTTTTTCAGACTTGTTTCCAAGGAGCCGCATTTGTGTTCGAGTTGGTCTCGTATTTTGTGGTCCCATTGTTTCTAGCCGACAACAAGATCGCTCTGTTCTTTCTTACGACATTCGCGTGGGTTTCGGTGCACTCGATTGACGGAATAATTACCGTCCTGTGCAATCCGGATCTGCGCAAATTTATCACGTTCCGAAGAGAAAAATCAAGTAGCCATTATCTTTATCAGTTTCCGCAACGCATTTTCAGATCAAGTCTCATCGACGAATAATGCTCATCAACATCGCGGAGAGCAAAGATCCGAAATTCCACATATTCTGTCGACACCCAGCACATGACACACACACACACACATTTTAATTTTCATCGAGAAATTTAATCAAAAATACATATGCATAAATTAAGTGGTTCAAACCAAATTCATTATTAATTAGTAAACAATTAATGATTAATAATAAATATGTTAATTGAAAAAAATATATTTTGGACCAATTAATTTCACACGATGAGGTTAAACTTGAACAAGAAAATCCAAGAAATTTGCTCAGCGAAAATTGAAAGCAAAACAGAAAAATTGGATAAATGCCAAAAAAACTAAAGCTTGGCGCTAAACTGAAAGTGCAGATTTTTTTTCACACTGAGATTTTAACCTAAATTTTTTATCAATTTGAAAATTTTCCGCTGGCGCCGACAACAGGGAGTGAAGAAAAGATGGTAGATCAAAAATATGATACTGTCGGTCAGCATTTTTTTAAAGGCTCTGGCTCAAAATAAAGGGGCTATGGCAAACAATTAATAGATCATTCTTTAAATTAATTTTTTTAAATTCTCAATTTTTATTAAATTCGCACCTATGAAAAAATCAGTGGATTTTCAAATTTGAAAATTCCAACATCAGTTTTCTTCTGGATAAATGAATAATTTTGATTTGAATAGAATGAATTATTTTTTACTCAAAGTCTGCACTCTCTCAATTTTCGTTGTCTCTCTCTCTCCAATAATATGTATAAATAAAAACTCATCATTTTTATGAAAAAAATTAATGCATTCCATCAAATCAAAATGATTCATTTATCCAGAAGAAAACTGATGTTGGAAAATTCGTCAAAATTATTAAGACCCCCCATGTCTTCTATTTTCATAAATCAAGCAGAGCTTAACATATTTAATTCTTAGAAGATTTTAACAAAACAATAATGTGGTGTCGTCAAACGACCCGCGAATGAATGAGGGGCGTTCAAACAAATAAGGCAGATATGCATAAATGCTCAAAATATATGGCAGCAATGACTCATTTATGTTAAGTCGGCTTTTGTACAGCCCTTGACATTTTTCTTTCTTTTCGATATTTCATTAATTTTTAAAGCGCTCGATAACTTGCCTTATGGTGGTACTATGTAGATTTCGCAAAAAAAAAACAAATTCCTAAAAAATTTTTATATGCGCTTTTAATATTAAAAGAAAATATAAATAACTATAAACACAATCTTGGAAATAAAAGGATAAAATCGTTACAGTTAAAGGCGCATATCTATCAGCGATTTAATTTAAACAGTAGTACTGTAGGCTTTCAAAAACCTGGCCGCGGCCGAGGTTTTTGGAGTTTTTGTATCTATCGGTTTTTAGGGGTTTTTTTTGAGGACTTTTTTGCAGGAACTTCATTCCACGAGGAATGGAATGGAGCAGCTTTGGGTTCTTTCTCATTCCATCAGCATTGATTGGAGTGGTTTGCAATTGGACAGTGGTGTTCTCAGTGCTGAAAATCTCGTCGCTGAAACAATCGTTCGGCTATTTGACAGCGAATCAAGCCCTTGGCGATGCTATTCATTGCACCGCGTTCTTATTCTACGTCTGTCCAATGATGATACTGTAAGTCGTAAATTCAATAGTCAAAACTTGAAATTTCTGCAGCGACATTGAGGAATTCCAATATCACTCAAAACACTGCGGATTCCTTTTGCTCTTCTGCTATGAGCTGTCGGTCCTCTCTCATTTGGTCATCTCGTTCAATCGATTCTCAGCAGTCTACACGCCGACGAGATATTCAACAATGTTCAAGTCAGTCAAAATTTTTTTTCTGAATTCAGCATGTGAATTACAAGGGCGATGTGTGAAATGGAAGATTTATCAATTTTTTGCATTAGGTGACTCTCAGAATCACTATTCATTGAACAAAAAGTCGCACTTGAATTTTTAGTCAAAAATTGTGGAAGGATTTCGCGTTGATTCTGTTTAGCCGTCAACCCTATTAACAAAACCGGGGCTAACAAATTAATAAATTTCTAGTTGTCTACTTTTTTGCAGTGAGTAGCTAAGTTACCCAAAAAGTTTACAATTGTATGCTTACTTCCTGTCAATTTTTCACGGTCTTCTGTCCTCTAGGACCCCCCCCCCCATCAACGGTTTTCCCATTCTTATATTACGAATTGCCAAATTTTTGTGATATTACGAATTGCCGAATTTTTTGCGCAAGTAGAAGTCGTGGATGCCTTGGTCACATTATGTCGGTGTCCATGGAAGCCGAAGCTTGTCAATTCAAGAAGCACGAACCCATTTTATTTTACGCGCCCCAATTAATTGACAACCCTCGCAATTCAAATTTTTCAAAATCGTTCGTCTACAACAATATACTATACTTGTTTGCAGCTCTCGGAACCTCGGAACACAGTAACCATTATTGTTGTAATGTGGGTGTCGACTACGATATTAACAATTTACTTTTATCAAGGTATAATATTAATAATAATTATTATTCAACAGTACAATTCATCCTTTTAATTTGCAGTTCTCTGCCCAATATCGTACGATCCCAACATGCTCATGTTCTCGTTGAGGTTTTCGGACTTCTGCGCAACCTTGACATGGTACACCGATTTCTGGAAGTTCATCATTTGCATCACCCTGGTTGTTGTGTTCGACATTTTCACCGTCGTCAAGGTTCACTCGATCAACAAATTGGTGCGCGGCGTCAACGATACGAAAACGAATGCGAAGAAGAGATCAAGGGAAATGGTTTTCTTGCGGCAGGTTGACAGCATTGTAGACGATTGGCTCGAAATTATTAAATTTCAGACGTGCCTTCAAGGAATCGCGTTCGTGTTTGAACTGGTATCCTATTTTGTGGTGCCATTGTTTCTCGCTGAAAACAAGGTTCTCTTGTTCTTCCTTACGACGTTCGCGTGGGTTTCGGTTCACGCGCTAGATGGAGCGATTACCGTCGCCTGCAATCCCGATCTTCGCAAATTTATCACATTCCGGGGAGCTCGATCAAGCAGTAAGAGTTATTTTTCGAAAGAAAAATGAATACTTATTTTTCAGATGTCGTTTCGTCAACACATGCTCATCCACAAATGACTGGCGAGAGACGATCTGAAACGCAACGCGCATCGACATCCGAGACTTCACGTTTTTGAAATTTCGTCTAAATAAAATTATTCAATTGTTTCTTTTTCTGATATTTTGAGCTCAAAAAATTGGACAGGTTCAATGCTATACGCAATTGACTTATTTAGACTCATATCCAAGAGATCGTGGGTTCAACTTCGCTCTGTCGCAAAGTGCTTCGCTGTCTGCGTCTCATTCCACAACTCTCTCTCTCTCTCTCTCTGTACTCCCGCGATTATACACAGCCTCTTAAAACTCAGACGGACAAATACGCCAGACGGTTGTTATATATTTTACAATTCTATATAGCATTTTTTTCTGCTGCGGACAACATACAGGGCTGATGTTGAAGAAAACAAAAGCAAAAAAACTATAACCCCCACAAATCACCACTCAGATATGAGCTATTTTATGGTTTTCCGCTTACAAAATTTGTCAGACACTGTTCATTGAAATCTGGTCGAAAATATAGTAAAAACTCGATTAACGATCGAACGATGAAAAGATTAAAATAGAGATTTCATGGAAACTAAACGAGCGTTCTAAATTTTAGATTTTTTTTTAGAAATTTTCAATAATACGCGCAAATATGTGTGACGGACAAGAGAATTAAATATGCTAGCGATTGTATTGAAATATTCAAGGGAACTCATGAATATCGAATTTTTTTCAAAAGAATCTGTTCAGATGATCTTTATCGCGAAATCTCGCAATGCTTGCGATATCTCGTAATTTTCATTTGCATTTCATGCTTCACGGAAAACGTTTGCGACTATCTATTATAACGTTCGTTCTAATTTGCACTACAATCATTATAAATTCAACACATTTTCAATTCAAGATTGGTAACGCGATTAACAATTAATGACAATGATAATATTTTTCAGGCAGATTATTTTCAAACAATTCGCATGATTTTCGAAACCAGAGCGATTCCGTTGCTTCTATTAATGAAAATAGTGAGGAACCGTATTTCCTAAAGGAAACATTTGAATTGAAATTGTGGGTTTGGTTTTCAATTAAAGAAATTAGAAAAGTTTAGGGGCAATTGTTGATTTCCTTAAAAAATCAAATGTGTGCAATTTTGCGTGGCGCGTGTATGAACTTTTATGAGCGCGACGAATTTTTGAATATTCTTTTTATCACGCTTTTTATTTTTTTTTTTTGGGTTTGCTGTATTGGTTTTTCATACTCCATTTGTAAAAATATAATTAATTTTTTAAAATTTAGATCAACATGCCGAATACGAGAATGGAACAATGTTCATAATGACAATATTCCAAATCACGGCATTCATAAAAAATGGAGAGCAAAGAATGTTGGCAGTTGGGTTTGTTCTGTGCAATATCTGAAATTTATTAAATCTTATTGCAGTTTTACTTATACCACCCACTTCCTAGTATAATCAGCGCATTCGCTTATAAGGACCATATAGCGGTGACGCTTTTCTCCCAGACGCATTACGGGTAAACTTATCGGAGTTGCTTTTAATATACCGATTTTGCAGGAGGGTTGTTTATTGCCGATACTTTGATTGTCAAAGAAATGAGATAAAACAGCCGTTTGAAGCATTCGTGTTTCCCGAATCGGCGGTGCTGTGCGGCCGGCGAATCGGTGCTGAATATCTAGCTGTAAGCAACGAGCCTGATGGCGAGTTGCCCGAAAATCCTGTCAAAATTATCCGACGAGATGGTGATCATTTCAATCAAATTAAATATTTTTTGGTATTTTTTTTAGAGCCGGAGCACTTCTTCACCGTATGCTTGGCGCCATTGTATGGCGATGAAGCGAAATATCTCCAACTCGCCGAATTCATTGAATATTACAAGCTTCAAGTAATCGACAAAATTCTATAAACGCTTAAAAACTATTTAGGGAGCCACATTTTTTCATATTTATCACATAAATGTGTCGGATTATGATCGGCTTCTTCTCGATGACTATGTGAGAACTGGCGAGATTGAAACAATCAAAATGCACGACAATTTTTGGAGGGCCGATTTCATGTGGCACATGGTCCAAATCAATGTAAATGGATGGTTTCTTGAGTTGGTGGACGGTCCAAATAAAAATTCCAGGATTGTCATTTCCGCTCAAAAACCTTCGCGAAATGGACCGCTTTTATAGATATTGATGAGAGACTTGAAATGCGACAGCAGTCGCAATTTCGGACGATTGGCCAATATTTGGAGTAATTGCGCTTATTATTATAGTTGGTTTCTGAGAAACAGAATCTCTGTTGTCAAGAGGTTCGCGTGCGGTCACGGAAAATTTTTTTCGCAACAAAAATATTTTCGAATGAAGTGTGCTTCGTTTGCGATAGGGGTGTTAATAAAACAATTAACAAAATTATTCCGGCCTTATAGAATGTCTTCATGAATCATTGAGGTCGGTTATGAACCGATGGGGAAAATAAAAATAAATGGAAAATTTGTTTTTTTTTCTCGTTACCGCACGAAATAATGAGCCGAATCTGGTAGCCATTAGTTTTTTTTTTAAATCAGAAACTGATTATAGAAAATTATGTGATTTAGTAATTATTTTCAGCTCAATTACGGACCCAAAAATCAACTATTTGTTCTGGAAAACCCAATGGGTCCAGAAAACAGAAGATGATCCACCGAGGTATATCAATGAGTCGCATGTAAGCTATCACTAAAGGATAGAAAAAAAATGAAATATTTCGATGTATTTGAAGTTGATTGAAAATATGGGATTCCGGAAGTTCAAAATGACATCGGAGAAAATCGGCGGATTCTCACTTCAACCGAAATGCATAATTCGTCCCGAAATGACCGCGGTGATGTTTGTTCATTGGCCAACTGCCACCTATCCAGGAGGGTCTCGTTTGGAAATTGACGAAAATGTTGGAATCAACAGGTAATTCAATAATGATGGCTTTTGGAAACTTTCAAAATTTTTTAAGGCATTATCGATCATTGAAAAAGCGGATTTTGAATTATTTTGGTATTGACCGAATATCGGAATATGGACCATATAAGGAGACTTCGATGGCTCCATGGATTGAAGAAAAACTCACAAATGAGGTATCTGATGTATTTTTTATCATAAAATATTCAAAAACTTAAATTATAGGTGAAAAAGAGGATTCAATGGGTGTATGATGTTAAAGATCTGGAATGCAGGAAGAAACAAATTGCATACTATCGGCATGGTGAATTGAATGCGCCGTGCTTCATCGAGAAAGTCAAAGCGGGAAATTTATCAATTAGCCAATGAATATAATTTAATAATATATAGATAAATGCTTTTTTGCGAAGGGATGATTTTCCGAAATTTTTGGTGTCAATCAAATAAATTTAAATTTAAAAAAGAAATTAAGGCTCCTTGGGAGGAAAAAATTGAAAAACGATTGGTCATATGAGACCCAAAGCGGAAATTCAAATTACTTGGAGCCTGAAACTTGATTTTTTTTAGTTTCTAGCAGCATTCGGATTTAAAAATTGTCGAACCGATCCATAAAATGCAAAATAACCAATTAGTCCACCCGAGAACAAGAGACCCGTAGCTACCCTTGTTCAGCTGAGAAATATTGAACTCTCGTTGAAGCAGATTCGAGAATCTTGGGAAACTCTACATGAATAATTTTCTCTTTTTTTCCCAACGGTCTCCTTTATATCGAATTTGAAAATTGATGTTTTCCTCTGTATCTCGAAGATCTTGTCCCGTTGAAAAATGCGCAAAAGATCGCGCATCTAAAATCGCTTTTGAGAACGTTCACTCTTGTTCGAATCTGCGGCAAATCTCCGATGTTTGGTTGATCAGGTTTTGACATTCATCTGAAATGATCGGAAATATAAAGAGATGTCTAGTCGTAGTTGAAAGCGAAGAACAAATTTTTTTTAATCGTAAGAAAACGAGTAACCTGCGAGTTCGGTCAGTTTGATTCGCAGGTTGTCCGTTTGTACGATACACGATTTCCACTAATATTTTTCAAATTTGAATCACTGCCTCTGGTCCACAAATACCCAAGGTGCTCGTTTCTGATCTTGTGAAATCAGTGTAAATTTAAAAGTTTAAACGTTGACTAAAACACCGACAAAATTTGGTTCCGAAATCAACCCGATCCGATTGGTAATTCTAGGGATAAGCCTTAAAATTGTCGGATCCGATTGTTTTTTTTTTTTGGATATTTTCGGATTATTATTCGATTCCAATTTGTTTTAATATTTTTCAATTCAAATCGGATTCGACCAGTAGAATCCAAGAAATTACAAATCGGATCCAAAAATATCTTTAAAAAAAACCAAGCAGATCTGACAGTTTTTCGAATTTAACCCTAGAATTGCCAATTGGATTAGGTTGATTTGGGAGCCGAATTTTGTCGGATCCGATTAATTTTGAAACACCAGAGAACGTAGTCTTGCGTCGTTCTCGTGGCTCGGGGTGCTAATTTTGTGACAGCTGCAAATTGGCAAATCTTCACCCGAACAATGCACCAATTAATAACTGTCAAAACTCGAAGAATCCAATTATTGAAAAAAATGAGCCAGTTGCTTATTTTCCCAAAAATGTGCATAGTATATCATTTGAATTGGCTGATTTGGAGACCTATCAAATTATTGTTTGTTTGAATAAAGATCCATGGGCAACAATTTTATTCGACTTGCTAGGGAACATAGTAAATTCTCAACGACACACGATAAAAATCATTGAAGATCATGTTTCTTTGTGCCTCGATACAAAAATTCGGATATTTGAAGCCGGCCTCTAGATAAAAATCGCACAGAAACCGGCGTGATCGATGTCCTTTAAATAGCCGTTGAGAACCTTCATTTACATTCTTTTTTTGAGATTAAGAATTTCCTCCTTCATACATTTCATAACTCAACAATGATTTCAGGGTTCCTATTAAACCAATTCTCAAAATGCATAATTACACATTATTGCAAGGTGATAATTGTTGAATGAATTTCAAAGCTCATATTCGATTTTTTTAGACTACACTAGGTACCGAAGGCACATCTTCTTCTACATTGTCACATTTTGCGTCGGAATTTTTCTATTCTTCAATTATTTCGAAATTCAAGTTCGCAAAGATAACGAATCACTCGTAAAACTGATATCGAAGCCAGTGCTCAGAGAATATGTGAATCCCGTGGCACCGCTTGACGACACTGGCTACATTTTCTCGAACAAGGTAGATCAGAAGAAGTGAGATCATTGAATTATTTCAATTTTCAGCCAATTCCGCCATTGGACCCACGATTTGAGATGATTAATAATCTGCCGACGTGCGATTTAACTCAAGATCGCATTCCGATGACGAACAATGCCACTGCGGTGATGGACGCATTCCAAGCCTGCATGAGACCACTCATTGAGCAATATCGAGGAAAACCAGCAGAGGTAAGAATGAAATGGAACGTTCGAATTTCTCATTTTTTATTTTTCAGCTAATGAGCAATTGGGTGAAAGCAACAAAGCCGTGCGACGATATTCCAGAAATCAAGAATTTGCGAATCGATGCGTTCAATAATCAGCACGAGACCAAGTGGACAATTCTGCCCAACTGCGTACGTTCCCTTTTGGATTTCATTTTGAACGCTTGTCCTTTTATAGAAAGAAGAGAACACGATGGTCACTCTTGGTATTGGCCACGATACTGAGGCTGAAGAGCGCCTCAATCGCACGCTTCCCAACACGAAATTCTTCGGCGCCGATCCGATGATCGATCCGAACATGCAGCTCTATTCGGCGTTTGGCAAATTCTTCCCGTTCGCCATCGGCCGCAAAGCGGGCTTGTCGCGATTCCGTGTGCTACCAAATCAGAGTCAGCGAACGAGAAAGTACACGTGGCAAGACGTGACCACCGTTGATTTGGTCTACTTCCTTCACAACATTTTGAGTTTGCAACGAATCGACATTTCCTATATCGACATCGAAGGCGGCGAATTCGAGTTTCTCGATCATTTCCACAAGAGCGGGCCGCTCGACGAGAAGGGAATCCATGTGTGCCAATTCAATCTCGAAGTGCACACCGCGTTCAACCCACCAGGCGAGCAGATCTTCCATGATTTCATCTTTCGAGCATTGGAAGAGCGCCGATGGGTGTTCGTGAAGCCGATGTTGACCGGAAAAGGCGTCCATCGAATGTTTTTGATTAATATGGAAAATCAAGAATGCGTTAGAAAATTCATTCAATAATTTTTTCACAAAAACACCTAGCCTTACAATTAGGCCTAGTTTTGTATATCTGTGCAATTAAAATTGTTATAAAGTTTTTAATAACCTAATGAGCTGACTTTTGTGCATTTGAAGAATTTCTGTGATGCCAGTTGAGCAGATGGATCCGAATACGACGATGGAAGCGGGATGCGACACTCGATGAACAGCTCAAAGTGTTTAAATGAACTTATTTTTACAAGCGCCTTTGATAGATGCTGTACTTTTCAATGATATTACTAGCGTAATTAAAAAATCACACAAGAATATCAAGCAACAAATCCTCAAAATTCTGTATGTGCGCGTCAACTCGCGTGTGTGTGTGCATACACCGCAATGTGTACCGTACACCCTCGAAATAATGAGCGTGTAAAATCAGAAGAAAAAATTCGACGATTCAGCAAACCTTAACATCTCTGATGTCTAACGAATTCAATGAAACAGGATTACAAGTCCATGACACGGAATTTCAAATCATAAAAAACTCGATGACAGTTTTTAGCAATGATCTCAACCTCCGATATGTATTCTCATAATAAACTATTTTCGATGAAAATCATTAATTAGTCGAGATTAAAATTAATTCCGACTTCTCCTCAATCAGTTTTTTGTAGCATGGCGCTGATCGTAATCCGATTCCCATATAGGCATTTTGTTTAAGAAAACAATCGGCATCTTCAGTATTGTATGTGTAGTTGAGCCGATTGAAAACCGCGTATTCCAATTTCAAAGCAATTTCATTTAAAGTGTATTCATTGGTGTATTCTCCAATATTTTTGGAATACTGCCTAAAAGCAAAAAATTCATTTTTCTTAAATTTTTCAATTAATCTCTCTATTACTTCACATATCCAATTTCCTCGTCAATAATTGTTGAACGATCGAAATCGTAAATCCGCGTTTCATCCGGTTGTATGATATACTTGAATCGATTCTCTTCAAATCCAGACGAAATCTGATAGCTCTTCAGAAATGGCAAAGAAAATTCGGACGCGTTGAAATAACGAGAACCGCTTCGATCGCCGATCAATTTTGTTTTGAATGCCATGTTTGGGAGATCTTGTGAGGATCGATAATTGAGAGAGGTTACATTTTTCCAAGCACAATCAAAGCATACTCGAGAAATAATTCAAGAGTTGAATAGTGCGACGAATTGATTTCCAGTCGATCATCAATATTGAGAAACGCCGTCCATTTCGAGAACGATCGCGAACGAAAATGACAATCCTATAATGAAGAAGTGGCTTGGCTCATTATTTTCTAGCAGATACTTGGCTATTTTTGGTTATCGAAATTAGAATTTCTAAAAATAAAATGAGCCGATCCAGTTTTCTCGAGAACATGTGCTAATTATACTACATAAAGTGGATTTTATTTTTTTTAATTTTACCACAAAAATTCTTGTTGGGCGACTGATTGAAATTCGAAAAATTATATTATCGAAGTCAAACGACTTGACGAAATTTAAAAAAATTATTGGCTATGTGCCAATGCGTACAACGAGAAGTACGCGAAACTGCGTACATTGCATTATAGTGTACGCGCATTTAATACTCAGTCAACGATAAATTTAAATCAACACATATTTCGCGAATTTGAAGGCCCCGCCTCCATTCAGTTTGAGGCTGACAATATATTGTGATATGCCTCGTGTGTTTGCGTACTGTGCATTTTATCGTACGCGCTTTTTTTTTAATATTTCGTAGTTCTACATTGAGTTTGGAAATTTTGAATTCCTCGTCTGTCATTTCAAACAATTAAAAATAATTTTTAAAAATTGAAAAACGCTGAGAGAGAAAGAGTGTGCGATTTTGAGACCCGCAGGAATTTCTGTCCGGAACCCAATATTTCTAAAAATTTCGTGGTCAATTCTTCAATTCTCAAAAAAAAAACCAACGCTCGTTTGCGTCTGCATCCACATGAAATCCTCGCGCCAATAATGATCTCTCAATCGGATCACTTCGATTTCCCCAGTGCGCGCATAATCGTCAAGAATGAATCGATCGTAATCTGTGATGTTTCGCACATAGAAATGAAAGAATGTTGCACCCTGAACATTGAAGCTTGATGTTTCGTTAGATCACCGAAAAACCTGAAGCTTATAATATTCGATGAACTCGGCGATTTTCAAATATTTTCGATTTTCGCCGATAAGCGGATCAACACAAACAGTAAAGAAATGTTGGGTCTCTAAAAGAAATAAATGAAAATGCATTAATTTAAAACAAAATGAACCTAATCTCTTTTGTATTCTCACCGGACTTTCGAATAATGCGTCTTCTAGCGTACTGGTGATTGTGATATAAGCAGCGCCAATTCGTCGCCCGCAAAACACCGCACTTTCCGGTAATACGGTGGTTTTGAACGGTTGAGGGATCTCGTTGAATTTACAATCAAAATAGCGACAATAAACGAATCGTCTGAATTTTTCGGATTTTTGAAAACGCGACTTCTAGAAAAGCTCATACGATAAATGATTTTCGGAGGAAAGTGTCACAACTATTGAATCGTGATAGGCAAATGCTGAGAACACACTCGGGGTAGCATGAATCAGTTGAGCCTAAAATGGATATAAGTAAGCCACAAGCTCGAAATTTGTGGAAAAATGCAAAAGGCAACTTTTTTGGTATTTAATCTTGATTATTTGATATAGGAATATCATCGAAACCAGTGGAAAATATCGCAGAAAACGTCATCATGAATGATTTTTAAGGAAATCGAGCTTGCGCGATGTTGTGATCGGTTGTCCTGATCGCCAGATTTTATGATGTTCGGTGAGAACACGTAAACTCTGGTAACTCAAAACCAATCGGATCCGACAAAATTCGGCACCTGAATTAACCTTATCCGATTGGTAATTCGTCGGATCAGACTGTAAAATTATCGGATGCGATTGGTTATTTGTCGAATCCGATTCGAATTAAAATATTAAAACAAAACGGATTCGAATAATTACCAATCGGATTCGAAGAAAATCTAATCGGATCCGAAAATACCCAAAAAAAACCAATCGGATACGACAATTTTACAGTCTGATCCGACGAATTACCAATTGGATAAGGTTGATTCCGGAGGCGAATTTTGTCGGATCCAATTGGTTTTGAGTTACCAGAGGGGTTTATTTTTTTTTTAACCCTGACAATGTGAGAGGTGGGAAGAAATAACGAACAACACAAAATGCGCGCACTTTTCTACTGGATTGAGTGCTTCTAGAAATCCCCTACAATTCAAGTAAGTCAGACAGTGTATAGAATAGAGAGAGCGCAGACAACGAGAGAGTGTGCTGTGGACAAAGACGCAGACATTGCGTGTAAGAATTATGAAAATATTGAATTTTTTTGGGACCTTCTGTAGAAAATAATCTCCATGACAATATAATCTTGATGTTCTACCTGTACTATGTAAAAAAACCAAATGTACTTAAACTAGTACCAACAACTCCCAGGGGACTAAAAAATGTAAAACAAAGAAAAACTTTAATGTAGTTCACTCGGTAAATTCAGGCGAGAACTCTTGTACCCGAGCCTGCTTCTCGACGAGACCGGCACGGTGAATCATATCAGATAATCAGAGCGAACGGAAGCACATATCGGATGTCTCTCGGAAAAAATCTCTCCCAAGGGGTTTGGATAGGTTGAGAATGACGAAATTCGGTAGCGTCTGAGCCAATGAGTTTTGCGAGCCGAGATCGGCTCCCATTTTTCTCTAGGAGCTCTTCAGACCCGATGGCATTGAATTTACCAAGTTGTACCTTACTGCCCACACTGAAATCGCGTATCTGGAATGTATCCGTGTGAATGGTGTTCCAATCAGGTATGATGCACATTGATGGTTTGAATCTAGCTTAGTTTTTTTTTTCAATTTTTCTAAATTCCACATTTCAATTCTTACCTTCTTGCTGTATCTTCTAAAAACAGAAATTTGTGAGTAAGCAATTATTAAAATTAACCTGATTTTTTGAAAAACTTCAATACTAAAATAAGGGTAATTAAAATTAAAAATAATAGGTTCAGAATTGTTGAAATTCTACGAAAACTCGCCATTGTTTGGCATGAAGAGAAGCCAGCAACACTGCAACTGCGCTAACAGACGAAAAATAATTAAAAAATAGTTGAAAAATAGTGCAGACTTTGGATGAAAGAGGGATCTGTAACAGATCTATTTTCAAGTCTATTTTTCATCAGCGCTTCATCTATTTCTCAGCCATTCTCTATCTATTTAGCATCTTGGATTCATCTATTTTTCATCCATTTTATGTCTTGTCTCTGTCCCTCGTTCTTGCATTTTTCATCAGTTTTCTATCTATTTCTCATCCATGATTCATCCTTTTTTTTAACCCATTTTTGTCTACTTCTTGTCTCTTATTCATCTATTTTGCGTCTATTTTTCTTCTGGATGGTTTTTATGAAAAAACAACAGTAAACGGAAAACAACAAAATAAAAAAAAAGAAAAATACAATAAATTGTTTAACATTAGAAATATCAAATTTCAATTAAATAGAAAAATGCTGATTGAAATATTCAGCGGCATCGGGCTTCAGTTTTTTGAGTTGGTGCTCTTTTCCAATTTTGATAGCCAAACTATGCGCCATAACTTTGCTAGCGTGGTGAGATCCTTTCTGATCGTTATAATTTGAACGAAGGCGATCGCTAAAAGTACATGGTGTTATTTAGTGAAACATTCGCATAACTACATGAAAGTAATCGCAGACTCTTTGATTTGCACAGCAACTGAAGTAGCTTGATCCGTCGTTGGAGCAATATCTAATCCAATGAACAATGCTTCTTAATTTTTTTTTAACATTGTTCACATATGTATGTATTAAACTTGAATTGCAGATAGCAAACAAGAAAATTTGAAGTCTGAATAACTATAAGAAAAATCTAAAACATTATATCTGAAACATACATCTAGTTTTTGCCTTCCGTTAGTGAGCAATCGAGTCAAATCGGCTCCTTCAATTGGCAATTGTAGATGTTTGTCGAAGTTTTCGAGCATGGTTTCATCGCATTCGAACATTGCAGATTTTTTTCTTTGAACATCTAAACTTTTTAGGCATGAGCTCTGGAATTTCTGCCGTTTTTTTGGTCACACTTAATTTTGATACCTTTTAGTATCAACATTACAATTCCATCTGAACAAGTGTGAAGAACATCCAAGATTGTATTGTACGGCTTGACATATTGCACCATTTTCGCCGCAACAGGACCAAATCCATTAACACCGCGAATACTATCTTCTAGAGTCTTATCCCCAAATCTGTCCAATCGTCGATCTTAAATCAATATAAGCGATGAATAAGAGGGTTTAAAATTATTATTGATTATTACCGTTTCCAAGTAGTGGTTTGTGCAGAGTTCCGTGAGAGTCGCAATAAAAACAAGCTTGTGGACTTGAAAAACCGCTCATTCCAAGAATTTTTCTTTTGCCTTAAACTGAAATCTATAGAAATTTTTATCACTTAATCCTTACTGGTTGGTCAGAAACGAGTGACACGAGGTATGGAGAAAATAAAATATTGTTTACAACAAATGTTGACCCTTCGCCTTCCAATCGATTCATTATAATTTCCGTGACGGTATTCAATAGAAGGGTTGTTGGATTATTAGCTTTTAATTGCAGCATTCCACAGACTACAAGATTAATTGAAAGTTGCGACATCATTGTAGGCAAAACCACTAACTGTAAAGTAATTGGCCACAAACATCCTCTAAATGGCACATCTTTAATAAACAAATAATAATAATACCTGAAATGTCCTCGGGGATTGACGCCGTCCAGACATAGCACCATGCTCAGATCACAATGATTTTCATCCTCGTATTTCCATGAACTGGAAAAAGAACTTCCTTGAAGATTGTGTGTGAAGTTTGGTGCTTTTTCCTTCAATTTCTTTCGAATTTCCATTATATCGTCAAAGGACGACTCCACAATCCCGCGAATTTGTTCGGTGAGAGGCAGCATAAGAAAAGTCGCCAAATCGCCGCAACTGAAATTGATCATAATAATGTTTGAAATGTGGTATATGTGTTTACCATTCTTTCTCTCTTCGACATCCACACTTTTCGCATATTGAACGCTTCATAATATTCTTCTTGAAATCATACCACAATGAGCGGGCTCTTTCAATCGGGATGAAGTTTTTAATTGTTACCAGTCGTCTCAAAAAGCCTGCAACCATTTTTTGTCTTTGGAAAAGTATTAGTTTTACCATTTTCTGTATCTTTTCCGAGTACCGAACTATACATGCACAATAATAGTTCATCGGCCAATTCCGATACACGATCATGTGCGGGGTAATTCGGTACGCATGACGGCCCGACTACTTCGGAGAATTCTTCAATTTCGCTTTCAGATCGTTCTCTCATGAGAAAGGATGTTGTTGATGCATCATTTTCATTATTTTCGTTGTTCGACGATTTGTTTCGAAGTGAAAGCCGGGCGTTTTTTCGAGCAAAGACCACACGTTTGGTCGGCATGCATCGCGAACCAGCAATTTGATCTTAAAATAATAAACAATCAGCAATATTAATATACGAAACAAACCTACCTTTCCTCAATTTGAGACCTTCTTTGGGTAATCGATGGCGAAGAGTTTTAGGCATTTCCAAAATTGATTTTTAAAAAAATTGTGATTAACATGGCGCCATCTGCATTCACATTACGATCAACTGCACAATTCCATCTATTTTTCACCCTTTCAGTGTCTATTTCTTATCATTATCTTCTATCTATTTTTTCCCAATTTTTCATCTATTTGTCATCCATTTATCGTATATTTTTCACCAATTTTTGAGATAATCTATTTTTCGCCCATTTTTCTCCTAGTTTTTATCTACTTTTCCGAGTAATCTATTTTTCATCCACCTTTTCACCATTTTTCGTCTGTAGCACAGTTGCAGTGGATGCACATTGATGGTTTGAATCTAGCTTAGTTTTTTTTTTCAATTTTTCTAAATTCCACATTTCAATTCTTACCTTCTTGCTGTATCTTCTAAAAACAGAAATTTGTGAGTAAGCAATTATTAAAATTAACCTGATTTTTTGAAAAACTTCAATACTAAAATAAGGGTAATTAAAATTAAAAATAATAGGTTCAGAATTGTTGAAATTCTACGAAAACTCGCCATTGTTTGGCATGAAGAGAAGCCAGCAATTGGAAAATAATTTCGGCATTGTCCAGAAACCAGTTAAAACTTTATCTCGGATTGTCGAAGAATGCTATACTTCTCAATTTTTGGTTACAGATCTTTAAACTTTCTTCATTCTTTCGTCTCACTCCGATCTCATCAAATGTTCATTATTGAAAGGTATTCTTATGCAGATTTTTGGAAGGAAGCTCTATGCATCGGGAGTTTTTTTAAAGAATTTTTTATGATAGTTTTTTTTTTCAGATTTTTAGAGTTTCTTTCCAATTTATGACTATTTTTATAGAAATAAATAATTTTTTTCCAGCCGCATTCACAATTCAAAATATTCCAATTTGATATCAGCATGCGCTATTATAATTCTCGCAACTTTATTGGTTTATTCAACGATATTTCATAGTAAGATATTCCCCATTTTTGCCTTTCTTATAACACTCAAATTATTAAGGTAACATGATTAAACAAAGCGGAGAGGTTGCTGAAATGTAAGACACTCTGGGCGCTTTTTTTAATTCTAGATTTTCAGCCTTGAGTGTGTGTTGAATGAGAGGAATAATGTGCACACAATATCGACACCTTTCGCCGAATTGATAAAATCTCTTAAAAGACCACACCCAAATAAGGTAATTATAAGTCTAATTAACTTGAAATACAATTTATTTTAGAGGTGCTCTCATACTAAACTGATTTCGGCGTTTTCCTACGAGGAATACGTTGCAGTGACTCTGGAAGTGTCGGATTCAACAGGGTCAGTTTTGAACGGAGAACATTTTAATATGGTCCGAAAGAAAATCTTCTAGATTCATTGTATATTGTCGCTATTACGATTGCCTTTTTCGAGAGGTTGGTGAGCCGTTCGCGGCGAAAATTTTTCCCGACCATACAGTCTTTTGCGCGCGTCGAATCGGCGCCGATTACATTGCGATATCGAATTCGACGAATAAAAATGAGTTGGTGCATCAAGTCAAAATTCAAGCACGATTTGGTGGTTAATGCTTGCTGGAATTTGTTGTAAAAACGATTTTTCAGAGTATCAGCATTTTTTTACGGTGTGTTTGAATGCGAAAAGCCAAGGCGAATCGCGTTTCTTCCAAATTGCCGAGTTCATCGAATATCATAAAATGCAGGTTTAATCAAATTTCATTTAATTATTGACCCCCGATGGATTTCCACCGAACTATATTGCCAAAACAATTGGACGAAATTTTAAAAAAATTATTGGCTACGTGCAATGTGTATCGAGGCAGCAAGAAGCGATATTGCGTACATTGCATTATAGCGTACGCGCATTTAATTTTCAGATAAATTTAAATCTCTAATGATTCCGCGAACTCGAAGGCGTTGCATTCCTTCAGTCGTTTTAAATATAACTGGAAATTTTTTCAAATTATTTTAGATTTTAAAGGAGCACGTAGAAAAACCTTAAAATGCTTTGCAACGAAAAACAATATTTAAGATGCTCCTCATTTTTTACGGTCATTTTCTGTCGACTTATGGGTTTTTTTCGGCAGTACAAAAATTTAAAAAAATGCAAAAAAATTTAATGAAATCAGGAATTTTCGATTTTCCTGAAAAATTTCCACCGCGCGAGCCTGGACGCCACAATTTTTATATATGACTTTATTTAATTTCCGGTTTGGGTCTTGTATGGAAAAATTCTTTGTAGCGAGTTTTGCGTTTAACGACCAGAGTGTAAAAGAGCATAATTTTTATGAAATTTGGTTTATAAAAAAAATGTCGAAGAAAGACAATAAATTTTTGAATTTCAACAAAACATTATTAATGCGTTTCCTTGACAATGTGCTTAATCATTTTTTTTTCAATTCAGGGCGCAACTTTTTTCCAAGTGTATTTGCAAAATATTACCGATTATGACCGATTACTCATTGAAGATTATTCGAGAACTGGCGATATTGAATATATCAAATTCGAAAACTCTCAAAACTTGGAATCAGCTTTGAAAAATGTAAGAATAATTTTAATTCTTGAAAATCAAAATTTGGACTTCAGGATTGCTATTTTCGAAATAAGGGATTTTCAAAATGGACAATTTTTCTTGACCTCGACGAAAAAATAGAAGTAAAACAAGACGAACGTGTAGTCGATTATTTAAGGTAATAAAAAATTCATATAGTTATTTATAATAATATTAATTCATAGAAAAATCGATGGCGTCCAATTTACAAGTCTCGACTTTAAAATTCACCAATATCCAAAAATGGAAACGCACCCAATAGTTTATTCAAACCTTACTGTCAACGAGAACACAACGATTTTTCAAGAATCTAATAGAAGGCTGGAGGAAGTTGAAGATTATTCGGAGCATCTATTAGTACAGTCAGATCAAATGATTATCAGCTTGAAGTCACAAGCGTTTCCAGAAGTGAAACGACAAAAGGTTTCTGAAAATGTAGCTGTCATAAGGTAGATTCGAATTTTTTTGAAATTTGACCAAGTTTGGTTGATTGATTTTCAGAAAATATATCAAAACTAAGCGAAATAGCGAATTGCTAACAATTTTGGGCAAATTCTCCACAAATATTGAGAAGGAGCTTCCAAAAAAGGTGATTTCTTGAGCCAGTAGGTAATCATGCTCTATCGAAACTTTAGATCACAAAGCGTATCAAGTATGTTTACGATATTGTTGACGTTGAATGCTTCAAGAAGGAGATTACGTACTTGAGGCATGGCGGAATGAACGTGCCGTGCTATGTTGAGATGGTCAAAAATCAGACAGCATTGATTGGAACCAGCAAGAAATGATATGGATTAAACAAATTTAGAACATTAATTATATGTGGAGAAAATTGATTTTTGTTGTATATTGATTGTCGGATAGATTTACGAGGTGCGCCTTTCGAAATAGTCTCGAAGGCTTATTTTTGAATTTTCACATGAGCTGTTTTATTTTTCTTAATGAGTATATCATTTCCTTGTATACTTAATACAACTGAAATTAAGAATTCACGGAATGAGCCCTAAAATGCAAAATCAGGAGTTTGCCCAGGCGAGACCATAGGGAAGGCGCACGCACGACGGTATATCAGTTTTTAAGAAAACCCCCGGTCGTTGAAACACCTTATACGTAGTGATTATGAGTCCAATAGTAGTATTGGACTCATAATAGCAATTGGAAATTTTCGAGTTTCAGTGGTACCTTTAAACAGTTTCAGCCTATTACATATTTTATTTTTTTTTTTCATTTTACTTGTTTTCCCCAACACGACTGAGTCGCTCCATAAAATTTCGATAAATAATTTTCGCTGCTGATTTTTTTTTCAAGGTTTTCTGAAAATCGCCAAATTCCCAGAGAATTGCTCTCATTTTTATTTTATTTGTACACAGTCACAGCCAAAACAATAATTGTGAGCGCAAAAAAATAGGCGGCTAGGAGGGACTCGAATTGAAAATAAATACACTCTTTAGTTGCCAACGAAATTGTTTGAAAATCTCGAGCAACGTAAATTGAACTACGAACATCAATATTTCGTCGGAGCCTTCGATTAAATGGCTCCCAATTTTGGCTATTTTCAATGATGGTATCCTCAATCTGCACTACATCTTTTCTGTCGTCAATGTGCCCTATAAATATCTAAACTGTCATCAAATGAATGAGCCGAATACCGTAATTTCTTGAAGGGCTCGTCGTGGTAAATATCTCACCTCCACCAGCGCCTTCGGGATTGCATGTTGGACGAAAGCATTCTTCATTCGGTTCCTTGACGATTATTGAAATTTGACATTGAAAAAATATATTCTCTCGATCGGCATATTTAAACACGTGCGTCTCCTGAATACTGGATTATTCATTTTGATGGAACCGCTCAAACTTGTCCAGCTTTGAGGTCGTCGGGATATTCAAGATCGGACAGCAAGAATCGATCAATCGCGCATCCATTGCCATCGATTAGAAATGAGCGATCGCCATTTCCGTCGTCGGCGAAACACGAATGAACAAACATGCAGAATATGCCACCTAGTGAGGTAATATTAAAAAGCAAGTGACACAAATTTCAACTCACGATTCGGAGTATCACAAGACCATTGATGGTACACAGGCTGCCCGATTCTTGCGAATCTAATTGGGAAGCCTTGAGGGCCACCCTCGAGAACATGAAAAAAAGCTAATTAGAATTTTAAAATAAATTAATTATCATACCATATAGGAGCATTGTGGCATTGTTAAATTGACTTCATAAAATTGAGTGGTTAGATGATCGACTTCCAAAGAATTATTGACTTGATTTTGAGATTCCTCGTAAACGCATTGAATTTTGTAAGATCGATCGATTTTGGTGACAAAAAGCGGCTGAACCAAAAAAATACGGGATTTCTCACAGCAATGAAGGGTTCGTACGTGAAATGACACAATAATTTCGGTCTCGACAATCAAACCCCTCGGATTCAATGTTCTCATTCGAGTTGTTCCACATGTTCCAATGTCAATTTGATGGTACGCTACCAATCTACCAGATCCTTGTGTATAGCACTCGAAAAAGTCGGCATAATTCTGTAAGCTCAAAAAAATGCATGAAGAATATTGAAAAAAATGAACCTTGATGAATACTCGACCGAGAAATGGTTTTCGAGTTCCAATTTGTAATGAAATGATGTGAGAATCGCATTCAACTTTCAAATCGCCTGAATATATGCAAATCTGTTGCTGAATTGTTTAAAGAAATCATACCCTGAACATCGTTATCAATGGGAATGCATGAAATTCTATAAAGAAAAAATACATAGCAGAAGCGAAGAAGAAACATTTGGACAAACGACAATCTGGTTATATTACGATTTATATAATATAATCATAATTCTTAAGTGGTTATATCCATTGTTTCACTATTTGTTTTCAGTCTACAACTATTCTCAGACAATAATTAAAAAAATAAATTAACGCGTTACTGTTGACAATTTTGAGCAATATGCACAATGCACAAACATTCGACTACCGTAACCGAATCTTTTCATTCATAGAAAACATTTTTCCATTTGTTTTTATTTTGAACGGTGCTTTTTCTTTATTATCGTGGATTTATACATTTTATTCGTTTTAATTATTATTTTAGAACAACGTTCACGTTCAATGACCAGACAAATGCTTAAAAAATAATATTCATAATTTATGATTTTGATTTGATCACAATTAGAATTGATAATATGGAAAACACGGTAAGCAATATCCTAACATTTTAGCAATACCGTAATATATCTTAAAGGAAGGACTAATTTTTTTAATCCATGCTTTTTGAACGTGGCGGCTAAAAATTTTTGAATTTTATTTAAAATAATGCGATACTTCACTATGGAGCGCGATTGCGTTATACTAAATTTCAAAAAATTTTAATTTTTTTAATAATTCGATTTTTTAAACCAAAGCGATATTTCACCCAAAAATTCGAAGCTTTATTCAAAAGCAAAAACATATATTACCATTAAACCAAACTCGAATAGCCTCTTTGAGGTCTGACCTAAATATAGGTCGATATGACCTTGAAAACAGTACTCCTCTGTATCGCAATCAATTCATTTTTGTGTGTTGCAGTGACAATGTCTCTTCAAAATGTTGCCGGCGGATCTCACAAGCTCAATTCTGGCCACTATATTCCACTGGTCGGCTTTGGAACTTATAAAGTTACCGGCGAAAGTGTAAAATTTATCAGTTTAAATCAACAATTTTTCAACATCGATTTCAGGTTTACCCTGCTGTTGACGCTGCTCTTTCTGCCGGATATCGTCTTTTCGACACTGCCAAGTATTATCACAATGAGAAGGAACTTGGTGTAGCTTTGAAGGTTGAATTTACAAACATTAGAGCTTGTCATGCTTCATTTTTTTCAGGAATTGTTGCCTAAATATAACCTGAAACGTGAAGATATTTTCGTGACCACCAAGTTTTTTCCGAGCGCCGAAAAATCTTACGAAACTGCCAAGTCGCTTGTGGATGAATCATTGACAAATTTGCAGACTAGGTTGGTTGTTAAAATTTTCGTAGTGTTTAAAAAACGCTTTCAGTTACATTGATCTTTACTTGGTCCATTATCCAAAACCAAGTGAAACAGAAAATGATGACCCCAAGAATGCTGAGTACCGAAAAGCTAGCTATCAAGCGCTTGAAGAAGCGAAAGGTAGATCATAAGTCGCATAAAATAGAGAAACAGATTTTAGAGGCTGGAAAAGTTCACTCTATTGGTGTATCGAACTATGAAATTGTTCACTTGGAAGAACTGAAAACCTATTCAAAGGTGAGATTATCAAATTTCAATTTTTGTTTTTATTCGGAAAATTTTAAATTCAGATTTCACCCGCCGCTAATCAATTGGAATATCACCCACATTTTGCAAGAATTCCACTGAAGAAATATTGCAATGAAAACGGCATTTTCTTCCAGGTCGGTTAAGAGTAGACAGATTTCATTTGCGCGGGATGCCTTTAAAGTGGTCCAGTAAAATAAAGAAACTCATTATCTGTCGTTTGGCATCCGTTTATAACCCAATACTTAAAATTCATAAAAAATTTATACTGTTTCGCATTCTGTTGGTTAAATTAAAAAAAACCATCCTTCGAAATGTTTTCCGTTCGAGACCCAAGGCGGCAATTCAGATGAAAAAACGATCACTTTCAAATATCCTATCAAAATCAAATTTCATTAGGCATTCTCATCGTTGGCGCGTCATGAGCCGAAACTCATTGAGGACCCCGCTGTCGTTGAGCTTTCGAAAAAGCACAATGTCTCTGTTCCCTTGATTCTTCTAGCGTGGGCGAGATGCCAAGGGGTCGGAATTGTGCCGAAATCAGTTACCCCGTCTCGAATCGCCGAGAATTTTAAGGTACTCTTAGTGCTACTTCACTAATTCGAATCGCATTGGTTTAGGTTGTTAACGTGAATCTTTCCGACGAAGATATTGCTAGCCTAACGAAGCTTGATAAAGGCCAACACTACATCAGATGCACCGGATGGCTTGTTAAGTGAGACGAACTGACGATTCTCGATAAATTCTGTGATTTGAATTTTCCATTTAAGTACATAAAACGTTATCGCATTCATCGTGCTTATCTCGCATAAAAATCGCAGGGTATTCAATATAATTTAAAGATGAATGTTTTGTATGAATTAAATACTGGTTTCAAAATGCCGCTAGTGGGATTTGGGACGTACAAGGTCACCGGCGAGCAGGTATGCCATTCATTCCTCATTGCACATTAAATATGATATTCAGGTTGAAAGGGTTTTAGACGATGCTCTTAAAGTCGGTTATCGGCTTCTCGACACAGCGAAAGTTTATAATAACGAGAAGGAGATTGGAAAAGCTTTCGAGGTTTCTTCCTCTTAACCATATTCCGGTTGTTTCTAACTTTAGCAGTTTATTTCGAAATCCATTAGGAATAAAGTTCAAGATAGCCTATTTTTTCCCAATAGGGGGGGATTTCCTTTTGGACAGGAGCTATAAATTAGAAAAAGAGGCGATTTCAGAAGCTTCTTCCCAAACATTGCCTCCGAAGGGAGGATGTTTTTATCACAACCAAACTTCACCCGTCGTCGGAGAACACAAGAGACTCCATTGTAAAAATGGTTGATGAATCGCTCCGACTGCTGAGAACCTCGTTGGAATCGCATTATTTTTGCGAATTTCCCACATAATCAAACTTGATTCCAGCTATGTTGACCTTTACTTGATTCATTACCCAAAACCGAACGATTGTCACAATGACGACACAGACAATATCGAATATCGCAAAAACGCATATATGTCACTCGAAGCGTGTAAAGGTTGGTTTGTAAGGGAGGGGGGGGGGGAACGTGTTTGACGCCCAGATAACAACTATGTATTACGTCGAGTGCCGTTTAAGAAGCGGCCAAAATTCGCTCGATCGGTGTCTCAAGCTACGAAATCAAGCATTTGGAAGAAGTGAAAAGCTACGCGAATGTGATGAATGAGTTGACACATTGAAAATATAAGCGATTTTCAGTGTCAACCTAGTGTTAATCAAATCGAATTCCATCCGCATTTCATTCGAACTGAGCTCGTCGAATATTGCAAAAATGCGAATATATTTGTTCAAGTTTGGAAAGCGAATATCAAATTTTAGTGATTATTTTAAGGCATTTTCGTCGTTGGCGAAATGGAATGAGGATTTGTTCGCAAGTGATGCTGTGAAATGTCTGGCGGAAAAATATCGCGTTGATCCATCGGTAATTCGATGTTGAAAATTTTTTATCAAAACAATCTCAAAATATTTTTTTCCTATTTTCAAAGTATATAATTTAAAAAAAAAATACGAAATCATCGTATTGCTTTTAGTCGTCGTTGAACAAAGAGGTTTTTTTATTTGCTCCTCTTAAAATATTTTGCTTTTTTGCCTACAGATTCTTTGGTAAATTTTCAAAACGCAACCTTCTAGTTATAATTTCTAATCATTATTGTAAAGAAAAAGTGTTTTTTTATACTATTTGAATATATTTTGAGCTAAAACTTTGCAAAAATGCTGAAAATGTTTTTTTTAACTTAAAATTAATTTGTGTGGCGTCATCAAAATTGTGCTAGTTTCGCAGCATTCTTTTCAAATTTGAATGTGAAACGCAATAGTGTAATAAATCACAATTTTCGTTTTCTTTCCAGACCATTGTCCTATCGTTTGCGACATGCCAGAACATTGGCATCATTCCGAAGTCATCCCACATTGAACGCATGAAGAAGAATATTAAAGTCGGGTGGTTTTTTTTTTCTAAATCGAACAATTTAAAAGAATCTGGCAAACTTGTCTTGACATTGAGAAAAGAATGATAATACTGATTCACATTATTGGGTGATAATTCGATCTCGATGTGGAATTCTTTCAGGTGATCCATTTAACTTCTTGCGATGTCGACCGTTTCGCGCATTTGAATATTAATCAGCATTACGTTCGAACGACAGGATGGTTTGTTAAATAAATAATTTGTATAATCTATTGAAAGATATCTCAATTGAATGAAACGTGCCCTCGCGTGAAAATAGATCACCGTTTTGTGATTCGCGTAACAATGACGAATGAGAGATTATCGGATGGAAAGTGAAGTGTCGATCGATGATATTTTGAGATGTGATCACGTACAAATCCGCCGGCCTATCATCACACATCAAATTCGCTATTAAAATAAGTTCTGATTAGGGCCAAAAAATGGCGTTGTAAAAGTGAAAGGATTACGCGAATGTGATTAGATGTATTTTTATTGGCGATATGTTCGCAAATGATGACATTGCGAAAGAAAATACCGATTTATTTTCGAAAACTAACAAAAAATATCGAAAAAAAATAATTGATATTCAATTTTAAGCTCGAAATGTTGAAATTCCCTACTTTCAAAAAAGGTTTTAATATTATTATATAGTCAGCGTTCGGCGACTGCTGTATGTGGGTGGATTTACACGCATGCGCCTTGAAAAGATCTCACCACGCGTGAATGCTTATTTCGTTGTTTTCACATGAACCGCTCATTTTTCCTTGATGACTTTCGCATTTCTTGGAATTTCTAACGTCGTTTGGTTTAAAAATTATAGAAATAAAATGCGAAATAGCCAGTTAATTCCGGACGAGACCAAGAGAAAGGAACATCCCCTACCCGCGTACAGCAGTCACAGGACTCTGACTAAAAGATAAAACTAGAGCTCATTTTGATAATTTCAAATAGTTGATGTTGAATGTTATTAAATCCAATGATTGAATTTTTTGTAAGAAAACGGTTTTGCCGAAATAAAGTGTTTCGAATAAATCAATTCGATGATTCAAAGCTACGATGATATGAATACAAACTATAAAACATAAAATGAAATGATAAGCTTAAAACTGGATATTTAAGAAATTTTTTTTCAAAGTTGAACTTTGTTTAAAATTACAATTAAATTGTGAACATGCGTATTGTCGGCGCCGCGCGACTGCGGAAAATTGGCTAAATTCCAAAAAATAACAATAGCGGTGATCTTGGCGCAAAACTAAGAGTTAATTTATGGGCCTCAGTAGTAAAATATTAAAGGCGCACACCGTGATCCGAGAACTCGTAAATTTTTCCCGCTGCCCTGAATAAGGGTAATCCAAATTGGATCAAGAGAAAAAATCATATTAAAAATACTCTATTAAAATAAAATTTTTTGTGAAATTTTTATTATTTAAGAAATTTGTTCTATTAGTTTAAAAATCCAGATTTAAATTTTTGATGGTGGCCATTGAATTTTTGATGCGTTCTATTCAACTCTTCAAAATTTTCATAAGCTTCACTTCAAGTTCAGAGGACTCTCTATTATCTCATCCGCCCGACCGATGAGTAAAAAACGAGTTGCGCAATCGTGGGGGCCCCCTACAAGGAGGGGGGGGGGGTGCGCTGTGAGACACCTGGGACGAGGCAGAAGCTTTTTTGATGAATTATCTCGCGACAAGCGTAAGATAACGGCATTCCACAAGGTGTGCGAGGTGGGCGGATCGCGTCTACGCTGAACAATTATCAGGTTTTTTGCCATGCCGTACCCTTCAATATAAAAGCATCGGTTCGGCATTCGACAACTATCGTCGTCCAATCGACAATCAAAAAGTACTACTAGCAGCATGCAGAAGCTTATCCTCGCTTTCGCCGTTGTCTCGGCGACCTCTGCCTTCCTTCACCCAGGACTTGGAGGAGGTGGTGGCGGATGCGGATGCGCTCCACCACCGCCACCACCACCACCATGCGGATGCGGCGGTGGCGCTCCAGCGCTTCCACCACTTCCAGCTCTTCCACCACTTCAACTCCCAGCTCTTCCATCGCTTGGAGGAGGAGGTGGCTGCTGGTAAGATCGATTTTAATACTTCCTCTTTATCGTTGCTATTTTTCTTTTTTTTTTTCAGCCCACCACCAGCGCCAGCATGCGGAGGTGGATGCGGAGCCGCTGCTCCAGCTCCAGCTGCCGGAGGATACGCCACTGCCCCAGCCGCCGGAGGATACGCCGCCCCACCACCACCACCACCAGCACCAGCCGGTTACGCCACCGGCGGACGCAAGTAAATTCTGTGACCTAACTGTTCAACTATTTGTATATCTGCAACCTCAAGCCTATGTTCTCAGTTTTACTTGGCAATCTGATTATTCGATTAATTTTATTGAAATAAAATATTTGTTTCTCAACAATGAACACAAATCCATGATAATTGCGCAATACGCGAAGCGAAACGAAATCGCGGTCGCAAAAAAAAACATTCGGCATTACGCAGTTTTTTTTCCGAAGATGACAGATTGCAGATGTTGTAGCTAAAACAATCCATCCTCTTTTATATTTATTATATTAATGAAATTCATTATTGAGTTGGTGCTATCAACTTTTGGATTGAAATTCTATGGAAATATGCTGTGAGGAGCCAAATTTCTTGTGTACTGTAGACACTCGGTGTATACACACACGCCAGATTTGACGTGCACTTGCACATAAATAGGGAATTTGCAAATTGAATTATTGAGCTGTTTATTTTAATACTGCCGGGTTTTCAGCTTATATTTTTGTTCCTTTATTATTTTGTTATTACGAATACAAAACTTTTATTATATATTTTATGTAGGGAAACTGTTTTAGGACTATTATTTATATATATATATATACTTTTTGAAGAATTGTTCATTCTTCATCTGCCGCCTTATCTGGAACAATCGCCAACGGGTCCGAAATAAGCGGCGGTCGTTTTTTGGCTTTCTCAGGCAGCGTTTCGGGCAGCGGTCGTCCTTTCGTCTCGGGCAACTGGATTTGGAAAGCGATGGCGTCGAAAATGCACATTGCCGTGAGAATCGCATAGGGAACACTTTTGTAAGGACACTGAAAATTGATGAGGCGTTTCATAATCGAACAAACGCGGAGACTAGTTGGAAAACGCGTACCAAAATGAAAAGCTGCGGGCCGAGAATTGTTCCGATGCGGCTAGCGGTCGCTTTGAACGAGACTGCCGAATTTCGAATGACCGTCGGATAGAACTCCATTAGAACGATTGTCTTTGTGATAAAGACTTGCGAAGCCGTTGCCGATGCTAACAAAGTTGAAATGCGAATGATTAATGAATATTCCTCATCGATGTCGAAATAATAAGCGAGAAAAATGACGAAAACGCAAAGCGCGATCGTCAACTTTGAAACGAAATGAATCAATTTTCTTCCAATTGTGTGAACTCTAAAATAAGTTGAGAAATTTCATGGAATATTCCAAAAGCCTTTGATCAAACTTGATGTCCAAAAGCCCTATGAAAATGTTAAGGGTCCATCGAAGGGAGCCCATTAAAAGGGCATTCACGTAAATTGAGCCTGACAGTTTTTCAATGTTGAACACAAATCCATAATTGGTGAATGATGTGGTAAACCTGAAAATAGCAAATTTTGTAACTTCTTTTTTGTTCTGCTTATTTACATTCCAAGCCACATTATTATAGTAACGGCTGCCATATTCTTGTTCCAGAATAAATGTCGCATATCATAGTTTTTCCTTTTTCGTGTGCTCTCTTCTTGCTTCTAAAAACATTCCTCATTCACATTTTTGAATCAACTTCATTGTGCTCACAATTCTCTCGATCATTATCATTTCTTCGATGTCGCCGAGCGCTTGATCGCTCATTTTGCCGTCAATCTCCAAAATTTTTCGCAAAACGCGTCTGGCGTCGTCGAGTCGTCCCGCCTGAATTAGCCATCGCGGTGATTCATTGACGAACAGAAACACAATTGCGCCGGGAATCGATATCGCAAAAATCGCGTATTGATAGGTGATCCAATTCTGACAAAGGTAGGCGACAACGCTGAGCATCATGTAGTTTGGAGCCCAACTGATCATCGTTGCTATCCAGAAGCGATGCTGACGTGGCACGTGTTCCATTTTGTACACGCCGTAAGTGCTGAAATTTGATTTGAATCTGAGGAATGAGCCAGCGTCGTCAAAAAAATAGATGCTCAGGCAACTAAAAACCAATCGGATCCGACAAAATTCGGCTCCAGCATAGACCCGATCCGATTGGAAATTCTACGGATAAGATTGCGAAATTGTGGTTATTATTCGAATCCTTTACTTACTTACTTAGTCACTTAGTCGGTTCGTCCTTCGCCTGTTGAGGCGCGAACCACAGCTTTCCAAGCTTTTCGGTCCTTGGCTTGGGTGGACCAGGGGGTGATAACTTTGTTTTAATTTTATCAATTCGAATCGAATCCGACAATTTACCAATCGAATCGGGTTAATTCTGGAGCCGAATTTTGTTGGACCCGATTAGTTTTGAGTTAACAAAATCGGCCCCGTGAACCCCATAGGTCCCTAGACGATTTTGACGCGCCGCCGGAAAATCTCCGCTAATTTCTCTTGTCAAGATTCCAAAAACAGGGCCGTCCCCCCCCCCGCTTTCTGACAATCCTTAAGATTACCTTAATAATCCGCCTTTAAAGAGTGAAAGGATAGTTCGAATAATTGTGAAATTGACAAGGGAGGTGGCAAATGTGGAAACCAGACTTAGAATTGAAACCATGAAAAAGCATGCAGAAAGAATCTAAATAATTTATTTTTTAAATGGCCAATGCAGAAAAAAAACGAATTCTCCGGTTTTTTATTTTTTCCTGCATTGCCCTATTATTTGAAAATGCCGCGTGTTCACCTTTAACCGGCCATATCGATCAGCTAGAGCTCCAGAGAACACAGAGCCGACAAGAACTCCCATCATTTGAATCGAAATGCTCGTTTTCACCCAGGCTCCTTCTTCGCAGAAGTGTTCAAACTAATTAATCAATTATTGAAAATTGGAAAAAAAAAGATTTCTCACTTCAATATTGATTGATTTGAAATCGTAGACTGGATTCAATGTGCAATTCGGCGGCGTTTTCCAATCATATGATGATTTGCAAATATCTTTGATATTCACTTCGTCACTATTGCAGGCGACGTATTTTGGAGCAGCGCCTGAGCACATATTGTTAGATGGCAAGAAAAAAAAGGGAATCGAAGAAGAGCATTTACCGGCGTACATCATGTATAGGGTGTTGCCGGCACCAGAGAGAAGCATAAACTCGGAGAACAGAAGAATCAGCCAGCAATAACGGCCGAGCTTCATGAAACTGTCGAGAGTCTTCTGATTGCGCTTCGACGCCGCCAACAGCGCGTCGCTTTCGTTTTGGCTTTTCTCCAAGGGCATCGACAAAGTTGCGGTGCACGCCATTTCGTCTGAAATGAATGCGAACCATATTGTTTGATGTGTTGATTTGCGCGAAAATTATGACCAAAATTCAACTAGGCCACATTATTTTTGTGACTGTTTGTGCATTTGCATAGAGCGATTCTGGTGTGCAAAAAATGGGAAAAATGTGAAAAAGAAAAGAGGGTTTTGTTCATTTTTTGCACTATTTCTATGGGAAGACTCTCTGGCAGAACGAGCCAAGTTTAGACCGAAATTAAAAAAGAATTTTGAAACGAATATTTTCGAGTATGTTGGATATCGAAATCAATCGAGATAACGTGCGGTGGAAGGAGCACTTGGCGGCAGAGCGGGATCGAACCCACGATCTCCCCATTATGAGTACAAAATTTCGCCACTGCGCTATTACGCCGCCAGCCTGGCGCCACTGTATTAGGTAACATCTGCCTTTCACAGCTTAATCCCCGTACGACTGGTCATTTAATATTTAACTTGAAAATTTCAGGAGACCATTTTGGAAGAAAAAAAAAAACAAAAAGTTTCTTTAAACTTTCTTTTTTTTGAAACCTCAATAGTTCTATTATGATCTCTTTACGATAAGATTTTTTAAAAATTATTTAAAAAATGGTGGTCATAATTATTCTTTCCAGAAGGGAATCGCTCAATTACTGAAAAACCATTCAATATAAAAGAATCAAGAAAAACGAAAAGAAAATTCTTTTTTATGTTTCAAATTTGGACAGTCTTTCACTGAATCAAACACTTGTCTGCATATTTTTGCATAATATGTATTTTCAGTGCATAATGCGATTTAAAAAATACAACATAATCAATAATTTATACAGCCTTTTTGCGTTCTTCGCTCAATTTCGTCTGTTTGGGACCATCATTTTTCGTGAGATCCACCTCATTCTTGCCGACACGAGCCGGAACATCATTGAATCGACAGTGTGTTGTGATCGCAGCGACGCACGGTTCGGTCATCCAAATGAACCAATCGTTTGTTTGATTATCCCAATATTTTCCGTACGTGTAATACTTTTGACAATTCTTGTTCACGTATGGCTCTTTTTGGAGCACCTGAATTATTTAACATCTATTTTTCTTGGGGGAGAGGCTATTGAGAAGAGCCAAACCGAGAGATCAAAATTAATTGGGCATTTTAGAGGGCACGCTAGACGCGTCGTCGAGTTCACGGCGAGAGTGTTCCAATCGGATTGAGGCATCGGCTCACGACGGCATCTCAAAAAGAAATTAATTGGGTTTCTATCAATCAAAACCAATCGGCTCCGACAAATACAGGTTTCCGGAATCAACCCGATCGGACTGGCCGATTCTACGAATCCGATTGGTTTTGAGTTATCTGTAAGAATGTTGTGAGGCGCGTTGCGGTTCGCGAGCGGTCGCTTCTTTCTATCTCAAAACAAACTACTATTCGAAGTGCACTAAATGTGAAGTGGCGACCGCGCGCGAGCCGCAACGCGCTTGACGCCATAGAGCTCACTTGTAATTTGTCAAATCAATAGGATTCTTGGCATTCGGTGCACGAAGAACACATTCGTCGGGCCTCCCACTGTAAATACAATCAATCGTTCGTTGCTCTGAAATAAGTTAGAGAAAGTTACAAGAGAGTTCATAAACGAACCCCATCGATTCCACAAAAATTGTGGGCCGTCTTCGACCTGCGCCAAACATGGTGTGATGGCGACAAAAATGAGAACAACTCCACCAATGAAAATCCAAGACATTTCGACCGTTTGTGTCCCGCCAAATTATCTTTATATAATCCTCGAAAACCAGCCCATTCGAATTCATATCTGATTCAGTTTCCGGTCATTTCAAACATGGCAAATAAATGAATGAAAATGTTTATGAATCACAATACAACAAAAATCAATGAAAATCACAGAGAAGCAGTCCGTAGAAAACAAATCAACAAAATTTCTTTTTAAAATGAATGAACCCGAATATATATTACTTGAATCACATATACCCAAACAATTCTAAAATCCTAAATTTCTCAAACTATTACTGTAAAATTGTAAGTCCTCCAGTCGTTCATCACTTTATACGATGGGAATAATCCAGTCTTCGATGTTTTCCGATGCGATCCCTTCGAGAATCCGTCCCAATGGTTTCCAGCGATTCCAATTTTATCTCCAGTTTTGAAATCGAATTCAATTTGACTGTGAGCCGCGTGATCTTCAATTGCAACAACCTCGTGTGCTGAAACGAACGTCTTAATGAAAAAGAAAAATTCGCCTCCAAACAATTGGCTACCTTGTTGACCACCAAAATAATAAATATCATCTAGTGAATGGAATTTCGAGCCATCGTCAGCACCAGTCGGTTGCCTCAACTCATATCCCATTCGGCATACCTGAAGCTATTCATCATACCAACACGATTACTGTATATTGCGTACCTGACTAGAAAACGTGCAAACCAAATAATCTAATTTGCTAAGAATGTAAATATCAGTGATAACTCCTATCAATGAATCATCGCTGTATCTGTTATTGACCTGTGCCGTCTGCGCAATCTCCGTGCTACCATAGACTTCATATTGTGGGTATCTGAAGAAAATCGGGTGTTGGTGTGCTCAAGAACAATCTTACGATTTCTTCGCTTCGGGCACAACAGATGGATCATCGGATGCAATAAATACTCGTCGTGTCACATTCCTGCCCAATTTTCGCTCTTCAACTTTAAACCAATATTCAGTCCATTCCATATATTCCGACAATTTGTGGAACGCCGCTTCCGTTCCGACTTTGTCAGTACGACGAACTTGGAGGCCAACAATCGGGCCTAAATATATTTCGAGATAACAAAAACTTTGCAAATAAGCTAGCTGAAAATACCTTTTTCAATCGGAATCTTACTAGCAGCTTCATCGAGCTTCTTCTGTGTTTCGGGATTCATTCTCATCAAATATGAAATTACCTGTAAATGCGAAAATGATCAAAAATTGATTGGCAACAATTTTTTCTATCACCGTTCCAATAAAAAATGCCGGCGGATTTGAATGAAGCATTATCAAATCGTTGATTATACTGGACGGTACAGCTTGCGGCAGAAAATCGGGACGTCGGACCAATGAGTCAACGATGCCCAACGAGACCACTCTTGCTTGCGAATGCTCAGAAAATTGAACCGGCAAATCGCTCTGAAATCATTTGTTCATCAAAAAAAAATAAAAATATGAAGAAATTGATTACCGCAACGGCATCGTCGTATTTGCATGGTGATATTGGAAGGAATACAGATTCCCAGCCATTTCGCGAGTATCTGAAACGATCGATTTTAGATTATTGCATTTTTTTTTAATTTTAATCTAATTTCGAGAACAAAACATATGTTTTTGGAAAGAAAAATTTGAAAAAAAATGCTGACAACAAGGATTCATTGAGATTAATGAAATGTGTGCAATTTTGCGTGAGAGTGTATAGCATCTTTCAGATGGGAATTTTTTTTCAAATTTTTTTGCGATGAGCCACATTTTTTTAATGGAGCAATGTAGAGAAAATTTAAGAAAAAATGAAAAATGAAGAAAAATTCAATTTATAGATGAAAAAAAAAACAAAAAAAAATCATTTTCCTTTTTTTTAATCTTTTCTGCATTGCCCTATAAATGATGCTTCTATAAACCATATATAGACATGCCGATAGCATTAATAGTTTACTGTTCTCTTCATTAAGATTGAGTGAATATCGAAATTTTTACTTCCACGATTTTCCGTTATTCTGTAGGACCAGCGTTCGCATAGTCGCCAACGCCGAAATGGCGCAATAGGTGACATGGTGCAACTGGCAACCAAAGCCGCATTCTTTATTAAGATTGCAAACCAGAATTCTAAAAATGAGCCAATAATTTTAAATCGTTTTTATATCAAATAACCCACTTTGCTTTATTGCAAGCTTCAGGCTTCTGCAGCTTCTGAATTCCGCTCATGATTCGCTCGGTAATCTTTTTTCGCTTGATTCGTCGCACTTCTTCGCTGCCGTCGGCGACTTCCAATCGTCCCGACAAACCCATTAAACTGATCAATTGTTCTTCGAATCGCGATTTGGCGTCTTTTTGAATTCCGCTACTATGCACACGGTAGAACATCTAGAAAATGGTTTTTTTTTTTGAATAAGGCGATCTCTGCTTTAATTTCTATGCATCCCTCTTCAGAAGATTCCAACTCTTACCTCTCTAATCCTATCATCTAATAATCGTCGCTCCACTTCGACATTAAACTTTAGCTCATTTGCCTGAGATTCGGCATTCATTGGCGGCGCGAGAACTCGTTTTGGAGAATCGTCCCCAATTTTTGCATTTCCATTCTGCTGGGCCAATAATCTAAAATTAATAATTCTTTGATTTATTTTCTCAAAACTCCATCTTACATTGTGCTATGCTCTTTTTCGCGTTGCTCTCTTTCCGCTTCAATAATCCGCTTCAACTCGTCATTTTGCGATTTGAGGGTCTCAAGTATCTCCAGTGTTTCTCGCCAATTTCTTATTGATTCGCTACTTCTTGCTGCAATATGACTATAATCAATGGGGACCACTTAAATCAAACAGATTAGCGAAGGGTGTCGAGGGTGGTGGTGGAGAGAAAGGGCCATTAATACCATCTGTCACCATAACAGATTACCGAACACCATTTCAATTCCCCTGAGCTTCACCCCCCTTTGATGTGAGTGCGAACAATTTTTAGAGCATTCAAATGTTGGCAATTAGAAATGCTACAAACCGGGCACATTTGAGTTGGTGGATAATTGGGTGTAGACGAATATAATGGTCGATATCCACAAGATTGAGCCAATTGCAGCAATGCATTTCAGCATCACGCCGGGGCCCCACTTTGAAGCCTAAAATAGTGCGATTGAAAAAATTTTTTTTAATGGCGTGCACTTAAAACAGCGAAGACGATTTTAATGCGAAATAGAAAAAAAAACAAAAGCGGCGAGGTGGAATTGAATTCCGGATAAAAGCTCGGCCTGCAGCGAGGCGGCGTGCGCATAATCTGGGAGTTGACGACGCCGAAAATTGCGTTTGGATTAATTAAGGAAACGCCCGGCGGCGGTTGTCGGGGCCAATGCGGTTTTGACCAAATACGGATATTCGAAATGCGACGAACAAAAACAAATAATTTGGAAATTATCAAAAAAATTTTTAATTCGGGTCACGCGCGCGACATTTATTTTTTTTGCTTTTCAGATTTTCAAAAAAAACTAAAAACGAAAAGTTCAAAGTAGTCTTTTTTTCCAAATTTTGTTTTGAAATCCATTAGTCAAATTGAAAAATTGCAGAAATTTCATTTTTTTTTCACTTTTGAAATTGCTTTTTTTAATAAATACACAACATCTGTAGGATTATTTCGAAATTGAAATGTGGAGGGAAACGCTTGCTTTCTAGCGCTACTATACGATTTGAAAACACCTTTCCTTTTATTTATAAATTTATGCGTTATGTTATACATTATTCAATAAACTATACAATGGATGCATTATATTAATGAAGCCAGCTAATCCAAATTATTAAAAATAAAAGCGAAGCGTTGCGAGCTCGACGTCGGCAAAAATCAAAGACAATGTGTAATCCGTGTGAAGTACACGGAAAAGAGCCGTCGCGTCAAATATTCAACAAGGCGGGCGAACACTCGTTTTGAAAAATTGCAAAATCGATAGTCTGAAGTCCGGCGGAGCACGAGCGGCGAGGAGCACGAGCGGCGACGACGGCCAAGAAAAATGAATGAGGAAAACGAGACAATTGGTGGTGCTCAGCGAGCACGCACGAGCAACAGCGTGTATGGGTGGAAGAATGAAATTGAAAAATACAAGAAGAAAAAATGTCGATTTTTTGTTTGGCGATGTGAAAAAGGTTGAAATATCAATGTGTGCATAAATTTTTTCGCCCGAGCGTTTCGACAATAAATTTTGCGCTTGGGAAAATGGGAAACGTTGCAATCGTTGGCCGTTTGCTGATAATTGAGGGCTCGTATCAGTTGGCGAACACTATCCAAAATTTTCTCGCCCTTTACACTAAGCAACCCGATACGCATGTTTTTCTCAAATTTCCACCCTTCTCGATTGAATTGAATGCAATTCAAAACAAAATGGAAAAAGGAATAAAACATTTTTGCGATTTTTAAATTCATATCTTATGATTCCGAATTGTTAGCATTTTTGTTAGCGACAAATGCTATCAAATATTAATGGTTATGTGTCATATGAAAAAAACCAATTCGTCAAATCGCATTCATATAACATTTTTGAACAAAAAATACATTTTACACTTTTGAATAAAAAATTGAAAATATTGAAAACATCAGGTGTTTTTGTTTTTTCCTTTTGCCTCAATTTTTTCCAAAAATAAAAAGGAGGCTTTCACTTTTTTCGGAAAATGTAAATTAATGAAAACGTTCATTTTAATGCATATAATTCTTAGATAAGCTTCATTGATATCAAATTTCCAACGAATTTAATATACGCGTCATAATTGATCGAATTTCCTGTTTCAAATATCATTAAAACGTCTTGAACCCAAAATTTGAAATATTGAAAAATGTCCATTTGTTCAATAATTTATGAAGGTTTTGCAGCAAAGGATGAAACAACTGCTCAAAATTGTTTTAGTTCAAAGTGTAAACCAAAAGGTTAAAAATGCAGGAAAAACTATAGCAATGAAGTAAGCGTGAAGAGGAACGAGAGGAGCAATAAATTCGGACATCAAGCAGATGCTCATTTGGCATTCGCGAGCGCCGACCACCACCCTCATCATTCATCACTTTTTTAATGAATCGACATATTGCCCATACCCTCTTTTAAATAGAATTTGAGTGGTTCCAAATTATACAAGACCTTCATTATTTTATGGCTTTGAAATTTTTAAAAATTTTCCGACTAAACGGATTAATTTTTTTTTCAAGCAAAAATCATTGTGGGAATTTTTTTTGAAATCTCTGCTAGCTAGATTATAACAGAAGTTGTGCTGATGATATTTTGAAAGAAATCGTTTATTTGTTGCATTGGAAATATGATACTATTGATGGAGTATAAACAAAATTGGGTGATCAAAAAAAAGAGAGAGAGATTCCATTTATTATTATTATTAATCGTGTGAGATTAGGGATTATAAAATATGGTGGTGGTGTTTTACAATTTCAAAAAAATTTTGATGTCATGGGGAAAAGTGTCAGCAAATTTATAAATAGGGTGGTGACTAATTAACAAAATTGGCCTTGTGATTCTTTTGGTTCCAGCCATTTTCAGACAATTCCCATGTTGAACCCATCATTCCAATTTGTACATGTCAAGTGAAAATTTTGAATCGCAAATAGTACAATCGTAAAAAGTCGTCATCTTCAATTTTTCGTGTTTTCCAAATTTTGCCTATTTGCTGTCCCCACGCGCGCTTCTTCGTTGTGGGTCCTCCTGTCTGACGGCCGGTTTTGGTCGCCTAGTTGCACACCTTGGCGACGCTCAGACGCATTCCTAACCGCTATTCAAACGTGAGCCGATATTCCTTAAAAAAAACAAACGACAAAGCATCCCAACAAAAATGCACACAACGATTTTCTATTCCGTCTTGATCGCTCTTATTCTTTCGAATAACGCCGGTATGGTTGGATCAATTTATGATATGGACCAGAAAATTATTTTCATTGGAAAAGTCGTTGAGAATTTCAGCAGACTCTTCGCAGTTTCTAATAAGAGTCGGCTGCTCTACACGACATTTTCAATTAAAGCAATGTTGGCTCTTTTTTAGCCGCATTTGGCATATCTCAGTTTTGCCCTTAATTACGCACTTACGCCATTTTCAGGTTTATGCCTAAAATTTCGACTTAGGCGCAACACAATCCTAGAAGTGCATTTTTAAATTTTTATTAATATTTTTCATCTTTATTCTTTCAGCAAAAACCTCATATTAAAAAATCGAAATTTTCATTTAATAATTTCTCAGCGATTCGAAAAGGACGAACCGCGGCTGGTTTTTTTTTATTAAATATTGGGGGTTCCACGGGAATTCCCCAAAAAACCTCCACTATTCGTCCCAAAACTTTTTTACCCCAAACAGTACGACACTCCAATTACACATCGCCCTCAATTTAGCGTGTGGGGGGCGACAAATTGAAATTTTCACTAATTTTTTTTTTGAATTTTCGACTCTTGCCTGTCGTCGACAATAAAAATCAAAGATCTTTGAAATTTGATGCTGAAAGAATTACTGAAATTATGCACACTTCTGCCTAACAACCGCGCGGGATGAATATTTAATCTCAAAGGTCCAAAATGCTCAACCTTGTCACAAAAACAAAATATTTTTCGCTGCATGACTCATTCCCAATTCCAGATGCTACAACTTGTTATGTGCAGAACAGTATTCCCAATGTGTTTACACAACAATGCCCGCCAAACGTCTATCAGTGCATGCAATTCAACTGTCGAATGAACGGACCAAATAAAAAATGTGGGTCTCGAGGCATTTTTATTGCAAATCCGCCTAGCAACAAGAAAGAAGCTTCTCGAAAACTCAACATACGAAATAAACAAGCAATTCGAGACATTTTTGAACTATGAGCCGTTTAATTTTACCAAAAAAAAACTGCAAATTTTCAGTCGAGCAGATCACAAAAGGTTGCAATGATCCGGCGAATCCTCCAGTTTCTTGTACTTCTCTTATGGTATGTTATTTTTCAAAATATTCCTCGTCAATTTCTATATTTGGATGCTGTCAATGGTTGATCCGATTAATTTAGACAAACTGCCAATCCCAAGGCGGTGTCGGTCGCTGCTATACCTGTACCGGAGATTATTGCAACTCGTCAAAACCTCATTCAATTATCGGAATTTTACTAACTGTATTCGTTTTCAAAATACTATAACTTTAAACTTATTTTTTATTTTTATATTTGGATGCTATTAAAAAGAATATTTAATACATAAAAATAAGTGAATTGGGACATCAATTAGTCATCAAGTAAAGTCATGAGAGTTAAAAAATATATAAGTATGTTTGAGATTTTTTGTTGTTAAAATTTCAGTATAAAGAAAGAAGAACACAAAACGTTGGGCAGCCCGTAATACTTCTACAATACGAGGGAATCTAACAAAACAAAATGAACATGGAGCATTTTTGAATCGTATTAAAGGCAAAATTATCAAAGAGGCGGTTAGATTATACATAATTAGAGCACCAATTTTACAATATAAACAGTAAAACAATACCAAATAGGGGAAGTGGGGTGAAAGTGAGAGAAAATGGGTTCACCAGAGAACGAAGCGCAGTGAAAAATTGTTCCGGATTTGGGACATTCAAGTGTGAAATATTACAATTTGAAAAAAAAAGCAGGTTATCATCATTATTATTATTGTTATTACATCACTGAGCAACACGACTTGTTCTGTTTTGAGCGGTTTTGCACATAATTCATTTCGCGTACGATTTCGGCAAATGTCACATTCACATTGTGGTTGTTCTTCGCCGAGCATTCGGTGAAGGGGCAAGACCAGGATTCAGCTAAAACCAAGTTAATAATTCAACAATTTATAGAAGTTTTGGTGTCTTTTTGATTATTGCAATTATTTATTAAAAATTTTGCAAACTTGCTTCACGTTCCGATAAAAGGTTTTTGTGCAAATAAAATACATCACTTTTTGAGTCATAAACAATTTTCAAGACTACGCTTTTATGCTATATTTAACGACATTTTCACACGATTCTGATATAAATATTTGGAAGTGTGAAGGTTTGGATACAATTCTTTCTTTACATATGAAGAAATTTCGCAGAGCTGTCGTAATTTTGATTCATTTTGAGGTGAGCATTTTTTATCGATAAAACTGACCGACAATTTTTAATTAAATTTTTTATTGGTCATATTTTCTTGGGAAATGATTTTCATAGATAGTTTTTTAGAAAATTAAAAATTTGAATTATTAAGCTTACCAAGTGCAAGACCTTCTTCTGTTCGAACTTGTCGCTGATGCGCCAAATCGCATTTGTTACCCACTAGCAAAATTGGCACGTTTTCTGTTCCCTGAAACAATCCAATTTTGAATTCCCTAAAAGAAAAAGACGCAATAACCTTGACCCGAATTATTTGCTCTTTCATATTCCTAATATCATGGAACGTTTGCTGGCTGGTAATCGAGTAAACTACAACAAATCCCTAAAAAATCGATATTTGTAATTCAAAGAAACGCAAAAAAAACCTGTCCGTTCTTTATATACAAATCTCGCATTGACGAGAATTGCTCTGTACCCGCAGTGTCCAAAATTTCAAGAACCGATGGTTGCCCATCAACCTATATAGATATTTATCGATGTCAGCGTGTGAAGACAATTTTCGAAAAGTTACCTCAATTTCTTTTCGGTAAAAATCTTCAATAGTCGGATCATATTTTTCAATAAATGTGCTGCTGACGAATTGAACAGTGAGTGCCGATTTTCCAACGCCACCACTGCCGAGAACCACGACCTTAAACTCGCGCATCCTGCAACGAAAAAGTAACTCAAACGTCTTAACGTGAACAATATAATCAATTTGAAAGCTGATACAGACAAGAGAGGCAAACAGTGAACAGTTGAATTCCGGGAGAAAAACGCGAGCCTGATTGTGCTAGCCGAGTAAGCCCCCGTCGCGAGGCACAACCGGTCTCGTTGGCTTGTTTCGGGTGCGATTGCCCCAATAATGCGCCAGTTTTCTTTTTCATTGACGCAAAACGAGATTATTCTGGATATTTTTTTCTCGCACGTCACATTCTTAATTTCGACGACAAATTGGAATTTCGAATTTCTTAAATACGGGCATTCAAAATATTAATAATTGTTTGGTAGAATATAATATTACGCACAACGTCTATTCTTCAAACTCTATTATTTATTTTCAGAGCATCTCAATATGTCGGAAGAGCCAAAAGAATTAACGAGTGAATTGGAAGTTGTAACGCAAGATCAACTCGATCTACAGGATCAACAGATGAAACAAATCGAAGACGAGGTATAATTGTTTGAAAGCTATAATCATCATGATTTATTTCTAGCAAAAACTATTCCCACTGGTCGGCGAATCCCTTCCATTTGATATTATTGTTATGGAGTATGACGAAACAACAAGTCCTGAATTTTTTGGCAAGGCTAAAGTATTTTCTACATTTTAGTATTCTCGATGAACAACGTTTATTTAATTTTAGCAACTTGCCGAAGTTTATTCGGACGTTCGTCAAATAAGAGGTGACGGGAACTGCTTCTATCGCGCCGTCATGGTTGGAATATTTGAGAAGTTGTTAAATGACAACGCGAGAGCCCAACAATTTCTCGGTGTTTGCAAAAGCTGGAATGAGAGACTCCTGAAGTTAGGGTTTCCCGAATGGACAACCAACGATTTTTGTGAATTCGTAAGATTCAGTGAAAATCCTATCGGGGAGAAATATTAATTTTTAAGTTTATCACCTGGCTAACAGATCTTGTCAATCAGAAGTTAACAAGAGGAAAAGTTTTTACTGATCTAAACGATGACCATCATTCAAACTATCTAATCATTTTTATGAGATTAATCACCTCGGGATATTTGAAAGAACATTGCTCCGAGTATGAGCCATTCATTGAGTCGGGGCTACCAATGGATGAGTACTGTACCTCTGAAATAGAGGCAATGTGGAAAGATGCGGACCATTTAGGTATAATTGGACTCGTTAATGCCACAGGTAAGCATTGGCTATTTGAAAAAAATGATTTATAATATTTAGGTTTTAAAATTCGCATTGAGTATATGGATCAGTCCGCTGCTCCAAATGGTGGCTGGCATTACGACATTCCTGAGAATGATGCTAAAGCTGATATTGTTCTACTCTACCGTCCGGGACATTATGATCTCCTTTACGCTAAAAACGCGTAGAAATCAAGTCAAGTCTTCCAGTATAACTGTTTTATATACTCTCATACTTCAATATTTATTCGTTTATATATTCCAAACTCGTCGCTGATGAAAATTTTTTGCATCTTAGAGAAACTTTTTTTTCGTTTTGCGAATGTTTTGAACATTTTGAGATATTTCGAGTGTTTCTTTTTTTATATTTAATTGTTGTTTTTTTTAGATTTTCAACGAGCACGGGAAATGCAACATTTGTCACAGTCGTGAGTTTTTTTTTATTAAAAATTTCTACAATTTTTTTCTCAGTTTCAATTATTCTATTAATTTCCATGAAAAACTAATGAGGTTCAATTCCATTACGATTTTGACGTAACTATATAATTTCATAGAAAATAATTTAGAAATGATGACATCGAAGGCTTAATATTATCTCAAACAGTTGCTAACTCATGCATTCGTACTCGTCATAAATATCAAAGGCAAATAACTGCACTACTAACAATTATCAGTATAACCTATGCCATAGGTATTGCATTTTTTTTTACACAAAATCAAAGCATTTTTTTTTTAATTCAGGAATCTTGATTGTGTTTCTAACACCTGGCGTACGCGATTTCGTCAAAAATAACACTGTAGTCTTGCTCTATGTGATTACCGGGCTTGTGATATTTAGAATTCTTTTCAATTATATTTCTAAACGGAATTTTCTTTTGCTTTATTTGGCCACGTTCGTTTATCTCGTCATATTATTTCTATCTTTATTGGGCATTACCCTTTACTACGATTTTGAGGTCATTTACATGTCGTGTTTTGTTCTAGCCGTTCACTTTGCCTTTCAAACTTTGTTCTTCTCCCAAACTCACACTTCCTTTTCGATTTTGATTTGGGCGATAGCTTCAATAGTTTTGAGCATCATCAGTATGATATTTATGCAGATTTTACTCGAGATTTTCGATTTTCCATATATCTCAGTTCTTCTGTTCTCTTTTGCATGCTTCTTGTATGTACAATACAACATTGAGTTTTTCATGAGAACTTATTCAAAACGGGAATGGGGCCACGGACTTGTGTCAATTTTCACAAATGTCCCAATTTAATAAAATATTGAATGAATTTTTTTGCACAATTCTGCCCACATGTTTACGAGATATCATGATAGCATTTATTTGAAGATTTGCCTCAACTGATTTTCATCGAAATTTCAGTCTATGTTAAATCGAATACTTCGTCGCGGGTTTGCATCATACGTTGAAAGGTTTCTATTCTGATTTCTAGAATATTTCGCAATTTTTTTTATAGGAAGAATTATTATGAAATTCTTGATGTTGCGCCGAACGCCTCCGCACAAGAGATTAAAGACGCATTTGTGAGGAAAACCAAACAGGTATTAGTAGGAATCATTGAAAATTTGAGAGCCATGGATGAAAAAGACGATATTAAAAAGAAATGAAAAGCGGCAAATTGTAAAATTGGTTGAACTCTATTAAATTTCACATATTATCCAAATTTTGTAAAAACAAAACTTGTATGAAAGATTCATTAAAACTATAATTAATGTAATTGAAACGTGATTCCACCGATAATTAGTATTTAGCTTCATCCTGATCAATCAAAACGAAAAGATGATTCGCGTGTTGGATGGGCGAAAAGAACGTCGGACACCGAACAATTCATGTTAGTCAAAGTGCGAATTTTTTGCTTGTGTTCGCATTGAAAACAACTATTCTTTCCATGTTTCTCTTAGGAGGCCTATGATTGTTTGCGGAATCCGGAAAAACGAAAATCCTATGATGTTGCGTATAGTCCAGAAGGCGGATTCTTGATGGAGGCGTTTACGAAAACTCGCGAGATGTCAGCGGCGCAGAAAAATGTGCATCGAAGGGAGTGGTCCGGCGATATCATCGACAATCCAAAAAGACGGCGACCCACACAATTTAGTCATTTTAGGTAAATTTGGATTTGAAGAATTTGGGATTTTGAATGGCATCATGTAGATTTTAAGAAATAAACTCAACTACTTTTAACCAGTACCTTAAAAATGGGATTCGAAATTGAGGATTTTTCAGTTTTGTTTTTTTTGTAGGAACCCCGAAGAGGAATACAATCGAGAAAAGAACAAGAATCGTTTACTCGTGATGATTGCTTGCGTTTTGTTTGGTTTTGTGCTCGCCAATGTGCTCTATGTGAGGTGAGAACCATAATAAGGCGAGACTCGCTCGTTTTATGGCCATATGGCTAATGGGACACTCTTGAAACGCCGCTAATGAAATTTCTAATGGCCTTGACACTTGCATGATTCATATAATGTAATTTATAGGAAATTGCAATCCGATCGGTTGAGGAGCGAAATGCCACGCGTCTAGTACATTCGGTTATTAATTTTTTTAGTTAGACGTAATAAATTTTTTTTTAGAAAATTTCTTTTTGGGTTTTCTTTTCCTACCATTACAAAACCGCCAATTACCGGGGGAAAAAGTGTTTTATTTGACATTGTATGTTGTTTGTCCTACAATTTTTTTCTTTTAAACTATTCATTATTTACACACCTTTTTTCCGCGATCGGTTTTCATCCAGTTTTGTCCCTTCCAACATTTATTTTTTCGTTTTCATTCCACAAAAACACGCGAGTGAGGAAATATTTTTTTTTTGGAATGCGGAGATAATGAAGCCAATTCGAAAATAATTGTTATTCGCATGCGATCACGTTTTTTTAGATGAGTAATCATCAATTCCGAATAGCGCAAAAATATTTTTGAATTCTCATTGCAACTCCCTTTTCGATTTCAGAGAATTATTTGCGCGATGAAAATAAATTAACAGTTCAAACATCACAATTGCCTCTCCTTTCTTACGATACGATCCTTCATAATAACTGCCTAGTTTGACGATGTTGATAAGATAACGTATTCACAAAACGTATGTTCATCTACTGTTTATTGTTTGCGACATTTGTATATAGAATCCGATGATTGTAGTATTGCGCAGGTGAAAAAATATTTGTTGAATGACCGAAATTTCTAATAAACCTCTGGCAACTGGAAAAAAACCAATAGAGATGGACGAAATGTGATTTTTTGTCGATTAATTTGATGAGATTCGAAATTCCTTGTCGAGTTTATTTTAAAAATATTTCTGTATCCGACAGGTTTTGTTTTACCAGAAACGCTCAATATTCTTTTCTCTAATCTGAACCACATTTTTTTCTGTTGAAAAGGCGTTTCGAAATTTTAAAATTTCTCCCAAAACACCCGTTTTTTTCCCATATTCGCAAACATCAATTTGTCAGAAATCATTCTTCCGTGTAAACAATTTTCACACTTTCCCATCGAAATCCCAAACACAATGTTTCATGTTTCTTCGTTTCGTCGTCGCCTACTTCTTTTGTGGTTTCGAACGAGAAAAAAAAGTAGATTGTGCTACTCGGGCCTCCACAAAACCGCAGATTGACACACATGTCGTGTTGCGGGCAACGAGAAAGAATGCAAAAGTTTCGAATTTCGAGCGCAAATTGTGCTCTGTGTTTTTTTTTTTGTTGTCGTGGAAGAAAAAATGGGAGAAGAAGAGGGGGGGGACTCTTCTCGTATACACATACCAATTAGGCGCCGCCCCATTTTTCGCCAACGCCAACACCAACGCCAACCGCGCTCCGCGCGCCGCACTATTTTTCCACTCTTCACTTTTTTTTTCTCGTCTCCGTCGCCGTCTCGATTATACGGCATTGCGTTTGTCTCGCATATTCGTGCGCTCTTTAATATATACATGCCTGCAGGCTAGCCGGGGCATCAGCGTCAGCGTCAGCAGTCGGTTGAGACTCGACGGGCCAGTCACAACTCCTCGACGTCTGTGCGGCTCTCTCGTGCTCAACACTCTTTGCACACTCCTTCTTTATATCTCTCGCTCACTCGCCGCCGCTGCTCATTCTTGGGTTTTTCCATCTGAAGGCAACGACGCCGGCGGGCCTCACACTCACCCCAAGTGCATTCATTTAGCTTTTCGGCGTCTTGAATACCATGCCCTGTGGTGACATTACGATGGAAGCAGCCGATCTTCGCGTTCCTGATATCCCGTTGGCCTCGTGCGACGACGAGGACATCGATAGCAACAAGAATATGAATATGGCGAGGTAAGCAAACAGTTTCGAACGTCATTTTCTTGTTACGTTGCAAATCCCGAATAAGAATTGACTCGTTGCCATCATTAGTTTGTTCGAGGCGGCTCACAATAATAATGGTTTTCTTGCTTGGTGAAGTTGGAAACCCATAAAAGTTGAAAGTAGGTCTCTCGGAAAATTGCTTGGTGCTCATTTTTCTCAACTGAACAATTCTTATGTATTATGTCTAACTTCAAGTTTTATGACAATTTCTCCATTTTAACTTTTTTTTTTCTAAAAACATTTTAAAGAAATTTACACTCAACAATATCTTATTTTAATTTTTGATCATTGTCGTCAACATTCGTATATAAAATTACCCCAAAAATAGGTCAAATATGCATAATCATCCTAATTAGTAATTGCGCGAGCGCGAAATTCAATTAACATCATAAATGCGTTAATTAACGTGTTGATACGATAATATTAGAAAACTTATGTGCGACATTTCCACACTTAATCCATCATGTGCTCATCAATCATTTTTGTGTTTCCAGTCATTTGATGAGCGAAAAAGCGGCCTTCAACGACGAGGAGCGAATTCATGATGAGCTGTCCGGTTCGCTTGAGGTTTGGTGTCGAGGCGAACAAAAACAATGAGTTTTAATGTGATTCGAAATTTTGAAGGATCTTGTTGGAAATTTCGACGAGAAGATCGCCGCATGTCTCAAAGATCCCGAAGTGACCACGGCTGATATCGCGCCGGTTCAAGTGCGGAGTCAGGAGGAAGTCATGAACGAAAGCCAGTAGGTTGTTTTGTTCGATGTTGATTTTATTGGATGGAAAGAGAAACCAACCATTTGAACGAAATGAAACGTATTTCCGACATGTGTTCGACAACTAGAATTGTTCTCGAATAGAAAAAATGAATCAACGCGGCGCGGACCGATTGAACACAGCTGTCACTTACTAATGGAATTTTTCATTAGCCCAGCACGCATAATAAAAAATGGGGGATACTGAAGAGCAAATAGAATTAAGGCTATTGAGAGCTCCCCAATTTTCTTCATTAGCGTTGCACAATTACATTTGGTAGCGCAGTTAGCAAGAATTTTCGGCAAAACCTAAAATTCAACTTGTTTTCATCGCCGATTGAAAATTAAAATAGAATTGAGTATTTCAATAGGGTTTTTTTTATAAGAAATTGGTACTTTTAAAATTTTTTTCTGATCATCGATTTCTGAATCAATGAGAGCTTTGATTTCTTGAGTGTTCATCATAACAAATTCGGCCAACAATTTCAATTCTTCTTTTCGAATTTCGCTATTTCAGAACTTGGTGGACGCTGACCGGCAATTTCGGCAACATTCAACCCCTCGATTTCGGGACGAGCACAATCTGCAAGAAAATGGCGTCGGCGTTGGACAGCGATTCATCCTCGGTAATTCATTCATTCTTTGCCCAGCCATCGCGCTTCGTCTTCTCAGTTATGCCCATGAAAGGAAGAGAAATGAGAATGAAAAATTTGAGGAAGGGGGGTGGCAGGAAGGGAGGAAATGCCTTCGTTTGTGTGTATGCGCGCGTTCACCGCCAAACACTCACCCACCCCTATCGTCCTGGCTCAATGCTATTGATTTTCGAGCATCGTCTCATTGCATAGCATAGTCTTTGTTGTTTTTTTTTTCTTTTTTGTTTTCAACCCACTTTGCCTATATATGGAGGAGCACACCAGCACCCGCATTGGAATATTCTCGTTTCTCGTTCGTGTTTTCTTATTGGCTGTGTTGTTGTTTTACCGGCCGTCTCGTATAGGCGCCTCTGCTCTCCGCGTTGCGCATTTTTTCCCCCACCATTCCCTCCAAAGTGATCCCCGAAATCCCAAAGTTGCCCGCAACGAATCTGATGGATGTTTTTAGAAGGACGACGCACGAACGCCGATGAGCGCGCACACCGATGATATGGACGATGATCTGTTGCGGCAGCAAATGGACGTTCATCAGCTCGTCGGACACCATGAGCATCATGGTTCCGGCGGCGACACGCCACCGCAGACCGCCGATCAGGTCATTGAGGAGATTGATGAGATGCTTCAGGTAGATTTATGTTCACACTTTCGGATCTCTTGTTTTTTTTATGAGTTCCATACACAGAAAATGAAAGCTTTTTTTTGAATTTTATACGTTAGCTTACTGTGGGTAGCTTTAATTGCAGAAAAACTGTTCTTTTATATCGTTTTGACATCTGGGAATAATTTAATATTAGTTGAGATCCCTTTTTGATTTATGGGGGTGATCAGTTTATATTGCATATTTTGGAAAATGCTATTTATGCTCATTATATGTTTGCTCATTATAATGACCATGTTTTTAATGTTTGAAAACCCTATGCAGATTGCTCAAAAACTAGTTTGAGTTTCTTTTTTCACCAAAAATCTGTGTGGTACCATAAGGTCGAAAAAATAAAAACGTCCTTCAATCAATTGCGACAGTTATGATACAATCCAAATTTCGGAAAAAAAAAACTCAAAAACCGGTAGAACCAATTAAAAAAAAAACTGTAAATTTCCATGCGATTGCAAAAAATCTCCCCTTCACCGGTTTTTGAACCTTTTTTTTTCAAAATCTGCGTAGTGCCATTAAACGGAATAATTGAGATTATTAAAATGCATTATTTATTTAGTAATGCGTAACAAGGTCAAAGTCTAGTGAAAAAGAGCAAGATTATGCTTCTCAAATTTCAAGCACAATGATCAATTTTCTCAGCTTGTCGTCTCTAATTGGGATCTCTAACTTAATACCCTTCGATTTATAGTCATGCGATTTCACCGGCTCAATGATGACGGATCGAACGATGGAATCTGTTGATTCGATGTATTCATCGATGCGCTCGCCGTTTCCATCCGGTCACAGTTCGGACGCCGACGTGAAATTGCGAACAGCTCAGAATCTCGTCTCGAATCCGGAGAGTAAGTCGATTTGGTGTGTGTGCACGCACATTCAACCGTATTTGTAGCGAAAAATGCGTCGTCCTATTCGGGTATACTAAATGTTGTGTGTTACATCAACGTTTTTTTTTTTGGTCTCCCCGATTATGAGAAACCGAAATTGCCCGCAATTTTCACTACTGTAGAATTAGAAACATAATTATATAGTGATTGTGGCACTTATTGCACCAACAATTAACGCTTCGTAACATTGAAATGAGCGCTGTTTAGATTTGCAAGAGCTGTCCTACTCGAAACTAGTCACATTGTGCGCGGAAATGGAGCAATTAATCAGCGTCTACAACGAAAGTCTTGTTGATGAGCTGGCTCATAGGTAGAAAAAACGATTATTTTCGAAATGAGGTCTTTTTTTTGCAGAGATGAGCTTGACTATGAGAAGGAAATGAAGAACTCATTCATCTCGTTGCTGCTCGCTGTTCAGAATAAGCGTCGGATTTTTCTAAATGAAAAAAAGAGAAAAGGGGTTGGTGAAACTGGACTATGATGGAAATGAAACCGAATTGATATTCTAGGGACGACTGGACGCCTCGCAACTTCCGCAATACGTTACGGCAACAATTCCATACAATGAGAATCAGCCCAACGATAATGCCACGATATCGTCGCTGATCAAAAGTGAGCCCAGATTGTTTTTTTTGCACAAGTTGAAATAGGCTTGACGAAAAATGGAGATCCCATTTTTTGTGTTGCAAAAAGACAGTGATCCATAAAATTCTAACGAAATCCCATTTCAGTCTTGAAAGCGATCCACGACGACAGTCCAACTGTTCCATCGCTTCTCACTGACTACATTCTAACTGTGGTGTGCCCGAAATCGGTGCAATGCTAATGTGTGATATAAATGTTCCCTACTAAAAGCTTTAAGCATATTAAACATCTCTTTCCAAGAAGACGTATTGCTGCGGAGCCATACGCATCCCTGTTTGCCGCTTTGCCTTTCTGCTCTCTCTCTCTCACTGATCCCTCTATTCTTCTACTTACCATAATATAATAGTTAGTAAACAATTTTTTTAACGGGTATTTTTCTTGTCCCGATACCCATCAAAATCTGAGGCACACACTGAATTTCCACGCTTCCGTTGTTTCGTTTCTTGTTCAATGTGTGCTGTGTCCGATTTTATGCTATTATTTTTTTTTTGATTTCGCGCGTTTTATTCAATTTTATTTTGTATAACATCGATTACTCGCTTCGTGTTCTATTATTATCATTATTTTAATAAAATTTTTTTTGGACGCGTTGTGTTTCGAATATTTTACAACGTTTGGCTCTCGGCGTTTTCCATGCGTTTATAATCCTTGTGGAAACGAATTGATTGATTACCGTGAATTGTGGACACCGCCAAACGGCGTCGCGGCTTTGCCGGAATTTTCCAGCGATGATCGACTCCTAGAAAAAAGTGATATGAGAAAAAATTTGAAAATTTTTTAAAATGTATTCTAATCTTTGAAACAAGAATTCCCGTATTCTCGAAATTTTGCGTTCCACGTTTTTTTTTTAATCGGTGCAGAGCTCTGACAACTCTAAAATCATCAAGTTTGAGCGCCAAATTTTCAATTATTTTTAAAAATTACGGAATTTCAATAATTCGGTTGCAAAAAATAGGAAAAAAATTAAGAAAAGAAATTCCGAAAAAAAGTTCGACCGAATTTTGACAGAGTTCGTGGGACCACCCGGCGCAAAAATGCAGATTATACCGTAATAAAAGACGCATACGAATTTCATTCTCTTTATTCGTTTTTTTCGGAATCGGCCTTTCTTGACACATTTCTACACTGCTTTTCGAACATAATATTTACCTATATCACTTCTAGCATGCGCATAAATGTTGTCAGGTATTTGATCATGGTGAATAACAGCAGGCGATCTAAAAACTCAAAAAACAATTCGAAATAATCATTCGATCTCAAAAAAAACTTGTTCTCAAGCATCAATATCGCCGTATATCCGATCATTTCCGCATTATCCGAGCACAACTCAAGAGGCACTTGAAATGTTTCCATCTCATAGGCGTCGGCCAGCTTCGTTATGCCTTAATTCGGAATTCGAATCTCGCTGCGAAATATAACGTATACCATTAGCGATATAAGCATTCGCCGCAACACCCCCGCCAATTACAAGCGTTTTTGAGCGATTGCTCTCGTTTTCCGTATACCAATCGAGAAACGAATGCAATTTACTGGTTAGATGGCGTGCCACCGAATGTTGAAGGCTGGCGCAAAAGTCTTCTCGGCAAAAGTCCGGAGAATTCTTATGTTTCGCCGCAAGATTCAGATATGTCGATTTTAGTTGTGAGAAATTCATGTCGGCGCCAGAAGTGCTCGGAAGCACTGAGCTATAGCGCAAATGACCATTTTCAGAAGCGCTAAACTTTTTTTGTTATTGCAAAATCGATAATTCATTTTTTTTTTGAATACCGTTTTGCGAGCATTTCAACAGCAGCTCCAGCGTGCGAATGAGCATTCTCTATATCAAGCTCTCTCGCAACTTTATCAATGCATTCACCAGGACTTCCCGACACGCTCATTCCTGTATAATCGTTTAATGATCGATTGTTCGAGAAAAAAATTAAGGAATACCGTATAAGACAAAATCATCCGGAGATTTCACCTCACAGATTAATGCGTGTCCACCGGAGATCAGTAAAGTGCAATACGGGAACTTCACGCGATCTGTGGAGAGTAGAATGGAAAGAGCATGAGCTCGCATATGGTGTACAGGTATCAAAGGGACTCCCATTGATCTGAAAATAAATCAACAAAACTGGCATCAAAAATTGGCTACTTGGCAAGACTAATTGCTGTATGAATGCCTTCTTTAAGTGCAATCACAAGACCGGGTGTCACGGTGACGGCGACCGCGGCGAGCTCCCTAATATGAACGCCAGATTCCTCAACGCATTCGGATAACAGTTTTGGAAGCATTTCACGATGCTAAATTTTTCGATAAAATGGGCCCATTCACAAAAATGTTCGTACTTGTTGCGCGCAAACGCTTGGACAAATTCCACCGAGTTTCGTTTGAATTTGGCGATTTGTAAACTTCTTCGACGCCAATATGTTCTTTTCTTTTGAAACAATCGCGACGGCGGTGTCGTCGCAACTTAAACATTTTCAAATTTTTGCTAGCTCGACACGATTGAATAATGCCTTGTTTCAATTGCCAAGACTTTCGTCGAATTGGTGGAGAGCGCTCTCAACGCTTGAATTGATTTGCGAAGCATCATCTGAAATATTATCTTTATTGCAACTGAGAGAAACAAATAACCAAAAATGAATAAATTAAAAGCTGGATGAAAATATCAACTTTTCATCCATTTTTAAAACATGTTTTCCCTTTTCCAATTAGCAGATCCTTAAAAAGTATAAATTCTAGATGATTCTTTAATTTCCAATGAAACTCGCTATGTTCTTCTTATCAATCCCTACTAAAATGGTATTTTGTATGAAGGTCGATGATAAGATCACCATTATCGATGAGTTCACTTCATCATTATTGCTTTTATGTATTTTACAGGAAAAAATGACCAGCGGTGTTGTCAATGGTCCGATTCCAGATTCATTCCTCTTCGATGAATCGAAAAGGTTGAACTCTTTGGTCTACAAGGAAGGCAAGTTGGAAGTTTTAGGTAATCAATTTCTACCGGGACCAATTTTTTACGCTATATATCATAGATCAGCTTTTGCTCCCGCACGAGTTCAAGTATATTCCAATTAACGGTGTCAATGATGCTTACGATGTAATCAAATCAATGAAGGTTTCGCAATTTAAAAAATTGATTTCTTAAATTTTCTCAATTTTAGGTCAGAGGAGCCCCACTAATTGCCACTGTTGGATGTCTCGGATTATTGATCGAACTGAAAAATAGATCCGATTTCGATGGCGTCTGGCTTGAAGAGAGGGCATTTTGAAATAAATTGTGCATAAACAAATATTGAAATCTCATAATTCAGATCAACTATTTAATTTCATCTCGACCAACAGCTATCGACTTACGGAACAGTTTGAATTGTTTGCTACCAATTATTCACAGCAAAAGTTCAAATGTCGAAAAAATGAAAAAGTAACAACTTAAATTTTCAGCTTGAAAAAAAAATTTCCAGAATTTATGATCATCTCATTGGGGTCTATGAAACAGAAAAGGAAGAAAATCGTAAATTAGTGTGGAATGGTTATCAAGAGGTATTTAAATATATCTTTGTTTTTATTTCATGGGTCAAAAAATTAATTTCTTTTAAGCTTTTAACCTTAACTACATCATATTTGAAATTTTTACTTCAAAAAATTCCAGTTGATATCTGCTTTTCCCAATGATCACAAGCTGACAGTGATGACAATTTGCAATACGGGTAGTTTAGCGACATGCTCATGGGGAACCGCGCTCGGTGTGATTCGAGCACTTCATTCAGAGAATCGCCTGAAGCTCGCCTACGTCTTGGAGACACGACCATATAACCAAGTTGGTTCTTCCCTTTTTAAATTTCACTATAAAATTATTAAATATCATCTGATGGATTTTTTCAGTTCTAAAAAATTGTAAGGAGAAATTGCGAAAAAATAGCGTTTGGCTTTACATTTTCTTCCACATAACGAAATCTTTCTTTTATTTCGCGCCAAAAAAATGAATATTTCGTCTACGTGACATATCGGTGAATTTGAAAAAAAAAATTAAAATTAATTAATGCTTGGCTAGAATTTTCTTGGGAATAAACTCATGGAATTTTAAAGGGAATCCGACTCACCTCGACTGAACTTCTTCACGGCAATGTTCCGTTTCGATTGATTACTGATTCGATGGCCGCATGGGTTATGAAGAATGACAAGGTTGACGCGATCTTAGTCGGCGCCGACAACGTGGCACTCAACGGAGATACTGCAAATAAAATTGGGACTTATATGTTAGCTGTTCTCGCGAAACATCATAATATTCGTTTCTACCCAGTGGTAAGGCTTAAACTTGTTAAAACTTGAACTTCAAATTTTCTTTTTTTTCTCAAGGTCCCTGCTACTTCAATAAACCGCAATAATGAGACGGGAGCTGGTGTGACGATCGAGGAGAGACCCGCAAAAGAGCTTCTCTCGATCAACGGACAATTCATTGGATCGCCGAACACGCCTGTCTGGAATCCGGCGTTCGACGAGACACCCGCCGAGCTCATCACCAAAATAATTACCGATTTTGGGAATTTTGAACCAGTTGCATTGAAAAATGCCGTATTGAATAGATAAAATGAGAAACTTTATTAAACATTTACGACTACTGAACGGGATCAGATCAATTACGACAAAAAATGGAGACCGAGAGAATTCAGGGAAAAAATATGAAATAATACCAATAAATTAGCATTTAGCAGATTCTAGTGCTGAAGCCAAACGCACGAGCAATGCTGGTAAGATAATAGCGATCAAGCCCAGTTTGCGTCTCGTCGGCAAGATGAGTGGGCACCTCAGTGGCCTCAATCTTGAACTCAGTTTCAGATCCCTGCAAATTGTCTATTAATATCAATCAATAAATTCACGTCCTTACATTATCTTTAAGTAAAAATTTAATGGTGGCATGATGGTCGTTTGGATATTTCTTGAGTCGCCATTTAGTTTCAACCTCCTTATTTGGTTCAATTTTCGTAAACGATCCAGTTACGTTGCCACCAAACAATGAAAATTTGCCGCCAACTTTGAAATCCCACTCGCTTACGGAGTTATTGGTCCAGGAACGAACATACTAAAATTAAATTAATCATGAATTCTAAGCTTATCAATTACTTGGTGTTCCGAAATCGCCTCGAAAACTCTTTCCGGTGGAGCTTTGTAGTTATCCGACACGGTTACATCTTTCACGGTGAAGATTTCGTTATTTTTTGAGGTTGAAGCGTCTTTGTCAGCGACAACGGTGTTTTGGAATTGTCGCTTATCGACGACAGTGGTTTTTCCTTTTGTAACAACTTGTGGCTTGATCTTGTCGGTTGGAAGAATGAGGCCCTTGCTGAACTCTTCTTTAAGCTCTCGAATGTAGATTCCCATTAGCTCTTGAATCTTCTCCACCGCCTTCCGCGAAAGAACCTTTCGAACTTCGTTAGCAAGCGGTCCATTCTGATTTCCAGTCAATGTACCAGTCACCTAAAGTTTGATTTCAAAAATGTCGACGTTGAACCGACATACATCAACTTCAGAAGCATCATTTTCATCACTTAAATTAGGAATATCGAATTTCCCTTTATATTCTTCCTGACTTCCGGATATTCGAGCAGTGAAGCCGGCTTCGATAACCCATTCGTACAGGAAGATTAATTTGGCTTTTCGATTATTCGCCGTCGCTTCTCCTTCAATTTTCTTTATGTCATCAATCTTGATTACAACGGCACCGTCCTAAAACATAAATACTAATAACAATAAGAATAATATAAAAAAGACAAACCTCAATTTCAAAACCATTAAGCAGCTCTTTTAGCCGGTTTTGAGACCACGGGGTTGCGTTTTTCTCAGACCTGAAAATCGAAACATTTAGCAATTGAGATATAAATTGTAAAAATAATCGATTAGTTACAATATCTAAGATACAAATTTCATTAATGATAAAAGCAAAAATTAATTGACATACAAACTTACCAATGCCAATTGTTAACATTAGTAGCATCGGCACGCTCTTCAACAATCCAACGCGGATCTCCTTCACCCCATTTAGCCATGGTTGCGATTTGGAAGCTGAAAATCATAAATAAAAAATTTTATTTAGCATTTTCAAGTAAATTTCAGTAATTGTGAACGTAATTCAAGATTCGTGTTGTTAAGTAAAATGGTGTCGCAGGTCATTAGTACTGCTTAAGAATCGTATAGACCTTGAGAATAGTTGAGAAAAATAAGAAATAATCTAATTTTTTTCTGGGCACAATGAACAAGCGACATTCCACCTCAAAATCGCACTCTAATTCTCAGTTTCGAACCAAATTTTTCGAGAAAATTCAGGAGTCTTGGAGGTTCGCGGCCACACGGCCACGGCCATGTTTGCCTTGGGGCGTGTTTGCTTCGTTTTTTCTTCGACCATTTTGTGTTTTTTCTCAAAACAAAGTCATCGAGAAGTGCAGCAATCACGTTTTTTTTGCAAGATATTCTTCTTTAAAAAACTAGGATGTTGTTGAGTTCGATAAGAGAATAGGGTCCCACGCTTGTTTTAATAATGCTCAGGCTTATGGACTTATTACTCTGAAATTGTAATTTTTTTTAAATTGCTTGAATGGATCCATTAGAACATGGACAGAATTTCTTTTAAAACAGCTGCTTCATCCATTCATTCTTCTTGTTTTTTTTTAACATTTATTTCCTCATTTTCTCATGCTCACTCTCTTTCTATAATTTTTAGAGTATATTTCAATTTCATTGTTTTTCTTCCGATTGATCTGATCGTTTTCTAATTTTAGAACTTTTAGAAAAAATTTTTTTTGTTTCTTAAAATATAGCCGATTGTGGCGCATACCTTAAATATCCAAAACTATCATAACATATAAGCTAAAAAAGCTTAAATTGAGCGAAAAGCCAAAAATATCTTGGGACTTGCCTATTTTTATATTTTCGATGCAATTAAGTTAATAGTTAAAAGAGAGCTGATTAACTAGAATCGAATAAATAAGATCCAATGCGGTACAAATCAAAATTTTCGTACATACACCCATCGAAATCTTGGCAATCGAAGATTTTTAGAACTACGATCAAACCGAAGATGGCGTTAGCACCTAACATAAAATATGGCACCTTTGGGATGCGCGGAACACATTTGTCGTATTATTTTCTTCATAGACCACTTTTTTTAATCACAATAGAGAACGAAAACCCCCTACAAAAAACAATTTCCAATTTATAGTTCAATTTTTGTCGCCGAACTTTTTGCCTCAATTCAAGCCATGATAACAGCGCCGGCTCTTGTCAGCGTCGCGAACAGCGCGTAACCGCCGATTATAATCGAAACACCACAGGCGATCAGCAGCCATGAGGGTTTTGTTAGCAAGAATCCGATGAGCGAGGCGATTTCGAGAATATAGATGAGACTCGCGATGACCAACCGATGAAGATGCGATCCGAGGAACGAGCCGATCGGCGCTAAAAAAATTGATTGCCAAAAAAAATCGATGATGGAACGCGCACCGAAAGTGGCGACGACTGGTACCGAGCATGTGAAATATCGCCAAGCGACGACATCCACGTCACCCATCATAGCGGCGCGATAATAAAATCCGAACACCGAGACGACACCTAAAAAAAATTCCAAAAATTGGAGATAAAATATTTTAATTACGAATACTTTACTACTTTATCGCTCTGAAAAAAACTTAACTAATTTATCGCTTCTTCTGTAATGTTGTTGAAATAAAATTATTGATATTTTCTCTCTAATTTTTCCTGTTTATTTTTGCTTTTTAAAAGCCGGTCACAATCGGTCGCAGCGAGACTCTCACTCCAAAAATATTAGCGCGTTCAAAAATATTTTTTTCAGAAACCCTCAAATAAACCCTCAATGTTTTTCGCTTCTATAGCCCCAATATATATATATATATATATATATATATATATATATATATATATATATATATATATATATATATATATATATATATATATATATATATATATATATAAATACACTCCTGTCCGAATAATAATACTTTCGGATAATTTCTCATAATAGACCATTTTGAAAAAGGCGCTTTGTTGATTATATCATGAAATCAATATCTTTTTTCGTTTCCGTTGTTCAGCGGTAGGGGAAAAAAGTTATTTCCGTGCAACTTTGATATCAACCCGAACGGCCGTTTTCATATATATATATATGTAGTTTATACACAATAAATCGCTACATGACTTTTCCTAAAACTTGATGAACAATAGTCGAATTAACGCTGATGTTAGCAAAAACTTGTTCTCGTCGAAATGCAACATTTTTATTTTTAGAAGCATATTTAGCAAATGGTTTGGAGTAAAAGAAAAAATGAGAACATTTCAATGCAGAAGAAAAAGTCATTTTTCCTTTTCTCATTTTTTTGTTATTGCTGCATTTATTTAGTCCTTTGCGAGATTTAATTGGCCAAACTGGTTATATTTGACAATTTTTCTGAAGATTTGATAGCATGTTTGAAAAAACCGCCTAGAAAATTTTAGAGAAACGCGAAAACAAGTTTTTGATATTTTATTTTTTCTGGTTTGTCTTTTTGATCTACATTTTGGGATTAAATGATCAGAGAAATGTGTGCAAACACCGCGAGGCAAATATCACAGAAAAAAACACCAAAGAGATATTCGTCTCATGCGATCTAACTTTGGCAATCAAGTTTTTAAAAATGCGAACATTTCCTCTAGCTTCATACTACTATTGAACCTATAGATAGTGAAGTATAAGCAGGATTTCTTTAATCTCGTCCAGGTTTTCACCGAAGTCGACAAATCGGATACCTTTTAATATCATAGTAGTTGGTGTTGCCGTCTTCTCGCTAACACGAAACAGCAATGTGACAATGGAAAACATGGCGATGTCGATTCCGCTACCGGCGAATGCGTCGAAAATGCCTTGAAAGAAAAATATGGAATTGATCGTTTGATTGCATTGTCACCTCCAATGAAGCCGGTGACTAGCAAGACGAGCGCCTTCCATTCTTTGAAGTCTGGAATTCTGATGTATGTCGGACGCTTCTTCTGTGCGTTTAGAATGGCGAGCGCAAACGCGAAGGCTGTCCATATCGAGACGAACAGCATCTTTTTTTGCGGACCACTTAAGAATGGATCAATCTGGAGAATTTAGACGATTATTCACGGATGGAGGAAGATTTCTTTTTTCGTACACAATGAACACCGAAAACGAATCCTGGGAATGCGCCGATGATTCCAAAGAGCACCGCCATCGGCTCGAATTTGATTTTCATGAACACGACGCACACCAACGCTGACATCATTCCTATCGATTGGGTCATCAATGCGAAATCCCTAGCGATCGATGGGTTGAGATGAAGAACCAATGTCATCACTGGGAACGCGATGGCACCAGCTCCTTCAGATGCCAGCCACGAGGGCGCCGAAAATCATGGTGACAGGCATGTGCCAATAGTCTGGAAACCATTTGAAGAAATCGTAGCGGATCGCCAACGACCACCAAATCGAGTGCACCAGAACGAACGGTATGAGGACGGCGACGAATTTGCGATATTTGATGAGAACATAATCGGATATCGTTGGATTCTGCGGGAAGTTTTCGAGGTTTTCCGCGTGCTTTTCGTCGAGTTGTTGACCTGAATTCGAATTTTGCCGCACAACAATTAAAATTGCTTTCATATGGTCGCTGTTTTTTTTTTGCAAAAAAAAATAAAAATTTTTTGCATTAAGAAATAAAGAAAACTAGTTGATTAAAGGCTCATGACTCCGAAAACGAATTGGGTTTTGTTTTGTTATATCGCAAAAATACACTTGAACGAGTTTTTAGTCAGTTTTCTTAAAAAATATTTAAAGCATTCGCTGTTTTCGAACGAAAATTAATAAAAAACTGAGTTCGATTTTTTAAGGCAAAATTTGACTAACCTTCAAGCAAATACTTCTTACACCAGATTTTGACGCGTTTCATCATCGTTGTGTTTCTTGTTTCATTTTCGCTGGTCATTCTGTTTTGTGTAGCTTCTTGCCCGAATATAATATTCAGCTAACGCGTAAATTTACCCGCCCATGAATCTATAGTAACACTGAAAGTGTCACGCCCCCCTCGTTCCGTCGGTTGACGCCGATAAACAACAAAAATAGAATGATCGATGATGTCTCAACGCGATGATCTTTAACGGTGTGATTCTTGACAATAATCAAAAATACATAGTATGAATGAGTGCTGTCCAATTCAGCGTTGCGCAATGTCCTTCTCATAGCCCAATTTCCGGTATTTCTCAATTTCAACTAGCAAGCCTTCTGTGCGCGATGAAGTTTGTGAACGATCGCTGAAGACAATAAGATAATATGAGCCAATTTATAGAAAAATCGCCAAATTTCGTTCTGGACGCGAGAAAAACCAGGCCATGTGAATCTTTGCCAGTATTCGACCCATTTAAAGGGGGAGGGGGAGTAATATTTAGAAAAATAAAAATTTCAAAGAAACTAGATAAGAAATCGAACCAATAAAAAAATTAATTCCTCGCGGAGAAAATCGATTGTAAAGTAAACAACATGTGTATTGTCGTCAAATAAAATGCATTGTCCGTAATAATTATACTTTAGCTTGTTTTCGATATTCCTGGACAATTTTTCATTTGTACTCATCTTTGAAAGCTCGAAACTCCCAAAATTGAGCATTGAAAATGCTCAGACACTTTGACAATACTCGTTGAATAAAATGCATTAAGAGAATGTCAAATTTCGAATTAAATCTGAAATTACATTGCGGACTGGTACATTTTATTTGACGACAATACACAGGTCCCTTTTAATCGAAAAATGTCTATCTTCCAATTGTTTGAACAAAAAAAAACAGTTGAACAATTTATTTTTGCGAAATATAATTATCGGCCATCCATGGTGTGAATCATTTGTGTTTTTATTAGCGGATGGGCAGCTTCTCGTCATCGTCGGAAGCGATTTTATCGGCTTCATAAGCTGGCACTGCTTGACACTGGTTTTTTTTAGTTTAATGCTGTGGGTGGAAGAGTTCTAATGATTTCAAATAAATGTTGAAAACTCGTTTCAATTCTTTGCGAAATTGCTTAGAATTGACGAATTCTGTCATGTAACATCGAAATTTTGATCATATCGCTAGAATCTTTTCGATTTCGTCGTTTAAAATCTAGTGGAAATTCCAGCAAAAAGCTTGTCCGTTTGCTGGGGGTCAATCGGCGATCTCGTCTCGCGTCGAATATGGCTGTGAACTTTTTTGCATTTACTTCGAAAATATTGTCTGCAAAAAATATGGTTGAATGCCAAAAAGAAACAATGGCAGTGGTGTTGGCGTCTTTCGCCCGCGGCCGTGGATTATTCGGCCATGGCACATTTCACGTCCACAATAAATTCGACTTTTTTATTTATTATCTGAACTTTCCCGGATTTTTTCAGAATTTTTCGACAATTTCTTTTAAAAACATATTCAATATTTGAAGCATAATAAAATAAATCAAACTTGTAGATGAAAATCGAAAAATTTTGAAGAATATCTTTGCGGACGAATGTCTCGCGGCTTTCTCCAAGCCCTACTTTATATTTCGACAAATTTTTTATTGATAATTGAATTTTTTTGAATGTAAATAAAGAACTTTATTATAGAAAATGCTGCCGAGAATATCGAGAAGGTTTGCATCGCAATTCGCCGGCGTTCGTGATGTTGTCAAATACACGCCGAGAAGAGCGCTTCTTTATGTGCCGGCAAGCAATCAAAGAATGCTTGGAAAAATTCCAAATATTAGCGCCGACTGTGTTGTTGTCGAATTAGAAGACGGTGTGTCATTAACGTCGAAAGAAGTCGCAAGAAAGCAAGTAAAAAGAAATTGCAGTGCGAAAATTTTTTGATTGGAATCTTTAGGCCGTTGAATTTTTGAACAAAGTTGATTATTCTTCGCTGGCATGCCAAGAGCTTGGGCTTCGTGTGAACTCAGTAAGCAGTGGATTAATTGAGGATGACATCAAAGTAATCTCGAAAGCGGAAAAACTTCCACAAGCGTTCATGATTCCGAAAGTTGATTGTCCTGAAGACATTGCCACATTTTACAGCATCTTCCGCGAATATTATGGAGATGAGAAAATCTCGAATACCGTAACATATTTATGTGAAAAAATATTCATTCGATTCAATTTTAGAACACACGTCTCATTATTTGGATCGAATCGGCAAAAGCTCTTCTCGATATGCCTCGAATTCTTGCCAACACGCTGAATTTGTTCAAGCAGTCGGGATTTTTCAAATTGGATGGCGTCGTTTTTGGATCCGACGACTTTTGTGCCGACATTGGAGCCACACGAACGTCGCATGGCACTGAAAATTTGTTCGCTCGTCAGAAATTCGTCACTTGCTGTAAGGCTTTTTTTCTGCAAGCCATTGATAGCGTTTACATTGACATCAAAGACCTCGATGGACTTCGGAGGCAATGTGTTGAAGGTTCGTTTTTTAAGTGAAATTGAAAGCATGGTTTTTTTTAATTTTAGGAAGAAGCTGGGGATTCACTGGAAAGCAAGTGATCCATCCGAGCCAGGTTCCAGTTGTTCAGGAGCAATTTTTACCTCCGAAAGAAAAAATTGAGTGGGCTCAAGAGCTTATTCACGCTTTCAGTGAACACGAGGCACTGGGTAAAGGCGCGTTTCAGGTAAGCTTTTTGATCTACATGAAATTATGAAGAAAAACTGTTTTCAGTTTCGCGGTCAAATGATTGACAGACCCCTTCTCCTTCAAGCATTGAACATTATTCAATTAATCGAAAGAATAGGAAAACAGTAAATCAGAATTGTTTAAAATTACGCGTGCCATGTACATAAATAGTTATTTTTGATTATTATTTTTAAATTGAAACGTTGTTGATATTGACGTTAGAAACTTCTTTCTTGAAATGACTTCATGTAAAACCCCGGACGGTAGGCGACGATCTCGGAATATTCGCCGGCGACGAATTCAATTCAGAGAATCAATCCGCAAGACTCGATATTGAAGAGCTTATTGTCAAAGTGTTATCGGTTGGACATCCAGCAAAAAGCTTGACGAAAACTGTCAAAGAGCAAGAATTAATATCATTGTGCTCAATTGCAAGGTTCGAGAGGACTTGGAAATTTTTTCAGTTATTTCATAGTTATTTCAGAGGTGTATTTTTGCAGCAGCCTGCTCTTCTGGAACTTCGCGCTCCTATCAAAATTTGTGGCGACGTTCACGGCCAGTATTCAGGTTGCTATTTTTTTTCTGAAGGGCAAAGAAAAATGACAAATTCAGATGTGCTTCGTTTATTTAGCATCAGTGGGTTTCCACCAAAATCGAATTATCTATTTTTGGGCGATTATGTTGACCGAGGCCATCAGAATTTGGAGCTCATCACGCTATTCTTTTGTTATAAGGTCACAACATTGATTTGAATTTGTTTGAAAATTTTCGAATAAATCAAGATTTTAGATAAAATTCGCCGAGCAATTCTTTCTACTTCGTGGGAATCATGAGTGTCCGGCAATCAATCGAGTCTATGGATTTTTCGAGGAATGCAATCGTAGATATTCAAGTACGCGTCTTTGGCTCGCATTTCAGGTGTTTTTTTTACAATATCATTTTTTGTGAATTTCGTTTTTTTTCCAGGAAACATTCGCTGCGATGCCATTCACTGGCCTAGTTGCCGAGAGAATTTTGTGCATGCATGGCGGTCTGTCGCCGAAACTCACAAGCATTGATGCTCTACGCGATCTTAGTCGTCCAATGGATCCTCCGAGCCCGTCACTTCACATTGATCTTCTTTGGAGTGATCCAGATAATAATGTGAAAGTACGTATAGCGAAAATTTTAGCATTTAATAGATGGTTGCAGTATTTTGCTTTATTGCAATTAACACTAATTTTCACCCCCACGCGAAAAATTAATGGAATGCTCTTTCTAAATACTTCTTCAAAATAGGGTGTAATGATTTTTATTGTAATTTTTTTTGTCGAAATGTGTTCCTTCAAAATTAATGTATCAAAAAATAATAATTAGAATGTTGATTTTTAGGGTTGGGCGCCGAACCAACGCGGCGTCTCCTACGTGTTTGGTCCCGGCGTTGTGCAATCGACCATCGAAAAGCTGGATATTGATCTGATCGCCAGAGCGCACCAAGTCGTTCAAGATGGTTATGAGTTTTTCGCGCAGAAGCGTCTTGTCACTATTTTCTCGGCGCCGCATTATTGTGGGCAATTTGACAACTCTGCGGCAATCATGTCGGTCGACGAAAACACTGTTTGCTCGTTTCAAGTGAAGAAGCGAACTTTTGTAAAATATAAGATATTTATTTATTTACAGATCCTGAAGCCAGTAATTCGAAAGAGTAAAACTAATGCCTGAGTTTTCGTATTCACAAATGAGAAATTAATGAATTATCGTTTGCCATACGTATAATAATAATAAGTGTACGGGTAGTAGTAAGTTGTTTGGTATCCATTCGACGGATAGTAGCAGTTGGAACATCCAGAGTCATAATAGTAAGTAGTCTGCCCATTATTGTTGTTGTTCGGGTAGTAGTAATAGGTGGTTTGCTGATTGTTATAGCCACTCGGGTAGTAGTAATAGATCTGAAAAATTAAAACATTACATTTCATATCATATTGGGCGAGTTACGTAGTAGGCTTTCGAGCAGGCGAGAATCGAAAGAATGAGCAAGAAGCTGAAATATGAGAAATTGGAAAAAAAATGGAATGATGAGTACCTGAGGAATCGCATAGTCGCTCGAGTAGTATTCGAATAACTGACCCCATGGCATTTGTAATCTCCTTAAATATTAGCGGGCCGCGACCACGCCTTTGAGAAGCAAAGAATTTTTGAGAAAAATCAGCAAATAGTGTTGTTGAACTCCTAACGGACTTGGCATTCGCAGAGGTCGACGGATGTTTGTTATCGAAAGAGGAAAACAAGGAAGACGGCACCGTTTTTATTTTGCAAAAAAATATTATCTTGAAATTTCACATACGTTAGTTAATATAATTACCAAGAGACGGCTTATTTTCTTCTTCCTCGTAGAGTTCTTTGGGATCCTCGAGAGGAGGCGGCTCAGAAGCATTCCATGAGGAATTGCTTATCCAATTCTGAAAACAAAAAACTTAAAGTTGACTGCATTAATCGTTTTTTTCTACCGGTTGATCGCATTCTCTTTCTTCTTTGCGTTGTTGCTTTATTCGAGGAAACGATTGCGAGGAGACGGATGTGAAATCCAAATCAGAAAACATATCCATGAATATTGGTTGAATAGCAAATGGGAAATGTCGAAATCCACTTCGAATATATGCGATAGTCCGATTGCGGAGTTCATTTGGCGCGACAAAGAGTTTCTGCATTCAAAATTTAATTTTAAAAAAAATTTTGTATAAACTACTGTATCAGCGGAAAGCATTTCTTCGATTTTCTGCCATCTTTGTTCAGCGATTGTCGATGGATTGATGTTTCTTGACACGATTTCTAGCTGGTTGATAATATTCCGAACCTGAGGTTGGAAATTACATTGACATATTTAAAAAAACTTAATTACCGATCTGAAATAATGCTCTTTGCACACTCGGAAATTTTTGGTTTGTGGGGTGATTAAACTTCGGCACAATTTCATGCTACAACTTTCTTCTAGATGTAATCCCATAAGAAATATCTTCACAGTTTTTTTGTCCGAAAAGTGTTTTACATCAGAGCATTCAATCGATATGGCGCATAAATGACATTTTCGCATCTTCAAATTAAATTTAATACAACAATTAATTTATTCAATAATTATTAAAGCATTAAACATTTATTTCTTCCCGTATGTATAATAATAGTAAGTAGTGTACGGATTGTAAGTCTGATATCCATTATTGTTACAAGTAGTACATCCTGAAAATGCCACCTAGTTTTGAATCGAACAATTAAAATACCATTATCATAGTAATAAGATTTTCCATTGTTGTTGTTGTTCGGGTAATAGTAATAAGTTGTCTGTCCATTTGTGTTATAGTTATTACCATTTGGATAATAATAGTATGTCGTCTGCTGGTTATTATTGTAGCCGTTGTTGTTTGGATACAAATAGTAGATCTAAGCAATTTCTAGATTTGAGGAGTCACATTGAAAAAATGAGAACTTACATAGTATGCGTTGGCACATGAAAGAAGAGCAAAAATGAGAATCGTGCTGAACCATTTGATTTTTCAAAATAAAATTTTTGAAGTTTGAATTTTACCTGAAGAACTGCATCTCGATTTGAGCGAGCCACTGAATCCCCGAGTCGTGTCCATTCGGTTTTTATACCAACTCGTTGGGATTACTGTAGTTCAAAAACTTAAGAGAACCATTGAGAATAGCGCGTGGGAATCGGAGGGATTTCGAATTTGCTGAGAGCGCGAGAGCACAATGGCAAATAGGAAATCGCTGCGGCATTGTCGGCGGTCAAGAGACGATGAGTAAACCACCGCTAGTACTATTTAGTAAATATCGTTTGTAGGTTTAAAAAATTAGAAAAAAAGTGTCTTTTTAATGGCGACTTTAAAACAACGAATTTTTCGAAGTGAAATGAATTGTCGACGAATTTGGGGTGCCATTGTTTCATAGTTTGAATTGCCGCCTTGGCTCTCGTATGGAAAAAAAACATGTTTTTATTTTTACGTTTACTAACTATCATATAACTTAAATTCTTCCATCCACAAATTTATCTCTGATTCAAAAATTTGGGTGGGCTCGCAAAGTGTGCATTCACACGCACGCAAAATTGCACACATTTTATTATTCTGTATGACTTTTCTTTTAAAAATGCATTTGTGCAAATTTGTATTGAAAATCAAACAATTTAAAGATTGGCGCGTTTTTTTAATGCAAACTTATCATTTTGTGGGATTTTCATTTTTTTTTGCAAAAAATAAATTCGAAAAAATTTATTGAGCAATTTCAAAGATTTATTTCTTTCCATAGGTGTAGTAGTAGTATGTTTGGTATCCATTTGACGGGTAGTAGCAATTGGAGCATCCTGAAACTCACCCAATAAAGGAATTTCGTCATGCCACTAATTATACCATTATTATAATTGTCGTAGTAGTATGTTTGACCATTTGGATAATAATAATATGTAGTTTGCTGATTATTATTATTTGGGTAATAATAGTACAACTATAATGAATATTTTCAATTTTGAGAATCTTTGAATTGACTTACGTAGTACGACTGGACGCAGGAAATGAGGGCGAATAGAAGAACAGTGCTAAAAATTTGAGAACCGTTTTTTTCACAAAATATCAATTCTTACCAGAAGAGCTTCATGGTTTGCAAAATGATTTGTGAGGGCTACTGAATTTCCAGTAGTATTCATTACTATTTATACTAAATTTGTTGTGTTCTGTGACAATTAACACAATGAAAATAGTGTTTGCTTCTTAGAGTTTGGACTATTGAGATCGCAAATAGTAAAAAATCACGACGGCAGAAAATGTGGACCTTTGATGAGTAATGGACACAAATTTCTATGGACATGTCATTATTTGAATTATGACGAATAATTGGCATCGCAAAAAAAAAGGTGAAATGAGCATCATGGGAAGTGGTGTGCCGTAGTTTGGATCAAATTTTCGTAAAACGGACGCATTAAAAAAAATCAGTTCCCTTTTGCGTAATGTCCACTGCGGACTTTGCTACCGTAACGCCCAAAAATCAATAAAAACATTTTTTTTCGAATCTTTTTCGTTTTTATACTGAAATTCACTTTTTTTTTCAGAACACGGAACATTAGAATGTCAAGGAAGACGGAATTCCGTGCAGCTCTGGTATGGATAGCTTACGAATCAAACTAACAGACATTTATGAATTTCAACAGGCAATCTTTATTTCAAATTGTGAGTCTTGTGAAGGGACCATTGACGATCCTCCGAATAGTCCTCTCTGAGCTATTCGTATTTGTTAAGGCTTCATTATTGGGCGTCGGCTTGTTCGAGAATAATGTGATGTCCTACGTCAAGAATTATTTCGGTGATTCTCACAACGCCCCTAGTGCGAATGCCCAATGTCCCCCAACCGAACGTGAATAAATGGACTGCGATCGGCATTACCAGAGAAAAACGCAATCATTTTCGAATTTTCCGTGCGATTTTCGGTGAGAAATGACGATGGTTCCATGCGAAAATTCTCAGGAATACAACAACGAAACCAAACTCGGCAATTGTCAGCAATTTGTAGATGACAAACCGCGGTAGCTTCACGCGAGTTCCCTTCAGGTGACGGCTACAGCATTCTTCAAACCTTACCAAATATACGATTTCAATTTTTATGCTTTGAAATACTGCACAATTTTGTAATATTTGAAAAAAATTCCAATCGGATTTGCCCGCGTTTGAAGAGCAAAAGTTTTCAACACCGTCAGTACGACACTCCAATTACACATCGCCCTCAATTTAGTGTATCCGACGAATTCAATTTTCCCCCTATATTTGCTTCAAAATATTTAGTCCAAATTCAAAAACTGCCCGCTGTTCAAATCGGTGTGAAGGTAATATTCGGTCGAAACTTGTCCACACCAATTTTTTTTTGAAAATCCGCGAATCTCTAGAGTGATGTCTGTAATTTTGTCCCCATTATTCTGTTCTTTGAATATTCTAATTTAAAAAAAAATCACCTGCAAAAAATTGAATGTGTGACTTGTGATGATCGTCGGCAAATAAATATCGGTCTCGTCAGCCAACAAAAAAATTTGCGATGCCACAGTTCGCACCCAACTTGAGGTTTGTGGTGAGTCATTCGAGTCCAAAACTTGAGTAAACACTAATAAACGATTTTTCAAAAAAAAAAAGAGAGAGTTTTGTGCTGAAGGGGACAACTTATCAGCAAACAGAAAATGAGAAAACATTTTTTTCTGAAGAACATACTACCGAAGGGCAGTTTGGTTATTTGACAAGATCACGAAGAGACAGTGATCAGCGGCAAATTGAAATTTATTGGAAAATTCCGATTTATATGAGCTCTTAATTAATTGGTCTATGTCTTAAAATCTTTCCATTCGAGAATTCCAATTTGAAATCATATGCACCTTCAAAAAATGCAAAAAAAAGTGTGAATGTTTGATTTCGAAAAAAATAACTGCGGCGTTTTCAACACATAATTAAGTACAACATGGCTGAAAAAATAGCATAAATATTTATGCGTGTCCTACAATCATACGTACTGAGAATATAACGTTTTAGTCGGCTTTAAAAGCAATTTAATTAATTTATACCAATTATTTGTCCAATTTTTGAAGTTTTTAGTCACTTTCATCAATTTTCATAATTAATCCTGTTTTAATTTGTCACATTGAAGATTTTAAACCATTCAATTTTTTTCCTGATTCTAGAAATCATAGTGTAGCTCAAGTCATCATGAAACTAGACTGCTATATAAGGTCTGTCAATCCTAATTAGATATTAATTTGAACGTGATTCATTGCGAATTTCCCGATGTGGGCATAGCCGATGAAATTTATTCATTGTGGTTGAATTATTTCGAAAATGTTTCCAGATTTAGTACGGCTTGGAAATAGTTTTAAAAAATCCACCAAAATACCAATTTTGTAGAATATTTTAAGATAATCGTGAAGCCCATAAAAAAAGTCGCCATTTTGGTTCGCGTTTAAAATTTTTTGATTCACAGGGGAGACTCTAATTTTTTTTAGATAAAATCATTTCAATAATAATGAATTCAAACGGGTATGTCTTCAAAATCTTTCCAAATACAAAAGTTGGTTTCTAGATATTTATAGGGCTTTGTAGGAAACATGGAAAAATACAATTTTTTTCTGCATTGACCCTTTAAAATCGCAAAATCCAAATAGGGATGCTCGAAATTTTAAATCATAAAAGTTTTCTTGTTAGCTGAGATGGACATAGATTTAAAAATTAGAATTTCTCTTTTATATCAAAAATCAGATCCGAAAAAATACCATGAAAAAAGCACTCTGTGCTGAATTGCGATGAGTTTGATTCGCAGGTTATCTGTAGTACGGTAATCGAATTCCCACGAAGAAAATATATCTGAAAACACACTTTGATGGATATTGATCCCATTTTTATTCGATTTTGATCTACGTCACTTTTCGGGGAGTCCATTTGGACTTTAAATCAATTTTTCACCAATTTTCGAGTTATTTTATTTTCAGTTTTTATACATTATTTTAAGAAATTTATTTTTTATAAACTTAGGTCACAGTTCAATTAAAACAAACAAAGTCATTTCTTTGTTGACAAGAAAAATGCAGAGAATTTAATTTGAAATGAGAAATTTAAATATTTTCTACTTTTTTTAAAAATAATATAATAACCAAAAAATTGGCTGAACGAACCAAAATTGTTCATTGGGCCGAGTGAGTGGACCTTTAAAATAAACTACTACCAATAGTCCGAAAAAAAGTGGCTCCACAAAATTTCCATCCAATATTTTACGGTTCGTTTTTCGGTTTTTAAAGACTCTCCGTGCTGCTCTATTAAATCGACATCTAATCGCAATAAAGTACACACAATCAACCAAAAAAAAATAATTGCTCCAAATTTGATATATATAAATGCTCGGGGTGAATGGAATTTGATCGAAATAAAATTGGCAATCAAATTCTCTGTTTTTTTTTTCAAGAAATTTTATGTGTAGTATGTTGCTCAAAAAAATACGCTGGCTCCAAAAACCAGTCGTGGCGAGAACCAAAAAAATCTGCACGCGCCTTTAATTACCATATCCAAAGGTGAAAATCATTTTCGAAAATTGTCCAATGATCTCGCATTATAATTAATAATAATAATATGTTAATTAAAATTTTGTATACTTACAACTTAACTCTTTTATTCCTTTTTGACCAATCTATTACTTATTATCTTGTAGGTAAATTGACCTTCCCTGATGATGATCTAAAGATCGAAACGTCGGATAAACATTTCAACATTGTGCAAGTCATTTAAAATAAAGGGTCATATCAAGAAGATCTCTTCTACTTAACAATAATCCACACGATGCACTCAAAACAAGTCGCTCCACAACTTACAAAACTAATTAAAATTTCTTGATATTTGAATTGCCGCAATTAGCAACCCCATTCAATTTAATTCAATTAATAAATTAAAGGCGTCGGCCTTGTAGCGACTGATTCTAGAAGTTTCTTTTTTCAGAAATTGACCATTTCAATCCAAACTACACAACCCATTAGTTTACATGACTTTTCCAGGAATTATATAGCCTATTGTCGAATTAGTAGAGTCTTGTGACGATTGATATTTTTGAAAGAGACCATTCACATTTGAATTTATGTGAATATTAAATTTTGAATTCTACATAATCAGGTGTTCTTTGCTTCTGCGTTCAGCGGCTCTAAACAATTCCTCGCAATATTGAAATATAGCATTTTTGAATAGCTCTTGTCGAGGGTGTTGATCGCAAAATGTGAAGTTCATTTCTCTCAAACTCATTTTTATTTTTCTCAATCGAAAATTGCAAATTTTGTGTATGCGCCTTTAATATATATGTAGAGTCATTTTCTTGGACACCGAATTGGCGTGCCATCGACGATATCCCAATGAATTGAAAAACCATATTGTCGACGTCGCGCGGCGGCGGAAAATTAGCCAAATGCCAAAAACATTAAAAATAGAGGTCTCGGTGCGCCGCCTTTAACCAATAGGCTCCGTAAATCTACACTCTTGGTTTTGCGCCTTCCGCAGCAAAGAACATTCCCTTCAATACATTTTTTTTGTTAAATAACGAAAATCGGCTCTGCTCGTTAATGACACCCTTTCGAGGAGAAAATCCCCTATAATTACCAATGATGCTTCTGGTCTAGACGAGACCCAACAAAAATCAAACCATAAAGAATTTCACCTGTCAGTTTACCCAGATATTAGTCATTTCTGTTTTACGTAAAGCTTATTCAAATCTGAAGTCAGATGATTGCTATGAAAAGAATGATTCCGGACTCAAGGTTCCAATTTTTCTTATTCTCCAAACTCGATTTTATTTTGAAGCAGTTTTGCCAAGAAAAATCAATTTCAGGTGCTCTCATGATTTATGATTATCGCGATCCGCTCACCGCGACGACCGCTGCCCTAATATTCATTGTATTTCTTTTTTTGGGCTTCAATCTACAAATCTAGACCAAATATTCTTGCAGACTTCCATTTTCGGCATATTTTGCAATGTTCTTGTGATATATTCATTTTTCAAAGTGAAAAAAGAGCGAACCTCGTTCAATTTGATCTGCTCGTTCCGCGCTTATATCAATATCCATATATTGTCCACAACATTCCTTTGTGTCTTCTTCACAGTTAGCATTACGTGAGTGCAATCTGCGTCAACTGTTGTCGATTTACGAGCATTTGCGATGGTCTCGTGCGGACATTGTTAAGTGAAATGGGAAACCGAATTTCACGTGAAAAATAATAATGTAAGGTTTCACGTGTGACGAGACCATGGCGAAAGACGCACTCCGTAAATCTACCCGCTTAAAGCCGACTATACTAATTAATAAAAAATAAAAATGGTGTGCATACACGCGCACGCAAGATTGCACACAATTCATTATATATATTCTAATGAACGCCCTTTCAAAATTTTCCCTAAGAAATGCAAAAAAAATGTTAAAACGATATTTTTTTTGTGAAATGCCCTTGTAGAAAAATTTTAAAGGGCGTTCATTAGAAGTAATGAAATTGGTGCAATTTTGCGTGCGTGTGTATGCACATGGCTATTTTTCTACTAGGGCAATTCAGAAAAAAAATAATCATTTTTCCCATTTTTTTGCATTTCTACTAGAACAGTTTGAAAGGGCGTTCAGGCGTTAGAAATAATGAACTGTGTGCAATTTTGCGTGAGGTTGTATACACCTTTTACGATTTTATCTTCGAAGAGTTGAAAACTAAAAGGAAAGAAAATAAGCAAGTAGAATACTTTTTTCCCGCATTGATTATTTTCTCATTTTTAATGTAAAATTAATAAATTGTTAAAAATAAAAATAATAATAAAAAACGATTTCAATTTGCAACTCAAAAAATTGCTGATCTAATGAAAATCATTGGCACCGATTTAGTGGAACCTCCATATATAATCCTACTGTCGAATCAATGATAATTGTGATCACCAACACGTTGTACGTCGCCAATCAGCATTTATCGGCCTTGGTGGCCCTAAATCGATTTATTTCCTTATTTTTCCCAATCTATTATAAAAAATATTTTGGACTCAATACGACCATTGTAAGATATATATATATATATATATATATATATATATATATATATATATATATATATATATATATATATATATATATATATGAATGCGATTAAATTTATTATTTTTGAAATTGTTTATTTTCAGGCAGTTCTCACTTTTCTATTTTTGTACAGAATTATTAAGGTATTATTCGAGGAGCTTCCAGGAATAGGTTTTCGTTTGCTGGAAATTTGACACAAAAAGATGATTCTCCTTCAATTTCAGTGGAATGCCCGATATTGTATATGACGCAATTTCTCACATGGATGCCGACGTGCTCATTTCCAGGCGGCGATGAGCTCGTCGATTTTCTTCTTCTCACGTTTATCGCCGTGGCGGTGTTGAACATTTTAATATTTTTTCGGATTCTCATGTTTTATATGGTGATTTGAATGTGTCGACATTAAGAATTTTTTTTGGTTGAATTTCAGAGCGACAAAAAGAATGGGAATGGGGGAAACGAGGTGGCGAATCGGAATCGAATGCGCAAGAATGTCATATTGTTTTTTCAAGTTGAAAATTCATATCAAAAAAATTTTTTAAAAAAGATTTAATGAACAAATTTCAGACAATTCTTCAAGATTGCATTTTGCTAATTGACGGCACATTCACTTATAAATTAAGGTGAGCAAACGATTCTTAAAATCAAGGCATCCTCTTCATTCCAGCCCGTTGAGTAATACTCGCCTTTGGTCGTTCATTTGTGGAACTTATGTGTGGGAATGCGCACACACAATTGATGGGTAGCATTTTTGCTTTTTTCTTCGAAAAATTATTTTCCTAGTTCAGTTTGATAATGATACTATTCAACGAACGATTCGCATTATTGAAGAAGCATTTATGGATTCCGTCGCAGTCTCAAATATCGATTAATATTCGCTCGAGTAGGCACAGTAGATTCCAATCGACAAGTAATTTATCAAGAGTGGAATAATAGATATTTAAAAATATTGCATTCAATTTGTTATTATTAAAAAATAAATATATATATATTAACTTGTTTGATTTAAATAAATCGCGCGCCGTAAATCGACACAGAGCCGTCGCACACTTATCCTACTGCTACAGTAATCGCTCGATGAAAAATGGTGACGCACGCGCATTGCGGCTTAATCCACTAGGGTTTCTTGCGTTTTACTTGTCGGTTTACCGTGCTTTTGGTCATTTTCCTTTTTGATAATTCCGTTTTGTGTGTTCTCGTCGCGACCAACCAAGTGCTTCAGCCCGGTCTCGTCCGGTCAAAGCGCATATACATATATATATATTTTTTTTTCTGTTCAAAACTATATATTTTATATATATTTTTTTCTATTCAAACTCTGTTTTGCTAAGCATAAATCGGTCTAGCAGCCGGTGGACCAAACTGCGGATCGATCCGCACGCATCCTCTCATTACCAGTGCATCTACCTGGGACGAGGTTTCTCGGTAATTTTTTTTCAAAATTTAATGAATTTTCTTATTTTCTTTCCAATTCTGATCCGGGGGCATATTCAACTCTAATGTTTCAGATGAGTAATTTCATTTGGATGTTTTTCAAGGGCCCCGGCAAAACCTGTCCAGGGTAGTGCTCATTACTATCTTCGCGCCGTCGAACAGGTTGCTTTAATCGCTGTGCTTTACTGCTTCACTAACAAGGGGATTAAAGTGATGAGGTCTGAATCTGTTTAATTCCCCGACTGCAAATAAGTCACATATGATATGAAAGGATGGCACTGACACGGACAATTTGTAAATTTCACACCTATTTTGTTCAGATACGCCCATGGATGTTCGATTGATACAACGGCGGTCAATCAATATTAAAATTATGGCTCGTGATGAGTCATTGCTTTTTCTATTTGTATTATTATTAATGTTATATCCTACTTGTATCTTATACTATTTTTCATACATATCCTGGTTTTTCAAATAAATGTTCGATTACCCAAGATTAAGGTGTCAAGGTGTATCGATAGGGAATTTAGTCAAATCGTTGGTCTCTGGTCTTGCCACGTTTGTTGTGTAATTTCCTTGAATTTCGAACATTGTTAAAAAATATAAACATCGAGGTTGGCTCTAGAATGCGAAACAGACCTTCTAGTCCGCGCGGGACCATAGCAAAAGCTCGGGAAAATTTACAAAAGTCCATAGATAGCATCAATAGGCTCACGCACACCCTTGTCAAGACTTTTGTATGTTTCTATATTATTAATTATACCCTTTTCGCCGGAATTAGTAGACATTCTCATGTGATTGTTGACGAAACGTTCAATTTATTTAAAAATTACAGGCTTCAAAGAAAAAAAAAAGATTATTAGACTGATAATTGGTTAGATGTTAGATCAGACGTTGTTGGCGTCAAAGATGGGCGGGGCATTCGGTCCCAATCATTGTAGATTTATGGGGTAAAAAGGCCTCGTCTCTTCAAGGCATTATCGTTTTTTCAAATTTCCCCGCAGCGAAGACTGGTGAAAATCAACCCAATTGGCAGTTCGCCAAGCCACGCCCACCAGGAATTTACTATAAATATATATATTTGATTGCCGAATGACACAGGAATTCAATTAAACCATCGTTTTGAGCATTCAAAATTCAATCTTCGATTCTCAATTATTCAAAAAATTTTCCAGAATACTCTTAAAATTTAAATTTGAATTATGATCTACGATTATCGGGATCCTTCAACAGCCACATCAGCAATATTAATATTGTTTGTAAGTCAAGCTCACAGAGCACAATTCCATTTTCTTTTCCAGATATCCACAATTGGAATTGTTTTCAATTACCTGGTGATTTATACATTTATAAAAGTGAACACAGAAAGAACATCGTTCAATTTGATATGCTCAGCTCGAGCTTACATCAACATTCACATTCTTCTAACAACATTCATTGGTGTATTTTTTGTAGTTTCCATGAGGCAAGTTGGATAATTGAAAAAAAGCTATGTAGTTTTTCTATTCAGCGGCACTTCACCATACAATCCAAAAGTTGAAACAGTGATTATCACAATGACAAATAGTTTATACATTGGTAGTCAAATGATTTCAATACTAGTTGCTCTAAACCGTTTCATATCATTATTCTATCCAACGTATTATTCAAAATTTTTCGGAATCAAGATTACTGGGGTAAATCAATTTTGGAAAATAAAACCAATTATCACAGAAAATCTAAAGTGGGCTCTATTTATTATTATTTCTTATCGAGTGGTTAAGGTTATATTCGAAATTGCGCCAACTATTGGTATTATCAAATAAATGAATATAACGAATCAAATTGACATTTAGACACATGCCATCTTCTTTATAGCTCGAATTTCCTTACTTGGATGCCGACGTGCAAGTATGTCGATGGCGACATTCTCGTATATTTCTTGCTGATTATGTTCATTGCGGTCGTCGCACTCAACATTTTAATTTTTGCTAAAATTTTCGTGTTTTATATGGTATGTTTTACATACAAGCTTCATATAATTATTTTGATATGCGGACGTTTGGACCGGGCTCAAAGTTAAGCGAATTTTTCCAAAAAAGTATCGGCGAAATTTGGGAAGTTTGTAAATCAAAGATTACTGTAGATGTTTAAAGGCACAAGTGAGAATAGGAATTTCACGATGATAAAATTTTTTTAAAACAAATGTCAAAAAAAAGGTTGCGCAAAAAAAATGCGAATGAGAACGCATATGAATTTCAGATTGGAATTTTGGGAAAAAGATTTTCCAATCCGCCACACATATATTTTTTTTCAAAAAACTGCATGCGCCTTTAAAATTGTGAGCGTACTCAATTCAAATAACTGATTAAAGGCTCATATTGCGGAGTATGAGTAAAAAAAAAGACATGCATCTAGAAAATCCATAAATCGGCGCGCAATTCCAAAAAAAATTCTTCAAGACAAAAGCCAACTGGCGCCTAAATCTGTGCAATATTTAAAAAAAAATCCAAGTTTACAAAAATTGCATTTTCAGAAGAACTTGAAAAGCGAGAGTACGCGAAGCGATGAGGCCACCAAACAGCGAATGCGAAAAAACGTCATATTGTTCTTTCAAGTAATTTCAGTCGAGCTTCTCAAAAAAAATTGAATTTCAGACAATTCTGCAAGATTGCCTATTACTAATTGATGGTGTGTTCACATTCAAGTTGAGGTTAGGCATATTGAAAAAATTGCAAAAAAAAAAATGGAATAGTCAATTTCATTTGATAAAAAGTTTATTAAATTCAATCAATTTTGTGTTCCATTAAAATTAATATCGAGATTATTATAGTTCCCTTAGTGGTCATCGAATATGGTCATTCATTTGCGGAACATTGGTTTGGAATTGTGCGCATTCTTTTGATGGGTTACTATCAATCATCTTCTGAATTTTACCTACATTTTCAGATTGATCATGCTTCTATTCAATGAGCGTGTTGCCCTTTTAAAAACTCATTTATTAGTACAGCCGAATGCTCGGAATTCGATTATCGTACGATCTAGCCACGTCTTCTAATTTGATATCGTTTGGCATTTCTCGCAAATAAAAAATAATGAGAGCTCAATTTATTCTGACATCGCCTGGATGATTACAATTAATATTATTCCTTGATTACAATTAATATTATTCGTCGCATATTCGATATTCGGCGATTGCTGTAAATTTAGAAGTCTCACGCCGATTCTACATGTAATTCTAGAAATTCAAGAAAATGTCAAAATCATTTAAAAAAATTTAAAAAATACACATATTTGACTATGCTTTTAGTTTTCAAGTGCAAAAAAAATATGGTCATAGGGTGAGACGATTTTTGTTATTCAGGGCGATCAGACGCCAATTAAAATTTGCTGTATTATTTTTCATTTTATTTTTTGATATATTGGTCTCATTTATATGGAGATCTTCAAAAAATTAAATGTTTTGATTTCAATTAATTAAAAAAAAAAACTTTATTGAGAAATTAACTTTAATTTTGGCGTAAGCTCACTTTGTACACAATTTCTCAAGGATCATATGCAAAAAAAAATGTTCAATAGTAAAGCGAATCACTAGTGGATAAATTGAAAGGCTAAACTTCAGTGAAAAATAATTATGGTGTTAAGTTTCTTGTTGTTTTGTTTTCCAACAGGAGTTCTTCGTTTTTCTTTTCAAGATAAAATTTTTTCCGATTATTTCGATTATTCGTTGTGGAATAAAATTAAATTGGAGGTTCCGTTATTTATTTTCTTTTAATTAAATCAACTTTATAAAAAATGAAATTTCGATCCATCCAAACTACATATTTTGGCAGACATAATGCTCAGAAATCTCGAAAATCTCGCAGCTCAAAAATCATGATTTATTTTTTTCAGGTGATTCCCTAGTGGTACATGTTATAATTTTGATTCGGCGATAATTTATTATTTTTTACATTAGATATTTTCAATAGTAATTAAACCATAAATTAGACATATTTAACGAGCAAGTATATATATATGTATATATGAACTACTGAAGATTCGTATTTAAAATTGGATTGATAATTTTCTTTCGTCTATATTTTTATATATATGTATATATTTCGATGCCAATTATTCACGCGACCTTCGATTATACAAATGCTTTGTCGGCAATTGCAGCAGTTCTCATATTTTTTGTAAAAACAATTGTATGTGAACCCTCCAAACTCGAACTTTTTGGAAGACATAAAAAATGCGAAAATGTTATTCGCAAATTTCTGTTTATTTTTGTGGCTTTTTGATGGTGATTCAATAATTTTGGGATTTAAACGATCAGAACAAAATAAATGGTGGCGCGTGAAAATGTGTGCAAACACCGCGACGCAGATTACCACCAATTTCGAATAGACGTCCGCCTCATTTGAATAATTGCTCTTGTTTTTAATGTCCTATAAGCAGTTTTAAAGGCACACCGAGTTTGTAGGGTTTTCCTTGAATAAAAATCTTAATCATCTAACATTTCAGATATCGATATTCGGAATAATTTGCAATTTGCCGGTGATTTATGTATTTGTGCGAGTAAAGAATGAAAGGAATTCGTTCAATCTGATATGCTTGGTTCGTGCTTATAACAATATTCACATATTGCTTACCGTGTTTCTACTCATTTTTTTCCCGATTACGTTACTGTGAGCCAACAAGAGGAACCTGCGTAAATTAATTCAATAATTCAGTGGTTATTCACCGTTCAATCCTATACTTGAAACAGCCATTATCACCATGACAAATTCCTTATATGTCGCTAATCAGCATCTATCCGCCGTTGTTTCTGTCAATCGATTTGTTTCCTTGTTTTTACCATTATATTATAACAAATTTTTCGGTCTTACCTTAACCACTGTACGTTTAATTTTTTTTTACATCGGACAGACGAGTTTGAGATGCCTTTTGCCGTCATGGGTCTCGTGTCGAAAACTCTTTGGAGCGACTTTTGTTAAATTTAACCAAATTAAAATTAAATTTTTCTCAAATTTGTCCGTCCACGGCAATACCATTTCAATACGAAAATTTTTCTAGATTGTGACAACCAGTATACTAATTTACCGTATTGTTGCAGTCACAATTGAGCAAGTTCCCGTGATTGGTAGGTATTTTGAAAATTTGCAATTTAATTCAAATTTATTCCAGAGACGTGCCACGTTTTGTATAAACCTGAATATCTTTCATGGAGGCCGACTTGCGACTATGTCGATGGTGATGAGATGATCAATTTCATGTTTCTTACATTCATCGGCGTTGCCGTCTTGAACTCGTTGATATTCGTCAAAATAATATTTTTTTACGTGGTAATTAATCGCTGGAAAAGTGTCGAAACGATTTTGTTTTTTTTTTTCGATATTTAGAATGATGCGAGAAATGGGAGCGCTGAAACGAGAGCTCGTATGCGTAACAATGGAATTTTATTTTTTCAGGTGATGAATTTAAAATTCCAATCATGAGAAACTGATGTTACAGACTGTATTGCAAGATTGCTTGTTATTAATAGATTCCATTTTCACGTTTAAGCTAAGGTAATCATGACTTAAAATTTTAGGCTTTTATAGATGAAAACCTTTTTTGAAACTGTGTGATTAGCTCCAAACATCGTTTTTTTGCTGACTTTACACATTTTTGCTTGATTTGAATTCTGTTTCTAAAAAAAGGTTAAATTTTTTACATCTTTACATGGACAGGCGAATTTTGGGTGTGATTGCTTTGAAATTTGAATTTCCGCTTTGGGTCACATATGGAAAAACTATTTTTTACATGTTCTAACTATCTTAATGTAAAACGACATAAATTTAATTAATTTTTACAACAAAACAATCCGCACTTCCAGCTTGGAAAATTTATTATGAAAAATATATTAAAATTGTTAAATAATCTTCAAAATTCCTCAATTAATCTTTTCATTCAATTTTTTTTTCAGCTCCATGAGCGATTCACGCATTTGGACATTCATTAGTGGGACATTTGTTTGGGAATGCGCTCATTCGTTCGATGGGTATTTTCGCGATGCTCGGCAGCCTCAACGTTCAGCATTTTAGATTTATAATGATACTCTTCAATGAACGATTTGCCCTCATCAAGAAGCATTTATTTGGTAGAAAATTAATCCGCCGATCGATCAGCGTTCGATCAAGTAATGTTATTGCAATTTCGATGAATAGCCGAATCGCTAATTGAATTCCTTATTGGTCGTTTGTATGACGCGAAAAAAATGAACTATTTTTGGTGGGATGGGGTTTTTTTAATGTCGCTCGAAAACTGTCATCGCAATAATCCTTTGAAAATCCGCTGGTTATAATCCGATCCGACCTTCTATAGAAGAGCAGACACCCCAATTCTCATTTATTTTTCACAAAAATGAACCTCTATATTGGCGCTTTTTTGCTGTTCGCCGTGGTCCAAGGTAGAACAATTTGTTTGGGAAGAAACACCAATCAATTTTACGGAATTTCAGGTCTACCGACACTATTCACAAATGATTCCGATGATGTCGAGAAGCCAATTTTCGAGCACGGCAAGAAGCAGTTTCCGCCGACGGAGGTTGCTTTTTAAATTTTGTTCCCACTGAAATATTGAGCTGAAATTTTTAGAATAAGAATGTCACGGAAATATTGAAAAAGTTTTTCGAGGATTTGAAAATTGCTTCCAAGAAAATTGCAATAAAAGTGAGTTGGAGCATTTTTGAAAAGTAAAAAATATATATTTTTTTGAGGAGAAAACTGATGACGACAAATCGATTGGAAGACCTGACAGTGCGAGCTCATCGGAGGTTTTTTGATCTACCATCACTTCTAATTTTTTTTCAATTTTTAGAGTGAATCCGGCGAATCGTCAGAATCATCAGAAGATGATTTCAAGAAGAAGGTCGACTTTAAGCCGCTGCGAATCGAGGAGTTCGAGACGGAACAACCACAACCGGTTTTCAAATTTTCGGCGCCACTCAAACCATTGGACTACTTTGTGCCCGAGAAGATAACCTATGATGAGTTCGATGCGCCGAAGAATCAATTCGACGAGCCACCGAGAGCGCAGTTCAACGATTTCGAAGAGCCAAGATATCAGCATCCACGAGAGCCAATAGTTTGAAGCATTGAAATTCTCATCGATTTTTTGAAACTTGAATTTTCAGATGGCTTATGATGAGCCGAAGCCAATGACGTTTGAGACGAAGCCAAAAATCGATGACGATTTGATGGTCGATGAAGCTCTTTCTCAAATGTACTTGGACAAATTCGATGATGATGATGATGTTGAGCGCTCGAATCAAGTTGAACACAATAATATTCAACCAAAGAATAGTCATAATAATCTGAAGTTGAATATGAACAGAGTTGACGTTGGATTCGAAGGTTAATCATGACAACCCGCTCGTGTCGTTTTTTTCAGATCATGTCGATTATTGTGGCTTCTGAAGATTCAAAGAAGGCTTCCAAGGATTCTGAACCATTATGTATGAATATGAACAAGAAAATAGCCAATTTTTCAATTGTTCAGTTTTGTCTAATCAATCGGTTGAATTCAATTTGGCCAATCTTGTCATTCTGACCATGTTCGTTGGAATGCTTCTCGTCGGTAGCAAGGCGCTCTATAGAAAGTGTTATCCGAAGTAAAATTAAAGAAATGGCCGATTAATGATTAAACTGGAATTTGCAGACAATCGGTTGCCCCCCAACTTCCCGCCCAAGCGCCACCGGCAATGCCGCCATTCTACACCCCACAATCGGTCACCGTCGAAGCGATTCCAAAGAAAACGCCGCAGTAATTCAATATTATAACAGATTATTTTATATGAATAAATAATTAATATTATCTAGATTTACGTTTATCTAGGATGATGGAGGGACTCTAATAAGTTTTGGGGGGTCCGTTCTTCAATTATAGGCGAAAATGCTATCATAGATGATGCGCTTCTATTTAGCTAATAAGAGAGAATTCCATATTTCGCCAAAATTTTTGTAGAATTTTACTTTCAAATTTCGCGCCAAATTTTTTTTTCCAAAAATCCCCGAATTGCATTTCTGTGGAAAAAATCGAATAGAAATTTGGCAAATCGATTTTTATACAACATTTTTTTGGTTTTTGATCTTGATTTAATATATTTGGACATTTTAACGATTCCAAAAAAATATATATTGAAAAAAATTAATGGTAGCGCGCGGAAATGTGTGCAAACACCGCGACTCAAAATCGCACATTTTAAATTCAGAAAAAAGATGCAAATCAATTTTTTTTGACGTCTCGTCTAGTAATTAATGCCAAATAAGCAATTTCAAGAGTTTCTTTGAAATTTATTGATTTCGCCGACCTCATCTGCGCATTTCCCAACTCGCGTTAATAATTTCGCCCTTTTCATCCACCAAACGTCATAAAATGATGAGATTTTCACGTCAATTTCTGAGGAAGCTGTCGTAAAAAAATGAATTCGCGTATAATATTTTTTAGAATTTTTTTCTCGTCAGGACCTCAACGCCAAAGCTTGTACTGATTTTTTTTTGAAAACACACGATTTTCTCTGATTTTTATTAGTTTATCTACAGAAATTAGAATAGAAAAATGAGAAATTTCACAAATTAAATTTAGGCGACCTTCTTTTTGTTTAGTTTCGCTTCAAGACAACTTGGCACCACCTCCTGATTGGCAATGTTGCGAAGAACAAAATCGACAAAGTAGGTGGGCAGAAGGGAAAGCGGAATATAGAGAAGGATGGCGTCCCATCCGCAATAATATCTGAAGTGTTTGAATAATTTTAAAGGAGCAGAATCCCACGAGAACCTGTGTCTTGGGAACTGAGCCGTCAATGCATGATAGTAATTATCGACGACATAGTGTATCTTGGTGGTGCTCATTTTGATGTAGATCTCATTCCAGTGATTCGTGACTATAACATTAATAATTTTTTCTCAAATTTTTCATACATCCCATACAGTAATTCTTGAAGTTCTCCCCATACTCCTTCTTGGTTTCATCGTCCAATTTCGACCAGACGTGTTCGACGCGTTGAGCCATCGCTTGCTCGTCGAGAAGCGGCGTTCGGAAGATTCCCGGCTCCAAAATCGAGCACTTGACATCAAAATGATGGAGCTCTTGTCGGATGCAGTCCATGTAAGCCTCGGCGGCGAATTTGGCGACGACGTACGGGCCGGCAGCTGGCGTCGAAAGCCGTCCATTCACCGACGTCACCGTGACGATTCGCCCTTTCGCCTGTTTGACGAGCTTCTTGAACGCCTGCGTCACTCGAATCACACCATACGTATTGACTTCAACCGATTTTTTGTAGTCGTCCAGTGTGCACCAATCGTCGGGACCGTAGCATGAGAAAATTCCGGCGTTGTTCACGATTCCCCAAAGCACTAAAAATGGCTGGTTTTGATTGAACGCAAGTCCACAATGGTTTCAGATATTCTTCAAATACTTCAACCGTTCTAATCATAGCAATATTTGAAAAATAGCAATCAAGCAATTGAAAATGGTTGCCCAAAAGCATTTAAATTCAAAGGGGTCTTATTTGATGAAAACCTCGTCGACGCAAAAAAAATTTTTTTTAGGTAGAATACAAATGTCCAGACGCTTTTAAATTGTGCTCATTTCGTGATTATCAGGTACAAAAAATTTCAAAAATTCAATTTTCTCAAATTCAACAAAAATCTCACGCCGAAATGCCACAGCTTTGGGAAAGAGAGAAAAATCAAATGTGTGCAATTTTGCGTGCGTGTGTACGCACACTTTTTTTAGTGCCGAATCAAATAGAAATTAATGGCTTCGTTCAGACTCACCTTTTGAGCCAAGATTCTTTTTGACATATTCATGAGCTCGAGCAACCGACTCATCGCTGGAAACATCAAGATCCACCACATGAAGATTGCTCTCGCCGACTTCCGCCTTCAATTTCTCGGCGCCCTTGAATAGCTCATTAAAAATCAATGGATTCGCGTCGATGCCAAAACTTTTTGCGTAAGACATCCGGCGAACACGGTGAACCCATTCCTTGCGCATTTCTTCGCCAACTCATTCCCAAATCCGGTATCGCAACCGGTTATCAGAACCGCTTTTTCGACAATCGGCCGACTATGCGGAATTTTTTCGATGAAATATCTGCAAAAAAAAAAAACGAAAAACCCCCCATTAAAATAGTTGGGTAGAAAATTTGAGAGGGCGGAGCCCCCCAAAAAAAAGAATCATAGAAAAAATGGTTAGTACCTGACAACATTGAATAGGACCACTCCGATTCCCAAATAGTAGAACAGCGAAAATATCGAGCAGAGAATACAATCGGCCATCTGAAAATGAATTCTGGGTTTAATATAATACAGAACGATCAAAAATATCAACCAAATTGCTGTTGGAATGAGCAAGTTTGATAAGGCAACAACTTATAAAGACGGTCTAGTTTTGTTTGGGGTAAGTATAGCCAATGGTTGATAAGAGATCCAAAAATACATTTACAAAGGTCACTTAATTGATAAATTTGAGAAAATTGAATGATTGACCATTTTTGAAGCGCCTTTAATTCCTACTGTATGTTTGTGGCTATCAGATCAATCGCTGCGAGACCCCATGATCCTTTAATCAATTTTTCGTTTCAAACTTTATCAAAAATTTCGAATTATTCAAATTTGTGAAAACTTAAAAAAAATGAAGATTTCACACGGCCAACGATTTTTTAGACAATTCGAAGAGTTTGAAAATAATTTTTTTGGATACGATAATTAAAGAATTGAATTAACTATGTGACCAATAGTAGTGAGAAACTCGATTTTAGAATTTTTAAAAATTTCAAATTTGTTGCAAAAAAATCGATCGAAAAAAAACCTAATTTTTGTCGCTGCCATTTTTTTTTCAATTTTCTCTAATCTTTTAAATCTCAACTGCTAAAAGATCAAAGATCAAACATTCAAAAATATTTGCGAGAAAATGCAAAAAACAACAAAGTAAGTCCGCAAACACCTCTGCTTTGGCGGCAATTCAAACACCTTGCGTCATACTTGGAAATGTTCAAATCAGGCTAGACGTTTTCATGTCCCGGCAATTACATAAAAGCAAGGCCATGATTTTATGTTCCAGAATGATGGAACCAAACATGGTGGAAGGGATCGTCTAGAATGAAAAAACCGTTCTACATGGACGCCAAATATGGAGTGATATCGGGCAATGATAACCTAGTAGTCAAACATCAAACGTTTCACTTTATCAATCGCAATCACAAAAGCAAGTCAACAGAAACATTATTCGAAGGTTCGACTGGAGCAAAACAATCAATGTCGGCCGGCGGGTTGGGCATATCCTCCGAGAAATCAATGAGATCATCATTTGAACTTGACGCCGCGTTGTTTGGCGACCCCTCAACACCATTGTTTTTCGATGGTTTGGTTTCGAGCGATATACCTGATAGACATCATCAAACTCGATACTATCGCCCTCTTGGTCTTCCTCGAGTAAGCATTTCTCGACCAATTGCCCAAAATTGCGAATGTTCTCGAATTTGGCCATCACTCGCGACGATTTTGAATAGCCGAAAATTTGCGATAATTTTGCCAGCGTCTCGTCGGCGCGCAGCCTCTCCATCTCCTTTTTTCGCCACTCCTCGTCCAATCGCAACTGCTCGATGATCTCGTCCGGTATCTCATCGGAGCCTTGATCGATCGGATCCTCTTCGTCGGAGCCTCGCGTCGTGAAACTCTGAAAAAGTCTGACAATTATTGAAAATGGGCTCTCTCTTGTTCTCGGCACCGTTCGATAGCAGCTGCACTCCGCCGCGTGTCCCAAACTTCCACATGATTGTGTGCTGTTTGTCGACGCCACCGACGACGTCGTCACGTTCGAATTATGAGTCGATTCGCGACGACGGGATCTCGTCGTTGACAATCGGCGATCGTGAATCGAATTGCGCGACATCGACATGCTTGAGCTCGGCGTGTCGCTGACCTCAAGTGCGATGTCGGATGGTTGGCGGTGATGTCGAGAAATGCAATCGATCATGTTCGACGCCGGCGAGCTCATAATCGGAATCGTCGAATGGCTTCTGAAGCGAGATGACGTCAAATTTGAAGGTTTTCAGTGGGGGGGGGGAATTGAAAAATGTTTTTATTACAATCCCCCCCCAAAAAAAAATGAGCCCCCTGGGTAGATTTACAATAATTTCGATTTGCAGGGTCTACGTAGTACGGTACTCAAAATTTGAATTACCGCCAAAAAACTGAATGGTAGATGTGTGCAAACACCGCGACGCAATAAACACAGATTTGAAATTCGCAAAAAAACGCTCATCGAACAGCGCGAGTAAATTATCGCTTAAGTTTTTTTCGCAATTGGGAATATAATTGAAGCGATTTTAAAGGCACATTGTCTTACTCTTGCCCAAAATAATCATCAAAATGGGTTCTTGTGCTCGCCACCGGATTCTGCATCAACGCCGTCATTTTTGCCCATGAAGCTGTAAAACTAGCGGTTTGCAAAAAAAATGCTCAAATCGAGTCGTACATTTCTCAGGCACCAACAACGACAGCTTCTCCATCCAATGCTTCTGATCCGAGTATAGCAATTGGTGTTCCGAGCACGCCCTCCAATCGGGACTGTTCTGCTCGCACTCCAACGTTTGTTTGAGTGTTGGACCATTTCGACCCAATGGTCCGTCAATGGGGAACATGATATCATCACCATTGAATGTTGGCATTAATAATCTGAACGGTCAGGATGCTCGAAGGTTCAATTCAAATGCTACCTTTGCTCGACGACATTGACGAGATTCGCTTTTCTCTCAGTGATTCCTTGCATCTGCGATCGCGCCACTATACAACCGCCGGTTTCATACGCGCGATTCACCATGATTCGATTCACCTCCGTGTATTTTTCGCTACCATAGCCGGGTGTGAACTCGATTAGATTCAATCGATAAAGCATCATAAGCTCGGAATATCGACTCGATTTTTCCGCATAGTTTTTAAAGCAATATGGCAATAGGGCGATCGCCTGATGGCCGCGACAAATGAAGTACCAAAGCGCGATCGTGACACCGCGCACGTTCAAACGCTTGTCGCGATCGCAATGCGCATAGCTGAATCGGGAGGAATTGGCGAGAAGCGAATCGGCGACGACTTACGAGTAGCCGACTTCAACGGCGTTCATGAACACCGGCCGGAGCAGTGTGACGCCCTGACGCGGCCGAATCGTCCGCGTCGTCTCATTGCCGACCAATGACAAATTGCACTCCCACGCGTTCGCCTCGTCGCCTGGCATCGCCGTCATACTTTATCCAATTAAAAGATTCGCCCTAGTCCGTCTTTATAGAATTGTCGAAACAGAAATGGCCGATTCGGCGAGGATGACCTGCGTTTTGACATTTGAAAAGTTCACGCCGGCTGTATGAAAAAAGTTTTTATTTTTCGATTCAACGAGAATTTATTGTACAGAAATCCACCCGAAATTTTTTGTGCAAAATACTATATGTGGTAGAATTAAGCTCTCGCGTTCGGTCCGCACATCGCCATACACGAATTATAGTTGGGAAAGTTGTTGGCGTTGCCGAGCGTTCCGTAGAATGAGAAGCGCATGCACGTGTTGAATTGCGGCACCCAAAAGTATTTGTCGCTTTTCTCGCCGCCGACGGAAAATTTGCCCGAGTCGTAGTTCAAATTGCACACGTGATCTGCGAAATGGGAATTCTTGAGTCGGAAATTTGACGAGTCGGCTACCTGATGTTGGGCAGCAGAAGCCGTTGGTGCACTGATGGCCTTGCGGACACGAATCGGCTGATGTTGAGCATCGGACGGGCGTCAAATGGTCAGTATCGTATCGAGCCGAGCAGGCGGCTAGAAAAAAAATAAATAAATATTCGAATATCTCGAGATCGGTACCTTTCATTTGGATGTGCTCATCATTCGAATCAGAGTCCCTCGCCGGCTGAGCATTGGCGCACGCGTGGCGGCATTCTTGCGCACTGGCGAATCGGTTCGAGTTTCCGCCGCACCCAAAATACATGAACGGCTGGCATGTGCCCAATCGTGGAAGGTAGTAAAACATGCGAGTGCTCGAATTTTCGGCACAATAGCTTCCGGAATCGCGCTCGGCGAAACAGTCGACTTGCGCCGACGCTGACGAGATGAGCAGCGCGAGAATCGCCTAAAATATGATTCAAAAAAATTTTTTTGAGAACAAAATTTCACATATTAAACTCACAATAATGCACCGAATCGTCGTCATTTATATTTTGATATATCGAATTTCAATAGAAAGATTCCACAAATTGAAAGCTTAAATATTGTCGACAAACAGTGGCCCAACCCGCCTCCGAGTTGCAGAAAAAAAACCCCGCGAGCAAACAAGCCTTTTATTATTAGAAACTAACTTATTAGCAGAGTATACTGGTTTTGAAAAAATACAAAAAAAAGAATGTTCGACAATTTGTAAATATCGTATCATGTTGCCAAAATCAAACAAAACTTGCGCATTCCGATTGAACTAGAATTAATTTGAAAAATTAATTGAAAATAAATATTGATTAATTGGAGAGAAAAATTGAGAAAGTTCAAACTTTCAAATAAGAGTTTTTTTTGTTGAATAAACTCCACTAAATTTGACACATTCTAAAAACCACAATCTTCATTTTTTTATAAACAAATAAAATGGACGACTGAAACAAATTAAATTTTTTCATTCTATAGCTTCTCATCAAACTTTAAAGACAAAAAACCCGAGCACAGCTCTTCGATTCCATCGTTCTTCCAGCGCTGACTTACGGATCAGAGACTTGGACCTTCACCAAAGCTCTTGCCGAAAGGGTCCGAATTAGTCACGAGCGAAGATTGGTTGGCCTCACGTTATCACAACAACGTGAACAAGATCTTCAACGAGAGGACATCCGCATCATGTCTAAAGTTCGGGACCCCCTATCACATCACGAAGAGGAAGATGACCTGGGCTGGACACGTTGCTAGAAGAACAGATGGAAGATGGACTACTCTTTTAATGGAGTGGCGGCCGTGGAATTGGACCCGGCCAAGAGGAAGGCCTCCCATGAGATGGTCGGACTCGCTTCGGAAGGAGATCACCACAAGAACAGCTGAAGGAGCCGTTATCACCCCGTGGTCCACCTAAGCCAAGGACTGAAAAGATAGGAAAGCTGCGGTTCTCGTCTCAATAGGCGAAGGACGAACCGACTAAGTGACCAAGTAAGTAAGGTCCGTGATAACAATGCCATTTTAATACTCAACCTCAAGATCTGAACTAAAAAATGAAGGGGGCAAGATTCCACTGTCATCGATGCATATTTAGCCAAACAACAATGATTTTAGGTTAGACCCCCCCCCCTCCTAATAATTATTTTATCAAATATAGTATCGAATATAGAATCGAATTTAAACACTTTCTCAATGGAATTTCAATTTTTTTAATCGAATCAGGCTAATGTATATTTCATTTTTCCGAATCTTATTGATTTTCATTTATCTGACATTCTCAAAAAAATATGCAAACTATTGTTTCTTTGAAGGATAGCATTCAATTTTTTTCCAAAATCTGCATTGAATGGTAGAAACTTGAATGCCTTCAAGTTCATGGAAGAACGACGTAATAACATGTTATCGTTTTCTTTTTTTTTAAAGGAACACATTTAATCATTCACGTCATACCATATAGTTTTTCGTTTTCAACAAAAATGGCTAATAGGAAAAATTGAAATTCTGAAATCACTAATTTTTTTTAATACAAAAAAAAATGGTTTCCCGACCTTGCCTTTATACAATCGTCACACATTTCTCGACAATTGTTGCCTTTCAATGTCATTTTTCATCTGAATCAATTTCGGTTTCATCGATGTCTCCAACCTCCACCATCTTATCATTGTCAAACTGGTTATCAATTTTGATTTGAGAGCGGCAAAAAAATAAGCCAAGAATGATTGATTTGTTCCCACAGCTAAATTTTGTTTTGCCATCAACGCCAAAACGAGAATTCTATTTTCCAGAATCGCTTTTTATGCCAGTTTCAGTGCAACCCAACCCTCGTTGACACTTCGTTACTTTTCCCAAAACGAAATGGTCTATTTGTTCAAAATTCTTTCTTCTATTTACCCCCCTTCCACATATTTTTGCTCGTAGGCGACCCTCTATTTATACTGGTACTGTTGACATCGATCTCACTTATTTTGAGCCATGCTCATCGCCTTCCTATTGGCTCTTCTCGCCGCCGCCGCATTCTGCCAAGACTGCACATCGTCAAGAGATCAAGGCGAGACGTGCAATCAGAGCTCACCGTCTCGCCAATTCTACTATGACACAAGAATGAGTAAGCGATGGATTCTCGGAATCCATTCGAATGCTCTTAATTTCAGAAGTTTGTCAGCCATTTCAATATTTTGGTTGCGGTGGGAATCGAAATCGATATGGAACATCAAAAGAATGTCGAGATGCTTGTCAGACGAAGAAGCCCGCCGTCGGCGCTGCTTCAAGCACTTCATCGAACACCACCGATCCCAATCATCCGCCGTTCGTGCCGCAAGGCGATCGTCACGATCAATGGCGAAAAGGTTGCTGGAGAATTGTTGCCGTCGTTCTCCAATTCTCGATTTTCAGCCGAAATTTGCGGCTCCAACTATTTGATACCAAATGGCGAATATATTTTGTGCACCAATAATCAACCATGCCCAGCTTATCATACATGTGTCAGTGGAGCGTGTTGTCCTGAGAAAAGTGATTCATATCTCCTCTGAATGCCTCAATTTTTTCTCGAATTTCAGATTATGTTTGCTCATTGCGTGATGATAATGGAAATTTCCAAAATGGAATTGAAGATAGGCCAAGGTAAGATATTTAAAGGAGCCCCACTCCCAAGAAAAAACGCCATTGAAATTTCTTATATGGAATTAATTATATGCCTAATAGTAATATAATTTATTGCGAGGGTCCTGCAACGATTTACAGAAGCTTGGTGCCCAGGCAAGCAAAACGAGAGATCATGTGGAGCGAAAAAAATTGAGATTTATTAAAATTCGAGCCTGAGGCACTTTTTAAGTATTAAAATAATTTGCAATAATGAAGAGACGTAGAGAAAAAGATTGCGAGCTGTGAGAGACGCAGAGGGAAAGGGGCGAGAGACATAGGCGGAGAGAGAGAAAGAGAGAAAGAGCGTGTTATACAAAGAGTGCATCAGACTATAGCAATGCCAAAAAATTTTTTTTTCTATGTAAATTGCCAAAAAAATATTCGATTCGTAATTTTACGTGGCGGTGTTTGCACACAATAATTGATTTTTTTTTCTGATTTTTTAAATCTCCAAAAAAGAGCGAAAAATAAAAATGTACTCTGGTAACTCAAAACCAATCGGATTCGACAAAATTCGGCTCTGGAATTAACCTTATCCGATTGTTAATTCTACGGATTCCGATTCGAATTGAAATATTAAAACAAAACGGATTCGAATAATTACCAATCGGATTCGAAGAAAATCTAATCGGATCCGACAAATTACCAATCGTATTCGAAAATTCCCAAAAAAAACCAATCGGATAAGGTTGATTCCGGAGTCGAATTTTGTCGGATCCGATTGGTTTTGAGTTACCAGAGTAGCTGCGAGGAATCTCCAATTCGAACGGCATTCCCAAATTTGGCGTTTTCAGATTTGCATGGAATCACGACGTCCACAATTGTGTCCGCTATAGCTACTACGGCGCCAATGGCAACTACAACAATTTTCCGAATTTCCAATCATGCGTCAAATATTGTCAATCGTCTAGTCGAATTGTTCTCTAGAATTGTGAATCTCAGAGATTTTCAGTAATTTAATATTAACGATCGGGTCAATAAAAAAATCGTTTTTTTTTCAAATCAATAAACCAGTTCAAAATTTGAAAGATGAGCTTTTGGCGAAAAAAATTGTTTGCTCAATGCGTGACTTTGGCCAAGAGTTCTCGCGAGAATGTGCTCAACTGGTTTCTCGACCAACTTTTTTTTCGCTTATTTGGGGCGGCAATTTTCAAGAGAAGAAAACTCGAATTATAGTGGGCCTCTCTGAAAAATACTTCCAGAATTTTTCGCTGCAAGACCTTATAAGAAGAATTGTGAAGTCTGGCGACAAAGCCAATTTTTAAAAAATCTTTTTTTTTTGGTTGAAACGGAATAAATGAACCGGTTTCTGTATGCCTGCATTTCTTTCGCAACAACCTAATATAGTGTTCATTCTTACATATAAACAATTAGATTTGAATGTTGCCCTTCAAAATTGGTAGATCAACGACCGAAAAGTTATTGGAAATTGCCACAAGCACCAACTTCCTCATCGTTCCCCCACTATAAATCATTTGGTTCATTTCCGCTGTCTGAACGATGGTTCGAAAGAGATCTACCGTCTGAACAGAAGATTCGGGCCCTCACTGGATCATTCTGCCATGATATTATCCTTATGAAACAAAAACAAAAAATTTGGGATTCTCAACAATTTGATCGCGAATTTTTTTGGCAAGTTTTCAACTTGCAATTTGGCGAACGAATGGATCAAATATGCCGTTGAGAACCAGAAATATCTGTCGTTGATATGATTCAAAGAATCATATACAGTCGGAAGAATCTAAGCTTTTGGGGTTTTTTTTTCTTTCTCATAGAAATATCCTTTCTGGAATTGTCGGAATCAGAATTATCGACAATTTTTCCCCTTTTAAGCCAACCCCACAATTATACATCTTTGAGGAGAACGATCAGAGTGTCTTCAAGAGAATACAAGATTATAGGGACATTCAACAAAATGAAACCTTTTTGCTTCTATGCACCTTTAATCGATAGCGAGTTTTTTTTTGAAGCAACCTGAATAAATGCTTCAGAATTTCCAAATTACTGGTTTTTTTTTTTGAATAAATTGGCTGGAGAAATGGTCTCGTTGTGTACTCCACACGGACAATGAACCATTTAACAACGTGCCTCGAAAAAATATCCTCGCCACTTGTGTTGCGAGACCTAAATCTACAGTAATCCAACTTATGAGGAACCATCATGTGGTCCTTTCAACTATTATGATAATAATTTTAAATTAATTTTGTCGTGTAAAATTCATTTTAAAATTTTGATCTACTTTAAGCAAGTTCAGAATTTTTGAACGTTTAAACGAGCAGTTTTGAACTTCACAACTCGGTACTGTAGATTCAGATGATAAAAATTGTATGTAGGTTTAGCGAATATCGTGAAAAGAATATTAATTAATGAAAAAAAGAGGCCCTAAATAGCAGGCGAAAGACATCAATGGCCTTTTTTGGGAAAAATTAAATTTTTAAGCATATAAATTATGTATAGTTAAATTAGGATTTGAAAAAAAAAACTTATTTGACATTTTTTAAAGTTCAAATATTGATCTTGAATCCAACAAACAGAATGAGATAGCGAGAATCACGTGAACCTATGTTCAAGACGATCTTGAAGATATTCGCCAATAGCATTTTCTGGTTTCATAGGCTTCGAGCTTTTCGCCAAACGTTTCACATCAATCCTTATGACGTCATCAATGATTCATTGATCAATTGGCGCGTAAAAGTTTCGATCATTATTGTTTAAAACGCCGTCAGACGCGATGGTCATTCAAGGCCATCATATCAGAAAAAGGAAGAGGACAAAAAAGGCGGACTTGGATGACCTTTGAGTCATCGAAAGCGCCGCCCATGGTGTGGGTATTTAAACGCGAAAATTATTCGATGACGACAAGCTAACCATCATGAACAACTTCCTCATCCTCTGCCTTCTCGTTTTGGTCGCCGTCGCCACCGCTCAATTCTACGGACCATACGGGCCTAGACCATATGGACCATATGGACCATATGGACGCTATGGAGGCTATGGATACGGACGGCGCGGATTCGGCTACGGACCACGTGAGTTCACCTCGAGCCTCCCTCATTTGTTATGTTGAAACATTTCAGGACCATACGGATACGTACCAGGACTCCTCACCGCCGCTCTCCTCGGTTAAACGCCGATTGCGGCTAGCCAATTTTGCTACCCTATTTGTCATATACATATCGGAATTTATACATACACAATAAATGATTCGAATTGAAACCATGTGAATACCCGAAGAATGCCCTAGTCATTCAATGTGTCCGTCTTCGTCAATTTGCTCTCCGAATGTTTTCGATTCTTGAGCCGTCGCGATTTCGAGAAAAGCCGATACGTTGTGATTTGCGGGCACGATGACGATCGAGCGTGTCGCACCTTCAATTCTCACAATGATCTACTTCGTATAAAGTGCATACGTGTTCGAGATAGCTGTCCTTGATTTCGGAGATGATGAAGCTTATCAATTTGTTCCACGTCGCGCAAGTTTTTTCCTAAACATTTTTGAATGTTGATTGTGCGGATAAACGGGAATCATTGGTGTGTTTCGAAGAACGTTCAATGGAGTTGATAACGACTTGTTTCGGTCAGAGGAAAAACCATGACTAGATTTAGATATTAATGGGGAAGGCAGGAAAAAAATGAAGAAAAATGATCGACTCAAATATTCATGCTGAATGGAAATTCTTAGCAACATTTTTGAGCGCAAAAATTTGCATCGCACACGTTCAGGGTAGTGAGTTTTCTTGAGAAAATCGTGTTCCTTAAAAATTTTTTTTAAATTTTTTGCCGGAAAAATAGCAAAATTTGAAATTTTGAAAAATCCAATTGATATTTCAGAACTTCTAAATTTTTTTCAGTCAAATTGCCAAATTTTGGAATCGCCAAAAATTGAAACTCCTTAAAAAATCCCCATTATGAAGATTCGAGTTTTAACCATTTTTTGGCGAAAAAATTTTCCATTTTGGCGAAAAAAATCTCCCAATTTTTTTGGCCAATAAGACTTTTTTCAATATCTTCCAAAATCGTACCATTTACTACAATCGTGGTCCGACACTAATAAATCTTTAGGTCAGCAATTCCATTTTTTTTTTGAAAAAAAAAAATTCAAGTATTAATTTTTTACTACCTTTGTTTTAAGACCCCTCACCCTCTCGTTAAAATTCGTCCATGTTGAAGGTTTACACAAAAATGAGACAGGCGAAACACTTTGAAATTGAATAAGTTTTGATTTGGGGGGACCCTTTCAATCGAAACCTTACATTAAGATCTTTACATAGCAGCTCGAGGAGCACATTCTTGAAAATCGGCCACTTTTCGGCGGTGAAGCTCATCGCTCTGACATTGCCGTGCTGCCTTCCAACAATTCGCAAAATTTCCACAATTTCGTCGGAGCTTTTGACGCCCTTCGATAGCATATCAAAAATTCCTGAAGCATTCATCAATTCATCATCATTCACACCATAAGCTAACCATTAATAAAACGCTGAAATTTTCCGACATGCGTCCGAAATCTTTGATCGTTGCGCAATTGGGTTTCGTCAAGGTTGTCGAGGCCAAAAACCGCGGCCATCTCGAATTCCTTCTCCTAAATTATATTGTCCCCGAATTGAGAATCTCGTCGTGTGGCTACCAAAAAAATTTGCAGGAACATTTTTTCGAACAACGCGTATTTGTCGTCGATGCGCTGATACGATTCAATCGTTTTGTTCAATTCCTCTTCTTCGCAAATGAATAGGCGACCGGTGTGTCTGAAGCAATTCCCATTTGGCTCATTTGTTATACATATATGTGCCGATACTTAAGTCTAGACGAGTTGTTTCGAAATTTCAAAACTAGGAGTGCCAAATTCGCGGCCGAGCCGGCTCTATTTCGAATTGCCTCAACAAAATACGAGCACCTCGAAAAATTGTGGACCATCGCACATTTTCGAGGCGGTAATTTGAATTTGAATTTAAACTATTTGGAATCTGGCAAAATTCTTTTTATTTTTTTATTTTTCAATTTTCTCAAAGCATCATTTTTAATGGAACAAATTCATCTATGTTTCGACGACATTATCAAAATTATGCCTCTTTTTTTTTTGGTGGTCCCAATTTTTCTTTTCGAACGGTGTAAAATTTCTAATAATTTTGAAAAAGTTTTTTTTTCTCTCTAATAATTTTAAAAAAGTTTTTTCTTCTAATAATTTTAAAAAAGTTATTTTCCATTTCACAATATTTTTTTAATTAGAGTCTTTGATTTTTCGAAAATCAAAAATTGCAATCTAAAAAATCCCGGCGGTCAGTCGCTGCGAGACTCAACTCAAAAATTGGACGCGCCTTTAAATACCGTTTCCAAAAATCTATTTTCGAATTTGGCAAAATAGATGTTTTATGTCCAATTTAGAAACTTTAATGAATTCGCGAAATCAAATTAAAGGCGCATAACGCTGGTGGCCTTTTTTTTCAAGAAGAGAAGGTAATATTAGAAGCAGCAAAATAATGAAATACATAATTAAAAAAAAGAGAAAACTTACTTGCTGGAAATATAGATATGATCGGCTGCAATCGATGGACGAAGTCGTCGAACAAACTGCTGAATTCGAGCCGAATGCATTTCGCCGCTGAAAAAAAGCAGAAAGTTTGAAAGACGGAAGCGAGGCGAATTTTGAAACATCAACCAAAACGGCCTATTATTTTAATGGGTTGCGGAACAAACTCGATAAGTCGGCTGCGGCTTCTCAATTTTTTTTTTTTGGGTTGCCGCATAAATTATGCAATTTTTGCGTTTCTTCTAACGTGTTTGATATTTTTAGAATAGCACGAATTGAAGGAAGAAATCCTTGAAAGTGGATTTGAGGAAGACGGTAAGGATAACGAGCTTCAAATAAGGCAATGCTGATATTCGATTAAAATAAAATATGGTTTGAATAATGGGCTTAAAAAAGATGAAATAATAAATCTTGTTTGTCTAGTCATTTCAATTGGATTAATTTTCTGATGCATTTTTTAAAATGAGGGGGTTTTCATGCGTGATATATACTTGGAAACTTGGTTTGGAAAAATGAAAATATTCAAAAATTTTGATGAATAAACAGTTTTTGAAAATTGAATTTTTTGGGAATTATAACCTTTTATATATATATTTTTAAATATTTTTTAAAAAAATATAATTTTTAAAATATTTTTTTCTAAAAATGTTCGTTGAAACTTAAAAAAAAAACTATAAAATTCAATTTTCTTGAAGAAAAATGTAAAAAAATAAAATTTTAAAAAATCGCCAGGAGTAACCAAATTTGTGCAATTTTGCGTGAGTGTGTATGAACTTTCTTATTGATTTTTTTGTTCAATATTTTTTTGGGATGAAATCAAAGAAAAATGTCGAATTAAAAAGATCATTTGCGATTTTCTCAGCTTCAAAGTCTCCCGCCAGTTTTCGGGCATTACTTCCGTTCTCACTAATAAGCCGCATTATTTTTTTGACAAATTAGGAGTCGAATCCCATAGGTGTGATTATGATTTTAAAAAATTGGTCGGACATGAACACCAACGCGCTCGAACGGACAACAATATTGTCAAAAAGCAATTCCCCAAAGAGGAGTTGCGCATTTTTTTTCGTCTTATCCACTAGCCGCTACTTTTTTTGAGACGAGCCGAAACCACAGAAAAAAAATCGCAAATTGATGCTTTTCTGGATTATATATAATAATATGATCGCCAAAAAAAACATATTCAAGTCTGGTGTTTAAAATTGCGGCGAGCAAGAAGCAATCCCCCACCCTCTCCTCGAAGACGACTAGAGGAAGGAGAACGCGGGGGGGGGAAGAGGAGGAGGAGTGGCTCTGAGAACAACAGAAGAAAACAAAAGGCGATACCAAGATAAAAGCGCAAGATTCTGATTGGAAAGATGGGTGGTCGTTTTTGAGAGATTTTGAAGGGCCATCATTTTTTTGGGGGGAGGGGTTTCAATAGCCTCACCAAAAAATGGTCTCGCATGGAATTCGCAAGGTAGACACACAATCGAAATTTTCGTTAGTCTTTGGTTGATTTCGAATAAAAAAATTTCATATTCTTCAATTCCCTTGGCACCTGACATATGGGGGCCTGAGATTTACGTACGCATGGAGGCGGTCCTTCTTTGAAGGGCAAACTAGGCGAAGCCGACAACAAACAATACGAATCGGACTCTCAGATGAAAATTGCAATTCGGGATCAAATCGGAAGCTTAAAGGTGTTCAAGAAATGGGAATTTTTTGAATTGCGCGCCAATCTTGATAAAAATCACTTGAAAATTTGCGTCATAGATTTATTAAATCTATTTTTTTTATTAAGACAAAATTAGAAAAAAATGCAAGACCCTTTTCTTCAAATTTTTTTTTCATTCAATTAAAAAAAATGTGATCATCTCTTGGAATTGAGAATTCCAAAAGAATTATTCTCGATTTGTTTTGAATTGAAAAAAAAGAAAAAGAAGTTCAAATATTTCTTTCAAAGTTCCAAATTTTAAAAAATTTTCCATGACGGCAACCCAACAGTTAAAAAATATTGGCGATTTCAGCGGATGCAATCATTTTCTGATTTGAAAAAAAAACCCTCCAAAAATCGAAAATTTGTCAAAAATTTCAAATCGCTGGAAATTTTTCAATAGAAGAACTCGAGAAAAAAGAAATGCCGAAAATAAATATTTTCAGGGTTGTTTTTCTGAAATTGAAGATCTCTTAGCATATGTGCGAATTTCAAACTAAAAAGGGCAAACAACGACTATTCCTTATTTGACAATATAAAGTCGTTCCAGGGAAAAAACTTTTTCAATAAAAAATATAATTAAAATAATAAAAATATAATAAAATAATTATGTGAATAAAAAATGTAATAGAAATAATTATGGCATATTTTGAAGGAATATTTGAAATGAGCATTTGATAAGCTTTCGAATGATATATAAAAATTTGTAAGATATCGAAAAATTGGCAAACTGCCAAAAACCACGATCTTGGCGCAAAACTTAGTGTAGATTTACGGGGCCTATTTATAGGTTAAAGGAGCACACCACCCATCAAGACCTCTTTTTAAATTTTCTGCCAATTTTAGGCAGTCAATAATTTTTCATATATAGAAGCATTGCTTGAAAATTTCAGATCAATCGGCCAACTTTGAAGAAAGTTATGGCTCAAAAATTATTTTGAAGGAAAAATTAAAAAATGACAAAACGGCGAAATTTCGCATAATTTTTGTTTTATAGGTAAAATAAAAACAAAAAATTCGAATAAGGAGCAAAATGTAATACATAAAATTTAAAAAAAAAAAGATGATTGTGGTGTTGGGAGATGGCGAAAAAGAAATAAATTTTTATAGGCCAGAAGCATTTATCGTCGTGGAGAGCCATTAGAAATCTTTATGGAGACCGGCCTTTTCTACCGAAACACGATGCGGACAATTTCGAAAGATATGGTCCCAAAGTAATCTGGTTTTGAAACATCGACGACCCCAAAAAAAGAGGAGAGGCAACTCTCAATGAGCCTCATTTCAAAGCCGCCAATTTTTTCCTTCTTTCTCTCTCTCTTTTTTTTATTCAACAACAATGTTTAGTCAAATTGACTTGAAAACACACACACACACAAAATGATTTTGAATCGACACATTTATAATTCAGCGGGGGGAGAGCATCTCTCATCACAACACGAATTAGCGAATCGAAATCGACAGGTTAAAAGGGGGCGGGGGGGGGGACAAACTAGGCTAATTATGTAATGATGCATAACAAAAATGGAATGAAGAAATTTGAGATCGCTGTGAGGCAATTAATTATAACGACGATGAATATATAAATAGCTATGCGAATACTTTGGTCGCTGATAGAAAAAGAGACGAATCACGTGCTCAAATAAGGGGTCCGATTTTGTACTAAAGAAATGTTTTCGAAAAAATTTGATAAATCCCTCAGTTTAAAGTTGCAGGAATTTTGCTTTTTGAAAAATATTTTGGCGCGCAATTCAAAAAAAAAATTAGGACAAAATACCAAATTGTTCCATTTCTTTAAAAAAAAATCTCGTGCCTCACCTACATTGTTTAATTAATTCTCATGGTTCGTCGAAAAATAGCAACAACATGCATATTTTCCAAATTGAATAATTTCCATCTTAAATTAGTTTTTCAACATTTTTTTCCAGCTATCCGTTTTTTTTGACGGGGATATTTTTTTAAAGAAAATCAAAAATTTTATCAATTCACTTTATGTGTTATTATTCGTAGAAAATTGTACGCGGCAATCAATTTCGATTTGGCTGCGTATCAAGCATATGCAAGAACTACAGTATACATTAGAGGCGCACGCAAAAATTGCTATTTTCGCGACAGGAAACCATACTGCATTTGGCCTAAATTTTTTGATTTTCCACCTGTCATCGACAAAATTAATTTTTACTGCACTTTTCAGTCATTTATATTTTTTTCGTATTTGACACAAAATTTAAATAATAGATTTGGCTGCGTATCAAGCATATACAAGAACTACAGTATACATTAAAGGCGCATGAAAAAAATGCAAAAAACAAAAAGGCGTAAATTCTTTGAATTTTCAGTTGCCTGTCCTCGACCATAATTTGTATTTACATATTGGATAATTGTATGATTGTTCCATTTTTAAAAATTAAGTATTGCCGAAAACGATCGATGATCGTTGGCGGGAAATTCAAATTTGTGAAGTCAGTGTAGATTTAAATTTATCGTTGGCAGAATATTCAATGCGCGTACGCTTAAATGCAAGGTACGCAGTCAAATGTACTTGTCGTTGCCTAGAGATATTGCAGAAATCGTGCGACAACGACCAATTGGCAAAATGCCAGAAACGACTTCGAGATGAGCACTGTGTACTTCACACGGACAATGCACACTGTAGACCGTCCGACTTCAAGAGTACATAGCCGAATGAAACAAATTAAATTTCGATCAGTCGTTTAAAATCGAAAATACGAAAAATAAATATTTTAACAGCACATTGACGTTTGAAACTAAATCTTAAATAATTCAATTTATTGCGCAATTGAATTACAAAAAAATTGGTTTCTTGAAATCAATTTTTTGTTGCACATAACTCTCAGCAAATTTCTTATTTAACAATTTTATAAACCATTGAACCAATTCAGAACAGTTGGAATATTTGGGAATTCAAAAAAAAACGAATTATCATAATAGGATCCGCCTTGGTGAAAATATCAATAACAAAACTAGATCAAGAATAATTAATAAATCAGTATTATCCGATAATTCCTTCTCGATTTTTGGATCACCTCTTTAAGATTCATCGGATAGACATCGGCATGTGGGTTGGCTTCCAGTTGGGAGAGGACTCGAATTAGTGAAATGGACAGATGAAGTTGGTCAAGCGAACAGAAAATCAGGTCTTGAACGGATTTTGTTTCCGATTTGCAAACTGATTTTGAGGCCACAATATTTTTCTTCCGGATCTTGAAATAATTCTAGCAATTTTCGGGATAAATAGGAAAAAAATGGATATTATTAAAACCTTCTGAAGATTGATTCCTCGGAGCTTGAGGCCAGAATATTTGCCTTCCTCGGAACTTTAGAAATTTCAACAAAAAAATTGCTCAGTATCAATTATTCAGTTTTCATTGAGGTGTTTGTTTTACATGAATATACACGTATGTCGCTATGAACTTATTAAACACTTGATGGTTGTGTTTCTTCCTTTTGCAATCCTAACTTGACCATCAGCTGGCACGACATGACGCCTTTTCGTAGTCTTGGATTGACGAATAGAAGAGCAAACGGGCAGCTGAGAGCAAGACAGTCGGACGTCACCGGGTAGAGATTGATAACTATCATATTTAGGATATCATTGAATCGGAATACCAAACATATCTGCAAAACTCGAGAATTATTCTTGAGAAGTTTTTTTTTATTTCTTGAGAAAAGTTTTTTTTGGCCTTGGGGTATCGCATATTGTGTCAATCGTATTGTGAATGAGTATAATTGGATTGCCCCTCCCCCCCCCCAATTACTACGTTGTTGCAAAAGAAAAGCAAGATTTTATCATTTTGTTAATTCTTATATGTTATGAGGAGTCGAAATAATTTCGAGGGTGGTACGGTACACACTGCGGTGTATGCACACACACACACGAGTTGACGCGCACATACAGAATTTTTGAGGAATTATTTTTGAGTTCGAGGCTGGTATTTGAGATTTTGCTTCTTATTCTTGTACTCTGCTTTATTTACACCAGTGATAGCGAAACTAGATATTATTTGTTGTATATTTTACTTAATATCCATTTTATTCTGAGTTATATATTGCTGATTTAGGTCTAATCTATTTATTGATAAGTAGAAGAGATCTTCTTGATATGACCCTTTATTTTAAATGTCTTGCACAATGTTGAAGTGTTAATGTTTATCCGACGTTTCGATCTTCAGAACTCAAACTTGGGTTTAATTACCCAAGTTTGAGGTAAATTGACCTTCCCTGATGATGATCTGAAGATCGAAACGTCGGATAAACATTAACACTTCAACATTGTGCAAGACATTTAAAATAAAGGGTCATATCAAGAAGATCTCTTCTACTTATCAATAATCCACACGATGCACACAAAACAAGTCGCTCCACAACTCACAAAACTTAATCTATATATTGCACGTTCTTCGTTGCTAATCCAATATTCTATATAAATTCCTAGTAAATATGCTGGCATGTTTATAACATTATTTTATTCTACTAAAACATTATTTAAATATCAAATGTTATGCATAATTCAAAAGCTTATCTAATTATCTTTTTAAAAGAATCTTTAAAATATTCTGCAATCTTTTTTTATTATCAATTTAGATGAAAAATATCGAAAACGGTTCATTTAAGGTTTAAAATGTTCAATTATGTTCTTTTGCACCGACCTAATAATTGGCTGTCTACGAAAGTTTAAAAAATCCCCAATTCATCAATAATATTATAACAGAATTATTGTGCGCGGCGGCTCCGCTGGGGGCAATTTACGAGGGACGCAACGATGGATTAATGAGTTAAGCGAGAGGTAAAATTTTTTTTCGTAAGATTTTTAACAGTATATTTCAGAATTGTGTTGAAATCGAAAAAAAAAACTTGCCCCACAAGCAAACTTCAGTAGAGACATTGCAAACAGCACAGTGGTCATCAAATACAAATTGCGATCGTTTCGGCGTCGAAGCGAGTTCGACGAAAGGCACGCGAGCGAGGCGAACTTCAGAATGCCGCTGAGTATCGCGATAATTATTTCGAAAATGTTCGATTGTAGAACAGTTCGAATCGCAGCGCCGTGGTGCTTCTGGAAAATTTGAGAAGGTGTATGGAACAAGATCATTCAAAAATGACCTCGATCGACGAGAATAGAACATAGCCATCGACCAATGAAATGTAGTGGTATCGGGCTTCGCGAAAAAGAAGATTAACCACAAATGGAATCGGGATTCCAAATATGAACAATGAGCTCATCACATAAGATCGCTCCCAAATCTGCTCAATCTTGTTAATGCATTAATCGAGGAAGCCTATCAACTCACCGGGGAACTCGAAAATGGGAAAACAATAAATCGAAAGCTGATTGAAATAATTAGCAGAATACACAACCGTTGACTATAAATGAAATAATAGGCGAAAAAGTAGAGTAATGTTTGAGGAGTTTTATAGGGAAAATTCTCCAAATATGGCGAAAATGTTGAATTTCGCGGAACGTGTAGTGGAATATGATAGTAGAGCTTCATTGAGACGTATTGGAGAACGTTCTGAAGGCAAATTTGGTGGGATTCTTAATTTTTTGGCAAATCTACTAACCAAAACTGTAAAACAACTCCATAATCGAATAAAAGCCGTGTTGAACTGCTTCCGATGCGAATAGATATATTTGCTGACGAGCGCGTAAAGAATCCATGAGACGAATCCAAATGAGAAGTGTAGAATGAGCCAAGCGGGATGCATTCTGCTAAAATTTTGACAATATTCTATTCAACGAATGTGCGGGGCGATTTCAACATGAAAAATTCTGAAAAATCGGAATACCACAAAAAATAAACATCTTCCAGACACTCTCATCGATTGGCTTCAAAGATAGCACAAGAAATAGATATTGGTTATGTTTGCTCACGTACACATATAACTTGTAAAAAAAGAGAACATAAGGGATATTTGCGTTTAAACAAAAAAATTTTTTTTGAAAAATTTCCGCCTTTTTTTTCTAACATGTCAGAAACATGAGTTTTCTTTGAAAATCAATTAGAATTATAAAAGAAGGCGTGAATTCTATGAAAATTGTTGGTTGGTGGGTGTCTTGTCACAATCAAGGACCATTTACGTCATGGTAAAGCCAGCTACTGGAGATAGCAGGGTGCTATTGATGAAAATGTGGCTATAGCTCGACTATGCGCCTTTAATTAATGGTATTCAAGGGTGGAATCGAAGTTTGAAAATTCGATTAAATATACGAATTGGGGCGCATAAAATTTGAACCATTCGATTTGGCTGCGTATCAAGAATAAGTAAGAACTACAGTATACATTAAAGGCGCACACAAAAATTGCTATTTTCGCGCCAAGAAACCAAACTGCCTAAATTTTTTTGATTTTCCGCCTGTCTTCGATTAATTTAAATTTAAGTTTTCAGTCACTTATTTATTTTTATTTGCAAAATTTTATAAACGATGGGTTTTCGATTTGGCTGCGTATCAAACACATTCAAAAACTACAGTATACGTTAAAGGCGCATGCAAGAAATGCAAACAACAAAAAGTCCTAAATTCTTTGAATTTTTCAAATGTTTCTGTCTCCGGCAAAATTTATTTTTATTTTAGTTTCCAGTCACTAACCTAGTTTTTCGTATTTAAAAATTGAAAAAATAACCACACACAAATAAATGTAATGAAAATATCGATTATAAAATGCGGATAATCATTTGGGTCCCGCGGCGATCGAATTTGGTAGACCGCTCATTTCCAGAAGCTGGCTATAATTTAGAGCCTACGCAAAGACATAAAGTTTAAAAGAAAATCATTCAAGAGACTCATCGTGGAATTCTTATTGGCGATTTTGGATGAATAAAAATGGATTCGCCAAAATCAAAAAAAAATCGATGAGATTTTCAAGCATATCCAATTTTATATTATTCTATGATAGTATATTTGTAGTACTAAGTAATTATAACGTATAACTCCAAAAATGATAATTAAATTAAAAATAGCAGTTATATATTTATTTACTTGATGATCACATATCACATGATTAAACCAGAAGCCTTAAATTTTGTCTGTGTAATTATAATTTTTTTTCTTGCTATGACGAAATTTTTTGAGCATAGAATAATTGCACATATTAATTTTTGAACATAGTGTGTAAAAAATTATATATCGTTTTCTACTTGACCTAGGAAGTGTTGTCGCCTCGATCAAGTGTCGAATTGTGAAAAAAAAATCAAGCAGTCTCAAGGGGGGGGGGTCTAATTGAAATGAGAAATAGAAAAAATTAGTGATTTTTGAGAAAATGTTCAAATTTCAATTAATTGACTCATTCGAGCCCCCTTGAGTAATTATGGACCATCGCAATCATTAATTTGAATCTTGAAATTCGAATCAATTTCAGAGACTCCTATAAATGATAGTATTTTAAATTCAATATATCGAAAAGTCGGAAATGGTCTCGATGCGATAATCGCGATGCTAACAATTATCGACGCCAAGAGATTGAAGGAAGGCGGGAAATTCAAATTTGTGAGGTCAGCACATAGCCAAAAAATGTTCTAAAATTTCGACAGTGGCCTATGTTTCGAGAACAATCGAATTTGACGATACGCAAAGCATAAACTATAAAAATATTAAAAGATTATCAAAATCTGAATCTGTAAGAGCTTCTTTATTTGATGCATAATAATCTTTTGAAGAGCATTGGAAAATAAATTGGAACGCTCACATATAGAATTTGCCATTTCGTTTTTTTTGTGCACGAACACACGAATTTTCCAACTTGCATCCTCTCCTCATATGAAGCACAAAGGAGTATTCAGTGAAATTGAGTAGGGGAAAAAATAGAGAAGCGTTCGGCAATCAATTTTTTAATGATGGTAATCATGTGCATTGAAAAAAGAAAAGTGCATTGAAATTATTATAAAGTGAGCTGAACAACTTTATTCCGTCGATTTGGCAACAAAAATGACCGATGGGTTGTTTTCACGAAATTTTCGGCATAGGAAAAGCAATGACAACAAAAAAAATTTTTTTTTTGAAAGTGTATCAACACGATAATAAAAGCCTGAGAAACTAAATTCAAGTGCTCATCGAATCTCTCAACGAATTTTTCGTCTTTTTTGTTTCAGTTGGCTTATTTTCAAAACAAAACTCGTTTCCACCCCGAACTAAAATAAAAAGTGGCATTCGACCTTGACTTATTTTACTAGTTTTTCAAGAAAATTTTTCGCGCAGCCTTATTCAATTTTCCAGTGGAAGAATTGAAAAATAAGAACAATGAAAAAAATGTTTGTGTTTGATGCTTCAATATTAACCACATTTGGAATGCACCATTTCTTATATAATTCATAAACGCGAGAATGTCGAGCTCGTTAAAAGTGCATCTCGAGCCGCGACGATTTTGAGCATTCCACGAATCGCTCGTTTATAATTGATGATAATTGCTATTTAATATCGTTTCTGGTCACACTTTTTTAATAAATCTCCCACAAAAAAAAACAATTAAAGTTTGCTGGAATTATTTTTTTAATAAAAATTGGATTCGTTGATCTATGTGTTTCATCAATCCAGATTGCAAAAAATATTAAGCCCTATAAATATTTGTTTGCACTTTTTGAACACACGCAAGATTCCGAAATTCTCAAGATGAAGCTAAACTGCGAGCATTTTTTGTTTCAGAAGCAAATAGCGCCAATCGTGGGACGCGTCGCGGTTCGCGTGCGGTCGTGTGTTGTTCCCATGAAGTACAGACAGACGACGAAATTGAATACGTTCTGAGGGCAACGGGGCGACCAGCCTAATTCATAATAGAATCATCAAATTTTGAAATATCCCTTTTTTGGGGGGGGGGGAGGGGGTGTTAGAAGTAAGGCAACCGCGCGCGAACCGCAACGCATAATAGGCCTTCCCTTTTTTTAATCAGATACTTATTTCAATATTAGAAATTGTTTTGAATATTGGCCTATCGAAGATTATGAAGCTTATAGGAATTATAATTGGATAATTGGAATTATATACCGTAGTATTTGAAATTCGAAAATTTTGAAAAACTTCGACCGAATAGCGAAAAACAACATTTATATTTATCGTTCCTCGTTTTATGGTTATCTGGTTTCAGCGCGAAATTCGATACGGTCGTGAGAAGAATCCACAAGGATACTTTCAGACCCAAATAGTGAATCCCGTCGATTAATCCGTATTAGTAGGAGAATCCTCATTTTTCTATGCAAGTGGTTATTCAAATACAAAGAATTGCTTAAGAAAAAAAAATTTTTTATTGTGAGCTTTATTTTCGAGTTTTCCACAATCCCTAAATTCTTAATTATTAGACGTGTTGCCTGCGTCTCCTTTCACCGCGCGCTCTCTCACCGTCTTTCCACTCTCTCGATTCAAAACGCTATTTCGTGAATCAGAATATCATCGAAAATTCAAGATCGACGTCGAATTTGAATTCGTGTGAACTTGTACACTTAATTTGTCTCATAACATCGTTTGGTCCGCGCCAAAAATAAGCCCCCAGTGATGAAGTAAAAAAAATATAATTGTGGTCTGCTGATTTTTTTTTTTTTCATTTTTTTCCAATATATATAAGTGTTAATAACTTTGTTTACGCATGAAAAATGACGAAAAAAAAGAAACACAATAACATTGGAAGGACGAGTTTAGCTGGAGCACGGATAATCTCCCTTTAATCCACATTTGGGTTGTATACTTCCAACCATAGTATAATGGAAGAAGTCGATCCTATTGATATGAATAGAGGGATGAATCGAAGATTGGGAAAACATAAATCAAAGTCTGAATGGATTTGGATGAACGTATAGAGTATGCCTTCGGAAATTGTGCTATAATTTGACTGAGTATCAAATATGAAAAAAAATAAATGCTACTAACAATTTTCAGAAAGATCTTCTCAAGACCATTCACGATTATATCGAAACTATAGTATGTTTCGAATCGACCGCAGCCATATAATTTTGCTAATAATTCGTTTCAATTCGAATACGACAAAAGATGGCTTCGAAATTGACCGGCTTCCGACCAAAATTCGTCCAATTTTAGTGGCCTGAGAACAAAAAGTGGTCGTGAAATTCCTGAACTCCTCAAATTTTGAAAATATACAATCAGAAATTTCGATATTTTTCTTATTTTTTTTTGATGTTCGAATCAAACTGTGACTGAACTTATGTTAGTTCAAATTAAAATAAAAATAATCGATTAAAGGCTCATAATGCGCGAAATGAGTTGGGTCTCTTATGGCGACTGATACCACTAGCCGCTTATTTCCGGAAACAGAAGTGAAGTTTCCCACCATTCGTGGAGATTAGGGAGGAAAAAAGAAAGAAGGAACAGCTGTAGCTACAAATTTTTCGTAGATATCTAATTCTAAAATAAATACCAAATGAGAATATGCAAATTTCAGCGATAGCTCTTCACAATATCCATTTGTACATTCTAGCGAAAATACGCGAACGACGAGAAATGGATCCTACAACTTCTAATCTCCTAAACAAACACGTTATAAATAATTCCTTTAATGAAAAATAATTTTAAAAGAAAGAAATGGGGATGATAAACGCAAAAATCTACAATTTTACAAGCTCATATGGACATGAAAAGTGCAATGATACATCTAGAATAATCCCGACGGAAACAAGCCGATTCTCGGTGTTGTCGTGCTCGTCGCCTTCTTGCTCCCGCCTCTTCGGCTGCCGGCTCCGCCTCCTCCTCTCGACGGCGCTGTTGCACGTGGCCTCTTAATCGCTCTGCCACCAGACGAAGATCTCAAAATGCGAAACAATACATTAGGCAAAAGTGGATGAGGCAACAACGAACCCCGGTGTCACTCGTTTACGAGCTCGAACTGTTCCGGCACGACCACGCGAACGCGATGGGAACGTCGAGCGTGTCTCTGAATGAGGTCGATGAAGAAAAGCAAAATAATGGCGACAATTTCAAGTGCCATGTTTGTTTTCAGCAATCACTCCCGAACAACTGTTTGATGAAAACATCGACATACCCGAAATTGATGGACCCGGCGGCAATTCGGCAAAACCGCCCATCACAAATTCGCCATTTTTCAATTTCTCGAGTTGCTGCCGCATTTCAGCTTCTTCTCGTTCTGAAAACATTAAGCGTTTTTTTTTTTCATCAAAAATGATGGCTTCTTGCTTGTAAGTTTTCACACCAACAGTTCAAAACTTCGAAATCTTCGCCACCGCAAATTTTCAAAAATTCTAGACACTAACATCAAAAGTCAAACATTCAAAATCAGACACCAACTACATTGTTTTCGAAATTTTCAACAATTTTCAAAAAATGCGTTACAAATCGAAACCCTTGATGAAGCCCTTACCATCGACTTGTTTCCAGAACGGATTCAACGCCTGCATGATCATTGGGCAATATCTGGAATTCATTAGTTTCGGTGTCACGCGACTACGAAAAATTGGCTTAAGTCTAAAAATGAGAAACAATGGCTGAGGGTGTGCGTCATAAATCCATCCCTTTGTTCAGCCCCGTAAATCTACACTCAATTTTGCGCCTCTCAAATAGATTTTTTTTGGTATTTAGCCAATTTTGGCGCCGTCGCACGACGTCGACAACACCAATAAACGCGTACCTTTGAATTTTCATTTCAGTCATACTATCAATCTTCAACATTTCCGAGTTGGTACGAGGCAATAGTGCAGCAATCTAAGAAAATATTGAAAATGCGAGTTCCCAGCGCTTATTAAGCACCTGTTCAATTCCCTCACGAGACACAATCGAATACGGTCCTGGCAATCCAATGCTTTCCGCTGTTGCCGTCAAAAGCTGCGTCAATTCTTTGATGCACGCCGCAAAAATATCGCCGTGTTTGACCATATGTCTGAAAATCGAGAAAATTTCTCTCCCTCTCTCTCCCTTTTTCAAAAAAAAATCATACTTCTCTTTGAGCGCTTGCGCTTCCGAGACAGTATTCATATTTGTGAGCTCAATCATTCCAAGCGATCTCTGCTTCTTCTCGCAAGTCACAATGTGCAAATAAATCTTCGCCGTTTTCGTACCGCTTGCGACTTGCCGTCCGAGATCGGTGAGCTCCGCATAGGCGAACACGACAGCCGGCTGATTCGGCAGCGAATAAAGACGCTCGTGGACATAGCCTTCAACAACCTGACAAGAAAAAAAAATAACAAAAATGTAAATGTCGGACAAGATCATAAGAAGGAGTTCGCAAACTTCCTTCCAACCTAGCTCATCCAGCAAACCGCGTTCAGAATGCGGCCGCTTCAACAATTTCCCATGAATCGCGAGCTATTCCCCAACAATTAAGTGTCAGAGGATTAGTAGTAGGCATGGTTTCGATCCATCGACCTTTTTTCTTATCAAGTTTACAACTCTATCGCATTGCGCTAGATGGTCCATTAGGTGCCAACGTACCAATTTTCGCACAAATCTCAACGCGTCCATTTCCGACATTCCCTGCCCGCGTCGATAGAATGGAAGTGTGGTGTGGCCGAGTCGCATCGCCTGCTCGTTCGATTTTTTCGCCAAATGACCGCGATACAATTCCGACAAATATTTCAGCGTCGTCTTCGGCATTTTTGGAAGGCACTGAAGCATCATCTTCGCCTCATCGCTAACATCGAATAATCGAATCGCCTCCGGATTCTTTTTTCGTCGTTCGCACACGTCACATGGGGTTTTGCTATTTCGGCATGATGATTCATCATAAACCTGATCAATTATGATAGACGGGTGTTCATAATGAATTACGTACCTCTCCAAAATGCTCGACGAGCATTTTCCGGCGACAAACCGAAACATTTTCGCAGTACGCAACTACTTGAAGCACATTTGTCAAGTGCATCATTCGGACACCTGTTGTCGTATTTCCTTCTATAACAAACATTTAATAAAATGTCACAAAAACTCAATAAAATGATAACGTTGGTGCAATGTAGGGGGAAAGAAAAAAACATAATTAACATAGTTTTTTTTTTAACGATTCTTTCCATTTTTTCGTATCTTGCATATACTATAAAATTTCGACCAAAAAGAACAAGACACTTAAAATTTTTCACAAATTGCTATTTTTTTTTGAAATATAGCATCTGGTGCAAAATTCTCGGCTAGATCATGACCGAATCTCACCTTCAATCATTCTCCGCAGACGAATCGAATCATTGTATGAATAAAGCATGAGGCAATAGGACGGAAGGCCGTCTCGTCCAGCTCGACCCGTTTCTTGATAATACCCTTCAATGGATTTCGGCATACTGGAAAAATGAAAAAAAATAAAGAATTCCATTTTTTGAAGGAGGGAATACCTATAATGAATAACGAATCGAACATCGGGTTTATCGATTCCCATTCCGAACGCAATTGTGGCACAAATTACATCAACCCGATTCGATAGCCATCTAAAATTGCAAGCAATGATGATATGCAGACTTTGGGAAAAAAAGTCTTAAAAAATTGCCATGCAAATTGCGGAAAAACTAATTTCTAATCAGTATACTGAATTACATTTTCAAAATTTTCAAAGTACAAAATCAAGAAAAAAAAAATGAAATTCCTCTGAAAGGCAATTAATTCTACCTTCGTTGTACCATTACGCGAGTTGTGTCACTCAAACCAGCGTGATAAACTTCGGCGGTGAGACCCGATTTGGTGAGCATTAATTGAACACTTTCGCATTCTTTTCTGAAATAAAAAAATCATTATTGGAGTTTGAGTCTTATAAAATTACCTAGACAGGCAATAAATAATTCCAGATTTGCCCGGATACAACTGCTTCATTTTCTCAACCACATTCACCAACGAACGCGACGCTTTCGGTATCAAGTCGTATTTGAGATTGTCGCGAACAAAACTACTAATAAAAAGTTTCGAGTTTTCCATTCCTAAATGATTTCTCGCGTCGGTGACAATTTTCGGCGTTGCCGTTGCCGTGAGCGCGATGATGGGAACGTTCGGATCGCGAAAGCGTTCTCGTAATGATTGAAGTTTCGTGTAATCAGGACGAAAATCGTGTCCCCATTGTGAAACACAATGCGCTTCATCGATGACGAATCGCGCCAGCTTTCCACGCTTATGCAAATTGTAGAATGCCGAAATCAAGCGACTTGAAGCGCTGATCTGAAATCAGATTCAATTTATCTTATAATTCCTCTAGTAATATACCTTTTCTGGAGTTACGTATAGTAGTTTGATCGTTGGTTGAACAAGCGCCAAATTTTGATAAATTTCTTCTTGATCGGCCGTCGAAAGCTCTGATGTCAATGCTTTACATCCAATTCCCAATTCTTTCATCTTCATCGTCTGATCCTCGATTAACGATTTCAACGGTGAGACGACGATCGTTACACCAGGACTCAAAATCGCTGGTAGTTGATAGCATAGCGATTTTCCAGCTCCTGTTGGCATCAACACAAACGTGTCATAGCCAAGCAATGTCGCGACAATTGCCGTCTTCTGTCGATGACGAAAATTGTTAAAACCGAATGTTTTCTTCAAGGTACTGTACAATTCATTGCGACGATCGACACAAAGAAGAGCCACTTCAAAATGAAAAAGTTTATTTTTTTCGATTTTTAAATTTAAAAAAAAAAACGTACATTCGTCGGCAAATTCCTCTCCATCATCCTGCAAAAAGCCTCGAAATTGACCATGCATGTCTAGAAATTGTATTAATCGTACGATATTTAAAAACCCATTGCGAACCGTGACGCTTTTTGGAGCTATCGATTGTGGCGAGCAGATTGGACGAGCTCGGCACATTTTTTTCATTTTGTTCATTACTCAATACGTACGCGGCAGCGTCAAAATTATCAAAACTGTCTTCTTCTTCGTTTGCAGCGGCGCGCTCCTGATATTTTTCGGTTGATTGGCTCGGAAATGGTTTTGAGCTGCTCTCGGTACTAATTGGCGCGTCAAAACTCTGTAATCTATTAGAATTTTCATTATTTTATAAGCTATCGTTTTACATCAAAACTATCCTCCACAAATTCAATATTTTGGTCATCATTTTGAAGGGTGTCTATCGATGTCGATTGATTATTGCCAGATAAATTACTATCAATTTTTCTCGTTGACTCACAATCAAATTTATCCCAATCCGCTGAATTTTAATGATTTTTAATAGTTTCCTTTTCGCAAACAGCGCATACTATTTTCAACATCATCAATAAATATAATTTCCTGATTTGGCTTCGACGGTTCAATATTTTCTCGTACCACAGGCTTTTGTTGCCTTGGCTAAAATTTCAGACTTCTCATTATGTTTCAGATTTAATCTCACCGATGGCAGAATCGTTGCTACTGGAACATTTTCTAGGCGCGGTTGTGTTTTTTCAGCGACAGCTTCGACATATTCATCAACTCTATCATACTCAGAATGTGCGACAAAATTCAAACTGTTGCACGATTGATCCGATAATGAACCACAACACTTGAAAACTGGAATCTACAACTATAATTTGCTTTAATTAACATTAAAAATTTACTTTGAAGGAAGGATCAGGAATGACAAATGAAAACCCATTAAACTCCACTCGTTGACGTGGAGCCATCGCTTCCCGATATCGTGCAGCTTGTGTAGACATAATTCCACGCCTAAAGTGTTATAAAAATATTTCATTTCAATATATAAGGACCGCAAGGCTCATATTTTGGTGTTTGCGGGGAAACGAATTTTTTTCGGAGCGAAAATGCAAATTTGAATTTTAACAGTTCATAACAGCTAGTAGGAAACAGTGTTCAGTATTTCTTCTACTATGTCATTTCAGAATTTGAAATATACGAAACAAACCTTTTTTGAAAAAGAAATAAAATAAATATTCGAATTACGCGGTTTCCGTTAAAACGAGGGCAAACGCCGAAGAATAATTACGCTAAAGTAAGGGCAGTTGTAAAAGTGGCGTGTTGTTTGCAACATTTTTAGCAGCGTTATCGATTTTCGTCAATTCCGCGTTCATTTTCGGTGCTCAAATCTAATTTAAGCTTTATTACCGTCCGGCATAATTTCTTCTAACCATTTTATTTTTGATTTTTTAAAAACTAATAAAACTGGATATTATGACGCAAAGTAAGTAAAAAAGATTGTTTACTATTTTTTTAATATATAATTTAAGGAACGAGCTTCCGCGAAACGCGTTTGCACGACGGTTCAACTGGTTGGCAAAATCATATACCATTCAACGTAAAACCTAGAGATTTACCACTTCGCGATATTTCACATCAGGGAATTTGGACATTGTCCAGTTGTAAACACGGTAAGCTTGAACGCTTATGGACGTATTCGTATAATGTGTTTTTTTACAACCCTACATTGAAAAAAAAAACCGTTTTTTTTTAACATTTTTTATTGCATGAATAGTTCCATTATTATTTTTTAATATAAAGAAATAATTATTTAAGGGTATGGTGTAAAAGAGTTGCTTGATGATAATGTCGAGAAATACTGGCAAAGCGATGGCCCACAACCACATGTTATCACAATAGAGTTCCAGGTTTCAATATTACTATTGAAATAATATTTTTTAATCAAAAATTTTAGAAAAAGACCGATATATGCTTCATTATGATGTATTTAGATTTTAAAAATGATGAATCCTATACACCTTGCAGGTATTTATTTCAATTTAAGACATTTTCTACTTTCTTTTTTTTTAAGAGTTGTTGTAAAAGCCGGCCATTCTCCACAAGATTGGTTTTACGTGCAATCGCAAAATTTTGCGGAGCCTCAAGGTTGGCAAGTAATCGATATGCGTGATGCTATTATGAATCCGCAGCGAGCTTGGATGGTGCAACTGCAAGTGGTGCAGAATCATCAGAATGGGCGTGACACCCACATAAGGCACACCCACTCCTTCGAAACCGCGTTTAATTATAGTGTTTGCAGACACGTCCGCGTTGTCGGTCCAGCTCGCTCAAGATACACGCCAGAGAATCGGCTTTTCGCCGGCAACCCTGAGGTCTCTTTCAATTTCCCTGGCCGTCAACCTCCCGAATTTCAAGCCGACTATATGGAAAAATTTTTCAATTCTCTTGTTCTTCGATAGCGTTGCCTCATCATGTGCGATTTACGTATGCGTTACACCTTGTATAATGATTTTATTCGTTTCTATTTTTTTATCGCCACTCATAAACCACATTATTATGCCGAATACGGTAATTGTACAAATAAAACGTTTACTTTTTAAGCTCAGGGCTTTGTTTTTCGCAAAATGTACGCTTTCATTGTTGAATACCTCTTGTATTTATTTGTTTTTCCTTTTAAATAAATTCTTTTTCACAGACATGATGGATTTTGTCGCTAATCATCCGATGCCGGGTATTCCGGTTGATCCGAAGAACATCAAGATTCTGCATACACCGCAAGAATTCTATAGCACTCTCTTGGTAATCACGCCTACGCAAAAATAATGTCTCATTATTCTTTGTTTCAATTGCAGGAGAGAATTCGAACCGCCGAGAAGAGAATCGTGCTAAGCAGTTTGTATCTTGGCGACGGCAAACTTGAACGCGATTTGGTCGATGAGTTGAACGACAAAATCGACAACACCAAGAAGCTTGACGTCAGAATTCTGTTGGATTATTTGAGAGGGACACGCGGCGAGTCGAACGAGAGGAGTAGCACGACAATTCTTCGCAAAATTGCACACAAGGCCAAGGTATTTTTTTAAACGATTTGTGACGTCAAAAACGCATTTGGCTCCTACTACAGTAACCCTTTAGATGGATGGGAAGGGGGGATTTTCGCAATAAAACCCATTACTTGAATTAGATTTTCTAATAGCGCCGACCACGCAAAATAATAGCGGGGTGTTTGGTTTTGATGACGTTTTTTTTTTGAAAGCAAGCGTGAATAACACGATTTTCCATGCCTTCAAATAATTTCTAGGTTTATCTCTACCATACCCCGGAGCTAAATGGATTTTTCAAACGATGCCTTCCGGAGAGAACGAATGAGATCATTGGACTTCAACACATGAAATTGTACATATTTGACAACTCTATAATAATCAGCGGGTAAATAAGAGAGTTTTTGTTGGTATTTCGAAACTGGCGATAATTTAGAGCGAATTTGTCGGACTCGTATTTCACAAATCGCCAAGATCGCTATATAATATTCGAGAACTCGCCAGAAATTACCAACTTCTTTTGCGATATTGTTCAAGCAGTTGGTTAGAGAAAAAATTGCTCCCACGCAAAAAATATCGATTTTGTGGATTTTTAGGTAGCTCGAGCTTTGTTTTGAATGAGGATGGCACGATTGATATTCACGAGAAGTGCGATGTTCATCCGTATCTTGGCGACACTGAGACTTACAAAAAAATGCTCGCATTGAGAGTGAATAATGTTATAAGCGAGTATCAGAAGGAATTCGCCGGCAAGTTCAACGAAGAGGAGACAATGGTCTACCCAGTTATTCAAATGGGCAATATTGGCATCAACCAAGAGTTCGAGCTTGTGAAGAAAGTTCTTGCTCAAAAGGTGCGTCATCAATGAATTATTATCAGTGTATCATTAGTTTTCTTGAAGGGCACCGATTGGCATATCACAATGGCATCGGGATATTTCAATTGTATTGAAGATTATGAGAAGGTCATGTTTGAGGAGGCCAATTATACTCTCGACATTATCACAGCTTCTCCAAAATCGAACGGCTTCTTTGGTGCTCGCGGTCCATCGAAATACATTCCGGCGTTGTATTCGGAGTTTGCCTCGAAATTTCTTGATCGCCGCCGCGAGGCGATGAAGGACAATATTTATTTGTTCGAGTATAATCGAAAGGGCTGGACATTCCATGCGAAAGGATTGTGGATTTTGAGGCGAGGATTCGCGGCGACGCTCGTCGGATCATCAAACTTTGGATATCGTTCGGTTCACCGAGATCTCGAGGCGCAACTTTTGCTTGTCACGAAGAGCGAGGAGCTGTTCCGAAGATTGTCGTTTGAAAAGCGACGACTTCATGATCATTCGCTTCTTCTTGAGCCGAGCTTGACTAAACCCGAGCATCACGTTCCAGCATTGGTCCGCGTTGTGTCCAAATTCATTCGCAATTTTTTGTAATACATTTTTTCATCCCTGATCTCATAGCTACTAGTCCGGCTTACAATTAATAAATATATTTGTCCAACGAATTGGTTGAAAAGAAAGAAATATATATTTATATGCAACCTCGTGGTCACGATTCCATTAATTATTGATAAACAATATAGCAGATCAGATTAAGCTTTTGTAACAGATGAGTTATTTACAAGCTTCGCAATGTGTCGCGCGGCGAATTTCGGCACGGACTTTAATGTCAACAAAAATCCGAAAAAATCCATTTGAAAAGTCCGAAATTCTGAATCGAATTGGTGGGCGTTGCATTAGAAATCTGCACGAGCACCGAAGGATGGAGCATCGCGAGCTTTTGGAGGCACTTCAAGACGAGAAATGGTTTGAATATTTGCGCCTAAGAAATTTGTTGAACATTACGAGTCTAGGTATCCGGTTTATCGGTATCCCGGAATTCGATTTGCAGTCCTCTTAGCCAGAGCCAAATTGGTTCAAACAATTGCAAGTGTTCTTTATTTGCCTTATTCGACGTATCAGGTAATTTGAAAAATAATGCCGCCACGAGACACACCTCAAAAAATAGTCGGTTGCGTCTTTAAATGCCGTATTAAAAATGGGTAAATCCTTTCAAATTGTCTTAAACCACTAATTTTTGGGTTTTCAAAATTAATATGGTAGAAAAAATGAAACGAAATAAAAAAAATCCAAGGCTCACAATGCGCTGGGTCTTGTGGCGACAAAATCTGGCATCCACTATTTCTATTTTTGTATATAACAAAAATCCTCGAAATTTTTTGTTTAGTTTCTACACGGCATTATTGACTCACAATGGTATTATACGGTAGCGACTTTAGCATTCATTGCCCCACTAATGCTTATCATTTTCAGTAGGTAGGTTGAATTTGTCAGTCTTCTTTAGAAAATTCGTTTCAATTTGAGGTATCTTAACCGCTTAATCGGAGTGATTGCAATGAACGAAACCAATGATTTCGTGCGAGTTGGATATTTGACATTTTGGGGATCTCGCAAAAATATGTAAAAAAACATTTTGTCAATTCAATTCAATTGTTTGAAACGTGAACTTGCGCAGGTATATTGATATTGATGACGTTATCGCATTTTCCGAGATTTCCGCCAAAGAAGACAAGGTCGTCAAATTTATGTGGTACGGCGGCTCGAAGCACTTATATCTTCCCATCAAACACGCCGAGATTGTCGACGAGGAGCGCGCCAAATTGCTTTTCGGCGATATTGGCATGTTTGATAATTATAAACGCGGGTAATAAATATTTATTTCTTTGGCTGCTGTTCGTTGGTGAACTCGCCAGCGGGTTTCACGGTTTTCATTGTCGTTACTTCTTTTCCCTGAAAATTCGAATTGAAAAAGAAACGTTGACCTACAAAACATACTGGAACTTCTGCTGGCACCGGCGTCTGTCTTGTGTCGAATGTTCCGGCGGGATTCACCGTCTTCATATCATCCTTATCATCCTCGTCCTCTCCGGATTCCGATTCGCCGTCGTTGCGAACGAACATCATCACAATCGCCTTCTTCTTTTTGGCTTCGGTCTTCGTCGCCGTCATAATCTTCGACTTCTTGTCCTCCTTCTTCTCCCTTTCTTCTCTCTCCTTCTTTTCAGCCGCCGCCTTCTTCGCCTTCGACTTGATCTTGCCAACGCGATCCTTCTCGTCATCGCCTTCCTCGTCTTTGGTTTCAACATCGACGTTGTCGTTGATGCCCTGATAGAGTACGGCCAGCTTCACTTTACGAAGTTTGCCGGTTTGAGCAAGTTTCTGAAAAATTGATGGAAAATGAGAGTAGGAGTAAAAAAAAAATAGCTAAAACCTGCTGGTATTTATGATTACTCCAAATGTTTTCCGGATTGACGTTCGGCGATGGCGAAGCCGCCAAGACACATGTGTAGCGATCAGCAAGAGGGCATTGCTCATCTTTGACGCCTTTACAGAAAAGGCGAATGGTGGCCTGATTAATAAAAATTGAATCGAATGAATGTTTCAATTCTGTCGAATACTTTCTCGCCAACATTGAGGACACCATAGACGGGTCGCATTTTGTACATTCCAGGACGAGTCGACTTCCATTTAAAAATGATCGGCGTTTTTTCGTTGTTAGTTATATTCACCTCGGCCATTTGTTTCGCGGGTATCGGTCGATATGTCACCTTAATAGAAAAATCAAATATAGAAAATTGTCGATTAAAATGTTGATATACCGATTTGCACGGATTGAAAACGACATTGGCCAAATGGTTGTCCTTCTCCTTTTTTCCATTCTCCAATTGTTGTGTCGGTGCCACAGTGTTTGATGCATTTTCCGCCATTTTGTTTTGATTAACGACTTTGGCAACTACCAGAACCGAGTGGTAAATCTAAAATAATAATGAGACGATTCGCAATGGATTTCACGTCGCAAATTTCGGAAAATGAATTGTGGATGAGCTCGTCGATGATCACGATTGAATTTCGATTAAATATATTTCAATTATTTTCAATTTGGCGTTTTTTTTTTGTATGATGGGCGGTAAATTGCTAAAAAAAAACATATGGGGGGTCTCGACTTGAAATCTGAACCATCTTTTGACGACCTTCTACATCAAATTTTAAATGTTCTTGGGGGTCCGGCAATTTCTCGAATTTCCAGGTTTTGGGAGTATATTTATTAGCATTCTGTGTGATTTTTTATTTCCAGGACTCACAACCGAAGTCTTTTTACAGTCATGTCTTAATAAATTTTTTTTCATAGGTTTTTTTAGGAAATAATTTTCAAGCGGCCAGCCTTACACTTTAAAAATTTGTCAGGTTCACATTTTGAGCCCAGACCCCATTTGGTCAAATTGGACCATTATTACATATATCGACTGATTTTGTCATTTGGCAACCATTTGGCAGGCCCCCCGTTTTACATTCATTAACATTTCGATTATATTGGTTATTTTCCAGTGCCCTTCACTAGAATGGAAGTTGATGTTGACTATTTGGTTCGTTGGTCACATTAGCAACGACTAATTGTAGTATGTAGTCACTGTCTGTTTGCCGACAAGACAATACCATCAATCGAAATTTTGTAAATCAAATTTGGTCACTCTCTTGTGAAGTCATGTGTCAATTACTATTACTATTTTTACTATTTGCTTTACAATTTGTAGATTCTGCAAAAGTGATTCTTACTGTAATGGATCAAGGAAGGTGGGAAATTTGGATTTTGAAAATTTGAACAATTTTTCTCCAGGTCTCATGCCTCTTCAATCACTCCTTTTATGCACCGACTGCAAAAAGACAACCATACAACGGTTTTAGAGTTCACTAGCTATCACGATGACATCGATTTCGGAATTGAAGAGAGATTTATCAATATGTCAGGATATCAAAACGAATTCCAGAGTCCCGATTTCTTTAAAATCGCGTTTGAAGGGGAATTCAATTTTCTTCATCAGGTCAGTCGTACCCAATAAACTATTCTATTGTTAAATTTTTTTGCAGCCAGTTCCTTATATGTTTGGTTCGATTTCATGCGATCGCGTCTTAAAATTCCGAAGAGAGCGATTCTTCGAAATTCTAAATGAAGATTGGGATTTGTTCCTGTCAGATTCACTTTTTGCGGTTTGCGGCTACGGAATGGCTCAATTAAGCGGAAAACATCATGTTTTGATGCATTCAAGTGATGTTGAAAGTTCTCATGGATCGTATAAAGGTTTCCACAGGTAATTGTTCTGAAAATCGCATTTAATTATTAGAAAATTGGTTTCGAAAAATCTTAAACGTTCAAGTTGAGATAATGATTCTCAATGGCTGCGTTAATATGATGCTGGTGTTCGATATGGGTGACAAAACAAGTACGTGAGAAAAAAGATTGCCAAATTGTTGGCGCAAGTGACATTTCGTTGTTAATTTTTTTTATTACGCGCCAATTTCAAAACTTTTTCAAAATTATCAATTTTCATCAAAAAATTAATGGTTTTGTTTGATAGAAATGTGAATAAATGCATTATTTCAATAATAACGAAATGTGTGCAATTTTGCGTGTGGGTGTATGCACGCCTTTACGAAATGGGGATCTTTTGAATTTATTTCATCTAGTTTCAACTAATTTGCGCCGTGAAAATTTGGGTTTTTTTTTTGAAATTTCACCTGACTGACTTAATTATTTTCCTAAATTTTGTTTTCCCCGAAATGCCCAAACCAATGTTATACAGTATACCGAAAAAAAGTTTGATTTCGATAATTATTTTTGGCTGTTCGATATTTCGGGCTTTTCCCTATGTGCCTTAAAATTCGGAAGTAATCTTTGCGTAAAGATATTTGAATTAAAACCTCTAAGAAAAAAACCGTATAATCTCTGGTGTTGACTATTTGGTTTCAGAAACTATGCGATTACTGTTCCAAACTTCTTGCCGTATTCAATGCCGGACTTTACAGTCCAAAGCTACATTCATCGAGCCTACTCGACACTTGACTGGTTTGGAGGAATGTTTATGACGGTGGTTGCCAGCGGTATCCCAATGAAATGGGCTCTTCGAAGTGTCATCGGTTTTCCATATTTCTCATTCTACGACTATGTTCGAACCAGCACATTCTCGTTTACCGATATGCCCGAAGCTCTATATCCTCCAGGAGCGAGAACAAATGACGTAATAATACAAATATTTTATATAGTTAAATATCATATTTATATTCTAGTTCTTCTCGTATGGATCCTACTGTTCTCCAGTTAAAGGTGGACTAAACGACGAGTTTAGCAGTTTTGTGAATGATCCGAATTCGAAAGGAACCATATTGGTCGCTTTTGGGACCCTTATTGATTGGAGGCACGCGCCTGTCGAAAAACTCAGGATTTTCGTGAACACTCTCAATCAGTTGAAAGAATATCGAGTGATATGGAGTATGAAAGGCGATCGACCAGCTGAGTTATTGGATCATGTCAAAACGTCGTCGTGGATTCCACAAAACGCGCTACTTCATCATAACAAAACTAAGCTGTTTGTGAGTCATGGCGGATTGAAAAGGTATCATTTTTGGATCATGCAATTAAAAAAAAGTGGGATAATGGGAAAAATTGAATTTCGAGGAATTCTGCTTATTTCGATGCCAGTTTATTCAGTTTTTGAAAAAAATTGCTCGACTTTTTTCTAGTTTTACAAGATTTTTTTTACAATATGTATATTATGGAATAGTTTGAGAAATTAAAGTTGGCTAAAAAATCAATACCGTGTTTAACTTTGAAAAAAAACTTTCATATAGGTTTCATAGTTTTCCTTATTATTTTATTACTGTATTTTCAAAGTCTCGCGACTGGCGAGGTTTTCTGTAGATTTTGGTCGTCTTACAACATGAGTGTCGATTTACGCCACAATGTTAAGTGGTGTGTCGTCCGTGTGGAGTACACAACGCGCCTATAGCCTGCTCGAGCCCTTTTTTGGCATATCGATGGACATTTTTCGAAAAACCGTTGTGTCTCTTAAGGTGCGTTGCGGTTCGCGTGCGGTCAAGTCAATTTTTTCGCCGAGAACGCATTTCATAATTTAGAGATCTCCGTGGAATCATAAGTTTGGATCTGATCAGCATTTCATATATCATTGTAGTTAGTTGGAAAAGAAAAAGCCGCAACGCGCTTGACCACATAGAAATCGCATTTTGATTCAAATCTCGATTTAAACTGTGGGAATTTGGCTACAGTACTACTGATAACCTGCGAATCATACTAAATCGCCCCCTCGTTCTTGAATTTAGTATAATTTTTTTTTTAATTTTTAAGTGCCAAAATTAGAAAAAAAAAACATTTCTCAAAAAATATATACATATGTTTTCAGTGTGAAAGAGGCCGCGTGTTCAGCGACGCCATCGATTTTCCTACCAATGTTCGGCGAACAAATGCGAAACGCGTGGCTAGCCAAAACTCAAGGATTCGCGCGAATCCTCAACAAATTCCATCTCTCCGTGGAATACTTTGAAAGAAATATTCGAGAAGTGCTGGACCATCCGGACTATCAACTCAACGCCGACAAATTGTTCTCACGCTTCCTTGACCAGCCAATACCAACACTCGACGAGGCTGCTCACAAATTCAATCGTCTCATTAAATACAAAGGACGCATGCCGGATTTTTTCTATCCAAAATCGCTAAATCTTAGCTATATAACCACATTGAATCTCGATTTTTTCATAATTTTCCCAATTTTTGCTTTATATGTCATGGCTTCCTAACGGGTAGTTTATTCATTTTTCGTTAATGTTTGAGAATTGCGCTGTTGAAAAAAAAATTGATAAATGTTTGCCTAAGCGGAGACTTGAGCACCAATTGAATGAATAGAAATGAAGCGATTAATAAATGACCTCCGGAAATGAATTGCCAGCCGGCCACAATTGTCCGGCAGCTCTTACCTATGAGACCGCATTGGCTATTGTTTCTACTGTATTCTGTGCTACCAGGTCGTTGTCAATGGAATTGTAAGTTATCACAAATCACTATTATGTGGGCGAAAAAGAAATGCATGTTTCTATTTTTTTAGGAATTTATTTAATTTCAACAAAACTTCAAAATTTTATTTTTTCATAATTTCGAGGAGATACGGTACACACTGCGGTGTATGCACATACACACTAGTTGACGCGCATATACGGAGTTTTGAGTTTTAGTTTTTGCTTTTCAAATTTCCATTCCTTTTGATTTTTGTTTTGTAACGATTTGATGTCATGGTTCGAACCCTAGATTTTCAGGGCACGGTCCTTACAACCCCCAACCGCATATTCCGAACAATAATCTGGCTATCGGCTATCCGACAGCGTACGGTCTTTACGCGGGTCGAGGTTATGGCAACAATAATTGGAATAATGGATGGAATGAAGGCGGAGGGAATTTGCCTGTAAGTTTCTCTTTAATTGCAATAATTATAGTGGTTTTTGTTACTAAACGAACAGTTATAGAATATATAAAATCAAAGTATTTTGAAAATTTATAGCCCAACGCCGGAACTGGCTTCGGAAGCCCATTGCGATGTCTCAACGGTGGCGCTCATATAGGTTACATTCAATAATTTTCATTCAATTCTCTGGACTCTGATTTTTCAGGTCAGTGTCGTTTGGACAAAGATTCTATTTGCGTGGCACTTGGCGGCAGTTGCATTCATGGCGCCTGTTGTACGACGCCATTCGTTAGTATCATGGGTGTTGCCTCGACAGTGAAACCTGATGTCATTGAAGGAGACGTTGGGACTCGTTCGAACCTCGAAAACTCTTATAACTGACTTCAGGCAACTCGGAAAACGCGGAAGATCACTCGTCAAACAACGACTACAACTCACGCTCCAGATGACGACGAAGGCGATGATGTAATTGATTCCAAAGAAATGGCTGAGTGGAATCGCCTTGTTGAATCCTATCGAACGTCAACTCAGCCATCAACAACAACAACGACACAAGCAGTTACCGTAACCCCTGTCGATGAAGAAGAAGGTGAAGGAGAATCTGACAATAAGGTTTTTTGAGTGCTGATAAGAACAAATTGAATCGAAATTTATTAAGATGTGCGATTCTGGTTTGAAGCCTGTCGGACCGTGCACAGACGATTCGGATTGTCCGACACTTCATCAATGCGAAAACGAAAAGTGCTGCTATTTGGTGATATCATAGGACAAATGTAAATTATTTAATTGCTGCTGGTTTCAAACTCTGTACTGGATACGCTTTCTTTTCATTCTCGCTTATTGTGAATATACTGTCGGATTTTTTGTCCTTCTCCACCACTTCTTTAAGCGGAATGACTGGAGTGACTTCAGTTTTCGTCACCTATAAGAATTTTGCGATTTGTCTTCATTTGCTGAAAATCTTACATGGAATGGCGTGTTTGGAGATGGGGCAGGTGGAAGTTGATTCATCAGCATTCTCGTTTTAAACTGTCGATTCCGACATCTGAAAATAGCGTTGCACCTGAGCCGATTACGGTAGTGTCAAACCCGCAAAGTATCGTATCCCGATAGGTTGGCAATATGAGGAAGGTAATTAATAGGACGAGAGGTCCGAAAAAGAAGAACCACGTGCGAATCGACATTTCATTGCTAAGCATCTCATAATAATTGGTGGTGTCGAGAAAATATGCAAGCGACACAAAACAATCTGAAAATGTTCAAACCATCGGGCGGTCTTCGTTTAATTTCTTGTTACACAATGATCCAACGCATGGGATTGGAACGACAAGTGCGTAAAGCATTGACCATCCCAAACGACTTCTCGCATCGTAGACCACCGGATCGAGCATGTCGATGCGTTTGTTGATCTGCGAACAACACGCGAATGCTATACATCCCATTGCGATGAATACGAACATTGCTAGAAATGAGACGATGACGGCGGCGATGATTGCCACCAGAATCGGTTGCATTGAAGGCGTTCGATAGAAAATGTTGAAAATCGCGGATAGTGGAAACGACAGAAGAACAATGAGGAAGTAGGGAATCCTAAAATTCAGCAATGTCAAAATCGAGCCGCTCATAGGTTGGTTCTTTTGGAACACAGATTCCCGCCTCGCTGGCGGGAATCTTCAGAAAACCCCCTCGATATTGACAGGACTGCTAAAATTCATCAAATAAAAATTTTAAAAAAAGAGTAAAAATTGTTCCTTCAAATGATTGAATAATAATTAATTGCTGGTGGCTCATTTTCGGGAAATACAATTTCAGGAAATTTTGGCTAAAATGTGTTGAATGGAAATCCTAGGAGACCTTAATTCGAAATCTAGGACCCCTTTAACACTTTGCAATAGTTTTTGTTTAGCAGAAGTTTCTGAAATTGAAAATTCCTGAAAATAAGCCCGAAATCACAAGCCAAAATTATTTTGGTCCCATTCACCAAAAAAAAAAAACTATATTTTTCTTTTTTTTTTCAATTTTCATATTTTACCACGTGCAAACGTCATAATTTTGTTTTCTAGTGGTCCCAACACGAATCGCCATATAAAGAAAAATTGGAAGTCCGCAGATGAGTGTCATAAATGAAGACGTCACCGCACTCGAGTATAACATGTCAATAAGCCATGCTCTGAATCATACTGAATCACTGATCAGTTTTGATTTTGGGTGAAACTTCTCAAAATCCCTGGGGAATAATAGGTCCCACGCGAATGTCGCAATTTTTAAAGCGGTCGATGCCGTCAGTGGTAAAGCGACGCATGATAAGAATGCCTCTATTAAATATTAACAATTTTTAGAATGAATTCTATGTCGTCGGGCGCGTTGCGGTTCGCGTCACGTTTTTTTAATTTAATTTTTTTCTACATTTTTTTCGAGTTTTATTTCCACTGATGATAGTATGTGAATTCTTGAACATTAGAAATCCCCTAATAATTTTGGAATCGCAACGCGTCTGACGGCATAATGAGCATAGAGATGTCTTTGAGAAGCAGATTATAGCAAGAGTTGAGAAACCTGTAAAATCGCGCTCAATCCACAAATTGCAAAACCAGAGAGCCGAGAGTAGAAGAATTTCGACGAGATCGTAGAAGCATCCAAAAAATGAGCGATAGAGAATGTTCTCGATATAATACATGATTGGATAATCGCATGTGATTGTGATGGCGTGTCCTCTTGACACATTATAGCACAGGGTCCCATTATATGCCGTCGACGAAGCGATGAGGCTATCGAGCATAGCGCGTGAATTGAGAAAATGAGACTCGTGATTCTGTTTTTTTGGATTGTTGGGCAACGTTTCACCTGCCGCAAGACCTATTTTGCGATTGACGAAAACATCTGAAGCGCGGCATTCGAAAATTGCGAAATGCAGCGCTTGATTTCGGCTAGGAAAACGCGAAACAATTGTTTTTGTCCGTGTGGAGTACACAAGCGCGCTTCTTTGAAGCAACAACGCATAGGAAATAAATTTTATTGATTTCAATATTAACGCGAGCAAGACTTTGCATACCGATTATAGACATGTCCGATAAGTTATTGAGAAGGTTTTGGGAAGGGGAAGCATTCAGGAGTCGGATACCCGTTTCAACATAAAGGATAACAACAAAGGGTTAGTTGGCAGGGGTTAGTAATGATTATTAGTAAAGCGTTAGTCATATTCACAAAATTGGTTCACGGAAATGTGAGAGATTTGACGGGGTCGCCGCTCGGCTGGACGCCTTTTTCGGACTTCGGAACGAGCCCAGCGGTATTTTCGATCGCTGGAATGGACTTGACTGGCTGAATTGAAGTGGGCTTCCAAAATCGGGCATCGTTCCAAATTCGATCGACGCCAATGATGATTGACTACCAAATGATCGAAGATCTAATGTCGAAATTGCATGTTTCACCTGAAGAATTGCATTTTTGCGCGGTGTGCACGGTCAGAATCGCTACCTGCAACTTCTTCATTACAAGATCATTGGACGATGGGATCCTCTGAATCGGAATGTTCAACTTCGGTCGAGGCGCACTGGCTTGTCGGATTTTCTCGCGCAACTTTGCCAAATAAATATTCTTTTCTCTACAGACGACATAGTCGGTGCGAATGATTCCCTCTTCAGCCATTTCGAGCTCATCTTCAAGATCCTCGAACTCAGCGAGCTCCTCCTCTCTGAAATCATCACCGCTAGATTCTCAATTAGGAGATTTGCGCTCACTCTTTCATGACATATGCAATATGGTCCAAAGGCATTTCGTTTTCCATTTCCTCTTCGGCTCGTGTCACCTTTTCCTCGATATTATCCAGATGCTCGGCCGAGAAGAAGCTGCTGCTCGCCTCATTAGCGACAGATTCCGTAGATCTAAAAAAAATTGGAAAAATCAAATGAATGAAGAAATTCCGTATAAAATCGCTACCTTGGGCTCGCTTTCGAGTTCAAATCCTCACTCGAACTTCTACTCACATATCCGATGTCAGTGTCGGATGATTCATTCGATTCATTACAGTATTTGACATTCTTAAACTGCACAAGTCCTTCATACAATTTTCCAGAATTCGCCAGATTCGAATGCTTCTTTTTATTTTTGACACCATTCGTCGAATCGTGAAGAACGCTGAGGAGACTTTTCGTTGATTGAATGATTCTCACAAATTCGCCACTATTGAACAACGATACGGGTGTTTCATCAAATCTGCAAAAATTTAAAATTTGAATATTTTTAGTGCCCCAATTTTTTTCCACCTTGAGCTTAGCTCCACAAACGATTCGTAGGCACCGTTTTCAGTGCTCAATGCAACTTTCAACGGCTTCAGATCGCTGATATATTTTAAACCTGCAAAAGAATTGTCGGCTCAGTGTGTTCATTAGAGATGAATATTACCAATCAAAATTTCTCCAGCGTCTAGAGACGTCGCCATCCATCGATCGGCCAAAAGGGTTGTTGTTAATTTCAACGAGCTCATTTCTGCATTCGTCAAGCCCATCTAAAAGAATCACGTTTCAATCAAAGAGGACCTCGTAAAATCGAAATTTTACAGTTTTGGTGAGCGGATCAAAACTAAGCCACAAATAGTTGATTCCATTGACATTGAGATCATTGCGCGTGCAGAGACACAACGAATGAATATCAATGGCATCCGAATTGATTGCCGAGTGCCGATTCATCGAGAGAACAAACGAGGCGACGATTTCGCATGAAGCGTCGGCGAGCACCGCCGAATTATTGATAAACGCGCTGAGAGCAGTGATGCTAATCTTGTTCGCATAGATTTGACGCGTGTTGCAAATAGCCCATGCTGGAAAAAACACAATATAGCCACCGAAATGATCAACATTTTCCAAATGTACCTGAAAGTTTGATATCGCCGACATTCTGAATATCACATGACATGTTGAGCCATTTCGAATCAATATCCATCTGCTTCACATTCTCGACTTTTCCTTGAACAGCCGTTGAACGCTTGCACGCGATGGAAATTCGTCCCATATTCGTAATGTCCATTTTTGAGTGGATATTCGTCGCATGAATAACCATCGTCGATTCTCCATCAAGCTCGCCTAGAAGTGAATACATATCGGTGATATGCAGATTTAAAAAAAACGCAAAAAACCACGGCCGCGTCGAGGTTTTTCGAAGTATCACAGTTTTATATTAAATCGCTGCAAGAATCATAAAAATTTTATATGTGCACCTTGAATCGCAGTAGAAAAATAGCAATTGCAACCGAGAAAAAAAGATTTTAAAAATGATAAAGTAACTAAGGTTAAAGGCGCATAAAATGAAATTTCTTGGGTCTTACAGCGAGTTAATAAAAACTGTGGTACTGTAGATTTCGAAAAACCCGCGTGGTTTTTTCTGCAATTTGCATATGGTTTTCAGCTGGTTTTTTCCGTTTTTTTAAAACGTCTCTGCAGGATTTTAGGTCCTCGATATACCTTGAACATATCCCGACGACGTCAACGAGTCGCAATTGATGCTGATATTGCGGCACGCTTCGATTTCGGCGTCATACATACTCAAATCGCCACACTCGATGCACAACTTTTCAATGTTGCGAATTTTCTCGTTTTGCACCGAAATGCTGTCGCGCGCGTAAATCTCGGCAAACTTGAACGTTCCCAATTGGCCTTTGATGATCGCTTTCGATGACTCGCACGCGATTTCGCTGTCGGGCGACGAGCCAAAAATGGAGCCATCGAGACGAATCGTTCCCTCTCTCGATTTGATGAACAACTTTTTGCCGAGAAACAACGTGCCCTCAATTTTCAAATCGTCGGCGATTATCGACGTCGTCTCCTCGCCATCGCACGCTTCAAGGCGAAGAATGTTCTCTTTGAGGACATCGAACGTTGCACATTGAATGTCGTCGACACGCACAATATTGTACATTTCGAACGCTAGACGACAGTTGAGCGCGCCAATGTTGACGCTCTCCAAACATCCCGAGCCGACCACAGTCACCTGACAAGTTCAACGAAATCAATTCCATCCGTTCAGCGTTCAACCTACGCATTTGATGTTTCCCGTGAATCGAAGGCGATTGCATTGAATTCGACCATCAACAATCATTTGGAGGTGCTCGCATTTCGATGAAACGATGATCGTGTTGGCGAGAACATTGGCCTTCTGGTGAACTGTGAAGAGCACCGTTTCTTTGGAGGTTCCCTCGGATCCAAGATGAACCTGAATCCAATGATGTCTATAAATCATATACCATCAAGATCTCACCTCGAGTCGATCGAGCTGCATCTCGCAATCAACCGACACCGTTTGTCTCGCGGCGCAGCCAACAGACAGCTCTTTCGATTCATCGACAACATCACTGGAAATCAGAAGGTCCGTTGTTGCCGAGAAGCTCAGGCGTTTATCGCATGACAGATTTTGAACGTTCCGAATCGCAATGTTCAACCGATTCGCGCAAATGTCCACCGGCTTTTTCGCTTTGATCGAGCCCCCAATTTTCGTCCATTCTTTCGAAACGGCGAGAAGCTTCATCGCGTTCTTCGATTCAATCAATCCTTGATCGTTGTTGAAATTTCGCAATTTGATGTCCATCGAGTCAACCGCGCAAATTCGATTGGTGTTCTCCAGAATTCCGTCGCCGATGATGTCCAAAACTCCGCACGCAATGATTCCGTCGTTGCGCAACAATTCGCCGACGTGAATCAGCAAATTCGTCACGTGATTCTGCTTGTTGTCGAGATTCGTTAGTCGGCCATCGTGCACATAGATCGGCGAGATGATTGTCACCTCGCGCCCGCTGAACTTGATCTGACCGCGATGATGGAACGTGGTGGCGCATACGATCGCCTCGGATTTGACGACGCAAGCGCGAGGCGTGTCGCCGAGAAGAAGCGACGACGAATCGGCAAACGACAAAACGCTGCTTTCCTTGGCTGTTGAGAGAGCGCCGGCGTTGATGAGAATGCTGAACTCATCGGCCGATTTCGATTTGAGACCGCTGAGTCGAACGATCGATTGTTCGGTGATGTAAATCGAAGCGAACGGAGCGACGATCGACACCGCTGTGAGCGCGCAAGAAATGATGAGGCCCGGCGCAATCGGATCCTTGATGTCGTGATGCTCATCGGTTTTAAGATTGCCATGAACCGTCAGCGAGCCGGCAACTATATCAACTTGTCCTATAAACATTTCAGTTGGGGCATTTCGGTTTTTGGCGATTTGCGTACCTTTCAAGGTCATCTCGGATTCTGACACATAGGGCAATGATACTTGCATTTCATTGCATCGAACCAATCCATCAAAAACGGCCCTCTTTAACGACTTGATATTAATTTCGCTCGAGATCAATCGTCCTCCAAAGCATTCAAGAGAATCGTCATGAACGTTGATGTTCATTGAATATTTGACAAAAAGTGTCCCGTCTTCTGATTGTTCGATAAATCCGGTGATCATTTTCAGATTTTTCTCAACCTGAAACAATTTTCCATTGCTTTTGTTATTGTCAATTTCCAAAAATTTGCGCAATACCTGCCACAACGCGTCGTTCCGAAATGATCCCGTCGTGATATCGCCGTCGTGTGTCACCATGATTTTCGCGGAGCACGTCGCGATCAAATCATTCCTTACATAGACGACTAGATCGTTGACGACAATCGCTCCGCCCATCGTGCAAAATCCCTTGCATGTCAGATTGAAGGTGTGCGCTTCGAGACGCGACATTCCCGAGAAATGCGCCGAGTCTTGAAGAATGACGTCAAGCTTGTTGGTGGCATGCAAGAATCCGTTGAAGTTGAAGCCGAATGCCGAGATATTCGCGCAGTCCTCGATGAAGAGTTTCGCGTTGTGTTGAATGATGAGCATTGTGGTGACGTGCGTCCAGCACGATGTCAACTGCCAGGTGCCGTCGACATCGCAACCTCCGCCGCATTCGATTTCAAGCTGAAATTCGTTGAATGATAATATGGGATGAACTTAAAGAATCACCAACTTTCTCCGATTCGACGTACGATGATCGAGTGAATTGAACGCCACCGACAGCGTCAATTGCGAGACTCTCGCCGGTGCACCACATTCCGTCGCATTCAAATTTTGAGCATTGAATTCTCGCGAACATCTCCGCCGACAAAATCGCGTCAGATGTCGTCACGACGGTCCCATTGCTGTGCATGATGAGACTTCTCGTTTTGCTCTGCCCGTGAAGAAACACATGAGATCTGGCATCGAGCTCAACCCATGTGCTGCTCCAGATCGAGTCCTTCTCCACCGTCGCGCTGCCTCCAATATTCAGCTTCAACGTGTTCGCCGAGAATTGCGCGGTGTCGTCGCAATTCCGTCCGACGACCGCTTCGATTTTCAGCGAGCTTATCGAGCCGCGCTTCCAGTCGTGTGCAGCAAACAGCGCGTTGATTAGCGTGATCTTCTCGCGCACCGAATTCCTCTCCGATTTCATGCGGGCCTCTTTGTATTCGGCAATCGCGCTCTGTCGCAACGTCTGGTTCTTCTTCGTCGTACTGCTCCTCTGCACACGATCGTTCAAATCGACGCCCTTCTCGATGAGATTCGCCACTGCGTTCGCATTTTGACTCTGAATCGCCGTATGCATGACGCTGCTCGACGGCGAGTACGCGTTTCCGCCGTCAATCTTGCGCAGCTTCTTCAGCGCGTTGTAGCCGCGTCCGGCGCTGTCGAGACTCCCATCGGATAACGAGATGAGACTTCCCGAAATTATCAAATCGATATTCTCCTTGGAAACAATTTTTCCATAGTTTGCTAGATCGCCAGAGATATTCAATCTCATACTCGATGCGATTACTTGTTTTAGCCTCGTCGTTTTCTGAAGACAGTATTAATTTGGATGCAATCTTGACAAGACCATTGGCTTACATTCGAGCTCTCAATAGAGCATCCAATGCTTCCATCAACACCAATGTGAACCAAACCGCATGACAAATCCACCATCATTTTGGAATCGGCGTCAAACGGATAAACTCGTCCGTCGATTTGCACCTTTCGGCAAATCGCTTTGAAAACATCGGAGCACAATAATGATTCGGTGGAGAGCACGATATTCTGCGAGTGGAGATGAAGCGAGCCGGTGCATGTGATTTTTGCATAGACATGAAGTGTACCTGAATGGTCCCCACACAAAATGGTTTTTAAATGTTGTGGCGCTTACCAACGGTGCTCTCAAATGTTAAATTATTTCCACGAAGAACGCCGTGAACCTCGAGGTTTGATCCAGCAATGTTCATCTAAAATTGATAAGATCATATGAGTGATGAAGCGAAACTTACATCTGAAATCTTCGTATTCACTTCTTTAACGATTGTTTTTATTTCTTGCTCATATGCCAAATGCGAGGCGAAAACGACACATTCGGGCTTTTTTTCATTCTGAAAAATGTGCGGATTTTGATAAACCTATTCAAATTGTGGACAAAGTCGAAAGACATTGTATTTCCGCATCTTTTTGCGTTAGAAAAAATTCGTGGAAATTGGATGAAATCAATTCAAAACATCCTATTTTTTTCGTAAAGGTGTGCATTCACCCACACGCAAAATTGCACATATTTGGTGGTGATTTTTTTTTCGAAATTCTCGAAGAAAATCTCTCAAGCATTTCTTCAAAAAATAATCGAATATTTCTTCATGGATACACTACCCTTAACCAGTTTTTTTCCTATTTTATTATCATGAATATTTCAGCAAATCGTGGAGTAAAAATAGCAGTGAAATGAAGTAATGTCTGCGTGTCTCAAAATCGAACACTCTCTCAAATACCGATTTGATTTCAATTTATTAAATTCGCAAAAAAAAGGAGAACCTTGCGCCGATTTACGGTGAGTAGGCTATCCAGAGTACGGTATCCGAATTCGCGCTATTTGGAATTTGAATTACCGCCTCGAAATAGTGCAATGGTCCACAATTTGTCAAGGTGCTCATTTTTTTGTGCAATTTTCCGACCTCTCTACTAAATTGGAATCAATTTCTCGGTGAAACATTTTCCAAAAATGGTTCTTGATTGAAGGGCCACGTTTTTTTGATTGTTTCATTTATATCCATATTTAGAATGCATTAACATGCCCCATATATGGGAATCATGCGTCGAACAAAAAAATTCCCACGCGTTATCAAACGCGATGTATAATAAATTGCCACTAGCCGAAATAACGATCGACCAACCCGGTGTTGTACAACAATTTTGTACTGTTGCTGCATTCGTTGCAATTTGATACTGTAACCATAACCGACATCCTGAGTGATTGGCTGATAGATGATCGACAAATCAATGGGTATATATATCTGCAACAAAAATTGAGCGCAAATAATTCGGAAGAAGCAAGAATTGCATACTTGTACATGGTTTGAGTGCTCGTCAAAAACGACCGATGGCCGATGGCCGCGGTCAATGCGAATCGTCAATTTCTCATTTGTACGTGCAATGATCATCTGAAATCAATCTCAAATCTTTTAGAACATAGGGGAGAATTTGAATGAGGTAAAAATTGTTTTGGAAGGGCGCGAAATCGGGGGGTATGGCGCCGAGAAAAAAAAATGGTGCCGCGAAATTCGACTATATATAGTTTTCTTTTCATCTCGCCGCCCTAATTGAGCGCAATAAATTCGCGTCAATTCATTCAGCGACTCTTAAATCTTTATCACAATTGGATCAAGGATATCGTTATTGAGAGAGAGAGAGAGAGAGAATATGGACAATATTTGAAATATTCGGGCGCCTCTCTTTAGAAGTGCTAATTAATAGGTATGAGGATGATTGGGGGGTAGTAGGATGTCGAGAAAAAAGTTGGCATACTTCGGCATCAAAGAAATGCATTAAATCTCGACGATCAAGCATATTTCATTCATGGAAACGACGAAATGCGAAATTGATATGGAAATGTGAGCGGTTTTTTTTTCGGGACGACTAATGCAATCCGTCCTATTTTGACCACCGTGAACACCTTTGAAATGAGGGGGGGGGGAACTATTCTGAAGTTGGTACTTCTGAAATCAAATGTCTTGAATTTGAATATCAATGGAAATTAGTGGAGCACGGTAGAGGGCTAACTTCGACAAAATAATGGTCCCATCATTTTTTGCCAAAATTGGACCACAGCTTAAAATGCGAATCTGATAAATGGGTCCAAATTGCAGAGAAGATTTCGATGTACTTGCGGGACCCAAAAGTGGCAAAATTGATTCCCATTTTTTCGAGATTTCAATTTCATTTCACACTTGAGCATATTTTTATCATATTAATTATTTCGATTTTCAAAAAATTTTCATTTTCAAGATTTAAATTTTATTTGGTTCCATGGTTACAAAGGACTAATTTCAGGCCAAATTTTCAGACATCGTTCTAAAAATGGATGAGCATCTAAAATTTCGAGCTCTGACTTCAATTTCCAAATCCGATTTTTTACTTTTTTTTGATACACAATAGAAGGGGTGGCTTTAATTATGTGAAAAGCTTAGTAACCATGCCATGAAAAAAAATTTGACAAAATCGAAAAAAATGGGGCCATCAATTTTTTTGAAGTTTTCCATTTACTCACACAATCAAAACAATTTAGACAGTGAGAAAAAATTAGCTGAAAATGTGAGAATGTGAGAAATACTATAAGAAAACAGTTATGAACTGTCGAAAATTCGATTTAAAAATGATACCACACTTTTTTTCAAGGTCAGACCGCAACGGTGTTCGACATTATTAACACCTACCCAACGATGAGATAACGGAAAAAATAGAATCTCAAATGATATTTTAAATGTTAAAGATACTATTATATATTATAAAATATATAGAACACTTTCTACTTATTGCAATAAATTTAATGTTTTGATGAAGCGCATTAATTCGGCAATAAATCGAATTGAATTGAAATGAAAACAGACATTTATGAGTCAATATAAGAAATGATTGAGAAGAACGAAATCTGTGTGCGCACTGAGTTTTTTTTTCTGTCAAATTTCACATTAAAACAATTTTTTTTGTCATCGAAAAGATCAACATAGATTTGAGTCAAAAATCAACAAATTTTGGGGCCCCGAAATCACGTAACAAAACTTGCTTGAAAAAGACGAAATAAAATTTATATGTTATGATGATACATTTCGTAGGCAAGTGGACGAAATCGGCGAAAAAAAAAAAACACACAAAACAAGCGATTCTGCCTATATCATTTTCGTTCATCTTATGGATTTGGAACGAGTGTCGATCGGGGCGCGACGAGACGGGGGCTGTCAGGTAGCTCAGACAAGGTTGAATTATACCAAAAAAAAAAAATCGAACGACAAAGTTTCTAAATGTGATACACATCTAAATTGACGCTAATTTGTTGTGGCATGCTCTTGCCAAATATGGGCACGATTTCATCTGAGAGCGGCCTAAGTCCACTTAATCCCCACCAAATCGTCGTCCTTTAAACAATTGTTAAACAGTTAACTCGCGCGGCGGGTAAACATTCGCCAGACCCCGTTTCTAATGGTTTTTGAACATTTTCGATTGATATTTGTTAAGAACCGATGTTATTTTCGAGTAGAGTATTTTTAGACGAGGCATTTTTTTTGTCTATTTTTATTTCGCAGTGTGAGAGTCGGAACAAAGCGTGTGGGAAAAAAAATATGTAGAAAACTCGGAGAGCATCACATTTTATGAGTTTAATGCCAAATTTCGATATTTGTAAAATCCACAGAAATTGTTGAGCGATAACATTTTAGGGAAAAAAATCGAGCAGACAAATTTCCAACAAAAATCGAAATTTTCGTGAAAATTTCTGATTTCATCATCGCAGCAAAAAGCCGCCGTCGCGTTTAATCGAAATCACCGCCAACTGTCTCAATTTTTTTTTAAATCGCGCTCAGCCGTCGGGTACTGCTAATTACGATGGAGATGCATTCAAAAAATCTATAGAGATGTGAGCATTTTGAGGAGAAGAGACAGCAAAAAAAAATTAAATTGGGCACTCGGGTGGCAAGTCGAATCGAGGCCAGCTGAATTTGAATTTGGCGCCAAAACGAGGACGCCCGTTTGCATGTACGCAGCGAATTCGAATGCAAACTTCAATTTTTTTCGATTTTGCGAAAAAAAATATGAATTGTTTACTGAAAGAACGGCAAGAAGTACACAACAAACAACGACAATTTCTCGCATGCGCCTACACATAAATATATCTGATGGAAGAAAAATTGTGAGTGGAAACCAAAAATCGAAAGGCGCCAAGTTTGACCCTGAAGACGTCGTGCACACATCAAGATCGATCACCATTTTGCGGGCAATCGCAAAAAATCACCCAGCCCGCTCTCGGAAGGTGAACAACGCGGGCCACTCTGGGGCTCGGCCGACTCTCCCCGATTTAAAAAAAAGTGTTCGAGGAGCCGTCGGCGACGTTGTAAACGTTGCTCACCGTTTAGTATTATTCACTCTATCAATGCAACCGAAACTCGCGGTTTGTCGATGATGGATGAAGGTGTCAGCGGAACAAAAATGAAGGCAGATGGGTCTCTCGCAAGATTCTAAAATGCTAGACAATATGAACAAAAAATAAATAAGAGACAATGGGAGAGGGCGAGACACCACACCAATAATCACAATAATAATAATAATAATAATAATAATAATAATAATAATAATAATAATGATCGACAACTGGCGCGAGCTGCAAATTGGAAGAGATGCTTGACATCGCCGTCATGCTCTTCACAATGTAATAAAGTGTGAGCGAGAGTGGTGAGGTGTAATGCTCGTATTACAAGATTTTTCACTTTCGAGAACATCTTAATACAAAAAAAAATTAACAATAAAAATGTGAATTTCGGGCTGTGCATAGTTGGGTCTCGTATGGATTGCAAAATTTAGTGGAAAGAGCAATACTATTGTACGGGACCAATTAGATAGAAGCCCGGGAAATTCGAAATTTTTCAAATTCGTTTGTACCACGACAATTGTTTACTACTACTGCGCAGTGACCCCCCTCCTATCCACTTTCAATGCCGCCAATGATTTATCTTAATTGCTGAGCGCATCCAACAAGAGCTCCGATGACCTGGCCATCGAACACTGCGCAAATGGGGAATTCTAGGGGTCGTAGAATTTTCGGAAAATTGTTTGAAGTCGCCGAAAATTGGAGTTCCTTATGATTTTTTGCAGAACAAAAAAAAACCGATTTGTTTTTGGAAATAATTGAAGCACGAAAAAATGAACAAATTGTTGGCCGTTCAAGACATTTGCTGAAACCGGCTGAATCCACAAGGCGTGAAGAGAAGGCAGTGAGAAAAAAAAAATAAGTCGATGTGTAACACCCACAAAATAGCCACCCGCCATCTAATCGGGCGGCGGTCATTAGATTGAAGTGGGCAATAAATCAGATAGCGTTGTTGGCAACCTTTTTTCAAAAAAAAAAAAAAAGAAAAAATGGAAAAAGGTATCAAATCGAAGAAATCCGTCAAAAAAAAGGTTGGTGTTTTGATGATTGATGGAAATCGAAAATTGGTTTTGATAACAAAATTGATAAAAGTAGAAAGAAAAGAACTTTTTTTTTCCCAAACAAAAGACGTTTGCCTTTAATAGTTTGCACTTTTCTTTTCAGTGCGAATAACATATTTGTTGATAAAATCAAATTTATGCCCGAATAAACAAGAGTACGAAGGTCTACTGAAAAAAAGGTAATTCAAAACCGGTTCGATGTAATCTGCAGGTGATAAAACAAACATTGATAACCGATCGAGTAGAATTCTACTTGCAATTTTATAAACAGTGAGCATTATTGCAAATATCTATACAAGAAAAATTAAATTTGATATTTTTCAGACGGCAAATTTCAAATTCCAATCTGGAATGAGCAATTTTTGCGAGAAAACTTATTGGAATTTTTAAACAATACAATTTATTGCAAAATTTGGAATTTCTTTTTCTGATTATGCGAATGATTTAAATTTTACGTTAAATTATAATTATGAGGTTCTGTTGTAAAAAAAAAACGAAAAAAAACTTTTTTACAGATTAAAAATTGGAGAGAAAGTGGGAGAAATCAAAAGCTTTTGAGGCAATTTGAAAATTTTCTAAAAAAAATAATTAAAGGCGCACAAAATTTTTGCGCCGAGTCTCTCGATTCTGGAAAAATAGCTTAAAATAGAAACCATTGTACGTGAACACGAGACGGTCCGACGAAAAAAAATTTCAGATCATAGCGACGATTTTTGACAAGGGGGGTCTCTTTTTTTTTGGCAGAAACAAATGCATACTATACTAGAAATACCTAGTCGTATTCTATAAGCAAAACTGGTCTGAAACTCGAATAAAACGCATGTGTCTAATAACCGTAGAAGGGCCATTAATGGCTAGGATTTATGGATAAACTGTTAGTGAAATCCGTGTGGGACAATCCAATCCTGATGGGGCAAATCGAGAAGCCAGTATTCATCGCTCAACAAATGTTATACTACTAATA